CCACAGAGCATCTGTAACTTTCTCCAGACCCGCTGTTGCCGACAGTAATTTCCCAAACATGCTGTCCATCGACAGCACATGCGGCACCGATGTCGCTTTGCCCGCATGGCCGCTCCGCCGGAATGACGGATCTAGATCATGATGAAACTCATTGATCGTGGCTTGTCTCATCGCCGTACCGAAAGATACTAGTCCACATGTCCTCGCCGCATCTCCTTTTGTCGATATCTGTTATACGAGGGGAGAGATTATCACATTGTCAAGTCTTCCTGTAAACTGATGCAACTGGACTGGTGGACTACACAAAACCGAGCCAACAGCCCTGGGCCTAGACTGCTCGAAATGAACCTCCCAGGCAAATTTCAGAAATCTCAAAATGCGAGTCGTTTTAGGCTATACTCCCTACAATTTCGATATCAACTCCTACAACAGATCTACCCGTCACACAGAATAGCCCGTCCTTCACATGTCACGAAAAGACAGCGAACCAAGCATCGCAAGCAGAAAAATGCAAAAAGGCAAAAATGCAAAAACTGCAGTCTACGAGCCGCAGTGGATCGCAGGGTTTCCAACTGTGTGAACCACGTTGCGCGGAACTGGGGTCACGATTCCACGCGTTGTGCAACATGCGCGGACAGGATTAAACCCTGGAGTAAGTGCGGCACTGTGGGGTTCTCGACTGATCCACCCTGCGGAAGGAATAACACAGGATAAAATGCGTCAAGACACTTTTGAAGCGACTATGATAGAGACATTATTACACGCCGATGACATGGAAAATTACGGCGTTCTGGTGAGCTTGAATGCTTCTTGTGGTATTGCGATTTGGGCGAAATGGTCAACAGACAATTTATGGTTATACCGTCTCATGTCATTCCATGGTTTCCCATAGGGTGGGAGTCATGGCTTTATGTACGTCCGTTGAGATTGTGGGAGATGGTCGATCACCTGAGACCTTATCGAAGATTGTTGCTGTAGCAGCTTCTCTAAGTGTCATTATACCGAAGAGTTAAAGAAATAAACTGTTATTTGTCCCCTCCAGGTATAATCCTCCGTGACTTTTTAGGTATCTAATCTGCATTTTGGATTAAGAAAATCGCAAAAGCGCATTTCCCGCTCTGAATATACGCTGTCTGACGGGACATGCCAATCACGTCTTTGCCTTAGGCCCCGAAATTCCAAATAAATATATGTCTTGTACGTAATAGTTGACCAGGGATTTGATCAGAGAGAGAGTGTGTGGGGGGGGGGGGTAAAGACAAAGAGGCGTGTGTGTAGCAATCCCCATACGAGAAATCAAGCGTGCAGGTCACTTCCCTGTCCGAGGACCATTTAAGTTAAACCGTGGTACATATTACCTCATACCACTTCTTCACAGGCGACGGATCTTTTCGTCCTTCGAACACGAGAAGCAGGTACCCCTTCGCAGCCTTCAACATCCTTCATGCGAATGACCCACAATATCGGACCCAGGGATGACGGGCCGACAGCATGTGAAGCTAAACGACGGTCAAACCTAGATTATATACAGATTCATCGAGGATATCATGATCCTCGATTAGCATCCCGAAGAAAATACCGCAGGTACATTAGTGCGCAACAGTCTCGTATTCGAGTGACACGGCAGCACGAGCATATCGATAAGATCACCAGATGATCACCTTCAGCCTGCGATGATCAGCACCTCTGAATGTCACTACTACTCACAAGTAGAGTCCGGACCGAGGCCATGGGTCGTCAGATATGGTGGGCAGGGTTTTGCATCGGCTGTTCCTCGGCATCTTGAGTGACCCTTGTGAACAGCATGGATGCACCCAGGTCACTGGCACGGACTCTTCGGGATGGTGTCTGCCAGGAAATGGATGTTCGAGTAGATGTCGCGTGCAAGTTACCGCGTTGGAAGGGGGGTTCAGCGTCCAAGCTTCTCAATCTGTAGATTTGTATGAGTTACGGTACTTTTTCTGTGAACTGTCTTTGTCCTAACGGGGTAGAAAAACATCGGGCTAGAATACTCCGATTCGCAACCTGTGAAAAGAGATATTCTGGTTCTCATCGGCGGTATTTCAATCAAAAGCCATTTATGAGAATATCATGAATATGACCGCAATCGCATCCTTGACAAGAGCTTAACAGGAAGCACGGAAGGTGAAGAGCAAGCGTGTAAAGCAACAACCGACGATGAGAGATCATAAATCCTTTTCTCATTGCAACTTAGAGTTTTCTATGTAAGGGGCCATGTTTTACATAGGAGTCCAACCACAATCATCATTTTTTTGGAGACGATGCTCCGAAGGAATATTCCAGTGCCATCTATCGGGCATTAAGACTATGTGCGTTCGTCACCTAAAATTCGGACTCATCATCACCAGCGATGATCACGTTATTGATCTAGAGTTTTGTTAGAGCCTTGTACAGTTTTTTTTGGGGGGGGGGGGGGGGGGGGAATATGAGGTGAAGCATACCTTGAGAACCATGCGGCACAGCTGGGTAGCGAGCAGAAGCTGCTGCTTCTTGCCGATGAGGGGATCGATAGCAAAGTGCTCACGCATGTCTGTAGAAATGATGTTAGCTGGAATAGGCTGAGGACATAGTGATTCCCTAGTCTTACCGTTGCTACCGGTGTTCATGCAGTCAACACCAAGACGGGTGTTCTTCTCCTTGACCTGGCGCGACTTGATGGAAGCAAGAGTCTCGATGGGGCTGAAGCCAGAGTTCTCAGACAGTGCGAGGGGAACGGCGTCCAGGGCATCGGCGAAGGCGCGCATAGCGTACTGCTCAATGCCGGGGCTCTGAAAATCAATCGCATTAGTTTGTTTCAAATCATATTCGAAAACGGGAGATACTGACCTTGACAGCGGCGTCCTCGACGGCCAGGGAGCAGGCAATCTCGGCGGCACCACCACCGTAAACAACACGGTTGTCACGAACCAGGTTGCGGACCACACACAACGCATCGTGTAGTGACCGCTTGGCCTCATCAATGATCTGCATGCCCAGTTAGTGAGGCTCGTGGCTGATAATACTATGCCTAAACTCACCATCTTGTTACTTCCGCGAATAAAGACGGTAACCGCCCGGCTGTTCGCACACTCCTCAATGACCAGCATCTTCTCTCTTGTGGTACCGAAGGTCATCTCGCGAACACGGCCGGCGGTGCCCAGCTTATCAGCGGACAAGTCCTCGAAGCGCGGCACGATACGGCCGTTGGTAGCGATGGCAATCAGCTCAATCTCGGGACCACCAACCCACCGAACGGCGGGCAGCTTGTTCTGGAGCAGCAGGTGGTTGGCCTCATCGTCGAAACCCCACTGGCAAATGACGAGGTTGGCACCGGAGTCCTTCAACTTCTCAATCATCTCGGTGAACTTCTCCTTCTCGTATTCCTGGAGCTTCTTGAACTCCTCAACCGAGGTGATATCCAGCTTGTGCTTGGTCTTGGGCTTGGGGGGCTCGAACGGGCAGGTCAGGATGGCCAGCTTGGCGTCTGTGACCTCGTCGGGCATCTGAGGGTGAGAGAAGTCCTTGTCGACAATAACACCGTTGACAAGCAGAGAGTCCTCAAGGGCACCTCCCACCTTGCCATCCACCTTGATCAACTCGAAGTCAACATCCTTGCGTTGGAGATCGGCAACCGAAAGCACAGCATCCACGGCAATCTTAGCAAACTGGTCGTGGGACTTGGAGACACTATTGAGAGAATTAGCGAGAGCGTACTAATAAACGAGAAGGGAACGGTCCGTACATCTTGCTACCCAAACTGGTCTTAGCAACCTTAAGCAGGTTGCTAGTGTCTTCGCGAGAGAAGGGAATTTCGTCACTGATCTTATCAAGCTCTGCGACGGCAATCTCGCAGGCCTGGTCGTAGCCGTCGGCTATCCGAATGGGGTGGATGCCCTTGTCAATCAACTCCGAGGCCTGCTCCAACATGGCAGCAGCCAGCACCACGACACCTGTTGTGCCATCACCAATCTCCTCATCCTGCGACTTCGAGAGCTCGACGAGCAACTTGGCGACGTTGTTTGTAATTTCCATCTAAAAAGCAAACCGGGTATATTAGAATCTGCCGGACTGTGGGGTGGTCTCGATAAGGGGTCGATATCGAACCTGGCCGAGAATGGTGGCACCATCGTTGGTGACGGTGATATCGCCGTCCGGAGAAATCAGAATCTTGTCGAGGCCACGGGGTCCCTGAGATTATGCATTAATTCCTGTCTGGAGTATTCCTGGCGGTGGGTCCTACCAGAGAAGTCTTAACAATGCTGGCCACAGTCTTGGCGGCGACAATGTGCGACTTCACGGCCTCGGTGCCATGTTGTCTCTTCTTCTTTCCTTGACTGCACAGTAGTTTCTGGTCAGCGAAATCCAGTCTATGTCGCCTCTGAGGGTCCAGTGGTTTGCGGCGATGCGAATAGGAGGATCTGTCGGTGAACGTACTCGCGAACGACAATAAACGGGCGACCATTCTCATCCTTCAGCATTTGGGCTATCTCGGGGCGTCAGCGAAAGGGTTGCATGCGTCGACCAGGCGGATAGTCGAAGAGTAATCACCTTGAGAAAGATCAAGCTCTGTGAGGGTCTTCAAGTCAGCGAAAGAACCGGGGGGTATGAGGGGCACCCGGGGGGCAGACGCAACGTACGCATCGCCATCTTGATGGTGGACTGCCACCTGGCAGAATTTCAACGTCTCGAGAAAAAGAAAACGAAAGAGAGAACGAAAGGATAGCGAGTAGTCGACGGGTTCCTTTCTCCGAGCGATGCGGAGGGGTGAAGCTCTCCCACGCAAATTAAATTCTGGGCCACCCAAAGCGGTATAGTGCTTCCCTTCCGCCTTCGCAGCTTTTCCAGGCGCGCTCCGCTTCTCCAACCTGCCAGTGCGAGCGTGTTGGACCTCCGATCGCGTCCCGATCGCATCCCGATCGCCGACGCTCGTTACGACTGCTCGAGCCGGCAAGCTGTTTTCTAGACTTCTCTCATTTGCGACTTCGCCTGTTCGAAGAAACATGCTTCGTGAGTTAGTTCCAATTGTTTACCTTGCGCGCGATCACCAAGCTGACTCTTTGCATAGCTCTCGTGGAGGATTGGTCGGACGAGGAGTCGGGCGACATCCCATTCAACGATGCGCCTGAGCAGCAATACGATGACAATAACACGGCTGAGGCCTCCGGCGACGACGACGATGAGGGAGATGAGGATGACGAAGTGTAAGCGAAGCGCGACTAGTAATTGGAGAACCTTCTAATTGTTGTGGACCAGCTTTGTCGTCGATGAAATCAAGGATCACCGCTTCGATGCAGTTGATGTATGCTCATTCCCTCATGCCTGATCTCGATGCCCCATTTCCAAGTCGTACTGATCACCGATCTAACAGGGTACTCTGTGGTTCCATGTGAAATGGAAGGGCTACCCGAAGCTTGAAGACCATACTTGGGAACCTGAACCGAACTTAGAGTGCGCATACCGGAACATCATACTATCTCGAACCCAGAACGCGCAATTGCTAACGCCTATCCTAGGGATGTCCCCGATATACTGAAAACTTATTTTGACAAGAGTGGTGGGCGACCTGAGAAGCCACCCGCCAAGGGCCCTGGTAGAGGTGCCCCCGGTAGAAAGCGCAAGTCAATGGGGGAGAAGAAGGAAGCTTCGCCCGCTGGATCCACGGACTCGAAGAGGCGGCGTCGATCCGCCCCCAAAACCCAGACGAAATCGAAGGCCGACCCTACCCCCAAGACCGAACCCAAAAATGTGGATAGTACACCCGCAGAAACCGACGAGGAAGAGCCATCCGATTGGGTTCCCAAGGGCAAAAGCTGGGAGAAGGATATCCAGTCGGTAGATACAATCATCAGGGATGCGGATGACAATGGGCTGTACGCCCTTCTACACTGGACCAACGGCAAACGCTCACGGGTGCCAACTGCAAGCTGTTACGAAAAGTGCCCGCGGGCCATGTTGCAGTTCTATGAAACCCACCTGCAAGTCCAACCTCCATCGTTCGTTGAGACAAGTGCTAATTCTGTGTATTTTTAGGGTTTTCAGGAACGCTTGAACACAGGGCTTTCTCGGTGCTCAACTCAAATACCAGGCAGCGATCTGCCTCTGACGATCTATCGCAGATGCTTCAGCGACAGTAATCTGTGAATTTGTGGTTTTTGATTTTGTTTTGATTCCCCCAGGCGCTACTAGGAGTCGGAACTATCTTTCAAATGTGTCAATTGGGGTTCTGTACGATAAGAGGCGCAAATGGCTTGTGGGTATTTTCGGTGGATCGCATTATGCTCCTCAAAGCTTTGTCATTCCAAGTGTTGCTGTAATCTCATGTCTTCAATTCATTATGCCCATGATTTATGTCCGTTTTTGGACATGTATAAATGATCACGCCGTTATTCTTTTTCTCATTTCCACTAAACCATGCCTCTCTCCCTCGCCATGCTGAGGTACTTCCATCTTTGTTGGCATTTGGCGTCTCCATGCTTTTCGTAGACCTGTTTGATCTCGCGTTCATTTGCGCCTTCCAGATTCTTGTCATCCTCAGCAGTCCATACCCCGCGAATGTTATCGGGAATTCCATGCCCAGAAGCCAGTAGGTTCAAGACCTTTTCGGCCAACTTGCAGTTCAAGCTTGTGCAGCACAACGCATCATCAATCAGGGCATCGTCCATGCCTCGCGACACTTGTGTCTCTATCCACTCCATCATTTCTTCCTCTTCGCTCTCGCTTTGGCTGTTCTCATCATAATTATCATCTTCGAGTGACCCGCTGTCTGAAGCCGGAGATGAAAGCAGAAAAGGGAGATCCTGAAGCAGCTCCTGACGCAATTTATCATCTTCTGTTGGGGAATGCGCTGGCGAGGGGGGAAAGGGAGATTCCGAAGTAACTCTAGCTGCCATTTATCATCTGCGGACAAAGTGTTTTCATTCCGTGATGTTTGCTCTTCTCTTCGATCAGTAGCCGGAGTGGAAACGGAACCAGGTGATGGTGGAATGGACCGAGGATTCCGCCGAGGAGTAATACCATGCGGATCAGATCGTTGAGGGACTGGTGATTCTTCAACGTGCCGAGAAACCTGTGTCGGTGTTGCTGTCTTGAGCGGTGGTGGAATGGGCCGAAGTGGCTGTTCAGGCACATCATGCGGAGCAGGTGTTGGAGAGACTTGGACTGCCCTCCTCTTTGAACGAGAAGCCTGGGGCTCAGGCGACGATCGCGGAGGTGAATCACGCTTCCTTTTTGACATCCATCGGTACTCGAGTAGTGGTGCCCTTTCAGGGCTGGCTTTGATGACGGCTACTTGTGGAGTTGGTGGCGTATGAAGTTCTTTCGGTGGTTGAAGTTGTGGTTTTGCTGGCGTCTTGCTTTGAGGCTTGCTTGGGAGGCTGTCTTGTGGCCTGTCTTGCGAGTCATTCCGGAGCTTTTTTTGGGACCTTTCTTGGGGCCTATTATTGGGCCTGTCCTGGGGCTTCTCTTGGGGCTGAGGTTGCAATACATCTGGCCTAGGTACTCCTCCTCCTGGGCGGGGATTCCCGCGTAGCCTTTTGAGATAGCGAGCTCGGGTTGACTGCCAGGTATGTCCAAGCCTCGGAAACTGCGTATGTAATGTTAGCACCTAGTCGAGTAAAGAGGAGGGATGGGCAAGTAATACTCTTGTTTCAAATAGTTGATAAATTTTGTTGCCTTGGACGCGGCCATTTTCTTGCTGCTCGAATGGCTGGAGGAAGTCGTAAAGAAGCTGATCTTGTTCTAGCGTCCAGCTTGTTCTGGTATTCTTCCTCGGAATATTGGATGCGCCCATTGGCCGAGGATTAGATGGGCCAGCCCTGTGCTCCTCGAGATTTTCCAGTCGACCATGGCGGATGGATTTTTCCACATATTGATAGGAGTAGCTGATGTGAGTTAGCATACGGCGGTTAAGACCTTTTGCTGCGCGCTGGGGGAATGGAACTTTACCAGTCAGCAGGGAGGTTTTTTTTTGTATGATCGACCAGTTTGACGTTGGCATCCTTCTCCATCCAGACAACGACACCACCATGTTGCTAGATTAATGTCAGTCTCTTGACGCTCAAGGGTATCAACAGTAGAGAATTACGTACAACAATAAGATCTTTGAACCGAGACCGCTGAGGAATTTCGTGAGAGAGCCAGAAACGTGCGCCCTGGAAGAGGCCACCAGGCGCGGAGCCTGCTGCCATCGTGCCCTGGATTTGAAGACGACTTGCAAGGGTGTTTCTTCGAATCCTTGAACGAAAGTGTGAGAGACGCTTTCCTCTGTTCTTTGTGACGCGCTATCACGTGTCAACGTGTCGCGGGATGCATTTGACCTGGGCAGCAACAGGGATTTTAGGGGCACAATCTGAGAGCGTAGAAACCAGAGAGACCTTATGGTAAGTTCTGCGTGATTTGTGATTAAAAAGTCGATAAATCAAGTACTAGACGCCAGTCGGCGGGCCTCTCGCAGGGGTTGTAGATGTCGCGTCTAGGCGGAGTGGAAGTGGCGCACGTGACCGCCGCGTGCCATGAGCGGCCCGTGATGCATGCTGACGAGTCAACATCCTCGGCCTTCCCAGCGACAAGGGAGGATGGCTATGGAGGACTGACAGGCAGCTAATCCGTCACCCTTGAAGTTCACTTGTGGTTTTTGAGCCCTGCCCTAGTCTACCGAAGAGTCTCCCCACGTGTCTGCCAATGATGGGGTCCCTTCGTACTATTGCTCTGGCTATTCTGGCTATCTCAGCCTTTACTTTCATCGCCCTTTTTGGCCGCCTTCCTGCCTTCAGGTTTGTGCTCTTTAAATTCATAAAAACAGGCATGACACTGACGTGGTGCCAGGAAAACACCTATCGCGTTGTTGCATCGTGCAGTGTGGATATATTTTCCTAACGGCGTTGCCTATCTTGACTCTCGCTTGCTTGGCGGGCGACTTGTCAGAACCTGGAACCGCTCAGGTAGCTATATTCTCCACGAGAACCATCCACTGGTTCTAGTAAGTTTTTGAGCCACCCTGCTAATGTCCTCAATCTAACATGCTGGCAAGATTTTTTTCGTTGGCTTGCTTGCAATTGGTGAATGGGTATTTTTACCGGTAGCATGGCCTCGGATGTCATCCGTTCATCATCCCTGGGTCCCCCCGGTGGTTATTATCCCATACATCCTTCTTTACAAGTGTGTCATGACCAATTCTCATGTCACGCCAGAGAACCACAACGAGGAGATGAAACGTTATCCGTTCGATCAAGTCTTGTTTCATCCAGGCTACCGCTGCAGTACATGCAATCTCATCAAGCCGGCGCGCAGTAAGCACTGCAAGTTCTGTCGGACTTGTGTCTCTCGCCAGGACCACCATTGTGTCTGGCTGATGAACTGTGTTGGGGCTAACAATTACATGTACTTCATGTCGTTGCTGCTCTCTCTATCGGTCTTGCTCGCCTATGGTACTTGTCTTGGCTACTCATTACTCCGCCAATCACTACAGGAAATGATCCCCGCTCATTTGCAAGCAGCCATGGAGTCATGGATTATGTATTTCAACATCTGGGCGATCGTCATACAATCTGATCCCAGGATTGGTACTATCACGCTGTTGATGCTCATGACCGCTCCCTTGGCCATGGCATTCCTGGCATACCATACCTACCTTATCTGGGCCGGCATGACTACCAACGAAAGCTCCAAGTGGTCAGATTGGAAAGAAGACGTCGAGGACGGTTACGTTTTCAAAGCACATAGAAAGGATATTCCGGATGCACACCCATTCACGGATTTCAATGAGCATCCTTGGCCGGTCACGAGTGATCAATTGCTGGTCACAGACGACGAGCCTCCATTGGAGGGATACATTTTGGTCCCAGGTACCAATCGGATTGACTACCGCAGCGATGAGGATGCACCGATTGATTCGCGGTGGGTCCCAGTCCATAGCATGAAGGACATTGACAACATCTACGATCTGGGATTTTGGAACAATCTTCGAGATTCTGCAGGGCTTTCCGTGCGTCGCATGGGCCGTAAATAGGTGCAAAAATAGAAACTCGCAAAAATGATGCTCTGATATATGTTTATTTGTCTTGATTTGTCGTCGATTCCGCATTTGCGACGAAATTCTTGTCGTTAATGCACTTTAAATGTCCGCCGCGTCCCGCTCCCGCTTTTTTGCCAACCCGCGGGCTAGCCGCTCCCGTCTTTTTCCCCCACTTCGAGAAAAATTACGGGTCACCTTCGAACCTCCCTTTTTTCATCTCTCAATAATTTGCTTCGCATACGCTTAATCCTGCAGCAGCTCTCTATCCAAAATGGGCGTCGAGAGGAAGATAATTACTCGTGGTACTGGCCCCTCGCCTGCTTCAGGCGATAAGGTCTCGATCCACTACACAGGCTGGCTCTACGACGCTAAGAAGTCCAACAAGGGTTTCCAGGGCAAGCAGTAAGTGGCTGACTCTATCCAACAACAAGTTTTGGTACTACATTACCGGACTTGACGTCATTCTCGATCTAATCTATGTGACAGATTCGATAGCTCCAGGTCCCCAGGCCGTGGCCCTTTGAATGTTCAGATCGGTGTTGGAAAGGTCATCAAAGGTAAAAAAAAAATATCATTTATCTCATGCATACATACACTTTGCCGCTACACCGGGGAAGCAAACTGACAGATTGTCGTTTCCTGTCTTTTTTGTCCATGTCTAACTTGCTTTTAGGTTGGGATGAAGGTGTCTTGCAGATGAGCCTTGGCGAGAAGTCCACCCTCGTCATTAGCCCGTGAGTCAAATATCTATTGAGTGACTAACGTGGCCTTTGAATGCTAATTGATTTGCTTAGTGACTATGGATATGGCGACAAGTAAGTGATTCCGTCGACAAATAGCCGACATTCTACACATGCCAAGACACCGGCAAATTATGACCTTTCTAACGACGATCTTTGCACAGGGCTGCCGGCAAGATTCCTGCGGGCTCCACTCTCATTTTGTAAGCCTTAGCGGCCCTTCTATATTTGTCGAAAGTATTCACAAGCTAATCATCTCGCAGTGAGGTTGAGCTTCTCAAGATCAACTAAGATTACGCAATGTATGCCCGAGTAAACGCTCGAATTAAGTCTACGATCAAGATATCATACGCAATGTGCCTTCATAGAACAAATTTCCTCACAACGTATAACTACCCACACGAGGACGCTTAATATGTGAAGGATTTCCTTCAAACTGCCATGTTGTCTACATACTCGAATCACTTGGGGTGCTATACCCCATCGGGGAGAAGGGCGGTGGGATGGGCGGTGAATTAAAATTCCCCGGCGCCCTCATTTTTGCCCGCCGCCAGTTCTAATTTCATCCCACCAGCCCGAGGAGACCTTTTCGTCCCATTTTGTCCTCGCAATTTCACCTGCAGGATGGCTGATCAAAAGCCGCTATGTACCCCACCTGAGCTGATGCTCAAGGTTGTCCTGGCCGGAACCCTGAGTCATTATGAGACGCGGGGCATGATCGACGAAAAACGCCTCGAGCACATGCTCGCCGCCGGAAAGCAGATCTTGTATAAGACTCACCAAGAAAGCGAAGTCCGGTATGTAGTGAAAGGGATTTGCATATATTTATGATCATATTACCAACTATTTCTTCCATAGAAACAACCTTGGCATGTCGCCGGACATCTGGCAAGGCCTCACAGATGTCCTTACAAAGGCGATTCCCGTTCTCGAATCTCAGTCGTTTGCCTGGAAAAGCCCGGCCGCCAGTTACGAGCACTCTTCGTCCAATCTCATTGCCTTCAACTATTTTTCTCTGGTCAAGGATATCGAACGTCTGAATGATTTGTGTACCATCGCCCGGAACTTATTGGCAACAACCAAAAAAGCGCAGAACCTTGCTGCGGAGAAAGGATTCGACCAGAGGATTCTTGCACTGATCGATACCTGTGTACGTGTGACGGCGCGCGGCTTCGACGGCGAAACAAATGCTCGAAATGAAGAACGCTGGCAGAAAGTAGTCAACCTTTACAAACGCTTGTTGATCACCTGCCTGCAATATCTTCACAACTTTATCATGCACAACGAGCAGCGAAAGATGGTTCTCTGGCTTGATCTATTCGGATACCACTCCACGGCTGACACGAATATCATCAAGCCGAAGGAAGCTCTGGATCCCACTGCCCGTATCGAGGGTGTTGCACCTATTGTTCGAGTTGGCGAGCGTGTCATCAACCCGCCTATCCGGGCACTCTATGATCAAACTGCGGAAGACCTCCTGCTGGAGACTATAGCGAAGTTTCCACGAGAGCCTTCTACGATCAAGGAAGAGGCTGCCATGTTGCTCCTTGCTAACATCAAAGACCACATGGAAAAGATCCTCGGCCGGGACCTCTCTGATATTCAAGAGATGGGTAGAGACCCCGAGCAGGTCAAGTACATCCGTGCTGCACTGACTTCCATCTTGGGAGCTAAGGTTGATGGGTGGTCTGATCTTCAAGACCGGGCCCGTGAACTGCCTCCTGCTCTTCCGGAAGAGGAAGACCAGGAGCCCACCAAGAAGAAGAACATTCTCACCATCGATCGCAGCTTGACTGCTGGCTTCCCACGGCTGTGCTGGGCGGACTTGCCTGAAGTGAATGACTACTCCGTCGATGCGTCCGTGAGCGAAGAGGACACCAGCATGCCTCGGTCCGCTCAATCGGCGGCCGAGACTCTGCAAGATGCTAAGGACGAATTGATGGCCCGACTCCAAGAGTCATCCCAAATGGGTGACGCCGATGGCGATTATGATGCTGCCGACTCCGGGACGGTGGAAGGCGATGATGCCCACAGCCTGGAAGGCCATGCTGATGGAAGCATCGAGGGAGATGAAGAGGACGATGGCGATGATGTGGACGGAGCCGATGATTCTGCGGATGTGGATGACGAGGAAGACGATGATGACTACCATGGCCGTCCTGGTGATCAACAGCGTGGCCTACTGACCGATATTCCCCTTGTCCTGGGTCCGGCAGAAATTGAGGCTCTTCCCATGATTGTCCAAGCCGGAATTGTCGACAGCTTCGGGCTCAAGGGTGGAGAGCGCAACGGTTCGCGGAACATGCAAGCTCTCCGGTGCCACATCCTGCTCACACAGGAAACTGGTCGTAACCTGCTGCGCGAACTTCTGATTTTCATTGCAGCATGGGATCTTCCCGATGATGAGCTTTATTTCAAGATGATGGTCCAAATCATGGAGGCGGTGCTTCGTAATGGGCTGATGTCCCACGCATACTCTGATTTCGGTCAACAGAAGGATATCATCTCCCCAGCACAGGCTGTGGTCATCAAGATCCTCACGCACATCTTCCGAGCCAAGTACTCGCCTGCTTCTGTGACCGGCTCAACTCAGAACAGCGTCCCTCGCAACCCGTCGCCTCTCAGCCGCGTGGATATTCTCACTGTTCGATACATCTTCACCATCTTCCGTGGCAACATCATCCCTGAGACCTGTGCATTGATCTACCTGCAAGGCCAGATCCGCGCCGAGCGTGCCCTACCGGAAGACTTCCCGCTGAACCTTTGGGATATGGAGCGTGTATACGAGGGTGTTTACCAATTCCTCGAGTTCTTCGCCGTTCTTACCGAAAACAACGACTGGAAGAACCTGCTCGTGCAATGGGAGATTGTCTACGACCTGGTGACCCTCATCAAGGAATTGGAGGCCAGCATCCCCAAGGGCCAGCTCAACAACCTGCCGTTCGGCCCTGTTCCGCCACCTCCCCCGCCGCCTGCCACCTCTTCCCCTGATATTCGATCGGCCTCTCCGGCACCTGTGGCCGTTGAGCGTCCCTACGATCCGACCGATCCCGACCCAATTGACGACGCTGGCAGTGTCGACTCTCGCCCGGAATCCCCGCCGATCACCGAAGACCCATCCGAGTTCGAATGGCGCAATCTGAAGAAGCTTGTTGTTCTCGTCCTTTCCTCGTTGGTCTGGAAATGCCCTGAAGTCCAGGAGCAGATTCGTCGCAATGGTGGTGTTGAGGCTATTCTCTGCTGCACAGCCTTCGATGCCCACAACCCTTATATTAAAGAGCACGCGGTAATGTGCTTGAAATTCTTGCTTGAAGGCAACCGCGAGAATCAACGACTCGTTGAGGAGCTCGAGGCTCGCGAGGTTGTCAAGGATGATGGTGGTGTTCTGGAGCGCAGTGGCTACGAGGCCATGATTGATCAAGCTGGCAAGCTTTCCATCAAGCCGAAGGATGAAAGCTAGTTGGTGCCAATTTACGATACGATGGGATACCCCTTGAAGCATCTAGCGACTACTCATTTCTGAACCAGCGAAATAAAAATTTGGTGTTCAAGTATCAGGATGGCAATGTTGTGATTCGTAGCTCCGTAGAAATGATCCTACGGGAGAAATACTACAACCTGCCATGCCCACCATCATTTCATGTGATCTAAGAAGATCTCATGCATGGAATGGGGCTATCAACAAAGCAAATCGCTTGGAGGGTAAAAAAAGGTATTCGCATCGAGCATGCATAAATCCCGTCATCATTATTCGAAATTGTCGTAACCTCATGAACCCTGCCACGCTCAGAATCCCCATCGTCCCCGTAAATGCATCAACCTCAACGCCTGTGCACCTTCAACACCGGGAGGTTGAATGCAGAAGCCATTCAACCGTACATACCATCCCACTCCTCCTCGTCATCCTCGGCCACAAGCTGCTCGCGTACCTGGGCCCGGTCACGGTGCTGCTGGGCGAAATCGAAGCGGTCAAGAGGGCAAGTACCGCGCAGTCGCAACCATGGACGGACGCACTCGAGATCGAAGATGTGATCTGGGTGGCAGGGCAGTCGAACGACAAGAGGGTACTCGTCATCAAGGAAAGGGTTGTTGCAAATTGGGCAAATCTGATCAGGCTTGAGAGCAGACTTGGGAACCCGATCCAGCACTAAAGGGATGATGCGTCTGGTTAATTGCAACACTACAACGGGGGGACCCGAATGATACTCACTATCGCAGAATTCGTCGCTCACGCCCTCAACCTCACGCGGTGGCATTTCGCCGCCATTGACCAGGTTTTCGATCATGCTTTCGAGAAGATCATGAGCCATGCCACTGTCGGTCTCGTCTTGCTCGTCCAACTCATCCGCGTGGCGGCGCATCTCTCTGAAAACCTGGGCGAGCTGGAAAAAGGCGGTGCTGACATCGGTAGGAGTGGGGACAGCATGGGGACGGTTACGCTGGTCGGAGCCGGCACTGATCTCGTCGAGGGTAGAGAAGAAGGACGAAGTGTCGGGTCGGCGAGAACGAGGGGGAGAGGTGTTCGCAGCAGGATCCTCAGTCCCGTGCTCAACTGGTGGATGGAGTAGTTTAGGACGCGCTCTCACATTCCGCATCCTATCGTGGGAAGAGGAACTCTTACCTTCGTAGGTGGACATGGTCGCGGTTGGTAGGTTGGAGAATAAGAGGGGAAGCGAGTCGTGCGGGGAGATCCCCGTTAGCTTGTCGTGACACGGGCTGGTGTCCTTGTTGCACGCGAGATAAAAGAGGATGGGAGGGCGAGATTCGAAGAAATTGAGGGTTGAAGGAAGGGGAGTTGGAGATGTCGAACTGAATGGGAGGATTAAGAAGTGAAAACAATTCGACCCGAGGCAGCAGCGCGATAACGCGGCGCGGAGACGTTATCACCCGTGACCGCAGGCTCCACTCCAATTGTCCAAGGAGAAGGTGCGACCTTGTGCACGTGACCTGCTAGGTCTTTTGCACGGCCACGAGCTGAAGAGCCAGCAATTTATTCCGAAAATTGGGATATTTTGGCGAAAAGTTTACGATTTTTAGACAAGCAGATGGTAACCAGGTACAACCGAATAAATATTGACGTTTTTCTGAGCTTAGCATCACCCCTAACCATCGGATAGCTTCAGGGGCTGTTGTTGACCAACAATCACTCGAAATGCTTCAATTCTGAAAATTTGAAAGTTCAAGAGAGAATCGCTTCGTGTTTTGCTTCGAGCATCGAGGTGGAAAATAGAGGGCTGGACTCTGGCTTTTTATATTCGAATGATTGATGCTACGGCTACTCGGCTTTCCAAAATATATTTAGATGCAGGATAGTGTGACGTGAGGTCTGGAAGCAATATAAACGATGCTCAGATCACAATAGCATCGAACGAAACTGCCGGAAACAACCATATGTGCGTCACATGTGATCATTGATCCATGCCCCCCTCCCCCTTCTTTTTCTTTCCCACAGCCTTGAGCGAAGCCAATTGATCATGATCCTGCAAGCAGGACGTGACAGCGCATTGTCACATAAGGCGTTTTCAATCAATTTGAGTGGAGTGGTTGGAATTGATGGAATACTGGCAAGATGCTGCATGCCATTTGGCAAAGATATCTAGATACACACGTCCAGAGTCATGGTTGCCGTCTTCTCACTTGCTTTCAACCTTTCCCAGGGCTGGAAGTCCACTCAGAGCAGTGCTTGCTACCAACCAAGCCGGGTCATCAGGATAAAACTGACTCCAAAGATAAGCCCAGGTAAGTCGCTGCGTGACACCCAACCGCTCAGGCGACTCATCATCGGTGGCCTCAGCAGTATCATAACCAGACACTCCACCAAGGCCATGATATCCACCTGCAAGCGTGAGCAGCGACTTCGCGCCCTTGCTGCTGTGATACGCGTCCGCATGATAAGCAGCACCACGAGTCGTTAGGAAAGGCGATCCATCGTTCTCGCCAATAACTACTAGAGCAGGAGTGCTCATTTCCGCGTGAGTGTGCTCCGTGAGGAACGTCCAATTTTCCTTGACGCGATCGCTCATCCCGTCGCCTCCCCGCCCATCACCCGGTGCAGCCAATAAAACACCAGTCTTGATGCGTGGTTCGATGAGATCGACCAGAGGAGCATCCGGCGAATCCCTCGTACGAGCCCCCATGAGCATGCTTGCCGTGTGCCCGCCCATCGAATGCCCAGCAACTGCGACCCGGCTGTGGTCTAGACGTCCTTGGATCTGAGGGAAAGCCGACTCAATATTATCGAGTTGATCGAAAATGAGCTTCATATCTTGGGCACGGGACCGCCAGAACATGGGACCATCGCCAGGGACTGCATCATTGTCGAGACTGAGGGACATGGAGCTGAGATGGGTAGGCTGTATGACGACGAAGCCGTGTGCAGCCCAGAAATTGGCGATTGGGCCATAACCGTTCAGGGAAGAGAGGTGGTTTGATTTACCCTGTCCATGGGAGAAGAGAATAATCGGCAGATTTGTGCCAGTTGTTGGGGCTGAGACTCGGAGGTGCAAATCGATGATGCGATCCGGGGCTTCCAAGACAATGGGGCTTATGGAGATTACGGGAGTCGGGTCATTAACGGGGATCTTCGCGGCATCACCTATGAAGGTATGATCTTTCATGTTGGATAGACGAGAGGAGGAACTCTGAGTGGCAGTCATTGCGATAAATCTGCTTTCGGAAGTTGCTGCTTGATTTGGAGGCGTGTTTGGCCGGCCTGATAGTTGACGATCTCAATGATGGTAATGATACAACGGGCCTCCTGAGCGCCCTTCGAATGTATTATATTAAACTATTGCAACAGTCATCGGAATCAAACAGAAAAAGGATATATTGCTACTTGTTCTGATTTCAAAGCGACGTGGAGATAATCTTTAACAGCGGAACGTGAGAATCGGCCCATGCGGGATTAGCGTGGCTCCAAAACCCGACCAACGATATCAGGCTCCGACACGGGCTTACTTCGTCTTATACTAGAGCGATTAAAAGCTAGCAATGGAGCTAAGGTAGCTTAAGCGTTGTGAACAATCTGACAGCTTCGTCATTACTTGAACGGTCCTCGGCTTTAAGCGATCTGTTCGGATCCGGAGACACAATCTCCAGCCTCAGCAGGATCGGGCCATTTTGATTATGAGCTAACTGAATCTCAATATTACATATAGAAATTGATTCCAAAACAAATGTGCACGCTCATTCCAAGCTTCTGCAGATTGAGCTCCATCAAAGAACTTGAAGGTTGATAAAAGGAACATCCGTGAATCCTTCCAGCATGGTGTATGTGATGTTGTAGAAGATAAATTCGTTAACTTCTTGGTCCGTATTGTAGTAAATGGTGTAGTTCGGTGAGGCATTTGTCGTAACCTTCAGATCCAATCCCGGAAGGTCTTCCAATCCTGTAACATTAAGCCCGTGGCTGATTCCAATTCCACTGAAGATGAAGTTAAAAGAAATCGGCCCATTTGCAGCCGTGGCATTAGGATAGGATATGTGGAGGGACTTCTTGGAGGCAACGGCATCTATCGATGATTCTGTGACCCAGTGTGTAACACAGCCAACTTGGTAGTCGTCGATAGCCCATTGGATAAGAGCAGGACTGAAGGCACTGCTGCTCTTCGCAGGTCCTCCGATAACATGCTCTGCGACCGTTTCCGCACCGATGGTCAAGTTTTCAGATACCCAAGTTGTAATATTCCGAGAGTAGGTGTCAAAAGGCGGAGAGTATACCTTGGCTGTAAAGAAATGATCACCGGGGAATTTGATCAAACTCGCCTTCGACTGCGGGGACAGGTACTTGAGCATCTCAGGCATGGCGAGAGCAAAAAGAGGATAAAAGGCAAAGTCTTCTTGGTGATACATTCCCGTAATCTGTCGAGGGAATGGGGCATGCTCCCTTCCAACGGCACCCCAGATAACTGCAGCCACGAGAGATGCGTAAGATTTCATGTTGTAGCCGTACGTACGGTCCCATGGACCAGCCACATTCTTGAGATTCGCATTATAGAGCTGAGCGAGCTCGTTCCAGCTGGCTGTGAGGATTTCTGGTGCATATTTTCTGAGCAAACTCCCCTCGCTTCCATACTGGCCCCATAAGGCCAAGGCCCACATCGCAACGCCAGCGTAGGTGGGTGAATTGAATTCCGACAGCGTGTGATGCATACTCCAAAGATCGTACAGCTCCTGAGCAAAATGTTCGCCAGCCTGAGTCAGGTTCTTGTCGCCAAGTCGATGACCGACCCAATCCTGGAGAATTGTTCGCATGATCCAAGGGTTGGAATAGCATGGGTACAGATTATCGCCATCGATACCACCGACACGGTAAAGATCGCCCTTAGCTGCAATGTGAAGCGAACGCTCTATCTTCGATACTGTTTTCTCGGGAAGGAGATGCTCGTAGTCGTTCAGGGCGATGATCCAGGCACAGCCGACAAAATCGCGGATATTTGGGTCCCACTAGTATCAGCTCGTTAGCCAGGTACAATACGCTTTCGTCGTTGAGATGTTACCGAGCTGTACGGGCCCTCATTTGGATACTCAGAGGTACCTGGCTGGGGCTCGGACGGTGACTGCTGGTAGTCACCATACCATTGCTTCGACGGGTCAAGGTACTGGCCCGCAACGACATTATCGAAGATGCGAATGGCCCTAGAAACGTCCCCTGGCCCATTTCGTGCTAGTAGTTGAGTCGCATACCAGGCGCTGTGTCGTGAATCATAACGGCCGGCTCCGCTTGAAGATGCGATCAGATAACCAGCTTCATCGTCCCAATAAGCATCATTCCATTCAATCGCTGTCGTGAACATATCATTAGCGTAGGTCGAGTTGGACGCAGCTCGTGACGTGTGGGTTGGCACAGCCGAGGTTCTGCCGGTGAGGTGGACAATGCTGATTCCAAGTAAAGTAAAGGAGAGCTTCATGTTTGCGGAGCTGTTTCGAGGCGGCCCGCGACAGTGCTCTCTCCATGTGCGCCTGAGAAGAGCGGCCGCCTGACGACTATATACAAATTGTTTCTCCGCATTATTCCCGGCTCACGAGGCCTAATCTCTCAGACAGGAGGGGCATATCCAAGTAATGTTCTCCCATCGACGCGATAGGACCTCTTTCACTGCCGAAGATTGGCCGCGACAATAGATAGCCTGCTCGGCCATTTCGCCGCTTTTTCCGGACCGGATAGCGATTTACCCTCGCAACTGGCACCCCCTACTTCCAGAGGGGTTCTCCACAAATCAAAACACTAGAAAGCCTGAAGATTGCTTCATTAGCTTATCTAATAGCCTTGGCACTAACACAGATGCAGAAGGGAGACTATCTGCGATCGCCGTATTTCGCCGGGTTTGCCGGTTCTCTGCTCCCCCATTTCAACTAGCGAACGAGACTATCTTCAAGAGGATGTTTGCCGACGGTAGCTCGACAAAGTTATGCCATAATTGCAGATCGCCGATAAATTCCACCTATGGAAGGGAGGTATACTCTGCTGTACCCCGCGTTCCATCGGCCTAGTATTGTGGGGAAGAGTGATCATAGCTTCACCGATGTAGATAAACGTCTTCGGACCGACACTAGTGGGAATGACCGGGTAGATGACCGAAAATATGGCTATCACTGAGATAGAAAAGCCCAAGTAAGTAGAAAGCGGATGAAAGAAAAGGCAGGTAGTGATTCGTGTGACTGCGTCAAGCACGCCACCAAAATGAATTAATAATACCGTCGAAACCTTGCTGACGAGAGCTCCTTCCCATCTTCCCGTCAACCTTGCCAATGTCAGTTCACAACTACGAGAAGCTAGCATTCAGCTATGCCTTCCATTTTCATAGGTAGTGTTCCGTGGCATGATGGCGAAGAGAAAGTGCATCAGCTACTTCGGGTTCCTCTTCCGGATAACCCGACAGTGCCGGGCTTGAGTCCCAACGGCGCCAACTTCCTACGAACAGCTCCTCTTATGGCAGTGGGCACAATTGATTCGCAAGGCCGACCGTGGACGACGCTCTGGGGCGGAAAATCTGGCTTCGCAGAGCCAGTAGGCCAGTCAATGATCAGACTTCGGACACAGGTCGACAACACCTATGATCCAGTGGCCAAGATGCTCTTCAAGGACCAGCCAGATGAAGACGATGGCGGAATCTTCAACGAAACACAGAAAATGATTTCTGGACTCGCTATTGATCTCGAGCAACGACGGAGATGGAAGCTCTTCGGGCGGATGGTGGCGGGGACCCTCACTGTCGACAGGCCAGGACAAGCGGACGTGGTCGTCAAGATCGAGGAGAGCCTGGGAAACTGTCCAAAATACCTGAACAAAAGACATATTGTGCCCGCCGAGTCCAAGCCAAAGCTAGTTTCCGACTCGCCACAACTGACACCTGCAGCGATCAAGCTTATATCTCGTGCCAACACAATCTTCGTCTCCTCGCGGCACGATGCTATCAATATGGACACGAATATCCGTGGGGGACCTCCAGGGTTCGTGCGAGTCGAGTCCAACACTACAAAGGGTGCCGTGCTGCTTTACCCAGAATATTCGGGGAATCGACTCTACCAAACGCTTGGCAATCTGCAGACGACGCCTCTGGCGGGCTATGTGATTCCCGACTTCGACTCTGGTGACGTCCTCTACGTGACGGGGCATACTGAGATCCTCGCCGGCAAAGACGCTGCCGCTGTTCTACCGCGATCAAACCTAGCTGTCCGTCTGACGCTGACAGTCGCGATCTTCGTGGAGAATGGACTGGCTTTTCGCGGTGAAACCGGGGAGCCATCTCCATATAACCCGGCAGTGCGATATCTCCCAACTGAAAGAAGCCCTATTAGTGCCGAGAATTCGAGTAGAACAGACATGTCTGCGACTTTGATCAAGAAGGAAGTTCTCACGCCGAACATCAACCGGTTTCGGTTCCGCGTCTCCAGCTCCAAACCACTCACATGGACCCCAGGGCAGTACGCGACAATGTCCTTCAAAGACGAGCTAGATATGGGATATAGTCACATGCGAGACGATGACCCCACCAGCCTGAACGACGACTACGTACGAACATTCACCGTCTCGTCGTACCCCGGCCGCGAGCTTCCAGCCAACGAGTTCGAACTGATGATTCGCCGACACGGCAATGTTACGGACCACCTCTTTCGCACAAACGAGCGCGCCGGACTAGAAGCGCCACTAAAAGGCTTTGGAGGCAGCTTCCGTCTGTCCACCGACGATGGATCGATCGTACCGTTCGTGGCGGGAGGCATTGGGATTACGCCGTTCCTGGCGCAGCTTCCCGACCTCGAGTTTTCGCTCGTCCGCCTTTTCTGGTCCGTGTCAAGTGAGGATCTTGGGTTGGTCTATGATACATTTCAGCGCTGGCCGCGACTTTTTGCATCCACAACGTTGTTCATCACGGGGGGTAGTGCGCCGTCGGATGCGAACCGGCCGATGTGGGATGCGATCGCGGGATCGGACGCGCAGGTGCACCGGCGCAGGATGGGAGCGGCTGATCTAGAAGAGGCAAAACAGGTGGCCCAGCGGTGGTACCTGTGTGCCGGCATTAAACTGAAACAGAGCGTGTTAGGGTGGCTGGTGGGGAAGGACGTGGTGTATGAGGACTTTGATTATTAGGCTAGGGCCTAGACCCCAAGCCTTGCTTGTGACATTATAGCAGACTGACAGCGACCATCGTAGTTCCAGTGATAGTATGCAATTCCATGGTCAACTTTCAGGATGCATTGATTGCCATTTCAATTCAATTCAAATTATCTGAGTTCTGATCTTCCACCCAGCAACACCGCCTAGCAACACAGCCTGGATATTAATAGCCGCCATGACGCACGCCCCCAACGTGTCAAGTGGAGCGCCGATCATGTTTACTCGTACAAATACTTCTCCGCAAGGGCTGCCACTTCCTCTCCATCATCCACCATGCGGTCCACCTCCGTCAAGCCCTCCGCATACCCTGCGCTGCCCTTCCATATCATTCGGGCAGTCGGGTTCCTCTCGTCCGTCGTCGTCGGCATCATCCTCGCCGTGTTCATCTACCACCTCCACGCCGACGGGTACAAACTACCCTTCGCCTTTCTGATCGTAAGGCCCCCCACAACGAACCAGCACCAGAAAGCCACCTGGACGAACCCAAGAAGACGAAAACTAACACTTTAAATGACCAGTGTCTCGTAACCGCCCTCTTCACCATCCTCAATGTCACCTTCACAGGAGTCATCAACTGCAGCTGCGGCCTCTCGCCCAAACTCTCCATCATCCTCAACATGCTCCTCCTGATCCTCTGGCTACTCTCCCTCGCCCTGCTGAGCTACAGCATGTCCAGCACAATCCTCACAAAATGCGGAACCGAATATTGGGGCAACTCAACCGGCATCTCCGTATGCCGCAGCTACAAGGCCCTCTTCGTCTTCACCATCCTCGGAACGGCCTCCTACATTGCCTCCATCGCACTGGACTTCACCGTGCGCCGTCGCCAGAACCGTCTCGGTGAATACAACCCCATGGGCAGCCATCTCATGCCAGGCGAGGACCCCTTTGATGTTAAACTGGCCGATCGTAATAGCGAAACCCTTTCCTACGACCACGTTCCACCCCCAATGACCGGCGCCCAGCACGCTACGCCGTATGCGCATTCCTTCGAGCGCGGACATGCGGATGAGTCGGAGATGTTCTACGATACTGCGCCGGCGAGAAGTGGACAGGCGGGTCCGCGGGTGCGATTTAGCGCGTATGATCAGGGTGGATATCGGCATCCCGCTGAGCAGACCGGTTACGACCCTGCGGCGTACCGCTAAAGGCTCAATTTGAACCTTCTAAACGATGGAACGATGGATGATGACTTTGTTGATATCTTTTCATTGGGATCTTTTTGGGCCAGCGGGTTTTGGTATATCTTTCATTTTTGACATCTCATGCTGGATTTTATGGCTTTGGGCTTGTTTATTTTTGTTGTCTCGGACGGTTGATGCTCGTTCAAGTCTACTGCATGGGCACGGCGTTACGAGGATGGCAAAATTGCTCTCTGACGATAGGTATGAACACTCGAGATCTTGATTCAGAGTTGGTAGATAGATCGATTATTTCTAGGATCACTCGCCGGGCAGCTGGCGCTATAACAATCACAGTCACAATTTCAACCATATAATGATCAAACAGAGCCGTAATTTCAAATGTAGTCACCGATTGCTTGCGTCTAATTTCAGTCCGAGTCATTTATTCGGCGAGCAACTGCCTCTAGCAGAGAAAACAAATGGCCACACAGAAAGGAAAGAAAAACTATTATGACGCTTCATATTGACAAGATGTGGGTGGTATTTTGACGCAGAAACGAAAGACCAAATTCGTAGGCAAGAGAAAGCGTGTTACATAATGACCTCGTTGGCGACATCCTAGATAGAAAGTTAGTAAAAACAGGGACCAAGGGCTAGATGTGGGGAGGGGGAACACATACTCGCTTGAGCTCCTTGTAGGGAAGGCAGACGCAGTTCTGCACACGGACCTCATCGCCGACACTGCACTCCTTACCAAGGATAGTGATACTCTGGACCTTGACGCCCTGCTTCACGATGCTGGTGGAGTGGCTGCCAATGGGGATGGGAGTTCCCTCCACACGAGCCCAGGCACCGACACGGCCGCTCCAGCCAATGATCGAGTGCATCACGCAGGCATCGTGGCGGATCTCTGCATCCTCCAAAACGATAGAGTCCTTAACACGAGCGCCAGCGCCAATGACAGCACGGGGTCCAATGGACACGTTCGGGCCAAGCTTAGCGGTGGGGTCGACCTCAGCAGTAGGGTGGATGAAGACGGGGGGCACAATGGTGGCAGAGGGTGGGGTGAGCTCCTCGGACTGGGCCTGGAAGGCCTTCTGGAGGTAAAGGGCGTTGGCAGGGACGGCCGAACCTGCGGTCTTGATTTGACGCCAGAAATCCTTAGTTTCGTGGACAAAGAAGCGGTTGCTGTCGGCCAAGTCGGAGAGAATATCTTGCTCGAGGCGGAGGACTTCGCTCTTCTCGGCATCTTCGTCGTCTCCCGCGGCGGCGACAAAGGATGACTCGAGGTTATCGGAGGAGGGGTAGGAGAAGATGCGCGGCCGGGTAGTGCGACGCTTAATCGCACTGCGAATGGCCGGGAAGATGCACTCGGTGGCGAACAGGTAGACACCGCAGTTGATGAGGTTAGAAATGTGGGATTCGGGTTTCTCGACATAGTGAAGAACACGCTTGGTGTGCGAGTCCGAAACAATGCAACCGAAGTTGCTGGCGGCGTCGTTGCTAACTCGTGTACCAAGAATCACAGCCTCCGCATCCTTCTCCTCGAACAGGCGCAGCATCTCCCCCAGAGGGAATGAGCAGCAGACATCGGCATTGAGGACAAGCAGGCGCTCAGGCTTGCCCTTCAGAATCGCATCGCGGAAGTGGTACAGTCCACCTGCAGTTCCTAGCGCGGTGTACTCCCGCAGGTACTGCATGCGGAACTGGGGAAACTCCTTCGCGGAATCCTTCAGGAAGTCACGGAAGACCGACTCGTCATAATATCCGACCAGGATAACCTCACGAACATCGGGGACCTTGGCGATCGCCTTCAGGCAGTGGTGGATGATTGGGTGGCCGGCGACTTCGAACAGGGGCTAGGATCGGGGGGTTTTGGTCAGATTTCTTCCGGCGCAACGCAACAAATGGGTAGTAATCTGGGAAAAGTACATACTTTGGGAACATCGAGGGACAATGGGCGAAATCGAGTGCCTCGCGAGGGGCCTCCGACCTGTTGACTTGTCAGTTGTGTCGTGGCGGGGGGAGCATTGCGTCACTTACCAGAATCACGGCCTTGGTGGAGGCCTGGCTGGACTGATCCCGAATTGGTACTTGGAGCATGGTGACCGAGCGAGAGGAGATATATCGAGGAGAGCTGAGGAGAGAAAAGCAACGCTGGCCTCTGGGAAGCTTGAAGTGGCCGGATTGGTCGCCCACCAGCGGCGAGCGCCAAGCCGGCGGTGGGGCCGGATGCCACCTGACTGTAAACAAGAACTAGAACTACTGCTAGTGACAAAGAGAACCATACTGTACAGTAATATTCGAAACTAGATTTACCACTACACTCTTTGACATTAACTCCCGTACCCTAACCTAAACACGCTAATCAAGTTAGAGTATAGCCGTCGATCCCCTAGATCCATGAATAGATCTTGTATCTTACGCAACGCAGTGGAGCGGTGCTGGTTGTAATATACGTGAAATTGCTATGCACGTATGCTCTTCTCTGGCTTTTTCCCAGCAAGAGCCTTGTCTCTTCCTCATGATTTTTTGAGTGACACCTAATGTGAAACTCACAATATGGTTCCGAGACTTCCCCCTCAAAGTTGCATCTCATCCGTGATATGATCGAGAGCCAGTCATTAACCACATCTCAAATGGCGGAAGAAGTCGAGTGCAGCAAAGTCACGATAATAAATATTCGCAAGAACTTGCGGCAATTCGGAAGCGTCCACGCACCCAAACTCGAATAGGCCGGAGACCGACAGAAACCCCACTAATAATCGAAGCGCTTTGTGATCACTTATCTGCGAAGCCAGGTCTGTACCTCGATGAGATAGCCGTTGTCCTATAGGATGAGTTCCACGCTATGGTTATAACCTCAATTATCAGAAGGGCCCTGATAGCCAAAAGTTGATCTAAAAAGACGGCCCGGCAGCATGCTAGAGAGCGAAACGCCGATTTGCGAGAACTATATCTACACAACTTATCAGAGTTCCAGTAATATCACCTAGTCTAGGTTGATGAGTCTGGATGCGATAAGAGAGTTAGGTTCAGGTGGACGGGCTAGACACTGCTTAGTATAGTATCGTCGTAGGTATCGCAGTTTCGTCGTGACCAGCGATACTAGATACTACTGGCGTACACCTAGGACGGTGTCCTACTTTCGCGTGTTTTCTGCGGTGCAATAGATGCCGTTACATTTGCAGACATTTTATATTAGCTAATTTAACATTGCGGAAGATGGTCGGACCCTAAATCTGTTGTGGTCATGGATAATGCCTAATTTTATCACTCGGAAGGTGTCTCGCAGATGCGCGAGGACACGCGAGTGAAACTAGTCTATCTACCACCCTGTTCGCCGGAATTGAATCCGATGGAGGAATTCTTTGCTGAGCTAAAAGCCTTAATTAAACGTAATTAGAGTTACTTTGAAGCGGATCACGATCAAGGATTTGATGTCTTTCTCACATGATGTATTGACGTTGTCGGTGCAAGGCAAGGAAGTGCGAAAGGCCAATTTCGACAATTTCGACATGCAGGCTTAAAGATCAAAGAACTCCCAGGATTCTAGATATGGTCTCGGTTGAGGAGCTTTCCAATGCACGCTCCTTACATGACAAATGAAGATTCGCAAACTATTTACTCTTTAAACCAAGGGTCATCAAGAACTTGTCTCGCGGACGCTCTTGCAGATGGTTCAAAATTCAGTAGCTTTGCAATGATTTCTAGATCATCAGTTTATTCCTGCCCCCTATATCAGGAATATTGTGAAGCATATACATCCGCGAAATGAAAGAAGTACTTCTTGCGCAGGGCGTCGTCGCTGTTGTAGATCTTTAGCAGGTGGTTTACGTAGTAGATCGCTCGATCGGTCGCCTGTTTTCGAGTTCGAGACGGTTGATTTGGTCTAGTGTGTAGATATCCGTGTGCTCGTCTAGGGGAGGCTGCTGACTGGGGACTGTGATGAAGGTTGGGACCAGGAGGGCGTCGTCGAGGGAGGGAGTGGGCGATTGTAGTTGTGTTTGACACTGGGGATATCATGTTGGGAGTTACGGGGATAGTTTAATTAAATTTTATAGTTTGTTGGGGTTTTAGGGATTTTACATGTCGGTATGGTCCAGGGCGATGTTTCATACGAGGATGTGTAGCCAGTGGTGGATCATATTCATGGATAAGTGCTGCATTGCGCCCTATACTTGAAGATTACCACAACTGAATCCCAGCTTTTGTATGTTCTCTAATCACCTTCCGTTTTTGCTCGTTCTGCTTGTAGCTACCCGGGACACATGGAAGACTATTATGCTGCTGATTACTAGTCCAAGGAATGTAAAATGATGCTTGTACCCTGTTATTGGCTTTCAAGAGATAACATAACCGGGGTCAGTGGCCAGGCAAATTATATCCAGTCAAAGTTAACATGAGCATCGTACAGTTGCCCCGACGTCCGTGAAATCCAATTATCCGAATCTCGGTTATCCCTGCCTGTCTCCTGTAACGCAGTAATTCTGATAAATTCCGGTTCAGTACCAGGTGGAGTGTTCCAAACCTCATCGCTATCCGGCATACAGAAGTCGAGGTCTACTAGAGTCAGAAGCTCTCTTCTCAATCCAGTGCCAGTAACACTGTCTCCTTCAACTGCCTCAGTCGGCTCACAAGGTTGAGAGCAAAGGCGGCATAATTTATATAACGCTAAGCCGAAACGCTTCACCTCCTCTACACTCACCCATACGAGCGCGATTGGCGCAGAGGAGGCGTGTTGTGCGAGCATATTCGGATAGTGGAACAGGCCAAGTCGCCGGCAGGTTTGCACAAGCGAGGCGAGTAGTTCGTATTTTGGAGTTGGAAGTTGGAAACGAAAATCCAGACCAAAGGTATTCTCTTTTTTGCCGACCAGGAGAGCGAATATTAACTGCAGAAGGATACTCTGATAGGTTGCAATCGGCCAAGGTATGTAATTGTTGTTGCATGCCGTCGATTCCGATATATACCATTGAGACTATGTATCATGAACGACATCAGCAGTAAACCTTTATTTCTCCCTTTTGGAAACAGTTCAGGGGGCAGTCCGTACCCTTTGAGCTTGAATCGCAGAAAGCAATTTCCGATGGAAAGTCATCGCTCTGTCCTGGGCCACTTGGTCGCCTTTAATCCACAACCCAATCATGACCATTGATTGGAGGAGGATGCACGGTTCCTTTGGGGGCTTAAAGGTCCCCCAGTGCAATATTGGCCAAATCTGATGGAACTTTTCAAAGTAAATATCTAAAAGTCCTGACCGACCCACCGGGTCGTCTCAAGTACGGAAGTCGAATTCAAGTCCGTGTTGGGGAGAGTAAGTTGCTCATTAGGAGCGGCCATGTCCTGCGGAATAACACGTGAACAGGTAACTTTTCGTCGCTGACATCGATTGCAGGGGTATTCGCCGTCACAGCGTTCCTTTCGAGCATGGCAGACTTTACAAGCCCTTTGTGCGCGGGATGGCGGCGGATCTTTCTGTGGATGGTAGGTTCGGATATGACGACGTAAGAGATCGCTGGATGCTAGTTAGCCTTCGGGAAAACCGGCAGAGAATCTGGTTAATTTATATTCCTTCTAGCTAGGGTGCTGTCACAGTAGGGGCAAGACCAGCGCTGCCGTTGATCATGATGCGTCATGTGTCGGGTTAAGTGTTCCTTGCGTTGATAGACTGCATTGCAGCCCGGATGTTTGCATTTGAAAGAAGCCAAACGTGGAGTCATTGTATCCCATTCAATCTGCGATATGAGATGTGAGAGTTTGCTGAGAGGGAGGCCGGTAGCAAGCCGAACGATTGTGGTTTCCGAAAACTTTACTAAGCTCCGGCATCCCGCTCGGTCCCTCCCGCTTGGGAAACTAACTAGGGAGTAAATAATTTTCTAGTCTTATTTTTGATTTTTAGATTCTGGTCATATTTAGCTCGCGTCTGTTTGACAGAGTGTGTCTTAAACCTTGGTCGATAAAGCATAGCGGCAACAGATTCCTTCCACCATCTCGACTCATCAAGCATGTCCGCCAAAGAGCCAGTGTTGACCCGAAGTTATACGGCAGATGCAGAAGGCTACACTGCGCGGACAAATGAGCGAACAGTCACAAGGTTGCCGACTTTGGGCGATCATCCAGAATATGAGGACTTCTGGGAACCTGATGACCCCGAAAACCCTCAATGCTGGCCGTTATGGAGTAAGGGTGTCAGCGTCGTAACCATGAGCCTTGGAGCGACACGCCCGCCTCAATGAACGATATCGTCTCCGATCAGCATCGCGCTCTTGCATTTGGTATCTGGCCTATCGGACCTACAAATGGTCCCGTGTATGGCCCGATTATTGACGGCTTCGTCTTCGAGTACCTGAGCTGGAAGTGGACAAACTGGATTGTCTTGATTGTTGGCGGTGCGGTTCTTGGCTTAATGTGCTTCATTAAAGAAACGTATGCTCCGGTGATCCTCAGAAGGAGAGCTGCGAGGTTACGGAAACAGACGAGGGATCTCAGGTGGTGGACACGCTATGATGGGGGCGATTCTTGCTCTAAACGGCTTAAAGACGGTCTTAGTCGGCCGTTCGCTATGCTTGTGACTGAGCCGATCTGGTAAGTAACCTATCCCTCATTTAAGCGTCTATCTCATAGTATTAAACTAATTGTGATAATACAGCCTGTTTCGGGACGGCTATGTCGCGCTTGTTTATGGTGGTCTCTATTTGTGTTTTATCGCCTACCCCATCGCTTTCCAGACAGAGCGTGGCTGGTCCCCGGGAATCAGTGGTCCCCGCAAGGGGAAGACAAGCGCCCATAACACTGTGAAAGAACATATTCCCCGCAAGCGCGGACGCAGTGTAGATCCCGTACGACCGCGCCATATAATTGCTGGAATAAAATAAATAAATACACACGCATTACCCGCCCCAAATGGAATGCCGGACAAAATGGGCACAATCCAGTGAAAGTTCGGCGTGCAGGTCCAGGCGAACCATAACTGGCCAAAGGCGATTAAAATTGCACCGAGAATAACAACGCTGACCATCGCTTCTGGAGGGACCTCTCTAGTTTCAGGATCCTTGTGATGGGAATCAATGGCGCGGCGGAACAGAGGCTCGCATGCGATTGCTATCAACAACCCAGTTCCGATGCCGATGAAGGAGAGCCGGCGATGTATGCGACGCTGGGCCTGAACTTGGCCGGTACCTTGCTGGGTCTTGTGGAGTCGGTATGCATCTCAATTCCGGTTGTTCTCTATTTGTACGGGGAGAGGATTCGCAAGGAGAGTCCGATGATACAGGCAATGGAGAGAATGCAGGCGGCTTTATGAATGGTCTGCCCCAAGCTCCCCTATATTTTGGTGATCATCGGGGAGGCAGGAGTTTACCATAGGAACGTCAATTCTAAGCTGACTACTTGAAGCAGTACCTGTGAGAGTGTCTACTAGTTCGGTAGGAAGTAGTAATATACTTTTGACGTTCCAATCGGGCAGCGGGGTAAACCCCACCAGAGAGCCCTAAGCCCTAATATCCGGATTGGGAACCGCAGTGATGGATGGTGATGGGGGACAAAACATCGCCAGAAGTTTAGTAATTTCGGCAAGTGAGTAATTTATTCAGCCGATTATGTACGATCTTTCCAACTGGAATTATGCTGTAAATCCCATTATTTTTGATCTGCAAATGACTCATAGAGGGCGGCCTTTGTAGTTGCGCCCGACCCAATCAGACGCCCCCCGCCGTTGACGGCCGCCCAAAATTTCGCGCGCCCCTCCGTTCCATTCTCCCACCATCCACTCTCCGATCTCCTCGCAATCATCCATTATGACGGATTCCACCCCTGTGCAGGAGGCTGAGGCCTCCATGGCCAAGCTTCTGCTCGACGAGGTCACCGGCGAGAAGGTCTCCAAGACCGAATTGAAGAGGCGCCAGAAGTTGCGCGAGAAGGAAGCCAAGAAGAAGGAAAAGGAAGCTGCTGCTCCTCCCAAGCCCCAGGCTGCCAAGAAGTCCTCCGCTGAGGAGGAGGAGGCCAACCTGACCCCCAACGTGAGTAGTAGATGGTCCGATGAACACAATTCGTTGGCTAACTGGTCATGCGCTTCCCTCTAGCAATACTTCGAGATCCGCAGCAAGAGAATCGATAAGCTCCGCCAGACTCAGAGCCCCAACCCATACCCCCACAAGTTCCAGGTCAACACCGATCTGCGCGAATTCCTCAAGGACTACCAGGGTCTTGCCAAGGGCGAGCAGAAGCCTGATGTCGCCATTCAGCTTGCCGGCCGTATCTATACCAAGCGTTCGTCCGGTACCAAGCTTATCTTCTATGATCTCCGCGCCGAGGGCGTCAAGGTCCAGATCATGTGCCAGGCCCAGAACGCCACTGGCAGCGTGCCTTTCGAGGACCAGCACGAGCACATTCGCCGTGGTGATATCGTCGGTATTGTCGGTTTCCCCGGTCGTACCTCGCCCAAGAACCGCGACGATGGTGAGCTGTCCATCTTCGCCAAGGAGGTTATTCTGCTTTCCCCTTGCCTGCACGCCATTCCTTCCGAACACTACGGTTTCCAGGACAAGGAGCAGCGCTTCCGCCAGCGTTATCTCGATCTGATCATGAACGACCGTTCCCGCGACATCTTCCGCACCCGTGCCAAGATCGTCAGTTATATCCGTAACTTCCTTGATTCCCGCGACTTTATCGAGACCGAGACTCCTCAACTTAACCAGATTGCCGGGGGTGCCACCGCTAAGCCTTTCATCACCTACCACAACGATCTTCAGGAGGAACAGTACCTCCGTATCGCCCCTGAGCTTTACCTGAAGATGCTTATTGTTGGTGGTCTTGAGCGTGTGTATGAGCTTGGCCGTCAATTCCGTAACGAGGGTATTGATCTTACTCACAACCCTGAATTCACCACTTGCGAGTTCTACTGGGCCTACGCCGATATGTTCGACGTCATGAACCTGACCGAGGAGCTTGTCTCCGGCCTCGTTAAGCACATCACCGGTGGATATGAGACCACCTTCCACACTCAAACCGGAGAGACCTACAATGTGAACTGGAAGGCACCATGGCGCCGGGTGGAAATGATCCCCGCTCTGGAAGAGGCTACGGGCGAGAAGTTCCCCTCGGGTGACCAACTCCACACCAAGGAGACCAACGAGTTCCTCCAGAGGGTCTGCAAGAAGATGAACGTGGAGTGCACGCCCCCTCTCACCAACGCCCGTTTGCTCGACACTCTGGTTGGTGAGTTCATTGAGGAGACCTGCATCAACCCAACCTTCATCACCGGCCACCCCGAGATGATGTCGCCGCTTGCCAAGTACTCCCGTGATAAGCCCGGTCTCTGCGAGCGTTTCGAGGCCTTCGTCTGCAAGAAAGAGATTTGCAGTAAGTTTTTTTTTCTTTTTTTTTTTTTTCTATAACTTTCTCCTCCCATATTCCCTGCATACTCGGGAGATTGTTGTGCCACAGCTAACCCTTCAAAGATGCCTACACCGAGTTGAACGACCCCTTCACCCAAAGAGAGCGCTTCGAGGAGCAGGCCCGCCAGAAGGACCAGGGTGACGATGAGGCCCAACTTATCGACGAGAACTTCTGTACCTCTTTGGAATACGGTCTGCCCCCAACTGGTGGCTGGGGTATGGGTATTGACCGTCTGGTCATGTTCCTTACCGATAACTACAGCATCAAGGAGGTGCTCACATTCCCCATGATGAAGAATGACAAGACTGCTGCCACCGGCAAGTCTGTCCTTGAAGCCGCCGGCACCCAGCCCCAGCCTGAGGATGGCAACCGTATGTTACTAGTTTCTTGCAACTTCCATGAACCGATTTCACTAACGCTGAATCTCCAGCCCAATAACTGAACATGAAAATTGACGAATAAGGGGGGCCGTTGGCCTAGTTCCAATGTGTGACGATTGCTATGCATGCAACATATAAACAATGAAATTTCCATACGAGATGCATTAGCAAAAAATAGATATATATTTATTGCCTCGTCCTACTAACCGTAGCAGTCGCTGAGCGATACTTTATAGTGGTCGTAGCATACACTTCTAGGAGTACAAAAGATGAAGAGTAGAGCAACTGGATTGTGTCCGGAACGACCTCGAAAAGTTTATAGCCGCAGTGCAAAGACACCGGAACAGTGTATATGGTGAGTCTCCAAGTCGTAGGCAGAGTCTTAAGGGACAGGAGCTTATACTCCATGCATCTAGTTTAGCAGCACCGTCCTCATGATAACCGTCGTCCTCTCCTATTTCCTCTACACCTTAGAATTTACACTAATTTAATGTCTCTGAGCTTTATTTTTGACCGAGCACCGGAAAATTCGGGGGATGTGAGTGGAGAGCAGAGAGTATGGTTTGTGCCATGTCTGCTTCATTTGATATTTCGGGAAGGAACCCAAGGTTGAAATGCAACACCAAGCAACACATCTGCTACCACAACTTTAAACTGTCCTGTTCTAACATATCAAGGTCCAAAGTCATGGTATGCAACACTCTTTCAAGAGCAAGATGGAATGGTCTGGGAATAACCGATACGTATGTGCCTCACGTCTTTTCTAGGGATAGATAACGCCTTGAAGTTTGCTCAGAGTGAATGATCGGTAGGATGGGAGATTACACCTACGCGGCGGGGGCCTATCAGGCAGAAACGCGCCATCCCAAAGTGAGATGGAATCCTCCATGTCCTTGGGTTTCCCTAGAAATATAAGTAATTCATTTCTCCCACACTTACCTTTCTTCCTCTCCCCTACTACTTCACCTTCCGCCACGGCGGCATCCATCAACTTCTTTATTTTACATCCACCTTCGCACTATTTTTACTCTTTATTCTTCCATCATGGATCAAACACCCAAGTCCGGTAAGCCAACTCTTCCTGGAATGCAGGCGCTGGAAAATCTTGGGACCCTCTCTTACTCAAGCCCGCAAAATGGAGTTCGAACTCCAGTTCTGGATTCTCTTGATAACCCTCTCCGGACCCCGGATTCGCGTGGACCAGTCCTGCCGCCGCTCCATCTCGGCCCTATTGAGATGGAAGTTTCTCCTCGCGGACCGCCCAAGACCGTTCGTCAACCTTTCTCGCTGCCTCACTCTACTAAAGCTGACCGGACATCTAGTTTGCTGAGCTACCCCCCTCCTCCTCTGATTGACTATGTGAGTGTTCGATACCTAGCCTGACCACAGGGATTCAACGCTGACTCTTGTTTATTTCCCTAGGGAAACGAGAAAAGCGCATCACTTCCGCCGACTCCCATCACGGAGGGACGGTTCCGTCATCATGGCCATGCCACCCCGAGACAAGGAGGTAAGCTGAATATGCCAATATGGTTTACTATCATCACAGGCCTCATTTTCAAAGAGAAGACTAATGTTGCTCTCACAGGATACTGGGTACACAGACTAATCCAGAGCCCTATGCCGGCGCGCCAAAGCGAATCGATGCCACCCCCAGAGCCTGCCACGCCTCGCCCGACCAGCACCAAGAGAATTGCGTTCAAGACCCCCGAGCGAGCTGGAAGATGTGGCCCTGAGAGCCTTCGTACCCAATACCCTATCACGCCGAACCAGAGCCCATCAGTCACTAGCCCTCCCAACCCACCTCCCCTTCGGACCCTGCCCAAGCAGGTCATGCACTTTGACGAAGTCTCGGCGCACACGGCCAAGTGCGATACCTGCAACCTCCGCAATAACCAGGGAATGACTCGTTGCGGTGGATGCGGTTGGCAGCTTTGCCACAATTGCCGTCAGAAGCGTGGAGGTAACCTGAGCCACATGACATTCTCTGCTGAGCACACCGATGGGCAGAGAGGCCCGGCTGGCTCGCCGCTGCGACACGAGTACACACCTACAACACCCCAGGTAAGTATTCGCAACCTCCGACCTGCTTTTCTGCAGGCACGTGCGGCTGAAGCTCTGGTCGAGATGCAATCTTCTCCCGACTTGCAGGAGAGTCCGGCCTCGCCGTCCATGCCAATCGGCTCGGACATAGATACACCGACCCCGACCCCGGCAGCTCGCACCACCGGCCGAACTCGAAGCCGCTCCCACGACAGCGACGAGACTCTGTCCATGCCTGCGGCCGAGAATAACAAAGATGAGCTCGAGAACGAGAGTCTGCGCCTCTTCGAGGCTACTCGTCGCAATCCCCCTCGACGTGCTCGCTTGCAGCCTCGTTGCACTCAAAAGCTACGCCGCCTCGACCATTGAATGTATGGGACCATCTTGATCTACGCTGATGGTAAGTTAGGTACGAGGCTGATCTTAAGGAGCGCACGTAAGTTATGATGAGAATGAACAGGATTGCTTTTCAATGAAACATGGAGGGAGTTGTAGCGTTTGGTTCAATGGTACGTACCTGGGTAGGATCCTCTTGATACCCAGATCGAGCTTTACTTCACGTATCGAATGCAATGCCAACTTGGTTTCATTTTTACAAATTTGGATTCAATGAGTAATACTTATACATTGTGACCTGTTGGATCAATGGGATACTAGAAAGGTGAATGGAGATGGTATCAGAATAGCAGGACCGGATGTTGCAATCCCCCTGAAGTAACGTATTCGTACACTCGGAAACCGTTCTTTACAATCGCTTCGCTGCACCCGCAGTGGCAGACGAGAGCTGTTGGCCACGGGCCTTGGCAGCCATCTGAAGAAGCCTGGCGGTACGAGAGGGATGCCAGACACGGCTTCCCAGAATGATGACCCAAGTGAGCAGGAACAAGCTACCGGCCTGGTGGGCCGAGGCGAGCGGAGTGGGAACGAGATAAAGCAGAGTAGAGATACCCAGGCCGACTTGCATACAAGCGAAGCCAAGGACACCGTGCATGCCCCTACGAGCGGCAGGGGGCAGCATGCGCTTCATAGTAGGAGACCGGCGGGTGTAAGCGAACAAGGCCACAATAGAGGTAAAGGTCGTCATGGCGAGAATGCGGTGGTCAAGCTGGACGAGGGAAGGGTTCTCCAGCATGTTGCGCCACCAGAGATCGGAGCGATCTTCATGGCGGGAGTAATGAGCGTCCCACAGCTCAGAGCTGGGCGGCGCAAGGCCATTGCCCATATACGGAAATTCGTTGTAGATGAGACCAGCGTCCAGACCAGCAACAAGGCCACCAGACATGACAGTAGTGAAAACTAGAAGGGCCAGACCGGCAACAGAGCGACGGAAGAATGCCAATCGCGGGTCGCGGAGGGCCTCGAGTTGTTTCACGCCAGAGGCAGGATCAGCCATCAAGCGGTGGGATCGGAGAATAGCCAGTCCATTCCAGAGCATAGCAACGTAGCAGGTGAAAGCAGCGCCCAGGTGAGCAGTTAGACGGTACTGACTCACGCGCGGGTGGCTGCCCGGCGCAAACAGATCATCCTTGAGACCCGACTTGACCATCCACCAGCCCAAGAAACCTTGGAAACCGATGAGACCAGCAATACCGAGCAGGCGCCAGGCCATAGGCGTCGAGACCTTCTTCCGGGCAACGAAGTATACTGCGGGGATGACGAACGACATGCCGACGAATCGGCCCCAAAGACGGTGGATCCATTCCATATAGTAAATCGACTTAAAGTCGTCCAGGTTCATGTGAGAGTTCAGTTGCTTGAATTCGGGAGATGCGCGGTACTTCGCAAATTCGGCTTCCCAGTCTTCGTCGTTCATGGGCGGCATAGAACCAGTAACAGGCCGCCATTCCGTGATGCTCAATCTGCAGTTTCAAAGATAACTCCGTCAGCATCCGAACGTTCAAATTTTCACGCTTGCGTTATGGCAACCACTAACCCTGATTCTGTCAAACGCGTCAATCCACCGAAAACCACAATTCCAAAAACACTCGCTGCGCTGGCAAGAAGGAAGTAGGCAACCGATTTATCGCTGATTCTGGGGAAGGTGGTTTTGGTTTTGGCTGCCGTTTCCTCGACGGCCCCAGCCACCGCAGGGGCAGCTGCGGATCGTCTCAAACTTGACGTGAAGAATTGACGGCTCTTATCTGAGAACAAGGGCGAGCGGATTTTCGTGGGTTGAGGGGAGGGCATTGCGCCGAAACGACGAGCGGATTTGGCGGCATAACTCTGGTTGCGCAGGCATTGCCGGCAGGTAAGCAGTTCTTTCGATAGACGAGGCGCAAGGCTCCGCCAGAGCGGCAGCGAAGTCCCCAGGACAGCCATGGCTCGGACGTTGGGCAACTTGCGGAGGAAAGAAAGAATCCCTCGAATTTCGGAGACGCGGCGATCGTAAGATGCGCGGCCGAGCGCCAATCAGCGCGCAGCAATTTGTGGGCTTGCAATGGCATCAGCGACTGCTGCCTCAGGCTGCCATTAAATTCTCGATAGGATGATCAGTGAATAAAAGAAACTAAAATATATTTAGTGATAGAAATATCTTACTCAAAGACCTACCTTTCGTTTTTAGATTCAACCCCTAGTTATCATCTGAGCTCAGAAGTATTGGTGCCTAAGGCATAAACACCTTACCGCTCGCTGGATAGTTCTCACGCCCTGTTGATCTGCACCACCTCAGCTACTCTCTCGCCGGACATCGCAATGTCCTACGCCATTGAATCAAAGAAGCGAAAGTTTCACCGGGCCTTGGAATCCATTTCCAAGCCCGCCACTCCTGCGAATGCCCCGAAGCCTGCGACTGCGACGCATGCGACAGCCAAAGACCGTCTGCCGGCCAACCTCTCCATCAAAAAGGTCCGATTGAGCAGTAACGACTACTCAGACCTTCCTTCTGTCCGCAACTCGATGTCGAATATCTCGGGCGCCGCAGTCCGGTCAACATCTGCCTCCTCGAATAAGCGCCCGACCTTTGCCCCATGGGATCGTGATATCTTCCTCGAGCGACTCGAGACCTTCCGTCGCGTGGACCGATGGGACTCCAAGCCGACTCCGATCAATGAAGTACAATGGGCAAAGCGCGGTTGGATATGCACGGATTCTGTGCGAGTGAGCTGCGTCAGTGGCTGTGGTGGCTCCGTGGTCGTCAAGCTACCAGATGAAATCGATGAGCTCGACGGATATGATGCGGAAAAGGTTCAGGAACGAAAGGAAGTTCGTAAGTATATGTATGGACCTATGCGTTTTCTCTTTCATCTCATTCTCAATGTACTAATCGAAGTACTACACAGGGGAGAGACTTGTCGAGGAATACGCTAAGATGTTGAAGGACGGCCATGAGGAGAAATGCCCATGGCGGAACAAGGCGTGTGACGGTATGCGCATTCGAATTCGGAATCCATTCCAGAAAAATTTGCTAATGTTGCTCCGCCGTAGATACTATCCAGCATCTCCCGCTGAACAGCCTTGGGAGGGCGCTATCTGGCCTTCATGGTCGATACTTCAACCTGTTGAAGATGAAGGATAAGTTACCGACTGTTGATAAGATCGAAACTCCCAAAAGCCTTGATCTGGATGCTACTGCACGGATACTGCCTGAGGAATGGTTCAAGGATTCGGACCCAGTGGCAAACGGATCAAATGAAGAAACTGGCGCCGATGCCGGCAGCTCCCAAGACACCCCAGAGTCTACCTCCGCACCGTCAACAGACACGCTGCAACTTGTCAATCAAACCGCACTTGCACTGGCGCTCTTTGGCTGGGATTCTGTTGCTGATGGAGCAGCGGGTATAGTATCATGCAGGGCTTGTTTCCGTCGGCTGGGTCTCTGGATGTACAAGCCGAAGGAAAATGGAGAGGTTACTGTCTACAGCTCTCTGGATGTATCAAATGAGCATATGGAATACTGCCCCTGGATCGACCGAGTGGCTCAGAGCGGCACAGGAAGGCCAAATGAGAAGGCGGATACTCTGCGCAGCGGCTGGGAGGTCGTCGCAGATGCTGTCAAAGTGAAGAATCGCCGGCGCCTCCGCTCTGGTGCTTCATTGGAAAACATTCGCAGCGAGGCCAGCACTCCTGTGCCAGAAACTGTGCCAGACGACATCAATGACGACGGTGATGAGGAGACGAAGAAAAAGGCGGATCGCGAATGGTGGGCCAGAATTCGACGCATTCGACAATCATTGAAAACGAAGTCGCCGCACAAGTCTGTTGCTCAGAAATGATGATCTTTTTTGGCAACTTCTGGAATCTATCGTATTTATTCTCTTGTTTCATTGCATTTTCTAGGCGCGGCGTTCCGGATGATGCAGTGTGTTCGTGCACCTGATACATACATACATACTACGACTATGTTTTACTCTCGAATCATATAGCCCTGCCTAATTTATTTCCGTTCATGCTGAAGATACGTAACTCGCGTATGCACTAAGGTGTTGATTATGGTTTTCAAGAGGCTCTGCCAAGTTACTAGGATTTCTTTTTCGAAATTGTATGTGATCGACTGCCAGTTCACATATATCTTACAATGTATTTACTTCCTTCCCTTGCCCAATACGATAGATCGTGTGAATCTGCCAGGGCCTCACAGGACTCATACACTCCATTCAAATATTATGAGTATTCACATTGCGCAAATGCAGGATCTATAAAATGTCTTCCTTTCTCTTTCTGTCTTGGATCTAGTGAGCTCGGAATACGCTGCATATTGGAAATTCCGCCAGCAATGGATTCCAGCACCACAGCCCCCAATGCCAGCAGCGTTATTTCTCGGCCCCGCACATTTGGAGAAGAGAAAGGCCGAGAAGAGAAACGCTCGCCCTCGCCCTCCATACCCTTTAGCAGACGTCGTGCCTTCTGCCCAAACCTACCGAGGACCCGTGACGAAAAGTGCGGATAGAACACTGGAGAGGAAGCGGGTTGATAATGAGGAAGAAAGAGCCAAAGCTCCGAGGCGTGGCCGGCGTGCCCCACGCCCAAGTCCCCTGTTCGTCCCTGCTGATAGTGCCTATGGCAAGAGAATGGAGACTCAGCTCCATCCCGATCCCCTAGACCCGTCCTCACCGACAATTCCCGGTTCCCTATGAGGCTATCTACGGGTACAACCCTCTCTCCCCTCTCCTACGACCCTGATACGGACCGGAAGACCAACGACCCCGAACACCGGCGGCCGCTACCATACCTCCCGGACCGGTCATAAGACTCGTTCCCATTGAAGAGCCCGAGAGAGAATCTCGCTCCTGTCATGTGTGGGGAGCTCTGGAGCTTGCTCCAGAGGCTCGACTGGGGAGTTCTGAAGGTGCTCGACGCAACTCAGGTCCTGGATCTGACACAATGGATCGAGGAGCAGTGTCTCCGTGCACAAGAGACACTCATGCTGCTTTGCTCGAGCGTTGTCATGCCCAAGAAGTACAGGGAGGGGCTAAATGATCTACAGGTCTCCCTTGGCTGGGTTTCTCGGGACTGCGCCTTGGTCCTAGAACAGGCCAAGGGAGACCTGTAGAGAGTGGCGGTCCCAGAGGGCATAGGGGGTGATTTTTTCCTCTCTCTAAAGGAAAACTTGTTGTTCATTGAACTAAGCACCTGAAGGCTGGCACACAGCAACGTAAAAAAGCAATTTTGGAACGTCCACAGTGTAGGTCCTTTATTATTCATGTGTGCCTATGGCAGCGAGAGCGAAGGCTTGCGCTTGGCACAATTACCAAAAAAACATCTGACTTTACCTACTAATTGAACCTCCTTGATTTCCTATGGGGCTACCGTCATATGGTGCCCGCACACTATTCTCACTCTAATTCCTCAAAATTCTATATTTTATCCACTAACTTGGCCATCTACTTCCGACTCCGCATAAGAATACATCTTATAGGGCATGGTGCCTTGACTTTCCACTCCAACCCGAAGAATGACATGTGAACGGAATGATGGCACTGTTAGTGTATAGAACAAAAAATACATCGCAGGCATGAGTCTAGAGGAAATGGTAAAGAGACATTGGGAAGTAGACTCGTATGCCACAACAGATTCGAAATATGAGCGATGTGGCGAAAGCCATCAAAACAGCCCGCACACGATACCTGTCATAGACGCCAGATGAGTTGCATGTTTTTGACGCCAGCCTACTCAAGGTTGGAAACTTGGACGTATTATGCCAGACTAGACGAATACGACTCCCATGGCAGAAATGCGCGGCGCAGAAGCTCGGTCTGATTCGCCCGTGTCAGCTGCGGGACCCACCCGGAGCTCCCTGTGCACCGCCGTTCTTCTTCGCTCCAACAAGCCAAACCTCGACACCAGACCTACTGTCGAGTCGACTTTATTGCTTGCCTCTTCGAACCCAGGTACTATACCTGCCCCATTCAGTCAAAGCGCGCTCGTAGTCAATCTTTGAACGCCACCTCAATTTCCTTCGAGTCCCCACGCGAATTTCAAACATGACATCCCCGGCCGCAAGGCCGCCTACAGCCGACGATGGCGATAAGAATGGCGCATCCGCTTCCCCCGTGCCCTCTAAGCAGTTCGGTTCTTCAGGTGACAAGTCCAAGATGAACGAAGACAGCGCAGCAACCGATCAATCCAACGCATCTGGTCCAAGGCGCAAGCGGGTCCAAGAGAGACACCAAGCTCGCAAGCGCGGCCCTGCACAACCCTCGGTTTTCTCCCGACGCGATCGATCTCGCAGCCCCAAAAATGCCGCGGGCGATGACTCGCGCCAGCGCTCTCGGTCCCCTCTGCGCCGTCGCTCACCAGCCCCCGAAGAACAGCCGAGGCAGCGCAAACGGCCCGGTGGTGGATCTCGGATGGGAATCGTGAACCCGGAGGTGATGCGGCGGAGACAAGAGGAGCAGGAACAACGTGAGCGGGCCCGGGAGGAGGAAGAGATGCGGTCGTTCCGAGAGCGAGGCGTCTCGGACGTCGTCAGACAACACTACAATGCCGTTCCTGAGCGTGGTCGTGAGTGGCGGAAGACGGAGAGCAAAATCAAGGGACTGCGCAGCTTCAACAATTGGGTGAAAAGTACGTTGATTCAGAAGTTTTCACCCGACGAGGAATTCGCTCTGCGCTTCAATGATACCAAGGATTGGGCGAATGACAGTGGAGGCCCGCCTCCGATGGAAGACAAGCGGCTGCTGGTCCTCGATTTGGGCTGTGGAAAGGGTGGTGATCTTGGCAAGTGGCAGCTTGCGCCGCAAATCGTCGATCTCTACGTCGGCCTTGACCCGGCTAACATCTCGATTGAGCAAGCTCGGGATCGATACGTTTCTATGCGCTCTGGTCGAGGTCAGCGAGGACGTCGTCCGCCTCCTTCATTATTCCATGCCGAATTTTACCCGAAGGACTGCTTTGGTGAGTGGTTGGGCGACATTAAGATCATCCAGGATGTAGGTATCGATGCCAATGCTGGGCCTGGTGGCTCGCTCATGGCTTCACGATGGGGAGGTGGTGGTTTTGACGTTGTCACGTCAATGTTCGCCATCCACTACGCCTTTGAGAGTGAGGAGAAGACCCGACAAATGCTCAGCAATGTTGCCGGCTGTTTGAAGAAGGGCGGTCGCTTCATCGGCGTCTGTCCAAATTCCGACATGATCACCGCTCGCGTGAGTGCATTCCACAAGAAACGCAAGGAACGAGAAGCCGCGAAGCCTGCCACGACCGAGGCTCCCGAAGACGGCGAAGTCCAAGAAGATGATGTTTGTGAATGGGGCAACGACATTTACCGTGTCCGTTTCCCCGGTGCCACCCCGGAGGATGGTGTCTTCCGCCCACCATTTGGCTGGCGGTATACCTACTTCATGCGAGAAGCTGTCGAAGAAGTTCCGGAATATGTTGTCCCCTGGGAAGCCTTCCGAGCGTGAGTACATACCCCGATGTATACAGAGGACATCGCTAACCATTCCTAGGTTGACCGAGGATTACAACCTGGAGCTTCAATACCGCAAGCCTTTCCTGGATATCTGGGAGGATGAGAAGAATGACCGTGAATTGGGCCCATTGAGTGAGCGAATGGGTGTTCGCAACCGCACTACCGGCGAACTGAACATGACCGAGGAGGAGAAGGACGCAGTTAGTGAGTGTTCCCCTACCCCATAATGGCTTACACGGCTGACCCCTTTGCAGGCTTCTACCACGCATTCTGCTTCTACAAGGTTTAGGTGGTTTCTCGAACAAGCACAAAGTATTTCGAGTTCAAAAAAAGAAAAACAATACTTGTGGGATTACCTGAATAATCCATTGTTTACGAGTAGACAGATTTGGAAGGCATCTTAGTATAGGCTTAACTTTTAGAAGCCCATATTCGAATATTGTTTTTGTTGTAGACCAACAATAGGCAAGGGATTTCCGTGGCTGGCGGGGGTCGTCAGCGATAAGCTTATCGTGGCACTGTAACCCAAATGGGACTAGCGCTTTCGCGACGCGTGGGAGCCCTTGGGAATTGGATTCGGCATCGATGCATGCTTTGTCCTGCGACTTCGAACTGCTGCCCACCAGATATTTGCGCAGTATTCGGCTCCACACCATCCAGGCCGACATCTGCCATATTTTAACAGGAAGTCACTTCCTTAATACCCCCGAATGCTGTCAACATCCACGCGACAGCGATCATCGCTGTCCCAGTCCCGGCCGCCCGCCAGCGCGCGTGGACGAAGCGCTCCACGAGGCAGCACAGCCGTCGAACTACCCCCATACCAGCCTCCAGAGGCACCTCTTACGATTGAAAGCCGACAGAGACTTGCACTACTCCTCCAATCCCATGAATTCAAGGGCGTGAAGCAACACCTCGCAGACGCCGTGTCCGAACTCACCGCAACTGCGGGCGATATCAACTCGCGAATGGTCTTCGCCCGACAACAATACGAAAAGCAAAAGATTTCACGGAATAATGATGACGATGAAGAAAACCGGAGCGAAGGCGATGGCGAGGATGGAGGGTTGCAACGACTGGCTGAGTTTGAAACAAAGGTTGACGAGATGACGGGACATATGGAAGAGCGCATGCGCAAGACGATTGACTCCGGCAAGCGCTTGCAAGACATTTTCGACACTATGAAGCATATTGACAAAGAAGAAGAGGAAGCACAGACTGCTGCGCTGGGGACACGCCAGACGCGTGCACAGCGACGGCGGCAACAGCAAACGGACGGAGAGGAGAACGAAGGCGATGATGAAGACGACGAGGATTACGAGGGAACTCCTGAGCGTCAGACTCGGGAGCAGAACGCACAGAACCCGCCCAGTCAAAGGCTGGCTGATTCGTTGAAAAACGAGGCGCAGGAGTGGGATGGTCTGTCCCTGACCGAACGGTAAGTTCGGGGCTTCAACCGTTGTCTCGCTCTTCCATGGCTTTGCAGAAAATCTAATTAGGATTTTCATTGCAGGTACACCGAGCACAACGACTATATCGGGTTCTATCGCGTTGTCTTCGAATCCAAGTTTCCCCCCAGTCAGGCACTCCCGCCACTACCGCACTCTTCTACGTGGTTTTCGCACCTTGAAGATACCTCTGCCTCACGCAGGACCTCGGCCGCCCGCACGCGAAATCAACAGCGCGAATCTACGGCCGACTCGGATGATATTGCCATTGAGCGCGAGAGAATATCCCTCAAATGTCCACTCACCTTGCAGTACTTCCAAGACCCTGTCACCAGCTCGAAATGTCGGCACAGTTTCGAGCGTGAAGCCATTATGGGCATGATGGCGCGCGCACCCTATGTTGCCGACCCTGAGCGGCGCGGTCGTCGCATCCGGGCGTTGAAGTGCCCAGTGTGCTCAGTTCTCTTGTCGGCAGAGGACCTACGTACCGACGCGGCATTGCTCCGCAACGTGCGACGTGCGGAAGAGGCGCGGGCACGCGAGGACGAGGAGATGGACGAGCAGGGCAGCCGAGCGAACGAGGTGACATTGGGGAGCGATATGATTAACGAGGACGAAATGGACGTGGATGATGCTGACTCAGACTCGGACCGTCAGATCAAATCTGAGCCCGGGTTGAAGATCAAGCGAGAAAAAAGTCTTATTCCGAACGCGAGTCAGGACGTGCAGACGCTGGTGTCGAGTGAGCCCGGGGAAGACAGCGATGTCGAGACTGCGAGTGATAGCGAGTAGATCGCCCTATAGGAATCGAAGCTAGGATACCAATTGCAGTTCTACCATTATGATAAGATATATTGTTGTTGTTGCTATCAGTGGTCCAGCAATCCAATAAGCAGGGGGTGTTAGAGCGGGCCGATCAGCACATGGACGTGGAGCGGTGGAGCGGAGCATGTGGATGCGCCTGTCTTTATTTTCCATGGAGTATACCGAGTCTCCCCAGGTGTTAAAACTCGAGGGTTCGACTTGCGCATTGTAACTGCGTACTCCGAATGCACCCCTGTGGCTTCCTAAATTTGACCAGTTCCTATTGAAACAGGTCGCCTGTGTTTCGCCCCCCTAAAAGAAAACCAGCACCTGTCGACGCCCGCTAGTCCCGAAGTCGTCTAAGCGACGCCTCCGAACCCGACCATCTCCACCACCGTCTTCGGCTGGCTGGGTGATTCGTCCCGTGGGTGCCCCTGATGCTTCGCTGGCGACAGGGTGCAACCCGGCCGGCCAGATCCAATACCACGGCGCCCTCGCTCGGATCACGCGACAGACGGTACCAGCGGAGTCGTAGTACTTGGCACTGAATTCAGCTATAGTATGGTTCTTGTGGAGAGTGCGAGGGTACATCCGCCGTAGGGTACGAGGAGTAAGTAATGGTAAGTAGGGTTAGGTGTAACTCTGCTATCAAAGCGGGGGCCATCCCCGCAAAGTCAGCAAGCTGAGGCCGGGGACGCTTGATGCTACCTTGCCTCGTGGTGGTGTTCCATCGTGGAAGCTGCAGCTCAAAAAGATGTCGCGAGCTTCCATTTTTCACATTGTGCCTTCCCTTTCTGCCCTCACCTGCCATCCATCCTTCCTTCTCTCTCGCTTTCCTTCCCCGTCTTCTTCCCCATAACATCTCTCTTCCCTCCCCTATCTTCTCTCCACATCCCCATCGTCTCCTCCCGCGAACCTTTTATTGCACCTCTATTACCAAACCTTCTCTCAACGTTTACTGGACTCTCCCCTGCGACATGGCAGAATCCAAGTCTGCCCATGTCGGCACAGAGTCGACTTATCATGACACTGATGGCGAAATCACCCGCCCCCGCGGTTGGATGTACAAGAGCATCGGCCTCGGCAAGTTCAATGTCGGTTGGTACGCCTCGCCCAAGTTCCAGCTGGGTATGGTCGCCTTCGTCTGCTTTATGTGCCCTGGCATGTTCAACGCGCTGAGTGGCCTTGGCGGTGGTGGAAAGAGCACCCCCGAATTGGCTGATGACATGGTATGCGACATCCCACATCCCTGCTGCTCACCTGTCAAATCCCGATCTTCCATTTGCGCCGACTAATATTGCTTTTTTAGAACACTGCGCTGTACTCCACCTTCGCCGTTGTAGGCTTCTTCGCCGGTACCTTTGTTAACCGTATGGGTGTGCGCCTGGCTCTTTCGTTTGGTGGTATTGGCTACACTATCTACTCGATTAGTCTTTTGGTCTCCGAGCATGCCACGGTTCCCGGATTTAACATTTTCGCCGGTGCCCTGCTGGGTGTTTGCGCCGGTTTGCTGTGGGGCGCGCAGGGTACCATCATGATGTCCTATCCCGGTGAACAGCGCAAGGGTCGATACTTCGCTTGGTTCTGGGCCATTTTCAACGTCGGCGCCTGCATTGGCAGTTTGATCCCGCTTGGCCAGAACATTAACGTCAAGACCAACAAGACTGTCGGTGACGGCACTTACATTGCTTTCATCGTCCTCATGTTCTTCGGCGCCTGTCTTGCTCTGTTCCTCTGTGACGCCGACAAGGTTGTTCGCCCCGATGGATCCCGTGTCATTCTCATGAAGAACCCCAGCTGGTGGACTGAGATCAAGGGGTTGTGGCAAACTCTGTTCGCCGAGCCCTGGATTGTCCTGCTGTTCCCCATGTTCTGGTCCTCCAATTGGTTCTATATCTACCAGCAGAACGGCATCAACGGAGCTCACTTCGACACCCGCACCAAGGCCCTGAACGGCTTCCTCTACTGGTTTGCCCAGATCGTCGCCGCTGTCATTGTCGGCCCCCTGCTGGATATCGAACGCTTCCGCCGCACTGTCCGTGCTCGTGCTGCCCTGATCGGCCTGTTCGTCCTGACCGTCATCATCTGGGGCTCCGGCTATGCTTGGCAGAGGAAGTACACCCGTGAATCGACCTCCGAGGCTGCAGTCAAGGCCGGCACCTTCACCCCCACCGACTGGACCACCCCTGGATACGTCGGTCCTATGTTCCTTTACTTCTTCTACGGCATGTACGATGCGATTTGGCAAGGCATTGTCTACTGGTACGCCTGGCATTTACCCTTTTTCTCCCTTTTACCTTTTTCACTCACTAATATCGCTAACTATCAATAGGTTCATGGGCGCCCTCGGTAACTCCGGTCGTAAGCTCGCCAACTTGGCTGGCTTCTACAAGGGCCTCCAGTCTGCCGGTTCGGCCGTCATGTGGTCGCTCGACAAGAACAAGATGTCCTACATGAACGAGTATGCCTCCAACTTCGGTCTCCTCTGCGGCTCGCTGCTCTTCGCCGCCCCGGTTGTCTTCATGAAGATCAAGGATACCATTTCCGTTGAGGAGGAACTGGAGGGCACCGGCGAGACTCTGGAGGACGTCCTTCCCCCCAGTGCCATCGAGCAGAAGCGCATGGGTGAGCACAATCTTTGAAGGACACGAGCTATTGAGCATCTCGCTACGGCACGGATGGTTGTTTGCAATTTTGGGGTTGTTACGTTCAGTTCCAGATCCAGGTTTAGGATCTCGGGGTGCAAGGGTTTGTTTTCTCTACTAGTGGCCCCATATGGCTCATTTCGGGGATTGCGCTTAGCTCCTTAAGGCATCCTTTTAATTTTGTGCATTTCAGTGTGCATACTTTGTCTACGCTTTACGAATACCAATGCCTGGCATGAAGGCGTAATCTGTTTGATTGTTAGTCTTCTTCTGATCTCTCGATGCAGTTTTCCGTCGGCTGGCGTAATTTTACTGGTGATGATTTGTCCCCTTTATACCGTGCAACCTTGCTCCCTAAGGGCTAGTTTGCAGTAGCACATGGCAGTGTAAGGTTACACATGGCTTAATACTCCGATGTTTCTGGATATTCTTAGATAGGGCTACTATTTCTAATAGTGAGAAACACCACGAGTACACAGGTATCCTCCAATCGGGCCCTGCCATCTTTAAATGTCTCTATTAGATCATGTCCACGTGTTCATAATTCCAGAATGAACGCCGCATGCAAAATGCAACGTGGTGAAGGGTTGGGCGTAGTAGTTCCTGGAAGAAAAAGAAGATGCAAAAACATGACTCTTGTGCATGCTTACGGTCTATCATTGCACTGTAGCCATCTCAAATGCGTCCTAATTGTGACCCCATATACCTGCGTCGGGTCTTAAGGGGTGTCTTAAGATCTTTTTGTGAGGCTATCCCTTTGCCTTCCACTACAACACTACCTAGCCAGGAAGATATCCCCGACAATATGTGATGTAACGCTATATAGTGCGCTCCATGTACTTACCGACTACTACGAGACAAGTTTGACCAGATCAATTTAATAAATTGAATTCAATTTCGAGGCATGGCCAGCGAGCAAAAGCCCACCGAACCCGGACCGTCAGCACTCGAGCGACGAGACAAGACAAGGTGTGGGGTATTCGCTTGTCAGTAGGAAAATTAAGAAATGGCAGTAATGTAACCGAGAAAAAAAAAACCATAACGGACATGAGCAAAGAAATACAAAAAAAGACGGGGTGGGCGAGGACCAGTCAGCTTTCCGCGGAGAACCCGGGTGGCATCCATGGGATCCGACCGCCGACACAAACCGAGGTCATCGCTGGATCCGCCGGAGCTCGATTTGGCTCATTCGGAAAAAGCAGATCAGGACCAGAAAATTTGCCAGGGGGGGTTATAAAATTTCCCGCTGCGGTGAGTCGCGTTGGGACACCGGGGGTAAGCGACGGGCTTTTGGGAGGGTTGGGATGCCAATGGCCGAGTGGGAAGTTCCGAATGTAAAAGCTGAGTACAGGAGCTTGAGTACAGTAAAGCGCAGATGGACCCGGTGAATGAATGCATATTAGAGATAGCGATAGAGGAATTGGTTCATGCAGGCCAATAGGACGGTGTCGGAACAAAGAGAGGTTCTTCCGGTCGTCGGTGCGGGCGTTCAGTCAGGACAGGCAGATTGGAAATGGCGAGAAAACGCAGTCGCAGGATGTATCTTTATCGATCTATTTGGTGATTATGTTGAGATAATCGGCCACGATGAGGGTTACCATCCTGCAGATCAACAAGTTAGTATTGGCATTCGGTAGTGGGCGTTGGCCGTGTGGGGCGATAAGCAAAGCCAAGAGAAAAAGCAACGGGCGACCCGCCGCGATCAAAAGGTGGGGGAGACTAACGCGTGAGGTGCGATCCGCACGTAGTACGTGCCAAAGCCACGGTAGAAGCGCAACCATCCCTCCTCTGCGACGACCTTGCGCGCGCAATCCAGGACACCCCGGTACGGCAGTTGACCGGTCTTCGGATCCTTCTGCTGCTTCTGGAGACGAGTCTTGATGAAGTCGAAGGGCAGAGAAAGGAAAGAGGCGAAGAAACCGGCAATCGCGGAGGCGGCGAAGGTCTGGTTCTGGGTCGAAAGATTGGTGTGCTGCTTCAGCTGGGCCTTGGATTCCGCAAAGAAGGTAAGTTGACCCATGTTGAGCGCCATGGCTCGGATAACGGTGGGGAGGGCGCCGGCCCAGAGAGCAGCGACGCCTTCGGAGCGAGGGATTCGGATAAGAGCGTCGAAGACGGAGCGGTAGTTAGCGCGGGCCTCGGGGGGCTTCAGGCCGTCAGATTGCATGCGCACGAGGGCAAGGTCGGCGGGGTTTCCGATCATGGCGGCGATACCGCCGGCGCTGAGGCCTGCGGCGGCGCGCTCAGCGAAGGTGACTTTACGCTCCGCGGCATCGGCGCGGGCGTTCAGCTTCTTGATGAATGTGTCGAAGAAACCCAGGCGTGCGGTTGTGTACACTGCTTGGCGAAGGAGACCGGCGGAGAGACCCGTGTATAGATCGAGGACTTTGCCGGATGCGACGATATCCTTGGTGATGCCCAGGGCGGATGGGCGTGGTCCAGTGCGAGCGCCTTCGCCGGCGAGCTGCAGACGCACTTTGACCATGTCGACGGGCTGGATAACGACGGTGGCAGTCATGCCGGCGAGACCGCCGTTGATGAACGGGAGAGCAGCACGAATGTATGGGTGGTGCAAGAAGTTCTGAGTGGTTTGCGTGGGATTCTCAATCGCGGACTGCGAGGCCTCTTTGGCAGAGACGGTAGCGCTGCTGGCAGCGTCTTTGACGGAATTGGATGCCATGGCGGGGTATCACGCGTGGTTGAAAGATCTAGGATGTGTTAGCTGGTGTATAGATGTAGGACTGTCGCTGGGTGAGACCGAGTGTTGGGTGCAGGAGCCTTTGACTGACCAGAAGAGTCGGAGGGTTTCTGAAACGAAGGCGCCCGTTGCGACTCTTTGGCGGATTACACAGCCGATGGACGAGTACTCACCGATGACGTAGAAGCAGTCGACGTAGTGGCAGTTGCGGTAGGCGTAGCAGAGGCAACAGCGACCGTGAACAACGAAGATGAGAAGACAGCAGATGCGGAGTCGAAATGATTCTGGAGGGAGGAAGGAGAACAGGGCGATGCGGGGATGAGTTGTACCTCTCGTGGTCAAAGTATGTCTTGCGGTCGATGGCAGGTACCTTCAGTGTTCTGGTACCGCCTTGCGGGGGACCGCCCTCTGTATATACGACGAGCTGGAGCCCGTGCTTCTACCTTCCTCTCCCCCACTACGCGCTACGATGATACCTCTACTCGACTCCCACCAGACAACCGAAGGCGATTTCCGAAGACTTAACCGGCCAGGCCCTTCGCCCGACAGCCGCGAGGCCTCCGGATAACTGTGGGGATGCTCGTCACAGCACGCTGGGTACCTTCAAGTACCCCGATCATCGCAGTGGGCCAATGGCGTCAATTCCAAAGCCGGCTTAGCCAACTGTGCCCCGTAATTTGCGGATTGGCAGATGTACCTCGACCCTAGCACTCAATGGGAGGTACTTCAAATCGCGGAGAGAATGTGAAATGCGGGGTGACGACAGGCTGTCACGCGCTGCATTCCCGGTTCTTCTTCTTGTCCTCCGTTCGGTTTTGGTCTTTCTTCTTCCTTGCCGGCATTTCGCAGGCCAACTCCAGCACGGCGACAGCGACAAGAGGGACCTCTCCTTGCATGCCATCTGCACGATCCCCACGTCATGGGCCCAGCGTGGATCCAGCGTGGGCCCGGTCAGCCACGAGCTAAAGCCGGAAGCCCCCACTTCGCGGATCGCTGGGGGACGAGAACTGCTCGGGAACCTGGACCTGCGGCAGTCCGAGGGAAACCGTTGAGCTTCGCGACCGCGACATTCTCACCAAGATGGACTATTCAAGCGGGAGATATACAATCCATCGACAACCAGCAATACGCAACCCTTGATATTGCACATCGCATCTCTTCCATCGCTCGGTACGACGGATTCGGCTATTCCTCAATAATATTCTCCCGCTCCCGCTCTCCGGGCCTTCATCCGAGGATATCTAGAACTACAGACCATCGTCCCAACCAATCGGCGTGCCCCACTACAATTACCGATACGCAGCGCACATCCATCAGCATCCTCATCACCGCTGTCCCGTCTGGCCAATAACGCCCGCGGGAATACCAATGCCCGTTCTTGGGAATCCCCAGCCCCGGGATTTGTTGAGGCACCAGGGCGCCTCCGTGCCTGGAATCCTCCGATCTGCCCTTCGGCCTTGTAGCTTTTCGCCGATGACCGGCACTTCGACCCTTTCTCAGCTTGCTGTGCTTTCATCCATGGCCCGGATTGGTCGGCTCTACGCTCGGGCTGGGGAGGATAACCGATGCCGTGCCTATTTACTCCCGCTGTTGTCTTGATGCGGGATGTTGTCTGTTGCGGAAAAAGACCGGGCTTTTGAAGCCCGTCTCGGATACAGAATTATCCAGGCGCCTCTGCTCAGCTAAGCCCTTTGGCGGGAGATGAGAGAACATGGCAACATGCAGAGGAATCTGTTGAGCGAATGCGCTCGGAGCTTCAGAACGTGTGGTTACTTGAGATACCCCGTTCTGGTGCTACGGTGTATACACAGTCCTGGACCCTGGAGTACCGAGTACATCGCGTACTCTTTCCCGACCTCCTCTCCGGCTCAACTATATAGCAGTATATTTGCGGACGTCTCCGATGTCCACAGCCGCATCTAACCATGAGCATCCGAGCGCATCCCAACAACACTCGCCAACAAAGCACACCATAGATTCTGTAAAACCATCCAAACAGTCCCATCCCTGCCAAGTCCCAATCCACTTCAATCCCTGGCTAACCGCCCACTATCACTAACAAGTCCCACTTACCCTCAGACACCCCAAACAAATGCTGAACTAAACCTCAACAGCCCAATAAATGCCAATGCGGAATCCACTCATCAGCCTCTATGATAGCTCCGCGGAAAGACGTTCGGCACTCGGGGCCTGGTGCTGAAGGGTCAGACGGCATGGAGAGTCGGGAGCGGAGGGTACTCCGACGGCAAAGCGGGATGGCAGTCGGGGCGGAGCGCGGCTCTCCTGCGGGTTTGGTGGGGAACTTCGGCAGTCACCCCGGTGGAATGGTCTAATGATCTATACTCTGGATTCAAGAAATATTTCTTTGTTTAGGATCCCTCCATTTCTCATCTAGCTCCGAGCGGGATATTAGTATCAACACCACTATGTCCATCATTTACTATGATCTTGCCTCGCTCTTTGTCATCACTGGCCTTTGTTACCCTCCAGTAACGACATCAATTCCCCCTTGTTCACGATTGTGTTTCGCTCGGCCATTTGAACCAAATTGCTCGTGACCGGGATTTGGTGGCGCTCCAAAAAGGGTTTGATGGTTGCGTACTTGCACCTTTCCAAAACAATCTCTTCTGCGCGCTCAGTCACAGGCGTCTCAGGAAGCTCATTCTCTGAGCAGGGGAACCAATTTATCAAATTTGCAATTCTCCTTTTCCTCCCGGTCAAATGGGTAGTCCTTGAGCATGGCATCGGTAAGCTTTGTGCCTGTCCGTTTAAGAAACACAAGAAGAACAGGGCCTGGCTTCGGGATCCAAATCGGCATCTTGCCAAGTCCCTCTTCTGCCAGAACTCCATATCAGAATACTCACGCTGTTGCTGGAAAAGCAAATCCAGTACATCCTCGCCTGAACTATTTGCGACAGCCGCTCGAAGGGCCCTTTACATTATAGAGATCGATCCTTGGCGATGCTTGATAGATTCAAACAGTTCATAGCTTCACTCATCGTTTTGAATGGGATATTTTCGCCCATTATGCCAACTCCGAAGCCTATTTTTGTCGCGGCTACCAAGACATCCTCTGTTATAGGCAAAGCGTTCCTCTGGAGATTTATCGCCACACGCATTGAGCTAGGATCCCATGTAGCAAAATGAAAGGGCTTTCTCTGTGATAGGAACGTCTGGTTTCCAGCACAGCAAAACTTCCAAGGTATGAGAATTGACGGCCAGATTTCCAAACAGGGATTTCTTAGCTTCCACGAGGTGTCGGTCAAGCAGAGTTTGAAGCACATCTGTTCACATTCATCTGTTGCTGGTGATTTGCCAAGTCATCTTTTCAATTGGCAGATCATTCTGTTCATTGTCCAAAAGAACCATCATGGCTTCATCATTTTGACATGTCGCCTCGAAGACTTCATCTGGAAAAGAAGTACCGGAAGCATTGCTCAAAAGGATTTTCAGCACCTAGCTCCCTGTTTCCTCGTATTTCTAGGCTGCAAGGAGTGCGTCTTCGTGAATGAAAGTGGACCCTGGCGAAGTTGCTCCAGATACTTGATCACAGAAGGGCCTGGCTTCTTATTCGCGGATGTTGAGCAGACTTATCCCGCTGTGACGGTGACATGGAGACATTTGTCATTGACGAGAAAATTCAGCATCTTCAACGAGTCAACATGGCAGCAAATAATCTGAAGCAGTTCGATCTTTAACCGAAGAGTCGAAGATGTGTGATCTCCTAGGCTGCGTAGTCCCCGCTTTCGTTGGTTTAGTTTTCCTTCTTCGCGTTCAAGCTTTCTGGGGGGTTGGGACAGCTAGCGTCCATCAAGCCTCACGGGAGGGTGTCCGCATCTCCATGTTTTGAAACGGAAGAGTGTTTTTCGCACCCCGGAGTTTGGAAATGGCTTCGTTGTCACCAGGTCTGGATGGAGAATTGACCTAAAACATCATGTACGAGGGCGAATGGTTTTCCGTACTCCTCAAAATCGATACCGGCAGCTTAGAACAGCCCCATCTCTGCTTGCACACAACTGGAAGCAGCATCCAGACTCCACATCTCAACACCATCGGTCCCATTGAGAACTCTACGTCGGGTAAAATTGGTGAAACACAAAAGACGGGAAATATCCCAAGAGATCCGCAGTTGGATCTTTAATGAAATGTGGCCTTCCAGCTTGCTCACACTGCACAATGGAGACTGCCCCTTGAATCATCATGCACACGCACGTGCCTCTGTATGCTAGCACCGTGACAAACAGTACAAACACCAGGGTCTTCAAGATTGGCGTTTGTATACCTCTGAAACTCCTAGCAATAACCAGGTCTTTGAAAAAACGCCATATATATGCTTTTACAGAGCACCTGCCGGATTATTAAAGGGTCAGATAGTAGCCTCCGTCTCGCAGACTTTCTCGACGATTCATCATGCAACCACTCACCATACATCTGTACGTTCCGAAGACGCTAAACGGGCAACGAAATTGGCGCGAGGTTGCTGCCTTAGCAGTGTGAGCCACCTGTAGCTAATGAAGGAGCATAATTACAGGCTCATGAATTTAAAATCTGGCCTCCCAAGGCGTACTTATCTGTTTTCGTGGGATATAGAGATGCTAAGGAAGACGTGTGAGTTGGGGTTTGTTTTCTATTTGTTCATTGGGGAAAGTGCCTCATCTTGTCATTTCACTGTTTTTGAGCTATTTCCGGCTTGTAAATTTCTCATAAATATTAACATGTTATTCTTGAAATTTGTCCGTTCCACGCTGTAGAGTACCCGGTTTGTGTCTTTTGTCGAATTCACCCAGAGCGGAGATCAAACTCCCCAACAACATTGCCTCGCCGCATCCACAGGGGCGTGGATGCGGCGAGTCTTACTAACAATACCCCATTCAAACAAGGTAGCAACTATGAAGAAATTAGAAGGCGGAGAATGTGGTCAGAATTGTTCCTCGAGATAGTGAATGTAGTTGTGAGGAAACAAGGTGACAACAGGCTCCATCTGCTGCTTCACTTCGTCCATCTCCCACTTCTTCCCTTTCCCAATTCTTTCTTGTTCCACCCCACCACTCCTTCGCCCTCTACAATTTTCCATTCCAGTTCTTATCCTTCCCTCCCTGATCAACACTTCTGCCATCGTTCGCCATCAACAAACTCGTCCCCACCAGCACACGCCATGCAGAACGAGAACCCCGTGGGACAAGGCCAAGGCCATGGCCCCACGGAGGTAAGTCTTCAGTAGCAACTTCATGGTATCCTGTTTACTGATTCTGAATTTCTCTGCGGTCGCAGAATGACTCCAGCCAGCACTCAACCCTCTATCTTGACCCTCGTATCTGGCTCGCTCTGGTACGTTTTGTCTCCGTCGCCCAGGCACACCATGCCCTCTAATGCTTGCCCTGTATAGTCTTGCCCAGCAACCCCAATCCCCCGTCCTTGGAACTCGAATGAAACGGTCTTTATTCCCTGCCTCCAGTGCCTCTTCTGGATGGTAATTTGCCCGACCTATGAAGTGCACGAAGTTCTGGATGCTTGCGAGGCTTCGGCCACTCGTGCACGTGGACCCTGCGCCTTCTGTACCCAGGCCGGAATTTCGTGCCTCCACGCCTTTATTGAGCGACCTGCTCTCTCATTCATTCTCTCTCTTCGTCGCTTCAATGAAGGAGATCGTTACCGAGTTCGACGAATCCTCCGGGGGAACCTGTACGCCCTTTGCGTGCAGCGCGAGTATCCTCGTCGCACTGCCTACGCCTTCATCGAGGACTTTGCCGATTCTGTTCGTATGGCTCGACGACAGGTGGCCCATGAGGCCTGGCTTGATGAAATCTATGAGCTCGAGCAACTCGTGGAGAACCAGCGCAACCGGTCCGCCTGATGCGTTTCTCGTTTTTCGGCGGCTTCAAGCCCGTTAGAATGCTACGCAATGAATGATGGAGGATTTGTTCTGATCTTTTGCACTCCTTTGATTGACAACTGCGACGATACCGTTTGATTTGTGGGCAGTTCTCGGGTTTTTTGGGGGGGGGGGGGGAGGCTTTTCTCGAGTTTGCGGTAAGCCCCGACATGGCTCTGCATCTCGTTTAGTTGCAGGGCGAAGCCCATCACACCAGAATTTGCAATTTAAGTTGACCAATCAGGTCCTTCCTTCTTTTTTCTCTCTCTTACTAGGACCTTAGGGTAAGGAGCAGCTATGCTCACTCATATCGCACCCATTCTGTGTGCGTGTCTCGTCGCCTTTTCTCTAGTCCCCGAAAAGTTAGAAACTTCATTCTTTTAGCACCTTTCAGAACAATTCAAGGACTCCACTGCCCCCTTCGATCGGATGCGCACCGATACGCTACTCTATCCAGCTTTCCTGCTCTCTAGACTTTTTCACAGCATGTCTCGGTTACACGTTATCTCGTTCTGTTTGCCATCATCTACAACTTCCTCTGGCTCTCTATGCTATCCTTTATACCAATACCTGGACCTTTACTGCATATTGTACATACCTCGGGTATCTCCAAGATCGACACTTTTGGACTGTTTCGGTGGAGCAGACCGGCTCTCGCGGATCCAGAACTTGGGTGGACAAACAGCTTCGGGCGCACCATGCCGATCGCTATTGTTTGAGTCCCCACTTGTCTCTGGCAGATCTTCATTTTGAGTAAACGGTCTAGCCATCGAGCTACTAGCCGTAGATTGGGATATCACAAGCTTCGAGTCAGTGTCCTAATTAGTGTAATAGGTACGGACCAATGTGCGCGAGCCATGGATACTAGCAGCAAGCCACTAAATCCCAATAGCTCACCTTTGGCTCACAAATGAATGGAAAGACCATTCAACGATCGCAGGGATACGCTATACATGTCTGTAGTTGGACTCTTTCCTTACTCCAAGATACACATTGTCATATTGCTGATGTTGATACCCGGGCGTGTCTGCGAAGCTGCCAGACCCCGGCAGTAGCAGACCGCACCAAAGCCGCCGGGGAGGGCTCGAGCACGCCTACAATGCTTAACGCTCGGGCACGGCCTGCTCTGCTTCACCCACGGTGGACCCCCTGAGCAGTGCGACCCACCGCCGCGGAGATGGAACCTTGTCCGGACGGGCTGAATACGCCGATGCTCTGCACAAGGCTTATTTCGTCCGCATTCACCGGTAACTCCGCGCACTAACCCAACAACATCACCAGCACGGAAGTCCGATGGGGCTGCCCAAAGCTTTTACATCCCTTCCTGGCATCCTGGGCGAATGATGTCCTTCCAGAAGCCCCAGTGTACCCGTATCTGCGGCTAAAATCAAAGGTATGGGCCCAGGAACGTGTCGCTGTCATCGGCCTCGGTACAATCCCTGGTGACCCTAACGTCTCGTTCCACTTTCCCTTGGAGATTCTAATGGGGTTTTTCATTATCAGCCCCTTGAGGCGCGGTCCGTTGATGGCATTTGCAGGTCCTCATTATACGGAAAAGAAAAGAGAAAAAGGAAAAAAGAAAGCGAGTAAGTGCGCAATTGAACCGAGTATGGCAATCTCGTGCCCGGGTTGTTTACCCCACGTTCTCCTCCCTCCAAGACCACATCTTAACTCTATCCAGGGGTAAACCCAGCCGCCAAGCACTATGGAACCTTCCCCCCCGATGTCGAACCATTTTTCCAACCGCCAGCATATCAGTCGGCTCAATTGGAGTCCAACTCCACACACATGATAGCCGACCGGGTGGTTATTGCCACCACGGCACGCTAGCCTTGCACTAGGCCGGGGAGCACGGCTAGTTGATTATCAAGCTTTTTAGAGCTTGAGGAACTCTGGGCTGTTGCACTGCTAGACCACCACTTGGGGCCCTTGTAATTTTGCAATGGCGCACCAGGCCGCCGGTACCCTACGGTCGAAGATCCCCGCCACGGGGCCTATGCAGATCAGGAGGTCCTTTTCTTTCTTAAAGGTCCCTCCCCTGTCCAATGCTATCCATTTCTCTGTTTCGGGACTCTTCCTTGCATTACTTTGTCACGTAGCCCGCTTGTTCCTGATTGACTGTTGTTCCTGATTGACTGTTGTTCCTGATTGACTGTTGTTCCTGATTGACTGTTGTTCCTGATTGACTGCGGTGCCTGCCGCCACCATGTCACTCTCCCCGAGCCAGAACAGAGCCATCCAGATCACGGAGCGAGTGACTTCGTCATTTTCGGTATTTGGTGCTCTTTTCGTCATTGGCACTTATACTGCGTCGTCGAGGTTCCATAAACCTATCAACCGCATGGTATTCTATGCGTCATGGGGCAATATTCTCGCCAATGTCTCCACCCTCATCTCATTGTCGGGTATTCAAGCTGGGCAGGAGTCTTCTATGTGTCAGACACAGGCATTTTTGATTCAGATGTGGGTGGGACTACAGTCCATTCTTTCATTCTACGGTTACTAACGTTGGTAATACTTTCAGGTTCATGCCTGCTGATGCGTTATGGACACTGGCAATGGCTTTGAATGTATACCTTACATTCCGCCATAGGTTTTCATCCAGTCAGTTGAGGAACCTGGAGACCAAGTATCTACTCTTATGCTATGGGCTTCCGTTTGTCCCGGCTATCATTTATGCTTTCCTTCGCACAGAAGCAAAAGGAAGGGTTTATGGTGATGCAACAGTCAGTTCTCAAGTTCCCATAATCTTTATCACTCAACTGACTGATTTACTCGACAAACAGCTTTGGTGTTGGATTGACGTCGATTGGGACGCACTTCGAATTGCCACCTTCTACGGGCCTGTTTGGTTAGTACCAATCATCTCACTTTTTTACACCAGTCAGAGAATTCTAAAGCTAACTCCACAGCCCAGGCTCATCTTCGTCATCACCGGAATTATATACATCTCGATCGGTACCGAAATCTACCAGAAGCGAAAACAACTCCGAAACATGACATCGCAAAGCATGCCGACTACACTGAGCGTCAAAACCACCGAAGTACACGTCATCAGCGAGACAATGGACAAATCTGGAGAAGTGCGGCAGACCCAACCGGAGAAGGAAGACTTTGGACACAATCGAAGCCGATTCGAAACAAACATTTCCAGCGCCAAGATGTCCAGCTCTGACGCCGCTGCTTGGGCCTATACGAAATGCGCGATGCTGTTTTTCGCGGCGCTGATCATTACCTGGGTAGGCCACCCAGAGCGGTATATAGTCAACCAGACCACTGTGCTAATGATTTTCTTCTCTTTTCATTTAGGTTCCCTCCACCATCAATCGAGTATACACTCTCGTTGCCGAGGGCGAAGTCAGCTTCGCGCTTTGCTACTTTGAAGCGCTTGTGCTTCCACTACAAGGATTCTGGAACTGCATCATCTACATTACCACATCCCTCGGCGCATGCCGATCTTTGTGGAATACCATCTTCGGTTCTAACTCTTCCTCTGACGAAATTCAGTTATCGTACACAAGGGGTAGTCGGAGAAGGCCTTTCAGCCGGATTGACGAAGCATCTGAAAGTACGACCGAGCTGGCTGAAGATACACAAGCAACCAGAAGCTTATGATCTTTTTCTTTTTCTTACGTTTAATGCCTTAATGCCTTCAATTACGCGGTCCGGCTCTCTGGATTGGATTTACTACCACACCGGGAAGCAAAATTTGAGACTGAAAATTTACAAATCAAAAACAAACAAGAACTATGTACATATCATTCAATACCTACGAGTTTCGATAAGGCTAGTCATCCTCCAAACTTGGCGAGCAATTCTTGCAATATCTTCCTTCGTCATGACCAAACCATTTTCTTTTCCTCTTGTGCATCTCGATGGAATAGGCTTTCAAAAGAGACCTCAAAGTCTATCAATGATAGAATCTGAGTTGTCATCTCCCGGCTTCTCAATAGATTTTCTTGTGCTTTTCCGGCGACGAACGAGCAGTTAGTGACCCTGTAGGTCTGATCACCAACTTCCATTGTTCAATGGATACGGTACAATTCTTTCATTTAATGAAGACTGCGATGGCAACCTTAATTTGGTCCTCTGACGCCAAAGTCACGTGAGATCGTCCCTCGCAATCTGCGCTCTCGTCTGGGACAGCTGTTTCGATCATTACCACAGGTCATTCCATGGTCCGAAGAGGATGGACAGCGTGCAGATATATCGCCTAGTCGGCTCGTTTTCTGTCGATTGCAATGATGTTATTCTCATCAGTAACTAGATCTCCGTCATTGTCGTTGTGTGTAACGTTGTAGTTGGCTGTACTCGCGAGGATGATTTGATCGTGCAGACCTCATCTCCGTAACCTTACGATCAATCCAGCGAGTAAGTGCGACCGTAGCTGCACTATTATATGAAGTTTCCATTTTTAAGGAGAAGCATTTCTTCAGCGGGATCATAGACAAAGGTACTTCCGAGCGTTTGCGGTCCGATTTTTGAATAGCATGGAATGCTCGCTCATCGACGGTGAAAAGGAACCAAGGTCCGTTTCCTCTCAATTCGTCCACTAAGCTAGTCGCTATCGAAGCTAGGTCTTTGAATTATTCCTCCATGTCGGTAAATTCATAGTGCAGCCCATTAGTAGACTGCCTATCTAGCAGGAATCTGCCTTGATAGATGCAATTGGCTGGCGGAGTTGCGCAATACATCTTTTGTGACGCCAGCCAGACAGACAGCCCAAATGGTGGAACGCACGTTTTCCGTGAAATTTCGTCTGAAGAAGCTCTAGGGAGGGAATGAGAGAGAAAGGGAGACTTGTCATCTACCAGGTCACCTACCTGGTTCCCACGTGATCCGCTGTCTGGTTAGTTACTCTGGAAAATGAGGCACTCTATGGCATGACATGTATATGACCGTGGCCATTCAGAATACCACTAATCATAGAGTACCAAATCCAGAAGAATAGTAGTAATTATGTCAGCAAAAGTAAGCATTTTCGTACTTCACATTGCACTGTCATCTTGGCAACAATATGCCACTAATCGGAGAGCGGTAAGCACCTTCTCGGAGTCCGAGATTCCCTCAATGACCTCGGTCAATTGTCAAAAGCGGGTTCCGAAGTGCAAAAGCGACATCCATGACCTCAGTCAGGCGAGATGGCCGGCGAGGCTGTGACCGTTGCGGCTGAGTGAGCTGACTGCGATTATTTAAATAGCGGGGTTTGGGGCGTGGGGGCTCAGACACCAGACTTCAAGTTTCAATTCCTAGCAAGTTCGCATCACCACTTCAAATCCAGCTATAATTCACGCCTTGACCATCTCTAAAAATGGCATCTCTTTCTAGTCCATTGCGAGTGGTTTTGTGCGGACGGACAACCGCCATCGGAAAGCCCGTTGCTGAGGCTCTCCTGCCCGACTACGAGGGTATGTTTCGACAACGCCACGATCTCCAATCCCGCAATGATCTACAGATTCAAGAACTAATGATCATGAATCAGTCATTCACTTCATCCAAACCAACGAGGCCGTCCTGGCCGAGCTTCCCCACCTCCTCGCAGGCCGCGATCCCCAAGCCGCCAATGCCAATGACGTCGGCTCGCACGACTACAGCCATCCCGCCCGCGCCGTGATCTTCGGTCGTGGATATGAGCTGGAAGACATTGAGAAATTCCGCAAAGCTGCGGCTGGTAGTGCTGCTGATCCTGTTGCTTGGATCGTGGGTGACCCGGCCAAGAAGATTGACATGAGTGGCCCGCCTCCTGGACCTGGATATGCCAGGGTTGCGGCGGACCTCGCCAGGACGAAGCTGGAGGAGTGGAAGGCAAGTGGTGCTGAGAAGGATGAGGTTTACATGTACTGAGGTCATGTGAGCGATGAGAGCAGTAGGACTGTTCATTGCTATATATGCTGATTAGGTAATGCAAAGCATTGACTTAAATTCGAATCATTAACTGGTTTGTCTGGGTCTGATCAAAGGAAAAGACATGCCGCATTTGACTGACTCGTAAAGAGCCTATCAGCTTCGAAATGTCTTGATAGTGTGGGACTTGGTCTAGACTCAGATCCTTTTGAGACTTTCAAGATGAAACTTGAGCATCGGGTCCAATGAGCGCAAATCCCGCCATTCAGAGTATCAAAGATAACAGAAGTGACATGTCAAAAGAACGAGTTTCCCTGCGGATTATTATCTCACCGCTAGTCATTCATGAAAGCCGGCACGGTCCCCGAGTACCTTTCTCGTTGCTGATTTCTGATGAGGCGAAACGACGCTGCACGCTTTGAACTCAGAAAGGCAGTTATTAATGATCTACACGTAATGTAGAAAAATGACGGAATGGTATTCTTGGAAGCCGGCATGCCTAGTGAATTTACACTGCGAAAAGCGATCGCACAGACAGTCTGCTCCGACTAGCGGAATGCAACAGCACATCTACGGTTACCCACGGCAGACCGGGAAGGTTGCCGGTACACACGACCCAGGAGATTGGTCACCATAACCGAGGGAAGGGCAGTCACGATGTCACGCAGGGCTGTGCTACGTGTGGAGGAACGCCTACTACCGCGCTATACCCCGCATCCGCAAGGACCACGCGACAGCTTCCCCAGAGCCAAGACGCCAAAGGGGGTGCAGAAAAGTGGCCTGACTGGGTGGTATCTGTCCGAGCAGCATGTACAGGGAGGGCACGGTGCGTCGGGGTATCTATCAGCGAGGGCCGGAAAGGAGACAACCCGGAAAGGAGACAACAACAACTACAAATTGGACAATCAGGAACCAAAGCCGGAGCCCGGCGTCCAGTTCATTGGAACGGGTGTGATACGCAGCATGACGTGAGGTCGCCGGGGGGCCGCTTCGGGGAAAATAGGAGGCGATTTCGATCGTCCCTTATTCCGCAGTTCGGCCCAGTCCGTTTGGAAACGCGTGCTGGTTGGACCGTGGCCGGGTGATAGGTCGAGACATGAACGTGAAAACCAGAATCTCTATCACGGGTGAAATAGGAAGCCGAAATCGCCGTGTTTCGCAACCGGTACCCAGGGATAGGGCCACGGCCGGAAACCCCCAAGTTGATGAATGTTGACCCCGTAGTTAGAAGATAAGGCTGGCGAAGATCCCGATGTGGAGGGGGAGAGGAAAGCCGTGGTCAAAGAAAGTCATGTGCGCCTGTTCTTTGATGTTTAGAGTGTAGATAGGTACTAAGTATAGAGTGTCGGTTGAAGAAACCCCCCTGGAGGGGCTCTCCCCTCCAGGCGCAGGAGTATTTTGTGGAGGGAGGGACAGGGGCGAACCCCATCCCCACCAAGCCTTGCTCGATTTGGCCGGGAGGCTACCCGGCATAGTTCCAGACTCGTCAGAACCCATCGGCAACGAGTCACGCGCCTTGCAGAAAGAGAGAGCCCCAGGTATTCAAAGCGTTGTACTGATCAGATGCATGCCTGTAATTAGAAGCTGGTACGTAAGCCATTGAAAGAAATCGCGCAAGCCAGGGTGAATTGTTTCAGGCGACATGGAATTTAGGCCGCGACACAAGGGAGGCTCTCGTCTTCCCGAGGCCGCAGCCGGGTCGGGATCCGCCGCTAACCACCGGGAGAGAGGATCTGGGGTTTGGAACGCGAAACAGGCAGATTTCATCTTCACAGCGTCCGGGAAAGGGCCGAAAATTCCAATCCCGATCGCCCCGAAAATGCCCAGCGGGACGTAAGCACAATCCCGGGAGGGAAAAACGTTGACCGCCGTGAGAAGGGCTGCGTGGATCTCGAAATGCCTCATGGGCCTGGGGCCGAGACCAAGTCATCTTCGACGTAATTAGCACGGCGGCACAGCCAGTCAGAGAGCGTGGGGTCAGAGACCAGAGGGCACGAAACCAGAAAACGAGGGCGAGATTATCGTGCCGTCAGCGAAAACAGGGACGCAAAAAGGCCGGGAATATCTTCAGCCCACCCGAACGTCCTTGGGAGGTGGAAATGTGCGGGCTATGATTGGCCGAGACCGCCGCGATCAGTGTTCCCAGTGCATCATCCTCGGCTGGGTTAAACGCCGTTATTGGAGTGTGCGGCGCTGGGGAGGAGCCCAGCTGGAGCAGGTTCCGATGGACGCCCCGAGACTTGTCGTCATCGGGTGCATCTGTCAAAACTTTTCGTGATTCCCACGGGCAACGCCCGAAAAACAGTTCTGCGAAATGCACGATCGGGTCGAGGGAAGCCGATGGCAACGAAGAAAGACAGCAGCAGACGAGGCCAGATGCAGGCCGACCGGGTCCACCGCTGACATAATCCCCCGCGATCGACTCGGACTACATGTTTAGTACGATGTTTACCATTGTATACCGGCGTACCGTATGCCTGACCGTACTACAGGAAAGTGGGCTTTGTATGCGTTTCGTTTAGATACAGCAAGCTTGAAGTACTATATTCTTTGTTACAGTTCTTGTGGTGAGATCATTGCGCGTCATTCCAGTCGTCCGGGAAAGTTAGAGATGCCTCCACAAGACGAACGCGGGGAACCTAGGCAGTTCAGCTTGCCCTTTGCATCCAGCAACAAAATTCAGTCGTCGATTAAATCGTCGCAACTCCCTCTACACCAGACGACAGAGTGCGCCTTTTTCCTGGTATATATCGTATTACCGTCCGAACGTGCGTTCCCCGGCTGCAATTCGTGTCCACCACCGCTCGGGTCAACTCGGACTGCGTCTCGCCGTCGCAACCCACGGCAACGCTGCCTCCATCACCAACCGCAGCTCGGCCCTCAGCCCCGACATCACCCGTGGAACTGTGGAGAAGTGCAGGGGCAAAGTGACGAGAACTCCCCTTCATACCAAGACCATGGCCCCTGCTGGAAAGAATTATATACCTTCCGAACGCCCGGCCTCTCCAGGTCCTCTGGCTTCTGATTTCTTCCAACAGCAAGTCGCGAAGCAACGCAACAATAACTATCACTCTACTTCACTCCGCAATATGGTTGCCACATCTGTGAATCGCACTGCTCTGCACCCTGGTGGTGTCCAGTATGTTCCCGCCCTGTCTTGTCTTTATCATCATATCACCTCGTCGTCGCTAACCATCATCATCGTCCAGGCCTGGCAAGGGTCACACCGAGCTGGAGGAGGAGCTGCACGAGACTGCGCACATTGACTATGACCGAGTCGCAATTGTAAGAAGCCTTTCCTCTCCTTGCGCTTGAGACTCGACATGGTCGTTGGCGACAAGCTCTCATTATCGCATATACTAACCTAATCCTAATGATATAGATTGCCAACCCCGCTGTCCCTGCTCTCTATGAAGATGCCCTCGTCTACGAGACTGGCACTGCCATCACTTCTTCCGGCGCTCTGAGCGCTTACTCAGGTGCTAAGACTGGTCGTTCCCCCTCCGACAAGCGTATTGTCAAGGAGGAGTCCTCTGAGAACCAGGTCTGGTGGGGACCCGTCAACAAGCCCATGACCCCTGACGTGAGTTGCTCCCTTTGCTCTTTTTTTTTTTTTTTTTTTTTTGCCTGCCTTCTTCCACTATGAGTGATTTTCGGTTGCATTTCTGTCTGGTTTGAACGAGGGTTGCCCTTGCAGATGGCCCGATGCGAGATCCACCGAGGATCCCTTGCATATGCAATCTCGGGCACCAAGCTTTTCTGGCAGTCCGCAATGTGCAAACCTCGCGTGTTTTCTCAGCCCTGCTGTAAAAATGCCTCAAGTGTTGGCATTTTCCTTCATTCCCTCTTCTCCACAATCCTCTCCACAATTTTCCAGTCTTCCGTTTTCCGTTTGCCCGCCAACGGATTACCATTCGACACTTCCCCGCGGTGCCGAGGCTTTCACGTGTATGACGTCATTACTAACCAACCCGCCCACAGGTCTGGCGCATCAACCGTGAGCGTGCTGTCGACTACCTGAACACCCGCAACCGCATCTATGTCATCGATGGTTTCGCCGGCTGGGACCAGCGCTACCGCATCAGCGTCCGTGTCGTCTGCGCCCGTGCCTACCATGCTCTGTTCATGCGCAACATGCTTATCCGCCCTTCCAAGGAGGAGTTGGAACACTTCCACCCAGACTATGTCATCTACAACGCTGGTTCGTTCCCCGCCAACCGCTTCACTGAGGGTATGACCTCCGCCACCTCGGTTGCCATCAACTTCGCCGACAAGGAGATGGTCATTCTTGGTACCGAGTACGCTGGTGAGATGAAGAAGGGTGTCTTCACTGTCCTCTTCTACGAGATGCCCGTCAAGCACAACGTCCTGACCCTGCACTCCTCCGCCAACGAGGGCCAGAACGGCGATGTCACCGTCTTCTTCGGTCTGTCCGGTACTGGCAAGACCACCCTGTCTGCCGACCCCAAGCGCAAGCTGATCGGTGACGACGAGCACTGCTGGACTGACACTGGCGTGTTCAACATCGAGGGTGGCTGCTACGCCAAGTGCATTGGTCTCTCTGCCGAGAAAGAGCCCGATATCTTCAACGCCATCCAGTTCGGTTCCGTCCTTGAGAACGTTGTCTTCGACCCCATCAGCCGTGTTGTCGACTACGACGACTCCACCCTTACTGAGAACACCCGTTGCGCCTACCCCATCGAGTACATTGAAAACGCCAAGATTCCTTGCGTCAGCGAGAACCACCCCACCAACATCATCCTGCTCACCTGTGATGCCCGCGGTGTTCTGCCCCCCATCTCGAAGCTCACCCCCGAGCAGACCATGTTCCACTTCATCTCCGGTTACACCTCCAAGATGGCCGGTACCGAGGACGGTGTCACCGAGCCCCAGGCTACCTTCTCCTCCTGCTTCGCTCAGCCCTTCCTGGCTCTGCACCCCATGCGCTACGCCACCATGCTTGCCGAAAAGATCCAACAGCACAAGGCCAACGCCTGGTTGCTCAACACCGGTTGGGTCGGTGCCGGTGCCACCACCGGCGGCAAGCGCTGCCCCCTCAAGTACACCCGTGCCATCCTCGACGCCATCCACAGCGGCGAGCTCGCCAACGCCGAGTACGAGGTCTACGATGTCTTCAACCTGCCCGTCCCCAAGGCCTGCCCCGGCGTCCCCAACGAGCTGCTCAACCCCAAGAACAGCTGGACCGCCACCACCTCCTTCAAGGACGAGGTCAACAAGCTCGGCAACCTCTTCAACGAGAACTTCAAGAAGTACTCCGACGAGGCCACCCCCGAGGTCCTCGCTGCCGCTCCCCAGACCCAGTAAATTCCCCCTGGGCCGAGCGTGCGCATGCGCTCGACAAAATTGGCATTTTGGTTTGAGTTTTTGAAACATTTGCATGGCGTGCTGCGTTTTTCCCTTCGTCGGAACGATCTAGTATTTCCCCAGATCTTGACGTACGTGCTTGGATCGGGACAAGCGCGTGGATCGTGTGTTTTGCTTTTTTCCATTTCCTTTGTTTCCCGATATGGGTTTTCCTTGTGATGTTTGATATGCCCTGATCCATCTATGTGGACATGTTACGACCGGATCAATCGGAGTTCTGCTTCGACTACCTTTTGGTAGTAATGAAATTAGATTGCTCAAAATATTTTCACCTCGTAAGACATAAATCAACACACTGGTATTTGTCATGCCCATTAAAGTAGCATTCTAGGAATATGATGCAGCTGTGAGCGTCTACTTGTAATATCTAGATCAGCCTCAAGGAGCCTAAAGATACTTTTCGCTGGTACTGCCCCTCGAGATGGTAATACGCTAGTGAGTCATCGCTTTGCTTTTTTAATGAAATATTCTCGGTATATTTGAAAGAGTATTGAAAGTATATTGGTTCTTTCGTCGAATATTTGATGATGTTCATGAGAGTAGTGGTTGGCTGTCCGAGAAATATTTCCCGGTAGACTTACTTTCGAGCAGACATAGCAAACCATCACGTTGTGAATGCGTGGTAGTGTGAAGTGACACCAGTGCTATCACATAGACCAAAAAGAAATTAGGAGTCTGTTCTCTCTCTCGCGCGCGATTATTATTGACATGAAAAATAAAGAATGTAGAAATTTGTTGCAAATTTTTCGGTCGTCAATGCCAAAAGGCTGTGCTTGCACAGGGCAGTGCCGCCGGAACCACTCTCGCAACTCTGACGTCGTTGCGCGCTCCCCACAAACAATAAATGTGGATCAACAACGATCCATCGCATCGCCAAACAACCTAAAATCTACTCCTCATTGTTCCCCAACAATAAGCACGCGAGACCTCGAAATATCGCCCTCCCACACCCAGTTTGATCGTCGCCAGACGCCGAAATTTCCAAGGAAGCTCAGGCAAGGGATCTTCTTCTTGGCTCCTACGTCATTGGCCGTCCGAGCCCTGTCGAGGATGTTCCGACAAATATCATTCTCCAGCGAGCGTCCAGCACCAGCACACCCCCTGAATTCCAGCAATGGAATCGAACATCCCTCCCGCACTTTCGCCGTCGCGGACGGAGCTCGCAAAGCGTGCCGGCAGGTATCGCATGCTGGCGTCGCTCATGTCCTTCCTGGACCGGTACCTGTCGTTCCCATTCCCTCCGCGCGCCTGCCTAAACATCTCCATTCCGTCAACGCTCAGCAAGACGCCCGGCTCCATCCAGCTCTATTTTTACACGGCCCCGGGAAAAGGACTCTCCCCCGAACGAACCGAACCCCAAGCTCCCAAACGACCTGTTCTCATCAACTTCCACGGCGGCGGCTTCACGATCGGTCACGCGGTGGATGACGCACGCTGGTTCAGAGATGTCCTGCAGGCATACCCAGATGCCGTGGTCGTGAGCGTCGGATATCGACTCGCGCCCGAATATCCGTTCCCTACCGCGATCGAAGATGGCGTCGACGCCGTACTGTGGTTGTGTGACCACGCCGAACAACATGATCTCGACCCCACACGCTTCGTGATCAGCGGCGATAGTGCTGGAGGGAATTTGGCCATGACGGTGCCGCTGATGCTATACAATCATCGAGTGAAACAAGCTCAAAGCTCCGGCCAACACCCGCAGACCAGATTGGCCGGGATTATTGGTTTTTATCCTCCGACGGATTGGACCCGGACCCGCGAACAGCGAAACGCGACGAACCCAATCGCCGCCCAGAAATCCATGATCAAGCCGGATGTCTACAAACTCTTCGACGACTCTTATTTACTCCCGGAAAGTATACCTAGGCAGCATGGGACGGAAGATGTCGACATGTCCCATCCTTATCTCTCACCAGGTCTTACCCCAACGTCACTCCTGCTGGCTGCGTATCCGCCAGCCGTGGCGATCTATACCTGTGGCTGGGACCCGCTGCTGGTGGAAGGTAATACATTCCGTGAGCGACTGCGTCAGCTAGCGGTCGAGGGACAGATGGCGCATGTGGGTGGGATGGTGGTTGAAGATGTCATCCATGGTTTTGATAAAAAGCCTTCCTTTATAATGGGTAATAAGATCCGCGATCGCATGTACGGTGATGCAGTTAGGCAGTTGGGAATCATGTGGGATGGGATGGCATCGGATGACTGATTCATTTGTTCCTCTGTTTCCTTTCTTAATTCTTTCCCTTAATTTTGAATTATCCTAGCGTTCCAAGCATACCATCCACCACGCATTTTTGTTTCAGACAGCAGATACAGAAAAATATCGGTTCAAACAAATTCATTCAAGTATGGAACTCGTCGAAGAACAAGAAAATAGAAATCAAACATTAACCATCAAAATATCAAGTTATCAGAGCATCCAAACACTCAACCTCAAATAAACACACCTTTCCTTAACCTATAGCTCAATAGAGCCTCCAAAAAAGCATTTGCTCTTCTCGTGTGAGTCCAAGGACCAGCCTTACTGCCCACCCTGAGTGACATCCGTATCCAAACTCGTGTGATCAATCCCCTTCCTCACACCCTCAATTGCGGTTTTCATCGCCGGTGTTTCAGGCTGAATTGGACTGATCCATTGCCAGTCCTGCGAGGCTGCAATTTTCTGCTGCCTCTCGATCTCCTACACCACCATCTTCTGTGTCCTCTGCCTCGGAAAGTGTCGAGCCCGTACTCCTTGGTTGACTAGCGCTCGTCGCAGGATTCGTATCATGAATCTCTGGCTCCCAATGCTGAGTCTCCCCAAAGCTTTTCTGTCTCCGTCATTCTTCCTCCCTTTTACGGACTGTCTCTTTAGCTCTGGCTATGCGCTCTCCTGCGATTTCGCGGACTTGGCGCCTTTGTTTGGCGCGCGTTGCTCGTCGGCTCTGCGTTGCTCTTCAGGAGTGGGACGTCGACCTGGACGTTCTGATAGCTTGAAAGAAACCTCTGGTGTAGGACTCTGCGATCCTTTGGCTGGCATCTTCGGCGGACTCCCCGACCGAAAACTCGCCCAAAAGGCTCTGAGCCTGCGCGCTTGAGCCCGTTGCTCCACCTTCTTTTGGCCCGGCTATTTGTTGGTCCTTCGTCTTCATATATGCTTCTCTTAATCTTTCTAAGGCTTTCATCTCTATTTGTGGCGTCTTTTTTGTTTGTTCCTCCGCGTGTGGGTTGCGGTTGAGTAGTACCCTTTGGCTGTGCAGTTGAAACCGTTCCAGAACCCTTCGGTTGTGTACCTGACGACTTGCCCCCAGGTCCCGTGGAGGTCTTCCCTGTCGGGGATGTAGATTTCTCAGTCTCGCACGATACATCCGTCAATGGCCAGTCTTTGGCATTTCCCTCTCTTTTTAGGACTGACTTCAGGAAGTTTAAGTATTGTCCCTGTGTGAGCTCTGCCTGTTCCTTTGGCACTGGTATGCTGCTCATGAATTGGTGAGAGTAACATTAAGCCAGCCATCTCAAATCCAATTGGCTCATCAGTTGTCAGCTGGATCTGCGTTTGCGTAGAAATTGCACCACTGGTTTTGGCTGTCCCTGCATCTTCCGGAATTGTGCCTGTCACTTCGAGAGTGGCATTTTAGCCAGTCAATGGTGCGGGTGGCGCTGGGCCGGTCAACTCAAGTTCCATTTGTTCTGTAGCTCCCTCGTTTGCAACTTCGGCTTATTTGAGTGTGCTAACAGCGGTCCGTGTTGGCCGTGATACCGGAGGAAGCTGAGACGCTAGGGGTTTAGGTACTGCGAATGTAAACCCTTGAGTTTGGGGTGTCAGTTGTCCAGTTGCCGGTGTCCAGGAGACAGCAGGTGTATTTACTGGACCCTGCGTCACTAGAGGCTGTGATCCTGTAAATGTAAACACTGGAGCTTGAGATACCGGTGGTTGAGATACTGCAGCCTGTGTCACTGGTGTTCGAAATATTGGAAGCCTGAGATACCGCCGGCTGAGACGTTGCTGGATGTGACGCTGGCGTCTGAAGCAATGGAGTTCCAGATAATTTTTTTTGCGGGACTTTGGGTAAGCCGCCGGCGGTCATATCAGTTCCCGTGTCTCTCGAACCTTCAGAATCCCCGACTTCCTCCAGAAGGATCTCTTTCCCTTCATATATCATGCGGGGCCTTCTTCGTCGTGGTCCACGCTCATTGTCCTCTTCTACAGGGGATACGGCTTCTCTGCGTTCTCCGACGGTGGCTTGTTCTGGGGTAGGCCCTTGCTCCTGCTGTTTAGGCTGGTTTGATGGAAGAGCGATATGATCTTTGGGCCTTTGTCATTCTTCTAGCATTCCAGTAGGCGCCCATAAGCCCTTTTGGCCTCTTTGCCCTACCTGGATCTTTCCACAAGTGCACTGAACTTCTGAATGTTTGACCTGTGGTTGGTTGCATCCATTCATGGGCGGCGTCCTCGCGAAAGTCTAAGGAAGCTGCGATCCAGGGTCCCGCGCGAGTAATTCTCAATGAAACGGCGGGTTCATCATCTTTGTTTCTTTCCTTTTGTCGATCCCTTCTGGATGCCGATCTGGATCTCGAGCGAGGGTGGGCCAAGGGTGTCGGTTGTAAAGACCCTGATCCACTGCCTGTGGGGAATATTTGTTAGCATATTTGCATATGCAGACGCCGCATACAACTATACACCAGTCGCATCCGGAGATCGAACAATTACAGTAAAATCCGGTCCCGTCAGCGACGGTTGCTCTTCACCAGAGCCCAAGGAATTTGGGAGATACTAAGACAGGATGGATCGTGGAGACTGATTCCACGTTTGGAGACTTGATATCACGTTAATTCCGATCAGTCGAGCCTCCCCCTCTCCTGCTTGGTGCATGCTAAATGTCGAAGTATCAATACTCGACAGACTTAACCACAAAGTGTCACGGTCAGACTCGGTCAGTCCGTAGTCTCTTAGCGGCCTTGAAAATCTGTCAAATCTAAAAGCCGCTGCATTGACCCAGTCGCCATTCTGACTGCGGTCTTCCGGACCGTTTGGGTCTGCTATCAAATCACTCAAGCGTAGTGCTACCGGATATTGAGATCCGCTGGCGCGGATGATGTGAATATCAGCATTGGGATGATAGAAGGCCTAGTAAAATCAAAGGCCTCTTTTTGTGATTGTGAAGGATATGGTGGTGATTGTGGTGCGTTCCGCCCGCCTCCTGGATCCCGACTTGATTCCCGTCTGAGTTCCTGTCTGGGCTTCTGTCTGGGTGCCTGTCTGGATTCCCCTTTACTGTTGCGCTTGCCTCTGGTCGGCTTGCTTCCTCTGGCCCTGCCTGATTGGATTTGGCAGAGTCCCTAACCGTGCTTGAATTTCCTCTTTTATTGCGTCACGTTGAATGCTGAATCGGAGATTAGAGGGCTAATCAGTATTGTAAGCAGATCGGGCTACGTTGGTCAAGGCATTCTGATCGGGCAAGCTTTTTGCAACACCAAGCGTATTAAAGACCTCGTGTTTGCCTTCGTCCGCGCGTTTCTGCCGCTGGGCAGACATTCTGTCCATGTTGGGCGCTGACTCTGCTTGGAAGTCTCGTGCTGTGATGTGAGTAGTTGCAGTAAGCCTAGACTTGATAAAGGACTTCACTGATGCCAAAGTCTCGCCAACAACTACAACTCGACTAGATGAATTTATTTTCATCATTCTCTGAAGAGTGAGCATGACGGGGGTGTTGAAAGAAAAAGTCGAGATGGACTGCCACTTGCACTTTTTTTTTTTTTTTTTTTTGGGCGAGAATGGGAAAACGAAGTAAAGAAGACTGAGAAGTTGAGTCGATTGTACATGGTAGTTCATGGTTGATCCAATCGCTGCTATGGGAGAGTCTTTCTATGCGTATCATGGTAGCGCAGTCCACTTTTTTATACATCCCGAGCATGGACCGACAATGTCGCACAGTTGGTCCTTTCTTCCTCCCTCAGCTGTAAGCAGCAGGACAGGGTCGAATTTGTTCCTCAGTTCAGCCTGGGCGGTGTGCCGTAAACAATCCTCAGCAGCGAACTGGCTCCGAGGCTCCATTCTGCATCTGCTCGGACGCTAGTAGCGCCAGGATCGCGCTAGCACAAAGCCAGAGGGGAAAATAAACCCAAAGAGGCATACCAGACCACATCATGGGCACTTGATTTTCAATTTCGAAGTATCCAGCCAGGGATTGCCTTTTCGTCGAGTCTCCACGGGGCCAATCTCTGTTCGCGCGACTAGTGACCAAAGGTACGAAAATCAATCGGAGGCGTCAGGAGTGCTGCGTCTGCGGCCGAAATCAACCTGGGAGCCCAAAGGCACCGTCTATGGCAGCACGAGGAAACATGCAGTAGAAACCACGGCTGGCGGACTCGCCGATAGAAACAAGCACTTCACATGAAAACTCGCGGCAGTCCGGGGTCGGGGGGTTGCTCTCCACAAGTTCCGGGCAGCAGCCGAGGTTGGCCGCCCGCGGCTCCAGACACCGGTCAATTACCGGCTCCTTCGCGTCATTACCCTTCCACCTCCGACTTGACATCTTCATCCTCCGACCACCCCCCGACCCTTTCCCTTGTTCACCTCTTTTTCGTTCGTGACCGGGAAACAAAGGCATCATGGTTGCCGACGCTCTCGTCTACCACCCTGCCCTCGCGCACTGGCTGCGCTTTGTTGCGACAACCAGTATGTATTCCCCCTGCACCCGATCGAGGACCGGCTTTCATGGCATCACCATCGCCTGTGGGACCTCATGTTCCCCAGAGATGCGAGAAGAGATGTCCATGATCCCTTGCTTCAACCATCCAAGCCACTCCCCACCACCGAGCAATCACTCGGATCCCTATATCCGAGGCCTCAGCTAACCTTCTACCTCCAGTCGGCCGAGATAAGCTCCTCCGAACCCTGCAATACTTCTCCCGCTTCTACGCCTGGTACCTGTACCGCACCAACCGCCCCCAGTCGGCTATCGACCCCTACAATGCGGTGAAGAAGCAGTTTGGCACCACCCGCAAGATCCTGCGTATTGGCAAGTTCGCCGAGCACCTCAAGGCCGCCTCCGTCGCTCTCGACAACAAGAGCCCCGTTGACCCCGTCCTGCGTTACTTGGCCGTCGGTCGTCAGCTCGGTTACGCCGGCTACCTGTCTCTCGACACCATCACCGTCGTCGACGCCGTCGGCTACCGCAAGCTTGCCTCCGTCAAGAAGCTGCAGGAGCACGCCTACCGTGCCTGGGGTGCTGGTCTGCTGTGCAGTGCCGTCGCCGGTATCTACACTCTCTTCCGCCTGCAGGAGAAGGAGAAGACCATCAACCGCAAGGAGGGTGAGGGTGTCGTGGAGGCTAAGAAGATCGAGAAGGAGCGTGCTGCTGCCCGGATACAGCTCATCTCTGATCTGTGCGATCTGACTGTCCCCGCTACCGCCGTAGGCTTCGCCAACTTCGACGATGGCATCGTCGGTCTCGCCGGTACCGTCAGCAGTTTGATCGGTGTGTGGTCCCAGTGGCGCAAGACTGCGTAAATGGGATGACGGTGGTTTGTAAGGTTTAGTTGAGGTGAACTAGCTTGCAGAGGGAACTGGTCTGGTCTGTACTGGTACAGAAGGCCGAAGCCTCCTCTCGGGTTGGTCAATGTGTTTTATTGATCTAAGGCGCGGAAGACAAGCGGTAGCTTCGTCGGCCTAGACACCCTCCCGCGTTTATATCCTTGTGTTCGTGGACAAACTTGTACCCTTGTTTTTTCTACCTGTTTCCGCTTGGAATATGTCTAGATGCCCCTTTCGTTTGTTTACGTATATACCATAGGTAGAAATCCTACGGGGTCTACAAAGAAAGTTTTCATATCTGTAGCATTCTCATGCATGAGTAGCTTCTATCAGTAGGGCCTTGTGGTCACCAAGGAATAGCTGTCATACTGAATGTCCTCGGCAGCTCGCCTGAAACCACTAACCACCAACCCATAATCTACAGCACATGCCCCTCAACACCACATCCGAATCGTAATCTCGTAGACCGCGTCACTCATCACCATTCATAATACACCCCTGGGTCCTCAAACCGGGATTAGCCCTGCATCCTGTAGGATAGCTGGACTTAGACGGGGCAGGTCTTGAAAGCGTTAGTTGCACGTCCATCAACAGGTCAAGAGATTCTTCAACTCACAGCACCGCAAGAGCCACAGCTCTTACCGGCACCGGTGAGGGCGGTACCGCACTTGGGGCAGCTAGCGTGGCCAGACATGATTTTTGTAGTGGTGGTTGATCGGTTGATCTGCGTGGAGTCAGAACAAAAGCTGATGACGCTGTCTGGATATGTGTTGATGGCACGGGCGACGCAACAACAACCCTCAGAAGCATATCATACCTGGATAATTGAAGTATTTGGGAATAGTGGAAAGCGTGTAGACGAGTGAAAGTGAGTAGAAAGGTCAGCAGCTGGTCGTGGGAAAAAAAAAAAAAAGGACGCAACTGATTTACCCCGCCTCGGCGCCCCGCTCTTAGACGCGGTCTGTGATACTTTCCGATCTATACCGGTATCAATGAGATCGAGTCAGAGATGGGCAAGTGATTATGGCAATTTTTTGGAAAGTAACGTTCCAGCACGGAGATTATTGTAACCACAACCTCGCCATGACATGTCTTAGATACTTAGATTCTTCTACGCAGGAGAAAACGGTAATAAGGATTGATTGATTGCATGGGATCATGGTATCCATTTCTCATAAGAATAAGTTACTAAATAAAGCATACACTGGTCCGCTCTGTCGACATTCAGGCAGACTATCATACAAGCAAGGATAAATCATCGAAACGCACTCCCGAATCAGACCACCCATAGATCAGCACGGAAATTACTCGACATCCTTTTGATTTGAGTTTTCTTTCACAATATGTCGCTAGGGCATTCCTTGAATAAATCATGTCGCTAGGGCTCATCAAATATCATCGGGTCTGTCGCAAGCGGAAATAATAGCCGTGTGTTGTCGCATAGGGGTCGGATTTGTTCGAGGCGCATGGGTCAGAATAATTTGATTCATCGAAGATACGTGTCGGGCTGTGTGGGCGTTGGATATGATATGCGCTTCGGGAAGGTGTTGTGAGTAAATCGCCTTACTCTTCGTCGATGCGAGCGCCGTGACCAGGGGTACCCATGGTCGAAACGTCGTAGCCGTTCTGAGCAAGGAATTCGCGGAACCGAGCGTCTTCGTCGGTGATGGTGTCCTGGAAACAAAGTGTCAGTAGAGGTCTGGAAATAGGCTGTATAGACCAACCTGGTTAATCTGCGGCAGAAGGAACACGGCGAGCGCGGCACTGAATATGCACAGCGAGCTGGAAACGAAGAAAGGATCCTGGCCGGACCGAATGCTGTTGGGGGCATTCTTCTGCACGATGGGGAGGACGTAGGTTCCGACAAAGGCTCCGATCTTGCCGATGGCTGCTGCGTATGAGTAGTATTGGCCACGGATGGCAGTTGCACTGGTCTTGGCCGCACAGAGGCCGATGTTGTCGCCGGGGCCAAATTCTCCAAGGGCAAGGAAAATTCTACTACAGTTAGACAGGCGATCAAGGCAAAGGCTGTAAGCTGCGATTACTTACCCATACACCACGACGAAAGCAGCCACGTTCTCCGAGGTTGCCAGCCACTTATAGCAACCGGACATGATAAAGCCGACCACACCTTGGAGGAAAACTCCGAGGGCAAGCGTATTCTTGGGTCCGATCCAGTCACTCGAAAAGGCACCGAGAGCGGAGCCAGGAATGTAGAAAAGATAGGTGAGGGTAGTCCAGCCGAAGGTCTTCCACATGGGTGCGTTGCCGCCTTCGATGATGGAGAGCCACTTCGAAGAATACAATCCGAAAGAGTACGACGAGAAATCGTAAATGAACCAGATCAGACAGACTGCGGCCTGTACGTTTGTTAATTGAATAATTTTTTGGAGATTGAGCAAAACTCAGCATACCAGACGCTTCCAGTAGAACCTTTGATGGGTTGTCATGTCAGTCAAGGCGCATACAGGGCGCAGTGAGATAAAACTTACTTGACGATCAACCGGATTGGGAACGTGTGCATGCGCTCGCGATCGAACTCCTCGGGTTCGTTCAGCTTGTACCGCAGGTAGACCAAGCTGAGAGGCGGAATCACTCCCAAGCCGAGGGCGACACGCCAGGCAGCACGAAGGTGGTCTTCCGTGAAGATCAGGCAGAGAACCATGGGGACGAAAGCCGAGACAACAAAACCGAAGTCGATTTGGAAGTTGGTGAACATGATGAACCAGCGGTTACGGTGGCCACTCTTGAGCTCTCCCGTGTTCTCGGCGCACGCAACAGATCCAGCAGGATACTCGCCGCCGATGCCAATGCCGATGAAAAATCGGTAAGCAGTGAGAGCGGCAAACAGGCCATACTGGCTGTCATGCGCACCGTAGGAACCAGCCGAGAGGGCGGCGAAGACGAAGAGAATAATGGTCGAGATCATCAGAGACCACTTGCGCGAGTACACATCGCTGGTGTATCCGAAGACCAGCATGCCAACGACAGTGCCTGCGAAGGCGATCGCAGACACATTCTGACTGGCGGGGGAGTTCTTGTACGTATCCGGATATATGGTGCTGAGCATGGTGTTGACCTGACCGATCACCTACAGCAACGTGTCAGCCATGGATGGCATGCTGCAGATCGCGGGGGTACGTGGGACGACGGGTGTGCCAGGCGGCTTGCCAACATTGCCGGGAAGTGAATTGGGGGGGGATTTCGAGTAACTTACGCCATTGAGATAGCCATCCGAGAAAAGACCAGCACCGCAGGCGATGGTGGGCCAGCTGCGTTCCCAACGACCTTTGGCGGCGTCGTCCAGCGGAGGGACATCTGCAATGGGGCCAGCTTCGACCGAGGTTTTTTCCTGGAGTCCCTTGGGCTCCGAATAGCCCTCTTCGGCTTGCGAACTCATCGTGAGGTACTTTTGACAAGGGTCACGAGTAGCAGTCTCGCGTTGCAGATGAGCTTGGAGATATGAGTAGAGGGGGTAGAGAAGCGGGAGCGTGTGTTATCGCGTACTACAAATGCGAACCGTCACGGAACTTCCCGCTGCGGACGGGAGCCTGCTCGTCGAGGATGCCGAACCTGTCGAAGATGAGCGAAAAGAGAAGAAACTAAGAATAAATAACTAGGTAGGGCTGGGAAGCTACCATGAAAAAAAAAAGTTAAGAGGATGGGCTCTAGCCTAGATAAGCAAGTGGTGGCCAGCCTAAGGCGTACTAGGAAACTCTAGCGCTCGAGAACAAGGACAGTGCCATCTCCAGTGTACCCTCCGACCTGCTCCCCTCCGATAACCAGCCCTCATTAGCTGTGCTACGCTACTAGTAGTGTACTAGGCACTACCCCAGCGGAATGTGGGGCTGCCTAGCGATGCGAGCTCGGGCTAAGCATCAACAGTCGGTCCAGGAGGGCCAATGAAAACTTTGGTCTCATATCACACGCCCACGCCCACGCCGCTCGGCGAGCCCGCGCTGCCATTACAAGCTATTCGAGGTTGTGTGCACGCGGCCTCGCATCATCGACCACGATCTGATAAACCATTGCAATTGGCCGCCCTGCCGTCAACGTCCCTGAGGGTATTCTTCAATAATCGACATCCTATTCGGTGCACGTGCGAACCGTTGGATCGGGGCCGAGCCTACCCTGGTGCACCGGTGGAGACCGGCTGTGCCTCGGGTTCCAGCTAGCCTGGTTAGCAGAGGCTAAAAATGGCTAGGGGTGGACAAAGGGCGGCAGAGAAAAGCAGCAAGCCGAAAGAGGACTGACGAAAGCTGGGCGATAGAAAGTAGGCCACAGAGCATCAGACCAAATGTGCCCAGATGGAGTGTGACTACGATGTGAAATGACATGCACACGGGGATACCGAGATTCCGGTTTGCTGGCAGATGGGATAACATTTCCACTATTCTAGCGTACAGATTCCGGCATATTATTTCTCACAGGGCCTCGGTGTTGGTAGATGCATCACATGATTTCAGGTGTGCTACATTGTAAAAATGTACACTGCTGTAGGAATAGGGATCAAAAATTACTATGAATCCTGGGGATCTTTGCCTGCAGTGTGTAATTGTATGGAAGTCATTGAAAGAGCACCACGATCCCTTCACAACGCCACGACTGGACTGCACACTGCCATGGCAGTGTGGACGCCAGTACCTGCCTACTTGAGCATTAGCCGCGTCCAAGTCATGGTGTCTACAGGGTACATTGTATCGTCAGGATTTACATAGTCTAAGTAGCTGTGAGGTAGTATTTTTGAGTTCAAATCCTTTGTAAGTGTTATGGAGTCCCAGTGGGTTCCTACAGCCCCCGGGGAGAGATTGTTGCTGATACCACACGGCAGACATCATACTGCGGGCAACTTCATTACCAAATATATTTTCTGCTTCAAAGTGTTAGTTGTACACTTGCATGAGAACAATGACTGTAAAGTCGAGATGGACGCACGCGACCGGCAGCAAGAAAGACAGCACTAGCGCTAATTAATGTTTTCTTTAATTGCTGGGCTTGGATAAGAGGTTCTCGCAGGGATACGAGATCCTGCAAAAAAAGGTCAAAGTACTGATCCAAGGCATCCGCAGTGTGATGCCTTGTGGCCTGGGGAAAATGGCACTAAATTGGGTCGGCCCGGAGAAACATTCCGCCAGCTGAGCTTGGGTCCCAGCTACCGTGATGCATCCCGAATCCCATCGAAACACACCTCTCAACACCCTTCCTTCCATTCCGCTTCCTTTTCTCGTCATCGTCAGTTTTACCGGCCCCTCGCAATCATGGGGTCCGATCCGCAGTACATCAAGTACCCCGACCTCCTCCTCGCCCAACATGTTTTCAACCTTTCCAACCCTGCATGCTCCGCGTCCATCCAGCAGACCTCATTGTCGAAGCTGCAAGATGTCATCAAGGAGCGCAAGATGGCTCCTTTCTACCGCCACCTGGCCCACCCGACCGAGGGCATCTTGAACACCACCGGCGAAGGTGTGACGCAACACCCGCACGGTGCGGGCTCCTCCAAGCCTCTGATCATCTCCGACATGCTCGCATCGCGCAAGTCTCCACAAAAGATCGACTTCCCATGGGATGAGAAGCTGTATCAATCTCTGGTGGAGGACAACAAGCAGGAGCTGGAGACCTTCCAGAAGGAGGAGGATGAGGCAGAGGAAGCCGCCGGCGAGACCGAAGTACAGGCCGCGCGAGGGAAACGGGCCGAGTTCTGGGCTCGGGTAGGAGACAAGGTAGGTTCTGCTTAATTGCTGAGTCCATTCCGTATAGGTGTGTTAATATTCAATTCTCTTGACAGGACAAAGCCATCGAGTCGCACGAAGCCCTTCTGGAGAAGATCGGATTCCTCGGTACCAAGATCGACCTCGTTCTCGCCATGATTCGCATTGGACTGTTCTTTGGAGATCGCGCATTTGTGAAGAAGACGATCGAGCGTGCCGAGACCTTGGTGGAGAGCGGTGGTGACTGGGACCGGAGGAATCGCCTCAAGGCATACAAGGGCATGCACCTGCTCACCATCCGTTCCTACAGCCTAGCGGCGCCCCTTCTTCTCGACAGCCTGTCTACATTCACGAGCTACGAACTTTGCAGCTACTCCGCCTTGGTGATCTACTCCGTGCTTGCTGGATCGTTGTCCCTCAAGCGTGTGGACTTCAAGGCGAAGGTGGTCGATGCGCCTGAGATCAAGGCTCTTCTTGGTGCTGGCGAAGACCAGCTGGCCGCTCTGTCCGGCGAGACCTCCGCTGGCCCCGGTGCTCGGGAGGAAGAGATGAAGGATGCTACCGTGTCATCATCAACCCCAACTGGTGGAAAGGGTGTTCAGACTGCGATTAACCTGACAACCTTGGCCACCGGTTCCGGCTCGCAGACCGAGTCTGAAACCCCCGTGGACTTTTCTCCTCTGGCCAATCTGGTCAACAGTCTCTATAATGGAAACTACCGGTCGTTCTTTGTGGCCCTTGCGGCCGTGGAGGACCACTTCCTGACTCAGGACCGATACCTGCACGAGCACCGGGCGTGGTTTGTTCGGGAGATGCGGCTACGTGCCTACCAGCAGCTGCTGCAAAGCTACCGGGTGGTGGGCCTGAACAGCATGGCCAATGACTTTGGTGTGACCGTGGACTATCTGGACCGGTATGTATCGCCCAAGAGTCTCGGTTTTTTTTCTCCCTGCGATTTGATTCATGTGACTGACTCTGTTTCTAGCGACCTGGCCAAGTTCATCTCGAGCGACCGCATTGCCTGCACCATTGACCGCGTCAACGGCATCATCGAGACCAACCGTCCCGACGACAAGAACAAACAGTACTCTGATGTGGTGAAGCACGGTGATGCTCTGATCACCAAGCTGCAGAAGTACGGACAGGCTGTTCGGCTTCGGGGCAGTGAGCGCAGCTAGATTAGACGATGGATATGGGATGACAGAGTGATATAACTACGTATTACCAACACCAAATGACCAAGATATTTCTCGCATACGCACTTCTTCTAGAACCGATCTACTGGATCCTCTTTACTGAAATACACCAACCCCCGCATGTCGGGCGGCTCCGGGGTGGCAACGGAGCCCACTCGTCGGGCAACGGCCTTCCCGAGGAAAGGCCCGAGGAGAAGATCGTCCCTGCGCCCGAACCATTGGTGCCCTGTGCTTGTTGCTGGCCCTGAATAGTGGCATCTGTCTGTCACCCTGTGCCTTTCACCCCGTAGAATTGCTTTATAGAACCTCAGATCGCCCTCTTTTTCTCGTCCGATAGACGCCTCCGCACTGCATTGTCCGGTTTATGTGGGGAAACCATGCTGACTCACAGTCTCACCGCCCAATCGGGCCTTGTGGATGTTATTTTTTTTTCCGTTTTCCTCATCCCGCCTGATCGAGATCTAAGCCTGAAGTAAACCCCTACCGAATTTTTCAACCGAGATGTCCTGGCAATTTCGACTCGGTTCGCGCGCCCGGGCAGCCCCGTTGCGGGCGTCGGTGACCCGGCCGAATGGTCTCCTACTTCGCCCGACCGCGCTTGCTGCGGGGGATTCTCCGCTAGGTCAGGTACGTGGTTGACCTACTATGCGCTATTATTATATGTATCGCCGACGATAGCCTTCGTCGTATGACACCATTGCTGCTCGCTCCACTCTACTTTTCTTGATTGTCCTCCCCCACGCTGCGTCACTCACCTCAAACCACTCCGTCTCTGTCGTTTTGACCGTCAACTAACATTCACCCCCGGGTCAATTAACAGCACCCACCATGACTCAAACCACCGTTTCCTACGGCACCCGGACTCTCTCAGTCAAGTCTGGCAAATGCCTTAACCTCGACAACATTAATCCTCACATCCGGGAGGCCAAGTACGCCGTGCGTGGTGAATTGGCCGTCAAGGCGGAGTCATACCGGTCTCGCCTGGCCGAAGGCGACAAGTCCCTCCCGTTCGAGAGCGTCATCTTCGCCAACATCGGAAACCCACAGCAACTCGACCAGAAGCCCATCACCTTCTTCCGACAGGTCCTCAGTCTCGTCGAGAACCCCCTGTTGCTGGAGAACCCCGAAGCCCTCAAGACGTCCTTCGGATACAAGCAAGACGTCATTGACCGCGCCCAGACCTTGCTGGCCAATGTGCAGAGCGTCGGTGCCTACAGTCACAGTCAGGGTGCACCGGGCATCCGCAACAGTGTCGCCCAGTTCATTGAGGACCGTGATGGCTTCCCCGCCAACCCTCAGGACCTCTTCCTAACTGCCGGTGCCTCGTCTGGTGTCAGCACTCTGTTGAACGTTATTTGCGATAAGCCCAGCGCCGGTGTTCTAGTTCCCATTCCCCAGTACCCTCTTTATACCGCCACTCTGTCCCTCCTGAATGCGCGATGCGTTCCCTACCTCCTGGACGAGCAGAACGCCTGGGGCACTGATATCAATGTGATTGAAAAGTCCATCGCGGACGCCAAGGCTGCCGGCACTGACGTGCGCTCCGTTGTCGTGATTAACCCCGGTAACCCCACCGGTGCCTCGTTGAGCCCCGAGGACATCAAGAAGGTCATTGATATTGCCGCCACCGAGAAGCTGGTCATTATTGCCGACGAGGTCTACCAGACCAACGTCTTCACCGGCGAGTTCACCTCGTTCAAGAAGCGCCTCCGTCAGCTCCAGCAGGAGCAGCCTGGCAAGTACGATGACGTCGAGTTGGTTTCCCTGCACAGTACCTCCAAGGGTATGGTTGGCGAGTGCGGTCACCGTGGTGGTTACTTCGAGCTGGTCGGCTTCGACCCTAAGGTCCAGGAGCAGATCTACAAGCTCGTCAGTATCGGCCTGTGCCCGCCGGTCGTGGCGCAGTGCCTGCTCGAGACTATGGTCAACCCTCCCCGCCAGGGCGAGCCTAGCTACGAGCTTTACCAGAAGGAGTACAACGGTATCCGTGACGGTCTGCACAAGCGTGCCCTCGCTCTGTTCAATGCCTTCCAGCGCATGGAGGGTGTCGAGTGCCAGGAGCCCCAGGTAAGATCCTCTTCACAATCAAAACATACCGACAACTTATGCTAACTTCAACACCCAGGGTGCCATGTACCTCTTCCCCACCATCAACCTCCCCGCTAAGGCCGTCGATGCCGCGAAGGCTGAGGGCCGCGCCGCCGATGAGTTCTACGCCCTCGCCATGCTCGACGCCACTGGTGTCTGCGTTGTTCCTGGCTCCGGTTTCGGTCAGAAGGAGAACACCCTGCACTTCCGCACCACCTTCCTCGCTCCCGGTACCGACTGGGTTGAGCGCATCGTGAAGTTCCACTCCGAGTTCATGAACAAGTACCGCTAAGATCCTCACGTAACAAACAAGAGCATCTATACATTCAGGTAGATACCGGATGCTCTGATTTGTTTGTTTCCTTTTACACGTTATCATGTGAGACGATTTTCCGCCTCGAACTTTCTTCTGCAGCCACCCGCTTCTGTGCACGGGCTTTGTTTTTTCGATTGATACGATACCATATAGACCACATATTGGGAATCTGTGGTGCTGGCTTGAAAAGTGGTGTTGGTCAGTATCCTGGAGCATATGCATTCGGTCTGGAATAGGCTGAGATTGACTCTTTTCCTCATTTCCTTGTGTATGGACTTGCATCTCAATGGTGCTGGAATAGAACAATTTATGCTCCAAAGCATCTTTGAAAACCTTGCCTTTTTCTGTATCCATTTACTCATACCGTAGGCAACATCGGTTGATGTGATAAATCTTCCTCTTGAAACCTAGAAGACAATCTCTATTTATACCCAATTCTGGGGTCAATGCGGGGGTATAGTTCCATACCCCACGCAATCCAGACCCACCTTCCCACTCAAGGCATTGAATCCAATCTAACGCTAGTACTAGCTGCCAGGTACGTGTCAAATGTAAAAAAAATGGACTATCACCCCTGAGACCTCCTTCCGCAATAGGAAACCGCAGATAGAACACCCGAGGTTGAAGTTAGTACCCCCGCTTCACAGCAAAACAAAGAGCCCGACTTAGGACACCCCCAAATCCAACGCCTCCAATCTCCTCCTTTCCATCTTCTCAAAATCGACCTGCGGGCCCGTAAACGCACCCCTCTTACTAACAAACCAAAGCCCACAATAAACCCCACAAGACCGACAAAGACAACGGGAATATAGTTCATATTTTGCGGGTTCACGGGTCGCGATGTTGGGAAACAATAGACGATATTCAGGAATAGAACTCGGGACACGGTGATGATGTTAATACGGTATCCGTATCATCCGTGGGAGAAGACCCGGGGTGGGAGGACGGTTTCGCGACCTCGGTACAGGATGATTGCTTGCGGGATTATGCAGGAGGTTTGAAGGAACATTATGTTTACGCCGACCATTGCTGAGAAGGCAGCTGTTGAGCCGAGGAAGATGAAGCCGTAGAGCTGATTTGTCGGGTTGAGATTGTCTAGAGCGATGGTGTGTAAGATGAACTTACTGTGACTACTGTGGATGAAAGTATCATAGCGTTGGCAGGCATTTGATAGCGTCGGCTAACTCGATACCAAACCTTTGAAAATGGCAAGCCACCATCTCTGGATATTGCCCACAGTTTTCTGGAATTTGTCGTTCCTTCATGATATTAGTATGTCCTCATCTGCATTCGGATTTGAATCCAGGCAACTTACCATTAGTGACAGCACATCCGAAGAAATAGAATGCAAATAGAGACATGAGGGTCGTGGCCGCTGCTTTGGATTCGGTGCCTTGATAGTAAATCTCCAACAAGGGGAGATCATTAGACGAGTTCAAGACGGAATCTAGATCTTAGATAGCAGCCATGCATGAGATAGCATAGGGGGTAGCCTTAGATATTCCCATCAAAATTGGGTATAGCATGACCTAGGAACATTTCGACCAGGATTCGGGATATCTTTACAGAGATGCGCTGCTGCGTCAGTTCCAAGGAATGCGTAGACAGCGTTCCTAACCGTAAGTATAAACGCGATACCGTCATTGGGCCAGCCCCTGCGATTATCGGCGTTGGAGAATATGTGTTCTGCTGGAGGATAGTTGTTGCGAGAAACAGGCCAATAGAGTAATTTCAGTGGAGGATAACGAGAGAATTGCTAGTGTCACTGAAAAAAAAAATCAGAGTGCGAGATGAGAAAATAATGGCTAGATTACACGAACAAATTACTTGGTTGAACGCGGAATCAATTGTGAGAAAAAAATATTGATACCGGCTACCACCTACATCAACGCACTATACACCAGCCATTGACGCCGAGCAACTTACTGGTCCAGATGCTTGCCATGGTCAAGATCATCGAGGCAACGAAGTTGCACACCAGAGGCAGCACCAAGCCACCAACCGAAAACACTGACCCACCCATTCCTGCGAAGCATATTAGCGGGCTGAAGGAATTGAGCAAGTGGTCGAATGATCCCTACAAGTACGCCGCAAAGGCTCGGTACTTTTCACTCGAGACCATGAAAGACCAGTAATACTGCCTGGCAACTGGATACGCAGACACAATTTCCGCCAGTTCCAGAGACACAATACCAGTCATAAACCCGGCGAGACTTATTCCAATGGACGACCCGACACCGGACCAGGTGCATGTCCAAGCGAAGCAGAGAGATATCATGCTGAAGACTGTGAATTGGCGTAGCACTTCGGCTGTGTAGCCGTTTGCTGCGAGCTCTTGGTCGTTGATGTCCATTTTTATGTCGATGTTTGCGTCGGCATAGGGGAGAGGGGCTATCGTCTGCCTCTCGGGCTGGAGGGAAGGATCCCACATGCTGATAGGTGTTTCCTCGGCAATGTCAGGGGTCGGATGTGGCCGCTTTGCTCCAATGGGAGAGAGTGTGAAGAGGATTGGGATTTCTCATTAGGCTGGCAATAGACATCAGGAGACCCTGGTACAAGTTCCTTTCAGCAATGCTTCGCTTCACCTCTCGTACATTCCCAATTAGGAAATCCGGGGAAGTAAGCATTGTGGGGAGTCTTGTTTCAGAAAGGCATTCGCGTGGGAGTGACATGGAGAGGTGGTTCTTGGTATATATGGCATAAGATGTCTCTCTCAAATCCGTAGCTGCTATAAGAGATGGGACCAGCCTGTCAGCCCTAATCGTGTTAGTCACAAAGCTTAACACTCCTGTAGAAAATAGCAAGTCAGCCAAACCGGGTGCCTATTTAGAAAATCCTGGGCAGAACTGAAAGAGTAGTAAAGATTCAAAGCTTGTGTTTATAAAAGGCTTAAGGAGAGACGGGATAATCGACGAGCGTGTTGTTGACATCGACCGTGGTGGCCTGATGGCTCAGGCCGAAATTTCGCCAGATCCAGCAGCTTACTCGCTGGAACTTCCCTTGTTCTTCACAGTAGTAGTTTCAACCAAATATCTGCTCCACTGCACGATAGTATCTTTTGATCTCTTGCGTTTCCCGGGAGCCAGGGATGGAGCCCCAAGACTGACTATTTGTGCACAACTTCTCATGTTCTATCCAGGAAACTTGCGTTGGATCCTGAATTGATATGTATACATTTAGGGTAAATAGTATTCGCATGAGGCCCATAATTAAGAGGCCTAATACCTTACCCATGACAATAGTCAGGCCTAGCGTAACAGTGACCTTGGGTTTTACGGTTACAACTTACCGATGAGTATCATCTAGGTACTCATACTGGCGGACAAGACCAAACCCTAGCAGTACATGACACACAGGATATACATGAGATGCCGACTCATCCGAGCCGGAATGCGACAATATCTCCCTAGAGATTGGCATAATTGACAGCGGTGCCCTATAGGATTCTCGGAGCTTGTAAGCGGGATATCGGGAGATATATTACGCCTCCCTTGCTTCAGCCACGAATCTCGGCGGTTGACATCGTAAGTTCTGAGACGTTCGGCGATTCCAATTGCCGGATAATACCGAAAAAGACACTTTTAGTCTGAAGAAATCAGAATGTGTATTATATTAGCCGCCTTCTGGAAATAACCGCCGCTTTTTAGGAGCTTTAACCCAGCAAATAAGCAGCATATTTCCGGGGTCTAAACCCCATCCTTACCAGTACCCCAGCCCGCAATTTTTGCCCTAGACAAGGTTCCCATGCCCGAATAGCCCGTGCAGAGCTAAGCATTAGCCAAGCCCATGTACCCAAGGCTTGTACCACGAGAAAGCGGATCAACCGGCTGCAGCGTACGTGTGGCATGCTGGAGACACGCACGAGAGCTGTACGAGGACGATCAGGCAAGGTCTTGACTAAAAAGAAAAGACTTGGTATGTAGGCTGTACGCCGCGTCGCGCTGGCATGTACATTGAACACGTACCCGCCTCTTCGGAATGGACTCGCGATCTCGAATTAATTGGGGGGGGGGGGGGGGGGTGGGTAATGGATGGTTTTCGATCTCAACAGGAATCATGGGTCCAGATGATGATTTAAGGTTGTTTCAATGGCTGAATGGTGGCTGCTTGGTTCGGTTTGCTCACCGCTACTTTGAGTTTCGTGTAGGTGTATAGCGTGGAGTACCCGCTTGCTCTATGTTATGCCAGTATTTCGAGTATCGATTATCTGTGCGTGATCAATTATGATTGCCGGATGTAGAGCTCAAATGGGATAGATGTATGCCTTTTTGACTATTGGTAAGTACCAGTAGTACTTGAAGTTTAGGCGAGATACTGCTGAGATTGTCAATATACATTCGAGTTGTGATATATCCTTGATGTATAGTCATCGGAACGACCAAAACAGGCAAAAAGCAAATAAAAATCAAATCAACTCAGTGACAAGGGAGAAATCCAGAAAAAAAGGTAAGAACCACCCCAAATCGTCACCGATTTCCCATGACGCCCTGCAGCCCCCGATCGCAGCTGTATAGCCTTTTCGCTGCACGATGAGAAAACCTGCTTTGCTGAGGTGAGACACCCCAGCCCGAGTGGGTCTCGGCGTGTACTCACCGCAACATGCGTTTGGTGAAACGGTGACCCGATCGCATTTGAGTTCGTCCACAGCACATCCGTGCTGCGCTTCTGGTTCGGATGTTTCCACCGAGAGCGCTCGTGCCCCTGGAGGCTAGGTAGGCGCTTGCGCCTTGGGACGCGGTTGGAGACCTGAGTTGGGGTCTGCCAAGCGCCTGGCGGTCCGATCGATTCGCATGGGTATTGCGAATCAGGGCTGGCTGATGACATCGTGCCCGGGGTGAGGTGCAGATTTGCATCAGGTGCATGTTGCGTACCGAGTGGGATGCTTCTATAAGCAGGATATGCAGTGGGACTGGTCAGAATTGCCATGTCAGATGTGTGATATTCTGGTTTGGGCTAAGGATTGTACACATTGGTCTATACATTTGAACAGCGACAAGCAAAACAAAGAGCAGCAAAGCACGAGTGTGGTCCCGCCGGATCATGTACAAGTGGCGTTGTATATCCCAAAACACAGAACCCCTCTAGATTGATGCTATCATGGAAGAGATCTAGGCTGGCTAGTCAAACAAAAAATATCAGGCATTTATCATCATCTCTCATCAAGGTCATGAAGACGGTGTGGAGGTGGTGGTAAGGTGCCGCTAGGCAGCGGAGACCCCAGGAAGAGAAAGGTAGAGAATTAGGAGAGAAAGAAGCTAAAACAACATGGCACTCCTTCGCGGCTACTGCGCCCAGGACTGGCGGAAATAACCATCATCCACGGGCGGGGTGGACTCGTCGAAGAGGCTGGTTGGCCAAACAGGGACAGGATCCTGTGACTGGGGCAGGGTATAGATGTCCTGCGCAGGGATCGGCTTGGATTCGATTCCCATGCTGGCTTGCAGCCGATGCTCGAGCGCGGCGGTCGACTCGTTAGCCGACTTGAGGAAATCATCAATGTTGATCGACTCGAGGTCATTTGACGAGAGGAGCTGCGTTTGAGGCAGACCGACCAATGAGGAGGCAGAGCTGATGCGGAGATGGTCCATGTCCGATGCTTCACTGACGCTGTGCAGATCGTGCACGTCATTGCTGCCAGTGTGCCCGAGACCCGGGAGAGGTCCGAACTCATCCACCTCGGAAATGTCACCAGAGGAAGAGGGTGGTGGCAGACCTGAGGGGTAGGAATTGTAGTCGAAGCTTGCGTAGGACGGTGTCTGCGTGCTTGTTGAAGCAGGCACATCCGAGTAGAGCGGGAAGCTCGACCAGTCGACCGATGGCGCACCCATGCCGTTGGATCCCTGGGGCATCTCCGAATCCGGAGATGTAAAGTAGGGTTCTTGGTAGGGATCCTGGAATGCCATGCACGTAATTGGCGAATTCGAAGTCGTGGTCGGGAAGTTGGCAAAGGATGAGACATCGAGAGGCGGAGGAACGGTGGTAATGATCTGATCCAAGGGATATTTGTCCATGTGGGCTGGGGCAGACGTCGGGGTGGAGCCATTCTCCGCAGGCTTGTTCTCTATTCCAGCGGTGGGTAGGGCAGGGGCGGCGAATTTGTCCAGGTACGATGCGTCGAGCGGAGGGTGGTTCGCCGTATCGTCGGGGCCGGCGGCAGGCGCGCTGTTTGGGGAGCCACTCTGCGATGTCTGCTGCGATTGTGGTCGGGGGTCCATTGACAAGCTGAGAGGCTCCTGGACAAATGACGACTGGTGGGAGGTCAAGGGGAGGTGGTCCACGGATCGGCGGGGCATATCCGACGGGTGGTGAATCGTATGTGACCGTGGGATTGTGTACGGCAATCCGCACTTGTGAGCCATGTCATTATGCTTATGAGCGGGTTTGTGGTGACCGTCGCGGAAAATGGTCAACGTCGACTCGGACTTGGTCGACGTGAGCAGAGGCTTCCGCGGAAGCTCAGCAGGAACCGACGGATGGGGGACCGGCAAGCCAGTTTCCGGCACCGGGTCGAGATGAGGTTCCTTTTTCAGCGCACAAGTGCAGCGCTGGCCGTGACTGCAGCCACAGCGGTGAAGAGAGTCCTCTGTAAATTCAAGATCAGAAAAGGGGGAACTGATAAGCCAGCGCCGTCGTCATGCTCACGCTTGAGATCTCGCTTCTCGCCATGACCGTCTGGCGAGTCGGCTTTCTTCTTCTTGTCGCCGCACTCGCATTTGACGTGGGTTGTCCGAGACTTGCGTAGGCCGCGACAGTGGGTACATTGAGAGACTGGGCGGCCTTTTTTGTTGATGTGGGTCAAAGGGCGGTCTATCATTGACGATTGACGGGTTAGTACGGCGCAGAATCGGGTGGTCGAAGGGCATGAGTCAAGCGCTCGTAAGATGGGATCGACGTACCACTGTGGTGACAGCTGCTGACCCGGTGACCCCGGACGCAAGCTTCACAAGCCCACTTCTCACCATCAATGAGCATCGCGGTGGTTACTGCGAGGCACACATGCGATGAATCGCGAGATCGTATAAATAGGGGGTAGATTGAATGTTCAAAAGTCGAAAGGCTGGTCGCAAGGCGGACCGCAGAGCCGTCAAGGCGAGATTCAATTTGGGGTGGGAGGTTCAGCCGCTTCGAGGGCCGAATTGGGAACAGAAACGAAGCAAAAGGGTATCTGAGGCAAAGGGGGCCCAATGCGCGGAAGTTCACAGAACGCCGTTTCGAGAGTGTACAGGGTGTCGCAACTGAGGTATCTCGCACGGGTCGCCAAGGGTCGAAAAAAGAAGAAAAGTCAAAGGGTATCAAGAGTGGCGGCTTGGAGGGGAGAGGAGAGACGAGGAGGAAGGGGGGACCAAGCCTACGCACCGTTTGGCGCCGGCCGTGAGACAGGACACCAAGTACCGGTAGTGGCGGCCAAGATAAAAGCGATCGATATAGAGAGTCGAGGAACACCCTATGCAGCGAAGAAAAGATGAGGGAGGGAGGCGAGGGTTAATAACGGTATGGGATTTTCACTGCGCGGATGGTCGCTGCGGTTCGCCGGATCGAGGTACAAGGCACGCTGCGATCGTTACGGGACTGTTCGGTACGGTACGACCAGTATGATGCATGTACAGCGTAATCGACCTAATCGACCGGGCCATGCTCGAATACATTGTCGAGGAGAGCATTGTTCGAGCGATAGAAAAAGGGGTGATGGAGGTGATTCTCCAGCGCAACTACGTAGTACTAGTATGCGCACAGGAATCCCTTCTTGCGCTTTTTGCGGCCTGGATAGCAAACCCCCTTTCGCTGCCGTATCCACTGTAGTCGAAGCCTCGGACGTGGCAGTCCCACCAGGAACCGGGCCTCGTCGTACGGCCCTGGTTAGGGTTTCCCCCCATTGTGCGAAAGTGCATAGCCTACGACCTACAAAGAGCACAGATCCATTTTTTGGTGCCCTTGTTTCGAGTCTTCTCCCCGGGGGGCCGGCTCTAGTGCGACATTCCTGCCGTAAGAAGACGTAGAGAATCATCTTCGGGGTCGACGCCGGCTCAAATCATCGAGCCGCCTTGCGTGGCGGCACCGCACGAGTCCCCCATTTGCCCCGATGGTCGCCTTGCAGCCGCCCACGAGGGACTAGGAGTTGGTCGATCGGAGCAGGAGCTCGAGCAATGGCAGCCAAACGACCGTGTGCACGACTTGCCGATGCCAGACGCGACCAGACGCGACCACACCGCCAGGGAGCAAAGCCCTCTTCACGCAGCGAACCTGTGAACGTTGGGGGGAGCTCAATCGAGCGGAGTCACCGAGCACGGCCGTCGCATGAACTCGAACCCCACCAGGATGGATCTCGCTAGTCAAATCTGGGGCCGCACATCCTAGCCTTGACACTTGGCCCCTTTCGAGGCCCTGGTTTTTTTGGTCTTCCTGGTCGACCATGGACTGCGCGAGGATGATTGGATATGCCGTGCTGGTTGTGACAGGGGATACCGATGGCGCTAAAATCAGGATTTCAGGTACCGGCCTCGCTCGTTCGAAGAAGTTTCCACGATCCATGCAAGGCACACCGAGGTTGATCATTGGTAACGCAACCGCTGCGTCGCTTGGCGCCGTGGTGGCCGGGAGATCAGAGGAGAGGATGACGGTTCTCGAGCGCTGGCCGTTGGCAGTAGTAAGTACAGTAGTAAGTAGTAGGCAATACTGTGGTGTACATGTATACATGTACTTCTTGTAACAAGTGGTTGGAGCGTACCGCGGCGATACCGTACTGCATGTCATAGCGTGGTTCAAGGCGGTCGAATGGCGTCACTGTTCCTGCTTCGGGCGGGCTGCAGAGCGTGTTGGCGGCCAGCGGGTGGGCCCTGATCTGCACATGCACCTGTGGCCGCCAGCCCCCAATCACCGCCCCCGGGTGAATTTCGGTGACAGAACAGTACCGTATCGTTCCCTTGTGTTTGAAAGGGAGCCTGAGGCAGGGCCTTGGGAGCTGAGGAGAGGCAAGACATTCCGGCCGTGCGAGAGCGACTACTGTGACTATGCCTCGGGGTGCCGTGGCTGCGGAGTCTTAGCATATGATATTACCTCACTAGGTGCCCTTGGGAGAGCACTCTCTAGGTACCTGATGCACGCATGAGGGTGTACGTGAATGTATGAGAGGGTATGGACGCCGTACAAGATCAAATTCCAAATTAAGGCGTCGGGGTGAACCTGACAGAATGCGTTAGTCTCCAGGTGGGTTGGAGTTAATTTCGAGGAGATCCTGCAATATGCGAGAGTGGAATGTTTTCTTCCCGCCCACCAGCTAATGAATGCTACGAATAGGAAGCGTGTTACTTACTATTAGTGCTGTGCTCTACAAGGTCATGGTAGGAATGGAATGAGAGACCAATGGCGGGCGTACAATTCACTACATTACTAGTACAAGCAGTTAAAGGTAGACATCAACTCGGAGACCAAAGTACTCTGAAAACGTGACCATAGGGTACGGTTTGGACACACGAAAGAACCTACCGGGAACATCGACGAAAAGCTTCTCCTGTGTCAGCTGCTTAGCTTCCATCACCCTGTTCCTCGGGTTCTTCGCTGAAGGGACGTCTTCTTTCGACATAGACGCGTCGATGGCGATCAACCCGGTCCTGAATATCCCACATATCTAACCCCATGAAGGCCTTGTAATAGTTTTGGATCGTGTACCGAGTCTGGACAAGATCAAGAAACTCAGCGACCAACTCATCGAATTCCCACTGTTCGACCTCATGCCTCTCGGTGTTGAGGCGGTTCTTCAACTCTTCCAGTTCCTCAAGCATGTTGGCATCGTTCCGGGCACACTCATATCCTAAGCAGCAGGGGCACGCCTGATCGATCTCGGTGACGAAAAGTTCCGGATAGGGCTGATCATAGTTGAGGTCGGGATACCAGACATCATTGTGGCAAAGCGGGCAGACACCGCGGAAGTAGCTGTGAAGCACACTTCTATCCTCCCAAAGTAAGCAGCTCGTTTCCGAATAACCCACATTCCAGGGCCTGTGGTTGGCCATCCGCTTACCTTCCGATGGGATTGATGTCATAAGAAAACCCGGTGTAAATGGTCTCATTATCACCAAAAGAAGGAATCTGAAATGGCTCAAAAACCTCCTTGAGTGTCATGAGTTCTTCATCCTTTGGATGCATCGTGTCGTCGTCATATGGCACGTACTCCACGGAAGGGCCATCTAGATACCAGAAACCCTCTCTGGGAGTTCTCGAAAAGCGGCCATAGCTCACGATGACTTCGTCAGTCCGAGGGTAACGTGTCTCCGGAGGGGAATATTCAACGACATAAAGGACTGGAGCATCGATGCCGATTGCGGCAGGGAAGACCATGATCAGGTCACCTTCCTCCACGGAGCATTTGAGTCTGTCGATCATCATGGCTGCAACATGTGGTTTGCACGGGGTTAATGATAATTTGGAGGCAATCTCCTGGATTAGTGTTGATTAAATCGCGATTGATGCGGACGAGGGTGTGAGGGTGGGATGGTTGGAGTTGGAAAGCGAGAGTAGAGAAGTAAACAACGTTGCTAGGCGTGAGACGGGGAAGGCGCGGCAGGTGTTACCCTTCCGGCGACAGCACGTCCTCCAACTGGCGTTCACCAGATTGCCTATGACACCTGCGGGATCTGCCATGGCAGCTACTACTTCACATCCCAGTCTGAGGGTACCCTACATTCAGTACCATAGGGTAGTCGTGCTGGAAGTACTATGCACTATGTACTAGTACCACCAGTAGTGGCCAGATGTGAGGGCTGGGCGGATCGACGGACAAACCTCCGGCCGGTCGGAGGACTGGGAAATAGTATTAATCCGCTGAACGCAGAAACAAAAGGCCGTTCTCCGCGATCATCCCGAAGGAACTATGAACTATCCATTTGTAGATTCTACTGAGGATCGTTGCTTCATGGCAAAATGTTGGTGTTGCTCGATGCGGCGGCGCTAGCCCCTGCAAAATCAACCCCCGCGAAATTTTAGTCTGTAAAGGAAAAAAAAAACCTTGCCTCTGGCACTTCGCGTCTCCAACCTCCAACCCATCCTTCCATCCCCCGGAAGCCCGCTTTCCCCCAACCCATCATTTCTCGTGTATTTTCGAGTTCGTTCTCGCGAAATGAACTCTCGCGAGCAGTCTGACATGCCTCCGACGCCTTCTTACCCGTCTCCTAATGGCGCGCAGATGGCCCAGGGCGCCATGCCGTCGTACTACGGCAACCGCCAGCTGACGACCGAGGAGCTTCTGTCGGGCGAGCTGTCGCGCGAGGCATCGGGCCCTGGTCTAGGAGACGGTTCGAGCAACGGCGTGCATCACGGCCAGTCGATGGTTTTGGGCTCCTCGAATGCCGGCGACATGGGTCGCCCCTCGTCGGAGGATCAACACGCGCACTTCCAATTCACTCCGAGCCAGCAGGTGGGCGTGGACCCAAATCACGATCTGAGTTATGGTGAGCAAAGCGCGCGCAAGCGATCCAAGATCTCAAGGGCTTGCGACGAATGTCGGCGAAAGAAGGTACGTTGCGACACTCTCGCAGTCAGACGCGCGTGAGTTTGTCCAGCTGCTAACGGTGCGATTTTCTCATTAGGTACGATGCGACGCGACCTCGGAAAACGGTCTCGAGACATGTTCGAATTGTCGCCGTCTTGGTGTTGTGTGCCAGTTCAGTCGCGTGCCGATGAAGCGCGGTCCAAGCAAAGGGTATGATGTGGAACACCCGCTCGATCAATTATTGCCTCGACTCACACACAATATTGCAGTTATATCAAGGAACTCGCCGAACGCCTTCACACTCTCGAGAGCCAGATGCAGCCTGGAATGGTCCAGCCCGATGTCCCATATCAAGGCATGAGCGAGGTGTCTCTCGGTAGAGGCTACCAGGACTTTACATCGCCTGTGGACTCAGGTTCGGCCAATCGCAAGAGAACATACTCCGTTTTCGAAGGACTCCCCAGCTCCTCGTTTGCCCAGCCTTCGTTCAATACCCGTGGATCTCAGAATACCTTCGACGGACCGGACGCAACGGCAGATCCATACAACCCCACCGTTGCCAGCGGTGCTGCCCCGAAGCCTGGCAATCTGTTCTGGAATCCGACCGAAGGGGATTCTGATCTGCCCACGGGCCTGGAAATGACCGAGCTGCCCCGCCACGAAGGGGATGATGATATGACACCAGTCAGCCTCGACGAGGGCGCCCTCGAGGCCTATTACCAGAAGGTTCACACGCTTTTGCCAATCCTCCCTCATACACGGGAACGCACACTGGAACTCCTTCACCAGTGCCATCGGGAAGCCCAGGAGATCTTTTGCTATGCGTTGTATGCAGTTACACGCACAGATCTATCCCGCGTTGCGAGCAACTTTGAGAGAGTTACATCGTTTGGACATGCACAGGATTTGCTTCTGTTCCACACCCGTCAACCATTGCTGGTTCACACTATGCCCGTCAACACAATCTGGCTTCAGAGTCTGATCTTAATGATCATTGATTGTGACGCACGTGGCCCGGATAACCTAGTGGGCAATGACAGTGCGCCAAAGCACACTTTGGTATCGGCGGCTAGCAAGCTGGGGTACGATCTGGCGAAGATCCAAGGCCAGCTAAAGAACAATCGATCTTCAGACCCCGATGTGGATTCGGAAGCCAACCTTGTCCGACGCATCTACGTTTCGCTGACCATCCTTACTCGGTGGTATGCGATTAGTGTGGCCGATGCGACTGTGCTTGGCGGACAGGAAATCGGTGGTCGTGAAGATGAGAAGGTTGTCGGACAGATCACAACAGGAATTGCCTGTAAGTGGAACACACCCCCTCACACAATTATTTACAGAGACACTGATTTTTTTTGTAGCCTATTCAACCTTTCTATCGGAAATGGTCACCTTGGCCACCGTCGAGCCCAACGTCTGCCAGACCAACACCGGGCTGGGACGCATGGTCGGTGCTAATCTAGTTGCTTCCCTCGAGCGCCTGGCGGACATGGAGGACATCTTCAAGATCCACGAGCTTCCCGAAAACACCACAACTCGCCCTCTTTTCGAGAGCCTCCAAGCCCAACTGTACTGGACCCTTCGCCTTCTAATAAAACGCCATGTCTATGTCTACAGCCCATACGAGATCATCTACTGTGCACAAGAGGTCATCAACGAGCTTCACAAGGCGAACATTCAAAGCCGACTCCCCACCCCCTTTGACCTGCACAGCTTGGCGCTTGCCTCCATGACCCTTCTCGAGGCGACTGTTCTCCCAGAGCACGAAAATGAATGCTGGAGTTCATTGCAGAAAGTTGAAGAAATCCTCGACCGGCGCGAGAAGCGAACAGCCAAGGCCACAGAGTTCGACAACATCTTCGGTACTCCGGGCTGGGACGCAAAGATCCGAGTCTTCCTCGAATGGCGCCGTATCAAGTCCCAAGAGAGCCAGCTCCAGGAGTCGATCGGCGTTTTGCCAAAGTCTAGCTCAGGGCCGGGGTCCGGTTCCCAGCCGCCGATGGGCCCCAACGAGCAACGTTCGCTACAGCACCTTGCCGACCTTGCTGTCGGCGCCGAGGGTTCTGTGAGCCAGAATGCGCCTACAACTCCCCCACCTGGTCTGTCTGCTGATCAAGGCGAGACATCGCCTAATCTTGCTCCGCAACTGGCTCAGTCTCAGGGTGGCAATGGCACAGGTCGTGTTGTCGTTGATTTCACGATGCTAACCCGGGAAGGCTACCTCAATGTTTTCTCGGGGTTGATTTACCGTCGAAACCGTTAAGAGGCCATGGAGAGGACGTTCAACGTTTTCTCTGCCCATGTTCAAATTGGCCAGTGGTTTATTCTTCAATTTCTTGTTTCATGTCGTACGCGGAGTTTGGCCCATTCCAAGGTTGTAGGTAAGTATTTGTCGGATTCCCAGTGTCCTATTACATGCGTCTTCTAGTTTCAAAATATCCATTTCTACGTTTCTTAATACTACTTTTGCTCGCCCTGGCAGTTTGGGATCTGCCAAAAGATCAATGTGCTCGTCATATTTTGATATTATGTTTTCTCGCAGAAGGACTCAATGTCTAGCAACCTTTTTTTTTTTAACATGTGATATAGTCGCTACTCCATTCCAAATCGGAAAAAGAATCTCAATAAATTACTGTCATATGAAATATTTGGTAGCTCTATTCAACTAGAATAACACTATTGGAATCCAAGTTGTAAGATGTGCACTCTAATATAGGTCATCAGCACGATAAACTGATACACTGGCACGATGTGATATCAATCAACCGCACATAACTCTAATGACAAGTAAATATCGCCTGTGAGCCTTTCCGACTTTCGTAGAACCAATGGGTCCAAGTCGTTAGGATGAGTAGTAGTTGAAATAGTAGTTGATAAGCACCAAATGACGCACTATCTCTTGATCCCGAAAGCAAATCGTCTCCAAGTTGAGTCAACATCCTCACACAGAGCCATGAACTTGTCGTCCTCGATGAGTTCGCACATCCAGTTTTCGAGGAACGCAATACGCTCGTTGCTTGGAGCAGAGAGATACGCAGCGAGCTGATCTTCACAAGAGGGTGCACTTCTTTGTTCTGGCGATGGCGACCGTGGTACTTGAACATCATTTACGGTTTCGGAGCCACTTACCGCCGCCATTGTTGCATCTAGATGTTGAGGAGGTCGTTGATTTTCGTTGTTTTCCCGTTGAGACCAGATCTGCGTGCTCTCAGGCTCTTGTGACATATTAGGGATCTGATTTGATTCTGGGTAGGGTTGTGTCTGTGTGAGTGAGTGAGACGTCGCGTTCGACACGATAGAATCCTGGCGTTCGAGTACACCACGACTTGTTTGGTTTCCACGTCGAACATTTCTGGAGGGTTCGGATGTGGTACGTTGTCGTGCGGACTTTCCATTGGCGGAGGCCGTTCGTTGTCTTTTAGCCCCGGGCTTAGGGAATGGTAGGGATCTCTTTGGGGGCAACGCCTGGTCGAGCTCTTGGATATCATGGTATGCTGGAGTTGCAGCAGGTCTTAATTCTGGAGTCTCCGTTGTGATGCCCTTTTCAGGAACAACTGGGTTCGGCAATGTGGGTGGAGGTTGGACTTCTGGGATTCGAGATACGCACTGTGGTCGCGCTGGTGTCCGGCAAATATCCGAGGTAGCATTGGTAATCGTGCCGGTCGCTGGGTATGCAGATTGAGGTGCTATTTCTGTCAGCACGATGAACCACAAAAGTAGGTAGTAATCATTAAAGACGACACATACTGGTCATACCGCCCGACCAGTGTCTGGTCATTGGGTAGAAGGGAAATGCGGCATTGCTCTCAGGAGTCATCGCAGTGATTCCCTCATTCAAAAGTACAGTCGGCGCCTGTGATGACGATGCCCAAGATGAGGACGAGGGCGCTCTGCGTGGTGGCTGCATCGAAGATGTATTGCCTTCGGTTAGTGGGCAGTTGATCTCGCTCAGTACGGAAAGGGCCGTGTAATAGTCCCGCTCCATTAGGAATTTGACCTGAAATCGGCGGGTCTAGACGGGAAATAGAATTAACAGTTAGTGCATATATACGGCCGATTGACCTTCTCCCATTGGTATGCGTACCGATCCATTGAGCGGATATTTTACTGCGAGACAGGGTGACTTGACCACAACTGCAAAGGGCGGCTTCGGAAGTGATCCAGGCTGCGTCGATCCGGACTGAGGCTGAGAACGAACAAATCGTGCAACGTCAATTTGCTCCTGTAGATTGGCAGCAATAAGTATTGATCCGACATGGTTAACTGGTAATGAGTAGATTGAAACGTACCAGGATGGTGGAATCATTCTGAATAACTTTCATTATCAGAATGTAGGCTCTGTCGCCGCTGGAGAATTGTTCGAATACACAAGCAAGATCACCACAGCCATTGATGTGGCACCAGGCCAAGGGGCCGAGATGGGCTGCAGGCGTCGTGGTGTATGAGAACTTCGCCAGAGGGAGATGAGTCCCCACGGGGTGGGATTGTCGAAATGTAGACTGCGGCATGGATTCACGAGTACTGTTTCAAAATCCAATCGCAGTTATTGCTCCCGTCCTGGTGGTTTGATCGGTCCAACACAATGTCAACTTTCGAGGGCAGATCGGATGGTGGAAAATCGCCGGCCGGTCACGACCACTGCTTGGGTTCGCCATGACCCGTGACTTTCCATCTCCTCGCCGCGTGATTCATATATCAGCTTTACAGAAACCTCGAAAATCCCGTCCGGTGACAAGTATATAATTCTGAGAACTTTGTCACCAAACAAACAATTCTCCTAGTAGTATCGACAATTGCCGATGGTTGCTAACAAGCAATGAAGCATTACTTACTACTTGGAGCTATTGCCAGCGACTTCACAGCCGCCCCTCCCCCCCCACCACTGGTAGGGTGTGCTTGTATTAAAACACACGGCAGCTGCGAGGCCCTTGAATATAGACATCGAAGCTTTTTAACTACCCTATCCCTGGGTAGGTGCCTTGAAAAAAATTCATTGCAGTTGATATGTACATAGACAAAATGGATCCTGAGGTGTCAATCCAAAAATGGAATGGCGTGTCGGCCCTTCGGCCACGGAACAATAAATTCCCGGAAACGCGCCCTGGAGAAAGCGCGGACTTTTGGCTGATCAGCTCCGTTGATCGCAAAGCCCAGCTCCTCCAGCCCTCCAGGGCCCGCATACAAGGCATTGACGATTGTCCACCCCATCGCGTCCGTCGCTCCAAGCCATCCGGTCGTCAGGTCTGTCAACCTCTTTTTGATCTCGACCCTTCGCTCTCTCTCGCAGCCACTGCGCATCCTCAAAACCCTGGGCCTCGAACGCGCCCGAGCACTGCGCCTCGACTCGTGCGGACAAGGCTCCTAGGCTTGACGGGCAGAGCCTTTCGCTCTGGATTGCGCACAGCCTCCTACCAGCCGATTTTCAGAAAGTCGGTTTTCGCGAAGTTGCCCCTGCGATTTATCTTTGAACTGGCTCGAATCAACGGCCAACCTCAAGGAAGTGATTGCAGTGCAGTCTCGAACTGCAACTCTGACCAAGAGACGTGAAAAGTAGTCGCATTCTCACAGATTCAAAATGTCCGGTTCCACGCCCCAGCGTACATCCCTACGACGTAAGTTGAAAACCCCCTCCTCGTTCGCGATGCGGCTCCGCTCACACGCCCGAAAAGAGGGCTTGCGCCAGGCCCCAAAGGTCAACCAGCCATTCGTCCCTGACACAGGCCCATCTCGTCGCTCGCATCACCAAAACATTACATCGCCGCAACCCCAAGCATCCCCGCATATGCCCCTCAACCCCGCGGCCAATCCCCAAAGCGCGCATTTCTCAGTCGAGAGCTGGGAAGGAAAGGGCCAGGCACAGCTTCCCATGTCCGTGCGGGAGGTTGCGACTCCTGGGAACCGGCCTGGTCATTTTGCCAGCATGCGGAACAAGGGAACAAAGGCCGCCGATTTTTATGACCCGTACTTTCCTCTCCGGTACCTTGAAGTCCCACGAAGTGAGATTGCCCCTCCTAATTCTCCATTTGAGTGTTGTTATAAACTGACCATCTCTTAGCCGATCATATCTACAAGCGCGCGCACTATGGTCTCCAGTCTGGCATCTCGGATGAAGTGGATTTCGCATTGTATCATCTGGTCCAAATTTCTAACCAAAGGTGGGATAAGTTCAAGTTCGAGGGATTCCCACTGTTGGCCGAAACCCTCATGCAGAAGGCACTGGAGGTTACGCATCTCTGCACTGGTGTCAATTGGGAATTTGAATACGATCCGCAGAAACTATCCGATCGAGTCAATGTCTTGAACTCGTTGCATGGAACTCGAAACATCCTCGAAAAGATTCGACAGATCCCCACTATCTTGCCGACTGATACACTGGAAACATCGGAGTTCAATCACCGTCTCCGGAATGTCAAGGAGGCCACTTTGGTTTTGCGCAATATGGTACTGCTTGCAGAGAACGCGTTCTATGTTTCTCGGTATGCCAGTGGTCTGCTGCGCGACTTCTTGGTTGTTCTTCTGAACCTGCCCAACCAGCCTCGGTTCAATGAAATCAAGAACGACGCGCTGGATATTGCCGAAGAAGTGACAAAGTTCTTGAGGACCAATTCTCAGGATCCTCTGTGGACTTCATTGGTCAGTTTTCTGGATTCGCCAGATCGTGCCCACATTATTCGATCTCTCTGGGCCTTGACTCACTTCTCCACCGAAGTGGAAGATGGCGATGTCAGCCGAGCTATTGACAGCATGTCCAAACCCGTGCTGCAACAAATGTATTACCACACTCTTCTGGATCTCGATCGGGATATCTTGAGCGGTGCACTGGATTTCTGGTACCAGTATACCCTCAGCCCTGATAACATTGAAACCTTAATGGACGTCATCAACTTCCCGATCGTCTTCATTCCGCGCATGATTGCCCTTCTCACATACGAGGCTAGGGCTTCCAAGTTGGAGACCGTCTTGCAAGAAGAGAAGGTTGCACCACCACCTTCGGACATTCCCCGAGTTCCCCACGAGCTTCTGGAGAAATTGATGGAGCTTCCCGAGCCCAAGCGAAGCTCACAATGGCTTTGCTGCTGCTTTGTCGAAGACCCGGAGTGTGAAATTACCCAGATTGCTCTGTGGCAGGCATACCAGAGCCGGTTCGCCAACCCTCAGATGCCTGGCAGCGGTGTTCTTCCCGCAGCCGATTTCATCAAGAACGTTAGTCAAACCTTCACAAATGCCCAAGCACAGGTCATCAATGGCCCCGGTAGTGCCACCAAATTCATCATCAAGGGAATTCGGCCGTTAGAGACCGCCTACACCTTTGATGGCTTCCCTTACCTGTACTGCAAGTGGGCAGATAACTCGCAGCCCTCCCAGATGTGCCAGCGTGCGTTCGTCTCTCCCACTGATCTCCGAAGCCACATTTTCGCCGATCACATGAAGCTCGAGCCTACCGACACACCGGGCAAGTTCAACACTGAGCCTGCCGAGAATCCTATCCATGCATGCCAATGGGACACCTGCACGCGATTCCGCGTGTCTGGGCCAAGCGCCAACACCGCTCTCGTTGCCGGCCACATCATTTCTCACCTGCCTGAGGAACGACCTGCCGATGCAGCACCCCCGAGCACCAAGCGCCCTGTTCTGCAAGAACGAATTGTCCGCAAGTGGTTCTACATGGATACTCCCGTCAACGAGAAGGGTGAGCCCATCGGCGTGGCTTACAAAGCGGCCCTGGTCCTGCGCAATATCGCCCGCGGCCTCCCCAAACGCGAAGCCACCAAGTATGGCAACATGTCTTGGAAGAAGGCCTGCTTCGTGAGCCAGCGCGCCAAGATTATGGAGGTCTGGGACCGCAACCGCGCTCTGCGCACGCAACTGACCGAGTTGATCATGATCATGGAAAAAGAAGTCGACTACTAGAAGTAACGATTTCCACTCATGCCTCATCCCCTTTTTTCTTGACGTTTTGTTTCGCTTCCAGCACAGTTTTGCGTCTTTGTACCACTAATACCCGACTTTTCCCAATTGCTCCTGTCAGGGGCCATGTCACCGGACCTACAAAGTGTCCCGGTGATAAATTTTATGTCTTTCACCGATTGTCAATGGCCGAAATGATAGGCCAAGGATAGTTTCTACGCAAAAAGTCTAGGAGTTATTCCCACGGGGTCTGGGGGCCGGCGATCTTCCATTTTAATTTCTGTCTTCTGGCGTCTGGTTTGAGGAAGATAGAAATCTGACCCCTCCCCCCACCATCTTTTTCTGCATTTGATCCTTTGCCTCGTGCTGGATATGCTTCTCGGTGTTTGGTTTTCCTTCTGATTTATGCCTCAACGATGATGTGTACCATAGGGATGGAGTAGGGGGCAGAGATACTGGTTCCATAGAGACCCGGCAAATTAGTTCGATTTATTTCATTAACTCGTATCGAACACTATAGTCGTAAATGTACAATCTTGCATTATGGTAATGCTTCACTTCCACTGGAACTTCATTTCGAAAAGTCCCGCAAAGCAGACATGGCATCCTCAGCTCGGTCTGCAGGGACATAAATATGATCATGGAAGTACCCACTCACAACATTCGTACTGATTTTGAAACTCTTGAGGTGATTCGTAATGGCAGCGATCAGCCCGACGGCCTCAAGGCTGGAATGGATCCTCAGCGAGATCTTCTTGCAGGGGAAGGTGACTTCTTCGAAGCCGTGCGATTTTGCCAATGGCTCTGCCGTCACGATGGTGAGGCCCTCTTCTTCCTGGGCGATGAATTGCGGCTGGAGTCTGTCCAGGGGTAGGGATGTGAGAGGTTGCTTGGTGGTGATGAAGACGTAGACCGTTGGGTCCAGAGTGGGCTCCATGCTTGCCAGGAGACGGTTGAGGTCTGTTTCGCCGGTTGTCATTGTGGATTCTTGCTGGGCTGATTTTTGCTAGGGAAGTTGATGAATGATAGACTAGGATTTTGTAGGTGAAGGAGGTCGTAGGGTATGATTCCGAAATGCGTCGGGTGGTGGGGCGTCGGGAACACGCCGATGTCAAACCAAGGGCGCACTAAGATCCTTCGAGGACTCGCGGTGGAGCATGATTTCCGCTCTAAACGACTAGTCTCTACTGTATGAAACTCGTGCGAGTGTCGAGAGCAACGAAGCAGGCTAGATTCCGACAGCGATAAGCGAATTACGTTTTTCGATTTTGAAATTCCACGGTAAACGCTAGAAGCATGGAACAAGCATCGCGAGACATCTAGTAATCACCAGTAGGCAGACCCTGAATAGGAACATGCTGTCCATGAAAACCAAATCCAATTGCCCCATTTACGTGCGCCCGACCCAGTTCTTTCAAATTCCGAGCATCGAGGCAGAGTAGATAACTTGTTCCTCGCATGCCATCAAGGACCACGCTCAGAAGAACACCGTCGTCTTCACTCGTGCCATCCGGGTTAGCGACGAAGATCGGCTCACCGGGTGAATGGCCATGGCATGCCCACAGTTGAGACTCTTGTTTGTCACAGTCGAATTTCATGATGCCGTCTGTCAGCGTCGCTTCTCCGCGGAAGGTAGTCGAGTAGATATATCGATGTCTCTTGGTGCCCAAGTTGGGGTTCATTGTCGGCAATTCAGGAGATAGCTCTTTGCACGCGGACCACTCCACGCTTGCTTTCTGAATCTCAGAAGTTGGTGTTGGTGGCAAGGCTGGGAGACGGAAGCGTGTGATGGTGGAGAGGAGGTGGTCTTTCCTGTTTGCAATGGATTCTTTGGCACTTGGAAGTGACGATTTCATGTACTCGTAGTAGAGGAGATCGATGAAGTCTGAGGTATCCATTCTCACGAGATCGGCCACAATGTCGATTTTTGACGGTTCCTCGGGGGATGGCTCTTGCCAGGCATTGATCGTGTGGAAGCAGAAGAAGGCCGGCCCTTCATACGTGGCGACTAGTCCTTGACCATGCTTGCGGTCAATCACATACCATGTTGCTGGCTTTGAGGGATCGGTCGGAAGAATCGACTCCCTGAAAAATCCATCGGCAAGCTTCAGCGGGTTAATGTGAGAGTTCCAAACACAAAGCAGAACATAGTCCTCGGTAATCAGCAGAGAGTGCAAATAGGCCGGGTTTCCTGAGAAGGTAGCGAGGATGCTCGTTTTGCCGGTGGTGGCAGAGACCGTATAGACACGATATGTCGAAGCCGCTCCAACCTCGAGGTTGAAATTAAATACATCGCCCGTCACCGGATCAGAGCGCGGATGAGAAGCCGTCAATGGTCCCACCAACTCCGGATGAAGCTGCGTCTGCGTCGCCAAACCAATCGGCTCCAGAGTCTCTGGGTCCAACCTCTTAAACTCATTGTAATCGGTCTTCGCATACAAATTTCGAATCCCCTTGGACCCGGTCCATCGATCCGCAGACTCTTCGGCTCGGTGATCAAAGCCCGGCATATTGACTGAGAGCGTCACGCCGACATTGGTAGTGGATGGTCCCTTGGAAGGCACGAATTCGCTCTGTGCCTTGTTGAACAAGGCCTTGCATGGGTCGCGTCTCTGGCCGAAAGACATCATGTTCAGGGATCCGGTCTTCCGGATATACTCTATGCGCTTGTCTGTTGAGAAGCGAGAGTTGTAGAGAATTCGAAGAGGTGAGTCGAAAGCGTCTGGTGCTATGATTTGAAAGCGGTGCGTCTGGCTGAAGCCATCGAACCAGTGGGACAGCTTGAAGACGTGACCCTGTTCCGTTTCCACTTGGCTTTTGCCCGGGCCCGTCCGATATAATGTGCCAGCTGCATAGTTTGGGATGTGGCCAGTCATCTCCAGCTCGATAGGATTTGGTTGCTCGTACTCCGGGTCGAACTACATATTTCGTCCGCGATTAGAGGTCGTTCGTTGATGCTGCGAGTGAAAACGTACGCCTTTTTCGTTGGGCCAGTTATTCCAGTGTTCGATGGCATCTTTTGAGCCACTTGCCATGGCGGTCATTGATTCTGTCACTGTGGTAGCCATGTTGGGGATCTCTTCAGGCTATGTGATTGATGTGCTGATAATCCCAGTTCGCAGCCAAACAGAAGGTAATTTTTATAATGAATTGAAGCTGCATCTTGAAAATAACGGAGATGTGTTCCGTTTATATAGATGGGGCAGCCTGGCTGGTCGTCATGTGTTGGGCCAGTGTTGTTACGGGCGTAGCGAGGCCTCGTTTGTCGGCGGCGCTGTTTGGTCGAGCGGGGGAATGGCGACGGACCCGAGCGGATCGTCGACTCCACTCTGCATCTCGCGGTACTTCTTCAGGCCAACTGGATTCCCCAACCAAGCGCAGCTCGTCTCTTGACGCGCAGGCCGCTGATTACGAGGCCACCCGGTTCCCAAGCGCGAGGCTCGTGGGAGGTACCCCCGTCGCGAAAACCCCGTTCGCAAAAGCTGCTCGCCTTAGCCTTAGACGATCCGATCCTCGATTCTGGGCGAATCACCGGGCTGGGATTTGGGCTGGGATTTGCAATCACGGACCTCGCAAACTGTCGGCTCGCCTGTCTTTTCTCGATACGGATTAGGAGGCCGGAATGAACGTTTCACCGCACGAGGAGCCCGGGGAGAAACAGTGGCAGTGCGACCATTGTCCGGCGGTCTTTGGGCGGCTGGATCATCTGAAACGCCATGCCTTGACTCGTAGGTGGATGCATGATCGCTGTGCATACTCTGCGAAGAGGCTAAATTGAAATTCACCATCTAGACACGGCGGAGCGAAGCCACGTCTGTCATTTTTGTGGCGCTTTGTTTAGTCGCGGGTATGATCAACAGACAGCTTGACTGATCACGATAACCACCCCGTTCAATTCTGCACATTCCTAACAATTTTCCCTCAAGAGACGTGCTCCGACGACACTGGAAATCGTGCAAGGTCCGCCAAGAGACCGACGAGATGATTCCCGAAGGCCAGCGTGGCGGCAGACACAAACGCGCCTGTGATAGCTGTGCAATTATCAGAAAGGCCTGCAACGGCGAACTTCCCTGTGTGGAGTGTAGTCATCGCGGGCGACCATGCACTTATCAACGGCTTCATGGTGATAATACCCTTGTTTCGAGTGGCCAAGCTGACACTTTCAAGAATCAGAAAACTGAGGGAAACTGCGAACCTGAATATACTGCCGGCGAGGACTCTTCAGATCCTGGACCAGTCTGGGACCTGGGCCTTCAGAACTTCTACCCAACAAGAGAAGCGTCGAGGATAGTATATTCTCGGAATCGATACGGGACTTGAGCGTATTTACCTGCTTTGACAAGTCACGGTATTGGAGAATAATGCTCACCGTACGCAAGAACCTTATTCCTTGCCCAGCCATCTACACTATCGCATTTCGAGGAATTTTTTCTTGGGAGTTGATACAGCAATACCCTTTCTGCCTCAGAACACACCCCCACCCTGACCTTTCAGGTATCTGCTAGTTCTTCAGTTTGGGTGTCCTCGCTATGCGAGTCGAAAAATGAAATTTCTGCTATATGGGGAGTATTATGCCCGATCTCATTCGTTTTGCATAGCGCATTGCTTTATAGAATAGCTATCCACACAACTGATCACGTTGGTGACCAGGTAGGTAACCAGATAGGTGACTGAGCAATGAACCTAGCGGTTATCAAGACCATACTCGAGGGGGCATACGACGTCGAAATTGGCACCATATTTGATCAAGGTTCTAGTTCTGTATTATCTGAGCGAAGGCATGACGGGGTGGTGGTCTGAGACAAAGGGGGCGTGGAAGCACTAATCTCCGATTTCTTGAAATGTCTATTGTTTTATATTTTTCTATCATGATTTGGTCTAATAGAACAGGAATACCATGATCGTCACTCGTAAGTGTCGATTTGTGTAGCCATGTTCATACGCTTCATGCCCAAAAATTACGGGCCGCTCATCATACATCCAACACGCTTGAAAATAGAATCACAAAGCGATCTAGTCTTAAATCATTTACTCCGGAGAGCCGCAGGTGAAAACGCCATGCACGGTGCCAGCAGCGTACTTGTTGATCTGGAAGAGACATAATTAGCGACATCCAAAAGGCCAGCCAGCAAGGCAGGTGAATACATACAATATCATCGATACTGGAGTAGGTTCCTCCAACCAAGATGACAATACCAATCAGGAACACCATCAGGTTGACTACACCCAGGAAAATGTTCTTGGGCTCGAGCCAGCTGCCCTGTTTCAAGAGCAGAGCCCACATCATCGGAGGGAAGTAGAAGGTGAACCCAGAGATGAACAGCGAGGACGAGATGGAAAGCAGATCGTTGAAGAAGGGAATCACTTCGGCAATGATGAATGCAATGATGGTACCGGCGGTGATAACAGCCAACCAGGTCAACCAGCCGGTCTTGGTGTTGATGAACCGGATGGGCGAGTTGGCAAATATGCGACCGTGAACAAGACGGCCAAACACAACAGTGTTGATAGAACCGCTAATGAAGATAACGGGCAATGCAATACCGAATGCAACACGGCTGAGCAGGCTGCCAGCCGACAGAAGAGCAGGACTATCCACATCCGAGCCAACAAAGGCGTAGATCAGGGCACCAGTCAGGGTGTAAATGACGATTTCAATAATACCCAGAGCCCAAATGGACTTGACGTAGTCGCGAGGCGTGTGCATTTCATCCATGAAGGAAAATTGGCACAGGGCGAAACTGTACGCAAAAACAATGTTGGTCACAGAAACGAAAGCCTCAGAGAATGTCAGATCGGCCTTGGGCCAGGCGGACCAGTCCACGGCCGCAAGCCCGCCAGGGGCTTTGGTCGAATCCACACCAGTAGCAATAATGGTGATACCGATAGCCAAAATAATCGAGGCGAAATCGATATAGCCCAGGACTGCCATCTCGGTGAAACTAGGCGGCACGGCGAGCAAAAGCAGAATAATCGCCGAGACAACACCGAAAATCACAGAGCAGATCTCGCTGCCAGTGATATTGCGGAAGGCAATAGTTCCAGTCAAGCAGTGCGATCCTGTCAGGAACAGCAATTGAATGCCCAGCATGACATTCACCAGCTCAAACCCGAACCGCGGGCATCCCAGACGCGCTCCCATCAATCGACCTGCATCCGAATAGTGGGCTACCTCGGGAAACGCCAGCTTGACCTTGCCAATAATGTAACTGGTGTAGATGGCAATCAAACCAAGACCAATGGTCAAAATCACACCTGCCACCATACCGAGGGTGGCAAAGGTGGAGGGAATCGACAAACTTCCCAGCGCAATGGCCTCGACAATGAGGACGACCGTGAGACGCTTCCATCCCAGACGGCTGAACTTCTGGATACCACTCTCGTAGATGTGGCGGTCCGCCTCGTTCATATACCCGACCTTGATATCGCGCTCACCAAAGTCCTCGTTAGGCTGCATCTTCTCCTCATCGTGGGTGTTGTCTTCGTTCGGGGCCGGCGTGAGGTTCTCGACCGGGGCCCGGTGGCCGTGCGAGATCTCATCGTAGTCCATGATGGCGAGGCAAGAGGAGAGAGGAAGGGAGGTAGGAAACGTGAGGGCCAAGCTCCGTGAGCAGAAAGTTTTGACGCAGGCACGCAACGGTTATAAACGGGCACCTCGGAGGTTCTCCGCCCAGAAAAATTTCTATACGGTGATTGAACCCTATTTGGAATCCACCCGCGACGATCGTATGACAACTCGACGAGATATATGGGAATCGTGTCTGGGGGAAGCCGATCTCGTGCAAACCGCAGGCGGGGGAGATGCAGGTCAAGTAGTGCCTTGGGTATGGGGAACACGAGGCTAATTGAACCATGCGAAATCCCCGGGGTTTTTATGTAAAAGAAATTGCCGCTGCGATCAGAAAAGTGGGCGATGACCGCATCGGGCAGTTGAAATCTCGAAGCCCTAAATTCGGGCCCCCGTCGGCTCCACCGGGTTAGTAAGGAGGCTGCCCCGAGTGATCAGTCGGCGAAACGTAATCCTCCCGCTTGCCACGTCCAACCGCTCTCGGCCCGTTCGTGCCACACTGGGCCAGATGCCTTGCGCTTTGCGGAGTCCCCTCTTGCCACTTGGGGAGTCTGTGGGGTTGGGCGATCGCCTCCCCCATCCCTTGATTCGTTATTCCGACCGAAATTTCCTTGGGGTACGACCTGGACAGTGCAGGCGTGCAGCCCATACTTCCTGCATGCTTCGAACATACTTCGTTCGGCCCGAGGGTGGCCGCGAGGCTTAACCGGGACCTCGACAGAAGGTATATGAGAGGTCAACACACTCGACAGCCAACCTGGAGACGACCCATCTGGAGATGCGATTCCGGAGTTTCTTCGCACCATCGTCCTTTCTCGTGACTAAGAAGGATCCGTTGGGCGCCAACCACCCGCATTGGACCTCCCCCGCGAGTTTTGAAGGGGTAATAGAAACACAATTGACTTCCCATTATGGAGCCCACCTCCATACTGACCCTCCGGAACCTCCTCCAGAGGCCGCCAGCCCCCCTTTTCTTTTATTACAAGTTTCCCCGCGTGAAGCCATCCAATGTCGGGGTAGCTTACTTCCATTAGGTGGTTGACCGATTATGTGAAAGTGATAGACTGGTCTGGGAATAAAGTTTGAACTTGAAGTTAAAGTGCGCTTCTAGAAACGATGCCGCTCGGGATTCAAGCACTCGGCACTACACTCGACCTACATCCACTGGTGAATGTCTCTACCACAGCCGGGCACTGGGGAAATGGTCTGGATTCGGTAAAGATGGTCTGGATTCATTCCCACCTAAATACTAAAATACTCCATACCGTAGATATAGATCTTCATTTGCCAGTATCGCCGTTCCCTCCTCCGACCCCAACCTAATGTGAGGAGACATGGGGAAGCGCGATTTTCTCTCTCCAGATCTCCCCCACTCTGGAGTATCCTGGTCGTGGTCGGTTCTGCCAAGACGAAAACATTGCATCAAGATGACAAACCAGTGCGAACTAATTGCTCAAGCCGCCGCCGTAGGCGTGGTCTTCTCCAATTTCTCCGAGTATCGGTAGAGATCAACAAACGATGTCAGCCACTTTTCTTCCTTTTCGTCACAAGGCTCGAGGGCACGAGTGTCCGTTTGTCGCATGAATGCAAAAGATGGCGCGACTCTATGAACGGCGAAATACGGAGTATCGGTTGGATCGTCGCCTCCCTCAGACCAAGGTGTGTTTTTCGTTCGGAATACGTCACCCTTGTCGTTGGTCACTGGTGGCCTGACTGTTCTCGTCTTGTTGGTAGGAAAAGTAGCATAGTCCGTGAGATAATGGGGCAGTCCTTCGATCACTATGTCGACCTGGTGCTTGATGGACGGTGGGTGCGAGGTCTCTTGACTTTGCTCGTCGTTGCCAGCCATTCGGCTCTCCGTGCTCGGGGTGAGCCCATGTTTCTCCAGATTGCGAAGCAGTTCTGCCAATGCCGCATCAAATGGAATCACGGGGAAGAAGTCGTAGCGAAAGTGCTCATTCGGTGTGAAAGCCTGGTAATCACTATTCTTGATCTTATCGGCTGTCACTCGCATTCGAGACACAACGTGTGCAATGTTCGCCCTTCGTTTCTGCTCCGGGTCCAACGTGCGCTTCAGGATATCCGGGTTCTCCTCTAACAAAGACGCGGCAAAATGAAGCTGGTCGGAGGATTGCTGGAACATTCTGTTCTTCGCATGTTGAATGATCGCGATACATCGCTCCAGCTCTTCCACCGATTGACACTCGTGGGGTTTAGGCACGCCATCTGGGTAAACCGAACGGTCGACATAGCGATCCAGTGGAGTCGTCATGAGCTGCCGGAACAGAAACGCCTTCATTGGGCTTTTCAAATCTCTGAACATGTCATCGGCTCTCCAATGAACTATGGCATCAAATGACATCGACCGGGCGTTGACCGCTAGAGGACCTCCATTGGGTCGGAAGCGGGTTCCACGAGACCAAAAGAGCTCTCCACTGGATCGAGCGAAGAAGCCTGACTGCGCGTACAAACTGAGCCAGGATGTGACGAGATTTTTCGTCTGTAAGAATGTATTATCGTCTTCTCCCAACATGACCCGGTATTGGGGATGCGACCTCACGGCCGCAACGACGCGGGGGTCGTCGTGCCAGAGCAGCTTGAGGACATCGTAGACGATCAGATCACTGATGATTTCATGCGCCAGCTCGACCGGCAGCTGCCCCAAGCTCGTGACGATTTTGTGAAACGTAGGCATCGCTCCCTCTAAGCCACCTACAACACTCCAGGCGAGAAAGCAGATTCGACCTTCAAGTTGCATGCGGGCGGCAGAGCCTCAAATACTAACCAGTCGCCCCGCCCCCACTTGTTTGAGGCGACCGCTGCTTTGAGTCACTTCCGATGCAAATAAGAGCGCTAGTGCGAAGGTAGCCCTTCGCTGAGGCGATATCGAAATTGGTTGTTGACCTCTGCCAGGATATCGACAGTGTCGTTTCTTCTTCCCGAATTTCTCCCAGCCACCATTATGGAGGAACTTCCTGCGTTTCTTCCGAATGCGCAGTTTGAGATCAAGCATGCAGCAGCTCTCGCCGACCAGCTCAAATTAGATCAAACCAGATGCAGAGAAAATCTCGTGCCTAGCCGACTGGTGCTGGTTTTACCAAAACGAAAATCCGCCTCGTCGCTGTTTGATGCCATCGCCTGGCATGTCACACCGCACGAAGAGGTTCCTCGGGCACTGCGACAGGCAAGATGTGAAGGAATTATCGAAAGCATCACATCTTACTGGACTGGGCTGGATATCCGGTCTGGAGCTGATTGCGATGATAGCAGACTTCCCCTGGGGGCAGCCCATGTACCGAAGACCCACGAGCTGGAAGCGACTCTCAAAGTGCTGCGGTATCTTGAGGCGAGGGCGTCGGTGTCCAGTATTACGCAGGGCAGCTCTTTCAGTGACGTGGTCGGTGCAGTGGAATCGCACCTGCAGATGGACAACATCATGCGCAATACTTTCCACGAAGAAGCCGAAGCGCGCAGGAAACTGAGCACTGGCAGAAAGCCGTCCAAACCCCGATGCTACATGTGCCGTCGGCTGCTCTCCAGCACAGGCACTCATAATCTGTATTCTTCGCTGTGCGTTGATTGTGGAGACTTCAACCTGAGCTCATCCAATATGTCGCAGCCATCTAATCTGTGCCTCAATGGCAAAATCGCGCTCGTCACCGGTGGCCGAATCAATCTGGGGTATCAAACAGCTTTGAGATTGCTTCGATGTGGAGCACATGTTATTGTCTCTTCGCGCTACCCGGCCGATGCAGCGAGTCGGTATGCACTGGAACGCGATTTCACAAAATGGGATTCAAGGCTCAAAATCGTCGGCGCCGATTTTCGGACGGCCAAAGACGCATTTCGCCTCGTTCGTGTCGTCAAGGAACTCGTACGCTTTTGGTGTAAAGAGATGGGCCCAGGGAGACAGGAATCCCTGGATATCTTGATCAACAATGCTGCGCAGACCTTGACAGATCCCGTGAGAGCGGAGGCCGCGGCGATATCTCGCGAGGAGCTGCTGAAAGACCACCCCCGTACGAAAGCGCTGATAGCCGGGCAGCTGGAAAACAGATACCTGCCCATGATACGAGGAGGAATGCATGCATCCTGGATCCCAAGCATCGAAAATAGTTCCAACAACCTACAGGTCGAGAATGGCACCAACAAGCCAGAAAACAAAGCTATAACCCGAAAGGGCTTCCATACGGACAATGATAACGACTCGAGGAAATCTTCCTGGGTCCAGACCCTCAACCAAATCCCTTACGAAGACCTCATCAGCGCACACTCTGTCAACGCATTCGTCCCTCTGATATTATGTCGGGAGCTGCTACCCTGCATGGGTTCATATAGCCCGCCTTTATTAAGAGAACGACCACGGGGCTACATTGTCAACGTCTCATCGCGGGAGGGCATCTTCGAGGACGTCTCTGATTCGCGCAGTAAGGCCGGCCACCATGTACATACAAATATGTCAAAGGCTGCCATCAACATGATTACCGAGACCGAGGCGGGCGTCGCGTGGGAGTCGCGCCATGTTGCGATGAACTCCGTCGACCCCGGATACATGAGTGCGGCCCCGGAATGTCAGCCTCAGGGTGGATGTCCTATTGGATTCGAGGATGGGGCTGCTCGATTGTTATGGCCCATTGTTGTGGGAGAGAAGGAGGGCCGAGTCATTTCGGGCAGGTTCCTCAAGCACTTTGAGGAGGGTGCTGCAATCATCCGTCGATGATTCTCCATCATGGTGGGGATTATTTGGTGTTTTCCCCCCCCGGGTTTATAAAAATATAGATTCATCGCCTCGTCCAACATCGTTTCATTAGCGCACATTACCATTAAATACATCTTAGATCATGTGATAAAGAAGGCAGCATCTTTGATGTTTAAAAGTATTCGATTTCTCGTGAGATCGCCGGGTTTGATCGATTCTCGCCAAACCTTTAGATGGAGTTGATGGTGTCTCTCACACCGGCCTGTGGAAAACATGAGCTATTGCTTGTTATCAATCTTGGATCCGCCACCTACAGTGAGGCAATAGGTTTGGCAATTGACATCGTCACCACATTTCTTGAAGCAGTGTTCCATCTTCTCCACGCTATGCCCAGTATCTTCGAAGAGCGCGATGACGCAGGTCGCGCTCAGGAGCGTGAGGATCGCAGTGAAACGCATTTCGATTCCGGGTAGATGGCTAATTTGAGGAGAGTGAGAGCAATTGCAAAATGCAAAATGCAACTAATTAGGTCCGTGAGGTTGTAGATGGCAATGGGTGTGGAGACGTCGACACGGATGGCAAAGCCGTGGAAGGTGGAAGCAGGCTTCCGGCCGTGTCATATAGACGCGCTGGACAAGGAGCTGTTTATCGCTATGTCGGTCCATTCCCGATTCAGTACCTCCCTTGACACATTCTGCTCGCTTGGAATGCTCCAGCAAGTACATTGAACAGCCGTCTGCCTCTGTCATAGACAAACACGGCACGATATGCACAGAGAAGAGATACTCTACTCGCATTGTATACTAAGTAAATTCAGCGGAGGCTTAGCTTGAATCTGAAACAAACAATATGAGCGGCTGCGGTGGTTCACTTGTTTAGGCGGCCGTCGCTCTCATTCCTTCTTGATCCCCCTTGCTGACCAGCCGGAACTCCAGTCCCAATACCATCCTCACGGTATCCAGCAGCCCCATTACTCCCTCAAAGGGTGCGACATTGCGCCATCCTTCGCCGGTGCGATAAATCACCAAGGCTGCTAGAAGTCTGCCGGGCACTGAAGCGATCATCATCGGGATGTTATCCTGATAGGATGTGATCGTGTAGAACGACGCTAAGGACAGGGATGTAAGGCTAGTTGGGAGTGAGCATCGGTTCTTCAGCAGTAGTTCTGCTTCCATACATACATGGTCGCCTGAATAGTCACATTGCTGATTCCCGGAAGTCCCAACGAATAGTAACCGTACGGCCCTGCTGAAAGAGCGCGGCCTTCTGTACGTCTCGCAAATTGCCGTCCGTCACCCCGAAAGCCCACTGGAACCGCTTTTCCGCGCGCTATGGATCGAGAAGCCCTCCTTCAATATCAAATCGGTCAACGTCGTTAGCGATCGGGACAACATTCGCAAACTCCTTGCATTTCTCGACCCCAAGATGAAGATGTTCAACAGACTCACCTTGTCGGAAGCTGCTCGCGTTCACCATCGATGTGGAGGTTGTTGGTCAGACTTCGCTTCTCAGCGGCGTGGAGGAGCATAACGCCGTGGTATCGGTGCCAGGTGCGCCAGATCAGGCCGCAGACTATGGAAACGAGTCCAAGAAGACCGCCACCACCCAGAAAATCAAAGATAGTACTGGCCACCGACGCATTGTGTCGTACCGGCCTGGCGACCTGAACATCTTTGTCCGCAACGTCTATGATGATTATGTGGAGGATTCCGATACTGATGGCCACACGAGCACTATGGGATCTCTGTCTCTTGGTCCGGATACCAAAACCATTGGCCAGACCGTTCCATCCAAGTTGGCCATCAAGAAAGAAGGCAACGTCGTCCCCTCGAAGAAATCATGGAATCAAGTCCTGCTCGGTCTGAGTCAAGGGAGGTCTTAGACTTCCATACATCGGGCCTTTCCTCGGGATTTCGCCGATACCTAACCTCGTGCGTGCCTTTCATGACCACAGGAGGTTCGAACAGCCTGCGTGGAGGCCGGTTCCTCGATGATCACGGAATGGGAGCGCACCCACCAACCTGACATCAAGCGATTGATCACGCGCCTCAAGATAAGTATGAGCATGACCAAGGATCAAGGTGGTACCTCGACCCTGACATCTGATCGTGACGAGGGCAGCCTGGTGATCACCAAGGCCACTGGAAAAAAAATTGCTTCTAGACGATCTCTACTCGAAGTGGGATGTGCCGGCCCTGCTCGTGCTGCAGGGAAGGACCCTGAGGAAGGTGAGAGCAAAGCATTGCTCAAAAGAAGACTATTTCACTGTTTGATACTAACTACCAATAGCCTAAGTCCATGTCGGGGCTTATCCTACCTCGAGTGGGGAGGATACTCGGGTCAATCTGAAATTCGATAGCACTCAAGACGAGATTCAAGTTTTTCACGGTATTTCTTGCATGTCGTTGTAATACAACACAAATATAGTGTAGAAGGTGATTTCGTCGGGGAAGCAAGAACCAAGCAGAAAGTGAACAAATTGTGAGCAATGAATGGGGAGCATCTCTCATTACTATCATTACAAGGGTCCCACCATAATCCCATGGAAGCACGATCACGAATGCATAGCCACCTCTCAGTTTCCATCCAAGAGGGAAGAAATCTAGCATCAAGATCACCGCGACAAAAACATAGTATCAACGCTATCATATACATCTCCAATGAAATTCTCATAATTCGTCCAAGCAAGATTATCCCCGGAACCCTGCAGCCCGGTCCCAGTCAAATCCATCGAATCCCATACATTCGGCCAAGGCTCAAGCATCACATTTGGCGGCATGCTTGCTCCCGCATCTAGCTGGCCAGTAACAAGAGATGGTTCTAACCCTAGCGGATAAGACGCAGCAGGAGGAGTGGGCATTTCTTCGGGAACCGATCGGAGAGGTGGAGGCGGCATGACGCGCAGGGGTATTTGACGGATTGCTGCTTCGTTAGGTGAGGTGCTGCCGAGCATTTCGCGTTTATGGGCTCGGGCTTGAGTCATGAGCTTCTCTAGTGGCTTCCAGAGCATCCCGTGTTGGGAGTCGGCGATTGTGAGGCTGGAGCGATGGTAGACTTGCTCGATGACAGGCCAATGTTTTGCCATTGCTTGAGGGTCTTTACAGACACACAGCTCGGCTAATGCGACTGCTAACCCGTGCCAGGGAACCCATAAGGACCCGAACCACATCCATTGTGCGGTGTTTGGGTCGCTATAGGATTCTTGGACCTTGGCGAGGTTATCCACTGCTAGACTGAGGAGGACGTCGCCTTGTACTGTTGGTGGGGTGAAGTTGCGGCTTCGGGAGATTGGTCGAAGACAACCCAATTGGAGCCAGCCATATATGGTTGCTGCCGTTCGCTTGGTGTAGAGTTGGAATGCTGACATTTCAGGTCGGCACCCGCTCAGCAGTTTGGTGACGTTGCGCTGGAAGTCGAGGAGGACTTGTTGACGCAAGCTCATTTCCTTGACAGCCAACTCGATGAAATCCGCGTAGGCGATCATTCTTGCTACAGATTGCGCGGCGGCAACGATCAAAGTAAGGGTGAGGTCGGTGAATGTGCCCTCGGGAGGCTCTTGTATCGGAACCTGCATGTCGAACCAAATATCCTCGTCATTGATATTAGACGGCGGGTGCGAGTCTAGCCAGGCAGACTGCATCATTGGTTCCGAGGCTCGATCCAGCGAGGCCGAGAAATCTAAAAGTCCAATGCACTGCCAACAACGCCGACGCATTTCCTGTTCGAACGGGTTGACTTCGAATGGGGGATCGCGCATATGCAAACAAAGCGCCTGGCCGACACGAAGAGCCATCGCTGACATGGTCCAGACACGCCGGCTCTGGTCTTGGCAGCGGGCCGCAAGAAGTGACAATACATACGCTTGCAGTACTGTCAACTCGTTGGTAGTAACAAAATCTGCCTTCTGCAGGGCGGCTTCTGTTTCGGCTTGGAGACTAGTTGACGCTGTCTTCTTATCCAAGCCAAACAACAATTGACATTGCGCGTCGTCGATCGTTACTACAGCCGCATAGTAGACGGCGTAGGATAAGGTAACAGGAGCCTGGTGATCTGGCTCATAGTCCAGATACCGCTGATCATCTCGTAGATATGCCCTTAACGAGGGGCGGTGCAGGAGTTTGAAGACAGGATCCACATTACGGAGATAAATCTCACATAAGCTTCGGCGGGCTTGAGGGGTAATGCTGATGCCCCTGTATGACTGGGGTGAATTGGAGGCGCTTTCGGAGCTTTCGGAGCCAATGATGGATGTTCCAAAGTCAGACGGGCGTCTAATTTCATCTTCGATCTCCAGACGATCATCCAGCACATTTCGAAGCTCTGATGTCTATGCAAAGCGTTAGTAGGAGTGCAAGGAATTGTTGCGGCTCTCAATGCGGACACAAAAGGAAGCATGGCTAAAATATACATACCTGTTGCATGATGTCTTCCCAGAAAGAGCTACCCAAATAAGAAGCTGATGGCCGAGGCCGATGCGAGAGCGCCATCGTTGGACCGGTATTAGCTTGAGAGTTTTGATCACGCCATTTCTCGACATCAGCCATCCTGGTCTCGAAGGTGTGCTCGGTTTTGAGCTCGGCTTCCATTCCAGCGCCTAGACTCGGCCCTGCGGACGGCGCCGCCTCCACAGCTGCGCCTGCATCGCGCTCGGCGGCCACGCGTCGGAGAAGCTGTTCGAGCTTGGCTACTCGGTCCGCCAGTTCTTTATCGGAGCTGGCAGCGCGCTCGGGCGGCTTTCTTGTCCGACCCCGCGGGAGACGAGCTCTTTCCACGGGGACACACACGAAGCCAAGCCGAACGCAGCTGGTACAGGGGCTGAGCTTGTCGCATTTCACCTTGCGCTGGCGACAGGCTTCGCAGCTCAGCCGGACTCGTGGAGCAGAGGATCGAGAGTGGGATGTTGTGCGTTCACGCCGGACCGTGGGGTCTGCCTGGTCCTCCATCCTGGCATATTCACTGGAGGATAGTGGGAGTCGGAATGGTGCTGGCGATCATACACTGGTGCAGAGGGAGACCAAGAAGCGACGATGCAATGCGCGTACGAGTCAGGGTGAGCTGTTCCACTGTTCGCGACGAGAAGAATTGGAGAGCTTTGGACTCCGCAGGCGCGTTTCTTGGCGGGGGCCCCACGAGCCTATTGGGTCCGTCCGCACGGTTCAGCTTAGTACATTAGTACCTACTACATACTAAATACTCAAATGTTTGCTGATAGCTAGTACTCTGAATATCTTGTACTTAGCATGATTACGATAGAGAGTCATAATGACTAGAAGTGATTGCATTGATGAAGAATAATGGCTCAAGTAGTTAGTAGATTCAGGAGCTCACAGCGCAAGACTTAAGCCTTCACGACAAAGCCATAGATCGTGTTCGACGCATTAATATCCCCCACCCCCATCACGGTGCGATACACCTGGGTGCATCGGCCCTGGACATTGAAGAACTGGACGGTGCTGGCCCCGCGGGATCCGCGCCAACTGATCTGCGTACCTCGCGGGATGAGCACGGCCTTACAGCCTTGTGGGGTCGACCCGGTCCACGTCTGGGACCCGGCCTCGAGCTGCCACGCCGAGGTCGTGCTCAGAAGTGCGGCCGCGAGAGTCCAGGCAGACAGCTTCATGATCGCAGGTCGGAGCTGGTAGATCGTGGTCTAAAGGCGACATGTTTTAAATGAGGAACAAAGGGAGAAAGAGCATGGGATCAGAGAGCCACTTACTGTTGTACAATTGCAGGGTTGCGAGACTGGGGACTGTACCAGGATTTCCCGCGGAATCCTCCACAATCTATTGTCTTATACCATAAGGTCGTTCGCGACACTCGGGGCTTCATTGATGTCACCATTAGGGAGGAGATCGCGGGCACCACGGTCGCGGTGACTCGAAGAGAACGGTCGGCTGGTGCTGAGCGATCTCAATTCTACGCCACCACGGTTGGCACGGATTGGCTGAACCAAGCGGTTCCAGACCGATCGATAGACCGGCACCAACGGTCTTCGACATTCGTACTGCCTAGGAGTTTACTCGAAAGGACAACGATTGAATAGTGGTATCAGGTTTCATTGGTAAAAAGGCAGTACACGTAACTGCCCTGAGGAACTACTAGTAGTAACTTGAAGTGAACACCCATTCCCTCCGGGGCGTCAACTGATTGTGATGTAACATGTCAAACGAGCATGGGGCAAATGCTCAACCTAGATATTTTTGGCCGTGTTAAAATCGGGATAGAAGTCACGGAAACGTCAAAGTCGATCCTTACCTAGAATTTTCATGCCACCCTTGGTCTTGCTGGGCTTCTTCACTCCGTCCTGCTTGACTTTTCCGCTGCCGGGCTGCTTTTCTCCGCCGGATTTCTTCTGGTTCTTCTGATTCCTCTGGTTCTGCTTGTTCGAGACCGGCTTCACCTCGGTTGTAGCCCGTCGGATTAGAACCGGGTGAGAGCCAATGTACTTGCCTTGCATCTCGCGTCCCGCCTTGAAGTAGTCATCGCCATCGCTGAAACTAACAAATCCGTATCCCTTGCTCTTTTGGGTGCGAGTCTCCCGGACCACGCGCGCCTTCTGAACGGACGTGTAGCGGCCAAATGCCTTGAGGAGTGAGTCGTCAGTCACTTCACCTGCAAGGTTACCCACGAAGAGTCGGAAATGGGCAGGGTCCCACTCCAAGAGAGTAGAATCGGTCCAGGTTTGACCGCCGCCCGAGCGAACCACTGTCAGCTTGGACTCGGGCTTTGGGAGAGGAGTTCCGGTTGCAGTGGTAGGCGTCCCGGCTGCTGTGTTGGTCTCGCTCCCAGTACGCTTGCCGGCGGTTGTTTCGTCACCTGGGTTCGAGTATGCGCTCTGCCACTGGGCGATTTGAGCCTCGGTCTCGGCATCCACCCCACCAGGGCCACGCTGGGGACCGTAAGAGTAATTGGGGGCAGGTCCATAGGTGTTCGCGGACGCGCCGTAAGGCTGTTCATTGTACCCGGCAGCATAGTAAGGTGCACTCTGATAAGAAAGTTGAGCGGGCTGCTGGTAGTGGGCTCCGTAGGTAGGTGCAGGCGTGGCATACCCGGCGGCGGGAACTGGCGGCGCCGAGACAACCGGAGTGCTGGTGCGGTGTGCCTTGCTGGAGGCTACGGAACGCGGCGCGAAGGCCGTGAAGGCCATTGGACGGTCATTGCCTCCGGGCTTTGCGGTATTGGCGGATGGAGGAGGTCGAGCGGGAAGAGAGGAGGGGGTCTGGCTACCCGGAGGAGCACGATTCCACATGACGAAAGGGTAGTTGATGGAAAAGAAATTGAAGGAACGATTGAGCTGCGTGCAAAGAAGCAAGCGTAACGTACCTTCAAGGCCTGACTGAACCTCCAGTCAATCTGCCCGACGTCACACCTGCCAGTGAAGCTTCGGCACTGTGCGGAAGGGGGATGAGAAGATATTGTGGTGTTGTATGAAGGATGGACCACACACAGGTGGCTACCAGCAAGCGTCTGAGGGGAATGGGATAAGTGGGCGAGGCGTGAGTGTTGAACGTCGAGATCTCAAAAGAGTATCGCGTGGAAGTGGCAGTATTCGATGCGACTTGACCGCCCAGGAAACTTGGCGCGCACAGCTGGTTTGTTTCGTATGCCGTAGTCTATGCCCGATCTTCAAGGCTAGGCTCTCATGGTGTCAGGCCGTCGGCATCAGGCACCAAGGCAGCCAGGCCGGTCGAGCCGAATCCGCGCATTTCATCATGCTGACTGAGCGGACACCCCCACCCTAAGCCTAATGCGGCCTTAGGGTCAGCCGGCAACCGCAAAAGTCAACGGTCTACGCCAAAATAATTCACCGATGCGTGGATGCGTGGATGGGATGCGCGGAAATGGTCTTGCTTTTTCCTGCGGTGACCTGGAGCAGAGAAAATAACCCGCACCGGGCATTTGCAGTCCGAGACTGGGAGACCAAATTATCCCGCACGACGAAGAGAATATCCGCACTACCCCTCCATGCCCCGCGTTGCTTGCAGACCCCAAGGTAGCTTCCATGATAGCATTGCATATGGAGTGCCACGCCAATTAGGCATCCTGGTCGCAGTAGTACTAGTACATACTTAGGATAGGAGTAGTAGGCCGAGGGCCGGAAGTAGTAGGGTATTGGAAATCGGGTCGGATAATGATCGCTGTGCCCCCCAAACCGAGAGCAGAAGCCGAGTGGGATGACCCTCACCGGACGACTCTGCTCCTGTACCGGATACTTGGCGCTACACCGGAGACAGTAAAGACCCCAGGGTACCTGGTACGCCCACTCACCACTGGTCCCCCGCCGGGCATGTCCCACCATATGACGGAAGACTTGCTCCGTCAGCAGGTTGGGTTCAACTTCTCTTCTTTCCCCTCCATTCTTCTATCCTCCTTCCAACTCCAGATACCCCTTCCTCCTTCACCACTCTTCAATTCCTATCGTCCATCATGGCTGAGCAGGCTGTGTAAGTCAACCTTCTTTACTTCTATGCCCTTTACTGCATCCCTCCGACATCGTCTAGCCTTTTGCATTCCCCTCCCCTCCCCTCCCCACCATCTACAACGTCTAAACCCAAAACCACCGATTTCCAATCCTTGAGACTCCCGGACAAAGAGCCCGCGAGATATTGAGGCTCATGACATGCCTGACAATTGCTGTTCACGGCGACTGCGATTGATCCCCGCACATCATCGGCCTCAGGAAGCTCAGCGGTCCTCGGAATCACTCGGGTTCCCCCACCACCCTCCCTTCCGTGCTTCGTTCGCGTTTTCGCGGCTGTTGACAAGAAATATGTCGCTGACAATAGCGCCCGTCTCGCCGGCATCAATGTCGGCGCTCCGGCGCATGTTCCCAGTGCTGATTTCGGCCTCATCGGTCTGGCCGTCATGGGCCAGAACCTGATTCTGAACGCTGCCGACCACGGCTTCACCGTCTGCGCCTTCAACCGTACCACTGCCAAGGTTGACCGCTTCCTCGACAACGAGGCCAAGGGTAAGCATTCCCGCATGAAACGAGGAAAAAAAATGTCCAGGCACGAGATATGGTGCCATAGGTTATGCTCGCCGTGCTAACTTTGCTCCAGGCAAGCCTATCGTTGGTGCCCACTCCATCCAGGAGTTCTGCTCCAAGCTCAAGCGCCCTCGTCGCATTATGCTCCTCGTCATGGCCGGCAAGCCCGTCGATGACTTCATCGAGTCCCTCCTTCCCTTCCTCGAGAAGGGCGATATCATCATTGACGGTGGTAACTCCCACTTCCCCGACAGCAACCGCCGTACCCAGTACCTCAGCGGCAAGGGCATCAGCTTCGTCGGCAGCGGTGTCTCAGGTGGTGAGGAGGGTGCCCGCTACGGTCCCTCTCTCATGCCCGGTGGTAACGAGGCCGCCTGGCCCCACATTAAGGACATCTTCCAGAGCATCGCCGCCAAGAGCGACGGCGAGGCCTGCTGTGACTGGGTCGGTGACGAGGGTGCCGGTCACTACGTCAAGATGGTCCACAACGGTATTGAGTACGGTGACATGCAGCTGATCTGTGAGGTACGTTTCTCCACTTTGGCCGCTTCCCTGCAGCCCAAGCAGCTGTGCTAATATGCTTTATGCAGGCCTACGATATTATGAAGCGTGGCCTCGGCATGTCCTGCAAGGAGATTGGTGATGTCTTCGCCAAGTGGAACACTGGTGTTCTGGACTCCTTCCTCATCGAGATCACCCGCGATGTTCTCTACTACAACGACAACGACGGCACTCCCCTCGTTGAGAAGATTCTCGACAAGGCCGGCCAGAAGGGTACCGGCAAGTGGACCGCCATTAACGCCCTGGACCTCGGCATGCCTGTCACTCTGATCGGCGAGGCTGTCTTCTCCCGCTGCTTGTCTGCCCTCAAGGACGAGCGTGGCCGTGCTGCCAACATCCTCGGCGGCCCCACCCCCAAGTTCGAGGGTGACCGCGCTGCCTTCATTGATGACCTTGAGCAGGCTCTGTACGCCTCCAAGATTATTTCCTACGCCCAGGGCTTCATGCTCATCCAGGACGTAAGAGCACCTCTCAAATTCACTCTGTCAACGAAGGAAATTAAAGGCCCTTTCTAACACATATTCATATAGGCTGCCAAGGAGTACGGCTGGAAGCTCAACAAGCCCTCCATTGCCCTCATGTGGCGTGGTGGCTGCATTATCCGCTCTGTCTTCCTGAAGGACATCACCAACGCCTACCGCAACAACCCCGACCTCGAGAACCTGCTGTTTGACGACTTCTTCACCAAGGCTATCAACACTGCCCAGAATGGTTGGAGAAACGTTGTCAGCAAGTCTGCTCTGTGGGGTATTCCTCTGCCCGCCTTCTCCACTGCCCTCAGCTTCTACGACGGATATCGCACCAAGGACCTGCCCGCCAACCTGCTGCAGGCCCAGCGTGATTACTTCGGTGCCCACACTTTCCGCATCAAGCCCGAGCACGCCAGCGAGACCTTCCCCGAGGGCAAGGACATTCACGTCAACTGGACCGGCCGTGGCGGTGATGTGTCTGCCTCGACCTACGTGGCATAAGTGCCATGTCGGCGCTAGAAGGGTAAAAAACTGGGTTCAATGTATTTAGAGATGTCACATGAATGGAACGTAACGAACTATTTTGCCTTCAGTCTTGTAGAAGTATAGTATGATTTTGCAGGCGCCCAAGAGTTGCAAGCAGTGCCCTTGTAATCCTCTTGGACAGTCCATACCCTGGGAATCATCATGATGTGTGGTTGTATTTGTAGTCCGTCGAAGGCTTTGACGCCTAGGCCATGAGGTAATCCGCGGCGCTAAGCCTGATCGGGTAGCCCAGAGCAACGACTGGATCGCTCCTGCCATCTTATCGCGCCTCCCCTCTCCCTTCCGTCACGTTTCGAGCTGTTGTCTTCGTTTTTTCCTTTCCTTTCTCGTTCTTCTCTCCTCCCACTCTCCCTCCTTTCTTCTCTCCGCGCGTCACGTCTCCACAGCCTTCGAGGGAATTGAGGCCCGTCTTTCCAATCCCGACAGCGACCTCACTACTCCGGTTTCCTTCATACCACAGTACCACGCCGAGTGGAATACGTCTTCCTGCGGGTCCAATTGACTCGTCCAAGTCCGATGATCTGAGGCTGTCTTCGATACTTGGCAATCTCAAGCAAACAAAGAGGCCTTCCTTTCAGTGGATATTCTGACGCAGTGTGTGCCTTACACCGCCCGCACAGCCCGTCGTCACAGTCCGCATGGCAGAGAATAAGCGCCAGAGCTCCGGTGCTAAAGGATCTCGAGGATCATCGGGCAACGCAACTGGGCCCAACATGGCGACCGATATGGCGTCCTTGGAGACTGCCTTGAGTGGCGCAATGGGTGCTCGGTGAGTTGTCCTTTCTCCCCACACGCCAGAATGGCCGATCCATCGTCGCCCTGATCCCTTTTGAGCTAACGTCGATTGCATGATAGCATTCGGGTCACCGTTGGTCCTCCAATCTCGACTACTTACGAGGGCATGCTCGTCGCCGCGGACCCCATCTCCAGTATCGTTATCATTAACACCCGTCCCCCTCCCTCGACCGCAGACTCCAAGGAGGCATGGAACGGAGATCACCAAATGTTTCCTATGTCGAAGGTCCAGTCCTTCCAGCTTCTCTCCCTTCACCCGTCGGCCTCGAACCCGACCGACACCCCCTTCACCGGTGCCTGGCCCCCGATCTTCCCGCTCGACATTCGTGCGCTGAAGGCGCGCGAGGCCAAAGCTGTTGCTGAAGCACAGGAGCGCGAAGCCCGTCGGGGTAAAGGTGTTACTCGTGAGGCACAGGAACTTTTTGACGCATTCGGCCGGACCATGCCTACCCGGTGGAGTGGTTCTAACATCATTGTTGCGGATGCTGTGACCATTGCTCCGCCCTATCGTGTTGATGATTGCCGCCCTTTGGTTGAGAATGACACTGCTGCTCTTGCCCGAGTGCGTAAGGTGGTAAGTCTACTGACCCCAAACTCTGACAGCGAAACTGTCGTGCCAGACTCCTCTAGCGAGGAAGATTCTGACCAGGAAGATTCTTTCCTTCACGAGTTGCTTTTGTTCGACAATGCTGATTTTTTGTTTCAAGCTTGAGATGGAGCGAAAGAAGATCGAGCTCCGGAACGCCAGTGCCACCATTGGATCTACCAGCACCTTCGCCCGCAACTCCGGCGACCAGCGCAAGGGTGGCTAAACGAGTCCATTCTCTGCTATTGTTTGTTTTATCGGTATCAGGCATGGATGACATTTGCGTGTTATCTATTTCTGATTTACACTTTATGGAAATACCCCGGATGATGAGGCGTGCGGGTCCTTGCGGTAAAGCCTTTCACGGTGCTAGCTGATCCGTTGAATGAAATCATGTGTGCGATCAGAATGGTCGGCTCTCCACCAGTTGACAGTAGTGTTCAAAACTGCGTAAATTGGTTATATTACTGTCAGAAAGAGTCGATGTGTTGCCCTTGGGTCTGCTCACTACGAGAAACTTCTGCAGCTCTCTCGGATGGAAACCTTAGCAGGAGGGCGCGGGCTGTTCGAACTGACTTTTGGAAGAATCCTTGATTTTCAGCTACTTCCTCTATGAACTCTGGGGAGGCGCTATACCATGATACACTAACTGTATACATAAAACAACTGCTCTCCGGCGCCATCTACATTCTCAGAATTATTAAATCTACCTCTCATGTCGTACCTTGCTATGTGTAAATACGTACTTGACAAGTGTCACGTCGAAGATGCCGTGTAACTCGATATGAACGTTCATGGAATCTTTCGCTTTGTTCATACTACGTAGACAGTCCTCGTAAGGATCTAATACACATAATGCAAGCGCTCACAGTGACAAATAAGATGGAGAAAAATTCAGAATAGCAGGTTCATATCCATCTTCAAGGCTCTAGTTGCCACCAGGTGCCTTGACAACATCACAAACAGTGCCGACAAACCCTTCCAATCCCGACATGGGAACAACCCCAGTCCCAGAGCCAGGGCCTGTTGTCGCAACGCCAGACGAAGGTCCCATGGACACACCAGGCATCACCAGAACTCTAGACCCAAGCTCAATCCATTCAACAGAAGTAACAAAGGCAAAGGTAATCTTCACATCCTCACTAAAAGCCTTTAGGTTTGACGCGGCATTGCCAGCACCATTCATCGAGACGGAATTCGAAACGACTTTACTGATATCAGTCGTCGATTGTCGTCGTCTGTCTCCACCTTTACTCTGGTCACCGCCATTCCTCTTCTCTGGTCCCAACGACGGCGAGCTGTCCCCATCAAACGAGAAAAATTCCGGCTCAGATGGCGAAGGCGGCGAAGAGGCTGGCTCTTCGTTGGGACCTGCGAGCGCCATACAAACAACTCTCACAGTTGTCCTTATACTGGCGATGTAGGCAATTGCATTGCCACCCAGCAACAATGGCGGCGATTTCGGAGCCGAGAATGCGAACGCTGGGAATATCGCTGTGAATCCGGTGTGGAAAGGGAGTGGCAGTGTCGACGGAAGCGGGGAGGGAGGAGGGAATTCATGGGTGCATTGAAATTCGTCAAGATCATTCCTTTCCGTATACGACTGATGCGGGGTAGACGGCCTTCTTCAGATGATGGAGTGATAAGTTCGATGCCAACAGTTCCAACTTGGTCTTGTTTCAGTCTATGGACAGGGAGTCGGAGATCGCGGACGCTGACGACTCGGACGCGTTGCCACTTCGCTTGGGCGTTGGTCAGAACGTTGGCTGCGAACGAGGCCGGGAATTCGGCGGAGGGACCAGGTGCGCTGCTGCGTGAGAGGCTTAATGGCGTTGGATCTTTCTCGCTGTCGGTAGTTGTGTCGACTAATATCGGGCCAAGAGTCATTTCGTCGCCAATGGCAATACTTCCCTGCCGGACCAGGCCGCAGAGCACCATTCCCCGGCTTGCATTGTCGTTTTTTCCCAGGGCTATTGAGTAAACTTTGGACGGCGGAATAGCAAACACCTCATCAACGTCGAAGATATTTGTTGCTTTTTGTTCTGGCGCTGTTGGTTTGGGAAGACGGGGTATCTGTTGTGATGGTCGTTGAGGAACGGGCAGGTAGCGCATGAAAGCGTGGAGCTTCCCAATCCCTGTGCCGTCAACAGCACTCGAAAGTACAATTGGGATAGTGCGACACCAGTTGCCATTTGCAGAATCGATGACCTTTTGGACCTCATTACGGTCTGCAGTGCTGACCTGTTGCAAATCCAGAGCTTTATCGCCCGAGGGAGATCCCGGGAGTATTGCAGGTTTGCATCCAGCTGACTTTACTGCTGACAGAACTTTTGCGACATTCTCCCGTAGTTTTATGTGGGCTGCCACGTCTAGTTTAGTGATCACAACAAGCACAGGTACCTCGAGTTTTAAGCAAAGCTCAAGATAGGCCAAACAGAGGTCGAGCTCCCCAACCTGTTCAGCGCCAGCCTCGGCCTCTGGCGTCTCAGCGCCACAGTTTGCTGGAATACAGAGCAAGACATAATGTGGTGCCCAGCTGACAAGACCTCTCAATGTGGATTTCATGTATCGGACCGAACCCGGGAGGTCAGAAACGAAGGCCAACCGGCCATTGCGAGAGGCAGCATGTATATCATCCCATGCAGCCACATTACCAGAGGCATAATTGACTACTGAAGGGTGCTCATCCTCCCCATACCCGATAAGCTCTTGCGCAACCGAGCTGGTGATTCCCGATGAAATTTCGTGGCGATGTTTCAAAAGGCTGAGCCGGCTCGAACCCCTTCCATTGTCAAGAGCTGAAGACGTTAGAGTACCAAGCAAAGACGACTTCCCTGCGGCGCTAGGACCTGCAAGAGATATCCGAATCTGCTCAGTCCGAGAATAGTTCTCTTCGGAGTCAGGGTTGACATCGCTCTCGGGTTTCGAGGTGTCGTCGGTATTGCACCTTGTCAGGGCCGGCGAAAGATTATAGAAATCAAGATCTGGGCTGACAAGCGCCTCTGCGACCCAAAGGCTTTCTTTCTTGCTTTTGATCGGTTTTGGAGGTGCATTCAATGACTCGGGCGGTGCAGTCGGTTGCTCTGCTTGCACAGGAGGGCAACCCTCCGCCCACTCGCAATTGCCAACGATGACTCGGCGAAGAATCTCAACTTTGCAGCCGAGACTTGCGGCCATGGCCTGGAGATTGGTCACACTCTCGTTGAGTTCATCTAGAGTGAGACCCACGAAGGTACCGTCATCAGCAACTCCGATCTCGTATAGAGCTCCCTGACTTTCTTCCAGGCCAGGTAGCAAACGAGCGGGCTTCGAGGGTACCCCCAATTGAGGCGTGGCCTCTGGGCGCACCGGAATTACAAGGTTTGCCGTCGTCGTTGAGTGAAACGGCGACGACTGCTGCAGCCGCCATAAAAGTTGGGTCGTAAGACCTGTTAACCGTGACTGACGGCTCTGGCTCGACTTCGCCTGCATGGGTCGCGGTGTGGTTGCATCCTGAGCTGGGGATGGCACCTGAGCGGGTGTAAACTGGCTTAAGCGGGAGTGATAGGATCCGACGACTACATTGCCGGTAGACATGGCAAGATAGGGCCGACGGGGACGTAGTAGCAGATGCAACTTGTACTCCGTGGGGCCCTCCTGGGGCTCTGGTTCCAACTTGGAGATTCCATAGTCGGACAGAATATCAGCGCCGGCCCGGTCCAGGCTTGCGCTAGATCGCGTTCGTCTTGAAACGCCTCGCCCGCTGGCTGCAGCGAGTTGGGGGGTCGACGATCCTGACGTCGACCACGGGGACGAAACCCGGGGCGGGTCGGGGTCGTAGGTGAATATTGATGCCATGATGCTTGACCAGTTAAGTGTGCAATATTTTTTTTAGTTTACTTACGGTAATATGGGCTGTATGGATATCCCTTGCCAGGAAGAGAAATGCCGAGGAGGTAAGTGAGCAGCAACGAAAGACATTCTTGCGCGAGATTGGGATGGTTGACAACGCTGCGTCGGCGGGCCCCAGTTGACTCACCTGGCTGCCTGAGGCATCACGTGGCAGCTCCGGGGAGTCACGCTGGGGCTGGTTATGACAGTGTCAATCGGCACTAGGCAATTTCCACGTGGATATCATGGGTATATTCCATGCTTGATATTTCACGATGGAATATTTTTTGGCGAGGAACTATCTATTATGTCCAAAGTAAAAGGAAAGTGGCAATATACAAGCTCTAATCGGGTCACTCCCCCGATGATTCTCCCCCCGCGCCTTTACATTTACCCTGTGCAACATGGATATTGCGCGCTGTCGTGCGTGTGAATACGGCACCGCAAACGGGACATTCTGCTTTGGCTACCACTCCTGACTTTTCGCGTTGGTGTCGTAGTAGGTTGCTGAATGTGGAGAACTCTCGACCGTTACAGCCATGGTCCCAGCATTGAGGGCGTGGGCGCGAGCTCATCACGTGGAGCTCTTGTGCTGTATCTGGCTGGGCCGTAGCTGGCTCGGATGCCGAATATATGGAATCGTGCATCATGGAGGAGGTCTGCGAGCTTATAGAAGAATTGTGAGAGGAACTATGGAGTAAATTAGTAAGGGACTCGAAGAAGCTAGCATTTGGGCTCACTCACGGGATGGGTTGCGCTTCGGGGAGATAGTATTGCTGTTGGCTCATGATGTAAGGAGGTGAACTTTACGTAGAGTAGTAAGTAACTTGATACTAAGTCACAATGGTTGAAGCGAATGCTGTTCAGGGGTTGTCCTGTTCCAGCAACAGTTAATCTCAGGACTCACGAGGGCATTAATGGTGGATCAGGCATAGTAGCCGCAGAATGAGAAGGGAATGAACGGGGGATCGGTGGACTAGAAACCTAGTTAGTCGATATTCCTGGAAACAACTTCACTTCCTACTCCTGTCTTCCAGATTTTTGCGTACCTGCGTGATGGATTTTGTCGTTGGGCGCTACCAGGCGCGACTGGGAGATATGAGGAGGGTGTTGGAAGCTCTTGCTGATAGCTAGGGAGAGCTCCGCTAGGCTGACTGCTGTAACCAACGGGATACCCCGTCGTAGCATAGGGTTGTGAAGGCGGGTACTGCTGGTTCATATTCCCCGGCGGCGATTGAAGGGGCTGGAAGGGGCGATTGGCCCACATATAGTCTTTTTCGTTGTCAGTAAATTACTTGGTGTCGACCTACGATCTTTCATGCTCTCCGAGTGAGGGTAAACTCGACTTACGTTGGGAATTTGGCTGCATTGGGCCAGCAAAGTATGACTCTGATGCTACTGACATAGGTAATGATGTGATCTCAAGGCCACTGGAAGATTTTTCGGTTTCGTTAGTGGATTGCTCAATGTCGTAGAAAGGGAAAGACAAGTCAAGTAAAGAGAAAGATTTAGGTCATACTGTGTTTGGTAGTCAGTTAACTGCTCTTTTTGATCGACGCCGTCAAAAGAAGGCTGACCACTCTGTCCAGAGAGCGGCGTGTCGGAATCCAGAGCGGATGACGGAAGACTGGAGCTGGATTTTAAAGAAGTAGATGAGCCCTGGGGGTCCAGAGAAGTAGAAAACACTTCGATTGGTCGCGAGTGGCTTTCCAAGGCTGGGCCGTGGCTATTAAATGGCCAGGCCGACGACTGGATGGAGAACGCGCCTTGTTGGAAGCCCGGCGCCTGCACTGACTCAATCGGAGTCGAGGGGAAGCCGATGTCTGACTGCGAGGCTGGGACTTTTGGCTGATCGTCGGGGTCCCTGCGATCAAATGAAAACTGTTGTGAGCGAGAATCGCCGAAGGACATGGGGACTTCATAGGGTCATGGACCACTTCGGTTTACACTCGAGCACAATGGGGCCAGAGGGGCCAGAAATCATTGGGGCAAAGTGTGTGTGATGTCGCAGTAGCAGGAAGGGGGGGAGGAGGCGACAATTCAGGAAGCAACATACGATGCACGCGAGCCGGCCAGACATCCGGCGAACCTGAGGGTTTTTGTTCCTGGGAAGATGACAACCGGGCTACGTACGAGCGCGCCGGGGAGGTTTAAAATAAATCTTCAAACAAGACGGGCAGGGCGTTACAAAAAAGTCCCCGCAATCAATGGATCGAGAGTCCAGTTGGGTACGTTTTTCACATCGGTTCCACCCAGAGCCAACACCATCGCAGGGCTTCTAGAACTTCTGTACCAATGGGAGAGTTCGTGGGCAAAGATGTGGGCGCGAGGCACTTGAAACGCACTCGGGTTGGCGTAGGTTCCGACTCATTAACCCTTTAGAGTGGTTTCCACGCAGGTATGCTGTAATTTGCTGTAATCATTGCCTATCTTATATAGCGCGGGAGCCAAAGGGTACCGTGAGATCCTATGATCTTCAAGCAGTGGGCCGGTACTGGTGAGAAGGAAAGGATAAAAAAAGAAAAAAAAAAAAAAAAAAAAAAAAAAAAAAAAAAAAAAAAAGGGTCATTCTACTTGAAAAGTGATATTCTTTTCCTTTTTTTTTCCAAGCCCCCACAGGTGACACCGGGACCTCCGTTGTTAGAACAAAGCCTATATTGGAGAGAAGCTCGGGAGGAATTGGGTCTGGGGCCAGGACAGGGCGTATTGATCCTTGAGCGGCATAGGGGAAAGCTTTGGGTCTGGGTAAAGTGAATTTTTAGCCCCATCAAGCAAATGGAGGCCCCCAAGGCAGTTTGGGGGCCATGACGCCGGCCCTCGTGTGGGTGGCTGGCATTTCTGAGTTGAAAAGTTAGTCGAGCTCGAGTCAGGCCGCCATTCGATGCGCCGCGAAAATTAGATAAAAACGGAAAGGTTAAAAAGGGGGAAAAAAAAAATAAAAATAAAAAAGGTATGAAAATTACGATAAACCCAATCGAGGAAATTGAAAAAAGGAAAAATCCAAATTAAACAAATCATCAAATCTTTCGGGTAAAAGATCTGGGTCCTTCATTTCAAACTCTTTGGCCCCCTAACCCCACGAACGCGCCGTTAGAGAGATTCAAACAAACAGGTATGATGAAAAGCCATGTCCTAGCCTTTGAGCAACGCTCGGGACGGACACTAAAACGTCGCAGAGAGTCGATCCGGCCCTACCTGAGGGTAGGTCTTGACGCCGAAATAAGGAACAAGGAAACTCTCGGGTTGCGGAGGGTGAGATTCCGAAGGTCAAATGACGGTGAGGCAACGAACCCAGGTACGAGGCACGCATGTAAGTGTACCACGTTGAACGGCTGCAACCTTGCCTGACTTTGGATCGCGAGAGAATCGCGATAGCCAACTCCGCGAACATCCCCTCATTAGCCCAAGGGTGAAGCCACAGCCCTTTTCTCTTGTTCTGTCGTGCCTAGACAATAAGCCATGTCTTTCTTGCGTCAAACGGTGTACGTACAGAACGCCCAGCGAGTGGAGCCAAGTCAGAGACTCCCGGAGCCCTGGTAGCGAGTCAAGGGCCGAAAAGAAGGCCATTATAGCCAAGTTCGATGTGGCGGGCAAGATGACGCTGCCCTTAGCGTCAGGGAGATTTGTCATGGACAAAGCGTTCGGGATTCCGGGGGTGTGGCTCCAGGATGGGCTCCGAGACTCGCGATCGACCGCGGATGCTCTCCACATTCAGGGATCCTCTGGTCAGCGCCATGTGTCGTTTGGTCGTTCCCTGCATGGCAAATCCCAGTCCTCGTGTCCCTCCTGGTTGGATCATTTGTACGGTTCTTCCCGGTCTGCAGAGTCAATCGAACTAGTTGAGACGCGATGTCGGCCTTATCCTGATGATGACTCGGTTGTCCGATCCTTGTCTGGCAAGCTTGATCTGCACAAACAGGTTGACGCATTGGCGCACTGGACAACTATCTTGCTTGTTATTGCTCTCTTTCACGGCACTCCGCAGCCTTACTCGAAGTGACACATCGGTGGGCGCTTTGGATCTGCCCGTCTTCCCGCGTAGCCCTCGGCCTTGGCTCCGCCGAACCTATAAAAGTGGAACCGCCCAAATAAGCTGGACTAAACGAGGGTCACGTACGCTTGGAGCTGCGCTCGCTCAACGTCCGTTACCCACTGAGATTCCGGTCCACAGGCACTTGGTCGACTCGGAGACATGTTCCATGGGATTGGGCGTTGACAAATACCTAGCCTACAAATCGATAGTGCGAATCAAACCGGTGCTGGTTTTGCCATGAATTCGATCAGATTCAGGGTAGGGACTGGTTTCCGATGTTGACTATACGAGGATATGTGGTCGACCGTTCATGCAACACGGTCTCGTAGAACGGTTGTAAACCACGGCGATCAATAACCCGAGTTCATGGCTGCCAGCCCAAAGCGGTTCCCTGCGAAGACAGTCGAGGCATAGGAGTCCCTTTGGATTCTGGTTACTGGGCTGTTGGTCAATTGTTGTTGTTTTCAGGAGTTAAAGAAAGTTCAGGGATTGAGTTCATCTTGAAAGCTCCAGTAAGTCGAGCAAAGCGACGAGGGGACTTGCGAGGAGAGTAAAGTCGTCTGTTGATTTGCGCCCAGTGAACTTTTTGTCACGTGATATATTGAACGTTCACTGAAGCTCTTGTCACGTGCCATTTGACTCTGCATCTGCCGACAACATCGACATCCGTGTCTGCCTCAAAGGATATCACCCACCACCTCTCCTCACCAACCTCCCGACGTGCTGCGTCTCACCCTCCTTATCTCAAAATCTTCGTGCGCATAAATCGCCGCCATGAAGCTCGTCCGGTGAGTAAAAATGGCCCCTCGCGGCCTACTCAAAACACACTCAGACGCACGCTCGAATCTCCCCACGTCTCCCCGTCGCGGCAGTCCGCTGAACCCATCCCTAGTTTTTTGCAGAAGTGCCAGAATGAACAGGTGACGTTCGAGCTCAAGAATGGTATGTGTGGTCCCTCAATGCCTTTTGGCGTACAGCCAGCACAAACACAACGGCTGCGCTCTCAATCAACGCCAAGCTTCAAGAAGCTTCATATTTTAACATAGGAATTTTTTATAGGCTCGATCGTTCACGGTACGATCATTTCCGTCTCTCCGGCTATGAACGCCCAGCTTCACCAAGTGAAGGTCACCCCTAAGAAATCCGAGGCGACCACCTCGCTCGAAACCCTCAGCGTTCGCGGCGCCAGCATCCGCTACTGCATCCTCCCCGATAACCTGCCCCTCGAGACGCTCCTCGTTGACGACTCGGTCAAGGCCAAGCAGAAGGCACGCAAGGAGCACGACCGTGGTCGTGGCCGCGGCCGCGGCCGTGGCGGTCCCCGGGGCCGTGGTCGCGGCCGTGGTGGTCACCGTGGCTTCTAAGCCTTTTGGCCTTCTTTTTTCTTGTTTTGTTTTCTCTGAAAATACTGGGCCGGCGTTTGCTCCCTTCGAAATACCTGGATTCCTTTCACAATGCTTGGTCATGGGTTGATATCCCCTACCCGGGGATTTTTTTTTTCAATATGGAATGGTGAAATGACATACAATTTTCCAATCTCAAAAGACGGACTTCTATTCGAAACCCGTTTCCCGAAGACTTTCTTGCTAGATCTTACATGTACGTTTTCATTCATGAGACACCCGGAAGATCTGCTAAGATGCAGCCTTGAAGTATGCTCTTAGAACGAGCCTCTATGTGATGGACCAGATAAATGCCGGCGTCTTCATTCTATCATTTGATTGGGTCTGAGATGCGGGTCGTAAATCTTCACCTCGGGAGCGTTCTAGTTGTCATTGGAAGAACCACCAGTTCTTGAGGCATTTATGTCCCACAGGATTTAGCCATATCGGTCCTGCCTTTCGTAGTATTCTAGTGTATATTCCTTGAGAGGATGGATAATCTCTTTACGTCTATAAATACTAAAGTATTCTGTAGGCACAGGTCCATCTGTTGCTGACAGAAGCCCCCCACGTGATGGGAGATGCACCTTGTCCGAGTCTGCCCATCTACATTCGTTACTTTCGAGATACGTGTCTAGTGCTGGCTTGGGGTAAAGATCGACCCTCGAATTCAATGCAATCCAGTGCACCAAGCATAACAGCCCAATTCCGACTCCCTGGCGTATACTCTCTTAAGGATGTGCGCCGCTGGCCAAGAAAGAGTATCTGTCCTCGATCGGCTGGCACATAACGACCAACGACCAAGCCCTATTTGAGTATGTAGGGCGAAGGCATCGACGGATCTCGGCCGTTGCGGATTCGTACCTTCTTGTGGGCCCTCGTGAGGTTATAGCTGCCTACCAACTCGTCCCCATTACTCCAGCCTTTCCTAAGGCCAAGCCCGGCTCGAAATCTCATGTTGGTTTCTCGCACCCCGCACCCCGGGTCCACCTATTTTGGGCCAGATTAAATTAGATGCGAGACGCTAGGAGTATCCTAAGGTACGATATCCGTGTCTTGATGCTGACGATTTGCAATTGACTTGATGCACTGGTTGGAGACGCAGGCATCTTCATCGAATCACGAGATCGTCGGGTATGTATAGGTACACCATCGATTGTCGGCCTTTGTACGAGTGCTCCCCGGCGCTTCTTAGTCTCTCATGCTCGAATTCCTGATTGGCATGCCTGCATGAACGTGGCGAAGGGTCCGGCGGTTGTCCAGACCAACCTCCAGCCACGGAAAACACATCGCTGCTACTAACCCGTTTGAGTCTGGCTGGTGATAAGGATTCTGGATATAGCAACCGCAGATCATCTGCATTATGCTTTGCAATTCTTTTTCATCTGTCGATCTCGTCTAGGTTGCTGTTTGTGTTCACTATTGATCCCATCCTTTCGTGTCATGCTGGTCTGTCTTCCTCTGGGGTTTTCATATTTCCAGGACAAGAAAAAAGGTACGGGAGAGGTCAGGCCATGACTAGATCAGTTCCGTAAGTCGATGGCTTGCGCCAAAGGGGCCAAAACCTGGGGGCGAAATTTGAGAAGCGGGACTCGGATTGTGTCGATCAGCACAGCTTGACCAGATCTATGTCCTTTCTCTGTGCCGTCGACTCTCCACACTCCACTCCCGCGCGGCCTTTTACCTCTTTCAACGGGATTGTGGAGCGAACGATGGCGAGTTCTGGAGATTGGCGTTTGCTTGGGCCAGGGCTTAACACGATCTGGTCAATGACCTCCGCAAGTCTTGTTGTGGTCTTGCTGGCCGCGGAGTCCACAAACGTCCACGCGTGTTGGCTGGCGCGAGTCGTCTCGAGTGCCAAGGCCGCAAGTCGCAATTCCGGCTGCTGACCAACCCCGGTCCGCGACTCGGAGCTACAAACTTACCCCACTGCGCCCCAAGACCTGTCATGAGACAACATCTGATGGGGAAGGCGAGTGGGACTGAGTTCATCTCAGTGGTGGGACGACTAACGACTAACCCGGTCACAGGCAGCTAGATATTTAGAGTATCAACAAACCGTTGCCCCTGATACCAACATCCTAGTCTCGCGCTCGAAACGGGTAAACGCCTATTGCGCTGAACTGACTCAAACACTATTTGCGCGGTCATCGGCGGTTCTATGGGGGAAGGCTGGCGTATGAGAACCCGTTCCAGAGCTCGGCCTGGCCTTGTGCAAGAAACTGGATCAAATAACTTCGCCCGTTGCTTGAACAGGTAAAACGGCATCAGCCTTATTGATCCACGAGTCAAGCGTGGTGGAGAGACGTTTGTTTTGGGACAATGGGGCTGCCTTCGTTTGATTTTGAATCTCCGAAAGCCTCTCGTCTTATTCGTGGTCCACAGCCGAACGGACCTACCACCAAACGACGACCACTTTCCGGCTGACGTGTGCATATATTGTTTAGAGTAAGTTGTATTTGTTTGTACGGCCGGCCATCATGATCTCATATACATACACGACCAGGGTGTTCACCTCGACTGACTTGGCCCCGTCGAATTCACATGTTTTGCCGCTTGTGGGTGCTCCAGTTCGGCTTTTTTTTACGGCCCCAGGTTCATCCAAAGAACACTCGAACAGAGGACAGAGAACAGACCGTCACTTCCCCAGATCACCAGAAAGAGTATATTTGCGCTGCCTTCTATCCAGCGCACGTCATTGCATTGGCCGTTTCGGCTCCGACTTAGGCCCAGCCTGGCCTGTGCATCGCCCAGTCTTCGACCCTGGATCGAATACGGAGTAAACGATGCAATCTAACGCCACCGCTGATCAACAAGGCCCCAGGGCTATCAATACCTGCCAGGGCATTTCTAAAACACACCATTTCCCTGGTCCAACTTTGTGAACCATAACGGTGGGTTGGGGTTACCCCTGGAATCCACGTCAACCGAGCAAAAAGAGACAATGGTCGATTAAGAAGCCGAAGTTAAGCTTGACACCGGTTCCAATCTCGCTAGCAGACGATTGGCGTAATCTATTAGACTTTGCAGGGCCTTTTTGGTGGTTTGACCATTCGCCGGTACAATCGTCTATAGTGCTTACACAGGAGTGTAGATCTCGGAAACAACCCGGTCCCTCCGGAGACGATGTCATTTCTTCCCGTCCGTTGGTCGCATCAACCAATGCTCGGGCTGAACCGGTTGGATATATTCTCCTAGGAGCTTTCACCGGGGGCCGGGGCCGGATAGACGGCGGGTCGGAGAAATACATGCGATGGGATGCCATAGAATCGGGGCCACCGAACTCGATGGGGCGCCATGGCGTGAAGAGCAGAGTAAGCCGCGTGGGTCGAGCCGTTTTCCTGAACCGAACTATATTTGCGTGTCGCGTATTCCATTTTCGTGGATTTTCACGTAAGAGCTGGGCATTGGGACTATACTTGGCGTGTGAGGCAGGAGAAGCCCGACGAGGCAAATCAAACTCGGAGTCATGGCTATCGCCCACCTATCTGAATGCTTTGACTATGCTCAAGCCTGTACAAGCGATGGAATCTCGTTCAGATCTTTCAAATTGCTCGAAATCTCAGCGTTCTGGACAATATGACAATGGTGGCATTCGGCTCCATCAACTCATTGACTAGCGCGGCTCGCGACTGTGGCCAATGCAAATGCAAATTCATGACTCGTTATGTTCCAAGAAGCTATAATCCATACCAAAATCGCAGCATGTGCAGTCTCCCTTGCTCATATATCCCATGCCATTCCCTGTTGAACACTTCTAGCTCCTCCAAATCCGGACAATGACAAGCTTTTCCCAGCCAGCTTGCATACCACTCGAACCAACTGTCTCCGCATTCCATCCTACCCAATTGCGAATTTGCTCTTTCACATCTTCAGGCTTATTCTGCTTGCAAAGCAGCACATAGGCCACCCCGCGGTCTGACAGGACACCCGGGATAGCGTCCAACAATCTATTCGTCGTTTCCATCCCGTCTGCTCCCCCCGCATAGGTCAACGAAAGGAAATATGTGTCTTGGTCAAACTTCGCAGAGCGAGACATGCTCTCCGATACAGCGGGGTCGTTCTCTGCTGCAGTTGGCAGGCGCGGAAGCTCTTCTGTCGGGACATAGGGCGGATTGAAAAGGAGCACGTCGACGCTTCCAGGTCGCAGAGGTGAGCAGAGATCACCGGTTACAGATGAAATATGCACTGTTTTGAGCGTAGAGGGCTCCGGAGATTTCTGCTCTGTCGCGATGGCTGTTGACACGGTTTCTCGCGTGGCTTTACAGGCATTGCGGTTGACGTCCGTTCCCAGAGTGAGGACGTCTTGTCGTCCGAAGATCTTTTGCGATTGCGCTGCTACAAATCCCAGCACGACTCCAGAACCTGTGCCTGCTTCCACGACGAGGGGCACGGCGTTAGATGCTGAGTCTGGTGATGTGCCTTTTTGGAAACGTTCGGATAGCCATTGAGACTCTGACAGCGATGCAAGGGTATCCAAGAAGAGATATGAGTCCTCCGATGGCTCATAAATGGTGTCAAATGAGACATGCGAGGTATCTGGTGTCGGAAGCATCTTGTGAATGCCTTTTGAAGATTATCGTCGTTCTCTGTATTCTGCTGCTTGTTCACGCCGATGAAATCGATAGGCGAAATAGCACACAACTTGGATGATGTATAGTTTTCTGTGCTCAATATACCAATAAAGTAGAAGCGAACGACTAGTCATCAATCCCACCAGTCCGAGATAGAACGTTGTCAAAAATGTTGTAAAAATTGCAACGCGATTGGCGCAGAGGGGAAAACCGCGGTAATTCGGCGGTCGCTCGCCGCCTTCGCAAAACGACCTCCGCACGACAATTATGTCATGCGCTTTCGCATTCGCGACGACCAAAAGTCGGATTTTCTACTATGCGTCTCGCCCACCGTCTCCTTATGGCCACGCCGGCCTCGATCATTTCCAAGTCCAGCCTCAGCGAGGCCCTCGCCCTTCTCCCGCCGCTGCAGCTGTACCGCCGCCTCTTGCGCGTCCACCGCAAACTTGACCCGGAAATGCGTGTGCTGGGTGATTCCTACGTCAAGAAGGAGTTTCGGGCGCACCGGAATGCGGAGAATCCGCTGCATATTGTACGTTGTCACCTTGTTTTGGATTTTGGGATGCGTTGTGAAGGATTGGATCGGAGGTCGATTGGAGATAACCTCGACTGACAATGGGAATGGTAGATCGGATTTTTGACCGAGTGGCAGCTCTATGCGCAGAAGCTGGAGGGTGATAACTGGGCTGGGGAGAAGTTGGACAAGTCGAAGCTGGACAAGCTGAGTGGTGAGGACTATCTATCATAACGAGCCGAAACAGTCAGTTGCTGATGTCTGTTCGTCATTACAGATCAACAATTAGGGCAGCTTTTCGAGCTGATGCAGGCAATTCGGAACCCGGAAAACAATGGTGAAGGCGAGGGTCAATAAACAATTCTTCCTTTGGGCGACCCTCGGTGCTGGCAAATGTCCAAGGGAGCTGGGAAATGCGGGTATCTCTTGATGTCTGCGCAAGCATCTGTACATATATCCCTGGTTAAAGCAAAGCGTATTCTATCAGTCAAATACTGAATGTTTCCGTTCTCTCTCTTGCGATTGGACGAAATGATCTCCGACTTGGTGAAGTTCCCGTAAGCACGTTGAGCTATATCTTCCTCATTTACTGATTTGAGTTTCCGCTGCACGCTAGTCGGTTTATGCCGCAGAATGAAACGACTCATCCTATAGTGGTTTTCGTCCCTTTATATGGCTCTGGATGATATCCCACATATATGCAAACGGCAAATTATCGACATGACTCGGCCAAGGTCCGGCGTTCCAATTCTAGCAACTTCTTGTCAACCACAGGGCGGAAGCCACTTACATAAGGCCCCGCATCCCGAGGTCGGAATTGAAAACCCATAATTTGATACTGTACATCTTCTCAGATATATCTTGAAGCTCAATTCCAATTGATCCACAGTACTGCTTAAGTCCGACGCAATTGAGTATCCCGAAACTTTTTGAACAGTCTCAAACTCCAGTCAAAATGCCTGCTCTCATGGAAGATCCTTCCACCCGCCTCCCCGCACCCCAGACACACACCGCGGCTGCACCCACCTTGACCCCGCGACAGACTACTCTGCCCAAAGCAGGAGATGCAGGCGTAACCCTGTACCCCATCACAAAGGGACCGAGCAGTCTTCCCCAGGACCTCACTGCCTTCCTGCATTCTGAGTTCAGCGCGGAGATCGAGCGCGGCGCGACATATCCAATGGAACAGCCCATGGCTCTGGATCAATTCCGGGATTATTGGTTCGGGACTTTTGCTGTTGTCGCTGTCTTGGATGAGGAGGGTACTGCTCCTGGTGAGGGCTTGAGAGAGGGCCGAAAATGGGAGGATGTTTGCTTAGGAACTTTTTATATCAAGCCGAACTATCCCGGTGAGCTTTTCCCTTCTACTCCATGTTGAGAATATACGGTATACTCTATCGAATATGCTGACCTCTCATGTACAGGCCGCTGCTCGCACATCTGCAACGCAGGTTTTATGACTACTAATGCCGCACGAGGGAAGGGTGTTGGGCAAGTCATGGGCGAGGCATATCTTGAGTTTGCGCCGAGATTGGTATGTCCTCCCTTCAAGAAAGAAAACGAAACGCCAGATCTCTAATAAAGTCTCCAGGGATACAAGTACTCCGTTTTCAACCTGGTCTTCGCCAACAACCCAGCCTCCATTCGCATCTGGGAGAAGCTCGGATTCAGCGTCATTGGACGCGTCCCCAAGGCAGCACGGCTGGCGAACAGCGAGGAGCTGGTTGACGCTTTGATTTTCGGACGCGAGCTTGGGAATTGAATTACCAAAACACCAATAATCGGCCAGAACCCTACAGGCTGGGAAAAAATAGATGGGCATAGAGGCGCGACATTGTATATAGACGTGAGGCATCTACGAAATGATTTAACGTAAATCTAAGATGACATTTGAAAGGTGTTCCATTAACGAATACAGACCGGGATAAACTACAAGAGGTAATATTCACATCGAGGGAAGAGAAGGGGAATCGAGAAAGAATCGCAAAATCAAAAGAGACCCGGAAACAAATCTATACCCAACGCTCAGACCATACCATGCAACATTGGGATATCACGCAAAACCTAACCCTCAAGACTTATATGTCGCACCATCAGGCCCCCATCAGTCTAGCCTCGGAGGAGACAAGCGAGAAGAGCCGTTGGTGGAATGCACAGGGTAAAACAACCAAAAGACAATGATAAATATAGGTGAATAAGGAGGACTTCTTGGATAAAGGGGGACATTCGGAGAGGGTGGTAGTGATGAATATGTTTCGAGGGCTGGCGGATAAATCATGCCCTCCATGGCGGCCGGGCGTCGAGTTTCTTCTGCGCAGCGGTGCGGTCCTTCTCGGTCCGCGGCCGTGGCAGGGGAAGTAGACTCATTCGCTTGTTTCCGGAGTGGCCCAAGGCAGTGCCAGGTCGCGTGGACTTGCTTGGACTTTCACTGAATTCTTGATTTGTTGATACACTGCGACTGAAAGAGCCAACACCAGCGAAGCTTTGTCGGCTGCGTGGGGTGCTTGACATTCCAGACGCGTTTGAGACGCCAGAGGGTCTGCGAAGGCGGCTGTAAGGTGGTGGGTCGAGAAGTGAGGATCGAGCGAAGGTAGGGGAGGAAATATTTCGCACGGGACTGCGAGAAGCTGAGGCCAAGCGACTGGACAGTCGACTGATCGAGCGCCCACCAGGTCCAGCACCGGGAGCTGGAGAAGCATTCATGTCTCGCCGGAATGCCATCGTCGATGATGGTCTGGGTGTTCGCGTTGGGGCAGACGATTTCCGGTAGTTACTGGGAGTCGTAGCACTCAAGGGTTTGAAGTTGTGACCAGTATCCACATCATTCGCGTTGGTGGTAGCATTCCATCGCGGCCGATTAGGAATGGTTGATGGCGGCTGCGGAGTGCGAGACATTCTGCGACTGGCAGGAGTTGGTGTAGTGGCATAGCTCGTCTTGGAGGATGGCGGAGATCCCATCCCAGAGGGAACGGGAATGGAAGACTTGCGTCCAGTCAAGGTAGTTGTCGGCTGCGGCAGGCCCGAGAATCGCCGCACATTCGACATTGTTGAACGGGCTGTGGTGCTGCCGGCGGAGCTTTCACGGCGACTCGAGCCACCCATCGGTGTCTTATATCCACTCCCTCCAAGCACAACTGATGATGCTGGTGAACTTCCAGGAGTCTCGATGGCACTGCCTGTCGCAGGGCTATCCATCGTTATAATGCTGGAGATCGAATCACGCAGCTGCTGACCTCGAATGATTTGAACATCTTCCAAAGAAGCATCCATCACCCTCAGACTGGCTTTGAGGGCATCTGTTCGGGACTTCATATCAGACAACAGCCGGAGTACCTCACCATTAACCGTAAGGCGATCATTGATGCCCTTCTGGATGATGGTGATCACACGCTCAATCGCAGGGAGATAATGCGTTTTCTTCGTCTCGTACGTCTCAACGCGCTTGGTGAAAGCTCCGGGGTTGTTGACTTGTGCGTTGCTCTCCAAACCTTCCTGAAGCTTAGAGATGCTGCGCTCAACCGAGTCGAACATTTTCTGTGCCTGAGATCCCGCATTGCGGAACACCATGATCCACTTGTCCTCACCCAATTCCTTCTGGAGTGCCTCGGAATCTGTTTGGAGCACTTTGAAACTCTTCTCAAGGCGAGATCGACGGTCATCAAGCTCCTCGCACGCGCTCGGAAAAATTGCCTCGGCTCGCGATTGGAACATGGAGAGTCGCATGGGCAGGAAATCCAGAGATGCTCGAAGAGGCTGCATGCGGGCAAAGAGAGCCATGAGATTGGCCGTAGAATCGTCCTGGGGAGTCTTGATGATGGGCGTGTTCGATGCGCTCGCCATGATCGCGCCTAGACTCATCCGACCGTGACCGTGTGACCGGCCTTTAGACGGGGATTCTTCCACGATCGTCTCGAGCTCATTGATATCAACGCCGCCACTCGTCTCGGGCCCGTTGTCCAAGAGCGCCTGGTGTCGCTTTTCTTCCATCTCGAAGATCATTCCGCTCAAGTTATCGATTTCCATGCCCACATCGCCCAGCACATTCGACCATAATTCCTCCCACTCCATCGCCAGTTCCACTTGCTCCTTCACACCTTTCAGCTTAGTCTTGATTTGGGTCCAGTGCTGCAAAATACTGTCCATCTGGCCAACGATCGTCTTCAAATTCTCGGAATCCACAGTAGCAATGTCGTCTCGCAGTTGCACTTTTTCAATAGCGCTCACGTAAACATTGACCAACGACTCAAAGCGAGTGATGGCTTTGTCGACTCCATCAAGACCCTCGCGGCCGCCAGCCGCCGCCCACTCGACGTCATCTTCGGCATCTAGTCCACTGAGCACGTCCGATGCCTTCCTGATCCATATTTGAATTTGCTCTGCGTGGCCGTTGAGTGCGCGAACTGCCGCAAGGGCCGTCTGGATGTTCGTTATACTGGTCTCAAGTGCGGCGGGCTGGGGAAGCGGTATCGACGTGAGTTGTGAAAGCTGGTTGCTGAAGGAGGCACGGGAGAACGAGTAGATGGATTCGGCGCGTGAAGATGCCGCGTAGTTGAAGTAGGATTGCGGGTTCGAAGAAGAGGAGAAGGTATAGTTGTGGCCGGGAGGGGAATCTTTCGGCGGGGGAGGTGGTGCTGCTGATTCTGATCGCTCCTCGTTCCGTTTGGTGTCGTCAACATATTTCTCGAAGTCTGTACGTGTATCCTGTGCGGCATCATGGGAAAACGATTTCGGTACCGGGTCAGCCCCCAGCTGAGCGGCTACAGGTTCCGCTACAGGCATGGGTGTCGGCGAAGAACTGCTTGGTGTGTCTGGAACAGTCCCCGCCGGGGGTGAGCGGCAGCTAGAACAGGAGGTTCCGGGCTGTCGACGACCACGTCAGCGTGTTCTTGTCCTTGCGATCGCGCCTCAGAGACTTCGTGGAGGAAATCGAAACTGGGAAGCTCGAGCCTATTCGACGCTGTCCGTTTTTGGAGATGTGTTTGGCTCGGGGAGGTGTGCGTCACGCCGGCCCACGCCTGGCCTTTCTTCTCAACTTTAATGGAGAGGTCCTGGTGCAAGTTGTCGAGTTCCTTGAGGTGTTCCTCGGGGATCCGACCGACTGCGCTGGCGTTCTTGTTGTTGTTGTTGCCCTTGTTGCTGCCGTCGAGCAGCTTCACCCGAGCCGCGAGGGCGGGCGATAAGCGGCGGAAGATGTTCGGTTTAGCGTTCTTCTCGGCGCTGGTAGGCTCTGGGAAAGCTTCGTCGTCGTGATTGCTGCTGCCGACACTCCACAGGGAAGATTTGGATTTGAGACGGCGAAGAGGGGAAGGGCCGTTATCATTGGGGGAGCCGGAGACCGCGGGGGGAGGAGACACGGACAAAACGGACGCGCTGGGGGACGCGATGTCGGTCGCCGAGGAAGTTGGACCGTCGACTGTGGCATGCATGAGGACAGGCCCCGGGGGCGGTTGGACAGTCAGTAGCCTGGGGGGTTCGGCGATTTCAGGCAGGGATGGACGGGAATGTTTCGTCTCGTTCTCGCCCGGTAAAGCGTAAAAGGGTCGGAAGCCCCCTGCTGTCTTTCTCGCTTTTTTATTGTCGGCGGTAGGAAGAAGAAACAAAGGCTACATGGCTAGCAGTGTCGACAATGACGCGCAGAATTGGGCAGCAAGTGGTAAGCCGCTTGAGACAAGAAACGAGGGATGAAGTGGCCAGAGTACCGTTGACTCTGCAGGCGAGGGTACCTCCGGCTCCGCCCATGGACTATGGGGCGCCAGGTACCGCACCGCCCCTCGGTATGCAATGCCAGGGATCGGCGCGGCGATCAGATGGAAATGAAATCACTCGTGCTGTTCGAACGGATGGTGCCGTTTCCACTAGAATCTGTCATTGGATCCGAGCTCATCGATTCGTACAACATTGGTAGTTAAAGGTACCCCAGGTGCTCTAAGCATTGTATACTGCGGCAAGGACCAGTGTCTCAGCCTCATTGTTGAAATTTGTTGAAGTATGGGAGACACAGAATACAGGCGAAACATACAACAGGAAAGGAGAACTGGTTATCTGGTGGTGTGAAAAAGCACAAGAAGCCAGTGGCCGCCCCAAAAATAATTACTCGTAACCTCTGTTGCTCCTCTGCCCTTTTTTACAGTAGACTCGGCCTGCTACTATGGTGGAGCCTCAGTTTGGCCTACCATTCAACCTGGAACAGTCGCACGGCTGCCGGCGTGTATATATCTCAGGGCACCCGCAGGTAATGAATTTGCTCTGTACCCGAAGGCACCTTCGGGTACTGAGTACCTAGGTAGGGGATAAGTTGCACCTGCCAGGGCCAGGTTCATTTCAAGGGGCGCGGATCTGCACCCATGTGCTCTAGCGTCAGGGCGAGTTCGGATCTAACGGTGCCCCGTGAGGCCTAATTTCTCCATGGGTTCGAGCACGTCCGCAAGTCGGCAGAATCGGAAGAATCAGCAATGTTGGTATCATAATTAGGCGCAGTCTCGTCTGTGAAGAACAAAGGTACAAAGACCGGAGAAAACAGTATATAGTATATAGTAAGTATGCAATGCAATTTCCGAACAGAGCCAAACAGTGGGCGAAAGAACAAAGTAAAACAGTATACCAACACCAGATGCGGAGACGGGCAGAACAGTCAGGGACGGTTCAGGGGGTATCTAGCCAAGTGCCCATGATTATAAACAACGAAATAAGAATGGGAATCAATCAACCGAAATGCACATGGGCGTCCTTCAAATCAGACCAGCACTGGGCGGCCGTCCCGGGTTGGCCGCTATCCAATCTCGCACCAGCTCCTCGCGAACCGTCTTGCACCAGGCGAGCAGCGCCGCATCAAATTGCTTCCAGGCAGTGACGGTGCTGCTCTGAACCACTCCCATCACATCCACCACCAGCCGCAATTCCCACCGCAACTCGGCCGCTTTCACCCAAAAGCGCAGATTCTCCGCTTGCCGATAGGGCTTGGCGATGTCCTGGTGGAAGGCTTTAATTTCACCAAAGGGACGCTTTGATTTTTTGACGGCGATATTGTGCAACTGCACCAGGATCCGCCCGTCACGGAAGCATTCGAGGAATGCAGTTGGGGCCGGTTCGGTGCCTTCGGCTTCGGCGACCGGGGTCCATTCCGGCAAGGTGTGCCCACCAGGCATCAAGCTGCGAAGAAAGGATTCCTCGCGGGACCTCTCTCGTCCGGCCCAGTCGCCACGGGCCCAATCCCAATTCTCCCGCTCTTGCGCTTCCAGATCTTCGAGAGCCCTCTCGCGGACGAGCATGGTGCGCACACCGGAGATCCATCCTTTGATTACATCGCGTTCCTCATCACGGAGCCCGCTAGCGAAATGCCGTGCGGCCCAGCGTTTGAGTACATCGAGCACATGGAACAGTTCCTTCCGGATTTCGCGCTCTGTTTTGATTGAGGCCAGACGTTCGGGGTGCTCATGTGTCGTATAGTAAATCTTTGCGGCGCGGATAGCGTTGGTCACATCATCCAGGATGCACATTCCTTGCGCTTCCTCTTTCGTTTGTGGGGTTGGAACCTGGTTCGATGCATCGTCTTCCAGGGGTTCGGGGATATCGCTCGGGGAAAGACTGGACCGTAATGAATCTCTGGATTGAGGCTCCGCCCCGTTCTCAATGGCCTCCATATTGGCATCTGCTTTATCCAACGCTTTTTGTAAATCCCGACGCAGGGACAGGAGATCTGGCGGAGGCGGTATATGGTGCGTCTTGATGCTGTACGTGCTGACTGTGGGGGGTAGCATCACCTCGCCGTCCTCGTCTTCCATGCTGGGATCAAAGCCCGGCGACTCGGCCATCTCTGTCGGGCTGGCCGTCAGATCGTCCATGTGCCGTTCGTTTGGGGTGATCAGCACCCGGGGCACATTCTTCGCATTCTTCTTGTCGAATTCCTTGCCTCGACCGGTCTTTCCATCTAGCAGACCTGTCCGGGCAAAGTAATATTGTAGATGGGCAATACTCCCCAGACTCATCACACTGTCCCGGTGACGAGCCGATTCGGAGAACTCGGCTCCAAACGCACGAATGTATCCATGGCGGCGGGATGATGTTGAGACAGTCGATCGGGCATCAGCCGAGGTCGCAGAGGAGGCGGAGTGGGAGGAGACGGAGGAGAACGTACGCTCTGGAGAGGAGTATGAGGAGATGGCCGGCGTTGCTGGAACGGAGGGTGAAGGCGAGGATTCCCGGACTGGGGGTGAGTTCACTTCGTCGAAGGTCTGCGGCTCTTCCATGGTGTGGTGTCGCGGAATGTGCTGAAACTGTTGTCGCACCAGAATCCTGTGTCCACACAACCTTGGTGTGCAGTTCGGAGATCGCGTGGGCTGTGACGACTAGGAAAGTTCGGCTCCGGAATTCTTCGACAATGATCGAATGGCAGCGAGGAATTGGAGTAAGGATCGCAGCGAGTCCTGGCGTGGTCGCACGGCCAACGCCAACTCGGAGGTTTAATGAAAGGTGGAAGATCGCCGGCCGAGAATCTTCTTTGGGCCAAAAGGGGTGTGTCTGGCTAACGGGGGGACACTAAAAGGGGGAAAGCGGGTCGCCGCTTCACAGTTTGATTAAATTTATCTATGATCCGTGGGCAAAAGTAGTCAATATCGGGAGTCCGGGGGATTGTGATTATTTTTGAATCGTTTCACCCGGTTAACCGGGGAGACCAATAAAGACAGTACGCTATATTACTAGTTGGGGTATACATGTTGCCTTCCAGCAGCGAAGAACTGGTGGGTGCCCAGGCGGGTTTAGCCGGTGCCCCGCGTTCCGGTTCCGCGTCGCGTCCCAAACCACCGTCAGCGTTGGTCTGCGCGGCTGTTTCGAAGTGGAGAGCTTCATCTCATTTTTGCTGGCTTCTCAGTAAGAGGCCATTGTGTCCCGCCAACGCCCGTGTGATTCCCCGCAAGTCTCAAAAAATGTCTTTTCGCTCCCATCCTTCGCCCTTCAGGTTTTCCATCCCCTTGCTGGGGTGTTCCTTGGTTGGGTCCTGGTACTGGGTCTGGTAGGGGTTGGGATCGGTTGCCTGGACCAGGTTGCCGAGGGTATGGTTGACCTCACGATGCTTGGCCTCGTCGGCGCGGATGTACATTAGCAAGTCCTTCATCGTGCGCTTGTCCTCTGGCATCTGCCAGTACTGGACGGCAATTTCAGGGGCCTCGAGAGTATTCCACTCGGGAAGCTTGCCGTCCTCCAGCTCTTGGATGGCGCGGGTGTAGGTGATGACCGCCTCCTCTTCCAGATACCCAACGAATCGGTGGCAGATACGGGGAGAGATCAAGTAGGATAGGAAGAAGCCGTTGAAAAACACGCCTTGCGCTCCGAGGACCATAAAACGCATGAACCAACCGGGCTCGGCGAGCTTCAGGAAGGTCAAGAGATGCATGCGTTCATTGAATGCCTCCTCCAGCAGCGTTTCAATCCTAAAAGAGACGAACCAGTTGAGCATATTGATTGCTTGTTGTTCCTTCTCGGGGTTGTACATACCATCCATTGTCACGCTTCATTCGTCGAAGACTGCGCAGGTGTCGCAGCATTCCACCGACCATGCCGGGTACACCCGCCACACTCTCCAGGAAGATGAACCGAGCCAGCCATTTCTTCTCGGTCATCTTAAACTTGGCGTCTAGCTCCTGGCCGGGCTCGGGATGCTTGTACCCTGTCACAAAGTCCATGCCCCACCGGAAGATACGGACGGTGCCCAAGGCCACCCAGTCGGACCAATTTGTTGCATCCCGATGAGCGATCTGAATGGTTCGCATCTGTGACTCGGTGTACCTAATCCTCGTATTAGCCGAATGTCATCAACGGACGGAAGCGGGGCACGGCTGCTTACACTGGATGTACCCATGCCGATTGCACTTCTTTCACGCCTGGTGTCTGCGGCGGTGGGAAGTATTCTTTTATTTGGTTTTGGGGAGTCGACGAGATAAGTCTTTTCGAGCTGTAGGCGACCGGTGAGGAGCGTCTGTTCACTCGGAATGAGCCATAGAAGGTGGTGGGGGTAACGCCCGAGTAGGAGCGTGCGGCCAAGCAGAAAAGGGACTGAGGTCGCGCTGCTACCCGTAAGGGCGTCGTTGACGAGATTGTTAACGAATTCATCAGTGGTGAATCTGGTGAATGGTTGTATGAAAGTGCGGAGAAAGTGTGAGAAAAGAGTCTCTTGGTGAATAGTTGGTGGTATGTCTGAGCCTTCTCAGCCAGCGTCACCGAGCGGAGAGGGTTTTATATGTCTTGCTTCAGGGTTTTCCCAGGACAGGTCAAAGGCCGATCGAGTGGAATCCCGATTACGAACGAGCAACTCCTGGCCAAACCAAGAATGGAGTGCGGCTGTGCCTGGAATCCCTACAGAACCAGGATTACATTCCCTGTGGCTCATTGGCCCTGCGAGCCCTGTCGCCCTATACTTCTTAGCGTCGTACGCGCCCCCACTTTGCGATCTCCCGCCCTGCGGCTCCGATGCCATTGCATCGGACCCGATGGACAACTGTCTCTGCCTTGCTTGGATACCCTCGAACAAGAAGCAAGATCAACCGCCTTCCCATTATCCCTAGGCCAAACACTCGGTGTTGCCGTGTCCTGGCGTTTGTCACCCGATTACCGTCACGGTCAGCCTGACAAAGCAGGTGACCTCGGGAAGAGTCGGGCGGTGTCTGACAGCCGCCCTCCCGCTTGAGCAGATTTGAGTCACGGCCTCCCGAGAAAATATCGGCTTCAGATGCCGGGTGCAACCCGGGACTTGTTTTGAAGATTTCACCGGTGGCAGATTGGGTATTTTTGGGGGGTAACGAGGATGTGTGAATTTTCTTCCCCGGCGCTTGCCGAGAGTAGTTTATGCCCCTGTGATTGCGAGTATCTATTCGTGGATCGTTGGCCAAAATTGCTTTATTTTTATGACAAGAAGGGTGCTTATGAGCGTACTTCTTCCAATGCATATTTCGTAATATATATAACAGACGAGTGATCCAACACCATTTCTAAAGACTGTAGGATGCTGATGGTCCAAAGCACTGGGTCTGGTCTCAACTACTACTACTGTGTAGCTGTCTGACCAGCCAGAGAGGGCGCGTGGCCTGCGGCAAAATGCAAAACAATAGGGATGTAATTACGGCAATATCCCTATCTGATCTACTCAAAAGTCGAGGCCTCCTTGGAATTCTGAATCTATTCAAGACTTATCTACGATATTTCGCAAAGATTCTGGCTGTGGACTTAAAGGAGATCGGTATTTTCGCTAACTTGGTAATTGCATGAAAGAACCATTTGGAGTCAGGTTCAAAAGTCACTCAAGAGTGAAATCGAGATTCCATAGTTCGCATGACAGCAAAATGATCCTCACCCTCCTTCAGCTCGAGCTCCTTCTTTTCGAGCTTCACAACGTGAGCCATGCGAGGTCCCTTATTAAGCTGTTGGAAAAGTTTTTTGATGGTCTCTTCATCACCTTGGACTTCACCTTCGACCTGTATAGTTGAGGTTCCAATTAGAAACAGTGTTCAGGAATAAAAGCGGCTGGTGGGAAGAAAGGAACACTCACTCGTCCGCATGTAGTGTTTCGGCACCAGCCCTTCAAGTCGTGACTTGTGGCGGCCTTTTGAGTGAAGTCTCTGTGGTCAAGTCAGCCGCCAATACTTTGCTGTATTCAACATGATGTCATAGCCGAAGCTGCCTGAAGTACTACAGGAGTACTCCAGAGAACGACGGGTCTTACCGGTACCCAACACCTGAAGATCAATGTCAGCTGTGTTCAGATTCTCATACAGACTTGTGAATTTTTTTGGGGACAAAAATATGGAGTCTGAGGTGCAGGTGGGCCGGGCCTATTTACCTTGGACGGTGCCGTGAACGAGGAATGCAATCTAAGATGGAAATGTCAGCTCAGTTGTGGTGGACCTGGGGATCGAGTGTTCCCCTCGAGGATTGGCATGAGAATTCCGAAGAGCATACCCGTTTGGTCGACATGGTGGGGGAAAGTAACCCGGCCGATGGTGATGTGAGAGCGGAGGGCGGCCAGATGTGTAGAGCGTGCATCTTGTTGGTGGGCGCTGCTGATCTAATCCTGTCAACACGCCTGGTAGGGTGTAGTAATTGAAGGCTAACTACTGAGTACTTTTAGTAGAAAAGTGGCATGTTCCACGGACCTTTGCCTAATTTAGTACCGTCTTAAATTATTTCCGTTTCGTTAACCTTTTTCGTAGTTTACTACACTAGTGTCGATTCAATAACACGTTGGTCGAAATGCTTCGGTGTTAATAGTCGACTCTAATATAGCAGCCCCCACCCAAAAAAAGCAGAATACCTACTTCCGGGACAATGCAGCGGATCTGCAGTATCCCATATGACTGCAGACTGTAATTCGAGGTGAATCAAATGAATGCACTCTTGTATACCCTCAGACATTCGTGATAATCGGCGGGTCCTGATTGGGAATCGCCAGTCGGTGCCTCGGCCCCTGACTCCGACTCCGACCTTTCGGACTCCACAACTCACCCTCGAGTAAACAGATCTCCCCTCCGCTCGCGCCATGCCACTGCGATAAAATGCCTTCCCTTTTCGCTTGGCTCCGGCGGCTCTACTCGCTCGATACTCTCGACACTCGCTTCACGGCCACCGCCATTCCCCCTGCCAACGCGGCCGACACGCGACCCTCCAAAGATGCCCGCGCGAACGCCATTGCCCAAAATGCCCGGGAACCCCTCTGGCGCACGCCCGAGTTCTTCATATACTATCTCTTCTTCATTACACTCGTTCCTTTGATGTTCAAGACAGTCATTGACGCCTCAAAGGGTGAGTTCTGTCCACCACGAGGCGAGGCTTGTCACTGACCACGGATCTTCAAAAATCTATAGACAGCCACCCTGTCTACGCCACATACTCTGATCTCCTATCCCCGGGCTGGATTCCAGGTCGTCTAGTCGTGAGTAGCTCTCTTCAATGTTTGCTTCCAGGGCTACAGGTTCGGAACTCGAGCTAACTCAAGCTGTTTCCCTACCCAGGACAATTCCGATGCGCAATATGCAAGCGTCCGCGATAATATCCCATACCTCTTTCTTCTCCTGATTGCGCATCCATTGGCTCGCAAAGTGTATCAATCATTCGCCAATCGCCCCAATGTGGAAGCAAAGTCCTCGGTAGCGGCGGCCGGAGAGGTGCAACTCGAACAACGCATGCGGTTCGATTTTGGATTCGGATTGGTATTTATTGCGGCACTTCATGGCATTTCATCCTTGAAGATCTTTTTGATTTTGTTTATAAACTACCGAATCGGCAAGGGCCTTCCTCGGGCCTATGTGCCCGCAGCAACATGGACCTTCAATATCTGCATTTTATTTGCCAACGAGCTGTGCGGTGGATATCAGCTGGAGCATATTGCATCTTTCTTGTCTCAAGGTTCTGGAACACCGGGAGAGAAAGAAATATTGCTGGTTCAGTGGGCCCGGGCTTTGGATGATATTGGAGGTATCATGCCGCGATGGGAAGTTCTGTTCAAAGTGACCGTGTTGCGTTTGATCAGTTTCAACATGGACTACTATTGGAGTGTGGATTACCCTGCAGCAAGTCCAATTGAAGTAAGTTCCTACTTTGTGTTCGATATGGTCCCTGTTTATCTGTGTTACCGAACGTCAACTGACCGAGTTCTACAAGAAGAAACAACTCGACCCTGCAACCCTTTCTGATCGAGACCGAGTCAAGATTCCTGCTGATCCAGCCGCTTTCAATCCTCGTAACTACGTCGCTTACGTCCTTTACTCGCCATTGTACCTGGCAGGTCCCATCTTGACCTTTAACGACTATGCGTCCCAGCAACGATACACCGCGCCTTCGCTGACTCGCGCCCGCACTGCGCTTTATGGCATCCGCTTCTTCCTCACCTTCCTCTGCATGGAGCTTATGCTTCACTACATCTATGCAGTGGCTATCTCAAAAGCATCGCCGAATTGGTCACTCTTCACTTCCGGTCAGCTCAGCATGCTGGCGTTCTTCAATCTCCACATCATTTGGCTGAAGCTGCTTATTCCCTGGCGCTTCTTCCGCCTCTGGGCGCTGGCTGACGGCATTGATCCTCCAGAGAACATGGTTCGCTGCATGTCTAACAACTACTCTGCCTTTGCATTCTGGCGTGGGTGGCATCGCTCATTTAACCGCTGGATCGTTCGATACATCTATATCCCTCTTGGAGGAGGCGGCGGTGGACAACGACCGGCCGGAGCAAAACCTGCCTCGTCACCACCCCCTTCCGGAATTATGTCCAAGTTCCTCCAAATTCGCAACTTTCTGTTGGTGTTTACCTTTGTCGCCCTTTGGCACGATATCAACCTTCGTCTTTTGATGTGGGGCTGGCTCGTCACGCTTTTCGTTCTTCCTGAAGCTCTGGCTGGAATGGTGTTCCCTGCTAAGCGCTGGCGCTCGCATCCGACTACATACCGCGTGCTTAGCGGTATTGGGTCCGTTGCCAATGTTCTCATGATGATGATCGCCAACCTTGTTGGGTTTGCACTTGGCTTGGACGGGTTGAAGGACTTGCTTTCAAGTCTGACAGGATCCTACTCTGGCATCGCGTATATGATTTTATGCTGCGTTGTGCTATTTGTTGGTGTACAGGTCATGTTCGAGATTCGTGAGGATGAATTACGCATGGGAATCAATCTGAAGTGCTGATCCAATCCCGCCCTGGCTCAATTTTTTCTACCATTCTTTATTCTGCTGTATAACAAGAGTTAAATGAAATGACACAATGCAGACATCCTTAACGCTCAAATTACGCTATTATACAGTTCCCATTATTCATTTAGTCATTAAAAAAGGTAGGGGAATGAGTATTCTCCACCCAGTATGTAGTGTACAATCCAGATTTCGTCCTTGGTCCTAATAGAAAGCACCACATCTCGAATCCTCATGCAGACGATAGCAATCTAGTCCACAGGTTCGAACATGGCAGTTCTTGCACCGAATCTTGCCCCAATATCCACAGATGCAGCAGAAACCTCTTGGAGGCTGCGATGCGAGTGGTGGCGCTGCCCGCGACGCATTATATGATAGTGGCGGTTCGGCGAGAAGCCGCTGCATGATACGGTCTGAAGGCATATTCGGGGCGTAGGATCGCAAGAGAGGATCGTTATCGTGTTCGGTCTTTAGTAGCCTCGGTCTCGATTCCTCCGCCTGGGTTTGCGTCTCCCCATCTGCAGCCTCAGTCTGCGAGGACTCAGCAGCCGATTGAGAAGCCGAATTTGCCTCAGCCAAAATGCGTTTGCGACCCGTAGCTTTTTTTGCAGGGCCCGTTGCAGGGGTGGAACTTCGTCGCGCAGCAGCCGTTGCCGCCGCTTTACCAGCTCCCTTGGCGGTGACATTCGCGTTGCCTCCTCCTTGGAATGCACTCAAGCCACCTCCGCCCTGAGCAATGGCGGCCTCTTCGTCATCAAGGTAGTTGTTGAATGTCTTCTGGGACTGTAGGATCCGACGAACGTTGGACGTGGTCTTCTCGCGCGTTTTGCGTACGCCGGCCTCCTTAGCTTGTTTCACAGGTACGGCGATTTGTACGTCACGGTGATTCTCCTTGTTGAGTTCGGCGATATGTCGGGCGATCGCGTTCGCGCGCTGTGAGGAGATGTCGCCGCCTTTACCGGCGTCGCGGATGCCGCGTTTGCGGGATAGAGTCGGGGCTGTAGCGGCTTGGGATGGACCCAATCCGCGATCGGTAACGTAGGTATAGCCCGGTTGGGCTTGGGAAGAGCCACCGGGGAGCACTTCGACTCGAAACATGGCCTTCTGTGTTGAGGTGAGGATGTTTGAGGAAGGACAATATGTATCAAGCCGGCGGCGAAGGTCTTCGCGATAAGCCGCAGTTTGCTCTGTTTGCACCCGTACGGCTGTTGACAGGCTTGGTCTCATACAATCAAAATTCGAGATACCCAGGCATAGTGAATTTTGAGAAGCCTATAAGAGCTTTTACTAAGTATATTAAAGTAATTGAAGCTGACTTCTAGGCGAATAATAGAGATTTCAGTTGAATGTTTGCTCGAAGACAGTTGGCTGTCAAAAATATCCTGAATCCAGCTTTGCAATGAAACTCCTTAGATACAGTGGGATGGTGTCGCTTCATACATTGCGAAAAGTCAAGGGTATCAAAATTTCATTGTATCTTTCAGCAGTATATTGGCATGGGAAGCACAAGAAATGTTGGTGGGGTGCAAAAGTTACAAGATCCAACTTGAATGGCGCAAATTCGACGCGGAGACACACCCAACACCCGTAAACCAGTAAGTACAATCGGAAATCAGCGGTAGATATCGCAACTCCTATTTCTTCTTCAGCTGGTCAACCTTTGCCTCCAGCTCGGAGATGTACGACTGGAGATTCATGGTGGCAGTTTGGAGGGCCTGTTGATGTAAAATCCCCCAATCTCCCCAGAAAAGTCCGGGGAGAAAAGACGGCGCAGTTAGTGGCGATGAGCAAAGGAACCAAGTGACAAGGAAGAGAGCTTTACCGAAATGTCTTGGTTCAGCATTTCGTTGGAGATGCGGTAGTCTCCAAGCACATAGTAATAAACGGACGCGCCGGCCGCGACAGCGCCGCAGAGGAAGCCGAAGACTCTGCACATGAATTAGTACGCGCAAGGCCATGGAGAAGCCACGACAGGATTGAGGTCAGAACATACCCTCCACGGAAAGCTCCAACGGGCTTCTTCGCGGGCAGCGGCACAGCCTCCCAGCGAGGACGGGAGACCGAGAAAGGCCGGGTGACGACGCGTGCGCGCAGTGGCAAGAAGACCTTTGACCGGACAGTCATTGTGGAGAGAAGGCTGTAATCATCAGCAACTATTTTTTTCCCAGTAGTATGAGTCAACTGGTCGTACAAGAAGCAGAGATTCGGTGGCGAGGAGTCGTGGACAAAGGAGGTGACGTTGACGCGGAGGTCACGGGCACCCGCGGAAGCGCGAGTATACATTTGCGCTGTTTTGGCCACCCCTGCAGAAGAGCCCAGGGACATGTAGAGCCCCATAGATGTCCTCCAGGTGCCTGGTAAGATTGAATCTGCTTTCAAATGTACATATAAAATTGGAGACCACGATTCTGAGGGAGTAAAGCTAGCCGATACATAAACAGTCACAGCGTCGGTTGTCCAGCCGTGATTACTACCGAATGCAAGATCTCGGACGAAACAGCGAAGCCAGCTTGCGACAGATGAAATAGGTATACTGGGTTGTAGAACTACAAAATGCTTCGACAGAAATGCCGCTACAGAAAACATGACCAAGCTATGCAAGCAGAGGGCGCCATCGAACTCAGTTCGCCATGGTGCTCTCGTTGAACAAGTCCGCCAATAGGTCATCTAGACACACCCCCATGTCCACACTTTCCATGCCGTACGTGCTCTCGAAGACGTAGATACTAAGTCTGTCAAAGAACGGACGCAGGACTCTTCCGACGATCTCATCTTTGGCTGTCTCCCGAATTTGGTCTGAGACAAGCCAGGGCCGTTTGTGGCCACTGCGAGCCACAGGCTCTGCGGACTCGCCGGACACAGTTGGGGAGAACAACTCACGCGGACCAAAGCTTTGTGAAACCTCATCAGCCAAGGAAACAGGCTCCCAGCGGTCAGGCGGGTAAACTGCGTCGATGGTATCTGTGACGAAGAGCCATTCCAGAAGCTGGAAATCATCAGGAGCAATAACCAAGAGTACATCCAGAAGCTTGCAGGCTTGCAAAAGGGAATAAGTATTATAGAGCTCTGATTGCAATCCTCGGGGAACGGCAGAGATGGCTTCTTGCAACTCGGCGTTGATCAGCGGCCAGAATTGCGCCATGGTCGATGGGGAGTTTTTGAGCGCCAGAGCGCGTAGGACCATAAAGATTTCTGCCCGCGTCGCAGACGATGGCGACGAGGAGCTTGTGGCAGCTAGAAGATCTTCCAGCTTTTGAAGTAAACTTGGGAATTCACCGACAAAGTAATCCGTGTTAGCAGACAGGATCAGAAGTGCAATGCGTCGGAGATTGAGTTGGGCTTTGCGATCAGCTTCCAGTCGCGCCGCGGATGCTCCGACGCCGAACATAATTCCGGCCGCGCTGGGAGGTGGAAGTCGGCTCAATATCTCAGATAGGCGATCTTTATCGACGAGAGTCCATTGTCGCAAGAGATCCATCCACGTGCTCTTTGTCAAGTCCACGTGCAACCCAAAGAAACGTGAATCGTTGAATGCATCAGCGATGTCTTTCTTCCACAGTTTTGCTGCGGCTGGCACCTTCGCCATTTGTTGCAAAAGAACCATGACATTACGGTTGAGGTTATTTGGGAAAAGCCGCGAACGAATGAGTGGCCCGACCACGTTTGTAGACACGCCGCTAATGGCAGTGTTAATACGATCCGAGTCCCCAAGCGTAGTGATAAATGATGGCATGGACACCGCGAGAATACTCAACATGTCATCAGGCCCAGTGTGAGAAACTGCTGTGCGGTCATAGTCGAGCGAGGAACGCGCCATCAGACCACTATCCTGGTTGAGACCCAAGGGTTTGCTTGTAAAGACAGCTGTGAGAAGCCGCAGAAGGACATCCTACAGATATAACAGTTAGCAAAATACCAAAAATGCGTCTAAGAAAATAGAAACATACCCCGAGTTCTTTGCGCATGCGGCGGTCTTCTCCAAATGTCGTGTTCTCCAATTTCGCCCCAAGGATAGCGGCAAATTCAATCAAACGCGGAAGAATCTGGCGATGGGGGAATGGGTTGCTGAGCACATCACGCAAGAACGTCGTGCAATCTGCCCAAATTTCGTCGAGGACATCATCATCAAGAGAACGTGCATATGCAACCAAGAAACTGGCGAGTTCGGACTCAGAGAGATTCGAAGTCAAAGAGGACTTGCGGCTTGGATCCAGAGCAGCCGGGTTGGTGCGTGTATAGATCGCATTGAAGACGGCTGGAATGGAGATCTTTGGGCGAGAGCCCTCTAGGGTGTGCAAGAGGCTGAAGATGAGAGTGGCAGTTTCGGTGTCAGACTTGGTCCACATTTCAACCAGTGTCTCAAGACATTCCAATGCTTCAGCAGTGAAGAAGTGCTCCAGAATTCGCCGTGATCGATTGCGCATACGCAAAGACGTGTACTGAAAGGATGCCATGGATTCGGAGTCTGGTGGCGCGCCAGTCTTGTCCCCCGCACCCCATGCCCAGATAGAGAAGCAGAGACGAGTGGCGTCTTGGAAACAGAGAAGAACAGTCAATCGATCATTAGCAGCGTTGGAGCGGCCCTGGCTTCCTTCGGAGTTGAAAACTCCTGACACCATGTTGCCAAAAAAGCCTTGGGGCTGGTCCGGACTTTTTGCTGATGGAACATTTGCTTCTTCTACAATAAGACGCTCATGTGCATGGGCTATGCAGGTTTCTAGGCCTGTAAGCAGGGCATTCGTAACATGCTCAGATCGGTCCTGTGGCCAATCTTCTGTTTTCTGGAACGCAAGCTGAAGTCTTCCAAAAGAAGCCTTAATTTCTCTGCAAAAGCATTCCACAAGCATGAGAAGAATATGGTAGATCGAGCCCGAATAAAGGGGGAGAACCTCACAGAGCAATCCGATCCACTTGTCCACGATCTCTCGTGACTTGACAGAACTGATTCCTTTAAGGAGACAGTCAAGAAGTTTTTCGGGAGGCCGCGGGAAGTGAGAAAGTGAAGGTGCTCTTTCTGCTTTGTCGCTCGTGAAGGACAATATGGAAGGACTGGTCAAGCGCTCACGAGAGCCTGCTCGTTGCTGCCTTGGCCGGGGTGGAGGTGCAGGTACATAGGCCTGCGCGAACCGTACTTTGAGCGCTGCAAGAAGAGCGTCAATGATGGCCCCCTGGACTGCGATACTGCCGCCTTCATCTGACGCAGCAATGAGACGATCTACCAGGAAATCATCAATTCCAGACTCAACCAGATCTTCAGCCCCAGGTCCCAGGAGAAGTTGGCGCATGAGATAAAGGGTATCTTTCTGCAATCTTTCTCCTTCGGTGGTGACAGGGGTGTGGCTCGACGTTTGATCACTTATGATCTTTAAAGTGGCCTCGAATATGGTGGCATGGAGACTTTTAGCATCCGCATGGTCTACATCAATATATTAGTCTCGCTCTTGCTTCATATAATGGCCAGGAACTTACCCTCAGACTTGGACGCGTCCGTGCGCTTTTCCATTTGACCCAATGAATGCGTCAGAAGTGCAATCCATCCGTTCTGAGAAAGAGAAGAAATGATGTTTGACGTTGTTCGCAACAAATAATTACACTCCTTGTAGTCATCCGGAGCAATAGATTTGCTGTCTTGATCGGTCTCGCTGGGAATATCACGCTCAAACAATTCTTCGAGCTTCAGCACCACAACATGGAAGATCCTATAAGTTGTTAGTCTAAGTCTCAAACCTAGCTAGTTGACACCCTTACCTATTGATAGAGGGCAGATCCTGCAGCCATTGCTGGACACTCTGAGAAATGTCACCGGGCTCCTGAGACAAGAGATCGAGTACAATGAACAATGGCCGTTCAAGCATTGAGCACTGGTAGGAGAAAAGGTTGCCCCCGACATCCAGAACTTGCTTGGGCGGCTGTTGCTCGTGCGTACCATGGTGACTATGGTTCCATAGAACATAAAACTTCTCGGCCTGGTCCTCAGATGAGAGGTGATAGGATCCAGGGACCTTGGAGTTCATCATCAGTGATGTGATGGAAGCTTCAACCAGGTGATCTACCCAGGAGATTGAGTGCAACAGCCAAAGACAGCGCACAGCTTCAACATGGAACTTAGGGCTCAAGGGGGAGAGATACAGCCATAGATGTTCAACCAGGCTGGGAATAAGATCACTTGCATCCTCATAACTGACGTAAAACCCGGGAGTATGAATGAAGAACAGGTTCGTCACTGCAGAGACAATGGTAGATATGACCGCAAAAGCAGCTGTGGTGGGGTTGTCATTCTTCGTGGCCAGCCTTTGAGAGATGGCTTCGAACAGTCTTCTGTCTCGAAGAAGACGTGATTTCGGAAGCTTCTGGAGTAGTGTCACCAGGACATTGAGCTTTTCGTGGAGAGAAGAGGTATTATCATCGTTTCGTAGAGCCTCAATGGAGAGCTCAAGAGCTTCTCGAATGATCATTTCGCCAACATGCTTCGGGGCAAAGGGAAGAGACGGAAGTTCAAGACTGCTTTTGCTGGTCTCATAAAAGTGATGGATCTTCTTCAGGATGTCTGAACTTCTGGTTTTCATGTCGTGGCCAGACCTGTCATGGCCAGATTTCCTGGAGAATGCCCTCTCTATAAGCAGTGGGATCAGTGAATTCAGCACATCATTCAATGAATCTGACGCGGCCTTTTTGCTGCTATGGAGACCCGGTTGAGACGTGTGCAAGGCTGAGAGTTCGCTCATCTTCACAAGAACCGATAGCGTCAAAAGAGGAACATGGTTTTGGACCATGTCCTCTTCCCGAACATTGAAGTTCTCGAGTATGAACTGGGCAAGCCTCAGGTTGTGGAGGACTTGATCATGATTACTGTTCACGTCACTCACGAGAAAGTCAATCAGACCCAGAAGCTCCGAGAAAATGACGCTACTTTCAACCCCATCGAAAAAAGCACTTGCACTCCGAAAAACCTCTTCGAAATGGCTTCTAGGTGTGTCCTTCTCAAATGATTGAACACTGGAAATTGTCGGCAGGAACACCGCAGGTACAATATGGCCACCGATTTCCCAACGATCCATCAAGGAAAGAGCAATACGGAACGGCTTAGTCCTCTCCGACGGAGTTCGCGGGGCGTGCTTGATCATATTGAGGAGACCAGTAACCAACGGTTTCAGGCCAACACGACTGAAGTACTGAGATTGTGAAAGCTCCTTGGCATCGCCAGGAGATGATCGAGTGGTTTCGGATGAGAATTTCCGACCCTCGATAGAAGATCGATCATTGGCAGGCTCCGGCCCAAGAAACCATGCCCACAGGCGTCGATTCAAGCTCATGTCTCGCCGGGTAACCACCCCCACTGCCGCAATGATCAACGTTTGCAGATCTGCGTCCGGAACCTTGGATTGTAGGATGGGGGAGTTGAGAGGCAGGTGCGTGACAAGCAAGTCCAGGAAATTTCGTTGTACCAGAAGCTGCTCGTCAGATAGTCCTGATGCGAAGCACCTGATAAGCAGTCCTGGCTCAGGCAAAATAACCGAGTCTGCTGCTGCCAGCATTTCTTGTGGAATCTCATTCGCATCATTCGTGTCCGTTGCGCTCTTCCGGCGATCGGCGATGCCAAGCTTTGGGAGATAGCGGTTTAAGTATGCGAGCACGCCAAGTCGTCGGCTCGAATTGGTAATGGAGGCGAGAAAGAGGCATTGCCAGAAGTATTGCCCTGAGGCTCCAGCCTCGGATGTTCGTTGGGTTTCCAGATGGCCAGCAGCGTCGCGGAGTTTGTTGATTATGCGCAGCGTTGGTTCAAAATCATCAGTCTCTTCTTCCAGGCCAGGCAGAAGGGCCAAGAGAATCGCCTTTAGAGCTGGGCGTATAGCCCATGGCTCCAGATCCACAATATATCCCTCCACCAGCGATAGAAAAAGGGGGCGAACGGTGAGTGAGGCAAAGGTCAGAGTCGGCGCGAGTCCTGGAAGATATAAGGGTAGATCGTGCGACAATCCCTCGAGCTAAAAGAATGGGCCAGTCAGTCAGTAAACAGATCCATGGTTCAACAGCTGCCGCGCATTACCTTGATCAATCCGAAAATGTACGTGTACACCTCGAGGGCTTTCTGATGGACGCCCGAGGGCAAGGACGGGTTCAAACATTGGGCAAGCCGCTTGGAAACTATCACTTTATGAGGGACAACTGGCTGATCTGGCGGATGGGTTTGGAGAGCCTAGTTCAGACGTCAGCAGCACTTCAAATTGCAAGGATGCTCATGCGCAATCTCACCTTCAGAAGGCGACTGAGGAAGGAGATGTAATCGGCCCATTCTTGTAGAGCGTTGTCGAACAGCGACAACGCTCGCTCGACACTGGACGCATATCTGCGGTAGTTTTTGTCTTTCTTCAAGGATCCTAAATAGAAGAACCGCTGTCAGACATGATAGCCGCACGATGCGGGCGCTTGTGCAAGGTCGCATACCTTCTTTTCCTTGTAGGCGCGAGCGCGTCAAGGAGCTGTCGGAGCTTGCGGGGGAGTTCGACCTGGGAAAGGCACTGGGATCAAGGCTCATGGTGCCAATTTAAAGCTTCAAATGGATGCGAAAGCGGCAGACTGTCCTCCGTCATATTTAGGTCATCGAGAACAACCCTGGTGGGAGGGGACGGCGAGAGTTGACGATGTTCGAAAGGGCCACGCAGGCGGCCACGATGTTTTGTCCGCCCTTGGGAGCTTCGGCCGACGTCAGTCGCCGCCAGCCCGACTCCCCCACGGCGACACGCGGGCTCTCACTCTCTGCTCTCCCACCTCCGGATCTCCTGTATGTATCGATAACGCATGATTTGTGCCCCGCTTCTAGCGACTGTCTCCAGAAACGCACGCCTACCGCGGGGATGAGTACACCGCAGGCAGACCTTCAAAGCGACAACTGCGATAACCCCAATGGGCCCACCAACGAGACATCGGCAGCACCCTCCGACTCCAGCCCGTCCCATACCGAGCGCGTGGATCGTACATCTAGCCCTGAGGGCCTGCGACCGCCATTACCGCCGCGACCGAACACACTAAGCTTGTTGAATGATGAAGCCGCAGCGCGGGCACCAACACTACAAGCGGAGGCCACAACGGCCGTATCTCGAACAGAGATCGGTACCCAGTCACCAGAAACTACAGGACAATATTCAAACCCGATCGTTCGAGGGCTATCGCGGGGTCTTAAGGCGCGGGCGAGCCTAAGCCAACTAGCCAGCCCGAAGGATAGCGATGCAGGGGACTCGGCAAGCATCCGCAGTTCTATACAGAATGGCGATCTTGGGGAGGTAGAGGCTTTGTTCACAGATTTCGTGAATACAGTACCAGCGGGTTCAGCGGACGCGTCGAGCTTGCTTCACTATCCCGAATTCCCTGCTGATAACGTGAACGATGAGGAATTTCTGAATGAGTTTGACACGATTGGAGAACTAGACGAGAATGCTGGGAACGAAGGTGTGTGTCCCTAGGGATACAATTCAAGGCCTGGATTGTGAATTGAATCTTACCGATTTCTAGATTTGCTGCTTCAACAGTGGAAAGCCAAGCAAAAACATTACATGATTCTATCGGCTGCTGGTAAGCCAATTTGGACTCGCCATGGTGACAGTGGATTGGTATCAACATATGTGGGCGTCATCCAGACCATAATATCATTCTATGAAGATTCAAATGATCGGCTCCACGGCTTTTCGACTGAGGATACTAGGTTCGTGATCTTGACTCGTGGTTCACTACATTTGGTCGCGATCAGCCGCTTGATGGAAAGCGATACTCAACTACGGCTTCAGTTAGAGGCTCTGTATATGCAGATTCTCTCTACACTGACACTTCCATCCCTCACGCATCTATTCTCTGTTCGTCCATCCACAGATTTGAAGCGACCGCTGCAAGGATCGGAGACACTTTTGTCTTCACTAGCGGATAGCTTCACGCGTGGATCACCATCTACTTTGCTGTCGGCATTGGAATGTCTCAAGATTCGCAAAATCCATCGCCAGGCAATCAATACTGCGCTTCTCAAGACAAAGGCCAATAACCTCCTTTACGGCTTGGTTGTGGCTGGGGGGCGTCTTGTGAGCGTCATCCGGCCCAAGAAACACTCTCTACATCCGGGTGACCTTCAACTTCTCTTCAACATGGTTTTTGAGGCTGATGGTGTTAAAGCTGGTGGCGGTGAGAGCTGGATTCCCGTCTGTCTGCCTGGCTTCAACAGTAGCGGCTATCTATATATGTATGTCAGCTTCCTCGATCTTCGTAATGATATCGAGGACGATGATATCTCGAAAGACGAATCAGTCGCGATTGTCCTGATCAGCCCAGAAAAAGAAAGCTTTTTTGACATGCAAGCAATGCGTGACTCTCTGGTTGAGGTATGTGATGTCCTATACTAGCGTTTGTCGCCCTTTCTAACCCTAAACTAGCAAATGCAAAAGAATGGTAGCCTGGAAGCCATCAAGTCTGCCGTTGACCAAGGTCGACCAACAACCACGGACATCGTCCCTGGGACAGTGCTACATCACTTCCTATACAAGTCGCGCGCTAACGTCCAGTTCACTATGTCATCATATGACCCCGAATTCACTTCGATATCTCGACGCCGAAGGTGTGTCCGTGATTTACAAGGTCTCTGAGATAGCTCATGATTTAATGCTGTAGCTAGACTAATGTCGACATACAACAATCTCCACGCAAGCATTCACGCCAAGAACACCCATGTCAAGGTACATCACTGTGTTTCGCGATCAGCAACCTCGTTCGCATGGGTAACTCCGGTCTTTGAGCTTTATTGTATTGCTGAGCCAAACGCAAATCGAAATGCTTTGGTTCAGAGCGCTAGCAAAGTTGCTCAATGGGTTCAACAAGAAGAGGAACGGCTATTTATAATAGGTGGTGCGGTATGTACAAACATATGAAAATCAGCAAGACGGTCATTGACAGAGCTGACGATTTGGTAGGTCTTCTAACCAGTCTTGTCAGCATCGTGGCAGGCCTACGTATGACAACACTAGATACGTTGTTGTAATTGATGCTTGAATATTATGTGATATACCCAATAGCAAAGTTTGACAGGATTCATACCTAAGTACTGTGATAAGTTCTATGTTTCTGCGCATTGGGGCCCAACCCGCCCCTTCTCTACCTCACATATACTACACTAGAGTAGCACTTGTGAGGTATGCACCAGAGTAACTTGCATATTCTCATGTAGTGGTATGATGATATAAAGCTTTAGTCAATGGAGTCGTCCCGTAGATTGAAGAGCTGGCGCATGACCTCGCCTGACTTGCTGCGCAGGGCGTCATGGTACATGGTGTTAGTGATGAATTGCTTGGTGCCCTTGATCTTAACGGCAGCGCTAGACGCTAGATCAAAGTGCACATACATATCATCGATGTATGTCGCTGCATATACGGGAACCTCGTTCTTAGCGAGTTGTGCTTCATCGTACAGTGCAGGCCAATCACTGGTAGTAGCGAGAATCTCCGCAACTTCCTGAATTTGCTTCAACTCGGTGTACGATTCGAACATGTCTTTGAAAACCTGATGTCAAATGAATATCAGCACTTTTGTCCTTGGGCAGAATATAGATGGAAGGGGCGTCGTACCATTTCTCCAGTGAAGTAGATTTCAGGCTGCGAGTCGGAAATCTGGAACTGCGGGTTTGCTGCACGTTGCCTGTCCGCAGCCCAAAGCGAGGGCTTTCTGTTTTATTGTCTCGTTAGAACAGAAACCGGGGGCTCCGAGTCACTTTGCCACTCACCCTTGGCAGTAAATTGCTTCGTGTAGAACGGCATAGATAATATTCTTGTCCATCCCACCATTGCTATCAATCGTAGCAAGGGTCGGGAGGGTAAGGGAGCCTAAAGTCTCAAGTTCATTCCAAGCCCGCAAGACAATTTCTAATGATAGCAGTAGTCAGCAAGTATCGTTTGAGATGTCGATGACAGAGACAGATTTTACCGTGCAGAGAGTCAAGGCCGCCTGTATGAAGTTAGCATAGACTATATATTAGCCATAGGTAGACCAGGGTTCTTACCATGGAATCCGAACATAATTCCAAGCTGTTGAAATCTAGCCGGAGTCAACCATCCCGACGGCAAGGCAACCTGGTTGTTCGTCAAGTATTGCATGATTTTCTTGACCCGTTGAACATCCCCGGGGAATTTGGTATAGTATGCTTGGTTTCTCTCTGCCACTTTTTCTGCATGAAGGTCATTATTTTGTCTCGGGCAGGGCTTCTGGCAGGTAGACCAACCGTAGGTTCGGGAGTAGACAGGATCCGGTTCACTAACAAGTGGGGGTAGCCCACCACAGAGAAAGGCCTCATTCAAACTCCCGGGGCTTCATTGTAAGAAAGGATCAGTTAGCAATGTTCCCCAAGCATTAGCTGTGGAAAATTTCAGAATTTGGGTCTCACAATCTTGAAAGATAAGTCGTCGCACAGAAACCGCCAAAGCTCTGGCCGATGATGCTCCATTTCCGCTGGTCCTCAGGATAGTCATCAGTCAGACAACGGCGAATTGCTTCACAGTCGTTGACGATGTTATCAGCCCGGAAGCATTTGAGATACTCAGCCTGTTTGATGGCATCCCCTTGGCGCGCAAGAGTCCCCGCCGTGATAGTCGAGCTGAGTCCGGTGCCTCGCTGATCCAGAAAGAGAACCTTTTCACCTAGTAAGCCATAACAAGACTTGAATGCAATACAGGTGCGGAAACAATTTCCGGGGCCGCTCGGCTTACCTGGTACCCCTTACTGAGAGCAGGCTCGACCCAGCCGTAGCTCTGCGGGGCACCGCATCCAAAACCCGGTCCACCTTGAAGATACACGAGCCAGGGCAGCTTAGTGTCTTCTTTAGTAGGCTCGACCGGCTTGTTGAATCGAGACACGCTGCGGGCGAACAGCCTCAGAGTGCCCCTGCTGGGTTTGCTGTAGTCGACGGGGACATCGAAGAACAGCTCTGCCACGCGAAGCTTCCCTAAAATTCGCTCAGTGCCTGTCCTTTGTGCCCCTGGGAGATGAGCGACGCACCTGGAACGTTATAGAATTGTCGCTCAATTAATTTGGCGGCCATTGCGATTCGTGAGTACGTGAGTAGTGTTATCCGAGAGTCCGAGAGCTCGGGGCGGAGTGGAAAACACACAGTGGATCGATCGATTGCGGAGAAGCGGCTCAGCGTAGCACCCAGCCTTGTGCTTGTTCCTGACTCGACTCGCCGACACAGCAAATCACTCGGCCGGCTCTCGGCATTTTCAAATCATCGTCAGCAGTAAGCCCATTACTCTCACGTTCGTTCTAGCGTTTTGGGAAGGTCCAGCCGAATATTTGATTTGAGTCTGAACAGATCCCGAATACAGGCTAGATCCCGAACCACGACACAGGAGTAAATCGCTGCAGCTCGTCTCACATTGCTGCTCTCCTAGCCACATCCAACACCGATATGAAATCTCCAATGAACGAGGAAATACTGCAAGATCTGTGGAGAGTTGCCCAAAGGCCGTGGAAGTCTGGTGTTCTTCCAAGCAGCGAGGACTTAGCCCGAGCCCGGGCATCAATTCCTTCTACGCTTCCCAATACAGGAGCAAGCCTCGAGTCTGTACAGAGACACGTTTTGGACGATATTGTGCCTGCCTTCAACGGAGGGAGCATTAGTCCCAATTATTATGGTTTCATCACAGGAGGAGTAACACCCGCGGCGCTGTTCGCCGACAACGTGGTGTCCGCCTACGATCAGAATGTGCAGGTGCATCTTCCCAATCATTCCATCGTCACGGATGTTGAATTTCACGTGTTGGGCCTCCTTGCAGATCTATTACGACTGGATCGATCTACATGGCAAAACGGAACTTTTACCACGGGAGCCACGGCGAGCAATATCCTAGGCCTAGCTTGTGGTCGGGAATTTGCTCTCCGAAAAGCAGCCCGGAGGAAGGGATCTTCAGTGACAAGCGTCGGGGAGAATGGCTTGTATGAAGTCTTGCAAGACGCAGGTCTCTCTGGTGTTCAGGTTCTATCCACGATGCCTCATTCCTCCTTGGTGAAAGCCGCCGGTGTTTTGGGAATTGGTAGAGCCAATGTTCTCAACGTTTGTTCTGCGGATAATGTTCTCCAATTCGACATGGAGAAGTTGGAGAAGAACCTCGCTAGAACAGACAAGGCCTCGATCGTCGCTATCTCCTGCGGAGAAGTCAACACAGGGCGGTTTGCTACATCCGGAATGGAGCAACTGCAAATTATCCGCCAACTTTGCGACAAATACGAAGCATGGATCCATGTTGATGGTGCCTTCGGGGTCTTTGGTAGAATCCTGGATAACAATCCCGAGTTTGCAACTATCAAGAAGGGGTCCGAGGGAATACATCTGGCGGACTCGATTACTGGTGATGGCCATAAGTTACTCAATGTTCCCTATGACTGTGGCTTTTTCTTCTGTCGACACCCTGAGCTGGCCGTCAATGTCTTTCAAAATGCGAATGCAGCCTATCTGACTGCAGGAGCGTCTGATGGCCCATCAATCCCCTCTCCCCTTAATATTGGCATTGAGAATTCTCGCCGGTTCAGGGCTCTACCAGTGTATGCATCCCTACTGTCCTACGGCAGGGACGGGTATATGGATATGCTACAACGTCAAATTCGACTTGCCCGAACCATTTATGACTGGATTTTCGATTGCGCGGAATTTATTGCCTTGCCAGAGGTAATCTCGAAGACTGATCTTTTAGATCAGACCTTTATGACTGTACTGTTCCGGGCCAAAGACGATCGGTTGAATTGTGATCTTGCGAAAAAGATCAATGAGACTTCGCGCATGTTCGTCTCAGGAACGAGCTGGCAGGGTGCTCCCGCCTGTAGAATCGCTATCTCCAACTGGAGGGTGAACGTGGAAAGGGATGCCGCGTTAGTAATTGATGTCCTGACCCAGGTGGCTCGACAATGGTTACTGTCTACATGTGATATTCCGATTCGATAAGCGATATACAAAGTGCTTAATTCATTGGATGTTTGTGATACAGCGTGGACAACGTGAGATAATAAAAGCATGTTAGCCGGAATTTTCTTTTACTGTCATTTTCAAGACGAATCACGTTAAAAATTTTCCCAAAAATCCGAAAGCTCTTTGTATGTTCATATCATCGCCGACGACCAGCACCTCCCACATTTTCAGCTCTGTCGGCGATGCTGACCACCTCACCAATACCAGCTGCTTCTTGCTCGTCCTCCAGAGCCATGATCTCCTCTCGGCTATCCCACCATTTCTCCTCTGCCATATCAAACGCAGCCTTCCGAAGCTCCTTAATGGTCTTTCCTTCGACCTGACCTTTCATTGTCAGAGCCTCAATTCCAATCCTTTGCCATTCCTCAGCGGTTCGACTGAAAAATTCACGCAGACTCTCGAACGGGCGAGGGAGTGGTCGGCTATCGTCGACAGTCGGCTCTTGTTCTTCGACCTCAAGCTGTTCCATCTCTTGTGTAACCGACGGCACAGTCACTTCAGTTGGTGCAGTTGAAGAAGCATCAACAGACATCGCATCTACATCCTCATATTCCATCTCATCGTCCTCATCCTCATCATCCATGTCCTCGTCGCTGTCCTCTTCATCCAAGAGATTCCAGTTCTCAGGCTCTCGGTAGAAGATCTCTTTGACTCCATCCATCTTGCCCAGATCAATCGAGTACATGTCGTCAAAGGTGAATTCCCGATCGCCCTTCTCGAACGTGCCACCATAGATGAAGAGAGTATCATCTTGTACGGCAAGTTGAGCATTGAATCGCCGGTGTGGCATTTCAAAACGAACCACAGCCGGTTTAGCAGGCTCCTCAGGTTCGTTGGTCTTGGGCGTATTCGATTCCATGAGTTCATCGTCACTATCGTCATTTCGAATTCCCTTCTTGGCCTCCAATGCCCTCAGATTATTCAATAGCTCTTCTTCATCTGCCTTGCTTCTGTCCCGAGATTTGATAGCCTGATTCGCCTGCTGCTTCTTGCCCGGGGCTCGGGGACGACGCAAACCCAGAGGAAAGAAACGGTTTCGGTCCGTGTTCCAGGCGAATAGCGCATCAAAGAACTCGCTGTCAATGCCTTCTTCGGTCAATTCAACATCGTGGACACCGCCGAACATAATTCCTCGTCCCTTGTGGTACGCCATCGTCGTTCCCGCACGCGGTGGATTGGGGGTATTAGCGGGCTTCTTCCTTCGCTCCCAGCGAATTGCAGGGGGGCAGACGAGGGCGCTTCAGAGCCAGGAGGCGTCAGTCTCAGGAACCATGTATCTTGATGGACCATAGGCCGCATTGCCATTTTCTGGGGACTGCCCTTGGTTGGCTTGCCACCCGCACTACTGGTAGTCTTGACTCGCGAGTAGCCACCATAAATCACAGCCCCAGACTCATGAGGCAAAAAGGAGAACGAAGATCGCGGGTCCGGCTTCTGAGCTGCGGCGTTGAGAACTGGGTTGTGCCAGGTATATTCGTTGCAATCGTAAATCCACAGATCCTGTAGGTATTTTGTCTGCTGAGCAGTATCTTGGAACCCCCGAAAAGAATGATATAATTCTAAATAAGTTGTTAGCAAATAGTATAATGGACATATTCCATTTCGCGAAAACAAACCTTGTAGTAGGTCATACGATGGCCGCTTCTGGCAGGGGGCCCTTTGCCCTTGGTCTCGATGCGAGTCCACTCCCTTGTAGCAGGGTCGAGGTGCCAGAAATCATTGTAATGGTAGAACGTGCCCTGCTTAGGCGACGAGAACTCTCCTGGTTATTTGTGAGCCGTGGTTCGCACATCAGATATCGACCGGGGGCCTCTCACCTCCAAACAAGTAAACGCCTCCTGTATTACCTCCACGGCACCAGGCATGGCCACTCCGAGGGAGCGGGCTGTTTGGGCTTGTGACTTCTCTCCACTCGTTGCGATCGATCAGGTGAACAAAAAGGTTGTTGAAGAAAGTTGCATGGGTTCCATCGTAGTACTCGCCGCCAAAGAGCAGGATTTCGTTGCGGTTGGATGGCGATGCAAGTACTGTCGCGGAAGACCGTGGTGCAGGAGGGTCCGAGACCACTTCTGTCACCTTCAAGTGCCTCGCCTGCTCCTCAGCATATTGAGCTAGGATGGCATCCAGATCTGCGTCCTCAGCATCGCTGTCCACATCCTTGCCCTTGGCTTTGGACTTTTTCTCAGTCTTGGCGGACTTTTTAGACTGCTTTGCCGCAACGCGAGCTTTGTGCTCGGCTGACTTCTTGTCTTTTTTGCCCATGGTGGAATTGCGACCTTGCACAATTTTTTTCCAGCTTCACACTTTGGGCCGCGGGGCATAAAAAAAGACGTTCCCCACATTTGATAGATAGAGCCCCCGCGCCCTAAGTAATAAGTGTTGTTCACTGACTAAGTGATTTCCCAACACATACCACATGTAAACTTTTGCTTAGATGAAATTTCCAGAATGAATTGATCCAGGGAATTCCATTTTAATCTCATCTTTTTCGAACCACACTCCATAGTTGCTGTGGTGAAGTTGGACAATCTGTGCCCTATCGGGGTTGACCGCTCACGTGCGCGACGCGTCTGAGCCGGAATTCGCGCCGCGATGGGCGTCCATTGCTTCGGATGACGACAAACGACCAAGGCCATGGTCGCAACACGCCCCCATGACGAAGAACAACTTGGCCAAGCATCTTAAATGGCTGCTGAAGCAAGGCCCGTCACTCTACCCTTCACTGATCTCCGAGACCCCTGTTGAACAATCGACTCGTGTACCTCAACAGCCCACACCACCCGACGAAACTCCCGAGATACCGGACGAGATTCTGGAGGACGTTGATGATGCTACAGACAAGACTATGGCGCGCTTGATGCTCTGCCCCTCTTCGGAGAGTAAGCCGCGAATGCTCAGCCAGTCTAGCAGAGACCCCAAACTTGATACTACGCCCTCGGCCTCGAAAAAGACGTCTTCCTCGAGGGACATAGCTTCAGGTAAGTAAACAGGCTCGGTAAACGACTCTTATTGGAACAAAAGAAAGGAATATTGACAGGCTGCATCTTGGTCAGGGTCAAACCTGGAGCCACCGCTAGCGTCGACTCTTAGGAGTACTCGGCCAAAGTCTACCCCCCTCAAGCCAGAATGCAAGCCAAATACGTCGCCATTCGATGCTATCGAGTCTATCGATCTGACCGGCGAAACCAATCGCTTTCTACCGTCCTCTTCGACAACAGACATTGGAGAACCGCGTCGACTATGGAACGAGGGGACTGCGTCGCGCGAACGCTCCCAGGAGAAGCGAGGGAAGAAACGAAAGAGCGAAGAATATACCTCCGACCTCCTTTCGCCATCCAAGCACTCGACAAAGATCCGAACTCTGTCCAAGGCCAACAGACCACCAATTTCAGGCAATACAGTTGCAGAACTGTCTGCGGCCTCGAATTGTGTTGCACAGTCCCAGCGAGTCATCGCAGACTCCGATGAAGATGACGACGATCCTTTCGATAGTTGGATCGGAGTCGAGGACGTTGAAAATATGATTCTGGATACTGGCCCGGGGTTGTATCCAAAGCTTCCTCAAATAAGCCCCAAGGAGAACGAGAGAGAGGAGCTCCCAGCGACAATGAGCTCAATTTCACTGCCACTCTCGAAAACCGCCGCGCCGTCACTCACTCGAGTCGAAAGGAAGAGCAATATTGCAGAGTCGCAGAACCCTGAACCGTCACCTACACCGAGCATGTCCAGTTCTCAACCAAAGGATCAAAATGTCTTGAAGTTCCTGGCCCTTCCCTGGGAGTCCATAGCGAAATCAATATCCACTCTGAAAGAAAAACTTCAACGGAATGCAGAAATTGTCTATGAGCAAGCGATGGAGGGCCGACCAGCGCCAGATCTCATTGCCGCGAACAAGGATCTAGTCTGTCAAATACAGGCCATTGAAACCTTGCAAACAAGCCAAAAGTCCCACGCAGATTGTGTTACCCGGAAGGAAGACCTGAAGAAAAGCCTCCTGCGCGTTATTTCCCAAGGCCTCGATCCGACCACATTGCCGGAATTGGCTCGAAGCCGGGCTGTTGAAGCTGAGCTGGAGAAAATCGAGAGCAAGATTAGCGAACTTCTGCCTCAATCCAATATCCTGAATATGGTACCAACGTCCAAATTGGATGTGTGTGACCCTCCCGAGTCTACTTCACGCTCAAGACCGACTCGTACATCCCCCGGGAAGAATTCGATGATACCGTTTTCAACGCGGATTCTCCGCTTGCTTCTCCCCAACAGACACACCGAAGGGAGACAACGCACATGGACCGGTCCTCCTTCACAAACAGCCGAGAGCCGCAAGAGCATTCTGCTTCGCGATCAACCGATCAATATCGTTACAAGGAAGACATTTTTGTGTCTCGAAACATGGGCTCCCCGTCGCTTGCACCAGATATGGAATTTGACGAATTCGACTGGAACGCTAGCGATGATGAGATGCTAGAAGTAGCCGGGAGTTTTGACCAAGGGCGAGTTCCCGACAAAGAACAACCGCCCCAGAGCCGCAAGGTGTTTGCAGAAACATCGGGCAACACATATCGCATGCCTGCACTCCCATCCAAGAAGTCTCCTGAACGCACTAACTTCTGGTCCAACCACCCATGGTCTCAAGAAGTCAAGACTATTCTGAAGGATCGTTTCCAACTTCGCGGATTCCGCCCAAACCAGCTCGAAGCCATTGATGCAACTCTTGGCGGTAAAGATACTTTTATTCTAATGCCCACGGGAGGAGGGAAGTCATTGTGTTATCAGCTGCCGTCTGTTGTTATGGGCGGAAAGACTCACGGGGTGACCATCGTGGTGTCGCCATTACTAAGTTTGATGCAGGATCAAGTGGAACACTTGCGGAAACTCAATATAAATGCATTTCTGATGAATGGCGAGTCTGACAAGTCAGAGAGATCATGGATCCTTGACCAGTTGTCAAATGCCGGCGGTGAAGACTTGGAACTACTGTATATCACCCCTGAAATGATCAACAAGAACCAGACTTTGGTCCGAGCTCTCGAGAAACTTCATCGCCGAAACAAGCTCGCACGCCTGGTAATCGACGAGGCGCACTGTGTTAGTCAGTGGGGACATGATTTCCGACCAGACTATAAGGAGCTCGGCGAAGTTCGCAGTAGGCTCCCTGGCGTCCCGGTCATGGCCTTGACTGCCACTGCCACAGAAAATGTCAAAGTGGATGTCATCCACAATCTCAAGATGAACGGATGTGAGACGTTCCTGCAGAGCTTCAACCGCCCAAACTTGACTTATGAGGTTCGTCCCAAAGGCAAGAACGACGAAGTCTTGGCTGGCATCGCGGAGACAATTACCGGCTCCTACCGCAACCAATGTGGAATTGTCTATTGCCTGTCGCGCATTACTTGTCAGAAGGTTGCTGAGAACCTCCGGAAGAAGTACCGGATTAAGGCTGAGTATTATCATGCAGGCATGGACTCGGCCAGCAAGGCCAAGGTGCAGGGTCTGTGGCAAATGGGAAGATGCCATGTGATTGTCGCCACAATTGCTTTTGGCATGGGCATTGACAAGCCTGATGTACGCTTTGTTATTCATCACAGCATCCCAAAGAGTCTTGAAGGATACTATCAAGAAACTGGCCGTGCAGGTAGAGACGGCAAGCGCTCCGGCTGCTATCTCTACTATGGATACAAGGATGCCGCGACATTAAGACGAATGATTGACGCCGGCGAGGGCAGTTTGGAGCAAAAGGCTCGGCAGAAGCACATGGTTCGGAATGTGGTTCAATTTTGTGAGAATCGCAGTGATTGTCGACGAGTACAAGTCCTCGCCTACTTCAATGAGCACTTCCGCCGCGAGGATTGCGGTAGTTCTTGCGATAATTGCAAATCGGATTTGGTGTTTGAGTCGCACGACTTCTCTCAGCACGCGTCTTGGGCTATCCAGATTGTCCGTCATTTCCAAAATGTCTTGAAAGAAAAGGTGACTGTGCTGTACTGCGTGGATTTACTCCGGGGTGATTTGAAAAGGGCCAAATCTCCCTCCCACAAGCAGATTCCCTGGTATGGCAAAGGAGGTGACCTCGACCGAGGCGAAGCAGAGCGGCTATTCTATCGCTTACTGGGTGAAGATGCTCTGTCAGAAAACAATGAGATCAACGGAAAAGACTTTGCTGTCCAGTATATTGAACTTGGTCGGCGTGCCACTGAATATGAGACGGGAAAACGACAAATGATGCTGCAAGTGCGCGTTTCTCCCATCGGAAAAGCACGGCCGTCCAAACCAGCTCAAAAGGGGAAATCTGGCAGCCAGCATCATCCTCAGTCCACCATGGTGTCGTCTCCCATCCAGTCCGCGAACAATCGACGACAAGCTCGCACTCAAAATAGAACCTTACCTGTGGAAGAATTTTCAGCCGACGATGAGAGCGACGGTTTCGAACCGGTTCGTGTCGCTGGCAGGACAGGGAAACGGAACAATCGTGAAATGGGGCCCCCCATCACGAGTGACCAAAGAATGGATCGACTCGACCACCTGCATCGTGCAGTGGTAGAGGACTTTGAGGTGACGGCCAAGAGATATCTGCAAGAGGTAAGCGATGCACAATGCAATATGGACATGACGTCAGTTGCTAAATTCTGAATAGGTTGTTGTTGAAAAGGGCCTGCGTTCTCAACCATTCTCAGATCAAATGCTACGGGATATGGCCATTTCGTTCCCAAAGAGTACGTTTAGTCTGAATCCGAGGCAATGGAAGCGTTGCTGATATCAATCTTTCCATAGGTCTCGGGGAGCTTTCGACCATACCAAACATTGACCACGACAAAGTCACTCGATATGGTCGCCAGATCTTAAAACTCGTTGACCAGGCTAGACGGCGATACCAAGAGCTGAAGACAGATGCAGAAACAAACGGCGTTGTTCCAGACCCCAACCATCACAATGTTATCAATCTCAGCAGCAGTGATGAGTATAGTGATGATGATCTGTTTGTTGATCAGGCCTCTAATTTCGACCTTGACTATCCCGTGGAAGACACTAGTACGCAGAACGTCACTAGTCGATATTTTCCACCGCCGCCGTCACCCGGTTACGATCCTGGTGACGAATTCGAATCGGGCCCGGCAGCTTCCAGTTCCAGAGGCCGCGGTAAACGGCCATACAGCAAACGGCCACCTCGCCGCAAAAATGGTGACTCCTCAGGCAGCTTCAAGGGCAAAGGTGCCAGGTCCAAGGCCAAGACTGGCAGTGGCCGTGCTCCAAGCCGGGCGCCCTCTACAAGCCGGAAAGTTTCCAAAGCCAAGACGCCTAAATCCGCAATCGGAATGATGCCCATTTGACTTCGAGTTTTTCTTTTTGTTTGTTACGGGATGATCATGATTGGGGTTTGCGAGCATCTACAGGCAGCGTTTTACCAAGTACCCCAAGGGCGTTTTGGCCCTTTGGCGCACCTCGTTGAAAGCGTGGATTGTAGTTTCATTTCTTCATGAATCATGGTTGAATTAGAATATTAGTAGACATAATGCCATCTCCACCTTCGCCTTTTGGGCAACCACGAAGGTCTTGCTCCTACTCTTAACTTCCCAATGAACGGCCAAAGTCGATTAAACGCAAACGTCGCGCATCTCGCGGGTGAAACTGAGCCACTTTAGCCTTGATGAGGAAACGAGATGCCGCTGAATCGCGCACCAGGTCAATATAGGAGAAATCCGCCTCTAGGAGGGCATTCAGTAGCTCATGCATTTCTTTTGCGGCGACCTGTCGCTTGTTTGTAGAGTTGGAATGATTCGTGTTGCGCTGAAGAAACTGGTCAATCCGTTGCTGATTGCTTTGTTCAGGCTCTTCCGGCAGCTTTGATTTCTTCGGTTTTCCGTGGGCCGTATATCCAGCATTCAATGTCGTATCCGACACTTCTGGTGCATCGCCCACCGTGGGCCCACCTAGGTCTTCAGCCGCAAGCATCGGTGCCAGTGTTTCGTCGATAAAGTTTTCTAAGGCCTCTCTGAGGTCGTTTGATGCGCGATCTTTATCTTTATTCTTCTTTTTCTGTTCGGCAACCACTTCTTGGGCCACTTGCGCTGGCGTTTGCTCCCGCTTGCGCGCATTGGCATCGCGAATTCTCTGTATTCTTTCACGGAGGCCACTAGCAATAGCGCGTGAGTCCCGCAAATTTGCCTCTTCAATCCGTAGACGCTCACGGTCCGCAGATAACTTCTCTGCGGTCACTGAAACAGAAAACTTGCCCTCCTTTATGAGCTGTCCGGTTTCTTCAACAGCTAATAAGGAAGGCAAGACGGACTCAGTGGTTGGCAGCCGAACTTCAGCCTGAAGCAAGGACTCGTACGCTTTCTTGGCCCGACGTGCTTGTTGCACACGCGCCCAGCGGTCATCTCCGCCGTCTGACAGGCCATGAGTGCGAACCTCGCGAAGCTATAGTAGATACCACTGTGAGTTCTTAATTGTTTCAACTTCAAGAGCACAAGCCACGGAAAGATATCACCTACTTTTTTCAGATCCTCTTCCTGTCGTCGAACCTGATCCTGAAGCTGCTGCAATGTTCCATCTAACCGTCGCGCATAGGCATGCAGCTCCGTTGCGCTAAGAGGCTGGTTGATGGACTCTATCTCCGCGGCGTGACGATTCTGGTCAAATTTCTGGATATTTTGGACTGCAGTCTCTGGTATCTCCATGATTATTGTTCCAAGATGGCGCATGTAAAAAGGCTGACTCGACTTCGTGGGGCGCGTAGTACTTGGGCGCTTATGTGTCTTCCTTGGAGGGTTGTCCACAACACCCGCGTCGCGTTGCACGTGATGTCATGCCTTACCTCAGCACCCCGTTTCACCTTCACCTTCACCTACCTTCCTCGCATCTCGTCTCTCCATCTCCCCTCTCCCTCATCTCTCCCTGTCGTCAAATTTCCGCACCTCCATCCAAGATTCGTATCGGAAGCCCACGTGTGGACTTTCGAAGCTGCGTCTAAGCCTGGACCAGATCGTGCGCGCATTTCCCTTGCCCGATTTCCTCACCCCGAGACCTCCTTCCTACCCAGTCGCATCGTCGGCTCTTCACCACCGCCCACCGCCCTCAACGCACTCTCACCCTCGCCTCCCCAGACCATACTTGCTCGAATCAGCTTTGCTACATCGAGATCCTGTCATCCACCGTCCGATCTGCCTTCTCCTATCGGCACACTTCCAAGATCATCATCGCTTTCTCCCCAGCATCAGATTCCCCTCGGCCGCCAAGCACCAGCACCTTCTCGTGGGAGCCTCTGGTGTACATAGCCGATCATAAAAAGCAAAACACAGATTTTACTCTTCACACCAATCTTTCACGTAAGTGAAAACAAGCAGCTGCACAGGATGTCGGCTTCTCCGTCCAACCTCCAGTCGGCCAAGCGTCCTCTCGAGGACCCTTCTTCCCCCACGGGCCCCAACGACCAGCCCGATGCCAAGCGCCCCGCTCTCGACAAAGTCGTGAAGAATGATACCGAGGTCCAGGCCGACGTCTCGAGCAACGAGGTTCCCGGTGTCGAGAGTGCCCAGGATACACAGGGTGATACCGTCGTTCCCGATGCCCCCAATGGCAAGCAGACCGAAACCCAGCCGATCCAGTCGACTGCCTCCCACGGCGATCACGCCAGCTCCCAGTCTGATCAACAGGCCCCGCAGGATGAAACTAACTGGATTCATATTCGCGCCGTGATCTCCAGCTCGGAGGCCGCGACAGTGATCGGAAAAGGAGGCGAGAATGTTTCCCAGATTCGCCGTTCGTCGCATGCCAAGTGCACAGTTAGCGACTACACTCGAGGTGCCGTCGAGCGGATTTTGACTGTCAGCGGCCTCCAGGATGCCGTGGCCAAGGTAAGCTTACCCATTTTTTGGTGATGAAATTAAGGTTACCGCATAACAAATGCTAACGAGGAACAGGCTTTCGGACTTATCATTCGCACTCTGAACAATGAACCCATTGATACCCCCTCTACTGCCCAGTCCAAGACGTACCCTTTGCGTCTGCTAATCCCGCACATTCTCATCGGCTCAATCATCGGCAAGGGCGGCAGCCGGATCCGCGAGATCCAGGATGCTTCTGGCGCCCGGCTCAATGCGTCGGACTCCTGCCTTCCGTTGTCCACCGAGCGCTCTCTTGTTATTCTCGGAGTCGCAGATGCGGTGCACATTGCGACCTACTATGTCGCAGTGACCCTGGTGGAGCAACTGACGGAACGATTCAACGGCCCCGCGGCTTCCGCATATGCCACTCGCAGTGGTGGCCCTGCTGGTGCTGTCTCTGGTGGGATGCAAGTTGTCCCCTATGTCCCGCAGCCTGCTGGTGGCCAGTATGGTCACCCTGATAACTTCAAGCGTCACCACCCGCACCCCAACCGTGCCCAGGGCGGTGCCTACGGTATGCCCTATGTGCAAGGCCTGCCCACCCCCCACCCCCGTCGGTCAACCGGTCATGCCCTATGGCGCTGCTACCCCTCACACCCCCTACGCCGGTGCCACTCCCCATCAGCCCACTCCATACGTCGGCGGCCCGCAGCCCACTGCTGGTCGTGGAGCCCCCACCCCAGCTGCTCCCACAGGCGCCGCAATGCCTGGCCAGCCTTTGACTCAACAGATTTTCATCCCCAACGACATGGTTGGTGCCATCATCGGAAAGGGTGGCGCCAAAATCAACGAGATTCGCCATTTGAGTGGTAGCGTTATCAAGATCAACGAGCCCCAGGAGAGCAGCAATGAGCGTCTGGTCACAATCACGGGTACCCAAGAGTGCAACCAGATGGCTCTGTACATGCTTTATTCGAGACTCGGTATGTTCCCCGAGCTCGCAGAGCGAGCGCCCTTTCCCCAATTATTGGAGTCGGTACCGCTACAGAGTTGAACTAACACTTTTCACAGAAAGCGAGAAGCATCGCGTCTAGGCCTCAACGTTTTGTTGAGAGCCTTTCCGGCATCACGCCCCCAAAAAAACGGTGGTTTATGATGATTTCATTTTTATATTTGTTCTGACACGAGTGTTCGTTGCTCTTCTCTCCTCCCATTCGTACCTCCCATTCTTACCTCCTTTTCTCCTTCCGTTGTATCTTATTTGCTTCTGCCTTCCTTAATATCCAATCCCACTTTTTTGCACCCGTTTGCACACCCCTTCCCAGTAGCACTGGCCCGGTCTCCGCTCATCTCGTTCTCCCTCCCGACCGCTCTCCACCCCTGTCCCAAGATTAAACAACGCGCAACACCCATCACGAGACAAGACTTCCGTCTAACACTCCGTCATAAAATAATATGAAGAACTGGGACTCCTTGAGAATGTTAAATTTTCTGGAAACTGACATGCTTCATCTCCAGACCAGGAACAGGGGGTAGCATTTTCTCCCGAATAGGCGCCACGCTCTGCTGGAATTGCTCCGTCTCCTTCGCTTGCTTATGCGCCTCGACTGTTTCCCAGCCAACAGCTAACAAATGCACCACGGCATGTCCACTCGGACTCTTTGCGTGCTGCACCATGTTCGGACGATCGATGTGACCCATCGCCCAGGATCGCGGACCGTCCTCTTGCGGCAAATGCTCCACCAGTGCCGTGCGGAAGTTGATTAGTTCTGCATTCAATTGCTTGGTCTCTTGCACGGTGAGGGAGCTTGGGAAGGGCAGAGCACAGATTTCCGTCACCGGGTTCGCGGTTAGCGTATCTGTGCTGGAAATTGGCGGGCTGAGAGTTGTGTAGAGGGCTGTTGGAGGTTGAGCCGTCGGCGCGAGGAATGGTTCCAGATTGATGGCGGTTGTTGAGCCGCGGGCATCAGTCCAATCTGTTTGATCTTAGCGGTTGAACATACCACATGATATTTGAAATCGTAGGCTTATGTATCGCCGCATAGACCGCAAGGCGTCGTAGTTACAGGAAGGCAAGGCCTAGGGCGGAACATTCGAAAACAAAAAATAAAGTCCGAGCATTCGAGGCAACTTACCTACAACCCATACAATCACATCCTCGTCTTCAACCGTACGACCCCAAGCGGAATTTTGGTGACCGCTTTGCTGTTTTGTGGAGCGGAAGATGTTCAGCAACGCCTCACCCTCTTCGCTGTGAGGATCTTCGGGCCGAACCTCGGGCCTCACTTTGAAAAAGATGAATTCGCTGATACTTTGCGGCATACTTCGTGGGTTTATGAGGTGGGCTGAGAAGTGATCGGATTTACTTTTTAAAAACAGTTGAGAACACCGAACTTATGAGGAATCGAGTTAGACTGATGTCACACCGCAAGATGATGTCAGACCGGCCGCTCGTCATTACACCATGTCGATAGAGCTAATAAAACAGAAAAGAAAAGAGACCCATTTACATCTCGAAAAGAGATTTTTCGCCTCCAATTGTAGTGTATCACGCCGGGACTTGTAGCAAAAAAAGAAAATTCGTCCGAATGCTAATCGCTCCTCCCTTCCCCAAGCGCAAAAACCATAGATCAAATGTCCTTAGGGTTTGTCCACAACCACCCAGTCATCATCAACAGGGCGCACCTTGTCCTTTTTCTTCTCAAATGCAGCCTTCAAATTACCGATCAGTTGCTGGCGGCGAGAGTTCTTTGTTTTCCACCGGGCGCTCTCCTCCTGGATGACCGGGCCCACACCTTCGACACTGCGGAGACGACTGTGTCTTGCCGAGCCGTTGATGCTACCCCGGAAGTTGATGCCGCGCGAAGCAGAATCGGGCGTGTGATAGGCACTGCCGTCAATTGATCCGCGCGAGCCCGGAGTAGCAGGGAAACGGCCAGCATTCTTCCGTGGGGTAGTGAAAGGAGATTCCTCGTGGCTTGGTGCGGCGCTGGAGATGTCGAGACCCATTTTCCGCATTTGCGACTCAAGAACGTCAATGTCACTGCTCTTACTTTCGGCCATAGCCATCATCGTAGAAATGGTAGAGGCAACAGCCTCAACAGTAGGTCGCTTGCGGGATGAAGTAGTTGACCCATCGGGACGAGGGATATCTGCCATTTTGGCTCGCAATAGCGAGACGCCCTGCTCAAGATCGGCCATCTTGGTCTGGAAATCAGCGAACGTAGATCGAAGATCTTGCTGAAGAGTAGCCTGTTCGGCCGACAGAGGCGCCGCAAGGATGGAACCGGTATCAGTGTGTGCATCCAGGGTCTTGCGAATGGTGGAAAACTGGGATCGCATATTCACGACCTCCTTTGCGAGGATTTCGCGGCATCGCTCCAATTTCTCCTCAACATTCTGAATGCGCGCGTAATGAAGAGTTTCGTTGAGAGCAACGACGAGTTCCTCAAAGTTGTTGATATCCAGTAAATACAGTTTTTTGTCAAGAATATTGGCAGGCTGATCACCCTTTAAGATCTCTGCCAATTCGGAAGGCTCCGATGTCTTGGAAGACTGCTGATACAGCATGTACGAGTCCAAGGATCGTGCATTTATTCCCAGTGTGTCGATCATTGAGTTGATATCGCGATATAGGCGTTCAACCATACCCGAGATACCTGGCTTAGCAGTCTCGCCAGTGTAGCTTTGGTGAGGAAGAAAAGGATCAAGAGTAGCAACAGGTTCGAGTGGGCGAGCAAGATCTTCGCGAAGTCTCTCATCTTCGTCATCATCTGATAAAAAGAGAACGTCCTCTTCTTGGCTCTGAGCGGTCTGTTTAGCCCGAGCCTCCTCTTCTTGGGAGGCAAGGCTCTCTTTTCTCAGCAGTCCATCTCGCTGAGCCATTTGCGTCAAAGAAGCCTTGCGGGTAGCTAGAGCACTTCCAGCTTCTTTACGCACCTCAGGCTTCTGCGAGAGCAAAGTACTCTTCTTCGAGCCCACCCGGGTAGGGCTGGGTGACCGGTACGGCTCGCGGTTGTTCTGCGCCACAGGCCCAGGCGGCGGAAGAAGGGGCTGCTTGGGGATTTCACCAAACAGCTGGCGGGGAAGCTGTTGGCCATGCTTGGGAGCAACAGATTTCGATAGACCACTGAACAGACCACCTGTAGCACTCTTCTCAGAAATAGCACTGAATGAGCTTTCGGCGGAGTCCTTAGGACTCGGGATCTTAGTCTCGTCATGGGTGATTTCTTCGCCACTATCTGAGAAGTCGGATCCATCGCCTTCCGAGTCTGCATCAGAGGCATCTGGAACTGGAACAGCTTCTTCGGCTGGCTCAGGTTTATCCTTTGAGGCGACGAAGTCAGGGGGTAGAGGCGCTTCTTCAGCGGAGATTGGGGGACTTTCAGCCTTCTTAGGCTTGGGCATTATGAAGTCTGGCGGTAAGGGCGCCTCGTCGTCTTTTGGTACGGGCTTCTTCACGGTGAAGTCTGGAGGCAGGGGCGCATCGTCAATCTTCGGTGATGGCTTCTTGGCTGCAATGAAATCCGGAGGGAGTGGCGCATCATTCACTTGCGGCGACTTCTTGGCGCCGGTGAAGTCTGGGGGCAGCGGCGCATCTTCAATGGAGCTCTTAGATACATTGGATGATGCGGATGTGTCTCCAGGGGCATAGCTATCCCTGCTTGTAGGATCCGGAGGCAGTGGTGTGTCATACGAAGAACCGAAAGTAGGCGTAGAAACAGATCCTTCCCGCTTCGGTGTAGCCGTTTTATCGGACGGGGCTGAAAGAGGGCTAGTGACCTGATTTTGAGCGGCGGAAGCAGCATCGTTGGAAGCACCACCAAAAATAGAAAAGTTTGACTTGCTGGTCTCGACAGTAGACTCAGACTTGGCATTCAGCGGGGTTAGGTTGCCAGACAGACAAGTCGTCCGAGAGGAGGGCTTGCCAAAGACAGAAGTCGATTCGTTCTTGACTGGCGGGACGAAGCCAGTTCCATCCTCACCGCTGTCCATAGGCTCCGAGACCGGCGGGCTAGGGCTTGCCTTTCCTGGAGAAGAAACCATCTCGTCAAACGAGCCACCGAATGAGAAAGCCCCAGAAGAGGGCTTGTCGGGCTTCGGACCATCGTTGGCGGCTGTGCCATCGGGCTTGAAAGACGACCCTAAAACGAAGCCACCGGTGTTTTGGCCAAACGGATTCTTCGTTTCTGTAGAGGTTGGCTGTGGGAAGGAAGTCGTAGTAGAGGGATTGCCGAATGGGTTCTTGGTCTCATTGCCATTGCCATTGGTGCTCGCAGGCGCAAAGGAAGCGTCGTTTTGTGGCTTTCCGAATGGCGAGGGCAGAGATGGCTTTCCAAATCCACTTTCACTAGCAGGCTTCGCGAATGGCGACTCTCCTGGCTTAGCTGCGGCGAATCCAGCAAATCCGCCACCTCCAGAGAAGGAGCTGAAGCCACCTCCGGCAGTGCCACTCCCTGTCCCAAGCAGACTCTTGCCCGAAGTACTAGGCTGTCCAAAGCTAGAGCCCGCAGTGGCGAAGCCAGACTGGCCGAATGCCGGTTGCCCAGGAGTGCCCGCAGTGCCAAACGCAGAACCAGGCTGGGAGGGAGTTCCAAAAGTAGCTCCTGGAGCTGATGGCTTACCGAAGGCCGAAGCTGAACCACCACCCATTGGCGACGGACTGCCAAACGATGGCCCAGATGGCTTACCAAATGCAGTTGCACCCATGGTGGATGTTGTCCCGAAAGAGGTACCACCGGTTGACTTGTTAAAACCGGAAGTGCCAAACGGAGATGCGCCGCCAAAGGAAGTTTGCCCGAAAGCAGGCTGTTGTGGCGCGGGAGAGGCTTGTCCAAACCCGGATTTTTGAGGAGCTGGGGAAGCAGCGGAGGCAGTTGAAGTGGCAGGCTGGTCGTGAGTAACTATTCCAAGGCCGGCGTACACAACCTTTTCACGAATCGCCTGGTTGTATATGAACCACCACGAGGAAAGAATGCCGTCGTTATTCAGCAGAAGCAATCCCGGCAAGGGAGATGAGCTCTCTGGAATATCTTCCTCCTGACCTTGAATGGGGGCATAAACGTTCTCAGTGCAGGTGAGGTCAGCAGCCAAGCCAATCACAGAGGTGTCATCCGTGGAGTCCTTCAGCGGGACCGCAGCCTTATGACTGTCACTGTTGATTTCAGTAGCCACGAATTGGCCAACAAGACTCTTCGAAGCGTCATCGTCCGCAAATGGTTGGTCCGGGCGAGTAACAAGACTGACATCAGCAGATGCAGTAGATGAGACTATCAACACGTCCTTCATGTGGGGTTTGTAGTCTCGTAGCCGGGTGATAAACTGATATGCCGGTGTCCGTTTCATGCTAAAACCGAGAGTCGAGCAAATTTCGGGCAGTTTTTGGATCAAGAAAGGCGCCCCCTTACGCCTGTTGATGATATAGTAGGATGATGGCGGGATTCCGCCTTCGTCTTCAAGAGCATTGGGGGTAAAGACCATGAAGAAGACATCATTCTCAAGCCAAGCGACGGATGATACTTTAAAAAAATTAGCAGCTGCATTTAGTGCGAATCCGGCCAAGTAGACCTGCAGGCAGCACTCACCATGATACTCTCCCTCCAAATCGGTAGGCCGGGGGATTTGGTCTTTTTTGGTTCCATCTGCAGTCATTTGGTCCGCAGTCCCATCGGCCAAACCAGCCACAAGCTGCTTACCCTTATTACTCCACGCAACGCAACTGACGCCGTTCCGGAGGACTTGGCCGTTGGCTCCTGAGACCAGACTTCCTGCTTTTAGGTCGGCAACAAGAAGCTCGCCATTGACCGTGACGAGAGCAACAAGGTTGGATGTGGGATCTGGGTTCGGAACCAGAGAGCGAATCGATGCCCCTGTGGTCGAAACAGATAGCGCAGGCTGGGCAGTTTCATTTACCAGACTGGATGTTTGAAAGACCGAAATTTGGGAGCCATTCTCTGTAGCAAGGATCAACGCGTCGTCGCTCGCGTTGAAAGCGATGTGGGTTGGCCGAGCGGGGAGTGGGATCGTAGCGAGTGGCTCGAAGGGCTTCGTTTTCAGCTTCTCTTGACCAGTAGGGGCCTGGATAGCTTGGCGAATTGATTCGGTTGTTGCGACAACAAGAACATCGGGCCCGGCGGCAACTGCGAGTCCTTTGGTTTGCGCGACGGCGAGCAGAGAAGATGTTGGAGCGGGGAGGGCGTCGTCAGGCCAAGGGGTGGGAAGGAAGCGAATATTGGCGTCGCCGGAGACGCCTTTGAAACCGATTTCCTAGATCGCAAGTTAGCCACAAGTCATTTGAAGTTCATCCAGCTCGACGGCGCGACATACATCAGTGAACGCATCCGAGAGCTCTGGGCCAAGCTCAGCCTGCGCGCTCCCCCCAGCAGGGGCTGAATTCCCGGAGTTAAAGGCCATCCTTAGACGATCGTATTCGCCAGAGGTTGAACGAGAATGACCGCCTAGAGGTGAGCCGGTCTTAGAAGCATTGAGCGATGGCGAGCTCGGCGGCGTTGGAGAGAAGGAGCGACGTTGGAGTGTCTGGGGACTCCGGTTGAAGAGGTGCAAGGTGCGCGTAAAAATCTTGGAGCTGCCCCTCTCCGATCAAGAGTAGGCGGGATAAGAAGAAGGAAAATCCCTAGCAGGACCGATGTGAGAAACGAAGAAGCCGGAGTGAGGTTTGGGTAGGTCGAAAATGTCGCGGGCAAAAACACCTGTAGTGAGTGAATGCCTGACGGGTCAGGCGGCGAGCAGGCTGCGGAGCTTCGTCACTCCAAACAGCTCCCGACCTCACTCCTCTTCCTCATCAGCTCGCGCCTCTCTCTCTCACCTTCTTGATCTCCGCCATCTCGTGCTTAGCCTTCCTACATCTGGTACGGATCTCGGCTTTTTTTAATTCTTGATATTCGATTCGGCCGTGCTCCCCCTGCGTTGCCACGATGCCGGGCTTCGACTTCTCCAACTTCAACCGCAACGCGGCTCTTCACGCCAGGGGTGTTCCCCTTCCCAAAGCGACCAGTACTGGTACAACAATTGTCGGATGTATTTACGATAATGGCGTTGTGGTATGTGGTTGACAATGACCCCGACACATTCGTGTGCGCCCGTCATCCAGGAAGCTCACAAGTACGTGATCGCAGATTGCAGCAGATACCCGAGCCACCAGTGGCCCTATAGTGGCAGACAAGGTACGAACACTCATCGACGGACTTCGGTCACTATGAAAACACGTTGCATGCTGTTTTCGCTTTACTCAATCAACTGCTAATCAATACTGGTGAACAGAACTGCGAGAAGCTTCACTACATCGCCCCGAAGATCTGGTGTGCCGGTGCCGGTACCGCCGCCGATACCGAATTCACCACCGCCCTCATCAGCTCCAATGTCGAACTCCACTCGTTATCGACAGGCCGCGACCCCCGTGTGATCACCTGCATGACAATGCTCAAGCAGCACCTCTTCCGATACCAGGGCCACATCGGAGCGTACCTGGTGGTTGCAGGTGTGGACCCGACTGGCGTTGGTCTTTACACTGTGCACGCACACGGTTCTACGGATAAGCTCCCCTACGTGACGATGGGATCTGGTTCTTTGGCCGCCATGTCCGTGTTCGAGTCCACTTGGCAGCCGGACCTGGACAAAGAGGGCGCCATCGCTCTCTGTTCCGAGGCTATCAAGGCCGGTATCTTCAACGACTTGGGATCCGGTAGCAACGTTGACGTGTGCGTCATTGAGAAGGACAAGCCGACTCAGTTGTTGCGAAACTATGAGAAGCCCAATGAGCGTGGACAGAAGGAACGCAACTACCGCTTTCCGCGTGGCACCACTGCTTGGTTGAACCAGAAGATCATCAGCAAGGAGGACATGAAGAAATATGTCACGGTCGAGACCTTGTCCGGAGACGACAGTCTGGCTGAGAAGATGGAGGTGGATTCTTAGATTTGGTGGTTGGCTCAACTAGGGATGCATGTAGACCGGTGGTCTTCTTTGAGGAAGTTTAATCTCCACTGGCTTTTGTATCTGACTATACTGTACCACTTTATTTATGACATGAAGGGCAATAGGCCTACTTTTGGAGTTTCAGTAAATGGAATTGTCAACTTCGTCACGAAATTGACCATCTTAGGTATTTCTATGCTTGGCATATTTGCAACCATCCAGGCCTCCGAAAGCCGAGGATGCGGGTATCTCTAATCTACATAGTTTGCGGTATTTCGTGATTGCTAAGACGGGCAGTAGCCTCAATCCCACTAGGAGTAATCTTCCTGCTGGATGGGTCTGCCTCGGGCGATCGTTGGTTCCGAGGTAAGCTCCCTCACGACATCGGGTCCCTCGAATTTCCTCGCGATCCAGAGAATGTACTCATATTGAGTTGGCGAGACCCGGCGGCCTTCACGACGATATCGCACAACACCGGCATGGTACATAGCCCGAACCAAGGGTGGGTGTACGGGACCACCATGTCGGCGCAGATAGCCGTAGAGCCAGTGAATAAGGTGAAATGACCGAGAGGGAGTAAGTTGGTTGCAGCAAGAGAACACAACGGCCAGTTGGTGGACGAAATCGACAGCGGCATATGGGTCAGGACACTGGCTGTCTCGAGGCCCTGGGTGATAGCGAACCAGCGCTTTCTCGTCGGAATGAGGAATGGGTTCCCAGGCCTTGTGAAGACAAAGCTGAAAGGGGATATGGTTGCTGAGAAGTCGTAGGACAGACCACACATGCTTCGAGTCTCCTGTTCTGGCAAGATGAAGACATTCTTGAACAGAATCGGGACTAGTCAGGTCCATTTTTCGAAACATTTGTTCGAATGTACCATGGAAAAGGCCTCGAACCCCTCGATAGGTAGAATGGTCTGTCCAGATGTCTGCCAAGGACGTCTGGCCAGTCTCCAGTCGCTGAAGAGTTTGCCGAGTGGTCTTGGAAGTCAACTTCCTCAGCTTGAGGTCAACAGCCAACAAAAGAAGACTGTTGTATGGAAGGTCTAGGCGCTGAACCCCGGCCATAAAATCTGACAGAAAAGACCCATCAGTCTTCTTTGCACTTGTTTCGTAGAGATTTAGCAGGAAGCAAATCGGCAGGTCCGTTGCTCTGATAGCTTGGTTGTACATCGGACCCAGGGTCCTGCTCAACGTTCTCAGGGCCCAAAGGCGCAAGACGATCTGGGACTGAACTGATAGACTCGAAAGAGAGATTTCAGTTTGCTCCTCTGAACTATGCATGTACGCCAAAGGCATATCAACCCATGTCTGTGAGTTTGAGATGGCAACAATGTTCGAGACCTGTGACAAGCACTCTCTCCATCGCTCAAGCGATCGCTGTCGAATGGCCGTGTTTGATGAGGCTGAGGACAAATATTCGGTCACATCAACTATACACTTGGCCGCCAAGTCCGCATCAATTCGGTCCAGAAACACGCTGGCGTATGAGATAGATTCCGCGGCGTCAGATTTGTCCGTGCGATTAAGATGCTCCGTAACCAGTACCGAAGGCCATGCAGTATCAGAGCTTGCATCGTGCGTCGCTATGACAATTTCCTCGGCGAAACGGACACAACCAATGCGCATGACTTCTTCAAGCCAACAGTCTGTGATTTTCATATCCAAATCACGATAACCGAGGATGTTGCATCTTCCAACCGCTTTCCACAGGGACCGATAGTGTTTGAGTAATGTTTTCTGATCCCATTCACCCAAGGCTTTGTTGCGCTCAACGAGTATTTTCGGGAGAGTTTGAACAATCAAACATAACTCGTCAGTAGGTACCAAGCCTAGTTCCAGACCGCGGGCTACCGCGTTTAGAATTGCGGTTCGACTCGCTCGTTTCGCTTTGTGACGCACGAAGTACTCCACGGCAGCAAGGTAATTCCCAGAACCCCATGTGTTCAAAAACGGATCCTCAAGAAACTTAATGGGTTGTGACAAGTCTCTTGGCGAACGTTCAAGCAAATGGTCGAAGATCTGTCTGCTGAATTCAGGCTCTCGCTGAAGATCGATTTCCAATTGGCGTACAAAATCTCGAGCATCTTCAATCACACAGTCATCCCGTTCCAGAAGTATTTGCAAGGCTCGAGTACGATTTGTAGAGTTCATCTTGGGGGTCGGCGGGTTGTCGTGCGAAACCAATGGTTCGAGAGGTTCAGGGTTGTGATCATAAAAGGGCAAGGGAATCTCGGAATACCCGCGGGCGTAACTATTGGAACCTTTTCCGGAAGTTAGGCTCCTGATATGCACGCTTGCACTCTCGCTGTTGACATACCTAGGTTGTCAGGTTGTGTTCGCTGCCACTGATGATCCGTCCATTTCATGTGCTCGCGGCCATTGCGCCCAAATAAACACGCAATGTCTTCCACCGGACCACCTCCTATACCAGCAAGTGCTGTATTTCTCCTTTTCGCAAGGCGTCTTCGTGCTTCTAGCGGCCCAGGGACGCAGCTGCCATTGCGTCTTTGCCCGTTTGCGAAGCGACGGAACGTTGTCGTAAGTAGGTCATCGCTGATCCAGAGATGATCGAGACTCGGGGTCGAGGGTGGTTTTAGCGCATGCCGACAGGCATGCCTACCGAAAGACATGAGTCGAACAATGGCGCATGCGAGCCCAAGTCGTGGTTACGAGGTCGGGGAACACCACAGCGTCGACTTTTGGCAGCTTCGCGGGTCGGCGGGTCTTGGCATAAGCTGACTCATCAGATGTACTGTGCCAAATGGCTGGTCACGAATTAGCCGCGTAAGGACTCGGACAAATCTGAGTACATGCAGCACTATCTCAGGTACTTAATTCGAGGCGGAGGAATTCAGTATAAAATGAAAATCTTGTTGAGGAGAAACAATTGTACTTTGTGGATATCTTTCTATTGTGAAATATTTTCATAATGCATCAAACATATACAGCGTTATCCACCGTCCACATTACTTGAAGGCAGTATTCATCCCATTCTCCCCGTCAGGATCTGTTGATGTTGTGGTCATTGAAATAAGAAATAGCTTTCCAATCCCGAATTTAAAAGGAAGAATAATCCAGAAAGGAGAAAAAGAAAAAGAAATTCAAGTGCAACCATGCGCCAAAAATGCCATGCATGCAGAATGCTGTTCTCCCGCCAATGGTATCTCATGCTTATCATCACAGAGCAGACATCGGACGATATTTAAGAAAAAAGTGTCGAGTGTCGCAAGGTGAATGAAGTTGATCATTTCATTCGTTGGTGTCGTTCAAGCTTTCTCCTCTCCGGGATGAGGTTTCCTCCCAGTCACAACGTAAAAGTCCATGTACGCATGCACATTTCGATCCTGGATACTCTTCCGCACATTCACGAGAAAGACTTCGATCTCCGCTTTCGACCATCCAAGCGCAAGAAACGGCTTATATGACCAGCCGGACAATGCTTCAAGCCAATTGCTCTCGCTCCATTTTCCGACTTCACTCAGATGATCGTCTGTCGGCCAGGTATTCACCGGAACCTTGAAAACTCGTTGCTGAACATCGACAAAGCCTACCTCCTTCATCCATCGTTCAATTCGCGGGGCGATCCGAAATTGCCTCGCTGGCTCAACCTCCTGGCTGGAGCGCATGTTCAGATCGAACCAGTCATGTAAGGCATAGGCGCTGTAGCCATCGGGGTTTTCGGGTGGCATGGTCCCATCGTCGCACTTTGGCTTCGGGTCCAATTCATGACATTCGACATATGCGCCCGGTTTCAGGTGTTTAAAAGTTTTCCTTAATAGTCGCTTAAATGAAGGCATGGCGCCAATCATATGGCCAATGTGGACGAAATCAAAATGGTCCGATTCCCATAGCCATTCATCTTCTGTGGCGTCATCGACTAAGAAATGAACATTCTCCGGGACTTCCGTGGGCTGTACTGGAGATAGGTCTGTTCCAGTAATTGCGGTCTTGGGGAACAAAAGAGCTGCAGAATGGCAAGGGACAAGAAATGAGTTTTCACGCACGTAACACAGGACCTGTTTGCTGGGAGTAAAAGATCATACCCATCTCAATTGGCCATATACCCGATCCAGTACCTATGTCGAGGATCTGCTTCGGCTCCTTCAGAGGAACATGGTATATTTTGCCTTCCATGACCAGTTTGAACATGTGGTGTTGCATGTCGAGGCGATCAAGCTCTTGCTCGTCATTGGGATAAGGATAGGCTTTTACCATGTGTGAGACGAGCTGGACGAGTCACGGGAGAGAATGTAGCCACCTACCTCCCTCATGGTACCTGTGATACCTTCGTCCATTCTCCATTGGGTAGTCCGTTACACTGTCGGTCAGCGACTGCGTATCACTGTTGCCGTTCTTGGTCAGTTTCCAAATTGGGAATATGAGCAGCGACAAGAGCACTCGGCGTGGAAGCGAGTGCTGTCGCGAAAAAAGAGACGAGTGGAAGGGGTTGTAAAATACCATTCGCTTTTTGTCTCCTGCATGCGCTCCGTCAGCATCTGAAGGTACCTGGTGTGATACATTGGTCGGAAATCCGCGTTCTCGGTCTGGGAGGAACACAATATGGTGGACATGACGCGGAAGGGTTGGGAGAATGGAAGAATGCAAAGGGCAGCTTACGGAGGATTTGGGGCCCATCCTGATCGCCTCATGTCTAAATTCGGAGGGATCGACCGAGGTGAGTGGGAATTGGACAGCCAACCCTAACGAGGGTGGGACAGAGAGAGCAACCGACGCCAGAATGGGCCGCTTGAGTCAACGAGACGCCTATCGTGCGTAACTGCGGTAGTCATATAACATCCAGGGCTCGGCGCTCCAATCACTGGTAACGAGCTGCCGGAATGGTGCACGTCGGCGTGGAGCTAGTCTTTAGTGAATGCGCAGGTTGGCCGGCGAATATGAATATGGTAATCGTCTATTTCATGTCCCACACTGGATCGACAGTCGCGGTGTGTGCACTGGCCACAAAGAATTTTGCAGGTCGAAGGAAAAAAGAGAAGACTGAATTGGGACAACGAACGCAAACGGAGTGGATTGGAAGGGGGTTATAACGGTGGTACTTCAATTCCATGTGCCTCCGGAGCCCGACAGCTTGGGTTAAGTTGTAATCTGGCAGGGCGGGAGGACGATCCGGACAACTATAAATCAGTCGCTGGCCGGCCGGGGATCGACATTGAAAAAGTCGTGGAAACCAAGGCCCGCAGGGGGTGGAAGAGTGGAGTCTCCGTGCATGGATGGGGTACAAAGTTGAGCAGACTATGAGCAGTGGGCATCCATGGACGTCAGAAGCATTGGCGGGGAGGAAAGACACTCGGGCGGGCCTGAAATGACGGGGGGAGAACCACCGGGCCTCGGACTGCAAAACGAAACAGAGGACAGAACTTGGAAGAACAAGAAAATACTCCTCGTAACCTTCGACCGAGCACTGTTGCTGTCTCGCTACCTAGATGGGACTTTTTGGGCCCATATACTTTTTTTTTTGGGAGGGGGAGGGTGTGATCATTGGCATTGATCTTCACGGAGCCGAAATACACGATACACGGTATAAAACACCCATCCCATCCTTACCCCGTTGGGGTTCGAGCGCGATCCCCGGCTTAGCGAAGTTCGAAGTGGAATCGACCCTCCCCTACTTGGCCGGTAACTAGACCGACGCGGGCGTTCCAGGACACCGGAGTCGGGCTCCGCGCTCATTTGGAATCCTCGTGGGTTTTCGGTGGCAGAGGGGCCGCGGACCCTGAGACTACATTGGATCGACCATGCATTTGGGCCGTGCCAGAATTTTATTTGCGTTTTTGGATTTGATTTTCTGGGTTTCGATTTTTCATCTAAAGACCCCGAATAATAGTGAGTAATGGCAGGAGTTTTGCAGAGGAGAGATCGACCAATGGCGGTTGGTGCCAGCAGGCTGGGAATTGGCAACCAGACCAGCCACTGCACGGCACCCTCTGCGTTGGATGTCGGGATTTGCACTCCAGAATCCGCCTTTCTCAAACAAGTGCACCGTCCCCTGCAGGCCCATCCCGGTCATCAATTACAATGAAAACACCCAGTCCAATCAGGATGAATAATGCTCGTGCCCAACTGGTTGGGTCTCCGGCAGGGTGGTGACCTGCCTAAAAAGGGTGGTGGGCGAAATAGCCTCCACTGGCAGCTGCCTTAAGACTGCAATCGATATGTGCCAAAATCTGTGCGCTAAATATCGCAGAGACTAAATACTCAAATGGGCTGGAGAGCGAGTGCGCGAGAGAAGAAAAAAGAGCCCGCTGCTACTAAACTAGATCGAGAGCCGAATGAGCAAGGCGATAACAAATCCCTGATCCGCCACTCAAACCGTGCCTCGCGGTGGAGCTGTCACGATGAGCACAAGCTGCGGTTTGCAAATCACAAAGAATCCTGACCGTGTCGCGATGCAGCGTCGAGTCGCGCCAAGGTTCCCTCTTTTGCCCCGTTCGGTCGTGGTGGAGGTCTTTTGATGGGACCCGAGCTGCAGGTGAGGACAAATCGAGTGGCCTGGCACCGACTGCCATGATGACGGGGTGGAGGGAAGTTCCGAAGAAGGTCTCCTTACACCTCGCTGGGGTTAGCTCTTCGCGTCTCCTGCCACATCGAAGCTAGCGGTGGGCGAGTTGATATGTCCAAATTCACGGGTGGACACCGAGCGCCTGGGCGTCGTCCCTCGGTCGCAATGCCACGCATCGTGCGTTAAACTTTTCCATCATTTGCACATTTACACATTTGCAGGTGGGCAGCAGTGGGCAATGTGCAAAGTATAAGCACACAAGTTGCAGCTTGAGTGGTTAATGCCGTCTTCCGTTATTTCGTACATACCCCGAGGCGTATACAAACAGTACCGCGACATGACACCAGAAAATGTCCCGTCATAGCTAGGGTATGTGTATAGGGCCGAGGAGGGGTTCCATGCTCTGTGTTCCCAGATCCCCCGTCGCCCGGGATCTGGAACGGCGGAAAATACACCCACCACCCATCGCAGGGGGTCTTCTTCACCAGTCCAGATCGAATGACTCGGTGCGTGCTGCAGGATGACGGTCGTCATGGTTCCCATCGACGATCCCTGTATATTAAACGATCCGTATCTGTTTTCTCTCAGGGTTTCCCGTGCTCCAGCAGAAATCCGGAGTCGCGCACCCAGATCTCTGACGAACGAGTTGTGCGATGGACATGCCGATCCGAACTCCAAGGGTACCCAGCCTTCTTTCGCGGTGTGGAAGTTGGACAAGCGAGCAAACACACCTGAAGGTGCCCCTCGTACGTGGCCCCGCGTTCGGGTAATTAATTGCCATTGTGTATGTGTATGTGTATTGCTATGATATTCGCGTCATCTGGGTTTTCATTACGAAGGCCGCATGACCCCTGTTTGGGAGAACAAGCGAAACAGGAGACGTCCTCGAGTCGGCGTTCGCCGGGGTGCATTGGCCCGGAGACAAGGACGGCACAACCTGAAAAAAGCAAAGCCGTGCAGCCGAGTCGACGCAAACAAAGCCAGGCCCAAGGAGCAAGGCTGCCATGGTGCTGGGATCCCATCCACAGGGCACCCGGGGTTTTTATTCACAATCGGACGAGTCAAAACCAGTCGCCCCGACCCGACTGCTGGGAAAGTGTACGGGTCCCATGCTGTCGGGACCGCCGGCGCAGGAGCCAATTTTCACAGAACGGGGCATGTGGACGATCAGGTACTTCTGGTCTGAATGTTTTATCATGTTGGGGACGTTTTCTGTCACCAGGAGTTGCGATCGCAGGATGCGTCGGTTTGTTGCGTGCATCGGAACCAGGACTCGTAGGCGAAGAGTCTCGGCGGTGGAGACCGTCATGTTTGGTACTGGAGGGCCTCGCATGGGGAAGCTGGTCAAAACACTGGGCTGGGAGCGTAGCGCCAGAGGGGAAACCTGGTTCACTTGCGCGGTGGGGCCGAGCTTCGGCTCCTCTGCGGTTAAAAAATCACAGCGCCATAAGAGGTTCGGCGGTCAACATGGCCTGGCGCTGTCTATCCCGGCTCGTCGCGGTTCCCTGGCCCCAGGGCCTGGTGGAAGCTGGGAATCAAACACGAGGTTGCACTGGCGGGGCCCTGGCGATCAGATGGTCCCCAGCTGGTATCGCGGCTGATGGAAGAGCTTAACCCGGGTGCCGGGGTCTGTCCGGAGGCAGTGTCATTTCTGTGGCTCATTCGTGGAAGGAGATCGAGCGAGATCTTGCCTTGGGTTGCATCAGAGGGGCCTAGGCTCTCCTGTCAGAGACCCATGCAATTGATGAGATGTACAAAATCTACCTGAAGGTATCTACTCGCCGGGTCATTTTGCCTGGTCCCCCGCTCTGTACTCCTGCAGCAGCCACAGGCGTTCCGAGAAGTTTCGTCCCTCCGCCGAAACGTGTCTCTATTCCGTATTATACAGTAGTTCGTTGCCTAATGATGTCTATACCAATACCCTACCGTAGGGTATGGTACTAAGTACGCGACTCGTTCATGCCGTCCTTCTAGACTAGCACCGCCAACCATGCTACGTGTCTCGACGTCCAAGGGCCCTAAATCCGGTAGCAGGATATTAGTTAGACCGCTTCAATGATAAATGCCGTAAGTGATTAGCGCATTCCCCACAGAACAGTCGAACATTATCATTAGAGAAGCGTAGGCGTATTCGAGTACTAGAGTTTGCTCGCGTACAGATGGTAATACTGTCGATGAAAGACATAGAACGAAACGGACTCACGTAGGCAGAGCGCGAACAATAGCGAAAACCCACACCCTGGATTCAGCCAGAAGCGTTCTTGCTTCATTATTGGGTCGTAGCCGGGCCTGCGCCCTGCGGGGAGGGCACAATGATGATCGCTGGCCCACCACGGGAACATCGAGGCTACACGCACGTTCCAACTGGAGAGACCTGGATGGGGCATTGTCGAATACTAGACTCGTATTGAACACGAAGAGGGCCATGGGAGGTGGTATTTGGAATTGCGGATGTGCGAAACTCTCCATCTGCTTTGCCCAAGTGGAGTCGCCGGCCAATCGGCTCGGCGTATAGACGGCATTGCATTAATGACACGGCTCGGTCGCTGTCAGCTGCAAGAACAAAGAAAAAAAATTCACGTAGATCAATAAGTGTCCTGCGACGGTATCGAACTCGCTGGCCCGCCAATGAAGTCGCCTCCTGCCGCTTTTCCAGATCGCCCAAGAACTGCTCCGAAGAAGCTCCACTGGAAGGGTCGGAGGAGCTCGAGGCGGCTCTACAAAATTACCCAAGCACCAAATAATGGCATTTGACACTGAAAGTGATTTGTCATTCTTCTGAGTCGATATCCCATTCAAATTGTGGTTCTGGAGCAACTCAAATCGCTATACCGGAGGGCAGGTCCATCACTGAGCACTACACAATACCACCACACAGTATGAGCAAGACCTCACCGGACAATCATGGACCACGAGTGACACCAACAAGTAACCAATCTTTTCTCTAATGAGTAACAGGAGTTCGCTCCTTGGAGGCGAAGATGCCCTCCATCGGCTGGATTTGGTCGGTTCTGTCGGATTTACAGGTAAGATGGGGCTCGGGATTGGATCTCGAGGACAAAAACAGGGGAAACAGCACATGCCTACCTGGTCGAGATTTGAATATCTGTATGGACCCTGGCTATCCCTTACTGATGAGTCAAGGTATGTGCAAATCCAATCAGCTGAGCAACCTTGTCCCACGGCCCATCTATCGTCCTTGATAATTAGCGCTCTGTCGGTGGTCTCTTGGCAACATGACTCGTTTCAGACCTGGAGGGAATATCCATGACATAACCGACACAGTTAGGATCTTGGAGTCGAGCTTCTCAAAATCGTGTTGCGAAGCATCTATAAATAGTTGTTCTTGTTGCATGCATCTGATATTTCAAGCCGAATCCTTGAATCGAGCGCTGGACTTCAGCAATTTCCTGGGCATATGAAGGACCCTGAGACCCAATCTGATCAACGCGAAGCGCCCGCCCCCCCCCCCCCAACATCAACATCAATATCGTAGCCCGTATTGTCTTTGGGATATCATCCTTTGTGGGGATGAGAGAAGCCGACCGTACATCGCAAAGATGCTGCCAGTGCTGGAGGAGTGTCATTATGATGAGATAGTTCTATCCGATTTCTTTCAAAAGTTGACAATAAATCGTAATATATGTGAAGCCTCCAATTGTCTTCCTTTTGACCCGAAGTGCTTTTATGGTATTTGCTTTTACACTGTACTAACAACTGGTCACTGTGACATTGGGTGAGATATGGGGTTGCAATGAGAAGATTGTTGAGTTTCTGGACAGTATGTGGATTTGAGACTCAAGGATCGGGACATCTAGCAGAGTTATCACCCCATAAAGTCTTGGCAGTTCTCAGGGAAAGGGCATGCTGACTTGGTCTTCTTTGGCTGGGTACCGCCGTTCCTTCTAAATGCAGTGTCGCTCGGTCTACATAATGAAATCAGAACGAGAGATTAGATTCTATAGATTCAGAGACACTGCACTAATGTACCTATTTCAACTTCCTTTCTCCGAATTAAGCGATCCTTATGTCGACGTGGTAGGAGTTTGGAGTTGAGCTAGATGACCTTTTTGTTGTTCCAAGGTTGTGTTTCGAAAGGTAAATTTATGGCAACAAGAGAGCGCCGCTGGCCAAAGACGCATATTTTATACTCCCAATGTTATGATTTAATCAAATATTAACCATTTGAGTCTTGCACTAGTGTACCTAGTGTACCTAAAGTAGACTACACTAGTGTTTCACGGAACACAAGACTGGCTAATAAGGGCACAGTGGCGCTTCATACCTGGTAATTATATGTGGTGGTGCGTGTTGGAGCGAATGTATATATTGTTAGGTGGGCCGGCTAGTAACCAAGCTATTAGCACTACACTATCCAGTGAAACTCACTTCAAACTCACACATAGTAGCTCTATAAAAATAATTCAGCCTTGCGACTTTCTCTCGTTCCTCCTTCCAACGTTCCTAACCTACTAGTATACACTTCCCTAAGGTGGTGTTGCGCGTCAAATTGTCTGCCTGGCAACGGAACCCCGGAGAAACCCAATTCCCGCTGGTTATGACGCATATCCGCCCCACCAATCAACAGAGTAAATGAATCTTACCAATGTCTCGCGTCTCGAATTCAGTACATTTCTCTGTTCCATCCACTTAAAGATTCTGTTCCACCATCGGCATCGTTGAGATCCTGGGACCCTTCACATTTGCGCTAGTTAGCGCGCGTGGAGCCCAGAGCAACACGCGACGCTATCGTTGATGCGCGGAGGAGTCTTGAGGAATGGAGCGCTATTCACTGGACCACTCTGTGAGGAAGGGCGCATCTCGCCGCCGCCGCAGGTCGAATTCAAAGGCGACAGAAGATGACCAGATTCCGGAGGTGTACAGACAGATGCTCGAGGAAGCCGAAGCTCGAGACCCTGGACAGTTCAATGCGGACAGGCCGATCAAGCGACGACGAGTGAGTCACTCAGATGATCCTCATCTTGCGTCGTCGCCCCTGAAGAGTGCCTCAGGAGGCCCTGAAAAAGATGCTGGACGAAAGATTCAGACTGTTTATGATTCGGCCGACTCAGACGAATCCGATGTTGAATGGGAAGACGTGGACATTTCCCACCCCACCCCGGGGCCTTCCAACGTCATGCTGGAAACCGCTTTACCTGAGAATCTTGAAATCACACTGCACGCACCAGAACTACGGAAGAAAACTGTTCAAAAGAGACAACCCGTTACTGCCGCCGAAAGAAGAATCCGTCTAGATATTCATAAAGCCCATCTCTTATGTCTTCTGGGACATATACACATCCGGAACCGATGGTGTAATGATGAAGAGGTTCAGGTGCGATTTGGATTGCTTGTGGGTATGCTTATTACAGCCCGCTGACACTTGTGTAGGAATTTCTGAAGCAGATACTCCCGAAACAAATCAAGACATTGCTGCACCCGGACGAAAGCAAGCCACAATTCATCAGATCTACAACCTTTGTCGACGGCCTCAATCAAGCAGGAGAGAGATTCAACCAGATATTTACAGTCACCAAGCCAGGTTTGAAACGTGCTCACTGGGCTGAGACCCCGTCGCAGCTCAAGAAGAAATTGGTACGTACCTCACTCGTGAACATCGCCCATACTTGATCTGAGCTAATGAGGGAATAGGAATCTATCATGTCGGGGGCCGAGGTATTCCTGTCAAAGGAGGATTTTCGATCGCAAGCCAAGACGATGCAAGGCTCTCAAGACTTCGGAGCACAATTATTCTGCGCCTTGTTGCGATCGGTCGCCGTAGAAGCGAGGCTTGTCTGCTCACTTCAGGTGCTCCCATTCTCAGGCACGTTTCAGGACACGACCCCATCTAAGAAAAGCCCGGAGTACACTGTGATATCATCCGACAGCCATGAAACCTCTACCGACGAACGCAAAGGAAGTGGCTCGCCATCCCTCCCGAGATCCCGACGTCTCGGACGACCCGAATTTAAACCGCGTCCCGCTCAATCGAAGATGCGTAAAGGTAAGTTGCTTGAACTGGTTTACGAGATCAAAGGTTAATTTTCAAAGATCCCGGTCCATTTATCCGAGAATCATCTTATCCGATTTTCTGGGTCGAAGCATTTAATGAGGCTATGCAGAGATGGGTTTCAATCGATCCCATGGTCACAAAGACAATCGGAAAGCCAAACAAACTCGAACCTCCTGCGAGCGATTTGTTCAATATAATGAACTATGTAGTCGGCTTTGACGGCGATTCCACGGCCAAAGACATCACTCAACGCTACGCAAAGGCGTTCAATGCCAAAACAAGAAAGCTTCGGGTCGAATCGACACCAGGTGGAGAAAGGTGGTGGAAGAACGCACTGGAACACTATGCGAAGCCTCTTCCCGAAGATAGAGATGCACTGGAAACCAGTGAACTGACAGCTCAGACGGCGAGGGAACCGATACCTCGCAATATCCAGGATTTCAAAGATCATCCCATTTATGCCCTAGAGCGCCATTTGCGCCACAGGGAGGTCATTTTCCCGAAACGTGTTATCGGTCATGTCGGGCTGAGCAAAACCACCCCGAACAGCCACAAATCGGATCCCATCTATCGCCGAACAGATGTACATACCGTGAGAAGTGCTGGGAAATGGTACATGTTGGGAAAAAATGTCAAAACGGGCGAACAACCTCTGAAGCACATAGTTGCCAAAAGACCCAAGAGTGCCATTGCCTTCGATAGTGACGATGAGGCAACTGCTGCTCAGGACACTGCGCTATACGCGGAGTTTCAAACCGAAACTTACCGGCCACCCCCGGTAGTTGACGGCAGGCTTACAAAGAATCCCTTTGGAAATGTGGATGTTTACGTCCCGAGTATGGTGCCTCCTGGAGCAGTTCATATCAAGGAACCAGATGCTGCTCGAGCGGCACGTATTTTGGGAGTGGACTATGCCGACGCTGTCACAAGATTTGACTTCAAAGGGCGTCAAGGAACGGCTGTAACGAAGGGCATTGTGATTGCTATTGAGTACCAAGAAGCCCTTGAAGAGGTACTGAGGGGTCTTGCCGATGACAGACAGCAGGCCGCCTTCGAAGCAAGAAGTGCAGAGGCCATCCGACTCTGGCGGTTGTTCCTAGTCAAACTCCGTATCGCTGAGAGAGTCAAAGAATATGCAGGCGAGGATGAGCGTGCAGATTCGCAGCTCGCTTCAGACACGGGCATGGGCGAGGATGAAGCTGGTGGAGGTTTCTTCCTTGAACCCCATCAATTTAAGCTCAGCCCACCGTCATCATTTAACAGGAACAATAAATACGAGTCAACCATGGTCACCAATGACCATGAGGATGAAGCCCCAGGAGGAGGCTTTGTTCCCGACGAAGACGCTCTGGAAGACGGACAGGCCGGACTTGCAGATTTATCTGCTCAAGACAATGACGACAGAGAAGGTGGCTTTATCTCGGACGAAGCTCGACAAGATGACCGAGCTGCGATATCTCTATCGACTACGAACGCGCCTTCAAGCCCGGAGAGCGCCAGGAAGACTAGGCCCTCTAAAGCTTCTCGGTATGAGCTGATAGTGGTCCCCAAAAAGCCTGTCCCAGAACCTGTAGGGTCAGTGATGCAAAGTTCGAAATCCCGAGATCTCGAGGGCACGTCCGCACAAGATCCTATTTCCGTCGACTCGTCGACGAACGCCGATTCAAAGTCTGTCAGTTTGGAACTCGTTTCGCGGCCGCCTTCTGCAGGACCGCAAGTACCTAACTCCCCAGCACCCGAAGACTCGGATAGCGTGATCTCTAAAGGTTCTCGAATGACTGAGGATCCTGACGATGAGGATGCTATCCCGCTTTGGCTCATGTCTGACGAGGAATAAATGGTGGAGTGTAAGATATGGATGGCGAATTCGAAGCAGACCTTAGCCAAGCTGGATCAATCAATACGAATTTATGAACATCTTAGGGTAGTTTAATAACAATATTAACAACTATCCTAGCCGTAGGATATTTTCCAGCCTCCATTGTAGCTTACCGTGGATACAAACCTTAGGGTAGAACTGAGTTTGCTGCCTTGATGCCTGATACAGAAACCACTTGACGCGTCGGCGCGGTCGGCCTTACCGATCAGGCAACAACGGAGTCAAATGTCATTTCTTCCGCCTTTATCAAGCTGTTCATGTCCAAGCCCTCGTGTTTCTGCAAGCAGGATTGCGATGACACAACAAAAAGGGTCAGATCAAAACCCAGACAAATCCAAAGACCTGTTTCGTACCCCGAAAAGACCCAATTCCCTGGCGACATCCCGAACGTCAAAGAGCACGAATGCGAAACGAACAGCGTCACCAGGCGTATCGACACCCGTGCAAGCGTCTAGAAGAGGCTCAGCACCACCGACACGGGCTCAATCAACCCTTACACAAATAGACTTTGTTCCGAGACCGACACACCCAGACGATGGCGAGCTCAAATATGTCGAGGCAGCTGAACCCCGCGGGTCAACGCACGAAGGACACGAGTCAGAGCAGCTAGACAACGGATCCGAAAGCGATACCGATTATCGACCACCCGTGCGGACTCGGGCAGGCTTCACAAGATTTGAAATGAATGACGACCATCCCAAAAGACGAAGAAAGGGTGACGCGGTGGGAAATCGGATAGTCGGACGAGGCCACAGTGTTCGAAGGAGTCAGACGCCCAAGGCAAGCGCGTCCGGCAAAGGCAAGCGAAAGTCTGTGGGGCCTTCTGCTACGAAGCGTGACAAGACCCTCACGCAGATGGATTTTGTGAGACGTTACATCACGATAGATGATTCCGATGATAATGATGTGAACTTGGGATATCTACAGCCACCTTCCCACGACACCGACAGTGCCGCCAACGCTATCACCAAGAAAGAAGAACAATCACTCACTGTCGATAGCAAGACAACAAAATCAGAGCCAACCCCTGCGAAACGAAATCGAAGGGTTTTTGAACAAGATTTGGACCTTTCTACCGGGGAGCCCATCACATCAGGCGACACCCAGAATACGAGTATACAAGACGGCCAGCCGAGTCATCTAGCCCCCGAGAGACTAGTCCTCACACCTCAAAAAGCACGGAAATTCGAGATCCCCTCCTCACAGTCTCCAGAAAGCCCTGGCTTGGCAATTATTACCTCATCCCAATTCCGTGGTGCCACGCATTCGCATACAAAACGAAAGCCCTTGTTCTTGGCACCACAAGTCGGTGCAATCAAGGAGGAAAGCCCAGATCCTCGACGAGTGGTTGAAGATTCACAGGATTTGGAAGATACGTCACAGCGAAAAACTCCAACACGGCCCCCATCAAAGATAACCAAGCCATCTCGACGAGAATCGCCCATGTCCACGAATGCAGCAGAACTGGCCTCCCCAACACAGCATTCCGCGTCCGCAGAAATACTGGCAGATGCCCAGGAATCAAAAATCCGGCGGAGCCAAAAAGAGAGAACTGTGATATACGAAACCGATGCGGAGTCAAATTCAAGCGAAGATGACGAGATCGAAGATGGACCAAAGTCCCCGATTCTGGCATCAAAATCACGGAAATTTGTTTCAGATCTTGTGGAACAAAGTCCGAGTTTACCAAGTGATGACTCTCAGGAGCTGCCGCTGCCGGACACCCAACCGCCGGCCGATATGGGCTTTGATCCACCCTCCGAGCTCCCCATGTCAGATGCCTCGGCGTATTACCAAAGGATGCAGCCAGCCACCCAGTTCCCGCTTGAGCCTGTCCCAGCTCTGAACACGCAAAAGCTTTCCGAGCTATTCCCCAATGAGGGAAACACTCAATATCTTCAGCCAAAACCCACGCACTCTTCTCAGAATTTACCGGGCCCATTTTTGCAGTCACAGTTGCAGGGCCAAGACCTGGACCAGACTGAGATGGTACCTGAATCCTCTCCTGCTCGCGAACAAGAGAAGAGCGTGGACAAGCCTGACGATGGTTTTCAACGGCCTCGTGCCCCGGGATCTGTGGTTCAAGTCGAATCATCCCAGCCTGTGCGCCGCGTGGACCATGGATCTGGCAATATTCTATCACGTAGTCAACTCCTGACGTCGAGTGTGATGGAGAGCGTGGCTCTTCCTTATTTTTGTACGGGAAGTCAGGACAGTGTAGGGGAACCTTACAGTCTGCCTGACCATTGAGATCATTAGATGCATTACGAAATATACCCTCATATGAAGCATTCAATACAATTACCATTTGCCAAAGCAAATTTTGCCAAGCCTTCTCCATTCGTATCACTTGAAGCTCAAAAGTCGTTGATTTAATTATGCAGATCTATGCGGGTTGTTGAGGGTAGTTGCGTCTGCCAAGACGAGCGGGGCGGTCGGGCCGTCGACGAACGCGGAGTTGCGACTTCAATTGTTGTTTCGGGGAGATCTTTCCTCCGACAACACACCATGGATATCGCATACGACCACATCCAGGAGGAGATCCTTACTTCTCAGCAGGAAGAGGGCTCCTCCTCCTCGAACACGAACAGCGACAACAAAAACAAAAACATCGACCTGAATTCCGAGCTGCAAGAGACCTTCCGCGCCTTCTCCGCCAGTCCGTGGGGCACCCGAATCGGCGGCCTTTGGGACAACGTGCGCAAGCAGGGCGAGAGCTACTATGAGGGTGCCCGCCAGGAATATTCTGCGGTCAGTGAGGAGGCAGTGAAGGGCTTTTCAACCCTGAGGGACAGCATCGTCGACCAAACAAAGGGGCTCTCGCTCAGCACCGCAGCCATGGCGACTAGCGGTGAGGGATGCAATGATGAAGCGGCTACACCAACGGCTACGAAAGGAGGAGAGGCAGCTGGGCCCAGCGGGGAAGGGTTCATTTCGCGGTTCAAAGCTGAGGCCGCTCGGCGACTGAAGGAGATTGAGAAGGCCGAGGAAGCCGCAGATGAGGCCATAATGCGGTTCGGAATGAACATTAGCCAGAGGCTGCGCGAAGCTGTCAGCATTGTGCCACCTGAGACGGACGAATCGGGGAAACTTCTTTTCGAGAGCAAGGACGCCGATGGCAAACGTGTTATACATGCAACCCGGTTCGAGGCACAGCTGCACGTCATCCATTCAAACCTCGAGAGTTTCACCAAGGAGCCTGCTAGCGACAAATTCCCGGAGTTCAAGAAGGAGTTCAATGTTGAGAGCAAGACAGACGAAATTGCTGCCGACCTTGAGACATACCCCGAGTTGCGAGCGGCCATGGAGAAGGTCGTCCCAGAGACTGTCGAATATGCCGAATTTTGGACCCGTTACTACTTTCTGCGCCTGGTCATCGAGACCGAGGAGAAGAAGCGCAAGGAACTATTGAATGGTTTGTCATTCAAACCGTGAGTCTCATGTTTTATGTTCATGCTAATGTTTACTGGTGTCAAAAGGAGCCAATGCCGAAGAAGAGGAAGAGATCGGCTGGGACGATGACTCTGACTCTGAGTCCCAGTCACCCTCTACCCCCCAAGTCCAACCCGACTCTAAGAAACTCGCTCCTCGCAACGATTCCCCGAAGGCTGAGTCCCGAAATTCAAATGATCTCCAGTCACAGGCAGACAGCGAGTCGAGTTACGATGTTGTGAGCGGTGCCACCAGCCGGAACCCTGGTAGCCCGAAGGAAAAATACCCGAATACGGATTCAAAGGCGGATGATAGCGACGAGGACTGGGAGTAATTGGTTTTTGAACCAGAGCCCACAACAAGGACCTCGCTATAGTCATTATTGAAGTCTGTTTAAGCGTGGACCTCCTGCTTCCGGGTTTGAAAAGAACTCGTTTGCCTGTTCACTGATTCTCTTTGCTGGTTGTGCGGGAGTTTGGTTCTGACTGTTTTTGGTTCATGAGCGTTATATGGACTCCTGTTTAGTACTTATTCCCGGTCTCGTTTCTCCCTACCTAGACCTCAGCGATTCATTTCCTGTGTATCTTCTTTTGATTGTTCAAACCACCAAATGTGCACATTGATTGCTTTGTTTACATATCCCTAGGCATAAAGCTGCGAAATGCAGCTTCGGTGCTTCTCTTCATTATCCATCATTTAGGTTATCGGTATTAAATGTAATGTTGATCGAGCGCTGAGTGTGGATGAGATGCTGTTTCATTTTGCTAAGTGAATCATGGCAAGACCGCTGGGAATAGCACGACAGCAAAGTAATCCATCAGAAACATCTTGTTACTTTGCAGATCATAATCATACAAATTCCTGGAAAAGACAAACCCACGCCTATTCGGCCGTGCCAGTTCCAGCGTCTTCATACTTTGCAGGAGCAGTTTTCTTTGCCAAGGGCGAGCCGTGTCTCGAATGACCACCATCAGAATACGCAGGGGTCATGCCACGCAAACCGCTAGGATTCCGAACACCAGGCGATCCTCTCCGTGGCGGAGTCTCGGGGGTGTTCTCTCTGGACCGAAACTGGAAGCCCCTTGGCGTATCACCTCCAGGCGAGTAAAGCTGATCACCTTCCCGTGGGTAGGCGGAAGGACTATCAGGGCCCCAGGTGTACTGGTAGTCCTCGCCGCGTCGTTTGACAGGGCTCTCGTCATACGGATCCCATCCAACACGGCGGCGTGCCTCGGAGCGGAGGCGTTGACGGTGCTGTTCGTCACCACCAGCACCGGTGGTAGAAGATTCCTCAAGGAAGAAATTGAGTAATTCGTCACTAATAGCAAGATGGGGTTGTTGCTGGAATTGTTGGAGGGATGTCAGGCGGAGGAGGATTTCGAGGAGGGAAAGATTCGTTTGGACTTTCTGGGCAATTGGGTTGAGCGTGGCCCCTGCAGGTTGAGATGACGATTCCGCGCGGGAGATAGACGAAGATGGATTGTCCTTCTCGTCGTTCAATGATAATTTCTCCATTTTGTTTGGGTCAATGGGCGACTCTCGTGCTGGGGTATTGGATGTGTCAGGTTCGGATTCGGTGTCTGAAGTTTCCTCGTCGTGGTAGACCTCAAATGCAATCCATTCTGGGTCCAGGCCTGAGGGGAGTCGCCGCTCCTCAGGAATAGAGTCTTCGTGGAGGTAACCGAAGCTCGAATTCTCCGGATCGCCGCCCCCACCACCTAGCTGTGAGTCCAGTTGCGCTTGCTCCTCATCGACAGGTTCCGCACCAGATTCATCCGGGGCATATTCATCTTCGACATCCTCGCGTTCCATCATTCGGCGTGGTGGTAATGCATTGAGATCTCTCTTCAGAAGCAAAACCGGGTTATTTGTTTCCCCATCGCTACTGATGTTGAGGATTCTGCTCGTGTCTGCATAGAAAATTTTGGATATTTGGTGAATCGGCAGAATCTCTCGGCAACCAGCACTCTCAACCCCTTCATATTCGTGAGGCTGTGGTTCATTATCCTCGAATGTATGGACTCTTCCGTCATCCAAGTCTTCAACGAGCAGGAGTTGGTAAGCATACTCGTCTGCACGAACCGGGGCTTCGAACTGCGAGGATTTGGATCCTTCGTTCGCGTAGTAAAGCTCCATAGGAACCCGTCGGAGTTTAATTTGTGCTTTGTGTATGACCTCTTTCCATGTTGCCTCGCGAACAGATTCTTCATCATGTGGTCGCATGTGTCCAGCGAAGAGCATGTACATAGACAGTGTAAACGTTGGTCCTATTTGCACTGCCTGCGATTGTAACATGGAGTATTGAGTATCGCCAGCATTCAGAAAAAAGCTTGATTGCAGAAGCCGTGATGGTGAGACAGTTGACGGAAGATTGGTAGACAGCTTCGCACCCGAAGTCGTTATGGCCAAGTTTAAGAGCGGTACTGCATCCTCGATTCTGGCGAGGAGCGTTTTGGTATCTCTGATGACTAGCTTGATTTCCGCGGAATTGTGAGTGGAATCCTTGGAGTACCTTGAAGCCTTGCGCTTGGCTTCTGAAGACGAGGCCGCTCTTGCCAATCGTTGTCCAAGAGCTTGAATATCCCACCGAAGGGACTTGGTAAGAGCAACAGACGATTCGAGCGAGGTGTTTCCACGGGCAGCACTATTGAAAAGTTTAGCAAAGTGAAAGAATACGGTCAATAGAATAACTTATGAGCTCACATCAACTCAATCATGTCAATGGCTGGTGAGATGACCTTCGAATCGAATTAGTCGCTGTCGCCCTGGCGCCAACTTCTCGGCTTCCGCATACCTGGATCTTGCTGTTCAAACGTTGCTGTAAAGATTTCAACTCCTCACGTTCTTCACCATCTAGATTCTGGATAGAATGCATTCTTAGCATTTCGACCTGCAGCTAAGTGATTAGGCTTGGCGTACTTTTAGCAAACGCGCAGACTGGCGCATAGCATATGTCGTCGTTATCGCAATACCGGAGCTTTATAAAGCGTTAGTACAAAATTGCTTGACCAGAAGTGGAAGATTTTCAGCATACCGCATGGCATAGTTCATTGCCTGCTGGGTCAGCTGTCCGTGAGACGTTGATTAGAAGATCCGCCAAATGATGCAATGGGATTGGTAAATAATAGACGCACGCGAGTCAGAAACACGTCCATTTTGACTGTGAGTCGCGTGAAAGAGAGGAGATCTCAGAAAAATTCAAGAATATTGGGCCGGGGGGCAGCTCTGATCACCCCCTGAAGCAACGACTCGGAGCTTTCAGACGGCTCAGAGTGGTTTGGGTCAAATCGAATGGAGGGGAGCTTATCGATAGATCTGCCCGACGGTGCCCCAAATTTAATTTGGCGTTGGGAGACGAACGTCGCCACGAGGGCACGCCCAATTGGGTGAGTCACACGCCTGGGTTAAAGAACGGGACAAATTCCGCGACTCGGCTCAGGTTTGGTAGAGTCCAATAAAGCTCAGGGACAATCGTCGAAAGAATTACCTGCACCATACAGGTCACCTGACCGACAGCGGGGAGCCGAGCTGACTCAGCAATCTTGCGCATTTGATTTTGCACCCCTCAATCATTGTTAGACCATCCACCTTCGACTTCCGTGTCGTCTTCCCCGTGTCCTTGATTGCGTCCCGGACCCTCACTTCCACGATGTCGAACCAAACCCCCGAGTCTTGGGAGGATGAGCTCTCGCGGCAGACCGAGGGTGTCAACCTGAACGCACAATCGCGCCCTCAGGCGCAAGCGCCAACATTTACTCCTGGAGCCGCTTCCTTCACTCCTGGAGCTGCTTCCTTCACGCCAGGAGCCAATGCCTTCGTTCCAGGACAGCAATATCAGCAATATGGTGGCGGTTACCCCTATGCCCAGTATGGCCAGCAGAACTACGGCTATCCCCAGCAGCAGGCCTACGGCCAATACGGCGCATATGGCCAGCAACCCGGTGGCTACAACCAGTACTATAACCAGCAGCCTGGTGGTTTCCAGCAGCAGCCTCGCCAGAATGCCCCTGCTGCTGCGCCTCAGGAGCCCGCCCAGCAGGCAGCCCCTACCCAGTCCGCCCCCAAGCCCGCCGCTTCTGCCGCTCCCCCTAAGGCCAAGGTCCTGTCCATCGGCGCCACCACCTCCACTACCGCCCCTAAGACCAAGGTTCTCTCCATTGGAACTCCTACCGCAGCCGCGAAGACAGACTCCACCTCAAAAGGTGACTCGAAGGGACCTGCAGCTGCTGAGGCTGGCGCCAAGGTCGCCGCCGCAAAGGCAGTTGAGAAGACTGATAAGAAGGCCGACCCCAAGGCTGCCGCGAGCGGCAAGTCTTCGCCCACTCCTTCCACAGGCCGCTCTAGCCCGGGTCGTTCAAGCCCGGCTCGCGGTGCCGAAGCTGCGAAGGCCACCCGTGACGCCAATGCTGTTGCTAAGCAGCAGGCGGCCGATGTCGACGAGGCCACTCTGAAGGAAATCTACGGTGAGAAGCGAGAGCACGTCAACGTCGTCTTCATTGGTCACGTTGATGCTGGCAAGTCCACTCTGGGTGGTTCTTTGCTGTACTGCACCGGCATGGTGGACGAGCGAACAATGGACAAGTACAAACGCGAAGCCAAGGAGGCGGGTCGTGAGACATGGTATTTGTCATGGGCGCTGGATCTGACCAACGAGGAGCGCTCCAAGGGCAAGGTAAGCTGAATTACCCAGCACCTCTGATTCTTCGCGTGTTCAAAGCTCACATACAATTAGACTGTGGAAGTCGGACGTGCATTTTTCCGAGTCACAATCCCCGATCCCGATGGTCCCATCACCCGCGAATTCTCCATTCTTGATGCTCCCGGTCACAAGTCATATGTCCCACATATGATTGGTGGTGCCTCCCAAGCCGATATCGGTGTGCTCGTCATCTCTGCCCGTAAGGGTGAGTACGAGACTGGTTTCGAGAAGGGTGGCCAGACCCGTGAGCACGCTCTGCTTGCTCGTAACACCGGTGTCGCGAAGCTTGTGCTTGTTGTGAACAGTAAGTTTCCCTTGGCGTTCTATTCTCTTAATATTCAAGAAATTTCGAGTCTTGCTAACATGCTTTCAGAAATGGATGACCCTACTGTCGAATGGTCTAAGGACCGCTTCGATGAGTGTACCGTCAAGGTTATCAAGTTCTTGGAAGCCCTTGGCTACAAGAAGACCGATATCTTCTGCATGCCCATCTCTGCTCAGCGTACCGTTGGTATTAAGGACCGTGTTTCGAAGGAGCTGTGCCCGTGGTACGATGGACCATCTCTGTTGGAATACTTGACCGACTTCAAGCTTCCCGAGCGTAAGATCAACGCTCCTTTCATGATGCCGATCAGCGCCAAGTACCGTGATATGGGCACTATGTGCGAAGGCCGCATCGAATCTGGTGTAGTCAAGAAAAACAGTACTTACATCATGATGCCCAACCGCAGTGAAGTCCAGGTTGCCGCCCTTTATGGTGAGACCGAAGATGAGATCCCGAATGCTACCTGCGGTGACCAGGTTCGCATGCGTCTACGTGGAGTGGAAGAAGAAGATTTCTATCCCGGCTTCGTGTTGTGTTCCCCTAAGCGCCCTGTTCACTGTGTGTCTGCCTTCGAGGCTAAGATTCGTATCTTGGATCTCAAGAACATTCTCACTGCCGGTTTCAACTGCGTCCTCCACGTCCACTCTGCCGTCGAAGAAGTCACTATTGCCGCCTTGCTCCACAAGCTTGAGCCTGGCACTGGCCGCAAGAGCAAGCGCCCTCCTCCCTTCGCCAATAAGGGCCAAACTATCATTGCTCGCATCGAGGTCACCAGCACTGCCGGTGCCGTCTGTGTCGAAAACTTCGCCGACTACCAGCAGCTCGGACGTTTCACCCTTCGTGACCAGGTATGTTTTTTTATTTTCTTTCTTTCTTTCTAGTCTTCCAAGGAGCCTATACTAAATTGTTTTATTACAGGGTCAAACAATTGCTATTGGTATGATCACCAAGCTCATCTTGCCCGACGGCGAGGCATAAATGATTCCTTAAAAAACAGTTCCGGCTGTTCATATATCCCCCCGATATAAAAAAAGCAGCAATCAAAAAAGGTATCACGAGTCGAGGTTGCTTTTGGGACCTTGACACAAGACCACTGAGCTTGAGAAGCCTCTGAACAGGGAGGTATGGGTGGGCAGAGGTCGTACGATGATACTCGACAAAAGTCTCGTTTTCTTGAGACTAACGATGATGAAATTTAACGCCTTCCGCATAGAATATAGCTTTTCATTTGCAATCAAAGGAAGCATTTGTTGAGTATATGATTTCCTTTTCCAATTATTTCCTAGCCCTCCACCAGTTGTAGAATTTGGGACTTAAATCAAAAGTTGTCTCAACATCACGACTGAAAGTATCACGTATTCATGCCATTGCTACCTGGGTATATACCTGGGTATGTCTTAGCCCACGGCGGAGCCTATCAAACAACACATAACATCGTACAAAAGGCATCACATAGGCGCAAGTTTACCTCTTCTTCTTAACCATAGTGAAACCATCTTCATCAATCTCCGGTTCGGCCTTCTCTCTCGGAGCTTGCACCAGCGCAGGAGCATCGTCCATGTCAACATCGCCCACATCGTCGTCACTCTCATCAGTCTCCTGGTCCTCATCCCGAGTTTCGACCTGCTTGAACATGGCCGCTGAAGCAGACTTCTGCTGGCTCTTTTTCTGCCACGTCTCCCACAGCTCCTGAATAACGGCGAAGTTCCCACGCTCAGCTTGCGCCTTCATTTCCATAATCTCATCGGCAACATTGCCGGCGCTTTCGTCGTCCACCACGACATCGAACTCGTCGTTCATCACCTGAATCAAAACGTCCTCGATATCCTCGGCGTCTGTTTCCGGACGTTCGGTCAGCATTTCGGAGATAGCACCGCAGAGCCAGTCGCGCTTGTCGTCGGACTTGGGACCTCCCCAGTTCGATTGCACAGCCAGTGTGAGAGCAGGCCAATTGTTTAGAGCGAGAGTGATGCCAAGATCAAGGTAAGAGGCGGCGTCGGTGGCCGGAGGGCCGTTCGATGATTGTGCGTCCATTTTCAAGTGATTGTGTCTTGCTTCGTTTGTGAAAGTCCGAAAGGTCTTGATGCCCCGCAGAGTCGGTGCGGGAGAGGAACAAAAGATCTCGAGGAGGGCAGACTGCGGCGAAGAGCGTAATATCTGTGGAAAACAATAACGAGGGTCCTTTTATTCTTTATCGTCCGAAAGTGGACTGCAGGGAAGAGAGTGAATGCAGAATTATCCAGTGCACTTTGTGTTCGTGATGCGCCGACCGTCCCAAAATTTCGAAATTTGAGCCGCGATTAGATATGATAAGAATGATCACGTGCCCAGATACATCACTTCCACCAGCTGCCGCCCGACGAATCTCGAGTGCTTCAGTTGCTTTTTCCACCGTGCCCAATCGTTACGTTTCTGAGTTGTCAAATGATAATTGTTACTGAGCTCGAAAGGAAAGAACTGTATCACAAATGCCAGGTTCTGAGTCCCAAATATTGGACAACGCTGTCAGATCTCAAACATGTAAGAATGGGTACGGCCAGGGAATTTAGTTTGACGTACAAGTAGAATACCTGAAAGGCGAGGGGTATGGCCTGATGCACATTTATATGACTATAGCAGCCCGCGAGAAAAATACTAGTAACCGGCCCCACGTAATTTTTACCTTGTTGGCTACGTTGCATCAAATATCTGGAAGGTCTGGTTCCCTCATCTAGGCATGGTGCATGAGGTTAGAGACGTTGTATTCACCATCTTATGTAATGCAGGATGTTAGGCAGACGTTGCCGTGGGCTGTCCCTGAGTATAGTGAGGAAGACGAGTACTCAGGGGCTCCACCATCCAGCAATGCACAAACACAACCCGAGGAGAACAATTCGAGTCTTCAACAGAACAATTCCACTGCTGAACAGAATGCTTCCAGAACTATTGCGGAAGAGTTGCGTCCTACCAGCGAAACCGTTCCAGAAGACTTCCGTTCTGCACAGAAGGATATTAGTGACAGTTCTCGATATGTTCCAACTCCATCTCCCACTCCTTCACAAGACCCAACACAAAGCACCATACAACAACAACAACAACAACAACAACAACAACAACAACAACAACAACAACAACAACAACAACAACAACAACAACAACAACAACATGAAATTTATTCATGGAACCCGCGTCAGAGGTAAGAAAATCTTCTTTACTGCGGCAGCGAACGACCATCCGATTGAGGACCAAGATGAGTCCAATGTTGGCGTAGTAAAGAAGATTTTCTTACCTCTAACGCGGGTTCCATGAATGATGTTTCCTTCCGAAAGATTAGCGCTGATATCTCTAGGAGCCTTTTCACCGTATGCGCGGTAACCTGGCGGTGGCTCGTTTGATTCAGCAGAAATTGTTGTTGCCCCTGCAACTCGTATTGAAGCTGGTCCTCAGGCCAATTACCTATCCCCACCCCCTCAGGTTCAAGACGGTTGGAGGATTCAGGAGCAGTATCAATTGGAAAAGAGCCAGGGAAAATTTCATGTTGTTGTTGTTGTTGTATGGTGCTTTGTGTTGGGTCTTGTGAAGGAGTAGGAGATGGAGTTGGAGCATATCGAGAACTGTCACTAATATCCTTCTGTGCAGAACGGAAGTCTTCTGGAACGGTTTCGCTGGTAGGACGCAGCTCTTCCGCAATAGTTCTGGAAGCATTCTGTTCAGCAGTGGAATTGTTCTGTTGAAGACTCGAATTGTTCTCCTCGGGTTGTGTTTGTGCATTGCTGGATGGTGGAGCCCCTGAGTACTCGTCTTCTCACTATACTCAGGGACAGCCCACGGCAACATCTGCCTAACATCCTGCATTAATAAGATGGTGATTCGATATCATTAGGCCTATATTGCCTAGTCTCATCGAATACAACGTCTCTAACCTCACGCACTGTGCCTAGATGAGGGAACCAGACCTTCCAGATATTTGATGCAACGTAGCCAACAAGATAACCAATCTCTGCTCTTGGAGCCATCTTATCTAACCGTGGGATATTCTGAATGCGTACGTATGCCCTGCATCCATATAATCTCAGGTTCGATAGATTTGGGCGGAGATCTTCTCCTGGAGCACTCGCGGTCATTGCTTCAACCCATGGAATAATGGTCGTACCATCTGGCAGCATTGTAGGCGTCCGATTGATGATATAAACGGATGCCCTAAAGGCTTCTGGCCATAGGTTTTTAGGCAAATTGGCATCAGAGATGAGCTTTCGAGCGACAGTGATAAGGATACCTCCTGCTCTCTCGATGAACCATTCTGTTCTGGTGTGGCGGCCACAGTCTGTTGAAAAATGATTCCTTCTTGGTCACAGTATTCGCGGATTACCTGACCCAAGCTCCTCTCTCTATCACTCATGAATGCGCGGATATCCATCTTCAACTGATTCCGGCAGAAGCCAATGAACTGTATGATAGCATTCACGCACCCATTCTTCCTCTCGTGAGTCTGTAGGAGATGGAATCTGATACCCTCAATATACAGATGGGTCACCCAGTTATCCCCATTATAAGCCTCATCGAGCTGCACCATGTCGAAGTGTATTCGACCAAAGCGGCCAAAAACGCGCGAACGATTCGCGGGCCGTCTTGAGATTTTGCGCTTCGCATCATTAAGTTGGCAGGTTTCGCAGATTTGGGGTATTTCCTCAAGGGTCCGCCCTTTGATATCCACTCCGTCAACCATCTTCGCGAGCGTCTCAATGCGCCGGGCATACATGTGACCAAGTCTTCTGTGCCAAATCTCCGGCGAAGCAGAAGAGATCACTGGTTTCCCCGACGTCTTCATAGACGCGAGAGCTGCAGGATGGGACAGCAACGAAAGTCTCTCATCGCTACCACTCTTCAAAAGATATAATCCATACATCTCCTGACAGATAGCTATCGGGCCTGTTGCCGTCACAATTCCCGGTAACTCGCTAGTGAAGAAGAACCCATTCTTCTTAATCTCTGATACAGAGATGATATTTGTTGCAAAGTCTGGCGCATACCATACATCGGTGAGGGTGGCCCATTGAGTCTTGCCACTCTGAGGATTTCTCACGATAATACGAGCAGTCCCACGCCCTTGCACTGTAGAGTGACCGTTACCAAGGGTAATCTCTGCTAAATCCTTCCTCAAATTTAGGAATCTCTCCTTCTGGTTGCAGATGTGTACATTCGCTTCTGAGTCAACAACCCAGTTGTTTTTGAGGGAATAGGTTATTGCTGCATGATAGACCTCCGGTGAGATAGTAGCAGTGAAAAATGCAATCGTCTCAGTAGGCAGATCATCACTAGCAGTTATTGCTAACTGAGCGGTTTTGCCCTTCTTCGAAGGATCTGACTGCAGCATCTGCATAATCTCCTGTTGCACTTGGGGCGGCTCCCGTTTGAGATTCTCTTCAGTCTTCTTCCGAGCCTCCTTATTCGATTTGAAATCGGTAGGCCTGAGAGTCCAATTAATCTCATAACACCTCTTCCAGGGATGCCCAGAGCGGCCGCAGACGCATATCTTCTTCTGAAGGTTTTGCTGATTCCTACCAGCGGGGGGTTGCCCATTCAGAGTAGCCGTAAATGCGAGGCGGCCAGAACCCCCAGCCAAAGGTGCTTGGTTCTGAACTTGGCGATGGTCGCGATAGTCAGATAGAACACCATGGAATGTAGGAGCAAAGCCATCTACTTTCACTAGGGCTATAGAGGACTCTGAGGTAGCTCTCTGGGAGTTTCGTCTTTCCTCATACTCCGTTAGCCGCTGCCTCCATTGGTTTGCGAAGTAGGTATCTTGCAACTGGATAGCTTGTAGCAGATCTCTGATAGCCATTGAATCCGGGGGATATTCATTATCGGTATAACACACATCAGGCACTTTAGCTGCCTTAGCCTCGTCGTAAAGATTTGACCAATTCAACAGCCAACGGTCCAATGACGTTTTACCAATTGGTGAATCCACCATCTTCCGCCAATCATTGCGAAGATCCTGCACCCTGGTGTTTTTCCTAGGGGCAAATTGCTGCTTCAGTCTAACCAGTTGTTCGTAGGGAGTAACGCGATCCGCAAGGATACCATGCCATTCAGGAGCAACGCAAGATTTGATTTGGGCATGAAGACGAGCAATTGCTTTTGTGACTGAGTGCTAGAAGGAGCGTTCCTCTTTAAAGAGATACACCATATCCTTATACATTGCATACTCTGTAGAAGATAAATCGCTAATACTTTGAGCCTCTGGATTGACCTCAGTGGGAGTAGGACAAGTCATACTGCCCATCGTAGGAGCCTTCAGCACGGCAGATTTGCTTAAATCAGGATTCATGTAATCCCAAACCTCCTCTCCCGTGGCCGCTGAGTGGATATGGGATATCCAAACGCGCCATTGGGAGGAGTCCCTCAGCAGGATTCCGAGGTTTTGGTCGCCGTCGGAAGACCCTTGGTTCTTCTCAGATTTGCCCATCTTCGCATACAATCCAGCGCAGGGTAACGCCTATAATAATAGGGGTATCTTCCTGCAGTAAATCGGTTGAGGGGCTATCCGGATTACCCTCAGGGGCCAATTGAATTGACAGGATTGAATAGAAGATGAAGACTCTCGTTGGTAAGATGCAAATTAGAACCAACGTGCAACCGGGCTCATAACTGTCGCAGCTAGCTGATACAGTATGGCATTGTATGCAAGAATGGGGCTAATCTACCAAGGGGAACCAATCCAAAAAGATAGGATGAATTAATTGAAGAAAAGGAGAAAAGAGCGCATGCTGCGAGGACACGTTAGGGTGTCCTTGCTTACATGAGTAGGGTGAGGGGTTGAACCTCCCGATCTCGGAGTGTCGAGAATCCCCTAGTACAAATGAAGATATCACGACACAAACGGAACTAAACTATTTCGGGTGCTACCCCACTATCCTCGACAGGTCCCTATTGTGTCCGGAATTTGATCTTGGATCGTGAAATGCCGGTATGACCAAAGGAATAGACCACATTATGAAAAAAAAAAAGAAGATAAGTACGCATATCTGATGTCAACAAGAGAAAGATATGGTCTACTAGATAGTGGCTTGCATACCAGACTTAAATCGAACTAGTTAGCTATTGATAATTTCATTTCGCTTTCCAAACCATCCTCGGTCATTTTAAAGCTATTTGCATGAGTGTATTGCTACCATGGAGACTAGTCCTCCGACAACAAGCAACAGCATTCTGAACAAACAGAATAGCAAACACGCCTCTATTGCAGGCCCCAGCTTTTAGATAAGCAAATCACCAAAATACTCACAGTAGTGTCGAGTCACTTGCTTGGCCCACAGAAGATGCCTCGAGAACGACCAGGAAATACCATGTCGTGAACATACTCCGTAGACCTCCATTGTTTCGATAAAACTTTAGTTCTTCCTGAGTGCAGTCGTTCAATGACATTCGAATGTCGTACACAAAAATTCTTTGCTCTATGGCCTCCATCAATTTGCTAAACTTTCGCCTCGAAGGCTCCATAAGTAAAGGCGAAACCATCGCCTGCTGTAATTGTCAAGGTCCAATTGTCTACTGTGCAAGTATGAGTAGATTTCTTCCAGGTGAGAAATTTCACTTTCATAGGCCATCAGGGCCTCCAGAACGGCTTGGAAAGCAAATATATGTAGGCCTTCAGAAAGCTTGAGGGAAGCAATACCCTGATTCCACTTTTGCTTATTTGGGGCGAAGCGGTAAAAGAGAAAGTCACGTCTGGGGACTGATGTAAGGCCTGCGCCTAACTGAAGCGCTCTGAGTCGATCTGGATGATAACGTGCTTCTTCGTGGTCAATCTCGTAGAGGCCTAGCCACACCCTCCTCCAGACTTCCACAATGCGTTGCTGTAGCTCGTTACGGGAAATAATAGGGCTGATAATATGATGATGATGATGATGATGATGATGATGATGATGATGATGAATTCATTTGCCCGATGTAGCTCGCTCTGAAATAGGGCTGATAAGTTGAAACCCATCCGGAGTTGAATCGCGTGAACTTGCGGCAACGTCGGCTTCTTTCTTGGATTGACGATGGTAATGGGAGGAGATGAAGCTACTCCAAGCTCTAGAGGCCCCTATGCTGGTGTTATACGGCTCGAGGTTGTAAATTTGAAACACGAGGCCAAGAAGGTCGGATGTGAGTATTGATGTTGCTTGTTGAAAGAATGACGAAAGGTATGATTCGGCTATGAAGTTTTCGTAACGCAGTTCAGTCCCGTTCTGGAATAGTACTGTTGGCTTTTCTATTGTTTATGAGCCGCTGCCATATTGAGGTGCGCAAATGCGGATCCATGGAAGACCTCGCGGAGCTAAACCAAGTCAGCACCAAGTAATCAAATCAGGCAGGAAATTTAAAAATTCCCATCAGGATATCCTCTGAATCAGATCTTTGATCTGGAGCTTTAGGACATGTGCCGTGATAAATCGCAAAAATTTGCGGAAAAGTGCCAGCTAGAAAATACGAACTGTGAACGGAAATTGACGGGAGTAGTCGTTGGAACCTAATAGCAACTGTTAATTATTGGGAGTCCAATGTATCGTGAATAACTGATTCGCGGATACATAAATGCAATCAGCTAACCGAAAATAAAAAGTCCTGTTTTGGAGAGAAGCGAAGGTCGAGTATGCCCAAGGGCGTAGGAAGACCGCGGAGGCGGATGACATCATGATCGACCATCTGGCAGGATCCACCGGGGGCAAGCCTCGAAATCTGGGGACGTCACCCACGCAATCCACATGGTCGCACGGTCCGTATCGGGACATGCAGCTCACATAATCGGACGTTTCTCACTATGTACCCCCGGCCATTCAAGATGGTCGCCATCTCGTGCCCCGGGGATTATCGGATTTAGGGTGCTGAACGGGTTGTTGAGGCTCCGAGACCGAGTACCATAGAACCTGCTGCGTAATGAGATTTGACGTAATAACTGCACATTCGCGGCTTATTTTTGATGATTTCTTTCTTTTCCCGTTGCTGTTGATCAGAATTCTATCAAGGCGTTTTTCTGATGGAAGCATTTCTTGATCACCACTAAGACAGACACTGGTGTAACATTGAACTATTCTACTCCGAGCGTCCGCCCTTTCCTACCCAACAGCCTGCGAGTGCGGCAAGTTACAGAGGTTTTCCTTCTCTCGCTTCCAACTGCATTATTCGACATGGAGCATGATCGCTCGGCGACCAGTAGCACTTCACTGGGAAAAGGTGCAGGAGTACGGTCTTCCAGCGAGTCTCCGTCCGGGAGCACCAGTGCGTCCACCAAATCAGATCAGACAGGAAGTTTGGCCCCGATTCGAAGCGCAGGTCCAGAAAGTCGACCTGAAACAGTCCAAGAAAACGACTCGGTCGATGAAGAGCTTGCCCGCTCGCTGTCTCGTCGACGTACCTGGGCCTCTGGTCACGAAGGTGATGAGTGGACCCAGATTGAGAAGTTGATTTCGCGGATGTTCGGGCGTGAACGCAAGGCCAACTCCGAGGAAGAGAAAACGCGACACGTCGGGGTCATATGGAAAGATCTTACTGTGAAGGGACTAGGCTTGGGAGCAGCACTGCAGCCAACCACCGGCGACATAATTCTCGGCATACCCAGGCTGATAAAGGGCATATTACGCAAAGGAATGACTCGCACTGATGCCGGAAAGATGGAGACCAGAACAATCCTCGATGATTTTACGGTGAGCGGGGTTGCCACTGTGTACCTGATGCGATTTCTAATTATTTACCCAGGGCTGTGTTCGACCCGGAGAGATGTTGCTGGTCCTTGGTCGCCCCGGATCTGGCTGCTCAACATTCTTGAAAGTAATCGGCAATCAGAGATCCGGATACGAGAGTATCGTGGGTGACGTGCGATACGGAGGAACTGATTCTACTACAATGGCAAAGAAGTATCGCTCAGAAGGTACTGGTTCCGTGGCGGATTTTTCATGATAACCAATCTGACTCGGGCAGTTTCGTACAATCCCGAGGACGATCTCCATTATGCGACACTGACAGTGCGCGATACCCTGATTTTCGCATTGAAAACCAGAACACCCGACAAACAATCCCGAATCCCTGGAGAGAGCCGAAATAATTACCAACAAACATTCTTGTCAGCAATTGCCAAGCTGTTCTGGATTGAACACGCGCTGGGTACTCGAGTTGGAAATGAGCTCATCCGCGGAATATCTGGAGGGTCAGTTAATACATACACTCTGTCTCGAAAATGCGCTAAAACATATGCTGATGAAATACAGAGAGAAGAAGCGTGTCTCTATAGGAGAGGCCATGGTCACAAAGGCTAGCACCCAGTGCTGGGATAATTCAACTAGAGGCTTGGATGCGAGCACGGCACTCGAATATGTTCAAAGCTTGAGGAGCCTGACAAATACTGCGCACGTCTCGACTCTCGTGGCTCTGTACCAGGCATCAGAAAACTTGTTCAATTTATTTGACAAGGTGATACTCATTGAAAATGGAAAATGTGCTTTTTTCGGCCGCTCAGAAGATGCAAAGGCCTACTTTGAAAAGCTAGGATTTGAGTGCCCACCACGATGGACGACTCCCGATTTTCTGACCTCTGTCAGTGACCCGAATGCAAGACGTGTTAAGGAAGGATGGGAGAACAGGATTCCCCGTACGGCAGAAGAATTTCGAATCGCGTTTCGTCAAAGTGATGCTTTCAAAGCAGTACACGCCGACATCGAAGATTTTGAGGCAGAATTGCAAGCGACAGAGGCCGAAAGGGAAACGGCTAGGGCGCAGATCACCACCAAGAATTACACTGTTCCATTTTGGAAACAGGTTATGATCCTCACCCATCGACAATTTCTAGTAATGTTCGGCGATCGAGCTGCACTGGCAGGAAAATGGGGAGTTATCATCTTTCAAGCTCTCATCGTCGGGAGTTTGTTCTTCGATCTTCCCAGCTCTAGGTTGGTCCTATATTCATGACCCCGAATACTGTGAGACGGATTCTAATTTATGATAGCTCCGGTGTCTTCACACGAGGAGGTGTTATGTTCTTCATTTTGCTGTTCAATTCTCTTCTTGCCTTGGCCGAGCTTACTGCTGCATTTGAGAGCCGACCTATTTTGATGAAGCACAAGAGTTTGTGAGTGAAAGAAAGCAAATAAAGTAGTATACAAGCTAACCATATCAGCTCCTTCTATCGTCCGGCGGCATATGCTTTGGCGCAGGTTGTCGTGGACATACCCTTGGTGTTTATTCAAGTGGTTCTCTTTGACTTGATTGTATACTTGTGAGTCTATCAAAATCAATAGACATGAGACCAAGCTAATCAAGAATTTTTTAGCATGGCAAATCTCGCACGAACGGCATCTCAATTTTTCATCAACCTCTTGATAATATTCACTTTAACAATGACGATGTATTCTTTCTTTCGTGCCCTCGGGGCTTTGTGCGCATCGCTTGATGTTGGTGAGTGGACCGAATAATGACTCGAACCTTCTTTAACTAACATACTTCAAGCCACTCGTCTCACAGGAGTTGCGATTCAGGCACTTATCGTATATACAGGTATGTGGAGTTTGGACTATACTACAAGGAATATCAGCAGGTATTCTGTGGCTAATACTCGCTTGCAGGATATCTAATCCCACCTTGGAAAATGCACCCCTGGCTAAAATGGCTTATCTGGATCAATCCAGTGCAGTACGCTTTTGAAGCACTGATGGCAAATGAATTTTACAATCTGGATATCAAATGCGAGCCACCATACGTTGTTCCCGATGGACCAAATCTCTCACCCACCCATCAGAGTTGTGCTATTCAAGGAAGCATACCTGGAAGCTTGATTGTCCAGGGATCGCGCTACATTGAGACAGCCTATACGTATTCCCGCGCTCATCTCTGGCGAAATTTCGGCATCATAATCGCCTGGTTCCTGTTCTTCGTTTTTCTGACGATTCTTGGGATGGAAATTCAAAAGCCTAACAAGGGAGGAAGCTCTGTAACCGTTTTCAAAAGAGGCGAGGTTCCAAAGGCTGTTGAGGATGCAATCGAGCATAACAGGCCACCCGCAGATGAAGAATCAGCCCAGAAGAACAATTCTGCTGGGATGGGAGACAATGAAACTGAAAAGGAGGCCCGAGATATTGCTAAAAACACTTCGATCTTTACCTGGCAGAATGTGAGCTACACCATCCCATACAAAGGAGGACAGCGAAAACTCCTGCAAGACGTCCATGGCTATGTCAAACCGGGAAAACTTACTGCGCTCATGGGGGCCTCTGGTGCTGGGTATGTATATCACACAATTCTGGAGTTTCCCGCTGCTCACCAGTACATATTAGGAAAACGACCCTCCTTAACGCCTTGGCTCAGCGTATCAATTTTGGAGTCGTCTCTGGAGACTTCTTGGTCGACGGGAAGTAAGCAAAATCGAGTTATTGAGGAGTCAACAGCTACTGACATCAACAGACCTCTCCCTAAGAGCTTCCAAAGGGCAACCGGGTTTGCTGAACAAATGGACATCCACGAGCCAACAGCGACCGTTCGCGAGTCATTGCGATTTTCGGCCCTCCTGCGACAGCCCAAAGAGGTGCCACTCAAGGAGAAATATGACTACTGTGAAAGGATCATTGACTTGCTGGAAATGCGATCCATCGCTGGAGCTACAATCGGATCTACTGGCTCCGGTCTCAATCAGGAGCAACGAAAGAGGCTCACAATTGCGGTCGAGCTTGCAAGCAAGCCTGAGTTGTTGCTCTTTTTGGATGAACCGACATCAGGACTAGACTCCTTAGCGGCTTTCAACATTGTCCGGTTTCTCCGCAGACTCGCAGATGCAGGCCAAGCCGTTCTCTGCACGATCCATCAACCATCAGCTGTTTTGTTTGAACAGTTTGATGAGCTCCTCTTGCTTCAGAGTGGTGGGCGAGTCGTTTACAATGGTACTCTGGGGCCCGACTCGAAAACGCTCATTGAATACTTTGAACGCAATGGGACAAAGAAATGCTCGCCTTTTGCAAACCCTGCAGAGGTATGTACCCAAAAACTGCTGGTTAATGTATTTGTCTAAATGTCTTTTGTTAGTACATGCTCGAGGTCATTGGTGCCGGAAATCCGGATTACAAAGGTCAGGACTGGGGTGATGTATGGGCCAGGTCGCTGGAATCCACACAGCTCTCCCAAGAGCTGGAAGGTATTATCAGTTCTCGCCGTGGCATACAAAATGATGGGACAATTCAGGATGACCGAGAATACGCCATGCCTCTATACACTCAGATAGTGGCAGTAACCAAAAGAGCTTTCGTGGCGTACTGGAGGCTCCCCGATTACATTCTGGTATGCTATCTTCTTCCTTTTTTCGAAGACAATGAAGTGATACTCATGCTGACTATTCTATTCATCAGGGAAAATTTATGCTTCACATATTCACAGGGCTTTTCAACACATTTACCTTTTGGCATCTGGGAAACAGCTACATCGACATGCAATCGAGACTCTTCTCCATTTTCATGACCTTAACAATTTGTCCCCCACTTGTGCAGCAATTACAGCCGCGGTATCTACATTTACGGGGTCTTTACGAGTCGCGAGAATCGAACTCCAAAATATATTCTTGGATTGCCTTTGTTGTCAGCACAATTTTACCCGAACTGCCATATTCGATTGTGGCGGGTTCTATCTACTTCAACTGTTGGTGAGTAGAACTTGACTTATGTGGCGAGTGCTTGGCCAGAATGCTAACATGACATGGATCAAGGTATTGGGGAGTCTGGTTCCCGCGTGACTCTTTCAGTTCTGGGTATACCTGGATGCTTCTGATGGTGTTTGAATGCTATTATGTTGGCTTCGGACAGTTCATCGCAGCGTTTGCACCCAATGAACTCTTCGCCTCCCTCCTTGTCCCGTCATTTTTCACTTTCGTCGTTTCATTTTGTGGTGTTATTGTCCCCTACGTTGCTCTGCCTCATTTCTGGCAGTCATGGATGTACTGGCTTACCCCATTCCACTATCTCCTTGAGGGATTTTTGGGGGTCGCAACTCACAAAATACCCATCCGCTGCGTCGAACGCGAAGAGGCTCGATTCAGTCCCCCACCAGGCCAGACTTGCGAGCAGTACGCTGGTGCCTATGCGCAAGAATCGGGCGGATACGTCCGTGATGCTGGCAGTGGACTGTGTGCCTTTTGCCAGTATTCCTCGGGTGATCGATTTGTAAGTAAAGGTCTTTACATGTTGAGATGTACCTTGCTGACGTATTTGGATTAGGCTGCGAGTTTCAATGTCTTCTATACACACAAATGGAGAAACTACGTAAGTTCCCACTCGATGCACAATGAAGCCTGAATTTCCGGGAGCACTAAATTAACATCAATCGTCCAAAGGGAATATTTTGGGCATTTGTGATTTTTAATTTCGCGCTTGTTTTTCTGTTTTCGTGGCTATACCTCCACGGTATTCGGGATTTGAAGCGGTGGCTGAGTGCGCGCAAGACTAGAAAGGGACGAAATGCCGCAACTTGATATAGACAGGATCTCATGGTTGCACATTACAAGCAGATGTTATCTCTGAAGTATTTTGCCACCTTTCCATCCCTTTGTAAGCACAGAGTCCAGTGTGGGTCTGTCGCGGTCTCGCGGTGAGGTTGCATCGTATACAACGCCTTAGCCCTCGTGGGGGCGCTTCACCTCTCCGCGCCGAAAGCTTGGCAGCTCCTCGGATGTTCTCTTCACCAACTCCCAACCGGTTTCTCTCAAGCGCAAGGTGGCCGTGCTCGCAAGCATCCCTGGACATGCTCGCTTGATCTGAAGTTATCTAGTTTCGTGCCCCTCAGAACTCGCCCTCCCTCCCACCTCCGACCGCCTCACCAACAATGAAGGAAGAAGACACCAGAGAGACGCCAGAAGAGTCGCGTACGGAAGAGCACCCTAACTCGAGTTCCAAGTCGGCCAATCATGCGGTGAAAGATCGGAAATGCCAATATTGTGGTCAGGCATTCACGTCCTCGTCGCTGGGCCGCCATCTGGACCAGTTTCTCTTCAAGAAGAAGCCCGACGGAGTTCATGACGTTGAGGAGATCCGGCGCATTCGCAGTGGAATCACTCGTCGCCAGGCCCGCACTGCCTCGGGCAAGCGTGATGGTAGCCCCGACTCTGCCCAGCGAAAAGGCCCCTCCGACAGCTATACGGTCGGGGATCCGAGCAGCAAGCCGCGCGACGCACCAGTGCGCATGATGTTCAACACACCGACCTGGCACGCAACAGGCGTCATTAATGACATACCGAACCCGAGTCGTACATTGGAAGGTCCTCGTGTTGCACCATCACAATCACGGTCGGGATCTCTGCAGCTGCCCGATTACGCGAGCAGAGGTGCCACGGCCAACAATCCAGACACCCTGAAAGCTGTGGAGTTGGCACTCCACGAAGTGCTTGACAATATCAAGGCAGCTACGTAAGTTTTGCACCCAGGCGCCCCATATTATCTTGAATGGCATTCTAAGGCTGCTCCAAGTTCTCGATACCGCCCTCGACCAACCCCGTTCGACTTCGATCTCGAGGCCCAGACCTTCCCTTCTCTCTGCCTACAGCTCCTGCCTCCTCCTCCGACCATCTTCGCTTCCCACCCATTCCCGACCCTGACATCCTTCCCACTACAACCGCCCGGCCATGAATATCTTGATATTGTCCGACAAGCCATTCTTTCCAAGATCTCACAATGGCAGTCTGAACGCATCGCGGCGCATTCGACTAGCGACCGAAGCCATTCGGATCGAATGTTCGATAATGGCAGAGTATATCGGGATGGACAACAACATGAAGAAGCAAGTATGAGACATCTCGAGTTGGCCTTCGGCCACTGGAACGCGCTACCTTATGAAGCACGTCGCGAAGCTTGGCAGCTTGAAACGACACGCGCATTTGTGAGAGAATCGGAGAAGCGTCGGTTGATTGATGAGCAGCTTGCTCGAGTACAACAAGAAGCAAACCAGTTACGTGCTCAAGTCGATCGACTTGGATCGTGCCAGTGGCCACGCGAGTTTGCGCTGTTCCCACCTGATACGCTTCCTCTCTCGCGCGATGTGACGCGAGAGCTGGATACTGCTAAGAGTCAGATAAGTCCAGCGTCCTCCAGGTGGGACTATGACAAGGTGGTTGCCAAATGGAAACGGGTTGTTATGCATGACAGGAGCATGGGCCGAATCGGAGTGGGCTACAATCCAACTACCGGTGGACTGGCCGAACCGGAAAGCAGCCAACTACGACATAGTCCCGATGTCCGCCCTCCTCGCCCAGGCGAAGATACCTCTTCTCACCCGAACCGCTTGCGCCCCCTGCAATCTGCTGTTGCGCTGAGTCCCGATACGGGAGCTGTGTCCACACCGGCTTCCTCGACTCAGTATAATTCTCCATATTCTCATGCCGACCCCCGTAGTCCTCCGAGCGCCAATGTCAAGCGTCCGAGACTGATGAATGGATCCGAGGGCCCACAAGTGCAAGAGCCGGCACCGAATAACAAGCCTCCTGGACCCGGTCCTTGGCCCTCTTCTACTCCTATCCTCTCGAATCTTGCAGCGCCTTCCGGACAAACACCTCCTTCACGCCAGTGATCCTCTTGTTTGCTCATCTTGCCTCACTACGAATTCTCAGTGGCAAGCCGGGAAAACATTACCTTAACACTTCAGTGTAGTCTACACGAAAACTCATGTCCATACTCTTGGGGATTTTTCAGCCCGAGATACACGTTGTACAAACAAGCGATGATTAAAAAAACAAGCCGTAGAATTGCTGTGAACTTGGCTCTTTCTCGAACCCTTGCTTGCTAGTAGACACTTAATTTCGAACAAACTCTGAATACGCTTGAGGAAACGGATACAGTATATAATGCTTCAGTATTACTATTACCCTACTACTGAAATATAGTGTATACTTCAGTCAGTATGATATAATTATGCTAGTTCCGTGTCCCGAGCAATCGCTGCCCCGATGTACTCCGCCAGGGTCAATATCTTTTCCTCTTGAAGTCGTCGACCCACAAACTGAGTTCCCACAGGAGCTCCGTGGTATGTCTCGGCATCATCTGCTTCGTTGTCAGAGTGATCAATGGTCTCAATCTCCAAGTCGAACTTACAGTCCCAGTCGATATATGCTTCTGCCTCAGTCGCGGATATTTCGGCGGGAAGTACATCCACAAACTTGTTTGCGAAAGTCACAGGAATGGACACGCTGGTATAGTCGAGCACATTAACGAAGGTAGTGTAGCCAGTTTGCTCATATTGCGTCGGAATTACTGCAGCATGTGGTGCCAGTGGACAGAAAAATCCGTCTACCGGGCGTCCGGTACCGGTCAGTTTCGCAGTGCTATTCCAGTAGTCCATGTATTTCTTTTGATACTCCCGCTTGGCAACGTTGAGGGCAGCAATTTCCGACGCAATCATCTCAGTTCCACCCTCCTTAACTATGATCTGGGGTGGGGGTGCCTCTCCGGATAGACCGAATTGGAGTTTCAAGTCTGTACCGCCGTCCAGCTGGTATGCTTTGCCCTGGGTTAGGTCAGTTGTTTGTATCATGGTATAGGCCTAAAATCCACTCGGATCAATACTTACGGCTAGCTCATGAGCTTCAACGTGAGATGGAGGGCACCAGTCGATGACTTTATGACCGAGCCTTTTCAGAGTCTGCTCGACCAGCTCCAACCCCCGTGCAATTGGAGGGTGGATACGAGCTACACCGTCAAACGGCATCATACCGAAAGCGAGCGCTGACTTGCCTGTTTCTGCTTGTTTGACCAGATCCAGTGTTTCTTGGACGATAGAATCTCTCCATGGCAGCTCCAGCGCAAGCGGGTCATGATACCACGGCTCCTGGCTCAGAACGCTTTTGAACAGTAGAGTCAACGTGCGAGCCGTAGGAGCCAAGGGTCCAATCACCGACAAAATCACGTTCTGCCCATCCATCGAGTTGGCAGCGCCTTGATAAGGCATTCTACCTGTCGAAGGTCGCAGGCCATAAAGACTGTTGAACCCGGCCGGAATTCGTATACTGCCACCGATGTCACTCCCAAACCCACCAGGTGACCCACGCAGCGCAATGAGAGCACCCTCGCCACCAGAGCTGCCACCACTGGAGAGCAATCGATTCTTGGGGTTCCACGTGTAGCCGATGATATTATTGATCGTTTCTCCGGACATCAAGGTGGTCGGCACGCTGGTTTTGCAGTATAGCACCGCGCCAAGGTTACGCAATTCCCGCACAAGCTCGCTTTCCACTGCCCCGCAGCGTGAATCAGTTGGTTTCCCTTGAAAGGTCCCAATCCAGCCAACGTAGCCCATGGTAGTTTCGACATCTTTGATGTGGAATTGGTCTTTCAAGCTGACAGGAAGACCGTGTAGCGGCCCAAGGGGTGCTTTGTGTTCGGCAAAGTAGGCATCGAGCACTTTCGCGTGCTCGATTGCTGCGTCGAAGAATACTTCATGTAAGCAGCTCACCTGCGAGCATGTTAGGTAATCATTAGAGGTTTAGGCGTGACCCTGCAACGAACGAATTGATGTGCCAGTGCAGCACGATGGCAAAAGGCCTCTGTGACTTCGACAGCGGTCCAACGCCCGGAGGTTGTCTGTGCGACGATATCCACGGCATCCGACTCTGTGATCTTGATCTCGCGCTCATTTAAAAACTGTCGGATATAGTCTCCGGTGACGTCGGGCTGTGCTGCGGCTGATGGTATGACGGTCTCAAGTCGCCATTTTGAGGGAATCGCGTCCAGGATCGATTGTCGCTTGGCCTCACCCTGGGCGCGCCATGTAGGAGCTGCGGTCATATCTAGTCGTCGGGGTTGATGAGTACTGATGTGTGGAGGAATGATTTTAAAAGATAGAACAGTTCATTTATGGTTGATTGTTCTTCTGGAGTTAAGCGGGGTTGGTGGGGTCGTTTGGAGACGGGTCAAATGCTCTTCGCGGAGAATACTTGCGTTCCGCTAACCTCGGGGCTACTGCAACAGCTCACTCGTATTCGGTCTATCTACTGCCGTCATCGGGTGGCCATCATGATGCCGGTGGAGGCGAGGCGGGTTGTCCCGTGGAGTTCTGGCCGACCCAACAGTGAACGTGGGGTACTCCAGGTTTTCCACTAGGAACAATTGCGTCTATTCCAACGAGACAACTATCTCGTCAAGGTGAGAGCAGATGATCGCAGCCAGAAAGGGACATTGTATCCCGCGAACCAACGGATTTCCGCGGGTAGCGCGAGACCCTGGAGGCCTCGGCCAGCATGGAGATTCCTTTTCATGAGACAGACACAAAATGGGCAGCGAGTTGAGACTTGGTAAGATTCAAGCACTCAAACTAAACCCGAGTTTCATGAATTTGGGTGAGCGGTCATTTGCCGCACGTTCAAATTGATTCGCTTGCCGGACATCCAGCCTCTCCACATCGAATAAGGACCTGGCGGAGAGCCTGGGATATCCTCTTCGAGAGATGGCCAATTTGCTAGCCAAGCAGGACAAGTGGACGGCAGGATCTTGGGAACGCCATGCCAGGCAAAACGAGAGGTACCATTCATGTAAACAGCATCTCCTGATCGAAGGCGAATGATCTCGCAGCCATTCCCGTTATCATGGCTTATGAGGAACAGTCCATCACACCCGAAGCTCACACTGATCAATCCGACATCGCAATCCTCACTCACGTCTCGATGGGCGCTCAAAGTGTCCCCCGCAGAATATAAATTCAAGATCGCTGCCTGGGCCTCAGTTTCGGGAAATGCAGCCCGCAGTAGCTTCGAAATATCTTGTGGGAAAGGCGGCGGAGCTTCTTCTGGGTAGACCTTGGCAGTCCAATCGTATTGGCCTCCCAAGGTGACCCAGCGGAGTTTCTTGTCCAGTACACTCTGGATAGTCAAGGGTTTGTGAATCTGCGGTTCTTTGGGTTGTAGCTCGCGCATTGTGTCATCTGCAAAAAACGACGTCCTGGTCTCGTCGGTGTTCGATCCTTCCGGGTAGGTGACCTCATAATGCAAATGCAGATTGGTCTTGTGTTCGGGATTGGGCAGGTCTCGGTGGAATAGGCGGGACAGCAACTCGGTTTGGATAGTGGGTGGGAACAGAGCAGGGATCATCAGAAGACCTGCGAACAAGTCAGTACCCTGTTGCGGTTAGTTTGTTGGAGCCGCATGGCAAGTCTGTGCTGACCGGAAATGTCATTGTGGGTGTAAACCGGAATATTCTCGACCAAAGGAGCTTCCTCGACCTGGGGTGGATGCGCTCCTCGAACGAAATCGTCAAATGCAACTCGAAGGTCCTGACTCGACTTGTATTGTGAGACCGTGAGGCTTGTGGGCAAGTTCTCGGGATCTACTTTCTGCAGATCCAGAATGCCCAAGTCATTGTCGACTTCGGACAAGGGGAGCTTGGAGTACTTCTTGTAGCATTGTCGAATGGCCTCTGGAGGGCGATCGTGGGCGTCGAGTCCTTTGATTTGGGCCATCATCCAATATTCATGAATTGGACGAGGGTTGATTCAAGAGGTCTGCCACAGCAAAGCGCGATCGGCGGCAAGAACGACGCCGCCCAACGCGCCGAACTGACCGCCTTCCGGCGGCGCGGGGGTTGTGTTTGTTTTTGTGGCCTCCCCACCATGACTTTGCCTGCGACTTTCTTTTAGACGACAACCTCGACAACCTGGTGTGGAGACCTGGGAAGAAGCAACTCCTCCAGCCGTCTCAAAGATCAACTTTCGTTCCAAAGGTTCATCTTCCGCCCAATCGCCCACTGGACTCTCCCGCCTTCCTCCTTGCATATCCATTCCTCCGGTTCCCACAACCTGCGTCACTCTCACTCTCTCGACCCCTGTCACATTTCTAACTGCGTCAAGGTCAGAATAGGACCAGGAGTTGTCATCACCATGGAGAACTACCAGAAGATCGAGAAGATTGGTGAAGGTGAGTACTCGAATCCGATTGTTTACATCCAGTCCCCCAGATGAAAAACTGACACGTTTGAACAACCTCAGGTACTTACGGTGTCGTCTACAAGGCCCGTGAGCTCAACCACCCCAACCGCATCGTTGCCCTCAAGAAGATTCGACTGGAAGCCGAAGATGAGGGTGTTCCCAGCACCGCCATTCGCGAGATTTCGCTTCTCAAGGAAATGCAGGACCCCAACATCGTCCAGCTGCTGAACATTGTCCACGCCGACGGTCACAAGCTTTATCTGGTCTTCGAGTTTCTCGACCTTGATCTGAAGAAGTACATGGAGGCTCTGCCGGTCAGTGAAGGTGGCCGCGGCAAGGCTCTTCCCGATGGCACCATGATGGGTGCTAACCTGGGCCTGGGCGAGGCCATGGTCAAGAAGTTCATGGCCCAACTCGTGGAGGGTGTCCGCTACTGCCACAGTCACCGTATCCTCCATCGCGATCTCAAGCCACAGAACCTGCTTATCGACGTCGAGGGCAACTTGAAATTGGCTGATTTCGGTCTGGCCCGCGCATTCGGTGTTCCCCTCCGCACCTACACTCATGAGGTAAGCCGCCAGGCGTTGGGACCGCAATGGATGAAACCAGCATGCTAATTCTGTCTCCAGGTTGTTACGCTGTGGTACCGGTCCCCCGAGATCCTGCTGGGCGGTCGTCAATACTCTACCGGTGTCGACATGTGGTCCGTGGGCGCCATCTTCGCCGAAATGTGCACGCGCAAGCCACTGTTCCCTGGCGACTCGGAGATCGACGAGATCTTTAAAATATTCCGGTCAGTATTCTAATCATTGTTTCCAGACCCCTCCCATATCACTAATCCTCTGCCCGCCACAGCGTCCTCGGCACTCCCGACGAAGAGGCATGGCCCGGTGTCACCTCATTCCCTGACTACAAGGCCACCTTCCCTAAGTGGAAGCGCCCCAGTGGAGCTCTGGTTCCCGGCCTGGAAGAAGCTGGTTGCGAGCTTCTTGAATCGCTTCTCGAGTATGACCCTGCCCATCGCCTGTCCGCCAAGCAGGCTTGTCAGCACCCTTACTTCCGCCAGGGCAGCTCGCACTACTCCGGCCGTACCACTCGCAACGGTTATCACTGAACACGCGGGACACTGAACCCCCGTTACGATTTCAATTCGGATTTTCTCATGTACCCATAGGTTACTCGCGTTGGAGAGGTCGCACCATGCTGGATCCACACGCATGCTTATTTTCTTTTTTGTCTGGCGTCGGAGAGATCGCATTATGCTGGATCCCCACGCATGGACATTTCCTCTTCTTTGTATCTGGCGTTTACCGGAGAGTGACTAGGATTTGAGGGTGGGTCTACTTTGATTCAAGCAAATGCTTTTTTAGTCAATGCAAGGCGTACATACCCGGTGGCCATCTATTCATCTATCAGATATCCAACCCTATTTTTGAGGCATGATCTCCCTCTCATCTTCCCCCTCCGATTGTAAACTCGTCTCATCATGTCTCGTTTTTGCGATTGCGATGACTACCCTCAGGTACAGGGTACAATTACTTCTCGCATCCGATTATCTTGATCTGGCTCCCGCGCTTCTGCTCCTATCTCAGTCGTGCCCGCCTCGACTTGGTCAAAATGACCCAAAAGCGAGCCGGGTTACACCGGCAACTCGGACACGAAGCCAAGATGACCATCAGCCACCCTCGCTCTGCCAATCGCGCGGCCCCAAGACCTCGACTTTCGTGTCCGAGCTGAGAAGTGGGCGCCCCACAGCGCAAAAATGGGGGATACCCGCGGCTTTGAGTCTGCCATTTGTTTATTCTTGGAAACGCGGACCCTGCGATGGCCCAGCGTGCATCTGCTGGTCCCAGCCATGCCAGATTTCTGCAGTAACCTGCCTCAGGGACCCAGTGAGCATCGCATGGGGGCCGTTGACGAGGGAAACGGCTGAAGGGGCCACGAGTTGGGGGCCAACCTGCTCTCCTCAGCAGCCGGCTCATTCGCGGCCCACTGCGAGTCTAACGCACGCCCCTGCAGCCTTACGAACGCCTGAAAGCGGACGGGAGACCCGGACTGGTGGAGGCTGCTGATGGGCGAAATTGCTCCCTTCGGCGTGGCCGTGGAGATGGAAAATGCCCGCTTGTACTTTAGATGCTGCGCCGCGCCTTTCGGTTCCTTGATCGTCGCTCATGCTTGTGGTCAGTGCCATACATCGCAGCAAAGAGAAAAAGCAACGTCTTCCCTGCTCGCTGTCGTGCGTTCTGCATGCTTGGAGCTTGATATTCTTAAGCCAGATCAACTAAAATTTCGTGAAGATGGCACACATGGACTCGGAAGAGGAGATGATGATGATGTGCGGGTCATCGATGCCCCCTGCCTCGTCACGATCGAACAGCCGAGGACCAGGCCATCGTGCGCGCTGTCAACCGCCGCAGGAGTCTGTGCGACAGTTTTGGGAACAGTTCACCACAAAGTACCCCGGCAAGGTGTACACCATCCTGCCGGATAACCCTTATGCGCGGACTAGAGCGAAGCGGGTTCCCAACGGGGTTATCCAGGGCCACGAGGCTGTCAAGTCCTATGAGCAGGCGCGACGTGAATGCCGGAAGTCTGTCGAGCGCATTGTTAAGGAATGCGAGCGCGTGAATCAGAAGTATACCGATCCGCACTTCGATATTGAGTTGGATCTCAAGTCCGGTTTGCGGCATTACCTGGATGGCCTTGACAAGGTCAACGAGGAAATGAGGCCGCGCGGCGTCAAACGAGTGACGGTTCGTCCAGATCCCCCCAATTTTATTGAGAGTCGCACCCTAATCAAACACAGGAAATCTTCGAGAATCCCCAGTTCTTTGTCAATGGACCAACGGCGTCGGACGTGCGCCAGGGCTACGATGGCGACTGCTGGCTGATGGCGGCCCTCTGCACTATGGGGAACAAGGAAGGTCTGATTGAAAAGATCTGCGTCGCCCGGAACGAAAAGATTGGCATTTATGGCTTTGTTTTTTATCGCGGTGAGTTGTGTCCTTTTTCAAGATTGGGTGAGGACCAAGCGCTGATCATATCTCAAGACGGTGAATGGCAACAATGCATTGTGGACGACAAGCTGTATCTGCGTGCCGCCGACTATGACGAATCGATTGATGAGCGCCCACTTTGGGACGACATCAACCGGACCGATACTGAAGAAGAATATCGTCGAGTCTGGCAGACAGGATCGCGAGCACTGTACTTTGCACAATGCGTCGATCCAAATGAGACCTGGCTGCCCTTGCTGGAGAAGGCATTTGCCAAGGCACATGGTGATTACTCTGCTATCGAAGGTGGCTTTGTTGGCGAAGGCATCGAGGATCTGACTGGAGGCGTCACATCCGAAGTTTTGTCTAACAACATTCTGGACAAAGATCGCTTTTGGAATGAGGAACTCATGAAAGTTAACAAGGAGTTCCTCTTTGGATGTGGGACTGGTCTTTTCTCCAACTGGTTGGATCCGAAGTATAATGGGCCGCCGCGAGATCGCAAAGGTATATCGGAAAACCATTCTTACTCTATCATGGAAGCCCGGGAGATCAGAGGGTATCGCCTTCTGCGACTTCGGTAAGTGCCTCTTAAATCTGGCCAAATAAACACTGCTAACCAGTCGAAGCAACCCTTGGGGTAAGAAGGAATGGCACGGTGCCTGGGGCGACGGCTCAGAGCAGTGGACAGCAGAGTGGATGGAGCTTCTTGGACATAAATTCGGAAATGATGGGGTAAGTCAACTTCGCTTTTTCGCTTTAGATTTTGCGGTGGATACTGAAACATACGAAGTTTTTCTGGATTTCGTACAATGATCTCTTGAAGAAATACCAACACTTTGATCGGACTCGACTGTTTGGGCCGGAATGGACAATCACCCAACAATGGACGACGTTGAATGTGCCATGGTCTGCGGACTACCACAGCTCCAAGTTCATTCTAAATGTGACACGGAGCGGTCCTGTTGTCATTGTCCTTTCACAACTCGATACCCGCTACTTCAAAGGACTTGCGGGCGAGTATAACTTTGTGCTGAAGTTCCGACTCCAAAAAGAGGGCGAGGAAGATTATATGGTGCGAAGCCACAACAGCCATTTCATGGCCCGCTCTGTGAACGCGGAGATCAATCTCGATCCTGGCCGCTACCATGTTCTGATGAAGATCATCGCCTTCCGACACGAAGATGTCGAGTCAACCGAAGAGATAGTGCGTCGCCTCGCTTCTACGAGACGCGAGAAGCTTGTACAGGTCGGCCTGTCGTACGACCTGGCTCATGCCAAGGGCTTGGTGGCCGAGACAGATCAGGAGCGCTATGAAAGAGAACGTCGCAAAGCTGCCGAACGTAAGAAGCTCCGCGAGGAGACAAAAAGAAAACTGCAGAAAGACTACATCCGAGAGCGCAAGATGGCTGCCCGACAACAGCGAATGCAAGCACGTCGGTCTGATCGAACTTCAAACGGGGCATCCCTTGAGCGAAGTCCTGAGCGCGGCCCTATCCCAGGACAAATTCTTCCTGAAACACAGACCCAATCACCAATCGATGTCGCAAGCATCTCCAGCGATGGTAGCGAGCAAAGGCCAACGACAAATGGCTCGGTTCCCACAATCCAGTTCAACGGCTTGCACGCTAGACATGCTAGTGGCTCTCACCGTCGACGAACCGAGTCACCGCGGCCGAGTCTCAATACCCGGTTGGCCATGGACAATTTGGATGGTAGTGATGTGGAGCTGCTGGATGGGTTTGAATTTGATAGCGACTTGGATATGCCAGCGGAGGAGAATGACCAAAAGCCCGCAGCTCTTTTGCAAGATACTGATGGCCCTGTGACTGATCCATGGAACGCGGTTTGCGTCGTTGGATTGCGTGTTTACTCTAAGGACTCGAAGTTGAGTCTGGAGGTGGTTCGTCCCGTTCCTGAGGACGATACTGAGGCCCCCCTTGACCGTGACGACCCGGCGGCTTCGGCCACAATTGAGAAAGCTTTCTGGGGCATGAGCATTGCGCCTTGATGAACAGCATGTGTTTCTTTGGGTTTCAAACTGCGTAGCATGCGCGCATAGATGGAATAGCGATCCATGTAAGATAAATTGACAGACTGCTTCATATTCAGCGCCTCAATCTCTTTAACAAGTGCCTTGTATCATTGAATATTCCTATTTTCGATTATCGAAATTGCTTTTCAAACATGAAGCTATACTACAACTCGATTTCATCGAAACTATTCATCGAGGAAAAATGACTGGTGTCAAATCCTGGACCGCTAGCATCAACCCAGCAAAAATCACTAAGTCCTCCAAAATTCTCCGAACCAAGAAGTTGCTCCTCGGGGGAGCTTGGCTCAACCTTCATGTCCAATCGTCTGGATAAGCCTCGGCCCACGACAGACGCCAAATCCGATTTTCTCCCGAGACACTGTAGTGCACGAATGCTGATCTCACAGCCTTGGCGGAAATAATCCTGTGACCTGGCAGGGCTGCAATAGACCGGATCAGATGAGACGACAAGATTATCCAACATGATATATCCAGACTTGGCGAAGGAATGTACGAGAAGGAGAGTAAAGGGTTCCGTTAGGAATGCAGTATGACTGAGCGAATCGTGGAACCGATGTTTCGCTGAGATCTTTTCACGCAATGAGCATTGAGCAAGTGTCGCGACCGCGGATGCATTGTCTCTTCTCATTGTCTGGACGAGATCGATTGCTTGTCGTGAGTCTCGTTGGGATTCCTGACTGAATTGTGACTGGTCGATACTTTCTATCACATCTGCCAGGATCATTGCGCCCAGATGCCAATGTGCAGCAAGCACAACATACCACGACTGAATGCGTGGGGGAAGCTTTGCATGGCTTGAGACACAACTGAGGATGAACTCGTTGTATGTGGTGTTCCAGTGTCGATATACCAGAAGCGCTTTATGAATCCCTTCTTCGATGGCCTCGGGCTCCGCTTCTCGATATGTAAGTGTCTGGAGCTGAGTGACACGGCGCCAGAGCAGGACCTTGACGGGTGCTCCATCTGAAAGGATTTCTGCTGCTTGTTCGTGAGAGCATGGCCATGTGGGCACGGGCGAATTCTTTTTTTGGTGTTCAGATGGTCTGTGAAGTAGAAAATCACCCCACAGGTCCTGTGATTTTCCACGCGGTCTCGGCGCGAAGAGATTAAATCCATCGAGATCAAGGACGTTTCCTGCATGAAGGAGAGCTGACGTTCTCGGACGAGGACCGATCGTCTTTTGGCTATCTTCGTCAGATACGACCGGGGGCCGTTGATGCATGGCGGCGATTTGGGTATCAAACATCACACCTAGCCAGAAGAGGAGGTCAAATGTATCGCGGTTTTCGATACTAGAGAAGTCATCGGTATCGGAGATGCCTGATGCTTCTTGGCTATTTCCGAAGACAGCACCGCTTCGCCTCGCAGCAGGTCGGGTCTGGGCAAATTTGTATCGGAAGCTGAACATCTGTCGGACAGCACTCTCGAGAAATGTATGGGCACAGTCATTTTCCAGAAGCTCATCCAGTCCGATGTCCTCATCATCTTTACAGGGTCGCTGGGTCAAAGAAAATAGAATGTTGGCAAAGACAACACGGAATGACGGCACCCCGGCCGATGTCTCTAGAGCATGCCTAGCATCACTCCAAAGTCTTTCCTGAAAGGACCTTTCATCTGCAGCAAGAGAAGAGAAGGGGATGTCACTACTTTTCGGGAAATTTTGCGACCATTGCGAAGCGAATGCCATTATTGACAAATGTAGGACGCGAGCTGCTGCCTTGTCCTCTGCCGCACTTAGGGAACGGCCTCTGATAGACGTCGCGGCATTGTCAAGCCGACAAACTCGAACACATATCCTATTTGACCAGGTCGGGCCCCATTCTGCTCTGTCTGGCCTTCCCTGGCTGTAGGGGCAATTTCGTTCAGTCAGCCAACATGAGAGTGCATTCTCCATGCTGTCGTGGTAAATGCGAACGAGGTTCTGGGTCACGGTCGAGCGAAGATGTTCGTTTGCGGTTTGGTCTGATAAGTTTGCAAGGAGAGCATGCTGGTATGTTGATTGGTATGTCCGTGTTTTCGAGAGTTCGGAATGCCTAGAGAGAAGACATGTATTCGAGATGCTATTCGGTTCGGGTCGTCGGAGGGGATGCGTAGCGTCATTCAAAGAGGGACTATTGATGAAGTCCAGGGTATCTGTTGGTTCCAAAGGTGTTTGCAAAATCTGAGTTGGCACAGACATTGAGTCTTCACCTGTAGAACCAACTTGGTCCTCAATGCTGGTCGAAGGCTCGGTGGTCTGGAGCAATAATTCATCTTGTCGAGATGACCTAAGACACGATTCAGCACCAGTGCTAGGATCGAGGGGGTTGTCGATCTCGTTTAGATGGTGCCTATCCGATGAAGACGTGCCCTCGTACAGAGAAGTACCATGACCGGTGATGGGAGTTTCGGGAAATGTGTTCGTGGTACATGTTCGTCTCCGATGCTGCAGCCGCTTGGCTTTCCTCGACGAAAGCCAATCAAATGTACAGCTCTTCTTGTACCGTTTGCAGTTGGAACACGAGTCGGGACGCGTATCATGTAGTGTCTTGATGAGATCAGGTCAGGGACTGTCTGCTGTATAATCCTTTTCATAATTCGATCGGAGTTCACCCACCGGTGCATCGCACCTCCTTTTGCCTTTCCTGCATTGGTCACAGCTATGATCGGACCGCCGACTGGGGGTCTCCATAGAAAGGGAAGCACTTAGGAGTGCAGTATTCAGCGGCAAAGGGAGATTCCGGAGTACATCAGACTAGAGCCCGGCTGGAGAACTTGCGGGGTGGAAGTGATGTGAAGCGAGCGGAGCCCCTCACGACTCTGTGGCAAGCACGAACTAATCACAGCTGGGCCACACATTGCGAGTGGAGAAATGGTCGATTACCCCATGGGGTTCAATGGGAGGGGCCCTTTCAGCCAACCGTGCGCAACTAAAACAGCCTACTACTATTATTCTATGTGAGCTACGTGAGCTACCAGTAATCACTAAACTTTTGGGTCTTCCAAGGCACTCGCTCTGCTGTCAAGCCTTGGAATTGTCTCGTCTATAGCTATCAGATCGCACGTACATGGGATGAAGTATCCAGGCGTCAATATTCATTTCAACTCCGGGACATGAATCAAACGTCCTGTGAAGTTTGCTCTTTTTTTGGGTTCGATGCCCATGTGCATCATTTGGAACCAGCCGCTTTATATCATATGTATCCACAACAGTCATTGTTTTTGATCCAGGTGAGATTTGCCAGAATATCGACGTCAGGTTTCCCACCGCATCCTAGTATGACATGGAACATGAATCATGATCGGTGGACGCTGATAGTGGTTCATCCGAGTCTGCGGAGATGCTCGAGGCTCGCATGTGGATCCGCAGACCGGATCCGTTAAGAGGAACCTCACCAACAAACATCACCGACAGCGCCAATCACATCCTGGACGCCTGTTCGATGGGCGGGGGATACAGACGGGTTTTGCGCGGGCGGGGCTGCGGTGCAACCTGCTGGGCTCTCGATCTATCCTTCTCAAGGCGAAAATAATCGTACTCATGCAGTTCGGTCACCCTGTATGGGCGGGGTCATCCTTGCGGATGCTGCGTTCCAGGTGATCAATCGTGCAGGGAAGTGGTTGAGATGGAAATACTATTTAAGCCCCCGTTTTCAAGATTTCGAAGGTGAGTGGTGTCTCATGCCTTATCCCCGTGTCTTTATGCTAATCTCCTCGATTCTCTCTAGATCACCTTATCATGCCTCCCAGAACCGAACTCAGAGAAAATGCATTTCGCCAAGAAATAAACGGGGATCTACGCCGACGACCTCCATGTCGATGCCTTGATTGTCGGTGCCGGGTTTGGAGAAATATTCTGTCTCCACAAGCTGCGAAAACTGGGTCTCAAAACGGTGATCTTCGAAGCAGGGTCGGATATCGGCGGTACCTGGAGATGGAAATGTTACCCCGGCGCGGGCGTGGACTCAGAGGTGCCCGAGTATATGTTGTCCATCCCAGAAACATGGAAGGATTGGACCTGGTTGACCAACTACCCCTCCTACGGAGAATTGCACCAGTATTTCGATCATGTGGACAATGTGCTTCAAATCAAGAAAGACACGGCTTTCAGTAGCGTGGTATTCTATGCCAAATTCGACACCAGCAGAGGTCGGTGGCACATCCGAACAGCAGATGGCAGGTCTGCCCAAGCCAGATATTTTATCGTCGCAACTGGATTTTCTGCAAAGCGATACATCCCGGAATGGCCTGGAATGGATCGGTTCAAGGGTATCGTGCACCACTCCTCATTCTGGCCGGATGAGCACATCGATGTGGGCGGCAAGCGCTGTGCGGTGATTGGGACCGGTGCATCGGGTGTGCAAGTCACGCAGGCTTGGGGTCCCCAGGCTGCCTCTCTCAGAGTCTTCCAGCGAACTCCAAATCTCGCTCTGCCCATAAGAAATGTGACCTTACCGTGAAAGTGCATGAAGGAACCAAAAAAAGCCTATCCCGAATTATTTTCACTCCGCGAAAAGCTTCGGAGGGTTTCTCTATACATTCCACGAAAGGGACACATTCGATGACAACGAAGAAGAAAGGCAAACCTTCTTTGTAAGGCTCTGGGAGGAAGGAGGCTTCCGATTCTGGCTTGCCAATTACAAGGACTACCTATTCAACGCCAAGGCCAACCGTCGTGTCTACGAATTTTTGGTGCAAGAAGACCCGAGAACGAATTGGAGATCCTAAACAGCGAGATATCTTAGCTCCCCTCGAACTGCCCCATTATTTTGGCGTCAAGAGTCCTGCCCTACAATCCACGTCCTATGAACAATTCAATCGACCGAATGTCGAGGCCATTGACATTAAACCCAACGGCATTTCCAGGTTTACAGAAAATGGAATCCAGTTGCAGGATGGAACTGTTTACGAGCTCGATATCATTTGCATCGCTACCGGCTTCGACATAGCGACTGGGGGTATGACGAACGTGGGATTGAAGAGTATCTATGGCACTGAGCTGGAAAAGGAGTGGAAGTCGGGGCCTATACATACCTCGGCACCACGGTGCGTGGGTATCCCAACATGTTCCATCTGTACGGACCACATGGTCCGACCCTTTTCAGCAATGTGCCTACGACGGTCGAGATCTAGGGACGGTGGATTGCCCATGCAATCAAGCAGATGGAACGCAAGGACATCAAGTACATCAACCCTACACATGAGGCTGTGGAAAAATGGAAGAAGCGGATCAATCGCCTCTCAGAAATCACGCTGTTCCCCACTGTCAAGTCCACCTATCTGGGCGGCAATGTACCAGGAAAGGCTTTCGAGCAGGTGAATTATGCTGGTGGGGAGCCTGCGTATGTGAACGAGATTCGAGCGGTCCTTCCTAGTTTTGATGGGTTTGAGGTGGTGAAGGGCACTCGGGAGGCGAGTCAACTGTCAAAGATTTGAAGGTGGTGTGGGTTTGATATAGTATGCATATGAGGAATGCTGATGCTCATGATTTTTATTGCTTGCTTGTTTTGAATCCACTGCGGTTCTTCGTATTCGTGATAGAGTGATCTGAGTTTAGTGTACAGATGGTCTGTTGTGTATTGTTACTGTTTATTAGAGATGAGTCGGTGAGTGGCCAGCAAAGTTCTCCAGATAAGCGTCTCTGAGACAGAATGACATCTGGACTGTTCTATTGAATACGTGATGATAAAAGTTGACGGCCGGGCTGACATCATTGTACATCTAATTTCTTTTCCTTCAGTAAGATTATTGGGCCACGCGGCAGATGAGGACGACAGAGGCATTATGGGCGCTCTGGCACACGTGGGATCAGACTGCAGGGCTGAGCACTGCTAAATGGAGCTGGATAACGATGCTGGGCGTCGAAATGACACATTGTGATTGGCGTGCGCGGCGGCCCCCACTGAGGCGATCGGCAGGGTTTGGGTTGGTCCCCACGCGGCGCCGAGTGGCTGCGCCAGAGCGCCAGATCGCGCCAAATTGGGTAGGTAGTGCTGCTGCTGAAGCCTGGGCGAGATGATCATCATTGCAGAAAACGAAGCATTTAAGTTGTCCCAGGGTCCATGGGAAAATGATTGTTTTCAACTTCAAATCAATACAAGTACAATCGTACTACCACTCAACAATCCTTCCACCCATTCATCTTTTTTTCTCGTTCCAAAAGACATCAATGCTTCCCATCACAATGGACGCCCCGCCTACATATCTAAATATGCCCGCCCACGTCGAGTCCTCCCAATCACAAGCTTTACTCGTCGACATGCAATGGAAGAAACTGCAATTCCTCGTCAAAGACGCCAACAATCCCGATGCAACCCCCCTCTACAGCGTCCGCCTGCAAACGGTCTTCGCGCCACACCTAAAATTCAAAGCCATCGAAGGCACTGAAGAACGCGAAGTCGGCTCGGGAACAATTCACACCTTCGGCATCAGCCCCGATTATGAGCTGCACGGCCGCCAAAGCACACTCAAGGCGCAGAAGCGCTTTCGAACCCACTACACGCACATGTCGCACGTCTTCGCCGACACAAAAGAGCCCGTGCAGATGACATGGACCAGCAACACGGATTTCAAGGGCTGGGACTTTATATGCGTGGATGATAAGCAGATGCCCGTCGCGAAGTTCTCGGCCAATCTATGGGCTGTGAGGAAATTTGGCAAGATCGAGCTTCTGGGCCCCAAAGCTTTTGATCCGGCTGCGAGGGATGAGATCGTTGTTCTTGCTGTGACACTGTTCTACTGTATGTATATACGCGTGAACAACCCGTTCAACCTTCTTGGATCTGCTTTCCTGTCGAAGGAGAAGACCGACCAAGCCCAGCCCCAAGAGGAACTTGCCGGTAGCAGTGATATCGGTGAAAAGCAAGACGTCATTGAGAAGCAGCATATCAAGGCAAAACATGAGATTTATTAATGAAGGGGTCGAACTCCGGGCGACTGTTTATTAGGATTTTGGCTGAGGATTGTTTATTAGCATGTTTTGAATCTGGGATATGGAGCATTTTGTTTTTAAAATTTTGATAACTCTGAGAACATTTTTTGAGTCATTTAAAAAACACGGTCTTCTATTCCTCCTTCACCAATCCTCGGAATATATCATTAAACCACTTCCCAGCGTCAAGTCCAAGGTTGGTATTCCCTTGTGACAATGTAACTCTCCGTTCGGCGAATCCGTTCTCGCGACCGAAAAAGCACGCTCGTCGCATCGCAGAAACCATTTCCTCGCTCTGACGAGACAGCACAGTGCATTCAGCCCCTGTCATTCCGTCTTTCGCGGCCAAGCCATCCATTTGGGAAAAGATTCGCACCCATGGCAATGCAACTTGTAGACGATGAACTCCGTGCCCAGGCTGAGACCAGGTATTCCCACTGCTCCCATAGTCTAGTCCATATGGGGGCCAGCGAGACATGGCCTTCCGGCGGCGCGTCTTAGTTAGGTTCTGACCGACATCATCTTCATAATACGTAGGGTATGCATCTGTCTCAAATGGGCCCCCATAAGCAACTTGCTGTTCCGCTGAGGTCGTGTTCTTCTTATCTTTGAGGACCGGGACCGGATATTCAGGGCCAGTGAGATACTCTGGGAATTCTCTCGGGACGTCTCGACCGGCAGATCGAAGGAATAATATGGGCGAGGCAAATGAATCGAAGCAGCGTTCAAATGGAGAGAAAAATCTCTTCCGTGCCTCGAGGAGTGGTACTAGGTCTGGCGGCGCCACTGATTTGGATGTTTTCTTCTTCGGTCTCTTTTTGGTTCGCTCTAACATTGCTGCGTCATGAGTCGTGCAGTAGTCATCTAGGCCTGGCCAGTCACAGATAGGAACCGACGCAGCAACTGCATTCACTGATTGTGCTTCGGTGAGCGCTAGCATCAATGCTAGAGATCCACCGATATGTGAGCCGAAAATTCCCAGCTGCTTCGGCTTTAGATGAGTTTGGATCCAATCAAAGCCCGCCAGCGTGTCGTGGACAGGGGTGGGGTACTGGTATAAGATCGAATCGGTCTTTCGCGGGGGCGATGATTCATTTGATGGCGAGTGGGACTCTTGCGAGCTCAGAAGAGTCTCTTTAGCGGAAGCATTGTCCCCGCCTACTTGGCCAAGGCGGTACTCGACAGTCACCACTGTAGCAGCTGTCGCAGAGGCTAGGGCATGTTGGAGCGAAGGAACAGTGGCATTTCTATCATAAGCAATCACATCTCCCTGTGATTCAACAGCTTTATCTGAGCCTACAGCCTTGTTATGAAACAATGGCCCTGGTGGGAGATACAGGATCAAATTGTGTTTTGTCGCCTTGGGTTGAGAATGTGTATCCTCATCTGGCACAGTTGATCGCGTAATGCTGAGTGTATATTAGAGCTGATATGTACAATGGCGTCAAAAGATGCAGTTTTCTTACCGTAGTGACACGAGTCCATTGTTCCCAACTGGGGTCGCGACTGTCTCATCCTTGAAAGTGGGCGAGGCGGTCGAAAGCTGCGCCTTTCCAGAATAAATGATAGATTCACATGGCTTCCGACTCGACCGAAGGACCAAGCGAAACGAGCCAGTTGTCAGCGCTCGCATGGCGCCATGAGTAGTGAAAGGGCAACGAGGTGAGCATTTGGAATATCTGTGGTCGCGCCGCGCAGGACCCACCCAAGCTAGAAAGGCTTGGCGCGTTCGCACCTTGTTGACTGCATATCACCAAAGCACTTAATAAAAGCATTGTGTAGAAAATAACTGTATCACTATTCCCGAAATACAAAGGGAGAAGAAAACAATAATTTATGATATTGACCTAATTGAACCTTGGGCCAAATTGGCGCATCAACGGCCGGTATTCCCATCAAGAAACTGGGGTTACGTATTATGCATTTTCATTCCTGTACAGTAAGGACCGAGTCCGATGTACTAGTATCTGACGTATAATGACACATCTTTGGCGTTAGGCTGCATTTACCAGTTGGAGGTGCGCTTGATTCGCTCGTTCTGGATGACCTCAATCCAGTATCCATCGGGGTCGAGGACGAAGGCGAGGTTCTTCATCATGCCATCAGTCAGACGCTTCTTAAAGTTCACGTTAAGGCTCTCGAAGCGGTCACATGCGGCTTGAAGGTCGTCGACGGAGATACCTTCGGGGAATAGACTGTTAGCAAGGGATAGGAAGGAAACCATTGGTCATCGGCAGTACTCACAGATGTGGCCGAATCCCTGAGGCTGGGCATTGCCATTATGGTAAACAGGACCCTCCTGATTCTCAGTTCCGTAGTTCCAGGTCAGCTCAAGAAGACCCTCGGTGTTTCCGTGGGCGCCGTCTTGGATGTTTTCCTTGCCGGCGGGATAAGCCAGGAAGTAAAGGTTAAAGCCGTTGTCCGGGTTCTCGACAGTGCGGACCAGGGCCATGCCCATAGACTCCTGATAGAACTTGAGACTGGCCTCGGCGTCCTTGACACGGAGCATAGTGTGGTTCATTCGGTAGGAAGAGGGATCCGTAGTGGCGGACAGGTTTTGCTCCGCGCGGCGGATAATCTCGACCCAGTAGCCATCGGGATCCTTCGCAAAGGCAATGTGTCGCATGCGGCCGTCAGTCAGTTTCTTCTGGAAGGGGTAGCCAGCATCCTCAATGCGCTTGCAAGCAGCTTCGATGTTGTCGACCGCGATGGCAATGTGGCCGAAGCCGCGATACGGCTCGGTGTTGCCGTTGACGACGCTGTAGTTGGGGTCGCTCTCTGTTCCCCAGTTGTGGCAGAGCTCAATGGTGCCCTGGAGGTCAGTGAAGTGCTTGTCGCCATTGATGGATTGCGGCCCCGTATAGGCCATGAAGTAGTTGGTGAACTTTCCCTCGGGAACGTCCATCTTGATTACCAAGTTCAGGCCGAGGAACTTGTAGAACTCCAACGATCGCTGAGGGTCCTTGACCCGCATCATCGTGTCTAAATGCCATTGTTATCAGTCTTGAGGACGGGAGGAGGGCATATTCGGCAGAAGTATGCGACACGGGGCGACAAACGGTTAAGCTTGTAGGTGGAGGGATCGGATGCCATGGTGAAGGATCGAGCTGCAGGATCAGTGATTGGTTCTGGTTGCGGGTCACTGGGGTGCATACCTGAAGCGCGGGGGACGGTTGACTGCGAAACGCGGAATGAAGTGAGGACCCTTGAAGACAGCCGGGCGAAGGTGAGCATTGTGGCAGAGGGCAAGTTGTGGGAGGGGATTTTGTCAGCGTGAGGAGACGGTGGGGCATGACGGCATCCCATTGTGAGGACCGATGCTAGCAGGAGCTCCAGCTAACCTAAGATACTACTACCTACATAGTAGATCCAGGGCAATTCTTTTGTTTTCTCTGTGCGAGATCAACCAATATACCCTGACCAGATTTGACCGCGACAGGTCGCCAATAAGCGACATCCACATCAAAATCGGGGGTTACTCGCCCAACCGTCGCAGCTCCCCCGCGGAACAATCTCGAAAGTGGACTCCGATCGCTCGACGGGCAACTCTCCATTCTCAACTCCCCCAACACCAACACGGCCGCAGCCCACACTCGCCTCACGCAGTCGGCGTCTTCGCTCAGACCGAGAGGTAAGCCCTGGATCTCGTTTTCTCTCCTGGATTTTACTTTGCACTCGCCTCTGCTGCACTCCACTGCCTGCGCCCTGTTCCCCCGCACCCGTTGATCGCCGGCTTGTGACTGGCCTCCAGCCCTTCCCCAGCTTCGTGTCGCCCTCTGGAACGGTCCGCAACGCTCCTGGGCCTTCTCTTTTCTTTTTCTCTCCTTCCTTTGTCCCGCGCTTAGCACTCGTGCAGGCCATCGTCTCGCATGGTCTGCCTTTTGCCGGCGACCTCCCCCAATCATTGGCCCCAGTGCTCTCACGTTGCCCCCAAATCTGCACGATGGTCGTGGCGCCGCTGCCGCGGAGCCTCGCACATCGCATGACCCGGCAGTCCTACCCTGACATGCTATAAATGCTGCTCCTTCCTCCGAGCTGCCTCTGTGCCACTCGGACACGGTGATATTCACGGTGACTTGTCATCTGGGCCGGCTCCTGCATTCCCTCGACGCGAGCTCAAAAGTCCCCCATCCTCGCAAGAGCCCGCTATGATCATCCTGCCCTCGTGTCCCTTGTCCGTTGAACTTTGTGGGAAGGCCAAAGCCGCCACTGCCCCCCGCATCCCTCATTCGAGCTATGGGTCTGAAGATGGCTGAATTCGAACCCTTTGCAGTCTCCAGCTTCTCCAAGACCGATCCCTCAACCCCGATCGATCCGCCGTTTCTCCCGTATTGGGCCCGGTGCCAGACTCAGTGCGCACAGAACCTGTTAGACTATTCTGACGAACCAATCGAGTACGACCACGACGACGAGGACTATAGCGATAACTGCTTCTTCTTCCCCGAAGACTGCTCGTGGACCCCGCCGAAAGACTGGGTTGTGGAGGCGCATTGTCAAATTCAGAAACAAATACACAACACCCAATTAGAATCACATTCTCCGTGCTTTCTAGACGCTACCGGCAACATGATTCCCGGACTTCCTGATATCAAAATGTTGGACTCGGAGGCGCTTGGCGATCTCCTCGAGGACAACCTCTCTCCGCCGGAGATCACCACAATCCTGTAAGAACCCTGCGTCATTCTGCCGCGGCTGCTCTGGAAGATCTTACTGATGATCTGTTCTTGCAAAGTGTGTTTGGAACCAATGGCGCCGTGTTCGCCTACGGCTCTTCCCTCTCCTCCCGTCAGTTACGAAACCTCAGCGCGACCTACGGTGCCGCGTACACATGCTATGCGAAGACTGCCTCCAGTGGAAATCTCACTGGTGTGAATCCGGCCAGCCACCCGTCATCCTACGTGACGGCAAAGTCCATGTCGCTAGGTGACGTGGGTTCGATTGTGTTCGAACTGGATGGCTCGGTAGCAGTCGTGACGCGCATTGCCGATAAGGTCCTCTTGGCTGCAGTGGGGCCTTCGAAGTCATCTACAGGCCCGGTAAATGGAGTTGATACTGAGCATCACGGGGTAGATGAGACAGGTTCAGGCGACCCGAGCAACGGATCTACTTCGGATGGCACTCTATGGGATGGCCAGCGCACTCCCACCACCGCAACATCCCCCAATCTCTCTACGCCTAATGGAAGCCTCAATGGGCGAGTCGAGATCGACCGAAGCACGGATCTCGCCCGGCTGGCCAGCTTGAATTTATCTGCCTCGCCGGCTGTTCTCCTTGCGCTAGAGTCGAAGTGTGCAGCCCTGGGAAGATTCCTTGGGCAGAAGCTCCACGACCTGGACAGCCCCGAGGACTTTTAAATGGGGTATACTGTGATGACATGACATGATATGACATGACATGACCCGGTCGAAGATTTCCGTTTGATATCCATGGCACGTAATTTCAGCGAGGCATGTTTTTCGAATCGTTAGCGAATGTATTAACTAAAATATGATGACAATTTGAGACATATTTTTCACAATGGTGCATTCGTTGATCCGGGTAAAATACAATTCTCAAAAGAGTGCTCATCCACAATATAGTCGCTTCGTACCTCTTGCAAGTCTTCCAGAGGACGGTATTCTCAGCCGCGAGGATGAGTCTATCTTGTGGGGTGCTGGCGCTGACTTGCACAGTATCCTGACATCCCCTTCATCTTGTCAGTTTTCCAGTGTCGATATTACTTCCCCTGTGTTAAAGTTGACGTCCTTGTCTACTTTTCCGAGCCTGGTTGAATCAGTCTTCCGGCTTATTCTGATCGCCATCAAGATGGGCGGTCCACACAAGATCACAACTGAACCTATCTATATCGGAATCGTTGGTATGTCAATGTCAAAATCTGTGGACCCAGATCCTTACCAGTTCATTTTTCTACTCTAGGTGTCGGGGTTGTTGGAAATTCCTTCTTGCGCGAGCTAGCGGTGCGGATGCCAAAGCCACCAAGGCTGATTCTTCTCGCCCGCTCATCGCAGGCTCTTCTTGCTTCAACACCAGCATACTCGCCATGCATTCCGATCTCTAACTGGGAGAATGCATTTTCAGATCCGTCATTGACTCGACTGGAGAAGGGTCTCTCACCACGTGAAATAGCCGACTATCTCGCCTCTGCACCAGGCCGTGTTATTCTCGTCGATAATACATCTGATCTCAGCTTAGCTCAGGCGTATCCTACATTCCCGAAGCAAGGCATATCAGTAGTTACCCCGAACAAGAAGGCTTTCTCGCAAGATCTCTCTCTTTGGAGTGATATTTTTGCATCTGCTACGCAAGGAAATTCTCTAGTGCACCACCAATGCACGGTTGGTGGGACACTACCGGTACTATCAACGCTCAGAGACCTGATCACCGCTGGTGATGAGATCTTACATGTTGAAGGTGTTCTTTCTGGGACACTTTCCTTGTTATTTGGCACCTACATGCCTGACCCCGAGACCTCAGATGCGAAATGGAGTTCACTGGTCGCACATGCGAGGGAGGCAGGCGAGACAGAGCCGGATCCACGAGGTGACCTTAACGGTCTCGACTTTGCCCGAAAATTGACCATAATCGCACGTGTGATTGGATTGGATGTCGCTAATGCAGAGTCCTTCCCAGTTGAATCTCTGATCCCGGAAGAATTGAGGTCATTGCCCTCTTCTGCAAAGGGCGTGGAGCAGTTTATGAGTGAGCAGCCACGATTTGATGCCCAGATGGAAGAAGCCAAGGACAAGGCACATGTCCTCGGTAAAGTTCTGCGCTATATTGGGTCTATTGATGTTCCCACGAAGACAATCAAGGTTCGGCTGCAGCAGGTTGACAAGGGGACTCCAATCGCGGGTCTACAGGGAAGTCAGTTTGTGAGCATCTATACAAAACGACGCGGAGAGGCTCCGTTGATCTTTCAAAGGGGCGGAGGGGGTGGTGATATAACAGCCCATGGTTTAGCAACGAATCTACTCAAGATGATAGAGAAGTTTCATAAGTAGCCGTGCTGTATTATTTGACTTCGAAATCAATTTATCTTCCATGTCTGCTCTGATATGAGCTTGTTCCTATTTATTATTACCCCCTACATTACCAAATCAAATGAAAGATAAGAAAAAGACATTCCTGTCAACACCAGATCTCAAGTGTGCAGTGAGGTATTCAAAAAAAATGAATGAGTACTGAAAACAAAATCTATGACACTATAGAATATTGAATACATAAGGATCATGATCCATGAATAGAAAGAAAAATGTCTATCAGAATATACGCCCCTGAATCCCAATTCTACAGGTTCGGTCCTCCCAAGCCAGCCGAATTACCACCGCTGGGGGACCACCAGCCTTCGAGATCCCCGAGGCCTGGAAGCATGCCGGGATCATTTGAAAACTGCGGCGCAGTCAAATCATTCATCGTATCCATGTCGCCATTTACCCCGTGGGTTTCTCCGAGTAGGTTGAGATCAGAGTTGCGAATCCAATCAAGTTCGTTCGAAGATGGCACAGTAAATGACTGTTGTTGCGGATCATAGGAAGACGAGTCTTCCTGGGACGGAAATTGTTGTGAGGGTTGGAATGTTGGATTTACAGCAGAAGGTGGAGCAGCCGTCGAATGATGTTTAGCCTGAGAATTCTCGACCTGAGAAAGACGAAACTTCTTGCGCAAAGGGTCTGATGCTTGGCTAGCGTGATTATACTTGTGAGAGGAAGCTTGCTGGGATGCAATAGATGACAGATTTGCGCTGCTAATCTGTCGCTTAGAAGCCGGTCCGGACCGGCGCATGTGTGCTTGCCAGCGTCGTTGCAGGGCCACGAGAAAATCGCGAGTGCGCTTAGCATTCTCGAACGATTGACCCAGCTCATCGAGTGCTCGGAAGCAGAGGTTCAGATACGCAACCATTTCCGCATTACGCGGGTGCGGCTGGCTGATTTCGCCGGGCTTGCTTGGCATGAGCGGAGAGCTGGATACTGTGACGAAAAGCAACATCAGCGCTGCACTGAAGATCATCGCCACTACTTGATTGTTCATCCGTCGGAATGAGTAGTGCTTCTCGTAGATGTGAAGAAGTCTTGCAATTGCCGTTGCAGACTCAACACACATTCTGCGAGCATGATGATATCCGGGTCCTTGGCGGGGACTGCGCGGTTGGATATAATTCTTGGATACCCAAGGGCGGTGGAAGAAGATGACGATTTGATGGTATTGCATACTGTGAGATGAGTTAGAATGGTCCTGTGCATTGCGTTTGGGTTCTTCGCTTACTGGAGTATCAACAAATGAGGGGTCTTCGGGGTATTTTCATCATCGAGATCAAGCTCCAAAGTCGAAGGCAGATTAGCCTTCCATGAGAAAAGGTCCTCCGTGACTTGAAATGTGATTCTTTGTAGATCGTGCCGCGATATATCCGAGCATCCGTATCTTTATTATTTGTCAGTGCATGAAATCAGTCTTTTTGGGAGAAGGTAACTCACAAAATATGACCAACAGGTGAGATCATCTCCCAAAGTACGACGAATTGGCGACAAATCAACTCAGTGGAGTCTTTCAGGCCATTCTCAAGAGAATGTGGGGTATTAGGAATCCCGTATGGACGCCAAATCGCATCTTTATCAGCGCCAATGGTAGAAGCGGGTTTGGGGACAGTGATATCCCCAGCATTCATACGGAAGGGCCTGCCCAAATAGAATCCCCAAAAGCTGTAAATGTAAGTATATTGGAGTGTCTGACAGGATGCATCGTTGAAACTTACTGATCCGCAACATAGCTCCCCCAGAAGGCCGTCCTTCGCACATCGGCTTCATGAGAGCTCATGTCACCATTGCTGACATAGGAAGTCATATCTAAGTGCAGTCCAAGGTCGAATGCAAGTCGCATCGACATTCCTATTAAGAAAGGTGAGTGGCTAGTTTCAGAAGGAGAAGCGCCTTTAGCCACCTACCACTATAAAGCCAGCCACGTGCATCACGATTCGATGCACCTTCATGGCAACTCAAAAGAACGAGTGCCTGAACGGTCGCAACACAAGGTGTGTCCAGTTCAATCTCCAAAAGGGCTTTGGCTCTATCTGCAAAAAATTCTGCCAGAGATTTAGGGAAAGTAATGAATGTAGGGTGATATCGTGCTTCAAAAGCACTTCCGATTGCGCACCTGCCGTGAAGTCAGTATTTGTTCAATAAAACCGGGGGATTTGATGGCACGTACATAGCATTTGTGAGGACTTCTGAATAGAATGGTGTGTCGTCGTACTCGTTACGCCATTTCAGTCGTGCAGTCATGTACATCGCCTTATCCACCACGCAGATACTAGGATTCTGCCAAGTGAAAAATAGTTCGACCAGATGGTCTTCCAGTGCCTGATCAACAGGCTGCCCAACACGGAGATGGTTGAGAATATCTTGCCCATCGTGACGGACGGTTCGTGCATCGGGTCGCTGCCGCTGTTGCGTTGCAGAAACATCCACCAAGTTGAGATTGGACGTAGCACCGTAAAATCGAAGATGGCCATCCCCGGCGATCTTCAAAGTCCCGATTCGGTTTGACAGCTGTTCGATCACGTCACTTTCAGCTGGGTTCTCCTCATCGCTGTCGGAATCGTGATCTTGGTTGTAATTCGATACCTGGCCGAGTAAAACTCCAGGCTGCTGAGCCATGTCCATGCCGATTTGAAAGGTGTCCGGGCTTAGCCCTGTATTGGGCATCGCCCCGGCTCCTCCGTTCAGATTGGCATAAATCGTATCCAAGCTTTCTGCCGTGGGAAGTGTGAAACCCCAATGGACAAAGTTTTGGTTGTCAGGCGCACCGCGAACCATTCCGTATGGATTCCAAGGATCTGCGGAGGGTGGCATTCCATTTTGCTGGCTTCCAGTAACACCACCCTGCGAAGGGGTTGTGCTCGCAGGGGCTCCTTCGACCGATCCTTGAGCTTGGCCAGGTGGGGTGATGATTGGTGGACTCTGGACAGGCGACGGCCCCGTGTCTGCTGGGGTAGCAGTTTTCTTTGTCATGTTTTGATCGCCCATAGACAGGCTAGTCATTCTGGCAGCTCCACGTGGGATTTGTAGGGTATCCAATACCCTATTGATACCTGCCTCGTCCTCGGGGTCCATGGCTGGGGGCAATAATCCTTGGTCATATATAAATTGACAAAGCTGATCAATCCTGGCGGAAAAGAGCTCTGTAGAAGCTCGAAGAGATACCCTATCCAGATCATTAGCTTCGAGCACTTATTGACATGACTCGAAATGACATCTCCCGGCTGTGACACATATCTGGCCGGGTAGCTACCCTGTATGATATCTTTCGCGCCATTGGGAATCTTGGATGAAACACGATGCATAGAGAACATTTCAAAAGAACAACTTACTTTCGCTTATCATCGCCATGATGGTATTTACAGTCTTTGCCCTTGCGCTGGCAATTCTGGCAATGTGGCATCGACCCGTCGCACTGGACGAAGAAGTTAGACGCGGCTATCGCTGCGCGGGCTTGAAGCACTGGTACATACTCGGATCTTGCTCTCCCGGCAGGGTGCACATGCAGTGGTGACATGCTTCCGAGGAGCCTTCTTGCTCTTTTCCGGTTCTGGCGACATGGCCAAGAGTGCCTACTGCGATTTTTGCGGAGAGATAGATTGACCGTGGTGGTGGCGGTTTTGCGTTAGGGAGATGCGGTCGTGAGTCAAGCTGCCCAACGTCTTAGCTCATCCCATGCCGGCCGACGACGTGACGTGGATCATCTTCAAGTGTCCGATCTGGAACTGAGATTGTCAGCAGGGATTGTGAAGTTCGGAGGAAATGTTCGTCTTGGGGGCGGGGAAAGGTCCACTTGGGCGCCCGCCTATGAGAGGCTCGGGGATAAGCCAAAGTCTCGCCCCCGCCTGGGGCAGTCCACCTGATCACCTCCTAGTTAGACGACTAGTAATACTAGCAGGCAATATTAGGGCAGAGGCTGAAAATGGCATGTACCTTGTCACCGTATAATGAATTTCAAAACTCATATGTGATTAGTGTTCGATCGTCGCAATAATATCTACTGAACCATCATCATATTAAATCTTGGTATAATCTCGGCAGGAGCTCCAAGAATTAGCATCATAGAAGTCATGCCCATTCTTATCGCAAGGTCGAACCCGCCATGGTCAATATTATCAACTTGATTATGCAAGGCAATGTGAGTGCAAGCATCTTATGTTCCTTAAAGATCAAGTCTGAAATTTCAACAAACAGCTTGTCCACGATACCTTGGCCTTGTGTATGTGGAAGAGGAATAGAAGCGTGGACAAACTTCGCTTCCGCATTGATCAATCTAATTACAGTAATAGCTCCAGGGAATTCAAACCGATTATCTTCTCTCGTCTCCCTCGGGTGTGAATGCCTTGGCGTGATGCCAATTTAGGGTGCAATACCGTGTAGATCACGGCCTGTCACATGACCTGTCACGGAGTCGGCACCGTTAACCCCGGCCGAGCCACTACCTGCTTCCTTCTCCATTCTCGCCCAACAGCCACGCAAACCTCTCAGACTGCCCGAGAAGAGGCTTTCAAAATTTTCCCAGTCCATCAAAATGAGTGACGCATATGAACGCGAGCAGTACGTGCCCCTTTCTCCCCACAGGGCTGTCGGGGTTGTCTCTTCAGCTACCAAGGCAACCCGAATCGCCCGCCCCCAGGCATTGCCATCCTACCTGAGCTCTTGTCGCTAACTTTCGTCCAGACAAAACAACGCGCTCCTCAACTCTCTCTCTACAAAAGTCTCCGCTCTCCGATCGGTGACAATCGATATTCACGACAATGCGCGGGACCAAGAAACCATTGACCACTCGGTATGCCTCAACAGACCACAACCCAAACCCCGAACCTTGCACTTGGGACACCAGGATGTGATGCACAGAAACAAAGAATGACTGACGTATGGCTTTATCCCTAGAACGAAGTTTTTTCCTCCTTCTCGACGAACCTGAAAGGTAGTGCCTCCCGACTGACCAGGATGGCGAAACAAGGAGACACCGTTGCTGTGCTCAAGATCGCCGGCATGTGCATCGCAGCAGGAATCGCCATTTACATTATCCTGGGTTGGATCTTCTAGATGTGGCGCTATGCGATCCATGACCGCTAGCTTCTTCCTCTACCCCTATCTTCACGGCGCGATCGGCTGGACATCTCGCTGGACCGAGGTGCACTCCGACAATTCGATACAATACCCAGAGTATGCGCTACCTGTCTACATACTCTCGATCATAATAACTTCGCTTCCTGGAGCGTCGTAGTCGGTACGATCTACAACACGCGAGACGGACATACGAGCGGCTATCTCATTACTTCTATTGATGCTATGATGACCCGTGCCAAAAATACCAGCGAATTCATCATCCTGTAAAGTGCAAATTGCTCTTTATATTTGCATCTTTTAAGGAGAGCAGTCTGTTTTCCTGGTATGTTCTATATTGCTACTGCAATTATCCTCATCGCTAGAGTGAACATAATTTTCCCCATATCGTGGGCTTTCTTAACGACTTTCGATATCAAATTATTATGCACTAATACCTTCATACCTCGCATCTAGTAGTGTGGCTTCGTATCGTGATAGTGTGATGCCGTGTTGGCCATCAAGTGTATGAGTTTGCCGGCGGTGTTCGCGAATTCGGGCTATGCCAAGAACGTCACCCTCTCGAAAGATGACAAGCTAAAATGCAGAAACAAAAAATCTGACTGCTTTAAGGTTTGCTTTTCTCGAAATTTGCAACGGCTGTGAAGTCTAAAAAGTGCAGAAAGTCTCCCCACCCCCAGATTTGCCGTTTCCGGTAACCGTGCCCACTGGAATGTTGGCCCGTATTCATCGCCAAAAGCCCTCGACTACCAGCCTACGATGTTCCATCGATCCTATTGCGGCGAAATTTTGACAGCGATTGTTTGTTACGAGTAGCAATGGCATTCCATGATTGACAGGATGGATGCGGCAATTAGTCCGTCTCGCTTGCCTTTTGATGGTTTTCCTCTGTCGCCTGGTTCTCCCCCCCTATTTTTCTTAGGAATCACGGCGACATCGTTGAGGCCAATTCCATCCACCTTCTTTCACTAGTGGGCCCTGGGGTCTTACTGGTGTCTCACCTCGTACTGCACCGCTGCAATGAGATCCAGGCAGTATCAGGTAATACTGGCCGCAGCCATCGTTGCTTTTGGGCTGTGGTTCCTGATGGTGCGGCTACACCCAATTGATAGCAACTGGCTGCATAATGGCAAGGTGACTATTCTGGATGGTAATTTCTAGCCCACCCATGAATACAATTTGATACAGGCTAATCAATCTGGCCATAACAGGGACCAAGAGCCCAGAATCGAATCAACAACCAGCACCGGTGGCCGAGAAACCAGATGAAAAACCAATTGCGGTACCTGCGGGAGAGTGGGATGCTTCGTGGAAGAACAAAGAAGCTTGGTTCAAGTGGTTGAAGTCATCCCCCACGCTGACAGATGAATCGACACTACCGACAACTCACATTTCGCATGAGGACGTCAGCAAATATGTGAATTCGATTCTCGACTTTGAGGACAACGCAACATTCGAGCGCTTGGAGTGTCCATCGAAAATCCCATCCCGATACAATCCAATGCGGGCTGCTGCCGGAAGCAGTGACCAGGTGAAATATTTCTTCGCCTTGGATTTGTATCAATCAGCCGCGATTATTCCGCGCTTGATGAGCAGTATCATCGAAGCGATACGTTTTCTGGGGCCAGAACACTGTGCCATTTCGGTTGTTGAAGGCCGATCTGAGGACGGTACTTACGAAATCCTGGCTACTTTAAAATCACGGGTCGAAGCCATGGGCGGCCGCTTCTTCCTTTCGACAAGCGATATCAATCCCCTGGGAGGGGATTATGACCGTATTGAAGCTCTCGCAACGTTACGGAACATGGCTCTTCATCCGCTGAAAGCACGAGGCCCTTCGAATTGGAATGATAAGATCGAGGGAATATACTCGTCGGACGCAATCATTATCTTCATCAACGATATCGCGCTATGTCCTGAGGACATTCTGGAGTTAGTCTTCCAGCATGTTGGTCAGGACGCACATATGACCTGCAGCTTTGATTGGATCTACAACGGCTCTTTGTTCTATGATGTGTGGGTATCACGTTCGCTGGTCGGTGATACGTTCTTTGAGATTCCACATGACGCCTCGTGGGCTTATAGCAAGGATATGTTCTGGAACGATCCAATCGGCAAGCAGCGATATGAAGCATATCAGCCATTCCAGGTATATTCGTGCTGGGGAGGCATGGTCACGCTGGATGCAGCTCCATTTGCTGAAGACAAGGTCAAGTTCCGCGCTTCAAAACCTGGGGAGTGCTACATGGGCGAGCCCACACTTCTGGCAAAGGATATGTACCGCCATGGCCTTGGAAAGGTTCTCGCTGTGCCTGCCGTCAATGTCGCTTACTCCGACAAGGAGGCCGTTGGCACGAAATTGACCCGTGGCTATGTCGGAGACCATGTTGACCAGTCTAAATCATCTCTGGGCCAGGACGAGCTCGTCTCGTGGAAGTCTGCACCGCCTGGGATGGTGAAGTGTCTTCCCAACTTTGATCAGCCGAGCTGGGTTGATCCCGTGTGATTAGTATGCCTTTTACCGTCAGTTTTCCACATCATGTTCACCTTGGCGGCGTTTAGTTCCTGTTTTGTATAGATATCCTGGAAGGTATCAATATTTTTGGCGCGAAACCATGCATCACTGAGCTGGCACAAAATATTTCGATCGTCAATTCGAATTTTGAAATCAAACAAGATCATCCCATGTCAGCAATGATAACAACACCACCACGAAAACCATGTGGCGCGACGGCATGAGAAAACTCGGACCGCAAAAAGTCTTATCCCGCAGGGCTTGGCAGGGTTACGTCGATCACCATAGCTTGAAGAGTTTGAAGGCGTCTAGAAAACTTCAGCGATCATCGTCGCACCGTAGCAAGGGCCGAAAAAACCAATTTTCCGCTCTCGGCATCCAATCTACCGAACACGCAAATTCTGACTGAGCATTGTCTGGCCACCCGATGCAGGGTTTCAGGGGTCCGCGCTTCCTCCGATATTCAATTTCCTCAAGGCGCCGATACTCGCCTTCCGATTGTCGTACCAGCCCGCCAAACCCTGCTAGCAAGCCCGCAGTGGGCCGCGATCTCAGAGCATGCCGCAGTCCTGGTCGGCAATTGGCAAGAAAAGTATCCTGGCGGTCCCACAGCTTCCGGTCTTGGATGGCGTATTATCACTATCTTGGATTCGGAAGACGTCAACCGAGCTGATAAGGCTGGCTAACCCTTGGTCTAGATGGCAGTTCGTGTGCTTTGCCGTCTTGCCCGAGTAGCGTTTCTCCGATTCGTGGTTGGCATTGCCGTGCGGGTCTTTGCATGCTCAGCAGATAACATCACGCCAGATTGGGAGGCAACAAGATAGCGGGCATGGTCATCCGCTGTGTGTTGACAAGATCCCTTTGATATAGCTGTGTACCCTTCATCTATTTTTGTACCGAAGAACGAAAGGTGTCACGAGCTGATCAGATCCACATTATTGGCTTTGACGACACCAGTGATGCGATGGTACCCGCTCAGATGGAAACAGGATCTGATTCTGGAACTTGGTCACACCGGTTACTGGATCCAGACGTTCTCAGAATGGGCCTGCAGGAGTACACAACTCCGAGTGAAAAGTTCACCGTCGATGATCTACTGGTTAGGGTGGGTCCGGGAGTAAAACCCTGGTGAGGACCTTACGACTGGCGTCGGAGTATCTTTGTGGATTCTGAGAGGATAGTAATTCCCAATCGATCCATCGCTCTGGGATGATTACCGGCATTGATTTCGTGCCAGATAGGCGTCATGGCACGGCACTGGGTACAGGGAACATACCCTGCACGTATCGTATCAATTCATATTCACTGGTACAACAAAGTGAAATCTTCTCGCCATCACATTCATCACTGTACTTTTGTCGCGGCGACCGGAAATCATGAAACATACTAGCATCTTCAGATCGTCAGGAGAAAATCGACATTGCAATTTGAACGCGCAATGGGATCGGGCAGAGAAACCGGGTCGCAGTCGGGATTCCGGTGAAGCGGGAAAGCCCGAAACCTTCCAAGAAGGCATCCCGACCGGCTTGAAAGTCGGCAAGCCAGGCCAAGACCATAGCCTCAGACAGCAGTGCAACCACCGCCGGGCATCCAATCTCGTCGTCGGGTTTGCTCAGCGGCGCAAACCACCGCGTTCCCTTGGGACGTGGAAGCACCCTGGAAACGCGCCATCGTCGCGGTGCCTCCTCCATCATCCATCTGAAATGGATCCATACGGTGCTCGAGACCTTATCTTCCTCGGACACCATGAGGCACGACCCGGCCATGGTTCTAAGACGACCACCCACGTCAAGCCTGGCAAATCGTCGTCATTTGCCAGGAACTAAAGACTGGATTGGGAGCGGCCGGTGAGCAGTTTGACACCTGCGTAGTGGAGCCTTGGCGGATCGCCTGCCGCAAGTGCACTTCCCGCTGCTCCCGCGACGGTCTTCAGGGACTTGTGAAGGAGACGGATAGTTCCGAAGGGGGTATCTGAAGGGTGTGCTCAAAAATATCAAGAAAAAAGGGATTAGAATCATAATAAACTCTGCTGTGAGTGGTGAGTTGCTACACAGCCATCGACATACCGGAGAACCCTGCTGCATTCAGAGATGCACGGATCCAATGGCGGACTAGCGTAGTTGCATGGCATTCCCACATGGTTATCAGGCACATTCCGCTTTGTCTTTGCGGACATGTTGCGATTGTGTAATCCGTAGCCGAGCGTCTTTGTTTTAGCATTCCTCGTAGCCTTCTCGTGGACCAGCAATTGCGCAGCCCTGAAACTAACGACGCAGATCATGCAGCATCATGGCAACCCTGTCGCGTACCACGACGCAGTGCGGCGATCAGCATGGGTCTGGGCCCGAGCCCCGGTGCTGTGTATCGGGGTGCCCGGTTCTGGTCCCTGGGGGGGTTTGTCCGACACCCGATTGCGATAGGACGCTCAGGCGCGAAGCTTGAGTACGTAGCCTTTCGATACCAGTTTCCTGCAAGAGAGCTACAGATGCTGGAGTGGGGTACAGCAGGCAACGCAAAATTGATAGCGCGGTGTAACCCGTATGTTCTGCAGCTCAGGCATGATCATCATTGAACGGGATCGATCGAGCAAACTGCGGGAAGGGCGATCCCGAGGTATGGCGTGATGGACGCAAAAATGGATAAACGAAGTCCTTCCCCCTCCCCGGTGGGCTGATAGATGTTTCATAAAGCACCTCCAGGAGGGTCCGCGAGGATTTCTAGAAGACGTCAATCTGCAAAGGTACCATTGTAGCCCGTATCTTGCGATTTGCCCGCTATGATACCATCGATACCCTTAGACGTATCCCATGTACGTGTGAAGTAGGGCTTGCTCTGTTGGTAAATGGTAAAAGGAGCATGTCAACACACAAAAATGGACGGTCGAATGGACCGCCTTCAGCTGATCGCATCGCTGACGTAAAAGCAAGATCAACGTCAACGGCCCCTCCATCATTTTGACTCATAAATTCCCCTGCTCCCCGAAAGATCGAATTTGATTCTTCTTTCTATTTACGGTCCTCGCCTTATCGCCAGCTTAGTCACCTCCTAGAGGCTCGCATCATCTCCGTCGCTATCGCCACCCACAAGCTCTGCCGGAAACGGCACACTCCACTACGCAGTGGGACCCGCTTGGTCGGACCGGATTGCGATTCTGGACATGGTCCGGTAGATCAGCGATCACTGAAAAACCGCAAAAAGCCGTCTGTGTCATACCCGGCTCTAGTTTTTTCTGTTCCGCATTGACATTCTGCCCCTCCCGATTCTCTCCCGGGCACTCACTCAACCCTCTCTATTGTCCTCACCTCTCGTGACTATCGGCAGCCCGATCGCGGCGCCGGGCAAAAACTTCATCATGGCTCTCAGCTTCTTTAGTGGCGGCGGGAGCGCAAGCAACGCCAAGTACTTCGATATTCGGTGAGTGGGACTCAAGTCGCGTGCGATCGCGAAACGGCCGTGCTTACGCTTCCCAGATTGAATGACGACTACATCGTCTTCCGCGGCAGCGAACATGAGGCTGCCAGCGCCCACCTGAAGGGGACCCTGGTGCTGTGCTTATCGGAGCCCCTCGCCATCAAGCATATCCGACTACAGCTCACCGGCATGTCGCGAGTCTGGTACGTACCAACCCAATGGCCTTCGTGAAGACAAAGACAAAGGCGGAAGGCAATGATCAAAGGAAAATAAACTGACTGAGATGCTTTCCAGCTGGCACTTGCCATCCAGTTCCACCGCCGGTGGCCGCAAATCATGGCGCGAACGAGTCTTTTACGACAAGACCTGGCGATTCCGAGACCCAGGCAAAGGCAAGACCGAGATCTTGGCCGCAGGCAACTACGAATACCCGTTCGACGTCGTCCTTGAGGGTTCCATGCCAGAGAGCGTGGAAGGTCTGTCGGAGACGTGGGTCATGTACCGATTCAAGGCTGAGATCGGGCGCAAGTACGCCAAAGACATTGTGGCGCGCAAGCCGCTGAGAATTATCCGAACACTGGACCCTAGTGCACTGGAACTGTCACATGCAATGGTAAGCAGGAACAGCCCACGTCCAAAAATATACGCCTCGTCCCCATGACGCCATTGGATGCTAACCCCCTGCTCCCTTCTACTAGTCGGTCGACAACATCTGGCCCAACAAGATCGAATACTCCATCAGCACGCCAACTAAAGCGGTCATCTTCGGAACCTCCATTCGCGTTGATTTTAAACTCATCCCTCTCCTGAAGGGCCTACGCATCGGCCAGATTACGTCACAGCTGATCGAGAGCCACGACCTAACCCTTAATCCGGAAGATCCCGACTCCATCCGCAACACTTACAAAATCACCCGAACCATCCTCACCGATGAACATGAGTTGATGGATGATAGCCTCGAGATCATCGACGAAGCGGCGGAGGGATACCAATTTACCCGGTATCTGGACATGCCGCAAACGCTTACCCGGTGTCTGCAGGACACGGATACCAAGGGATTAAAATTCGGCACAAGCTGAAGTTCCGCATTCAACTCCACAATCCCGACGGACACATTAGCGAGGTGGGTTTGGAAATAAGTGTCTATCCATTGGTTTCACCAGTGCTAACCGTCTCGCAGCTGCGTGCGACCCTCCCGGTCTCGATCTTTATTTCCCCGCACATCGCCATCGATGAGAACAACAACATCCGCGATGCCACCCCGCAGGCAACCCGGCGAGCGGCCGACGATCTAGCCCAGCAGGCTCCCCCTCTGTACGGAGATCACCAGTTCGATCAGCTTTACAGCGAGCTGGACCCCAATGGATACCGTACACCAGGACCAGGCAGTGGCGGACCAGGAACACCTTTTGGCCCGCTCAGCCGCAACATCTCTGCAGAAAATCTGGCGTCTATGAATGCGTTGACCAACACCGACATTTCCGCCTCCGCACTACATACTCGCCTGACAAACCTCAACTCGAACAGCGTCAACCACTCCCCCAACGAGCCCGCTCACGAGTCTCCCACGGAGAGCCATCCCAATTCTCGCCAGCTTAATGTTCACTTTGGGGATTACTTCGGTCCCGCTTCTGGTTCGACCTCTCACAGTCCCGGTAGCCCCGAGCTTTCACGGCGGCCGTCGGACGAGGTGGACCATGATCCGATCCCGTCCGGCATGGCCACCCCATTTCACCCTCAATATGCTGAGGTCGAGACGTTGAGCCGAGTCCCCAGCTACTCGACAGCGGTGCGCGCTGCGGTTGGTCCCTGTGACTCCCAGCTTCCCGGTTACGAGGCAGTCATGGCTAGCAGTCTGCCCACGACTCCGGTCTTGCAATCGCCTCAACAGGCCTACCTGCGAAGTGGCCGGACTAGTGGTCGAGCCAGTGGCTTCACTACTCCGCCCACTCCGTTAGAGGTGAATCGACCCGGCTACCTCCACTTTCAGGGCACCAATGCTGATGATGTGGACCGCAGGCTCCGTTTAGTACAAGCGCGCGCTAGAGCATGACCCATCCGGTTTCTTCAAGCACTGTCGCGCTTTCCATCATCTTAATCTCCATCTCCATTTTCCAGCCCTTCAAAAGTCTCTCGTGGAGCCAGTGCTGGCCGCTGGCTCTGGTTACCCCTTGCATCTCTCTTCTCTCGACACAGCGTCTGCGGGCCTGATCTCTGGTTTTTGCATTTCTTTCTCCGGCAGAGATCCTGCCTTCTCGTCGGCGTTCCGGAACCATAGATAGGATGGGATATTTCTTTAGACGGACATGACTACTTGCTTTCACGGAATATGACTTATGAGCCAGCCGGCTGAGAGAGCCAGGCTCTCACGGCATAAGTCACGCACGAATACCTTTTATCTAGACGCATGGTGATTATTCTTGCGTTAAATAATTCGAGTTCTTATAGCTCCAGACCTCATGATCTACTATTTACCTTACTCTAGTATACCAATGATGAACTAGATTTACTCATGACTTCCCATGTTTTTTATTCGTATACACATTGTACATTTTCGTCCGTTGTACCAGACTGATCAATGCTATTGTCCAAGTGGAGCGCCATCTTCCGCGTGCGCAATGTAACCTCCCAAGTTGCCCAGCGTGTCGCGATGCCGCTTTCGATCTTTAGGCGCACAGGGCTCCACTCTTTGTTGTGGTGCCCACCCAAATGCGTAGTACGTGGTGCTGCTAGCAGTCAGTGCGTCGAGCTCCAAAGTGGCTGAGCATCGACACAATTCTAGGAGTCCCTGTCAGGTTCTGCATTTGCCGATGGTGGGATTTGCTGAGGATTATTGTGGGTGTTGGGCAGAAATGTTGGATCGAAGCGTCACCAGAGCAGCGGTGACCTCATAGGCTTTCCAGCGCCGATCACCCTAGGATTCTCAAGCATGCGAAAACAATCCCACCTCGCGATATCCTTTTGTGCCCACCACGCTCAAATTGACCGACCCACCCCCCCCCTCGACTAGTCCGCCTGAAGACTAGCGCTTTCATGGCGATCCGGATTTTAACCACCGCCACAGCTATCATAGACTAATTCCCCATCCGCCCGCACTCGACCTGAACCTCGGAGTCGACAACCCCAGACAACCCCAGACACTCGAACTACCGATAGCTTCTGCGTCTCGATCTTTTGTGACACCAACTCCGATCCTCTTTCCCCGTCTCCTCCCCTGCCATCCGCCATGTCGACCCCGACAAGTCCCGTGGAGCACCAGCTCCCGCAGCGGTCGGCGACGCTGTCCAGCAGCATGACCCGCCGCACGTCGATGAGTGACGATGAGGCTATCCCCGATACCGATAGCAGCCAGGTGTGTCTTCAAATTGGGATTGGATGTTGGAACCGCAGCCCGTGGAAGACCGGTGTGCAGGTCCCCCTCGTGGGTAACAATGCACTAACATCTGCTTGTCCCTCTAGACTACCACCCTTCTTATTGAACGTCTGCGGGCATGGAAGCACACTTGTGGAACCTTGGAAGACTACATGACTGCTACTTCCAAGGTGTCCAAGTCCCAGTCGAAGGACCATGAGAAGATCCTGAAGGTGGGTGAACATATCGATCTGTATACTTGACATGCCCTGTGGCTAATGGAAGGCCGTTGAAAGACCGTCAGTGATCCGTTGAAGGAGAGCCACCATTTTAGCTCCAGTGCCGGAGGTGTGGCAGGTCTAGTTGAGAATATGCGCAACAATTCTCAGGTAGGGACTCTGTCGGACTGAACCACCTTGTACATTCACTAAGTTGCCTGAAGGGTATGGTCAACATGTACCTTGATACCGAAAAGAACCTGAAGGGCAGCGTGCTCCCGACTCTGGAACGCCTCCACAAAGAGATCAAGAACAAGTCCAAGGAGCTGAAGTCTGGAGCTGCCAAGGGAGCCAAGGCCGTGGAGAAGGCTCGCCAGCTGACCCAGAAGCACATCGAGCTCCTCGGCCAGAACTCCGCCTCTTACGATGCCGCTGCGGGCAACAAGATCGAAACCGCTCATGACCCCTACATCCTGAAGCGTGGTATCAACCACCGTTTGAACAAGCAGGTCACTGAGGAGAACAACCACCGAAATGATATCCTCGCCGTGCAGAACTCGTTCCAGCAGTTCGAAGCGCACGTTTTGCAGACCCTGCAGAGTGCTCTGGAGCAATTCTTCCAGCTGATGGGTGGCCAACTCGACCGCCAGCGTGCTATGTATGGCGATATCCTGGCTACTGCTCAGCGTATCCCGCCTGATTTTGAGTGGGTGAACTTTGTGGTTCGAAACGACGCAACCCTCGTGAACCCCGATTCGCCGCCGCGCTCATTTGAGAGCATTACCTTCCCCAATATGGACCACCGATCCACGCAGCCTCTGATTGAGGGCTCTTTGGAGCGCCGCTCGCGCGCTGTTATCAAGGGCTACAGCACGGGCTACTACGTCGTTACCCCTGCCCGCTACCTGCACGAATTCAAGGACAACGACGACTTCCGCCGCGATCCCACCCCGGAGCTGTCGCTGTATCTGCCCGACTGCATTGTGGGTGCCATTGACGGCGTCAAATTTAACGTCAAGGGCAAGGATGTCTCGAGTGGCAAGGTCGGTAACGCTTTCCACACCACGACAGAGCTCAGCTTCAAGGCCCACACTGCTAGCGATGCCGAGAAGTGGTGGACCGTTATCAAGGACGCCACTCGCGGTCCCACCCCGGCTCCGACCCTTTCTATGCCCACTGCCACCTCCCCCACGGGCTCGGCTGTCCCTACCAGCCCTGCCGGTAGCACTACTCAGAACAACCCTCCTGTCTACTCCGAGAAGGAGAAGGAAGCCACCGCTACTAGCCCTGTAGAGGCAACGGCTGCTTCTCCGGCTACCGATACAAAGGAGAAAGCACCAAGCCCTGGCATCAGCCGTACTGCTAGCACTGCTAGCCACTTCCACACCTCTCCCGGTGGATCGGCTGTCCAGGAGACCTCCGAGAAGCCCGCTGAGAAGTCCGAGAAGTCCTAAATAAAATATACATCCCCCTTTCGGTCTACACGTCTTTTAGTCTCCTGTCTATGCTGTTTGAGTCTCCGACACATATGCATCGGATTCTCTCCTTGATGCACAGCCAGCTTCATTTCCATTCTTCTCTCGTTCTCAAACTGTCTAGCTCATCAATATATTTGAGCGCGTCTTCTGTGATCTGAGCTATCAGCTCAGCTAGTTTTTGAATGCATGTCGCCTTCATACATATTGCCTAATTACCGCAAACACCATTTAATTCATGATCTTCAAACTTAGTTGCGATTCTTCTCGTCCTTCGTATTTACAGCTTCGACTTTTCCAGATCACTGAGCTTTCTCAGAGGAGGGCCGGCACGGCTACCGTCACCCGCCATGTTGTACTCCTTAGAGTCACCAGGAGACGGAAGCAATCTCCACTTCTCACGAAGATCCTTGGACGCCTTGCCCTCGAAGCAGTCTGCGATATAATTGCCGAGGACAGGAAGGAATTTGAATCCACTGTTTTTGATTAGCATTTCTAACTTTCCTGCAAGGAAATTATAGTGCTTACTGTCCAGCTCCACCGGTAGCCACAAACAGACCCTTCAGGCTCGGGTGGTCATCGATAATAAAGTCACCCTTGGGGGTATCGGTGTACCAGCACAGACGACGGTTCGACCAAGGCCGATTTGCAAATTTTGGGAAGAAGCGACGCAGGCCGTCACGCAGACCATCATCGGCGTCGTCGGGGATGTATCCAGTCTGTGCATTGCTGCTTTGCAGTTTGGGCGAAGAAATTGTTCTGTTACCATCGTTGGAGGTTGTCGTCTCATTGGCATAGCCGTATCCATGGCGGGCAAGCTTGAGAATGTTCGATCCAGGGGTGGGCGGGAAGCAGAAGATACCAGTGCTCATGTTGATCATGACGGGCGTATTTTCCAGGGCCCGAGCTTCTTCTTGGGTCAACTGGATGAATCCAACCGGCTGACCGGAAGACGAAGCAGCGTGTGCAACATTCAGGAGTCTATTCGTCCAAGCACCGGTGCTGAGAATGACCTGGGACGCGCGAATGGTTCCACCACTAAGCACGTTGACGCCGACAACACGAGAGCCTTCCTGTAGCAAGGAGAGGACGGTGCCGCGGGGTCCAGTAATTATTGAAATGCCCTCCACGCTGCATCGAGAAGCCAGCTTCTGGATACTGCCCGCAGCATCGGCCCAGCCGCCTCGCCGATTGAGGTACCCGTTCAGACCAGAGAGGTTGGACTGGATGTTCGGATATGACTTGAGGAGCTGGGTCGCATCAGGCAGATCCTCTACTGTGCCTCCATTTGCCTTGACAGTCGCGGCAGACTTTGCAATCCAGTCATTGTTGGCGTCCTCTGATAGAAGAGCGAAACCGGACTCGTAGTAATGGTCGGCGTACTCAGTCTTCCACCCTTGGTAAGCCTCGGCGGCCATTTTGCAATACAACGGATCCGCATAGTCAATTCGAATAATGCGGGAAATATCCACGCTGCTTCCATCGACTGCAGGAGGTGTGTAGCGGTCCAATACTGTGATGTCGCTGTATCCGCGCTGCTTGAGCTCTAGCGCCGTGGACAGACCGAAGACGCCAGCGCCCACGATGATGATTGACTCGCTTTTTGATGTGGGCATTTGCGTCTTGGTATATTTGAGATGTGGATTTGAGGATTAGAATTGTCGGATGATGCGATTATCGAAATGATAGAGGGTGGAGGGTTTTGTCAGGAAAACCCGGTTCGAACCCGGCTCAGAACCGGCCCTTGGCACCCGGGGAAGACGGAAACGGGCCGGGTGCCGGGTGAGGTATAGAAACCCATTTGATCGAGATTGAAACTGATATTGACGCTAATGAAGGTGTGGTTACTATGCTTACCCTGGATTTACACTTAGCCAATCCTCAAAGGCCCTCCCGTAATCTTGAAGTTGCAAGAACAATGTGTCTCCACCATTCAAATCCATGACAGGGTCTTCCGGGAGTCCCGGCATGTCCATTGCTGAAGACATTTGGCCCAGTGATTCTTGTCCCTGTGTAGAATGCTCGGCTTGTTCGGGGGGAATGTCACACATTCAGACGCCACAGTCTTGTGGCCCGAGAGACCGGCGGATCCAATAAGGGCGAAGTCGGGCTCACCAATCCCTCCAGCAGATGACAGGCCTGAGCTCCTAGCACTATCATTAGCCAGTAAGGGTCCGAGAATATCTTTTGTATGGTCAATCGATTTACTGGCGTGGGGATAAATCAAGATTTTCCATAGTAGCTGGACGTTTATTGACCATTTGGGGCGACCGCTAGAGTCACCTGCTGCTGAGCCGGGCTCAGTCATTAACCCTCCGGGGGAGATACTGCCTCGAAGCTGTTCCAGATGTTGGGCCTGGTCAAATCGAAGCTGTTAGCAAATTCCGAGAAGATAGCTGGAGTATCAAGATAGCTGAAGTATCAATATACCTGCCGACGAATATGCGGCCATCTATGACCCATGGCTCTCAAAAATCGAAGACACTTCTCGAAGCCTGTTTGTGCCTTTTTACTAAACGCTTCGTCTTCAGTGAAGCTGTGTTGAAGGTATATAGTAGCCACTATAGACACACAGTGGCCTAACGTCGGGTCGGATATTTCGAATGCTTTGTTTTCCACAAGATCGAGGAAATGCACTATCCAGCCCGAATGGAGAGTGAGCTGTTCGAACGAGTTTCGAAGGAATGACTGCGGCATTATCCTTCGGAAATTTCTCAATCGCATAGACAGAAGAAATGGATGGTTCAAAATGCATGGAACAGCATGCCAGGCTAGCTGGAAAAATAACCAAGGGCCCCAGTAGTCGCGATGTGCGTGTAGATCCTCCGAGGAATGATCTTGGAACCGGCTTGCGTGTAACCGAAACTGCAGCGGCATGCAGCTCTCATGCTCGGTGTGTCGATATGTTATCATTGTATAATCAGATTGCGGATGCCATGGAGGGTGTGCGTCGATGCGATGGTCTGTTGCGTATTTGCACGCCAGAGCCCATAGCTCACTGGTGTGCATGTTGGCCGTATTGATTCCAAAGTCGAGCCTCAAGCCGCCGCCCCCTTTCCGAAAGTCCTTTCGCGAAATCATTGTTTCAAATACTGGCGAGGCGAGGCCATCGGCGCTGGTCTTCTCATTGTCTCTGGGTGGAAAAGTGCATATATTGCCTTGTAGATTCTGGAGCATTATCACACTTGCGTGGCATAATTTGCGTTCATCCTGCTCCTTGTCCAAGCGATTGATAAACCTCAGTTCGCCTATTTGGGTGGCACCAATGAAATAGTCAGCCATTCGGGAATGGAATCCAGACCGTATCAAATTGCCAGCTAGAGATTTCTGTTAGTTTATATTGCGAACATTCTGACTGCATTGGGACCCATTACCTGTATATTCCAGCATGCTGAGAAGGCAAAGAGTCTGAATCGTAGACAGCTCCACTGTTCCGTCGGTCAGACGTGCCATAACTATTTGGCAAGCCTTTTGCGTCTGGCTTTGAATTTTCGCCTCTAATTGGCTTTCTGCGGTGCCACTTCCTTGAAATCGAAGGCCTAAAGCCTCCATGGCAAGGACAAGTTCCGGATCTCGTCTTCCAAAAGAGTTCGAATTGATGTTCTTGGGGAATAAAAGTATTGGCTGTGCATTGCAAAAAGTGAAATAAAGATCAATTGCAGACCGCGGGGGTTCATGTAAAGGGAAAGTTCTGTGATCTGTCAGCACACGAATCAATGTGTAAAACGGCAATATTCCAACTTACCTTGTCATGGCAATCTCTGGAGAAGCCTCTGAGCTTGCATACCGAGACTCCTGTATCCTATCCATCGTCTGGAATGGAAGTCTGTCTGCCTGCGATCCTTGGTTGCTGAACCCAAATCAGACAAGTTCAAAGAGCACTGGTGAGTACTTACGCAACAATTTCGACGAGCTGTTCGAGCTTCGACTCGATTCGCGAAACACGATCTTCCTAAAGGGGACTATGAGACCTGGTAGGCTCAAGCAAGCTGGAGATACGTACTATATTCTTTGCAAAATCCGACCCTTCTTCAACAGCTTCTGATCCCGTGTACACGCACTTCTGGCCCAGCCGCTCACAGAAGGAGCAAATGGGTTTTTCGCCGGGGCATCTTGTCTTCTTGCGTCTACATTGTTGTCAGTATGGGGCCGTAGATCAGGCATGGACTAGTGGAGCTGCGCGTACCGACATGGTTCGCAGGCTTGCCGGGCGCGTTTGGCCGGGCGCCCGTCCTCGGAGGGGGCCCTTCTTGAGGGGGATGTTGCCATGAAAGCCGAGTCCAACTCAGCTTACTCAACAAGATGGCCTGGAGTCCGAAGGATCCTGGACTAGGCGGTTGGCTTGAAAGAAGGATCCAGTCGTAAGTGAAGAGTAGACCGGATGCGGCCCGGCCAGAAAAGGCGCCGGGGCGGAAGCGGGTATTTTCAAGTTGGCCCAGGTGCGGCTGTCGAAGAGCCGCGCCTCCCCTTCGCCCTTGACCACTCATGCACCAGCCAAATCAGCCCAGGGGGCCTGCGATAGCCAGATTCGGGTCCAACAAAGCAACTCTCATCACAACTGTCATCAAGGACCGGGAGGTTACCGAACTCGGGGGCAATCGCCAGGCATGGTTGAATGATTTATTCTAGCAAGAGCACGATAGATAGCACATATTGTTGCATGAAAAACAACCTGACTCAAACAGAAGCTCGCTAGAACGCACAACAAATTCACATAAACACAACATCATAGATATATCCAAACCAAGTTAAATGGAAGAGATCACTAAAAACACTCTCCCTACACTTCATTCGCCAGCAGCACATCCTCCTTGCTATACCCTCGATTCTTCACATTCGAGGCGGTCCCCTCGGCAAAGCTGCCCTGGCAAGCAGGCCACCTCTCCGGATTTTCCCAGTACTTCTCATGCGAAGCCTGGCCCTTGAACAGGCCCTCCAGATCGAGCGGATCGATAAAAGTCTCCCATCGATCCCGGCGATCCCTCCAGCCAGGTCCGATCCGCTCAATTCGAGCATCGGTCCCCAGATAACGATTCTTCTCCCTCGGAATATACCGACCGGGATGAAGTAGATTGAGCCAATAGGTAAATATGAGCATGGGGCCCAGCTCGAACGCATAGAGATACCACTCATTGCTGAGAATGGGTCCGCAATTCTCGGTGCAGCCGAGTTTATCGAACATCTCGAAAGATTCGATGGCACGGAAGATACAGCGGAGGACGACAAATGCCGATGTCCCGTATAGGCTGAAGCAGACGATCTGCACGTTGCGGCTCACTTTGCGGGCCTTCGCGGCTCGACGATGCACAGTGGCGACGATCATTATGACCAGCATTTCTACTACCGCTTGCAGGATGAGACCGGCCGCGATCAGCTGGCCACCCTTCTTATATTCATCCAACTCGTCTCCGGCAGCTGCGTTTTTGGCTGCTCCGGCTGCAGTCATGCCTTCGACCGCCGCACCGAGGTAGACGAAGAAAACAAGCACGCGGTTCGGGTTGAGGACTGCGTGCATGGGGAGATAGTTCATCAGTCGGCCCACGATGTTGTATGCGGCGGCGGAGTAGACTGGTGGAGCCAGGTATATGAACACTGCCTGGGCGATGTAGAGGCCCAGGTGATCTGGGTAGTAGCTCGAGATGCAGCGGAGGATCCATCCAATAGTGAAAATGATTCCTCCCCAGGAGATGAAGAAGGTGATGCGCCAGAATCGATAGCGGCTGTTATTGCGATGTCAGTATTTGCATCTCTCGGCAATTTAGCAAGAGAAACGAACATGTTCTGCAGGGTGTGGAGAATCAAAGAGATGGCCACGAGGGCAGCAAAGACCGCCGGCAGAATATGGCTGGGCTCGTATAGATAGTAGCCATGCGGCTTTTCTTTCCCATCGATAGCCATGGTGAGCGAGTGTGAAGAACAGGAAACTTGAGCGGATGAGCTTCCATCGGAATTCTATCCCCTTTAAAGTACATTTCGACTGCCCTGATCGACTATGTGGAACGGGATGAATATTCTGGTGAAGCGCTACATCCTACCAAGATGGGCAGTGATCGCCCGGAGGCGCAGAAGGACTGCCAGGCTAGCATCGTCCCCAATCGGGCCCTTGGTAAGTAGTTGCCCTAAATACGACAAGTGACTACCTTAAGTAGAACTACCAAAAGAAGGTGAACAACCCTAAAACGGGCGGCATGGTATATTCTCCGGGCCCAATCAGAGCTCCACAGCCCGCCTGGCAGCGGCACATGCGACCCAACACGGTTAGCAGCGCCGCCAAGAGAAGCTCCCAAGATGACAAGATGGCGCAGCTTCAGCCCCAACTTCTCGAATTACTCCCCTCCATCCCTTTTAGCGCGCCGGCGGACGCAATTTCAAACCGAGAACAGGGCATTTGAGAAGCTCGGGACTCGGAAAATAGCTTCGTGACATCAACTCGCGTGCAACCAGTGATCCACTGCAGCAGGGTCTACAGATCAGATCAGATAGGGATCCACCATGCCTGGCGTGCCGACAGGGCGGGCCTGCGATGCCTGTCGCAAGCAGAAGAAAAAGGTCCGCTGCAATTTTCCTAATTGGTATACACCCGGCGACGATTCAGGGACTGATTGTGGCAACAGTGTGATGAAAAGCAACCATCCTGTGCACGCTGTCTACGCCTGAAGATTCCCTGTGTGGGATCGGGCCAGCTGCGGTTCAAATTTCAGGAGGAGAAGTATTACTCCACGCGGGCGAAGAAGCAACAAGCTCTGGTGTGGTCAACAAGTGGATCGGACTCGTCTTTATCACAGGCTTCCTCGCCGCCGTCAACGGTTACGCCTCCAGCAAAGCAAAGAAAAGCTCCAGTAGCAAGATACAACGCTCGTGGACCACCAGAGTCCCCGCAGCCAGTCCCAGGCAATGAGCTCTCCTCGATGGCGAGTGCATTCATTGCTACGATTAAACGCACGACCGACCTGCGGTATAACCTATGGTGGTCATTCGGACTGTGGCTTGAAGATGTACCCCGACGACTCGGCACGAACGAGGCGCTGGACCGTGCGGTGGATGCACTGACTACCGCGCATGCCGGGTTCTCCTGCAATCAAGCTGTCTCGATGGAGACGCTATCAAAATACTCCCAAGCGCTCCGCACGCTCAGTGTGTACCTGGATGACCGGGTCCATGCGCAAGCATCCAGTACACTAGGTGCGGTCATGATCCTATTAATGTGTCAGATGTTCATGGGTCCCTCCAGTCGAATGTTCTCGGGACATGCAGAAGGTGCAGCGCAGATCCTCAAAGCGCGGAAAGACTTTGGACCGCGTGATCTGTTCGAGGCGAAACTGTTCTTGTCCCTCCGTGGTAGTGTTGTAAGTTGCACTTTTCCCCCTTCTCGTAGTACATGATGGATTTCTACCTTCTATATAAAACTCCTCCTATACTGATGATTTAACTAGCTATTCGAGGGCATTTTCAATGAACGAATTGATCTCACTCCAGAGGAATGGGATACCCTTGTGAGAAGCGACTACGATAGCTCAACACCAGACGGCCAAATATTAGCTTGCTTGGCCAAAGCCCCTAGCCTGATGCGGCGCGGCCGTAAAGCTCTCTGCACCGGCGCCGACACAGTTGATGTCCGCGACGAAGTCTGGACAGTATACCAAGAATGCAAAATGAACCTCAGCGTCCTCAAACACCGATCTGTCGAAAACGACTTTTCGGAAATGTACAATGCCGCCAGTCCCAGCGGGCGGAAATTCATCATCGAGTTCGGCTTTGCCCATTTCCAGCGCTCGTATGGCATTGGTCTGGCCTGTACGCTGGTCTTCAATTGCATCCTGACCGCACTGGATGCTCATGATGGCGCGACCAAGTTTGACGCCGATTACCTCTCCGAGGAAATTCTTGACCTGGCCAAACGCTCCGTGATCTGGAGACCCATTGGTGCGGGCTATCTCATGATTTGCGTGTCGGCTGCTTGGGCTGCAACTTCAGATGAGTCGTTGCAGAGGAGATTGCTGGTTCATGCAAAGGAATTCAACAACGACTTCAGGATACGCGACTCTTTAGTTCTTGAGAAAGAGATGCAATGGACGAAAGAGCATTTGTGCCTTGGAAGGTCATTTGCGCATTCTGGGCTGTTAGAGTATCAGTGAAGCGGAAGATGGACATCACCATGGGCCATGAATTTACGAGTACGAATACCCACTGCATCATAGTAACTATCTACCAAAGTTAGAGCATTTACGAGAGCGAGTCTTTTTACGTGCCTGCATGTATCTACAAGTTCAAGAACTGGATCAACCGCCAAATTGCTGTCATAACCATAGGCTAAATCCCACCATACTGGGCTCTGCTCAGGTCATAGAATGAAGAGGGTAAGAGTTTAAGGGAATACAAAAATGCTCCGGTCTGTATGGACTCAAAGTAGACCACGACAAACAGAGCGGCAAAAGGAAAACGCAAAGAAACAAACCCCAGACGCTATGCGAAGAGACAAATCAGACCATGTGTGCGAACAAACTATATGGCAATGCAGTGACAGGCCAGGCCCTCGAGAGCCAGAAACCCCAGCCCCGAAAGGCCAGGACTGGGGAAAGCCACACGAAACACGAGGCCGAAAAGTATGTGTAACAGGATGCCCTGATGTGATACTGCTTTGGACAAATCCTGGAATGCCGGCATGTGCGGGAAAGTAAAAGATACGAACCCATGGCGGGGTTGGTCCGATAGTCAGAAATTGGGGGGGGGGGGGGAGGGGGGGAGGATAAAGGAAAGGGTGTGAAAGAAGCCATAATGATTGGATGAACAAGGCTTGTGTACAAGGTCTAGGTCAACCAAGACTGATAAACGTGTGGGTATTTCCTTGAGTGCAGAACAAGAAAGCAGATTGGCAGGCAAAAGAATGAGTGAAGACGCCGGTCATGATTCACCACATATCATCGTCATCGTCGTCATCCAGCTGGGCATCATGACCGAAGGAAGAGTGCCCATACTGGTAATGTCCCGAGTCGTAGGCATGGCCGTTCTCATAGCCGTGTTTACCATTCCTTCCGTGGGACTGGTACCGATCGTGCGGGTCGTCGTCGTAGTCATACATGGATGGGTCATCATATGCACTATCCCCGTATTGTTGTTGCTCTTGTGCCTGTTCAAAGAAGAAAAAATCTCGGTTAGCCACTCCTGAAACTCGATGACGTTCGTGTCGACGGAATTTTCTTTTTCTTCTTCAACAGACTTCTCGACAGTCGTTTCTTCTGGGCTATCTTCAAGTTCGGTACTCACCTCTTGATATCGCTGGTATTGGAGGTACTCATCTGGCTGGTCCCTTGACTTTGAGGACCGCTGGGATCCAGAGGATGCAACCATCATGTGAGGGTGCATCTGCTGCACCTTCTCCAGATATGAGTACATGAAGTTGCTCAACAATACCTGAGAGTAGAGAGCACGTCGGGGATTGGCAAGCTTGATGTGGGCCATCCGGTAGATTGCTCGTTCTTCCAAAATGGAAAATCGAGTCCAAGGATAGTCGATGTCCGCACGCAATTCCCGCATGGGGGGATCAGGGGATAGGTTGCGGGAAGAGTTCTTCCGGTGGTGGCCCTCTCCACTGTGCTTCTTTCGACCACCACCAAAGATTGATGAGAAGATCCCGTCTTTCTCTTTCTTTGATTCTCCCGAGGCTCTCCGAACGCCATCCTTCCGTCGCTCTTCCTCCAATTTCGGGTCGAGACGATCCAGAATGAGGCTTTCCCTGCCTCGTGAGCTATTGTCCATGGAAGTCGGCGGTGGCGCCTCTGATTTCGCATTGGTATGGATCTTGTCAGAAAACTTCGACTTCGACTTTTTGGAGTCGCCATCTTTATCCTTCTTTTTATCTTTCTCTTCGCTGCCCAGGAGCCAATGCCAGCTGGACTTGCGGCCGCCTTCCGATTCTTTCTTCGATTTCTTGCCCTCGGATTTGCGCTCCTCGGACTTGCGCTGTTCCTCGGGCATGGTCGGGATAAATGAGAGACTATCCGTCCGGGTATTATTGCCAGGTATCATCTGAGGATTATTGGTGAAATCGTTAAGGGTCGTTGTGGTCGTATCCTTGCGTTGTCCGCTCATCAAAGACCGCTTGTTGGGAGCTGAATCATGGGTTGACGAAGTCTTTGCTGAATATGACGAGGGTACATCGCGTTCGGTAGTTCGACTCGTGGGGGACTGTTGGCTTGGTTGTCCGCGATTAGAATCCGCAGGTGGGGTTTCGACGATTTCCGGGACAGTCTGTTCGGATTGCGGGGTGTTTGCCGTGGATCGCCCATTCGAACTGATGCGAGAATGCCATTGTCGGGCATAGGGCGCAGCGTTCGCCTTTTCCGCAGAATCCAGCCGGTCAGAAGCAAAATCTGGGTGTGTCGCAGCAGCCTTGGCCTCCTCCTTCTCGGCCTCGGGGTTGTCCAATATCGAATCAAATGTCGAACCGATGGTACTGCCAGAGGCATAGGCCGCACTACGGGAGGAATTCGAGAGAGCGCGGGATGGTCGAGAGGCAGAGGAAGAAGACGAATCGGTGGACACGCGCGTAGATCCAAGAATTGGCTGGTCGTCGGACAGCGGTTTGGCTGGAGCTGCCGATCCGGCCGACTCGGACAAGCCCCTCCCCACTCGCTTCGAGTAAGGAGGCTTTTCACCTTTTTTCAAGCTTCCTTTCTTGTATTGTGTCCGGGTCGATCTTCGCAGGCTGTGGCCAGGCGGAGCCGGAGGCAAAATCGGTTTGTCTTCGCTTGCAGTGATGCTGGCATTTTGCATTTCCCGCACCAGGGAATCCTGGGATGCTGGTTTCGAGTCGTCCACCAAGGTTTCCAGCTCCTGCAGATTGGGGCTCAGCATGCCATCCCGCCGACTCGAATGCGATCGTTGACGCTCTAGCCGTTCCGCACCGTCCGTGTAGCCCGACGAGTTGTCGATTTGTCGAGAGAGCATCGACCGTTTGCGACGGAGCCCGCTTCCTGATCCCTGCCGCTCCGGCCCAAGAGCCGAGAAATCGCCCGATTTCCGTTTAATGAGGTCGGCTTTGCTTTCGAGAAATGACTTGAACTCCTTCGGTGCCAGTTCGGGGTGCAGGCTTGCCGGGACCCAGAACAACCGCGAGGCATCGTTTTCGTCGGCCGATGGGGAGGGAGGTAGGGACGGGATTGGGAGGTTATTGCTGCCGTAGGATGGAAGATCAGGGTCGCCCGTCGCTGCGACATCCATGGACATGCGTCGGATGGCAGCGAGGTTGTTTAACTCCTGGACCACCGCGGCTGGATCGGACTCATAATCGATATCGTTCAGAGGGAAGGAGGCGGTTGCGGTTTCCGACGGTGATCGCGTGGAGTCTGGCGATCCGGGTTCACTATCACGGTCGTAAGACCGATGTCCCACGGGCGGCGGCCGAAGGTGTCCATTTGTGTGCTTGGGCTGTCCCTCGACCGGCGAGTTCTGGGGTGGTGTGGATGTCAAGTTGGCGGGGGAAGACTCGGACGCTGCGGAGGCTCGCGGAATCGTAGTTATTGACTCGCCGAGGGGGGATGCGATATAGCTGAGGCGTCTGGGATCATTGCGATCGTAGTCATCGTCGTACATGTGCCCGATGGCTTCCGTCACATGGTGGCTTGGATCGCTGATCGAGAGATGGGGTGAGTGGCCTCTCCGCGTCGTGTGTCCTCCGCCAGCCTCAGGGGCACTCGTGGAAGCCTGTGTGGGGCGAGGGAGGTCAGTCTCATTGTCCCCAGTATCGTCCGGGACCCGATGGGCAGTCAATGCGGCCGATCCAACAGCGGCAGAGACTCGCTGATCGCCAGGACGAGGAGGGGGGTCGGCCGTAAAGGCGAGGCCAGCATCAGGCACTGGGCCTGAATGGCTGTCCCTCCTCGGCGATGAGGAAGAGACCAGGGGGATGAGGGAGAGAGGGAGACTTGAGGAACGCACCTGCATGGGAACCAGCTCTACAGGAACCAAAGCCGAAAAACCCTTAAGACCGGAGGGTAGCCAGGAGGAGGGGAGGGAGGGGGAGGGGGAGGAGGCAGGTCAAGGTACCACCTGAAGACGAGCGATCATCGAAGCGGGGGAAACGGAAAGAAAAGGCCAGTCAGGCAGTCGGCATGGGGACACAGCAGCGTGGGAAGGAAGAGGGAGGGAGTTGGTGAGGCCGAGTTCGTGGAGGCTCCACCCCAAAAGAAACGGGCTGGGCCATGGGCGATCTGGGGAGGGGAGTTGATCGGCGGCGGATGGCCTCGCCTCACCACGTTGCCTGGGATCGCCCGAGTCCGCGCTCCGTGGTTCGATTGCTAACGCCGGAATGGGGCTATGTCGTCAAGTACGACCGTCGCGCGACACGCTGGTGGCCTGCTGGCGGTTCGACGGCGCTGTAAATCGCGGGATCGCGAGATCGGAATGCACCAACTACATTCGTGTACTTTACTGTAGGGTATGAAGCCTTTCTATTCTTCCGTGTTCTTTCTTCTTTTTCAGTCTTTGTGCTCTATCCTTCCATTTCGACGTCTCCCTCTTCCCGCCTCTTGTCATGGAGACTTGTTCCACTGGTTCCTACACTCGCACGGGATGTGGTCTCACGATGAAATCACGCTGAAACCACGCGGACCGGCCTCGCCATACCAGGTCAGCCAGGTCAGGGGAACAATTCCACCCTCAGTACGATATTGCTCTTTCACTATGGTGTCACTCGCGCACTCTACTGGCTACGACAGGATGGGAAATAGTGCGTGGAAGTGGTTGGCGCCAGATCCCATCTTTGGACCTGTGAGGATGGCCGATCCTGAGCGCCGGTCCACTCTGGCGCAGGCTGCATGGGACGGCGCAGGCTGCATGGGACGAGCGTCTAGGCTGAAGCTGAGGCTGAAGCTGACACTTGGAGGAAATGTTATTTGCACTTGCGATCATCAGAGAAACAACATCAAAGAGATCCACGGAAAATCAAGCCCTCGGACCGAATACTCTAGGAACGTGCAAAGCTGACGGGAGACCCTCGCGCGAAACCCATATGCCCGAAGCAGCAAGGAACCATAGTAACAGAAAGAGAAACTCCAGCGCTCGAGGTAAGAAGCGATATCCAAGGGAAGACGGGAATCCAGATGCGCCGAAACATATTTATCATATCCATGTCCACCATGCCTCGTGATCCTTATGTCCATCGGAGATAGAACGGGGCACGGAGTCGAGAGAGAAGGAAGCAAACAAAAAAAAAAGAAAAAGAAAAAGAAAAAAGAAAAAAGCAAAGAACATCAGAAATCATCAAATTCCAAAGTTTAGGAGGCGTCGACGTAGTTGCTACATTCATGTCAGCAAATCCAGCTAAATTTGAAGAGTCGAGAGGGTGAATGCTTACCTGGGGAAAATTCCCACCCGGTCACCGATACGACCAGTCCACCAGTCCTCCGCCTTGTCAGTCCGCTTCAAGATCGTGATAATCTCGCCCTTCTTAAACCCAAGGTCGCCGTCCTGGTCAGCGTCAAAGGTATATAGTGCAACGGCTTGGTCCGCACGTAGCCCCGCGGCCTGGCCCGTTCGTTGCCCAAAGACCGGCTTGGGCGCAGTAGGGCGAGTAGGTCTACGGTCTGAGTAGACGTAATCATCATCGTACGGCGCGGTGTTGCTGCGGTTGCGTCCGTATGTGTCGAAAACATCGCTCGGCGCAGCTCGCGTGGTCGAAGAACGGCCCAGGCCACCAGCTGGCCGGTCATACACATCGTCAGCCCAGGTGTTGGCCCGGCGTGGCCTATCACGATAGTCATAATCGTCTTGTGTACTGGCCCGACTCCGTCGCGAGCCTTGGCCGTACGCCTCACCCCGGCGCCCTTCCCAGACCACGTCGTCATGACTATCATCATAAACGGGCATGTCATTGTACATCGAATCTCCGTAGGGGCCACCGGGACCGCCGCGACCGCCGTGGAAGGCGCGAGAGTTGAGGACACGCATCAGCGCGTCAGTTGAGGGCGGCGGTCGAATGTTACCGGTGAGCAGCTGGTTGGCAGAGACACGGCTCTGATACATCTTCTCGTTGGCATCCTTACGCTCGATCAGCATGCTACCCTCCAAACTGACGCCGGCGAAAAGTCCCTTGGTCTTCGAGTATGAGAAGATGGCTGCGACACCCTTCGTGCTGGCTGCACCGGCGGCTTCTGCATTTCGGCCGACCGGGCCCGCCGCCAGAGAGACATTTCCACCAAGTGTGAGTGTTCCAACTTGAGAGAAAGTGCGGACGGCGGAGGCATCGTTGAGAATGAAGACGAAATCGGTCAGTTCAAAGCCAATCTGACCACCCACACCAGCACCGCCGGTCGCGATCGCGGAAGGGGCTGACCAGGAGCCATCGGCAAGACGGGCGACAACGATACCGGAGCCGAATCGACCAGATCCAATGAAACCGGCTTTGAGGACTGTGAGGATAGCCAGGCCCTGGTAATCGTTAGCATTTGACGTGGTTTGAGCCGCAGGTTCTCTACCCCGCGATAAGCGATATTCGCACCTTTGCGCCAGCCAGAATCTCCGGCGGAATCACCTTATCCGGACCAAAGGCCTGCTTCGGATCCACGAAGGAAGTGAGAATCTTAGCCGCCTTCTTGCATTCGCCTATTGACCACAGGAGTTGTTAGCCGGAGATGCCGCGATTGCGATTGCGGGGAAATCGTTCAGACAGGGAGCGAAGGGGGCAGAACGTACTGCTCAAAGAGGACGGCAGAGGGTTATGGATCCCAAGAGGCATCTTGGTGGTGAGGTATCCAAGGAGAGAATGAACAGAGACTTGGGGAGGAGTCGAAGGCTGGAAAAGGCTGCTGATCGGACTTGGAGGCCAGGTTAGTCAGGACGATGGGGCGGGTCGTGTGGGCCTGATGACGGGTGACGCGGGACACCGGTTCGTTGCTGACCTGCAGGGGGGCCCAATGGTTCCCGGGGTACTGGAAACCGTTTTGGTCTCTGTTCCTGTATAGGTTGAGGGTATGATTCTGCTCAATTTCGGGGTCCCTGGCCCGTCGAGGGAATATCACATCCAGAGTGTGGCGCAGCAGGAACGCCTCCACGCGGGGTTGAGAACGTGCCGAACTTGGAGAGGGCCGTGCGGATTTATCGACAACCCCAAGAACTGTATCGAACATTAGTATGTTCGACAGCGCATGATTATTTTGTATATGTCAGACTCACAGTGCCTCAACAACTGGTACCATTACTACTAATTCAAATTCGGTTGTTTCATTTTAAGAGGTAATAGGTTCACTCGTCTGTCGCGTGATACCAATCTCATCAGCCAGTATTAACCTAGGCTAGTAGGCACCTTATCGTACCCGACGAGGCTCAACCAGGTGACCAAGAAAGCCTCAAAGTACCCAAGCCTTGGTAATCCCTCTCTTACTCTCATATTTTACTGACACCGGAACCTTGGAAGTCTCCTTGCCATCACTCGTTCCTGCACATCGCTTAAAGGCTCATCACAGATGCTGTTGTGGCGGTGCAGAATTATGCGAATTTCTACTACCTAAGTACACGACACGACCCCGCGTAACTAATATATACCCACATAACATCCTTAGGATCTTCGTTCGTCTAGATCGCACTAGAGCTATGAAAGTAGCCATTGAGACTACCCCAGGTTATAGTGGTACAACATCTATGGATCAAACATCATGGAGAAATCATTATTCACAGTAACATACCCCGATCAAATTAAGCAACTTCTGCGGATTGACTCACAAGTAGTTTGTCGTACTCACACACTTATACAAAGATCATGACCACGAGAAGTTCTATCATACGATACACTACACTGTTGTTACAATGTATGCTCTCTGCTCGGCCCGATCACGGCGTGAGAAGCTCCAACTAAGATCATGTGACATGGATCACATGATCTAATCATATTTCAAATTTCTAATTTCATTCATGAGAATGGCCCATTTCACTGGATACAATAACAGATACACTGTAAAATTCCTGCGTTGGACAGTTGGTTTGTTAATTCTTGACGATATATATATATATGGAACCCGGAAAGTTCCGTTGTTAGGCCTGAAATGAATGGCAATGCTAATGAATGGCAATGCTAATGAATGGCAATGCTTAGATAATTATTCGTCCTTACCGCAGATGCCTCAAGCAAGAAAACAGAGTAATCAGTGAGCTAAGACACGGCCAAAACTGAAATGCCTCACGCACCACTGCCTGCAGTAGATGCCATTGTCGGTAGCTCACCTACTGTTGCTGTGCTTGCCGAGGTGCTCCACTCCTGGGCTTGGCATCGGACCTGCAACGGCAATACAATTGGAGTCCACCCTTATCGCAGCTCCGAGCGCATCCTCCTAAACCCCATTCCCCAGTTTTCGAGTCACGGTCATGGTCACTTGCTAGCCGACCTGAAATCGCTCTTGCAGATGGCCACAGGTGGGGACCCGCAATGGATCTAACACACCCGCGCTCCGCTAACACAGGGCCAGTCCGGATCTGCGTCTGCGGTGACGAAGGCACCGGCAAGTCCAGCCTCATCACCTCGCTGGTCAAGGGTGTCTTCGTCACGAACAAGATCCAGCCCGTTCTCCCACAGATCACTATTCCTCCTACCATCGGAACCCCCGAAAATGTCACCACCACCACCGTCGTCGACACGTCCGCCCTTCCACAGGAACGAACCAACCTCGCGCGCGAGATTCGAAAGTCCAACGTGATTCTCTTGGTGTACTCCGACCATTATAGCTACGAACGCGTCGCATTGTTCTGGCTACCATACTTTCGCTCGCTGGGTGTCAATGTCCCGGTTGTGTTGTGCGCCAACAAGTCGGACCTCGCCGCAGGTCACAGCGAGGCACAGGTGGTTGAAGAGGAAATGCTTCCTCTAATGTCGGAATTCAAGGAAATCGATTCTTGCATTCGCACGAGTGCTCGTGAACACAGGAATGTCAACGAGGCCTTTTTCGTCTGCCAAAAAGCCGTTACTCACCCTATCGCCCCGTTGTTCGATTCCAAGGAGGCTTCCCTCAAGCCTGCCGCCATCGCTGCACTGCAGCGCATCTTTTACCTCAGTGACAAAGACCGCGATGGCTATTTGTCGGACAAGGAAATCGAAGATTTCCAAACACGGTGCTTTGGAAAATCCCTCAGCACAGAGGACTTGGCACATATCAAGGAAACCATCCAACGGAACTTTCCGGAATCGGTCAATGAGTCTGGCATCGACTGTCAAGGATTTATCCACTTGAACAAGCTTTATGCGGAAAAAGGACGCCACGAGACCGTATGGATCATCTTGCGAGCTTTCCAGTACACGGATAACCTCTCGCTACAAGAGAACTTCCTGCATCCCCGGTTCGAAGTACCCCCTTACGCATCAGCGGAGTTATCCCCCGAGGGATACCGCTTTTTCGTGAATCTCTTTCTGTTGTCGGACAAGGATAATGACGGAGGTCTGAATGATGCCGAGTTGACCTCCCTGTTTGCCCCAACCCCCGGATTACCTGCATCCTGGGCCGACGGATCCTTTCCTTCATCGACAGTTCGGAATGAAGCAGGACATGTCACACTTCAGGGATGGCTGGCCCAATGGAGTATGACGACCTTCATGTCCCCAAAGACAACGCTCGAGTATCTGGCTTATCTCGGCTTCGAGTCCTCCGATCGAGGCAACCCTTCTATCACTGCGGCATTGAAGGTAACGCGGCCGCGAAAGAGAAGGAGACGCCCCGGGCGTGTCGGGCGAAATGTTGTCCAGTGCCATGTTTTGGGAGCACCCGGATCTGGTAAATCTGCTCTACTCGACGCCCTTTTATCACGAGGATTTAGCACCACATACCATCCAACTATTCAGCCTCGCACAGGAGTCAATACGGTTGAATTACCCGGCGGAAAACAGTGCTACCTTATCATGGATGAGCTTGGAGAACTGGAGCCTGCAATTCTCGAGAACCAAGCGAAGTTGCTGGATCAGTGCGATGTGATCGCCTACACATATGACTCGTCCGACCCCGACTCATTTGCCTACATCCCGGCGCTACGGGCGAAATATCCCCACCTGGAGGAGCTGCCCAGTGTATTCATTGCCCTCAAGGCTGATCTAGACCGGACTACTCAGCGAGCGGAACATCAGCCCCACGAGTATACTGCCATGTTGAACATGCCCAGTCCTCCTCTTCATGTTAGCGTGACCTGGAATTCCATCCAGGAAGTCTTTGTGCATATCGCGGAGGCTGCGATGGAGCCAAGCACCGCATTCCCGCGAAGCGAAGAAGATGTGGAAGGGGAATGGATGTCGTGGGGCATCGCTCTCGGGGCGGTAGTCTGCGCGGGGGCTGCTGCGGTAATGATCTGGCGCCGCGTCGGCAGTGGCGGCGGACCATAGGCAGCTAGTAGAGTGTAGTGATTGAAGAATAATACCCTTTTGTGATCTTAGTTTATCAAGATACCAATGAGTTTCATTTCAAACCGTGTAGAGTATTGCATCTTGTTAAGTATATCCGGGGCCGTGCCAAGCCCGGCCGGAGTTAACCCGTCAGGCACGAGACTTGTCTTCTCCGCTCGCCTTTACCCCGGACCGCTGATCTCTGCACTTCCACTCTTCAGCCCTCCTTCGAATTGCATTCGGGCTTGCATACTCCCGGTCTTGCATGTTCTTCGTCACATCGATCTCTGTCGCATCTGTCACAATAGACCCATTTGGTCGCTTTGAAAGCACATAGACGCATGATTCGCCCCGCCTGAGGCTGTCTCTGTCTCTTTCCCCTCATCCTCTTCGACCCCCCGGGAGTAGCCACATTGAGGCTCTTTTGATAATTATCCTGGGAAGTATCAAGGTTGTGAAGCTGCGAGGCTGGGACGAATTGCATTCCCGCCGAAGTATCAGCCCCTGACCGTAGTGCTGCTGGGTTGCGTCCGGTGTGACGACATAGGACTGTCTCAGTCGAAATTGGGACTTCCACAACCATGTTGTAAGACGACCCTCCTCTCCTTGTCTACTCCTTCGGCGCTCCCTCTTCATCGCAGCGACAATCTTTTACTTGTCTTTGAACTACTCCTGCTAGTAGTTATGATGTGACGTTCCACGTCGAGGTCACTTTCCCGATCCTTGATCCTTGGGCCGATCGCGATACAGCCACAGTCCTACACCTGCTGACCGAACTCTCTCATTCTGCCAGTGTCCTTCCACCTCCACCACCTCGCTACACCATCCCTGTCGCTTACGCGGCGGGGGCGGCGAACGGCATGGCGGTCCCTGTGGTCGAAACGAATAACACCATTTCCCACCCGGAGGGTGGATGTCCATTACAAGTCGGAGAAGGTATGGAGATGGCAGTTCCCCCGATGCTTCCATATCCGACAAGCAGCACCTTCTTCTGGGTCGCAAATAATGTACAGTACTAATGGATGGCTCTACGATAGGAACCTATACGCTCAAAGATGACCTTCTCCTGGCAACACCACCTCCTCACCCCTCCGAAGCACCCATCGTCAACCCCAATCCTCTCGCTACTGTTCCAACACCACCCACGGCTGGTGTGAAGCTTTCCCTTGTCAGCCTTGACCCTCGCAAGAAGCCGCCGACCTTCCTGAAGACGGCTGTTACGGCACCGCCATTTGGTGATGGAAACCCCGCACTTGCGGCACCGGCACCACCGGCGAAGGATGCGCTCAAACGACGGAAGCCGAAGAACAATATCATCAAGAGTAGTTCCTCGTTCGTTTCAAGAGTGATCACACACGAAACCTCAGCAAAGCGCTTGAGCGACCGGGACCCGAATGGAATCTTTGCATTTGCGAACATCAATAGAGCATTCCAATGGCTTGATCTGAACTCAGCGCAGAAGGAGGAACATCTTACCAAAGTACTCTTTACCAAAGCGCACATGCTTTGCCACGACATCAACGACCTGACGAAAACCTCTTCTCATCTGGACATTGTGATGGGATCGTCGGCGGGTGACATCATTTGGTACGAGCCGATGTCGCAGAAATACGCTCGCATCAATAAGAACGGCGTGATCAACAACTCTCCTGTTACAAGTATCAAATGGCTTCCTGGATCCGAGAATCTGTTCCTCGCATCGCACGCAAATGGGGTCTTGGTGGTATACGACAAGGAAAAGGAGGATGCGCTGTTCACCCCCGAAGTCACTCACCAGCCTGATCATGACGCCAGCCGGTATCCTCTGGAGGTGCTCAAGTCGGTTCAGTCAAAGAACCAAAAGACCAATCCAGTCTCTTACTGGAAGTTGGCAAACCAGAAGATTTCGCACTTCTCCTTTTCCCCGGACCAGAGACATTTGGCTATTGTCTTGGAGGACGGTTCTCTTCGTCTGATGGATTATTTGAAAGAGGAGTATGGAAATCTTTGCAACCCACTTATAGAAATTGTGCTAACTGGCTACAGGGTACTTGATATCTTCCGCAGCTACTACGGCGGTTTGATCTGTGTTTGCTGGTCTCCCGACGGGAAGTACATTGTTACTGGTGGCCAAGACGACCTTGTCACGATCTGGTCTTTTCCAGAGCGCAAGATTATTGCTCGTTGCCAGGGTCACAATTCCTGGGTTTCCGCGGTCGCTTTCGATCCGTGGCGTTGCGATCAGAAAACCTATCGATTCGGCAGTGTTGGCGACGACTGCAGGCTTCTCCTGTGGGATTTCAGTGTCGGCATGCTTCATCGACCCCGGACAGTGAGTAGTTCGGTTTATTTATATTTGAACAAAGCTCCTAACCTAGCAAAGCATCAAACCACTGCTCGTCACCGGACCAGCCTTGTTATGCCAAGCACGCAGACCTCGAATCGCCACCGAGCTGACAGTGGCGGTAACCGCGTGCGATCAGACTCGGAAAGAACTGAGAAGTTGGATGGAGACCTTGACCCAATGGCGAGTCATCCTGTTGAGCCTCGAGCGCGGACTGCTTTACTGCCCCCTATTATGGTGAGATTCTTCACGTAACATCAGGCCCATCACAACTCATACTAACTGTTCTGCAGTCCAAAATTGTCGGCGAAGACCCAATCTGCTGGCTCGGGTTCCAGAAGGACTGCATTTTGACATCCTCGCTCGAAGGTACGTGCCCCTTCGCATCCATTCAGACCACCGCTCATATAACAATAGGTCACATTCGCACCTGGGATCGACCAAACGACAGCGTTGTTAGCCATGATCCTCGCCTTTAAACCGACACTTGATTCCAACCTTGACTGTAGATACGTTGGTGGGTTTTTATTTTAGCGATTAGTTGCAACATCCTTCATTCTTTATTTCCAGATACCCAGTTTACAGACAGAAACAGAAATTAGTATAGTAGTTGCTTTCGAATGAGTAATATTGATCTGGTATCTGGTACAGTTATAGAATTCACATAGAATAGTCGTGTAAGTCATAAGAGTACGGCCTCACAGCTTCGAATATACCAAACCCTCAACATCCAGCTCAGTAGTACACAAAAGGAACGTATCACGAAGTGCCTGGCCTGTTAGTATAGCCCTCGGACGCGATCAAAACGAGACGAAGGAAGAAGGAAAGAGCAAATGGTCTTACCGAAAGGCGATACTTTTCATTGATCGCTTGGTAATCCTCGCCCGCGAGCATATCGCAAAAATGTCGAATAGAGGGGTAATGCACAATGGAAATCTCATTCCACCAGTCCTGCTCCGGCCTTCCCGGCGACCCCCGAGAATCGCTGCGCGGTGATTGCAGTGGCACCACATTGCCAACCAGCTTGGCATTTCCGCCGCGTTTGCCTGCGACAGGGATGAATGCCTGTCCATATTGGTAGTAGCTCTGTTTGCCGTTGGGGTATTGAAAATGCAGCAGATTGAGCATGGTTACGGGGCCCGGGTGTGTTTTTGTGAGCTCGGCCATAAATGCGAGTAGGCTAGGGGAGACCTCGAGGTTTTGCGACGTGGACTTGCCTCCGTCCTTGAGATAATTTTCGAGGGAATCTGTCAACGGATACTTGCTGGATTGCTTTTGCAGGGTTGCGTTGCGAGATGGGTAGCTGGAAACGAGTTTGGACGGGATGCCTGTTGTTATTTTGTATTCGTCCGTGATGGAGCTGCGTAGTGCGGCGGGAATCGGATCTGGATTGTCGGCGGTTGCTTGGAGAAGGACCATGAGATCCCACCTTTTGGTCGCGAGTGGGTCGTTGTCCAGTTCAGTTGGATGGATCACGACATGTCGAGGTCTTGAGGTGACGATGACCTTGGTCGGGGTTTCTTTCAGTCGTTGAACGAAGAACCGGGGGTCGGTAGATTCATCGAGAGCCAGAAGATGAAGCGTGCAGACAGGCATGACCGATTGCAGGTGCTCCAGGAGCTGAAATCTTGAGGTTGTAAAAGAAACACTTTCACGATTTGTTTATCTGATCAGGAGGGGTCGCTATGATTTCACTGCGGAGAAGCGGGTCGGCACACTGGTGCCGAGGTCAATTGCACCCAATTGATTAGTCTGTAGAGAAGCATTCAACGAGTTACGACAACTATTAGCGGACATAAAAATCAAAGTAGGAATTAAATAAACCATTCATCCCAAAAAGCCTTGAAATATACTACCCATGTCCGAAATTGCGATTAAGCTTCAGTCCACTTTGAGGACTTATCCCCAGCGAGCTCTCCCCTTTCACAGATGCGACAGGGAGGTAGTATTATATAGGAGAATAGCAGCGCCAATTATTGCAGAATTTATTAATGATTATGCTCAGTATGACAAAAAATAAAACCGAATCAACTATATCATCCTTCGCAACATCCAAAAATCATGCTAAAAGAAATATCGTGAACACGTCAACATTCTCCGATCGTGGAGTGTAACCCCATATTTGCGTAACTGCCGTAACCCATCAAAGTGCGAGGGCAACAAGACCCAAGAGCAGACTGCCAGCGTGATTCGTGGGCATGAGCATGCCACCCGCGTTCGAAGTTGTAGTAGCCTCCTCGGTTGCAGTGGAAGTCATAGTCCTGGTGTGACGAGTCGTGGTCGACGTTGAAGTCTCTGTGGAAGTAGAAGAGTGAGTCTTCATGGACGTCGACGTGGAAGTGGTGGTTTCTGCGAAATCATCGTCAGTCAAGAGCTATCAACGCGGCGAGTGGCTCGGATTTCGCAGAGCAGGTGAAAAATGGGGAACCAAGAGTGGCACCATTCACTGACCAGTGGTGCGTGTAGTATGGGTATGAGTGGTAGCAGATGTTGGGGATGTGGTAGTAGTCAAAGTGTTGGTGCTGGTTTTTGTGTGTGTAGAAATAGTAGGAGATGACGTAGAAATAGAAGTAGAGGTAGATAGAGAAGTAGAGCTTGCTGAGGTGGTTAAACTCGTCTTAGTGGAACTGTGCGACGTAGAGGAAGATAGGGTCATTGAAGTCGTAGTGGAGGTTGTGGTGAATATAGTGCTCGGGGAAGTTGGGGAAGAAGGTGTAGACGTCGTGAGTGACGACAATGAAGAAGTGTGTGTGGTAGGTGTAGGAGTGGTAGATATTAACGACGAAGAGGAGGAGAAGGAGGAAGAGATTGACGCACTGGTAGTAGAGGTCGTCATAGAAGATGAAGTATGGGTAGAAGTAGTAGGTGAAGCAGTAGATGAAGAAGTGGTTTGGGTAGACGCACTGGTGGAGGTGTGAGTAATGGTCGGAGTGGTAGAGGAAGCAGTCGACAAGGAAGTAAAAGACTCAGTCGAAGTTGTAGCAATTGTCGAGTCTGATATAGAGGTAGAAATCATAGAAGTCGAGGCAGAGACAGAGGTGGATTCAGAAGCAGAAGTGGAATCAGTAGCAGTACTGGTTTCCTTACCAGAGCTGGACGTGAAATCACTGTGATCGGCCACTTTGAATTGCCCAGACTGCGCGAGAATAGCCTGGTTGTCCGTGTCGGAGACAAAGTTGACCTGATAACCATGTCTACAAATGTGGTTAGAAAGCCTTTGCTGGTAGCTTCTGCATTCAATGATGATGTGCCCTACCCGGTATCAACGCCGTCCATACTTTTAGCATTGATAGTGTAGGATCCCTTGTCCTTAGGAACATCCGAAGCAACAAGCTCTTGCGTGGGCGGGTAGACATTTTGGTTGACTAGATAGATGGAGAATGTCTCGGGGTCGGTTCTATGGCTTGAATTAATCACATTGTCGACATCCAAATGCAAACCCCTGGAAGGGGAGCACCGACTCTACAGCATGCCACTTCACCGTCACCGACTTCGAGTTGTCGACATTCTGGTTCACTATGGGCGCCGTGATTTGAAGACCTAGAGGAATTTTTAGTAGGCTCCTACTTCTCTCAGTTGCCGATTGTCGTACCTGCAACCGCGGCGGCAAACAAGACCAAGGGCGACACGATGTTAGCTCGCATTGTGATTGATTAGCCCAGTCCCTTAACAAAAAGGTCACAAAGGAAAGTTTGCAATGTCGAATCTGTACTTATTAGACCCGAGGAAGGAGGTAGTCGAATTAGGAGAAGAAATAGGAACAAAGTTGGGAATCAGACAGACTAATAACATTTTATAGGCATTCTACCGACAGTAGGTTGTGTCATGCATCCCAGGGTCTTCGCCCGATTCCATTCTGAGCTTGACTTCTGGTCCAGGGTATTCGTGATGCTTCAATGCGCAGTGTCTCATGCTTCCAGCTAAGGGGAGTACAGAAAGCAACCAGCAAGGGCCGTACTCCTCCAATACCGGTCTAAATCTATAGTTTATCAGGGCCGGTATCTGCGAGCTCAGATATTGTGGGCGGCGTAGCTATAGAGCACTCATCTCGGCCGGGATTTGAATCTTCAACTGACGTATTTGTGCTGCACAGTCGATGCCATTACGACCGGACGCGCGTCATAGTTCCTGTGCAGTACCTGTCTGTATTGCAAACGGAGGCCCTAGACTTCCAAGGCTGTGGCATTTTTGAGCTCGCCCGTCTAACCTATCGGCTCGGCCTTTTGGCCTCTACCTAGGCAGGGTCACCGCTGCAGCCTATTTAAGGTGAGTACCCGCAACCGAGACCTTGATTGGTTGCCATAGCAGTGTGCCACAGTACGATTGAAGCATTCGTCAATAAATTTGCACTCCTGCACACTGCATCTTGGGTGCTCGTACCTTTTTCTGGTCACGAAAAATTATGGCATATATTTTCACGGATACTCCCACGAAATCTAGGTCAACAACATGTGTGCCTAGGTATTTTTGTAAATATGTGCTATCGAATGTACACTATAACGATTAGGTTTCAAATGTTGGACAGTTCGTTTGGTGGCCAAAGCCCTTCGGAACGGATGGATTCCCTGTGGCTGGTCTCGGATGGCAGCCGTGGATCTATGTAGGACAAAGCCAAGGGCCGAGCCCAACAATGTTTTCAACCTGACTTCTGGCCTCACGCAACACGGTAATGTCATCCTGAGAGCATCACTTTCTTCGCACAATAGAAAAAAAATTCGATGTTGTAGCTCTACCTGTTTTGGATATTTTTACGCATGACGAAAACAGGGTTGCCTTGGATATGTTTTCGGTCCTGTATACCAGCACTCGTACAGCATGGGCCCATCTTCGGAACTCTATTAATTGGGTTCTAACCAGGAGCGATTAAAATAAATACACCGATGTTCCGTGTTTCCTTTCGGATTCCTGATATTCGTTGGGCCCCATGTCTCCATATTCGGCTTCTGACGCGTATTTGTGCGCTCCGACAACTCCATCGTCATCGGACCGACCTAAGGAACCCTAAGATCTCTAATCCGGTATCCCCAGGGCTTTTCTGAGGAAACCGCGTTGAAGGCTGGGATCATTTCAATGCAATTGGTGCCCTATTAGCACCAATAATCGCGATAGTGCATTACGACATAGTACGTACAATGGCCAATTCCTCCCCCTCTCCATGCCATTCCGCTAGGGCCCTAAAACGTGTCGCTGCACTGGCTGCCCATTTGAACTGGCAAAAAGTTCAGCAAGATCTACGCAGTGGCATTAAAGCCCCAGACTCCAACGTGGAAAATGACTGAAACCAGTAATCGCCAAACACCCCCCACCCAAACAGAGCCTGTGTCACAATTAGAAGCATGTGACACACCATGTACTGGCGCCTGCTTCGGGAAGTTCCTTGCCTTAGTGATTCTCTAATCCTTGAAAAATTATTCGAAGTGGGTAATCGATGCGGCTAGTCGCAATACGATCCATGCCAACATTCTGGCAATACTTGTTGGGTTCAGCTCTTGGTAGATCTCGTTGAACTCCTTATCAAGACCACAATCCTTCTTTTCCATCCACCAGCATATGTGAGATAACACTGAAAACATTTTGGATTCTGCAGGGGCCTTGGAACCAGTCGCAACCAATATTCATTGCCCGGATCAAGTTCCCGCTATGAGACGCTTAGAAACAAACGCTTTTTCTGAGCTGGCAAAAGTCGGTCCAATTCCTAGCCCCTAGCCATCAAGAGAATTTCCATGGTATTTGGAGCGATGCTTCATAGGCCAATACCGCAAATGACTCCAGATCGGAAGGACAATACGAATCCGCGAGAACCTTTGAGAGGATACAGTGGGATGCACGTGGGGATCCACTGCGACTGGGGACTATTCTTCAATTGGAAAAGAGGGGTCATATCATGTGACCAGTTCAGACAGCTCAAACTTGACCGCCCAGGCGGTATAGACTAACGGGGCAGAAAAGACTACTGGCCACCCCACGCATGTTATCCCTCCGCTCTTTTGTGTAATCGACATGTTATCGGTGTCAAAGAGCAACTTGAACCAAAGAGCAACTTGAACCAAACATATCCCTCCACACAACAAAAGGGATGAACCAGGTGATGAGGAACCAACTACGCAGCGTGTCATAGTCACATATTGCGGTTTCTGCGGCTCTCATGCTCGGAAATCTGAAGACGCGTTGAACGCGCCTGGAGTTGTTTCTTCACCTGATAGTTTTTTGGTATTTAAACAAGTCATGACATTTGTATCTGACCGGAAACCCCATCTCGTCGGCAATTTTCACCATGGCTGATGCCGATGATATTTTGAGAAGTGTCAGACCCTCTGAGTCTTGAAATCTTGTGCCAATTATCTGACATACCTACAGGAACTCGAACAGGAGTATTGTCCTCCATTGGACTCTGCTCTTTTTGCTGCACTTATCTCTGATTTTACCCTCGGAAAACCCGAGGATGTCAATGCATTACGCGCAACTCTGGATTGCTTGAAGGAATCAGCTCAACTCCAAGAGAATGACCCGTTTGATCCGTCTGGGACAGCAAACGAACATACGATTGATGGGGTCAACTTGGGAGGAGTGTTTTCTGACTCGGGAACGTCGGTTCTAGGCGGTGGCACCTTGCACACCTCCACAGATGCGACTACGACTAGCTTGAGATCGCAGTTAAGTCCAGGCGAGGATGAAGCGAATCCGAATATCGCATACACTGTCAGGGCCGACGGGCGTCTAGAGTTGACGAGCACCACGATCGATGACAGTGTCTCGTTGCTAGCTGCAATGTTCCCGAGTGTATCCCGTCTCGAAATTTTGCAATGCCTGAAGAAAAGCAACAACGATATTGACAGGTCCATGGACGTACTTTTGAACCTCACTTTCTTCAATGAGTCGCAGGCCGCTGGGGAAGATTCCCAGATCTTTGTACCTAAGGGCATTGATGGCTTTCAAGCAGACAACACGGACATTGGTCGTCAAAAAGGGCGCAAACAAAAGCGCAACAAAAAGCAGAAAGCAGTTCTCTCCGCGACATCGTCACCTGAAGGCGTGTCCACTCCCAACAAATGGGAGACTGGGAAGGCGGACATCGAGTTTCTTTGTTCGTGCATTCCTGATATTACAAGAGAGAAGATAGCATCGACCTATCACGCCAAGGGGGCATCTCTGCGCGCAACAGTAAAGGCCTTGGCCCTTGCTGATCTTCCCGAAATCGTTGAAGTCGACAAAGATCCCGCCATGATGGAGCATGTCACCGAACTTCTTTCTGTTTACCCAACCATCCCCAAATCTACACTTGTTGGGTTACTTCGCTTAACTGGCAACATGGTAACGCCCGCTAATGAACTAGCAGCGGTACTGCTTCGTCAGCCCACGCAGGCCGAAGTAAGCGAACTGATCAAGTTCACAGCTGCGCCGCTGAACTTAGAGAATGATAATGAGAATAGCTACTCGAGGCCATCCCATCAATACAAAGAGAGCTCTTTCAGGAACCACGAATATGAGGATATGCGAGCCTCAGCCAACGCATATTTCGCTGCAAGTTCAGCCGCTCATATGCAGGCCGCCCAAGCTGCACGTCGTTCAAAGTCAAATCACTTGTATGGCGGGGCATCGGCATATTATCGGCAGGTTGGGCAAGAGCAGCGTGAACGTGCCATGAACCAGCTTGCCGCGGCGTCCGATCGGCTCGTTGATAGGCAATCTTCTGCCTGTGACTTGGATCTCCATGGAGTTACCGTTGAAAATGCTAAGCGGATTGTCCGAGAACGGGTCGCGGCTTGGTGGGATTCTCTCGGCGACACTAAATACATCCGAGGAGGTGGCATTGATGTCCATGGCGGCTACAAAATTATCACCGGTATCGGCCGCCACAGCCAGGACGGTACCTCAAGATTGGGACCCGCCGTCGGCAAAATGCTCATCAGTGAAGGATGGCGTGTTCGCATAACACCGGGATCCTTAATAGTCCTTGGCGCTGCCCGACGTTGAGGTACCCCGACTCAAGGAGCATCTTTTGGAGCAGATCCAATCACTCAGTCAACTTCAACAAACAAAGACACCACTTCTCATAACCGACTTACTTCACAAAATCCAGTCATCATTTCGCACTCGACGACCACGTGGCGCTTCGCGATTGTTGATTCTTGGATACCCCAACTTGCTAGCAGACTACCGGGGCTTGGATGTCCTCATTTGTTAGGCATACGTTCGTCACAACAGCCCTCGGCAAGTGCGATAAACAAGCATGCATCATAGAAAGCAACTATTCGGATGAAACAAACTCACCAGCTCGACCTACATGTTGGAAAGATCTTGCAATGTCTCTTGGTTGCGGAACAAGGCCCACAACGATGTATCTCAATGATTTTGTTATTCATCTGATTCCCACATCCTCATGTATTCCATAACTTCCGTCCAATATCAATGGCCTCGGTTACTTTATCTTCCCACCAATAGCCAGTTCGCTGGCTTGTTCGACATATGATAGCCATCAACGTCGATTGCAACAACCATCGATAGAATGGATGTTTTGAATGAACAGCTGGAAAAGAATGTGGCCATCGATCTCCTAGAGCTTTTCTAGACAGTCTCCCAATAGCATCAGAAGAAGCCTGTAATTCATCGGAGGCTGCTAGCTTAATGCATGTAACCTGCTCCAAGACGGTTTCATAACATGATGACGTAAATGGTTTAGCCGATCCACCGACGCCTGCATCGCCCCCCGCACGCGCTTGATTGCAGCATCAACTGCTTATTCTATTCTCTATGCGACCTCAAACATTCCAAATCTTGAAATCACCTCTCAGGCAACTTGCCCTCAGTCAAACATCCACGCCTATTCGGACTCACTCGACCCACACGCGCACAGCATTTGGCGTAAACACTCGAGGAAAAGCCCTGCGCGCAACCCCGACTATTCCCTTCCAGGGTGCTTTCTTTGGCTCGATCAGTAAGCAGACAGACGCGAACAACATGTCGTACCCGGATAAGCGCAGCGAGGATCAGTGGAGGGCAGTCCTGAACCCTGGTTAGTCCTTCACCTTGTAGGATGACTCGTCATACACATCCTTGCTAACATGCACGCGCGAAAGAGCAATTCCGCATCCTCCGCGAGAAGGGCACTGAGCGCGCTGGTACCGGCGAATATGACTCGCACTACCCGTCGCAAGGCGTTTACAACTGCGCTGGCTGCGACGCGCCTCTGTACAAGGCCGACCACAAATTCAAGTCCGGATGTGGCTGGCCCGCGTACTTCGACTCGATCCCTGGGGCCGTCAAGAGACATGTGGATAACACCTTTGGAATGAAGCGGACTGAGATCGTCTGCAGCAACTGTGGGGGACACCTTGGGCACGTTTTCGAGGGCGAAGGGTACCCAACACCTACGGATGAGCGCCACTGTGTGAACAGCATCAGCCTGCGCTTTTCCGAGGATGCTGGGGCCGATCCTAAGGCGAAGGCATAACCGGATATGTAGTTTATTAAATGGAAATAAGGTGTTCCAGAAAATCAATTGCGGGGTGCTGTTTTGAGTACCTCGGGGGTGTGAATAGTAACTATGGGATTGGGTAAAGTGGGCCATTGTAAATTCATGTGATTGGCATTCCATTGCAAATAATACTCGTTTGTTTATTTGATTTTCCGAGTTTCGTTGCCTAAAAAGACAAACGAAGCCTACAACATGTGTTTTTGCTTTGTTTGCCTTGCGCCGAGTCCCAGTGATACCAAGTGTGACGTTTAGCGGCAAGGTAAATTGATACACTACGGGTAAACAACAGTCCGGATGCACTGCGGGAAGAGTGATTTTATATGTGATATTTCAGATTATATATGTCGAGGTTCAACGTAGAAAATCCAGAATCTCAATTTGAAAATAAAAGGTCCTGCCACTTGAAACGTAGGCCAAACAATATACTTGGAACTGCCTAGTTACCGCCTGCCCGCCATTATTGTGCTGACTAATAGATATACCGTTGTTCTCCCGATGGTCGGGCTGCCATCTCCTTTCTCAACCACCCCGAATTGCCACCAATGTCTGCCCGGAGACCTACCCCTGGACAGGCCGCGCAGAACTCGCAGACGATCAAGAGTCTGTTGAAACTCGAGGCCAACAAAGTTTGCGCAGATTGCAAGAGAAATAAGCGTGCGTCACACCCCCCGCCCATGCGGTAGACGACTCGACTTTAGGACAATGTATGCTGATATTCGATCGATCAGATCCACGATGGGCGTCCTGGAACCTGGGTATCTTTATCTGCATTCGCTGCTCGGGTATTCACCGAGGCATGGGTACTCACATTAGTCGGGTCAAGTCGGTCGATCTGGACGCCTGGACCGACGAACAACTCCAGAGTGTGATTAAATGGGGCAATGCAAGGGCCAACAGGTGCGTTATGAACAATTGGGATGATTGGATATGCGCTAATGTCATACAGGTACTGGGAAGCCAAATTGGCGCCCGGCCACGTTCCGTCCGATGCGTGAGTGATGGTATTTATAACAGCCACTGGGATCATTTGCTGATGAGATATTCTGACAGGAAAATTGAGAACTTCATTCGCACAAAGTACGAGTCGAAGCGCTGGGTCATGGATGGCGGCATGCCTGATCCATCTACCCTGGACGAGGGAGACGATGATGTGGTAAGCATCGATGCCTAGCAGTGTTTGGCGAACTCGAACAACAATCGCTGACAGAATAGCCTCTTGCGGTTGTACAGGAAAAGGCGAAGATCGAACGCTCTGCCTCTCAACGAGTCGCACCTCCACCTCAACCCGCCCGCCAGCAAGCCTCCATTGACCTGTTCGGTGATGATGAGATGTTTTCCGCTCCGCCTCGACCGAACACGACCGAACCGGCTTCTCGCGCACCACCGCCACCGAGACAGGCCCAACCTGCGCAACAGAAAACTCATAAACCAGCTGATTCTCTACTCGGCCTAGACTTCTTTGGCAGTACTCAACCGTCTACTGGCAGCCGGCCCAGCAGCACCGCATCAACCCCCGCTGCGCCAAGCGGTGTATCTCGCCCGGACCTGAAGCAGTCCATCTTGTCTCTCTATGCGAAGCCGCAGCCGCAGCCGCAGCCGGCACCGGTTCAACATGAGCGCACCAACTCCTTTGGCGATATGGCTTCTCCACAGGCCCCCTCTTCGTCCTCGAACATGGGCGCGTTGACCGACGCTTTTAGTGGATTGAGCTTCCCATCCACCACCTCTCCTCCTCCTGCCAAGCCAGCCGAAAAGCCTTCTCCATTTGCCAATCTTACAAACTTCGGCAGCGCTAAGTCGACTCCCGCGGCTCCCAAGGTCACATCCCCTGCCGGATTCGCCAGCGGCGATCTGTTCGCAAGCCTGACCTCTCCAACCATGTCTGCGCCGAAGTCTCAGTCCCGGAACACCTCGATTTCCTCGAGCTCGCAAGACCTCGGATTCGGCGGGTTTGCCTCGCCGCCTCCCCAGCCGAAGCCCAATCCTCCGTCTTCATCACTCTCTAACGACCTATTCGGTCTCTCCTCGCCGCCGCCTTCGGCACCCGCCGCGCCTCCCAAGCCTACCGTGAACTCACCGCAACAAGAAATGAGCTCGGCCTTCAATATTTCAAGCCCTCCTGTGCGGTCTACCCCTCTTCCCAAGCCTGAGGTTCCCGCTGCGACGGCCGCCGCCGCAGGCATGATAGATCCATGGGGAGGCAATGCCTGGAGCACTCCCGACCCGGTTCCGGCTCCTGCTCCTGCTCCCGCCCCGTCCGCGGCATCTATGATGAAGGTCCCGGACACTTTAACCGCCAACGACATTGGCAGCGGCTGGGGCGCACCCGCACCCAAGCCCACTCCCACCGTGGCCGCGGACGAAGACTTCGGTGGTTGGACCAGCGCAGCTCCCATCACCTCTTCCACGACTACGACGACCAACACTACCTCTACCAAGCCGGCTGGCGGGTTTGGCGGGGCAGACGACCTCTTCTCCAACGTCTGGGAGTAATGGGGCTCGAGGATTTCGTTTAGTAAATGGACAATTTCAATGATAATGCCCCTTTCCCTTTATTCACGTCTTGCATTAGTGGTAGCACTGCGCATTGGCTACTGCATGGTGTCCGGTGGCCCGAGTTCTTACTTTATGCCCCTTGTTCATTTTGTGGCCCAACCTTCTACCTTGTTGTTAGTCTGTCTGTCCTGTATAATTCATGAACAACGCGGATTTTAGAATGTAACGTTCCAGAGTCCGGTCAGCATATTCGTTTCATAATACAAGTTTGCTTTCTAAATTATTTTGACCGATTATTGGCTGTTGAGGCAGTAAGCGCTAAATTGAGATCCAATGGCTATTGGACGGATGAAACAGATGAATACCTGAAGATCGGTCCGCATACAAGATAGGACTACAACAATACCTTATGGATGTTCGCTGCGATATCGCAGGTGGTGTGATTCGTAAATTACTATGCCTAATGTTAAAGTCATCGTAGTCATCGTAGAGTTCATTATTGGTGCTCGTGCTGCGGTTGAAATGGAGTACTCGAAAGTCCACGAGAGCGTTGAGTAAAAGAAATGGAGATATCAATCTCATCGAGCCATAATCGCAAGCCATGCATGGCGTTGCTCTACAGAGTCACGGCACAAGCACTCAGAACGCCGCCTTCCTTGACCAAATCCGAAGTAACGCTATGAGAAACGCCGCGATCAACGCCCAGAATCATCAAAGCCTCTTTCGATGCAGGATCGGCACTCGCGGGGCCGTCTTTGGTAGCTTTGATATCCTCAATGTTGCCTCCGACAGCGAGTTTAGGAGACACCGGGGCCACAGTCATGAAATTGATGTTCACGCCTTCGCGCCCGAGAATGCTTCCAACCACACCGATCTTGCCGGGAGAGTCATAGTTCTCACAGATAAGAAGTGTTCCTTGCGGCTCAAAGGAGGCTTCAAACCGGCCGAGGCGGGTGATCAATGGCTGATCACCGGAGCATGTGCCCGAAATGATGCGTTGGTGCTGTACCTGGGGAGCACCGCCAGTGTCTGTTGCAGCAGGGGCTCTGGAAGAAGCGCGAGACGGCGGTCGTGCCACGAGGGTCACAAGCGATGAGTAGGAGGAGTGTTCAGAAGGATCACGGGAGTGCTGTTCCGAAATAAAGATCCCACGCTCGCGGGCTACCAGTTCGGCATTCACGATATTGATGTTGATGCCCTCGGTACTACTGATGGGTGACAATAGGCCTTTGACCAGAGCGGCAAACAGGGGTTTTGTGTTGTTGATGCTCGCAACTTCGCCTTGATAGATGAGGTCAAAGGTGTTTCGAGTCATCGAGCCACCAGGCGCAGTCGCATAATGCTGTGTATACAGACTGCCGATCTTCTCAACCAAGCGCACAAAGGGCTGTAGCTTCTGATACTCCTCGGGTAGAATGATGGGGGCGTTGACCGCACTTCGGGGTAACAAGCCTTTCAGAATTTCAAGCACTTGCTCACAGACATCCACTGACACATTCTCCTGGGCTTCGACCGTCGAGGCCCCCAGATGCGGTGTGACCACTGCTCGTGGATGGGCAATCAACTTGGCTGCCGTGGACTCTGGTACTGGAGGCTCTGAGGTGAACACATCCACGGCTGCCCCTCCTAGGTGACCGGATTCCAGTGCCGCCAACAGGGCCACTTCGTCGATTGTTCCGCCCCGAGCCACATTGAGGATGCGGGCGCCGGGCTTCATCTGGGCCAGTTCGGCTTCGGCTATCATACCGCGGGTGGAGGCAATCAAGGGCGTATGGATGGTCAGGAAGTCGGCCGACGCAAGGAGCTCCGCGAGGGACGAGACGAGAGTGACCGACGCCGACGCCGCGACGGCGGGCGATGCATACGGATCCAGCGCGTTGACAGTCATGCCCAGGCCTTTGGCCAGCCGAGCAACGGTCAGTCCGACTGTGCCAGGCCAAGCAGGTTAGCCCTAGTCGACCCTGAGAGGTGTAGATGCTGAGAATTGGAAGAGCTTACCCTTCCCCAGGCCGATAATCCCCAAGATCTTGCCCTTGACTTCGACGCCAACGAATTTGCTTCGCTCCCACTTGCCCTCTTTCAGACTGGCACACCCCTCCGGGATCTTTCTTGCCATCGACATCATCAAGGCGATCGTGTGCTCGGCGGCGGCGCCAATGTTGCCTGAAGGCGAATTGACCACCACGATACCGAGCTTTGTGGCTTCCTCGACGTCTGGTATCAATCATGGTCAGCACGATATCCTGTAGTATTTCTGCAATGGGTGCAGCACACATACCAACATTGTCAACGCCAACTCCCGCACGTGCAACGACCTTGAGGTTCCGAGCCGCCCGCAAGACCGGCGCGGTGACTTTCGTCTCAGAGCGGACCAACAGAGCTTCATAGGTCGGGATGATCTCCAGCAATTCCTCCGGACTGAGGCCCTTTCGCTCTTCCACATCGAGTGAGCTGCGTAACAGGGCCAGGCCATCCGGGGACAGCTTCTCCGGCACGAGGACCTTGGGAGGGGCTTCTTTGAAGAGCGGCATCTTTGAGGAGTGAGAGTGAGAGAGGTCAATTGTTGAGATTAAGTAGAAAGAGGCCGACTTTATAGTCACGGCGGTCTTTTCTCGAGGGTGCAGCACGATCAAAAGAGTGCGCGGCAGGCGCGCCCGACCTCGCCTTTCTTGCCAAAGTCCCCCAGGGGCCTCGATCGACGATGCTGCTGGCAGATTGAGGGCCAGACCCAATCATCGCCAACTACAGAATGTCACATCCCGTTTATTTGCCAGAGCAACGCGGGGTAATCTGCTCACGGCTGCACTCGGCGTGATTGGCGGTTCGGTGCGATGTCGGTGGTTACTCCTGTTATTATCCATGGTACCTGCTATATACCACCCTAATGTATGTGGTATGCTTGGCAGTTAAGACAGTCTTGAGGTAAGCAGAGAAGCTGAGATCGACTCGTGAAGAAACAGCCAGGGCACAGATCCAGCTGCCATCAGGCGCTACCCAATCATTGATACCATTAGCACTTGGTACCGTCCTGGCATCACGATCTGCAGCCCTAACACCCACCGCGATCCCGTCGCGACTATTTTCTGTGCAGAAACACGGCCGATCGGCTCGTGTTCGCGATTAAAATAGAAGACGGCCCCTTTTATACGACCCCCGTATCCTCGATGGTTCCGGAGGCTCAACGGCTGAATGGCCCGCTTGCCAAGCGGCGCGGCGCGAGTTGCTCGTCAACTCCACCACGCCCTGTCGGCTCTTCTCCGGCATTCAGCCTCTCTCTTATTTTCCCTCCCTCAGCGTTCATCGTCTGCGAGGACTCGAATTGCCAGCACGTTCTTTGTGGGGGCCAACTCCCCCTTGGCAGGTCGATTTCTCCGAACTGTTCAAACAGCGAGCAAACATACCCTCTCTCGCGCGCGCACCCCTGTCAGCTAGTGCATACTTAAGGAGCCCCCGAGGGACTGTCTGCATCAGCGCCATGAGTTGGGACTGAATATTCTGTCGCTGACCATGGTCGGCGTCCCTCACAGTACCGGTTGTGCTCTCTGCAAGGAACGCCATATCAAAGTGAGTCCGTTCATCTATAATGATGCGCCCTCCAACGGCTTTGCTGACAGCAGCTTGGCGACGGAATCCAGTGCGATGAAGCAATCCCCGAGTGCACCCAATGTCAGCGATATGGCCGCACCTGCCCCGGATATCGTCGAACATTCCGATTCCAAGACGAAGGGCCGAGTTTGGCCCGTCGACATCGTGCCCCTCGACGACGAGGGCGGGGTGCCTCCACGGGGCCCGCCACGCCAAGTACAACGGCCTCGTCGACGCACATGGAGCCCCTCGAGCCCGTCGACTCCCCCGGCGGCGATGGCGCCGGGGCCGCAGCGGTGGTACGGGAGAATGCGATCGCCCTGATGCGTCGACACTCGTCGACGATTTCGCTGGACGAGAGCGTCTCGCCGTCGTTGGTGCGCAAAACATTCCAGGCGGCACAACCGCAGCTATTTTTGGACTTCATTAGTGCCTCGTTCCCCACTCTGTATTTTCACAACCACTTCCGTGCTGGCACTGAGCCCGGCTTTGCCGAGTTCATTGTCATGAATTTCGGCCAGGATGCCTTCATGGATTCGGCCATCTGCTGCTTGAGCTCGGTGTATCTGGCCCATCTTACCCAAGATCCGGGTCTACTCAGAACAAGTCGACGCATGTATGGCCTCTCATTGCAGGAAGTCGTCCGAGCCCTCAACAACCCGCGCCAGGCAATGTCCGACAATATGGTTTGTACAGCCATGATGTTAAGCGTGTTCGAAATGTATGCGCAAACGAGTCCCGGGGCCTGGGTGATTCATTCAGATGCGGTAAAACGACTAATGATGAGTCGTGGCCCTGCACAGCATGAATCGGGCTTTGGACGCTCGTGCTGGATTGCCTTTCGAGGCTTCCATGTGGCAACAGCTGTCTACGAGGGTCAACCCTGCTTCCTTGACCAGGAGGAGTGGCAGCGGTACTCCCTAAAGATCATGGCGGAAGATGCTCAAAAACCAGGAGAATGGTCCGCCTACGCAGTCACCTCTGACAAGGTCTTTATGGAGATAGCAAAATGCCCACGGTACATTAGTGAGGCACGGGATCTTCTCTCCGGCCAAGCTAGCTCGGATCAAACCTCCACCGAGGCCCTGATGCAGCGTATCCAAGAAACATCCTGTCAATTACGCGCACTGAATATTGAACTCGGAGCTTGTATCAGCGCTCACGGCCAACGCCAACAAGGCATTGTCCGACGACCCGAGACTTTCGTCGGTCCCGTCCCCGAAGTCTTCCCAGAGACCGGTCCCTCCCTCCTCCTTCGCGGGTCAGAAAGTATCCTGGAAACTCTTCGTCAACTCAGTGACCGTCTTGACGATCAATTACGTTGCACTGTCGTTGAGGACCTCTCCCCAGACACAGTGGTCGAGACGCCGCCGAGCGATGGAAGTTTCGACACCCCTTCGCCGCCGACTACGGGCAGTCCTAGAACATTTACCCTCCCATTCCGTGTATACTCCGAGCTCGGCCGTGGCCCATCTCAAACATCGGATCGCAATGACCCGCGTGCCGTCATATGGCTAGACCGTGTGGCCTCGTCGATGGGCATGCTTGGTACGAAGCTCCTACCAGGTGATGAATCTGTTGGTTGCGTTGAAGAAGACACTTGATCCACAGCCATGTCAACCTTCACGTATTATGACCCCTTCATGATTCACGTTTTTAGATTTGATTATCATACTTCACATGACCAAAAGACCTAGCAGGACCTAGGATTTACACTTCATATTGTTCTGCGCAGTGCAGGCGTTGCAATTTAGCGTGGTGATATCCAATTCTTCCGTTCGCAACATTGATGATATATATACAACATTCACCCATCACTCCGAAAATGAATTCTTCGTAGCAGCATAAACTCCGTCCAAAGTGATTTTAAAAATCAACCTAGTATTCCAAAGACTCCTCCAGGAGACGCCTCAACTCTCCCTTCTCCGCCTGAAGCTCCTCACTCAAGTTCGGCGCAAGCATAAGCACCCGCCTCTGTGGAAGCGTCCCCTCAACCAAACCCTCCACATCCGAAGCCTTGAATCCCAAATCCTTCAGACCACGCGGCTGATTACCTAACTTGACCAAGAATTCCGCGATCGCAGCGCCCAAAACCTCACCCGCGCTCTCGCGTTTGACATTCGAGATATCGACACCGAACGCCTCTGCAGCAGCAAGATGACGGTCCGGGTTCGAGGCCCCGGTGAATTTGAAGACAGCCGGTGCGGTGACTGCTACCGAAACACCGTGTGGAATGATCGGGTGATCGACCTCATAACCCGCGTGCTTGTAGCCGGGGTTTTGGCTGGAGATGGGGTAACTCATTCCGTGGCACAGATGCACACCTGCGTTTCCGAAGCCCACACCTGCCAATGTCGCGGCGAGAAGCATCTGTGACTGAGCTTCGTGGTCATCGGGATCCCGGACCGCGCGGGGGAGGTACTTCACCGTGCTGCGGAGGGCCTGCAGGGAGAAGATATCGGAAATGGGATTGGCACCTTGATAAGCGGGGCGGTTAATTGGGTTGGTAGGACGAGGTGTGCGCTCGTTGTATGGAATCGCAGTCCAAGATTCGAGAGAGTGGCAGAGCACGTCTAAACCCGATGCGGCGTGGACGGCGGACGGCATGGTGCGAGTGTTGATCGGATCGCAGATTCCCAGTGTCGGTTTCAGATTGCGGTGGGCGATGCCTGTCTTTGCCTTTTTTGAGACGAGGTCGAAGATGGCGGTGCCGGTAGTTTCCGAGCCTGTGCCTGCTGTCGTTGGGACGGCGACTAGTGGAAGGAGTTTCCTCTCGACTGGAAGGCCTTTGCCCAGCGGAGCGTTGACGAAGTCGAGGAAGTCTGCTTCGGGGTAGACGGTGTAGAGGTTCATGAGCTTTGCGGTGTCGATGACGGAGCCGCCACCTATCTGGGTTGTTATTATGTTTTTTTCTTATTTTTTGGGGGAAGGGGGGGTGGGATTTTTTTACGTACCGACTGCCAGGAAGGCATCTGGATTATAGGGCTTGGAAAAATTGATAGCTTCCTTGACACTGGGTGATTATTAGCCACGCATTCCTCATTTTCACGGGGCTCTGTCGCAACATACGAGCTGTCCTTGGGTTCAATCCGGGTCTTGTCGAAAATGGTGAATTCAATTCCCTCGCGACTCAGACCCTCGACAGCCTGCTTCATAGCATCAAGCTTGGCGACATTTGAATCGGTCACAATGCACACGCGCCTGGCGCCCATATTCTTAAAATCCATGCCAACCTCCTTGGTGGAGCCGGGACCGAAGCGGATACTCGACGCCGCCATTTCGAATGCATACTCCTTCTCGCGCGAGGGATCTACGGGGGTAGCCAGGTGCCGACGGGCATTGTTAATCATGGACGGGGTCTTGTGGTGATGGTGGTGGTTGGGATTGGAGTGGCAGGGGCAGTTGGGAGGGTGAGTGTATTGCACTGTGCGCAGCAGATTCAAGGCACGGTTGGCAGCCGAGGGGGCCACCCGGATTGCTGGTGCGACCATTGTGGTGGATGTGAGATAACACTAGAAAGGAGAGAAGAGGAGGGAAAGAGGACAGGACGAGCCCGAGGTTAAGAGGAAGGTGTAACGTGCGGAAGGAGAATGTGGGAGGTACAAGTTGGAGAAATGGGGAAAATGCGGGGAGTGGGTTGCGCGGATTCGGTCTTCTGGCCGAGGTCGCTGACTACCAGTCCTACGCATTGTACAGAACTCGTAGTTGGAGACAGGGATCCAATTTCCAGGCAGTCGATCGATTTCTCCAATTTCCTTTATGTCTAATCAGATCTATTTCTTCGCTAGTCGGTGTCTAGAGCGATGTTCTGATTCGGCCGTGAACTTTCACACCTGCAGCCGAGGTTCTTCGGCAATGACATCAGCATACACAAACCTTGCCCAAATCGGAGAAACGGACACTTCGGAGAGTAAAGCAGTGGATTGGAATAGTGTAGAATAACCGAAGTATTATATTTGCTTTTCATTAAAACTAAATCACCTAGTTCCTAATATAGCAGGGCAATCGTATACTATGTCCCATTCGGTACCTGAGGGTACTTTTCATCCTATCAATACATCAAATTCCCCGAAAACATCCTTCATTTGTGAGCTCAACACAATGTGAGAGTCAAGTCCTGCGACGAATCCTGTACTCTCACTTGGCTGCCATGTGGCGGAATGCCATTGCTCCACGAAATTGGCGGGCTCGACGGCAGCAATGAGACCGAGCGTCCCCGGAACGGGTCACCAAACACATCAGACAAGTCATACCACACCTTATTCCCGTTGAGGTTATACGCAAAAATTGTCTGTGGCGCACTTTTGTATAATCCACCTTTCACAGTACTGATTTTCAGCGCAATGCCGCCGGTCTCGAGGTCACGGCGGAAGGTTTCGGTGAAGCGACCTCCGGGTAGAACAGTCGTCTCGGGCCGAACGATCGAGCCGACCGACCAGATATAAACTGGTTTGGGACAGCGATTGAGTACTATCGCTCGACCGATTCGGGTGCTGTTGTAGTTGGGGTTTCCAGGCGTTGTGGCTGGGGTGATGGAGGATGAGGCAGAGGATGGAAAAGCGCCGTAGGGGATGGGATCATTGTGGTTGTTGACATCCTGGACTGTAGGACGAGAGAAAGCCAACGTAGCGAGCGAAAGGATAGAAACGAACAGGGGGAATCTCATGATGTTGAATTCTTGGCTTTGAAATAGTGAGCTTGTTCGCCTTGCAAGGATTTCAGATCCGGCGATTGACAGGCCTTTATATACATGAATTGGAGCCCTTGATTCTATCGATAGAAAGCGCTATTCAAAAAGAATGAATAATTCAGAGAGTAAATGAGCAATCCCTATCAATTGCGCCCGGTATGCGACATCCTGGCAGCACATAACCCAGTTTCAGAGCATCTGCTCGTCGGCTGGTTTGGGGCCGCCACGAAAGAGTGCCCAGAGAGTGTACAATGAAGGGATGCCACAGGTTTAATGTTACGAACAGAGATCAAGGTCCAATAATCCGAGTTCAAGTCTCGGCAGAATGTTACACCTTTCCACTTTGCGAGACTGTGCTCAATCAGGCGTGCAACATGATGGAGGGATTGCCGGGATTCCGATTCGTTTATAGATCTCAGAGAATGTGAGGTGCTACTGGCTCTAGTCTAAGGATCCAAGTTTAATTATGGGATCGTATGTATTCCACAGACTTCATCTCATCAAGGCATGTGGCTTGCCTGGGAAATACTCCGAAAACTTGGCCAGGCTCTTTTGACCGGTAGCCCGACAATAGTTTGAAATGTGCCACATTTCTCGCAATAGCAAATTTCCCAGTCTCACGCTTCAGAGACCCTTCCAAGGCACGTTTTTACCTTCAAAGTATTTAACAGCTATTGACTCCAACCTAGCGACGATGAAACGGTGGCCTGATGGGTCTCTGGCTTGCAATAGCGGATAAATAATAGATTATTCAAAGGATCTAATCGTACAGCGCTTGGACCAAACAAAACGTGGCTTGTTTTCTGGGGCAACCCGATTCCCGTACCTTGCGTCACTGGAATGCAGGCTCTGGACCACTAGTACTTTGCGCTTGTCCTGCATTTGATCGATCCCATAGAATCAGAAGAATCAAATTAATCCAGTAATTACTGCCACAAATCCAAGTCCAAGCGACCATGCTCAGAGTCACCATGCTCAGTGTCAAATTTTTTTTTATCTCCGACAGACTACAGGGATGGTTCGGCAGTGGGAGTTATAGTTCCCGACCTGCCGTGTGGGGCAAGGCGCCATGTTCCAGATGCTGTCTGGACGAAACGCCCATTGACATCATACTTGAAAGGACCTCAAAGAAAATAACATATGCACAGAATTCAAACTGTTAAAAATATTTACATGAAAAGTCATGAGTAAAGACAAAACAAATCAATCGATGTACATCGAAGCGGAAATGAAAACTCAAAGCACCCAAAATTCCGAGATGCAAGGTCAAGCTGGACGGATAGAGTCACGCCGCTTAGAAAGGGATGACTTGAGAGGTACCAAGAACCTTGTTACCCTCAAGAGCAGCCACCTGAAGATAGTTGGTGGGCGGGTTGGTGAGAGTAACGGAAGTCTCGAAGCCAGTACGGTTAGCCGTGCTGATCTGCTGGTTGTTGGTCGAGTTCTCTGAAGTAGCCGAGTAGACAACCCAGTTGTCATAGTCCGTGGCACCGTTCCAGCTCATATACACAGTCGCACCGGTAGAAGTGCGGGAAACGTTCACAGAGGGCTTCCAGAAGGGAACAGCGCTCCACTGGCAGCGGTAACCACGGTAGGAAGCAACGGAATTGTCCTCGCCGAACTGAGCGCTCAGCACGACGTTGCCGTCACCGTCGAACTCCTTGACCTTCGAGATGGAACCGTAGTCCATGAAGACGTGGCTGTCAGTCTCGTTCAGGAGCTGGTAGCTGCCCTGGCTGACGGAGTGGATGGGGTCGTTCGGGTCAGTGAGGGAGCGGAGGCCGGTCACGGTTTTCTTGGCCAGGTCGATGGCCAGGCTGACACCGGTGGTGGGGGTTTCGCTATCGGTGGGGGTGTTGGCGTTGTTGAACAGGTTCAGAATGAGGCCCTCGTCTGTCTCGTTGAAGACGCGCATGTCGTGTTGCCACGAGAAGTTGGCGTTGCCAATCTGCTTGAAGTCGCCGCCGTCTTCGCCGCTAACGCGCCAGATGATACTGCCGTTGTTGTGGAGGTAGTAGCCGGACCACATGTGGCGGAGAGAGACCAGGTAGCCGTTGTTGGTGGGGGTGATGGCATTGATGTGATAAGCATCATAGGGGGCATCCTGAGTACCGACGTCCTTTCCGACCTTCTGGTGAGAAGTAGTCAGAGGAATATCCGCTTCTTGCTCGAGGGCACTCCAAGAGTTGAGGATCTTGTTGGTAACAATGTCAATCTCGTAGAAATGGCTGTCGAGCATCCAGTCGGAGGAGTTACCGCCGATGGAGGTCAGATCATGCTGGGTGAGGTTGTACGCGGTGACCAGCAGGGTGTTACGCGGGGTGATGTGACTCTCGTGCAAGTCAATGTAGGAGTCCCTGGGCGAGTTGTCGGGAGTGACAAAGTCACCGGTCAGAGTGACAGTGTGGATTTCCTGGTAGGTGTTGTCGAGGATGTGGACACTTCCGTAGCCGTATCCCAGGTCCATCATATCTCCCGCCCAGAAGGTGATCACATCAGAACCATTAAGCTGCTGAACCATAAAGTTGGCAGTGACCTCTTCGGGGCCCTCGTACACCAAATTGCCTTCGTCATCGTAGATCAACGCAGCCTGACCGGCAGGCCGGACGTCTCCACGGGGGCCAAGGAAGAGAAAGCCAGGCTCAGTGGTGCCGGTCTTGTTCACGACAAGCTTAGGAGGCTGGAAGTCGATCGAGTTGTAAGTCGAGTAGTCCCAAGCCGCGGCGCCGAGCGAGAGGAGCAGCGTACTGCCAGCAGTGTACCACCAGGGAACCATATTGGAGAACCGAGTGGAGCCGAAGTAGAATATCGAGCGGAGTATACAGCGGTATGCCCGTTAATGAGAGAAGGACTTGGAGGCTCAAATAAAAGAATGGCGACAGTTGAAACTGCGAAGACGTGCAAGGTCAAAATGACAGTTTCCGGAGGCAAACCGATTCTTAAAGAGAATCGTCTGTCTCAACGTTCCTCCACCTCCCGCAGAACCTGACGATCGTTGCCGCAGTCCGACGGAGTGGTAGGCTATGATCTCGTCATAGGCCAACCACGGTGGCCACTGAAGCGACGCCTCGCGAATCTCCATCCCCACAGTACACCATGTCCACCATGTCCACCGTAACCCGGAGAACTGGGGAGTGAAATCTCTTGGCCTTGTCATCGTAGACCTAAGCCTTCATTTCCGCCGGCAACATACATAGAAAATGAGAATCGCAATAGCATTGTCCCGTAAAAGGCCTGTTCATCCTTCGGCGTCCCCTGAAGCGCACTTTCTCCAGTAGTTTGACTGGAAAGCTTATCGATGGGCAGCACGGTCCAACCGCCTTGCACTATTGCGCACCACAAGAGGGCTAAGTCGAGTGATCGGCGAGCCGATCCCCTTGGCGGGCTGCTCTGTATGGCGACATCCAAATTCAGCCGGAGTTTCGTGTGGCAGCACAACGCCTCTTTTGTCGGGGATGCACGCCTTGTGCCGTTTTGCCATGAGTTGCGCGGTGGTGGAGTTGATTCAAAGCAGCGCGAATGGCGGTCCCAGACCGTGAACACCCGTGGAAATCGGAGAGGCGAAACGCCCCTGACGAGCCACTCGGTAACGATCGGCTCCGACTAGGCCGAATCCAGTAGGCATTCGTGGACCCTGACTCGCAAACAGGGAAGATGGAACATGGACGACGAGCGAGGTGGAAGAGCGGGAGAAGATTCTCTCGCCGGCGTTGACCGACGGCGATCGTCGCAGGTGAAACCGCTGGAGTTCAGCGAGATGGCGCTGCAAAGCTTATCTACAATTTACAGACACTAAACATACTTACAATGGCGACAAGGCGATTTTCCAGATAGATCTGCGTATCTGTAATTTTGAATTAACGTCGACTTTCCAGGTGAACAGTACTATTTTGCTTCAATAATTTGCTTCTTGCCAATACAGCATCCCAACAGTCGATTGAGAGATTTGAAGTTTTCCAAAGGCTTGGAATTTCCGACATTTCGACGATTCTTGCGAGGAACCTCGGCTACTTCCTAGTAGCTTTACTACCATTTTGGCCTCGAATGCTCAAGTAATGTGAAGGATGATGTACTAGGCACATAGTACATGCTGTAGTTGTTATCCATGCTAACTAAAGAAGCAATAGATCCACTCGAGCTAAATGTCGTTCTAGACCCTTTGCTGAAGCAAACCTGAAGAGATACCTGGTCACAAAAGGTAATTAACTTGATCACTTGGACTTATTGGGAGGCTCGGATGTATCGCCCATCTTGATACTCGCTGGTCGGGCCAGTCACGGGACAACCGGATGTTCTACGGTCGCATTTAACCCGAACACCGAACTCACGATTCGAGGAATGCTCTGCTGAAGATTTCGATTTAGCAAGACGAAATCTCCAGAAGCGCATCTAAACTCCCTGCGAACTGAATGAAACAGTGAGAGAAACTGAGGTATTCTCGACTGCGATGGCGGGCCGAACAGAAGATTGCGGAATGCTGTCAATGCAACTGCGGCCGATGGAAGCGAGGGCGCATCCCAGCACATACCAGGTTCGACCATCGCAGGGCCTTAATCACACCACCTGCATGATCGATAATTTCCAGGCCCAGACTCAGGCGCCCCGGCCATCGAGGGGGCCTGTTACTAGCGGTAACCCAACGTGCAATTGTCCTCCCGGCGGTACAGAGTGGCTACCCCGGGTTTTCCCCGCAAAGACAACAAAGAACATCCGTTGTCTCAACTCAAATCTCACCAGCACATCATGACGCCAAGAATGATCCATTCGCCAGGATCTGAGCACGCCACTCCACTCGATCGGCTCCATCTTGCGGTATCCCAGAACTCAGCCTGGTATCTATCGCAAATATCCAGCAGTCAACCGCAGGGATGCCCGTCACAGACCACCTTTCGCCCGCTCCCCGATCCCCCTGCAAGCAAATCAGCGTCGTCCAAGCCTCTGCCCAGAGCTCCACGCTAGCTTAGCTATTGCCTGAACCACCAATCAAGGGCGCGCATGCCCATCCTCGTACTCGGCTGCAAGCCGGTCGGCTCTCGCGTGGCCCTCGGATGGCTTACCACCTTGGTAAGTGTGAGGTCTGTAAGTATGTAAGAGATCTGTACGAACAGCATGGGCTGGGATGATCGCCCATAAATCTACTGAGGGGCCCGCCGTTTGTCCTCCGCATGCCACTGATCTGAGGTGAAGTGACAGTTGACAAGGCTACCCTACCTGCTCTTTATAGGTGAACAGCTCTTTGGATGCGCTGAGTGGGAGTGAGGTCTTTGAAGACATTTCCTCAAACCCTTGAACAGTCCCTACTTTATACAAACACGCATCATGGGTCGCAAACTCGGCCTCTTCCGGGCCATCTACCTAGTCTCGGCCAGCTGCATGGGCTCCTTTGCATTCGCCTTTGACACAGGCATCATCAGTACGTTTACCAAAGCCCCTGAATTCATCGCTCGATAGCATATACTGACTATCCTGTGTTTTGGCACATATAGGTGGTGTCCTCGCCTTGAATTCCTTCCAGGAAGACTTCAAGTACACCCACTACACGAAAGCCCAGAAGACCACCGTCAACTCCAACGCCGTCTCCATCTTGCAGGGTGGTGCCTTTTTTGGATGCTTCCTGATCTCACCCGTCGCCTCATACCTTGGTCGCCGCACCGGTCTCATCGTCAGCTCCCTCATCTTTACCGTCGGTACAATCTTGCAGGTTATCAACTCGGGAACCCTCGGCACCTTCTATGCAGGCCGCGTGGTGGCGGGATTTGGCATCGGCTCTGCGACTGTCTTGATCCCAATGTACTCGGCGGAAATGTCACCAAAGGAGTTTCGAGGCAGATTGGGTGCTTGCTTCCAGCTCTTTTTCGCACTGGGTGTCATGATCGCATACTGGACTACATACGCCGTGTCTAAAGACCAACCAGAGGGAACCAATCAGTGGCAGACCGCGTTGGGTCTGCAGCTCCTCGGCTCAACCTTGTTGCTTATCGGCATGTGTACGGTCAAAGAGAGTGCTCGTTGGCTAGCATCCAAGGGAAAAATCGACAAGGCTCGCGAATCACTCAAGTGGATTCGCGGCGGCGAAGAGACTCCAGAACTGCAGGCAGAATTCGATGAGATCTTAGCTGGTATTGAAGAAGAAGCCCGCGTGAAAGAGAATCTGACGATCCGCGAGCTGTTCCTCCCGGCCAACCGCTACCGAATTTTTATTGCGATCACGATTCAGCTCTGCGCCCAGCTCACTGGAAATACCTCGCTCGCATACTACGCCACCCAGATCTTCAGCGCTGTTGGCGCCGGCAGCTCAGCCAAGCTCGTCACGGGGTTCTTCGGTGTAGTCAAGGTGTGTGGTGTCTTGATTTTCCAGACATTCGTGCTAGATCGCATTGGCCGACGCGTGCCATTTATGGCAGGCGCTTTTGCCATGGGCTCGTTTATGTTGATCATTGCCTGCATTTTGGCGACACACCCAGTCAATGCAAGCGCCACAGGGGCCAGTTCCGCCGGCATTGCCTGTATTATCATGACCTATGCAGAGGCGTTTAGCTACAACATGTCGTGGGGTCCTCTACCGTGGCTATATATGGGCGAAATCTTCTCTAGCCGAACTCGGGAGGCTGGTGTCGCTATCGGTGCCGCATCGCAATGGCTGTTCAATTTTATGATGTCCCAGGTCACTCCGCACGCGATCGAGAATATCGGATGGCGCATGTTTTTGATGTTTGCCATTTTCAACTACGCTATCATCGGATACTCGTGGCTGGTCTTGAAAGAGGTATGTCTATCTTCTTTGGCAGAGCAAAATCTTTTGACTAACACAAACGTCAGACCTCGCAACACTCGCTGGAGGAAATGCAGGAAGTCTTTGGGGGACCGAAGCATCAGCAAAAGCATGTGGAAGCTGCGGTGCACGAAGAGAACACGCAGTCTGACGCCAAAGAAGCCGCTGATCCCGTCAAACAGTAGATTGCGATTCCATCGAGCTAGAGTACATATGTTCCATACTCCATACTCTTAGTATCAGATAACCAAGCATTCATAGTCCCGCAGCAAAATATCAGACTTTGCCGCGAAATTCTGGCCCATTCTCTGCTCCACCTCATACGAATCGTAACCTCACTCCACTCAATAAGTTTCGCATCGTCCGTCTCTTCTACTGCGATCTCTCTTTCCCCTCGTGATTGGTGCTCCCCGGCTTTCGGCCCCGCAGCGGCCAAATTGCGGAGACGGCGTGGCTTGGCGTTGCATCGTCTCTTTTAGTCTTTGCCCTCGCCCTTTGACCGTCGCGATGTTCCATCTGTCCACATTTGAAGTTCCAGCATCGATGGATCCTCGCGCTCGCAACTTGAGTAGCATTTTTCTGACTTGTCCTAGAGAAAGCTTGTCCAGCATCGCCATCCCGTGGGGCATCACTTTAGGGATTCGCACACCGCACCGAAGCTACTAGCAACAAAGTACTTCGACGATGCGACGCCACCAACCCCTGCGCTAAACACCGATCCTCGTATCCTGCTTGTTGTATGCTCGGAGTCCCCTCTGTCAAAGCGACCTTGTCATCAGCACGGAGCACACGACGCATCGGGCTCCTAACCTTCCTCTCGCGCGGCTCCTCGACGTCCAGCCAGAAGCCTAGCTCGACGCCACCTGTGTTGGCCCCCTGAAGTGCCCGCCGTGACAAGCTGGGGCCACGATGCAAGTCCAGTCTCTTTGTTCGAGCACTGCTCGCCAGGCCCAGGCACAAAGAAGGCCATTCTTCAAATGCCTCTACAGTCACCTCGAGTTACCCGGCAAGCTTCCATGTAACGCAGTTCAAATTAGAGACCCACCGAAATAGACCAACATCACTGCTCGATTCTTTCAGGCAGGCATGCAGCTTAAGACGGGGCCACTTGGTGGATCGGAGCGCCTCTCTTTGTGTAAGCGAGTCGTCAACTTAAGGCGACCTTCCTTGGGGAAGCAGTTCTGCTTGGAATGTCTCTTTCTTCTGCAGCATCACGACTTCCGAGGGAGGTCGCCTTCATCATCGCACTGACCAAGCCACGCCCTGCTAGCAACAGCCCTAAGACAGCGCCTACTAGGTTCGACTAGAATTACGCCTCCGGATTTTCGCTTCCTAGGAACGAACCTTTTAAACCGCGTTGTGTGTGACGCCCTCGAGGAACAGTCGGCTCTTTTCCACGTTCTAGCACTCCATCGCCTCTCCCCTTTCCTCACTCGCACTGCAGAATCCACTTCTCAGACTCGCGTCGCTCTAGCATCGTTTTCTGCATCCGTGTAATCTGGTCATGAATTGATTTGCCATGGCCGACCGAGTTGTTCGGCCCACCGATCCTGACGGGCTGGTCCTCGAAGCCTGGGGCCAGGGTTTGATGGTCGGGAGTCTACTAATCATGGCTGCCATTACTGTCGCCAATATGAAGAAACACATTCTTCTTCACAAATTGATCTTCGCTGAGGTGAGCCGATCCCCTAATTTCCCGAAAACCCCCGGGGTCTATGCCACCCCAGAAAATCCGAGACATACAACCGCGCAATCTACTCCAAGTAATCGCCTAACCAGCACGAGAGCAGTTGATTCTTGCGATGGCACATGGCACGTTTATGTTCGCTCATGAGCCGGCATATGGTTGGTACCTCTCTGTCACCGCGATCGGGCTAAATGTTTCCTGGGCCTTGCACAACGTGATTGCGTGGATGAAGAATCGGCCTTTTCTGTCGCGGAATGTTTCGATGTTCTATATCATCACCGTCATTCTCTGCTGGCCCTACTGGGTGCTCGAGATCTATGCAAACTTCACCTATTTCAACAACATCAACAAGATCTTCCTCAAGACGCGACCGCTTGAACCGCTTTTCCGGTATGAAGCTCCCCTTGGGCATCTCCCTCATCAAAGATAAATGTCCCAGGCACAATTCAGTATTTTATATTTGATCCAGCCGAATTACTAAGTCCTCTAGTGACCCCTGGTGGGTTTTCACAACCATCTCGCTCTTTTGGACCATCAAGCGCGAGTACAATTTCAAACTTTGGGAGTTGATTTTAGTCAGCCCTCGGTTCGGAGTTATGCTTATGGCGATGTGTCTTTCGATTGCATTTATAGTCGTGGATACATGCAGTGTCCTTAACGTCTTTAGGGAGTCAAAGCTGCCTACTGGCGTTGAGCCGTTTTGGGAAAGTATGACCTCCAACCTTTGATTGCACTTGTCGCAGATTCTCTTGGCCTTCATCCACGTTTACGACAAATTGAGCTTAAGTAGATATGCTAACTGTAACATCGTTTTTCCAGTTATCTTTCATTCTCAAATGCCTCTGCGACACCGTCATCCTCGACGATTTCAAAACAGCCCTTGATCGACTCCGGGCGCATTGGCTGCGCAAGCAAGCGAATGGCGAGCTACTATTCACCAGTCCACGAACCTGTCGGTCGGCACGGCCTCGGGTTTCGGGGCAAAGCGACGATGTCGAGGTGGGCCGAGAGCGAAATGCCAAATATGCTTCTATGCCGCGGGCCATGCATCGGGAGAGACTTACATAGAATTCTCAATGAGCCTTTCCCTTCGGTTTGATCACGAATTTGTATATAAGGGTGGCACTCTTTTTGAGAGGCTCTAGGTAGAGTATTCATATGGCGACTGGGATGTACATACTAGCGTGGCTGGTGTCGGGAGTGAAATGGATTATGAATTCATGATGTTGGGTGGGAATTACATTAACCACGCTCCCTCCTCGGATCTTCTAGTATCTGATGTAATTTCGGACTCCTTATTCTACAAGAATGAGTATCTCGCTCTAACTCTAGGGTTCTTTCTTAGCCTTTGGACGCTGAGAAATCTGAGACATTAGAGTACAGAAGGTGATCAGATGGCTGGTCATTGGGTTGTGGGTAGATGGCCGAGTAGGCGATTGGCCAGGTATGAAATGGAACTATTCTTGGGCTATCACATAAACCATGATAGAATGAGTGGAGTATGTAGGGACCGGATTTTTTCTTCAGGGGTGCCATATAGTTAACTACTTCGCGATGCTGTGTCAGCGGGTCAGCGTATTTCTCCGAACCAATTCTCCGGAGGGGTGGACTGCAACCAATTATGACAGGTTCGTGCGCTCGACAAGATGCTTTACGTGCAGAGAGCTGCATTAACAGTAACCAAAATCCCTTCTTTCGCATTATTAAGCTGGCAAGTACATCTTGGAGAATTATCATATTTCTCCGAATCGGGTACCCACCCCATCGCAAAGCTATGCGCATGGGCCTCGAGAGCTGCATGCACCCCCACACGGAGAGGGAGAACTATAGCCTAGCAAGCAGACTGCGATACTCGGCTTGGTCGAGACGCGAAGCGGAAATGACTTGGAAGCCAGTTACTCGCTGAATGAAAGATCATCCCACGCTCTGACTGGGACTGTTGTCCACATGATGCATCCCTCTTCCATCGGATTTAGTAACGAACCGTGGAACACGGAAAACGATCGAGATGGTATATTATGGGTACGAGAATGACGGACATAAATAGGTCCTTGAATCCAGTCTCGATGTCTGTTCCATATAGCAGTTCTCTTCTCTCGACATTTCCCAAACGCACTCCCCCCATAATGGGCTCTATTGATCTCCCCCAAACCCAAACAGTCGCCCTGGTTCGCGACCTTGGCGGTGCAGTCGAGTTCAAAACAGATTACCCAGTTCCAACACCAGGACGCAACGAAGTCCTCGCAAAAGTCTTGTACACGGGTGTCTGCCAGAGTGGTAAGCACAGAAACTCGGTCAAGAAAAGACCAGCACTTACCCGATTCCAGACCTACACACCAAATCTGGCACGGCAGCCGGTCCAGACGGAAATCCCATCACGAAAATCAAACTTCCCCACATCGGCGGTCACGAAGGAATTGGTCGGATCATCTCGCTAGGCCCGGACATCACACATGGCAACGGTCTGAAGGTTGGTGGGCTTGTTGGGATCCGATTCTCGAGTCGGATTTGTCGACGATGCGAGTTTTGTCTTGCTGGTACCGAGCAGTATTGTGTGCAGAGTACCAATCACTTGCACCATGAGGATGGTAGTTTTCAGGAATATATTGCTCTCGACGCGGATTACCTGACTGTGTTGCCGGGTGATGTGGACCCGGTGGTTATGGGACCGGTTCTGTGTGCTGGGTTGACGACTTATAAGGTATGTAACCGGGTACTTGAGGGTAAAACTTTCCAGCTAACCTGACCAAGGCGGTACTGAATGCGAATGTCAAGCCCGGTCAATGGGTGGTGGTTGTTGGTGCTGGCGGAGGACTCGGACATTTGGCGGGTATGTACCTCTCTCTGATATACTTGAACGCGATGGTCGCTGAGCTCTTCAAGTTCAATACGCAAGGGCCCAGGGTGCTCTGGTTATTGGTGTGGACACCGGGCCTGGTAAAGGGGATTTCGTTCTCGGGATTGGGGCACAGGAGTTCATCGACTTCGCCAAGGAAGACCCCATCAAGAGGGTACAAGAAATCACCGGACTCGGCGCCCACGCTGCGGTCGTCACGGCCGGCAACGCGAAGGCATTTGCGCATGCATGCGAAATGTTGCGGGTCGGAGGAAGCTTGAGTTGTGTGGGCATTCCGCCCGGGCGTCCTTGTCTGGAGACGCCTATTTGTACGATTGTGATTAAGGGTTTGAGAATCACGGGTAACTTGGTTGGCTCCTTGAAGGAGTGTATGGAGGCGGTTGATCTTGTGCGACGGGGTGTGGTGAAGCCTGTTATCAAGGTGCGGCAATTCAGGGAATTGCCTCAGGTATATGAAGAGATGGAGAAGGGAGACATTGCTGGGCGAGTTGTCCTTCAAATTGCGCAGTGAGACAATGAGGAATGTCAATTAGATCTGCATCGCCGAGCATTGGTTTTCGCTGCTATCTGAAGTCACTGAGATGCCTGGAATAACCATTTGCAGATAGCATCAATTGAGGGCTACCGCTTCCAACTATCGGATTTGAATGGTCATCTTCATCAGGTGTATCGCTATATGGCACATATTCGATGGTGCCTTGGCCAATACGGCCATTGATATGAACTCCGCCAGGCTCCAATGTCAGTAGGCGGGCGGGTGCCATTACAAGTACCTCGGCTGTTTTGGTTCGAAGAATGGAGTTCAATATGGGATCTTGTTCAAGGAATGGAGAAAGCTTTTGGTAAAGGGCGTGCAAAAAGTCTTGTGGTGCATGCTGGAAACTCGAGTGATGGCTAGAAGCTGTGAGGAGGACGGTATCAGCGAGGGAATTCGCGACTTCGAAGCATTTTAACAGCTGAGTGAGATGTTAGCATCTTTGCCACGGCCTGAGTTCGGGAGCAATACTCACCTGGTCTCGTCCAAGAGGCAGCAAGTCGGTCTCGGAGAAAAATCGTAAAGCATGAAGCAGGTCACGACTGACTTGTGCAGGGAAGCCGAAGGTCATGATATCTGTCGAAGTGGCCGAGGATAATAGACCCATAGACAACGCCTCCTGCCATAGGATTGTCCTCATCCACTCTCGTGTGATGTGACAATCTGCTGTTCTAGTCGAGACATGACCCGCAATGTTCAGGCGCAATGAGGACAGCTTGTTCTCAGTATCTGTAAGATGCGTCGCGGAAGTGATTTCGTTCTGGGACTTCCCACGAACAGAGATTTGATCGAAGGCGATGAACAGCATGACTAGATCCAGTAATCCCTGAACATGAAGATCGGTAGGGGAATCTTTGAGGTCCGTGAGTGGTGGCGGATCGATGCAGGACGGAGTTCGACCGAGATGCATTGCATAGCCTCTGAATAATTGTCAGCTAAAGAAAACGAGGCGAGGATGCACGACGAATCTGACCTACCTCTCCGAAACCCACAATAAGGGGAAAATCAGTGCTTTGTTCGTGATAAAATCGTCATAAAGTCCCTTTATTTTATCTGTTCTCCTTGACGCATTATCCAGGCGAATCATTTTGGCCGCCGCAATGGCTTCCTGGATATACATCATGGCGACAGAGCGCTGGTTCACTTTGGCATGGTAAACATGCAGAAAGAAGGAGGTCAAGATCCCCCAGAAATCAAAGTATTCCCTATCGCTTCCATTGCAGTGACGTCTCATGCGAAGACAAGTTTGAGCCATCACTGAACTATCCACCTCCGTGGAGCCATCTTGCATCGGGGCAAGTTGCAATTGAGCCATCGTCGCTGCGCAGAGAGCCGTGATAAGACAAGCCAGATTCCCCGCATCGTGTTCTGTGGTCTGTGGATTGATATCCTCTATCTTGTCCAACAGTCTGTCGACGTTGATGACCGGCCAAACGCTGTACGAATACTGTTGGTAGAGGCGGACAACGGGAGCCAGCACCATCTTGGATATAGTAGCAGGCGCCCCATCGTCGGAAGCAACCCTCTGTGGTACATTCAAGCCTTGCGGACCCGGTTGAACCGATTCTTCATTCCTTTGTGCACCCGGAGGAATGGGGATTTGATCCACGTCCTGGTCCTGTCGAGCTACTCGCCTCACCTTCGGGCCTCTCTTGCGCGGCGGCTTGAGATAGGTGCAGGGGACGCGGGTGAGAGCTTCACGACAGGTGTCACAGGGCCAGGAGCCGCTGCACTTGACTTTGCGTGAGATGCAGATATCACAAGCTCGTTTGGGGGACATGAGGTCGGTGGTGAAGACTCATAATATCTACCCCCGCGGGATATGAAGGATGCGGAGACGAGGGGGAGGTGGAAGGTCGATCGGAGTAACTCCTGGTGACTACGTGAGCGCCGCATACTACGAAGTGATACATGCTACTATGAAATACAGGATGCTGTATGTTTTTTGTACATTCTACGAATATATTGCATCTTCTGATATACACCACAGTAGTAATGCTGCTCGAGTGTGCCTGACTCCACCCCAAAAGAGGGAAGGTCCACCCTGATGGACGACGTCACCCGCGCGCTCCACTTGCATCTATTCATCTCATCTCGCTTCGCCCTTTTCTCCTCGACCTTTTGCGATTTCTCCCCCGAGACTATCTCAACTCCTTCAATTGCTTCAGTCTAAGCAGACTTTCCGCCACAATGGCCCTCTCCGCCCCCAGCTTGGACGTAGGTCCCTCCTCATCGCCCCTCAATTGAGCAACGAGTTGATAACATTTACCCCAACAGCCCCAGGTCCTGATCGCCCAAGAAAACAGCCAGGAGTACATCTTCAATACCTTCACCAATAGCACTGCCTGGATACTCGGCACCGCTCTGCGCGAGCGCATCCTCTCCCTGCCCGAAGGCACCCGCAAGCCCGCCCTCATCTCCATCGCCCTCGCTACCGCGACCTCCGGGGGGGTCCCGCTGCACGTCGTCTTCCAGAACGCAACGGAGAGCGGGACCATTCCGGATAATGAGAACTGGGTGCGACGCAAGCGGAACACGGTCCTGCGCTGGGGCGTGTCGAGCTGGGCTATGAGACAGAAGACCGTCTCTGGGTTGACAGCTGGCGCTACAGCGAATGAGATCGAGAGTGCGTTTGTGAAGAAGTATGCTCTGGCCAGTGCCAATGGTGGCGCCGTGGCTGATGAGTATGCTATCCACGGTGGTGGATACCCTATTCGTGTGCGCGGTGTTGAGGGTATAGTTGCGGTGGTGGTTGTCAGTGGGTTGAAGCAGGAGGATGACCACCAGGTGGTGGCCGAGACTGTCAAGGAGGTGATTGCCCGTGGCAATTAGTTGTCTCGAATAAGTGTATACCATGGAAGCAAGAAAAGAGATATTGAATGTAATAGAATTTGGTCATTCCAGTCTACACCAAATAACAATGAGTATCGAAGCAAAATCTATCGTACAACTTGACGAGATCTTCGTTCTGTCCTGTTCCAATCTGACTCCTCGAAAAATTCGATTATGTTATTGTTTTAGCGAATTTCCATTATTTGATCTGAATCAGCGACCCACAGAGCATGATGATACCTTCCAGAACGGTGGCCCTCGATCCAGGAATCAACATGTACCAGGTTTACAACACAGCTACAACGACGTAAAAGGACATTGAAAGATGCAAAGGTATCATGGTATTTAGAGTCGGTTTAAGAGCCAGACTCAAAGCGACAGGCTCTTGGGCCCGCACGGATTCTGTAGAAACACAAAACAAATAAAGAAAACTCCATGGATAATGCCTCAAAAGATAATTTTACAGTTCGTCGTGCTCCATAGGCTCATCGTCATCGGCGGGGGCGCCAGAGCCGTAGAGCTTGCTGGTGATCGGGTACGCGACACCAGAGAGCTGCTCCTTCTGCTCCTCGAAGTCCTCGGCGGTAGCAGTAGCGGCGTTATCCTCGAGCCAGTCGATGGCCTCCTTGACGGCGTCAAGGATGGTCTGCTTGTCGTCCTCGTCGATCTGACCACCCAGGCCCTCCTCGTCGTTGACCTGATTCTTCAGGCTGAAGGCGTAGTTCTCCAAACCATTACGGGCCTCAATCTTGCCCTTCATGGCCTTGTCCTCCTCGGCGTACTCCTCGGCCTCCTGAACCATACGCTCGATCTCCTCAGGAGTGAGACGGCCCTTGTCGTTGGTGATGGTAATAGACTCGGCCTTGCCAGTGCCCTTGTCGCTGGCGCTGACCTTCAGGATGCCGTTGGCATCAAGGTCGAAAGCGACCTCGATCTGAGGAACACCGCGGGGAGCGGGGGGAATGCCAGTGAGCTCGAACTTGCCAAGCTGGTTGTTGTCCTTGGTCTGTTGTTTCTCCAGTCAGATGTGTGGTAAGGAAGATGGGAATGACGGAAACTTACCATAGAGCGTTCACCCTCAAAGACCTGAATCAACACAGTGGGCTGGTTATCAGCCGCAGTCGAGAAGATCTGCGACTTGCGGGTGGGGATGACAGTGTTGCGGGGGATGAGCTTGGTCATGACACCGCCAGTGGTCTCAATACCCAGGGTGAGAGGGTTGACATCCATGAGAACAAGCTCCTCAGTGTTCTTCTCACCGGAAAGAATACCGGCCTGAACGGCGGCACCGAAAGCGACGGCCTCATCGGGGTTGATACCCTTGCTGGCCTTCTTGCCACCAAAGAACTCCTCAATCAGAGACTGAACCTTGGGGATACGAGTGGAACCACCGACAAGGACAATGTCGTCAATGTCAGCCTTCTTAACCTTGGCGTCCTTCAGAACCTGCTCAACAGGCTTGAGGGTCTTCTTCAGGAGATCGGCGATCAGTTCTTCGAACTTAGCGCGAGTGAGAGTCTCGGAGAAGTCGTTGCCGTTGTGGAAGGCCTCGATTTCGATGCGGGTGGACATCTGGGAAGACAGAGTGCGCTTGGCCTTCTCGACCTCACGCTTGAGTTTACCCATAGTCTTCAGATCCTTAGTGATGTCAACGTTGTTCTTCTTGTTATACATCTTGGTGAAGTGTTCAATGACACGCTGGTCGAAGTCCTCACCACCCAGGTGGGTGTCTCCAGCACTGCAGACAATGTTAGAGTCCTGAATATAACTGTTTCACAGCTCAAGGGCATAACTTACGTGCTCAGCACCTCGAAGACTCCAGAGTCAATAGAAAGAAGAGAGACATCGAAGGTACCACCACCCAGATCGTAGACAATGATCTGGCGCTCATCACCAGTCTGGTCCAGACCGTAGGCGATAGCTGCGGCCGTAGGCTCGTTGACGACACGGAGGACGTTAAGACCGGCGATAGTACCGGCATCCTTGGTAGCCTGACGCTGAGCGTCGTTGAAGTAAGCCGGTACAGTAACCACGGCGTTCTTGACGGTCTCGCCGAGGTAGCTCTCGGCAACCTCCTTCATCTTTCCGAGAACCATGGCGGAAACTTCCTCAGGGGTGAAAACCTTGGCGGCCTTGTTGACCTCAACCTTAACGTTGGGCTTGCCGTCCTTGTTCACAACCTTGAAAGGGAAGTGCTTCATGTCCTTCTGGGTGTCCTTGTCATCGTACTTGCGACCAATCAATCGCTTGATGTCGAAGATGGTACGAGTAGGGTTGGCGGCATATTGGTTCTTGGCTGCATCACCGACAAGGCGCTCCTCATCGGTGAAAGCGACGTACGAAGGAGTGATACGGTTACCCTGGTCGTTGGCGATAATCTCAACCTTGCCTTGCTGCATGACACCAACGCAACTGTAACTGGTTAGTCTCCTCGGCTAAACAGGATTCCGGAGCGTGGATATCAACATACGAGTAAGTGGTTCCCAAATCAATACCAATAACCTTTCCGTAGTTCTCAGTAGCGTTCTCCTCGGCCTGGGCCGTGGTGCCAAAGAGTGCCATGGGCGCAATCAGGACCACCAGGAGGTAGAAGACGGTGGTCCAAGTAAAAGACTTGGACGCGCCGGCGCTGGCGCTGCTCCGCGAGAGGCGCGCCATTGTGGATGAAAAAATATGTGAATCGACAAAAGCACACCTGATGTGTCCTCACAGTTGTCGAATAAGGCGGGGGGAGTTGACCCGAAAGGAGATGGGGAGAAGAAAAGTGGAAAGCGAGCGCGGAGGGCCTACTTGTATGAAGGGCCGACTTGCGCGCAGCGGCCAGCATGGCCTTTTCCGCAGAGGTCACTCCTCGCGTCATGATTGGCTGGGGAATTATTCGCCAGTCGATGACTCAGCCACGCGCGAACCCGCGGTTTCTAGTGCCCCACCGCCTTCCCTATTTAGATAAGCTTATACCGTACTGGCTAGCCCGAGCGGGTCTATCTAGCCAGTTCCTTGCGTCTTGTCCAATAGGCATCCGCCACCCTGTCGAATTTGCTAGAAGCAGCTAAGCGTTTGCTCCCAATTTTGGAATTGCGGATTTCGATTCCAGGGTTTCATGGGTTACTCGTACGCCATCTCATAACACGTCGCGCCGATCGAAGCCAGGTGGCATGTACAACATCGTCAGTGTAAATGACACCGTGTGCTATGGTGGACCAATTTGCCCCTATCCAGAGCCTTGAGGATCGACAGTACATTCCGATCCTCTGGGCAGGGAAGCATGGGGCCTAGAACAAGGCCAGGGATCGACGTAGCCTCAGGGACGCCCTGCAAAACTCGGTTCTGAGTAACCAAACCTCGGGTATGGCGTAGGGGCAGTTCGTGTATACATTCGCCCCCGAACGGTGGGAACTTCAAATCCATGATCTACTTGCACCAAAAAAAGCTACAGATCATAAAAATCCCATAACTACTAGCGCGGTTTACAGCAAAGGGTCCTTCTCGGAGGCATTTTATTTAATTTACATCGTCTATAACTTTTCGGTATTTGTAATTTTTTTTTTCTTTTTCACAAAGCCAAAGCGGCATATAGAACGAGGACACGTCTCGCTCCTCAAGACATGCATTGATGACCTATTCTAGCAGGCCAGCCGCCACAGTAGTACCGCCACTGCGGAGAACGATTCTGGTGGGTGCCTCCAGTGGCACTGCCTGGTCCATCTCAACCCCAATGCGAGCCACAGTGCCCGGAGACACGATTTTCGGCCGCTTCTTGATGGGTGCTCCAGAGGCCTTGTCTAGAGAAGCTACCAGCTTGGCAATACGACCGGGTACGTGAAGTCGACCACGGTGTACGTCGACCATCATGGGCATAAGGTGCTCGAAGGCCAGAACCTTGGCCGTGAAGGTAGTGATGGTTGGAATTGGAGAAGATGAGCGGCAAACGACATCTCCAGATCGTAGATGAACGGGATCAATGTTCGCCAAATTCAGTACCACGTTCTGACCCGCCACTGCCCAGTCGCTAGGCTCGCTGTCCACCTCGATACTACGGATCAAAGCCGTTTCTCCGCTGGGCATCGTAAGGACCTGGTCGCCAATCTGCAAGCTGCCAGCATCCAGACGGCCAGAGATTGAGATCGGGTTCTGTACGCCACCTCGGAAAACGTCGCCAATTGTCATTCGTAAAGGTTTGTCGAGGGCATGGGTGCAGGGCTCTGAGGTCTCCAACTCTTCGATCAAAGTCCGGCCGGCGAACCACGAGGCCTTGGCGTCTTCACTGCGGCGAGTTATGTTGTCACCGAGGACCCCTGAGCAAGGAATAAAGGAAATATTCTTTTCTTGGAAACCAGCAGTGGTCAAGAAGGCCGAAATTTGCTGCTCGATTTCCTCAAAGCGTCCCTTGTCCCATTGCACAGCATCCATCTTGTTGACAGCCACAATGATCTTCTGTACACCCATACTGCGTACGAGCAATGCGTGCTCCTTGGTCTGACCCTTCAGACCCGATTCGAATTTTCCCACGCTGGAGTCGATCACCAGCACAGCGAAGTCAGCCTGACTGGCACCAGCAATCATATTCGGCACAAAATCGCGATGGCCCGGTGAGTCAACAATTGTGAATGCGGTGTTGTCGGTTTCGAACTTGTTCGTCGCAATATCAATCGTCACGCCTCGTGCGCGTTCTTCCGAGCCTTGATCCAACACCCACGCCAGGGCAAAAGAGCCCTTCCCGATCTTCTCGGCCTCTTTTCGGTACTTGTCCAAAGTTCGTTGGTCGATAGCGCCTTGGTCCGCCAGCAACCGCCCCATCAGAGTACTCTTTCCAGCATCAACGTGACCTGCAATAAAGATAAATCAGGATTTGACCTCTACAATTCGACACGATGGAAGAAAACTCACCAATCACAACGAAGTTGGCAGACTTCTTCCGCTTGGACTTATTGTATTCGTCAAGAACATTCAAGTTCTTGCTCTTCACGGTAACTTTCTCTTGCACGGAAAGATCGTTCATGCCATTTGCCATATCATCTTGGGCCTTCTTGTCACCCGACTTGGATGCGGCGGATTTGGATTTCAATCCTAGATAATATTAGGCGAGTAAATTCATACCTTCTTGCGAATGGCCAAACCTTTTGCTGTATTTTGAGCATTGAGCACCACGTCGTCGGGGCTGGGGCCTGCAAAGTCAAAAAATTGTTCAGCAAAACGATCCAGGCCATAAATCTTTAGCACATCGAGGTCGCTCGGTTGTAGTTGACTGGGCTGAGTCAAGGTCTGCCCTGCGGAGGTCCCGCCAATGACACGAGCGAATTCAGATGGTTCGGTGCGGAGTGAAGATACTCGCGGCTGGAGCTCTGGGCTCTTGCTTGTCTCCGATCGTTGTTCCATTGTAGGGACCTGTGCGGGGACAGATTTGCTAGGCTCGGGTACAGCGTCACGAGGCTCGGATGAGCAAGGCTTGTTCGCATGCGAGGTGGATGCAGATGGGCTCGGTTTGCTTGGTCGTCGTAGACCTGCAAGGCCAGAACTGAGTTCAGACGACTTCGTCGCCTTACTCTTGGCCAGTCTCTCACTCAGTGATAGCGGAGCCGCTCGTGGATCTGGTGAAAGTACCCCTTCACTTCCTGGCTGTTTTGTGGACGCGGTCTCTGGTGGTGACGTAGCGCTTTGAGCCTCTTTCTTCTTCCGCGCAGCGGCAAGCATAGCAAGCTTGGAGGGCTTGCCTCCACCTTCGGGGGCACCTCCCAACAGGCCCAATCTAGGGTACAAGGGCTCAACCAAGATATCTGCCTTCCGGTGCGAAGGAACATGGAGCCACGGGCAATCGCGAAAGAAGTCGGCCGCGGAAAAATGCGCGCTGGGGGGACTAGGCGTTGGGAATTCTGACCCTGGTTGACCTGTTAGAACATAGTCCAATCTTCCATGCCACGTCAGTTCCAAACTCTCGAATCAAAGGGGCAATAAAATTCAAGCTACCAGGGGCCTCGATACGTACCTCTGGTGTGCGAATGCGACTACAATTGTTATGCCCAGCAAAGCGCACATAGCCTCACTTTGAACCCAGCCATAACACTTCGAGGACTTAATGCAACAAAAGAAAATCAAAAAAGCACTTACAAGATTGGCTCTTTAACTTTTGTGCCGCAGCAGAAGCCTGCTGCTTTTTTAATTCCTTCTCCTTCTTGCCTGTGCAGATCCGGTTAGCCCAGTCGGCCTCCTGACAAGCATTTAATAGCCGCAATTCATCCAACGTACCCTTCAGATAATTCACGGACTTTTCCACGTCGTAATAGTAGTAATAGAGCGTTTCCTGGACCTCATCCTTGGTCACAGTCACTGACGGCAGCCCCGCGCCAAGCTTCTGAAGAACCTCGGCGGTGGTCCGTTGCAGAAGCTCCTGCTCCTCGGGGTCAGGCGAATCATATCCGTCGTCATCATAGTATTCATCGTCGTCGTAGCCGACAGCTTTCACACGATGTCTCGACATCGTGCGTGGTGGGGTATCGGGTATGGAAGGAAAGGTGACCGGTCGCAAAGTTGGTGGGGGAGGCCGAAAGGAGGGGCAAGATTTGTGAATCGAATAGAAGAGAGCGAAGGTATACGGGAATATATTGGTGGGGTTTCAGAGAGAACGAAGAAGGTATCCGAGAGAAAGAGGATCGGTCGAAGAGGTGGAGGAGAGCAAGTACTGTGGAAGCGAGGGAGACGTCGTCGGGCGGTCCACGTCATTCCCCCCCGCCGTAGCTGCCGTCGTCTTGGTTCACAAGTTGTATTTAACCCAAGGCAGCTAGCCCCCCCCCCCCCAAACCATGTGACAACATTCGTGAGAACATTGCTCACCTTCCCAATTGGTAGTAGAGAATTCGTGTACTTTAAAGGTTACTGCATTCGTGAAGTAGCCAGACTGCATTTCTGTGCGGCCAAGGATCATGACATGACCTATGAAGACGATATCACTAGCTAGGGCTACCCTTATCTATGAAACCAGGCCAATTCCAGATGTACCAAGAAGAGAAAAGTAAAATATCCTATCGCAACGGGCTCTCGCTAAAGAAATCGCCCGTACCTGGTCCAGAGAAGCTGCCATTGCTAGGAGTCAAAGCGATCGATCGTCGGAACGTTTGGCGGGGAGTAGAAGGGGCACTAGAAGGTGCAGCGTTTGCGGCTGCTGTAGCGGCGGCCACGTTTGTGGCAGCAGCGGTAGCAGCACTAGCGTCAGGTGCGCTGGGGGTATTTCGGCCGCTGTCGTTCTGCATGGTGATCGCAGTACCAGGACGGGATAGGACAGCAGCAGTGCCATTCCTGGGAGGGGGTCGAAAGCCCAGCTTCTGACCTTCACGGAATATCTCCTCAAGCATCTGGTTGGCAATCCCCGCATCCTCGTACTCCTGGAACTTTTTCCAAAGACGCATGGCCATACGCGCATCCTCTATGGAGTCGTGGCCTTGGATTGTGTCCGAGGTAGGCTCCTCCTGGATGTATTCTTTGAAGACAGCCCATGCAAGATAACGGAGGCTGAGGCGGCGGTTCTTGCCCGGGTGGAAGAAGAGGTATTGTGTGTCAACGGTTTGAGACTTGGGCACTTGGATGTTGATCTTGCGGAAATCCGAGGCTAAGCCGTGGCCCACAAAGGTACAGCCAAGGTTCAAGAGCAGCCATAATTTCTTGTAGGCCACCTTCAAGGGCACCAAATTGTGCTTGCTGGTTCGCGGGTCCAAGTCGCCAGGCTTGATCCCAGAATACTGAGTGACATAGTCCACTATTGGTTCGCGGATCGTTATATAGTCATCAATAAAGGGAACGCCCTCGTTGACGCCCGAGCCGCGCAGCACAGAAACCCTCGCAAGACCGCTTTTATTTGGTCGCACAATCTCCTGCGACCCGTCGGCTTTGACATCGATCTCGGCCTTTTCTAGGTCCACGAACTCGGTGTCGAGGGCCAAGGGTGTTCCAGGCTGCGGCTTCTCTTCTTCAGTGAGGGTACAGCATGATTCAACCTGCTCACCGCCGTTCAAAGACCACTCGCGGAACAACAGAGTCGTGTCAAGAGAGTTCATCCATGAATCATCGACAGAATGCCGTGCATCGCGAACTTGGAAAGCCAGCACGCAAGGCTGCTTCCAAGGCTGGGTGAAGCGTAGGGCTTCGTCACGGTCCACCTCGGTGACTAAGAAGTCGTTGAACAAGTGCCATCTGCTTCGTTCTTGTTGCTTGCGCTCAGACACAGAGACATTGATGAAAGAGACCAAATGCGGCTTTTGGTGCTCAGGGATGTCGATCTCGGATACCAAACCAACCAAATCGTACACAACAAGGTCCGGTGTGTTGCTCTGGATTCTCATTCGAAGATCATCGCCTTCGTAACACATGACTTGTCCGTTATCAAGAATGACACCGACTGCATCAGGAAGCCATCCAGGCACAGCCCATAATCGACGGCAGAGGGGATTAGTTAAAGCTGCATTGAGGACGAGCACTAACGGCATCCGGTGAACAGTTTTCCTGATCATTACTTGTTGATATCGCCGACAGTAATTGCACCATCCGCGATTTTGTGTTTCGCGCTCGATGCTAGCACGCAAGATGCTAGAAAATCGGTATGCTGGATTCCGCCTGGCATGCTTTGGGTCCATATTGGGATAAAGAAGCTCGTTGGCGAGCGAGTTGCCAGGTCTAACAGTCTCATTCTGGCAGAACATACAGCGTATTGATTCTGACGCAATTGTTGCAAGGCGCTGATCCAGATCTTCTGAGCTGGGCTGGATCATACGGAAATCATGTGCGATCTGAGTCAGGAAAAAGCGATTCACAGCCTGAATCGCGGTTGATAGAGACTTGTTGGTAAGGTTCTCTTCCAGAAGGCCCAAATTCGACGCTTCGCGGAAACTGCTGAATGTTTTTAACAAATTTGTTGCTTGGCAGTTCTGCCCATCTGCTTTCTCTAGCATGTCAAACAAGTAGCCCAGCTCGCAGAGTAGACATTGCTCAAAAATGCAAGAGCCTGCGGCATGGTTAAGGGCCAGGTTCCGGAAAAGCGGAATGAATTTGAAAAGTTGGAGAAGGGAATTTGTGAAGGAGTTGGCGATGTGGGTTTCAAGTCCGGAGAACTTTGTTTGATTGTAAAATCTAAGAATGACATTAGTTCGGACAGCAAGTACTCATGGGGTAGTATAAAACGTACCTGAAATCAAAATCATCAACGCCGAAGCGGCTGTACTTGATCTCAACATTGCTGTACTTGAGCAGAGGATCATCGTCACTCTCGCCGTTGATTTTGGCCCCGACAAGAGCCTCAGCGGCGTCAATAACAGAGCTCTCCAACTTTGATTTACTTTGATCCCGAGCCTTTTCGCTGAGGAATTTGGGGGCGATCAATGCCGGCTCCGCAGTGGCTAACGCACGCGTGTTCTCCACTTGATTTCTCCGGCATTTCCTTGGGTTTGGAGCGTGGTGTCCAACTTCAGCCGGGCGCAAATATGGAAGTATGGATTGGTCCAGTGGAGCAGGCGGACTGCCGAGTTCAAACACAAGATGACTAGGCCATGCTGAGTGCAGGCGGTCATGGTAGTAGGGCATCCCTATCATGTTCAAAGGTGTATCGGGTGACCAGTCTACTGGCGGTGGTCGGGTAGGAACATCTGCAAACTCCATCTCCTTGCTCAATTCATTGAAATGTATCTTGGTCGGCGAGCCCCACAGGTGTATGGATCCTTCAGCATCATTTATTGCTAAAGCTTCTCCTGAGGGGGACAAGTCAAGTCCAAGCATCAGAGAGACATTGGCCTGTCGCAGATTGATCGCATTGGGGTTCATGAGATCCACCACTTGCAGCTGGCCGGTCTGCGAAGCCACAAAGCTTGTCGTATGAAGTTTGGGATGCATTCGGACATATGCAGCCCCAGCATGGAAAGGTATCGGCGGTAAGGGTTGTAGAGTCTTGAGATCGTAGACGTTGGCTAGAGGATCAACGATCGGAGAACCGAGGTGGCGAACGGAAAAGCCGCAGGTGACCAGCAAGTCATTTCGCGCATCCATGTCATTCACAGCTGTTCCATGAGCCTTCCATGTCTTGACAACACTGAAGTCAGAAAGGCTGAGAGCATTTACCGCGCCTGTATCAGTTGCCGCGCAGAGATATCGACTCTTCTTCATGATAGTATAATGATACTCGGTCGGCAGTTTGTCCACAATCGTTCCCTTGTCGATGTCCACAGTGAACATCACATTTTGGCAACCAGCCACAAGAATTCGGTTCGTCTGAGCCGTAAAACTCATGCATCGGAGATCTACCATTTCGTCGTGGTTCAAATGCCATTGTGTCAGGCCACGTCGAGTGATCATATGCACACTCTTGGAGGATATCGAAATCACACCTCGATCGTGGAATAGAATCTGTCGTACCGGGCCCTCGGCGGCTGGATGTGCTCGTGCGGAAGTATATCGTTGGAGTTCAGGTCCGCAAAAGGAGGAGATTCGACCCTTCAAAGACATAATGTAAATTCATTGCCGTCGCAACTTTATTTTTTGAGGCAAATTAGTACTCACGTATTCATTTCCGGTCCAGAGAAGTTCCATAACATCATCAAACGCGACCGCTGTCGCAATCGTTGGCATAGCATGTGTGGTGGGTGGCGGCATTGGGATGCGCGCCAGCTCATCCCAGTCAGCCTCCATGGTTGCGGCAAGATTTCTGTGCAAGTACTCGGCTATAGCGTAGCTCTGTTGGAGGCTGAATTGTGGTGCACGAGCAGCTCTTGAGGCCTGAAGCGCTTCACCTTCAACGCCTCATACGGCGCCGATCATCGTCTGCGAGGACGCGATTGCGGGGAAGCTATCAGGAGAGTTGCAAGGTTGAAAGACGATTGATGGTATGCAAAGCGGTATATAAATGAAGAATCCGTATATATATAGGCCGTGGTGGTCACGATATTCCGACCGCGCTGGCGGATTCGCAGGGGAAGCGGGCGCCAATTCGCAGATGCTTGTTGTCACTGACTCGGCTTAGGCACCGCCGCCGCGATCGAGGGTACGATATAAGTCACGTGATCCGACCCGATCACTGCAACTGGGAACCTCGAATCTGCAACCGTGCTAAGCCATTTTTGACCTCAAGTCCTAATTTGATATAAACTTAAACTGTTCGTCTCGACTCCAGGCATCAATGCAAATACCACGTGGCTTCTGAGGAGCCATATTTACTTTATTAATATTCTAAAAGATTTACTCAGTCCAAGGTTCTGTTGACCGCCAATTTTCAATCTACCCATTCCAATGAAATAGATCGAGTTCACATTTTCTGATAATCAATGGATATGAGATCTCAAATATAGGAATTCTATCCCTTTCTATCTCTTCACCCGAGCTCTGCAATAACACTTGTGGATAAATGTAAACAGAATTCCCGACCGAGATGGCCACGGAAGGTAGTACAGACACTTGGAGCAAAATCCTAGATGCTACTTTATTTGAAATATCACGGGACAATCACATTTGCGAAAATCCGAGGTGTGAAGGAAGAGTACTACTAATCATATGTACTGACATACAATATTCGGCCGGCAGTCGGCGATTGGCTAGTTACACGGCAGGAGAAGCCCAGCAAAGCGCCTAAGAAACATAAATGGAAAACATTCAGAACTCATTCTACGACTTCGATCACTACTACGACCCAGCCATTGCTTATCTGTAGAAGGACGCGGGGTTCGATGCAGAAGCGCCGCCCTGCGGCGGTTGGTATGCCTGGTACTCACCACCCGCCGCATGACCCGAAGGTCCCGGGTTGAATGCAGTGTATTGGGCCGAGGGCGCTCCTGCTCCAGGAACCGGAGGCGGAAGGTGGGACGGTGGTGGTTGGTGAACAGTGGGCGAGTTTGGGTAGGGAGCCTGAGCTAGTGGCTGCTGCGAATATTGGTGAGGAGACTGCTGAGGCATGCCTGGGGCCGATGGCAGACCCGAGTCATCACCAGTGTAATTCGAAGGGGAGTAGTCCTGTTGCTGTTGGAACTGCTGATGAGAGCCGGGGGGCACTTGGCCGCTAGGCGGGTAAGAAGGGCGTTGACCAGCACCAGTATGGTCAACAGGCGAGTCATAGACAGATGTGCCTAGTTCTTGAGGGTGGTCATAAGTTGAATGAGGGCGGTGGTGTATCGATTGTTGGTATGGGTCAGAAGCAGCCGGCTGTTGCGGAGCCTGCTGTGGTTGCAGGGGCTGTCCACCAGTAAACTGGGAGCGAGGATCAGGGGAATGAGATGCGGGTCGATACGGCATAGTCTGCTCAGCCCCGTAGAAAGGGGTTGCCTGTGGTTGCGGAGTTTCTGGGTATTGAAATGAGTTCGTGTCTAAGGAGAAACACATATTGATTTGATTCGATCTTACCTTGGGGTCGAGGACTGAAGTATCGCTGATCGGGCTGAGGTCCTTGTGGATATCCACCAGGAGCAGCACCAGGGTACCCATACGAAGGCTGTGGGCCGGGTCTACCGTATTGAGGTTGTGTGGGGTGAGCCATGGAGGCTTCCAGCAAAGACTCATAATCACGACGAGCTTTGATGAATTTCTCATTCAGCTGGGTGAACTCATCTGCAGAATGGTCAGAAATCGATATTTTCCTTGACATGTATATAAACACAGTATATACCTTTCTTCTGGGAGTATTTCCCAATCAGCTCGATGAGTTTGGGTCGAATAGCAAGGGTGGAATGATAGAGCGTGGTGATTTCCTCATTCTCCCGCACATTGAGATCGGAGCTGCGTGTGCTCAGCAGCGTCAGGAGCTTCTCAACATTCTTGATCTGGCCAAAGACATCACCCTCCATCTGTGCCTCTCGCTGCAGTTCTTCAACTGTCGGGTCGGCCAGCTTCTCGACATAATTTAGAGGGAAAATGCCGGTCTGGCCTCTCAGCGAGCCCTTCCACCAGTCCTTGTAAACAGATTCCAGGACGGCAATGATATCCCCTTTGCGAAATTGCAGCTCGCCAGGTTCAGAAGGCTGGAAGTCAAACAAAGCTCTCACTCGCGAGACAGTGGCTGCGGATGTGCCGGGAGGAACAGCATGGGATAGAGCTGGCTCATCTTGGGCCGCGGCGGCGGCAGGTGTAGAGGCAGAGACGGATGCAGATGCGGCGGCAGCAGCCGAAGATGAGGCCTGGGAAGGGACAGGTTTCCTTTCCTTGACTGAAAGCGCCAATGCCATCTGCAGTTCCTCCTCTTCCTTCTGTCTATCAATGTCGGTAATCTGCTGCTTCACGGGCTTGGATGGGGGCTGGAGATTCGGGTCTAGCAAGAACAACAAGATGAGTTAGTTTTGCACAAGCGCTTTTTGTTGGAATACACTTACTTTGAGTCTTCAACTTCATGTATGCCTGCTCCATGATTCCAAAATCCGGGTTTGATGAGAACATTTCAGTCCATTCTTCCATTCGCTCGAGGATCTTCGATTTCACTTGCTGATGCGTATTTCGCTCAGCGGCCAGACGAAGCAGGGCATCAGTAAAGCTTCTCGACGCCAGCTCTCGATGGATCTTCGGTCCACAGTTCTGGGCTAGCGAATTACCAAGCTAAAAAAAATTCCTGTCAGCACAATCTTTCGGTATCTTCCACGCGCATCAATTCGCGCAAATTGAAAAACGGACCTCCAAAGTGTACAGCTGCACATTGGCGTTTCTGTGGGCCAATCTCTTGATCATGGCAGCAACCGCCTCCTTCGCGCTATAGGACCACCATATAGTCAATATTCATGCTCGTGGTCACTCGACACATATCGGTGAATTGTAAGCACATACCCAGATTCTTCGGCGGCCACCTTATCACAGACATCCTACACCGCAAAAGTCATGTCAGCCTCCTGTGTCTCCATTACCTTTACCACAATTTCTCAGCCAGTCGTTCGGAAACACGTACCAGGATGTACTCCCAGTTCTCGGAAGTCAGATTCTCGTCTGTCGCCTTGGCTATAGAGGGAGCAATCCATGTCAGCGACTGTTGTAGTAAATGGTACAGGTCGATTTCGCGCGCATCGACCACGACCTTGCAGATCGGCGACGCGATGCGGCGTGCGAGCTCCTTAGGACAGTCTTGCAATCGAATTCCTGGATAACTTACCGACGGCATCGTCGAAAGCGTTCTGTTGCGCGCGAAACATTGCCACCGGATTGCTTCCAATGAACTACGGGAGTCACGGTGTGGTAGTTGATCGGGGAAGTCGGGCACCGCCTCCTCGGCCTTAACGCAAGCAACTAGCTCGTTCAGCCTCCAGTAGAAGAGATGATCTCAGCGTCTGCGGTTCACTCAGTCGGCTCGTTTCGTCTTACTCGGGTTTTAAATGCCGAAAAAGGAGTGCTTAACGCTTTTCCAGCGACGGTGATCGAAATGCGGGGAGTGGACTGAGGACCACGGCGCGGGCGGAGCTGAGAGGGTCAGGGGACACCGCCGGGAAAGGGTGATTCGGTCAGCGGCGGATGAGTGATTGCAACTCTGAAGGGAGTGAAAAGGCTGGGTATCGTGCTGGTCCTGCTGGTTCTGTTGGTCAAACAAGGCGATGGTCAAGAAAATGTGCATCCAGGTGTGTCCGGGCGGAAACCTGAGTCAGCACGCGATGACGACGGTGGGCGCGGAGCTCGTGAGCTCGGATATTCTTAGCTCGCGACCCGTCTGCGATCATGTCTGCCTTGAGCTGTCGTCCTTATTTCTATATTCGGCATGAGGAAAAATTTCGTTCATCAGAAATTTAGGCTTCTACATTTTGGACTCTTGCAAATTCCATTGCATCTTTCGCCAGTATTGGATACTTCTTTTAGGGATACACTGCCATAGTCTCGCTCGCACCGAGTCGTGCTGCCCCGAAGTACTAACAGCTCGAGATATATACCTCGATGCATCCACACAACCTCACATGCCATCAACACACACCACTGTGATACTGCACTGCTGCGTATTATTCGCTCGGGCTTACATCTAAGTTTTGTATAAACGGTGCTCCATTTCATATTGGCACATTGCAAGTACTCACACCTGGCCATCCAATACGTTTGGGCGCAATGCATGAGTATTCCATGTGTTAGTTGAGAGTCATTCCCCACGTTGGGGTCTCCTTCAATAATCAAGATGTTACGAAGAAAGCATCGAGATGCATTTGATGATTTGAATTGTAGTATCACATATCTTGCATGGCCAAAGACTTCGTATTGTAATCCCAAACGCCGAATGGGGAGGACGTCGCATTCTAAAACCCGCGAAGACGAGGAGACGAAAGAATGCAGAGTAGTCGAAGGCTTTTAATCCCACCTAAACACCATTTGGGACCACATTGAACCATGCTAGGAGGTTTTGAAAGTAGGACTACAGAACGCTACACAACACTAACGCTCCAGTAGAAAAAAAGTATTGGATAAGCATGGGGTAGGGTAACAGAACAGGGCCACAATAGGCTCGTGAAATCAGATCATTTTCATCACAGAAGGATGTTCATCAGGAAATAAAGTGGTTAAAAAAAGATAATTGGACACTGAAACTGGACTCCGACGACATGATGCGAAGGTGAGCATGTCGGGATCTAGAAGAAACATCCGGAGTGATGGGGGTATCTGAAACGAGATGGGAAGAGGGATGGACAAATGAAAGAGAAGAAATGAGAACCGAAACAAATAAGACGATCGGAAACCAAGAGACTGTCGTTTAGGCTCCGCCCTTCTGCGCCTTTTCTTGGGCACGGCTGATCCGAGCAGCCTTGACGAGGGGTGCAAGGTGGGTAAGTGGTGAGCAGAGAGACATAAAGGGGTGCTGTTAAATTTGTTAGCGATGAGCGTAATATGGCAGAATCAGAGCGTGTACATACCTTCAGCAGATCATGAGCGGAAGCTCGCTTCTCTGGGTCGACCTTGAGGGCTAGTTGCAGGAAATCACGGAAGATGTGTGAGAGGTTATGCTCATCCTTGATCGTAGGGGTGCCGTTCGTGGCAATCAGATACAGAGCCCGCAGCGGCGACTCGGTGAGATACGGCGGCTCGCCCTCGATCATCTCGATGGCCATGATACCCAAACTCCAAATGTCGACCTTGCGTCCATAATCCTTCCGAGTAACCACTTCGGGTGCCATCCAGTACGGCGTCCCAACCATGGTGTTCCGCTTGTTGTGCGAATCATTGATTTGCGCACAGAAACCAAAGTCGGCTAGAGTCAATTAGTCTCAAGCATGAGCGGGGATACTAAAGCAGCCAAAAAAAAAAAAAAAAACACTAAAAAAAATAAAAAAACTTACTCAGCTTGATGTTGCCTTCCATCGAGAGAAGAATGTTGTCGGACTTGATATCTCGGTGAATAACACCCTTCGAGTGGAGATGTTGCAAGCCGTTGAGAGTCTGGACCAGTGGTGTTAGGGAATACCCCAGTGTGGGATTGGTATGAGATTGGAACTTACCTCCCGACAAACGGCGGCAATTTGGCCTTCGCTCATGATGTTGAAAGTGACCACATCTGTAAGACTACCGCCTTCCATATACTCCATTACAACCCAAAGATCGATTCCATGAAGGTAGCTCTCCAAGAAATTGACGATATTCTTGTGCTTGCTGTCCTTCATGACAAGGATCTCGTTGATAATCAGGTCCTTTTTAGGCTGAAGGTCCAGATTCATTTGCTTGATGGCGACACAGTTGTTTGTTCCGGCCTCATACGCCGTGAAAACGCCACCAGAAGCGCCTTGGCCGATTTTGTTGAGGTTGTAGTAGATCTGGGTAGGGTCACCAGGATGGCAAATGGACAACAAACGGGTACGAACATCTGTGATGTTGCTTTGGCGTTGGCGCTGCCGGGGTCGCGCTGCCGGAGGAGCGCGTGTCGATGGCGATGCACCAGCCGAAAGCGGATCCGCAGTCGACGGGCTGACATTTGTTGCCAACGGTGGGGGTTGGCGCTGGCTGGTGCCCCGATCCAATTGCTTGGAGGCGATCGCTTGCTGCGCAGCCGCCATGACTTGTTCCTGCTGTTGCTGGTATTGAGTGGGGTTGGAAATGATGCCGGGCGCCTTGGGCACAGATGCGCCATTGCGAGAGCTGGAGCGACTGAGCTGGGGAGACGAAGAGGGCAGAGGTTCGGATTCGGGGATGGGCGGGGTACCGTAGGGATGGCTATAAGGGTCCTGCACTGGCCTCTGCGGAGCACCACCATACTGTTGAGACATGGGCGCTTGCGGCGGCGGACGGGCTGGGGTCATGCTCGTCGGCGGCTTCGGGGGAGCGCGGTGTGGCACCAGACCACCCAACGGCGGGGACATGGCGGGCACCTGAGGAGCTGGTGCTACCGCAGGCGCACCTCGCGGGATGGGCGGCGGCGATCGGGGATTCTCAAAACTGCCCTCGTGATTCTGAGGGAACCGTGGGCTGCCGGGAGGCGAGGTGCTGCGACCGTTGTTGTTGCTGGTGTTTCCACTGTAGGCGTTATCGAATTTATGCCAGACCTCGTCGTCATCGCCACGGGTGTTCTTTTCGTAGAATCGCATGATGTCCATCATGGTCTGCGGGTGCTCCTCCTGTTCCTTCTTCGAGATTCCGTTCTCCTGGAGCAGGCGCTGCCACTCCTTGGGCAAACCGGTAAACTGCCCGGTCTGGTTGTCGTAGCCAACATGGGTGACATGGACCGGGTTCTCCGGGGCGGAAATCTTGACGTTGCGAGGGGAGCCGAGCATGCTGTTGACGAAACTCGAGAAACTGGCTTTCTTGCTCTGCCGTTTGGTTTGCGTCGGAGTTGGGCCCTTGTTGACATTGCCCTCGTCGGAGTACCGCTTGGCGTGGGGAGGCCGTTCGGTCTCGCGATGCGCAAAGGGATCCATCCTGTTAGGGAGCGCCGTGAAGCTGGCGGATTGGCGTAGCGTTTGGCGACCACGCGGGTCGGGGCTGGTGTGGTGCGAGCGCAAGGCCGGGGCTTCTTGCGGCTGGAGGTCGTTCTCGGCGCTGTTCTCATCCAGCGCGCTGAGCATGCCCCGCGTCTCGAAGGGGGCGTTTAATTCATCCGAGCTGTGTTGGTCGTAGGAGAATCGATTGGAGCGAGTACGGGAGCGCGAGGAGCTGTAGCCGGAGAAGAAAGACCCCTCGTCCTGCACGGGGGACGGACCGCCACTGTGATCGAGGGAGGAAGATGAGGAGCCAAAGGCGGCGGAGGCGTTGGAGCGCGAGCGGACGTGCTCGCGACTGCCGCTGGGCGAGGAGCGCGGGTAGACGGGGGCGGAGGGATGACGTTTGAGCGAGGTGGTGCTTTGATGACCTCGAAGAATGCGCGAGCTGAAGCTAGGGGCCTCCTTGTGCAGTTTGCTGGACGGACGGCGGAATTTCAACGAAAATCCTTCCTGGCTCATGGCGGGCAGGAATCTGTCTCTACACGAGACAGATTAGAATTGGGCCGAGGAGGGGTCAGGAGAAATTTCCAACCAGCTAATTTAAGGGCTGCGACCGGGTTTGCCGCGCGGTCAGCAGCAGACGCACAACACGATGTTCCAGGAAGAGCGAGCCGATGGGAAGGGGGATGATGGTCGTGACAGGAGGTGCCGTCAAGAGGTTCGAATCGGTGAAATCGAAGCTGTCCAATTAGCACGTGGAGAGCGGAGCGAAAAAGGAGTTGGTGGCTGGGGGGAGGCGATGACGCGGGGACCCGACGGCCGTGACGGGTTGGAGGGAGTCGAGAGAGGAGCGGAGTGCTTCGGACGATAGAGCAGGATACTATTATGATGGCGCAGGCAACGGCCAGAAACAGGCCTCTCTCGCGGATCGATGATGGCGAAAAGGGGGCTGCTACTGAAGCACCTGATTGGGATTCTAGATTTTCGACCCCGAAGTGGATAACTGGCGATGACTACACACGGGATAAGAATAGAAGCGGGCCTGCACCTGTCATGTCGACCGTTGGAAGTCTATGGACCCTCGCAGGATGGCTATGTACAATAGGTGAGACTATCAAGGTATACTTGAGGGTACTATACAAGTTGGAGAGGGCATTGTTCGGATTTGCACGCTTTGGATGAATCACCGCACAAAACGGGCCTTGTGGCCGCACGTGCCGCCCCCAACGGGAAAGAGACTCTCCTTCCTCGCCATCCCAACTACTGGACCCTTCGTCATGGCTGTCGAGGCCATCAAGGACACGTCGAGCACAGGGTCCATGGTACGGCGACGAGCCAGTACGCCCAAAGATCGTTTTGGCTGCATCACCTGCAAGTGAATGCCCCTGACATACACTCCCGATCTATACCTTAATACCCTAGGCGAAAAGTACATCCCGCTCATAGATCACGACAGGGCCCGTCGCGTCAAATGCGGCGAGGAAAAACCAACGTGTACTCGGTAAGGACTTTCGTCGTGCTCTCGTGACCTCTGCCCTTTAGCGACCACCCTGTCCTTATCAAGGAATCTGGTGGGAACCCGAGGCAGATTGGATATCTGTTCTTCGGCTGATCCACGTCGAGATGCACCTGCACAGGGCGATTATGCGAGGGCTACGTCCCGCCTAAATCCTCCCGCGCGCTGGTACCCCGACTGCTGGCCCCCGACCCCAGCAGTCGATTTGCCCATCGAACCACATGCCTTGGGATTCTTTCACCAATCGGCTCCACAGCTTGCAGGTTATTTTGAGCACTCTCTCTTCCAGGGCAGTGCCTTACAGCTCAGCCTCGCGGAGGCCACCGTACGCCAAGCAATTTCCGCCCTCGGCCTTCTACACAAACAAGCCGCCTTGGACCAATTGCAATCTCCCCGCAGAGGCACTCGACCGCCAGAGCTTCCTATGAAGCTGTATAACCGCGCCATTCGGGCCATCATCAAGGTCACCGCGGATCCTCATAATCTGCCCTTCATCGCCATGATCAACATCCTATTCACCTGCTTTGAATACTTCCAAGGTAATCTAGATGCGGCCGCCTCGCATATTCGTGGCGGTGTGAGTTTATTGAAGGACTGGCGCCGGAAGAATTGGAAAGATACTGGCCAGGCTTGGGGTCGAGAGAATGCTCCATCCGAAGCTGAGTTCATGGAGAACGAAATTGCGCCATTGCTCTCCATCTTCAACATCAGTGCCATGAAGTGGGGAGTCGGGATGCGTGACAATCTTCTCCTCAGCCCATTGGATAACCAAGGCAAACCTGCCATTCCAGATGATTTGAATCCCTTGGTAAGGCGAGAGCCGCACTCCTGGACCTGATCACCTTCGGGGCATAGCAATTTGAACAATACGAATCGGACCTGGACCAAGGATGTCCGCCCGATGTCAACTTCCCATTGATTTGTGACAGTGTCAAAAGTAATCTAGCCCGATGGAAGACAGGATTTGAAAACTTGGTTCGTCGGCAGGAGCATCTATGGGAGGACAAAACCAAACGAGTCGCTGATGCCATCTCCGTGATGCGGCACAATGCCGAATTCGGTGTCCACTTATACCAGGCACAAGGTGCATGTGACTGGAATAAATATCGTGCTCAATACGAAGAGGCTGCAGTGCTGCACAAGGCACTGGTCTCCGACGCCGAGCGTTTCCCTGATGAGGTGTCGAGGATAAGATTTTGGCATGATCTTTCCTCTTCAATCGGTGGTCTGTAGGTGTCGATGGCCACATATTCATCGCAAAGGGCACGATCTACGGGACCGTATTCTCAATCAATTCTGGATGCCGGAGAAGAAGCATTACCGCTCGGTCTCCTCGCGAATCACGGAGATTGAAGCCGCCAATCTAGAGGAGTCTTCGAGAGGGCCGGTGAAGACCAGTCGCTTCAAGAGCGACTGAAGATCAGAGATTACAGCGTAGCAATATCGAAGGAGCAGCAAGGCCAGCCACCTGTGTTTGCTGTGACATTCTGGAGTAAACCAGATGGCCTGAACGGGCCGTGGTATGACTTCACAGAAAATATGCACTTAGGGTCGGGCAGGGCCTACCAGGCTGCCGGCCAAAGAACTCAAGTCACTGGAAAAGCCTGGAACATGCCAAATATTCTAAGCAGCACGATTGAAAAAAGTGTTCTCGTTCCGTCGTCTCCTTCAAACACAATGGAGCTGCGACCAAAAAATCTAAACCAAAACAGCCTCGGCGAAGCTGAACCATCTTGATATGAAAAGTGAACATATGGCCAAAGATTCTCAAACACAAAAAAAAAAAAAAAATAAAAAATAAAAAGAAAGGCCGACCCGGAAACATCTCTGATTCCACTCCTGCAGTAATTGAGAGGTCAGATGTCCGTTTGTCACTGGTGTGCATTTGATCGCAAGCACTGGAGCAATCTGCCCCTATTCCCAGGAGGTGTTTATCCCAGACCGCGGATTCGGGTTTGGTTGCCCATGCAGTCAGTTGGCTAGACGATCATTTGATACTGCAATCACGCCTCTTTCCCCCTCAATCCAGGCCATGCGGTCTGTCGATGCAGGTATCACGAATGCCATTTAGCTTTCTTTTTTCTTCGTACGTTTGTACAGGTATCTCGGGTCCCGACAGCTGCCTCTGCCGGCTGGTTTCGAACTGCCCTGCAAGGTCGTCGCATGGTCGTCGCATGGAAATTAGAAATGCTTTCTCGTGGAATTCGGTCTGGATTGCGAACGATCATGGACATTGAATGGAATGTAAACACCCTTTCATGCTTGGACCTCCTCGCCCATCAAAAAGGAGCTGGCAAAATCTCGGGAAATTTCGAATGGTGCAGCTTGGCTCATGCCGATCCGAACTGCTCCTGGCCCGGCGCCGGAAAACTATAGCAATCCCCACCACGATTGGCTTTGCAAGAAAGTGGATGGACTGACATAATGTAAGCAAAACCGCATACCAAGCTTTTCTCATCTTAAAGGGTTCCATTTTCCCCTGAAAAATATTGGAGAGACCTCCTTCGGCACGAGCACGATTCCCGAGCTTCAATGGCATCCCTCACCCAGTCCGCAGTCCCGGCGAATGCCACGTATATCCCCTCGGCATTCAGCGTGTACAACAATGACTTTCTGAACATCCTCGGCTCGGCCCCGAAACTGGAGGTCCTCCTCGAGAACAATGATTACCCGTTCGCCCACGAGGCGAGCGTGTACATCCCGTCTTCCGGGTCGCTCTTCATGTCCAGCAACATCTTCACCGACCCCGTAACCAAGGAGAAGACCATCAAGGTGACCAAGGTGAGCGTCGATGCGCACCCCGTCACTTCCGAGATCATCAACTCCACCATCCCCATGGCGAATGGAGGCACCAACCATAACGGCGGGGTCCTCTGGGCGGCCCAAGGTACCTTCAACCAGACCAGCGGCCTCTTCCAGATGTCCGCGCAGCCTCCCTACAAGTCCGAGCTTGTCGTAGGCGACTTCTATGGACGTCAATTCAACTCTCCTAATGATGTCGTCGTAGCCAAGGACGGGTCGTTCTGGTTCACCGACCCCATCTATGCCTGGAAGCAGGGTATCCGCCCTAAGCCTAAGCTGCCGAACCAGGCCTATCGCTATGACCCGGCAACCAAGGACGTGCGCGTCATCGCCGATGGTTTTGGGCGACCCAACGGTATCACTTTCTCCCCGGATGAGAAGACCGTGTATATCACCGATACCGCCGAAACCATTGGCGACGGATCGGAGGATGTGACGCAACCCGCTACGATGTATGTTGCACATCTCCCCGCTGTCAAATGATACCTCCCCTAAGGTACCCCCTTGGGGTATTGAGGCAGAGTAAGCAAAATGCTAATGTGTTTTCCTAGTTATGCCTTCGATGTGACGACCACCCACGGTCAGCCTTTCCTGACGAACCGTCGTGTCTTCGCCATGGCCGGCGATGGCATCCCTGATGGAATCAAGGTTGACCAGGATGGCAACGTATACGCTGGCTGCGGTGACGGTGTCAACGTCTGGTCTGCCGGAGGTGTTCTCCTGGGCAAGATTCTCATTAAGGACGGCACCTCTAACTTCACCTTTGGCCGCAACGGCCAGATGTTTATCCTCAACGAGAACAAGCTGTACCGTGCGCAGCTCAACCGCAAGGTACAGGGCACTCTCATGAAGAACTAGAGCCGACCCTCTGGGAAGCACGGGATAAACGACCTGTTCGATGCAGTACCGTGTGCATATGTGTAAGTTATTGTGGATAGCCCCTTTCACGTTTACATGTTGGATCCTTATCGCGACGAATGTCCCGCGGTAACGCTCCCCTTAAATATATACATAGATAACATATACAATGTAGATCCCATTCGGCAGCGATTTTCAACCCGACGTATTTGCCGCATTGCTGACGCGTCAATCTCCTTGTTCCTGACAGGACGGGGATTTGCAGGGAGCATGACGCGTCAGCTCTGTTGATCTGGTAATAAGGAATATGAGGTGTTACGCCTTCGATTGGCTCGGGGGGTGATCAAGCTTCAGTGTACGGCGCCTCTCCCGCGTCATCGAGGAACACAAAGACAAATCTAAATCAAGCTTAAACGGGGATATCATATCAACGTGGAAGAATGCAGTTAAATTGGGATACATATGGCATATATGCCGTCGACTGAAGAGATGAAAGTGCCAGCTGGAGGCGAGAAAGAGAGGCGGCGATCAAACCAGACAAACTGCGGCGGTGAGCTTACTACATCAAATATTCGACCAATATAGAATCAAGCTACGGCTGCTCTTGGCCTCCACTGCATCAAATGTTCAACGCCGAGACAACAGCGTGATCAAATGAGGTCCGTCCACGTCCGCAAGGCCTCCATCTCCACGATTGTGTCTCTTGCGGTCGGGCTGTCCCGCGGGTCAGCTTCGAGGGTCACTTGCTTCGGTTGAGCCCCGTTCGCGGAGATCAGAGGGGCCGTCCTGCAGAGCCTGGGAAATTGCCTTGCCTAGGTAGGCAGGGAGGGTATAAAGAAGTCGTAGCTAAAGAGGGGTATCTGGGGATATGGGGATACGAGGGGTGTCTGGCTGGGTCAGTGGACCGAGTCCATATGTCGCGATGACGATGGACGCACGATGCATGTACCAACACCCAGTCGGGTTCTACTGCGCATGTACGACGAAGGTATCCCGCCTCGGACTTCCTGGACGAGGTGCATTTAGGGCTGAGGGGCAGCACAGCCTCGCATGACAAACACCGACAAGTCATGGCACGGGCGGCGGCCCAGTGGCATCGATCGATGAGCAATCGCGATGTTGAATGACGAGAGCCAAGGTCGGCTGGATCGCCTATCAAGGACATCTTTGTTCTGGCAACCTCAAGGAAACCTCGTCGGCTGCCGGCTAAGATGACATCCATAGATAGCGGACGGCCGAGTCGGTGTGCCATCGTGGCCTCGATCCACCACTCTTCTTCTCCTCCCGGTCGGAGGGGACAAATGCAAGCACGCCATCGTGCAGTCGGCGCTGACTCCTTTCCTCTCCGTGAGGTGGTCTCACTCCTTTCGACATCTCCCTTTGTCTGGGAGCACATCTTCCCGGCCGTTCAGCCCCAGTTTCATCCCCGCCTGGGCCGTGGCCGTCCTTGGGTAGGATGGGGATAACTGCCGTCCAACATGGGGGGAGGGATGACTTAGGTTGAGCGATCCTTGATCCCGCTTTGCCTATTGCAGGCTGCCCCCACACCGTCCAAGACTTGATGAGCAAGCCCTAACTGGTCGATCCGGGGTGGGCACCGGCCCTTCGCGCCCGAGCACTGTTCAGCTGGAGATCTCATACGGCACCAGAGCCAGGCTTACCCAGTTCTGCTCAGTTCGACCCCGTCCTATTGGGCTCTGGCGAGTCCCGGTTGGGGGGAGGACTCCACATGGACGCCGATGCAGGCCGATCGTCGAGCCTCCCCAGACGGAAGCCAGCTCCAAAGATTGGACGCAAGACTGAAAAATGCCCGTCCACACATGACCGCCACAGGGGGGCCACAGCCGTTGCTTCTGGTTTGCTGGCACGGCAACTGAAGAAAAGCCGATCTTCGACAAAAGAAAAAAAAATCAGAGCGTGAGCTCGCTCACCGAAAGAAAAAGCAGAAAATCAAATCAATAGTGTGTCAGCAGCCCGGAGATCCCCTTGCCTGCGACTGCCAGGCCCTAATCTGTGCAGGGAATGTGGGCCCAAGCACTTCCTTATTGCGAATCATGCACAACGCATCCCTGTCGGCCGCAGCATGTCGAGCCCAAGAATCTCGATCTCAAGTTGGACATGGTGGATGCTGAGGTGGGGTCGTCGCTCGGCTGCATTACAGATGCGAGACATCACATAAGGGATAGCCCGGCAGGCGGTCCATGATCTTACGGCGAGCGGGTCTCTGTTTGGGAATTACCCAGTGCGGCGATGCTCCCGCGCTCTTCCAACAATCCTTCTCCTCGACAGCATGCTTCTTGGGCGTGCTATCCCTTTTGTGGCGCCGAGCCACAGCTCGGTCGGTCTAACTACTGACATGTGCCTTACATTCATAGGATGGGTCCGCATGGGGAATGAACCTGTGATTGGTGTTGTTGGGTCCCAAGACCTTTTGATCAAAACGAAAGATGTCCCCTCTAAGGCGACATGCTGCATGACCCTCCGAAAGGTCCCAGGAGACGGCCCGAGTCAATATAAATTCCGCTCCATTCCCCAGCTATATCAGTTAGGATCACTCACGACTCGACAACCCGCCAACCCTGGACCTTCCCCCTCCACCTTGGGCCGCCTCCCGTCACCATGCTTGCCTTTTTCTTCTCTTTCATCATTGCCTTGGCCGCGGCCTACCCCAACCGGGGTGCCTGCACTGGTAACTGCTGGACCAAAGATCCCGCAGTCATAAAGCGTGCCAGCGATGGCAAGTACTTCCGTTTCGGGACGGGTACTGGTGTCCCAATTATCACGTCCGATTCTATCAAGGGTCCATGGTCGGAGGTCGGCAAGGCCCTGCCGAACGGGTCCAAGATCAATGTGAATGGCGTCGACAGTACAAACATCTGGGTATGTTTCAACCAATCACATTACCTGTTTATATTTTAGTGTGGCACCGGCTAATTAGAAATCAGGCCCCCGATGTTCACCTTTCTGGTGACACCTACTACATGTACTATGTGCTCTCGAAGCTGGGCACCCAGAATTCCGAGATTGGTGTAGCTACCTCCAAGACTCTGGCTCCCGGCTCCTGGACCGACCACGGCAGTGTCGGCATTCCCGCCAACAGCAACTACAACCGCATCGACCCGAACTGGATCCAGATCGATGGCAAGCAGTACCTCAACTTCGGCTCCTTCTGGGGCGACATCTACCAGGTGCAGCTGGATGGCCCGCTCAAGGTCGGCTCCAACACTCCCCACCAGATCGCCTACAACGAGACCCTCAACCACCGCGAGGAAGGCGCTTTTATGTACCAGCACGGCAACTTCTACTACCTCTTCTTCAGCTCCGGCATTGCTGGTGGCTACACCAAGACCTACCCTCCCACTGGTGCTGAGTACCACATCAGCGTGTGCCGTTCCTCCGGTGGCTCTGGCGGCTTCGTCGACAAGGAGGGCAAGGATTGCCTCAAGACTGGCGGCACTGTCGTTCTCGCTAGCCACGGACAAGTCTTCGGGCCCGGCGGACAGTAAGTTGCAGGATCGTCCCGAAGAATTGCCGATCACACGCTAACCGAATTTCCACAGGGGTGTCTTGACTGACAAGGATCTCGGTCCCGTGCTCTACTACCACTACTACCCTCTGGCCACCAAGCAAGCGGGTGGCTCAGCTGATGGCGTGAACTCGAACTACAAGTTCTCCTGGAACCAGCTTACCTTCAAGGACGGGTGGCCCGTGGTCTCTGCCTAAAGGGGTTGTTTATTTTACGCTTGCGACTATGCATATACCAGGCCAGGTCCCACGACCGACGCCCTTCATTTCTCTTCTTTCTGTCAATGATTGCGGTCATACTTCTTTTTAAGTACTGCACTCGTTTTGTTCGATACCCATGCCGCCTCCTTTGGGACGGCGAGCTCTCGTGTCCTGGCAGAGTATTATTTTACTAATACTAATTTGTGGTCCAGCATTAGCCTGGACTAATGCACATTTCCATCGTATACAAATGAAACCAATCGTTATAGAGCTATTCATTCCAATCATTCCTGTGTCCTTAATTACATTCACGGCCTGTTCATATTTTGGCCCGCCGTTGTACGTTGTATCCTGTGTCTGGCATGTGGCCCGCCATGGCGATTGACAACTTTATCGTCCCACATACCGCAGCTCCAAAATACGCAGGGGCACATACGACACTGTTGTGAAGACTAGCGCCAGCTCGTTGGCGATGTCACCGCCGTCGGCCCCAATCATCGCTGCCAACACGCCGACATAGTATGTCTCCACCATGCCCACAATCCATCCGGCCGCTCCACATAAGAACGCTGTCAACCCGGCGTAGCCGACAGGCATCCTCGAAGGGGTGTTCCAGGCATCGAGGTCGTAATTGGCCAGACTACCCTTTCGGAAATAGTAGTGCTCGATGAATAGAATGGCGAAGAACGAGGTATTCCAGTAACCCAAAAGGGAAAGGAAGTTCTCCAACACCTCCAGCAGGTGGTTCCGGCCGACTATACCCAGCAGCAGAATGCAGACGAAGATCAGGAATGACCAAATCACACGGGGTACTTTCGCACACGGTGGTGCGAAGAGCTGAGCGGACAACGCGCCGGCATAGATCGCAATGCAATTAACACCAACTAAAACAAGACGTTAGTTTTGAGGTCTCAACACAACCGTCCGGGATGCGCAGTCGAATCATACTTCCAGACAACACCAACAAAACCAATAAGAACTTGGCAAATCCGTCGGGGTAGATGATCGTCTTCAAGATCTCACCAATGCCGACCTCGTACGCCACGGCCCACTCAGGGTTGTCGTCCAGAGCGGAGGCGATGCAGGCACCCAGTAGCATGCCGATGCACGTGGGGATCGTGATGCCCAGTGTGGTGTACAAGAACACCTTGATCTTGGGCGTGTTCACGGGGTAATGCACATAGAAATCCGACACGATCGAGCTCCACGATGCGCTGGACCCGTAAATTACACTGATCAGACTCAGCACATTACCGGAGCGAGTCATGCCGGTCACGGTCGGGGCCTCGCCCAGATTCGCGCGGTGCGCCGCTTCGCCGTAGATGATCATGAAGATGATGAAGAAGAGCATCCACGCGTATTTCTCGTAGAGCAGGACGCCTCGTAGTCCGACGAAACTAAACAAGAGACTGATGCACGCGACAATAACCACTCCAACAGCGATGCTGACATGTCCGTTGGAGACTGCGCTGAGCGCCAATCCGCCCGTGATGCAGTTGACAGATGCCCAGCCCAACTGCTCGATCACGTTCAGCAGGGCGATAATCGACGAAGGGTAAAAGCCGAGCGAATATCGCGAGATAGCAACCTGGCGAAGGCCAGTTCCAGGTCCCATTGTCGCACACCAGCCCTACTCGAGATAGATGTAAGTATTTGATGTGGTCATTCATCTCCCACATTAACCCCAGACATGAAAGGGATATATAATAGCATGCCAAGAGGGAATGCGTACCGTCACCATCGCACCCAACAAAGTCGCAAAGATCACAATCGGAATCGTCTGCCCCAGCGAGAGCCCAAAACTCTTCCCCATAAATCCGGTACTGAAACAGCTGATATTCATCGTCGCCGATGCCCACATAAAGGCCATCACCACGGGGCTCGGCGACTGGCGATCCTCGGGGTGCACGCGATCCAAACTATGCGACTCGATGCCCATCTTCCGATCCAGAAACTCCTCATAGTATCGGATCTTTGCGAAAAATCCCTGCGGTTTGACGGGCTCCGCTTCGTCGATGGGTCGTACCTCCACCGGCTGCAGCTTCTCCATATCGAGATCTTGGTCTTGCGCGATGGCCGACATGGTGCCAGTGCCTCTGCCAGTGCCGGGCCTGATCGGAGGAGGGGAAGTCGCTGAAGAAAGAGTTTCTCACTCCGCACGCGAGCAGAGCCGAATCTGGGACTAACGGCTTAAGTCGCGCTTTTTGTCGGAGAATCTTCCTGCTCGGGGTCGCCCCTATCTCCATGTGGGCCGTCCCGCGGCTTATCGCCAGTAGTTTTTCTTTTCTCTTCTTTTTCTTTTATCTATTTTGGTCAAGTGTATCAATTCTCTTCTTTGCGTCATATATACAGTATGGACAATAACATGGCCGCACCTTCCCATGTTCGTCGCTGACATGGCGGGTGTAGATTTGGCTTGGCAGGAACCCAGTCAAACTGTGTTAAGCTTTGGGGCGGACCGCGAGGGAAAAACTCTTCTTATCAGGTGGGGTCGGATGTCGCCGAGCTGGGATCTGCTGTGCCCATCGCGGATCGTCTTATTGGCCTCGCATCGTGGCCTGAGCCAGACGGTGGTTATCGGTTCTATTTGCGTGCAACTGCGTCGGTTTTGCCACGGCTTACATTGAAGAAGGGGTCAATGGATCTCACCGGTTAAGTGGTCAATGTCAAAACTATCCTAGAGTAGTACCTTAGGGTAACGAGGCATGTGAGAGACAGGTAAGCCAGCAGGGCAGTCTGACCTGTGAGAAGACGTCTGGATTGTTTGCCTGGCTCTTCCTCTTGGTAACTAGGTGTACAAAATAGATGACGGGGCAGCTGATCACGTGGGCGACTGGATAGGTGATGCCTTGAATGACCAGGCAAGGACTCGAACCCAGGCAGTAGGAAGGATGCAGCGTTCAAAATAGCAAAACAACATGGCAGGGGTGTGGTCTGAGGCAAAGGGAATATGGTGATAGTAAGCTCCCTGCCTGTTCAGTTTGACGGGTTAGTCTCGACATTTCAAGGCTGCCCTTGAGTGGAATCTTGCTCGTCTTTATAGCGAAAATTCCTCTAGTTGGATCAATTAGTACTCTGAATCTGTAAAGATCATTATTGGCCCTTTATACATGCCATTGCCGCCTTGCTGGGGTTCCAATTAGCTACTTCTTCCTCAGGAGAATTACATCCATCGGGTATTGAGGATCCCCATTTTCACCAAGACAGGTAGCGACCTAGGTAGTTGACCGCTGAAGTGTCCTGAGTTGTGCGCGAATACTAATAAACAGTGAGTTCCAGATAAATCCACATGGGTGCACTCACATCAGCAGCATTATTTGCTCATACTATAGGTACCTAAAATAGAAAGGCAAAGGTGGGGGAGGAGGCAAGAGAAAAAGAAAGCGAAAGGGAACATTGGTCAGAATCAAAGGAGCATCCGGATTTCACAGAGAAGGCATGAGAGATATTTGAGCAAAGGCATCCAGATGACCCAAGCATTGCTTTGCAATGACGCGCGTTGTATTTTGTCGGCCCGTCTTGTCATATGGAGGAGGTTGCGGGACTGGGTAGCGCCTGCTCGGAGGCGGAGAAAAAACCCCCGGAGCCTCGAGCTGGCCTTTTCGGTCACTCTTGTGTACTTTCTGGGGATCTTAACTTCACCTCTCCACCTCCCCCTCTCAAACCGCAACCCCCTTTTCTCCTCCCCCGCCACTACCCTCCTCTTCGGGGTCCCGGGCTCCGTGTACATTTCTCGTTGGCTCGGTTCACCTGGAATCTGTTGCACTTTGCTATCGCTCTGCCCTCAGTTCCCCCGGGAATTGCCTCTGAACGACCAGGGCAAGTGTCGCTGATTTGCATCAACTTGCCTGGGTAGCACTCAGCCAATCCGTCAGTCCCCTCTCTCACACCCTCTGACCCTCACTTTCCCTCTTTCACTTTCGACTTCCCACCCCATTCTCAATCTCCACCACCCGCTCTCATACTCATCAGGTTCCGTTCTCATTGCAGGCTACGTTTGCATAGCCCCATCCTTACCCAACAATCTCCGGTTCCTCCTCGAGATTACTGGACATATCCTAATTCACCATGGCTGCTGAAGCGTCTTCTACCACCAATGGCTCCAAGTCTCTCGCTGCCATGCTTGAGGCGCAACACGACGAGGCCCATAAGGCGACGGTCGAGGACGTTGTGGATGAGGAGGATCTCAAGCACCCCCCCTCCCTCGTCTCTCGTGAACGAACAGCAGCCGGCCTCAGCTGCACCCCCTATCCTGGAAGCCGTCACCCCCGCCGAGTCATCCTCCCCATCTCCAGTACCGAAACCCGCCATGAAGAAGACACCCGCATTCGACGTACAATCCGAAGAACTTTTCCCCGCGCTGGGAAGCGGGCCGAAACCTGCTGCCCCTGCTGCGGCTACATGGGGCGCAAAGAAACCCTCAGCGGCTGCGGCTGTTGCGAACGGTCTCCCGGCCCAGCCAATGGGTGAGTCAATCAACAGAAAGATCCCGAAAAATTTAGCTCTCATTACTGAGATCAAACCAACAGATGTTCCCCGGGTCATGTCGCTTCCGGGAAAGCACATGGAGCAGCTTCGCTTGGCTCCGTCCCAGATGCTCCCGCGCGGTCAACTCAAGAAACCCTTGCGGGATATCCTTCGTGATATTTCTCGCGGATCTAAGGCTACTGTGGACATGCGTGGTGGCAACAATGGCCAAATTATCTTTGAAGGAAAAGGTTCTGTTGATGCCGTTCGACAGGCCTTGAAAGAGGTCGCGCAACAGGTTGGATCCAAGGTAAGCTTTCATTGGACTGGACGACCGTGTTCAAAAACTAAAATACCACTCAAAATAGCAATCAGTTCGCGTCCCGATCCCGACCTCCGCTCGTCCTCACATCATTGGCCGCCAGGGTGCGGTGGTTCAAGATATCCAAAGCCGCACTGGTGCTCGTGTCCAGGTCCCTCGCGCCGATGATAACGCTGCCCCCGCCGACGATGACGACAGCGATACCATTGACGTGTTGATTGAGGGTGATGCAGTGGCTGCAGAAATGGCGCGCCGCGAGATCGAGGCTATCGTGAAGGAGCGTGGCTCTAACATGAGCCTGCGCTTGAAGACCATTCCCCCGGAGTTTTTCCCCTTCATCGCTGGTGCTCACGACGCTACTCTGCGTGAAATCGAAGAGCGTACCAAGGCGCAGGTTCATGTCCCACGTTACGACACCTGGTCTAGCCAGCCGCCTCCTCAGGAAGCCCAACCTGGCCAGGTGCAATTTGTGCCCTGTGCCGACAAGCACATTCTCATTTCCGGTGAGCGGGCTGCCGCCCAAGAAGCCCGCGCAGAGATCGAGAGTATGGCAGCTGAGCTGCAGCGCAAGTTGACTCTGCGCCAATTGGCAATAAACCGCGGCCAGCATCAGTTCATTCTCGGAAACGAAGCCGATGCCCTGCACAAATTCCTCGCTCAGACCGGATGCGCCATTGTCCTTCCTCCGGCTTCCGATGACAGCGAATTCCTTACCATCACTGGCCCTCTGAACCAGATCGAGTCCGGTATTAACTATGCTATGGATCTCGCTACTAGTATGCAGATGGCCAGCATTGACTTGTCCCGCCAACACCCCGGTGCTCCCGCCGGTCCTCATGCCCACGCTCGCGCCTTGACGCAGTATCTCCGCCGCCGTCAGATCATCAAGCAACTCGAGTCTGCGTACGATGCCCACATTGCGCTTCCCCCGAGCGCCGACGGACCTGTCACCTGGGAGGTTTACTCTCGCGACGGCAAGAACACCATTCGTGCTCGCTCCGACATCATGAACCTTGTCCAGGCTCACCCGCCCTCCCGCCTGCGCCATGTCCCGATTGACCCATATTTCCACTCTTACCTGCGTTCGCGCAGTGCCAACAAGCTCCAAAGTGACTACGGTGTCCACCTGCTTGTTCCCGATGACGTGAACAGCCCCGAAGTTGTCCTTGTGTACGAGGGTCCTTCTGCTACTGCCTCTAACTTCGAGGTCTCTCGTCAACGCCCGTCCCCGGCCGAGGTCTCGGCCTTCGAGAAGTCGCTGAAGGAGGCCCAAGAGTACTTGCTGGGCATTCTCGGAAACCAGAGCGATATTGTTGCCAAAGTCGTCTCGGTCCCTGCCAAATACCAGGAGAAGGCGCGCAAGTTCATCATCCGCGAGCAGGATGCCAAGGGCGACGAGAACATTCCTGTGCGCGCTATTGTCGGTGATGCCAAGGGATCCAAGTGCGAGATTGCTCTCCGCGGACCTTCCGCCCTGGTGGATGAGCTTTCTGCCAAGATTAATGCTTTCGTTACTCAACAGGAGCAGGATGACCTTGAGCGTGGCTACACTACCACCTTTGACTTCCCCCAGAAGTTCGCCAACTTCCTTATTGGCAAGCGCGGCGAGAACATCAACAAGCTCCGCGAGGAGTTCGATGTCGATATCAAGGTGGAGAATGGCAAGGTCGAAGTTAAGGGACCCAAGGCCAAGGCTGATGCCGCTCGCATGCGCATCATCAACCTTGGCAAGAAACTGGAGGATGAGACTACTCACATCCTAAAAATTCCCGCTCAATACCATCGTGAGCTGATTGGACAGCGTGGAAACCAGGTCAACCGTCTTCAGGATCGTTACTCCGTCCGGGTCCAGTTCCCCCGTGCAACTGTCGTGGATGATGCGGCCACGGATGCTGGTAGCGACGCCGGTGGTGCTCGCGCCGGTCGTCCCCAGCAGGCTGCGGATGAAGTGTTGGTCAAGGGCCCCAGCAAGGGTGCCGACTCTGCTCGGGATGAACTCCTTAGTTTGTGGCAATACGTCGTTGAGACCTCCCACATTGCCAATGTTTCCGTTGCCCAAAGTCAGGTCGCCTCGCTGATTGGCCAGCGCGGTCGTGAAATGGACAAGCTCCGTGCGGACACCGGTGCCCAGATCGATGTTCCAAGTGCCAGCGATGCTCCTGATGCGTCGGGACGTGTTCAAATTCGCATCAAGGGTACCAAGCAACAGGTTGCGGAAGCCAGGAAGATCCTGACCCAGCGGGCCAGCGAGTTCGATGCTACCGTCACCAAGTCGATTGACGTGGATAAGAAGCATCACAAGGCCCTGATTGGTGGAGGTGGTAAGTTTCCCCTAAACTTCCAATGACATATTGAATATATTACCTAACAGACAATAGGTGCCAACATTCGCAAGATCGTGGTTGACGCTGGTGGCCCCAACGACGGTAGTGCTGCTCGCATGGTCCGTTTCCCGCGTCCCGATAGCACCGAATCAACCATCCGCCTTGAGGGCAATGGCAAGATCGTCGATAGCATTATTGCTGCCATCGAGGCCTTCGTTAAAGAGCGTGAGGATCAGGTCACCGAGATTCTCGAGGTTCCTACTGCTCAGCACCGCCTGTTGATTGGTCGTGGTGGTGATACTCGCCGTGGCATTGAGTCCAAGTTCAATGTGACCCTTGACATCCCCAAGCAGGGATCCGGCCGCACTGATGTCAAGCTCAAGGGCCCCAGTAACGCTGTTGCCGAGGCCAAGGAGCACGTTCAGGGTATGCTGAAGGAGCAGCACGCCGAGACTGCTGAGGTCCCTACCTACCTGCACCATGTCGTTGCCGACAATGGCGCCTTCTTCCGTCGTCTTCGCAACGAATACCAGGTCACTGTCGACCACGCTGGTAAATCCGTTCCCGCCGTACGAGCTGCGGATGAGACCCGATCTGCTGCCAATGGCACTTCGCTTCCCCTCATCACTGATGACGCTGAGGCGGCTGTTGACGCTCACTCTTGGAACGTGGTCGACAATGCTAAGTCTGCAGATGCCGATGTCAGCCCCTTCCCCTGGGTTCTGACTGGCTCCCCCGACAATGTTGCCAAGGCCCGTGTCGCCATCACCAAGGCCATTGACTCTGCGCAGAAGCAGTCTGCTACCGGATATCTGATCCTGCCAGACCCCAAGACCTATCGTTTCGTGGTTGGTCAAGGTGGTAGCCAAATTAACGCCATCCGCAAAAAGACTGGTTGCCGAATCAACGTCCCCAAGGACCAGGCTCACGGCGAGGCGATTGAGATCCGTGGCAGCTCCACTGGTTTGGAGGAGGCCAAGGACATGATTCTCGAGGCTGTTCAGAACGGGCTGAACGGCTCTACCCGGTGATTGATCTCCTTCGATGGAGATTGGGGTGAGGGATGACGACAGAACATTTGCATCCAGATATATACACCCCAGGAAATTCTTGTTTCTATTTTATCTTCCCCATTGTTTTCTTACATCTACAACGGTATCTACGTATTTAAACCTTCTGGCTTCTAAAAGAATGGCCTCATCTCTCCTCATTGCGTTTCTTGTCACCACCAGCACTAGTGATCGAGTGACCTTTTTTTGGTGGCCTTGTTCGATCTACTTCACTTCTTGTGTTTTCATTGCATATGCATTGCTTTCAGGTATCAAAACTAGGATATCTCACTGAACAAAACACTATAAAGATAAACTCGACCAGGCCGGTCCTTACAAATATTGTACTGGTCCAAGTCTATGACTTAGCCATAGCATACCGCGCCAGGCCCCATGCTTCCCTTCATAACCCACTTCGAGTCTTCGCCATTGAACTCACGGGATAGCTGGCGCTCGCGAGCGCGTTGTCGCCGACTATCCTCCCGGGCGTGTTTTCTCCTGGCTTTTTTGCTGCTAGAGCCTGACACCGGTTGTTCAGTCGAGGAGATCTTAGACTCCGATTCAGCCTCTGAGGTACCGTAGACTAGACGCTTCAGCCAACCGAACATTATCGGTACACTGGGGATGACCCGACACTATCGCGAAGTCGAGAAAAGTAGTGTCTGTGTTCCGTGAGTCTAGTTGCGGAAGGAGCTAAGTCTGGGAGATTCACCATGTAGCCAGCAACCAAGCGACGATGCCAGTTTACAGCAGAAAGCAGAGGATTTGGCTGGTTTGTGGTGAGTCGTCGCTTTGAACTCTTGATCAGGGAGACATTAGTCATGGTGGGGGCCGGATCTGCTATTTTCTATTCATCTGTGTATCGATATTGGACAAATAATATATTATGTGGAGTGTGTGTAACATGGAGCTGAATAACCTGCTGGATGGCAAATGCTGAAGAAATGACTGGTAATATGAGTATATCTCTTAGTTTCCCTCGTGATCGCTATCATCCTCATCACTTTCCTCAGCGCTATCATCATCGTCTTCATCGTCATCATCATTGTCGTCGGAACCGGAATCAGGGCCATCAGATTGATGAAAAGCCCATCCATGAGAAAAATCAAAGCAATGTACTTTCAAATCTGCACACTGCAGACAAATGTCGAAGTTTGTACAGACTTCACAGGTAAGATAGATGTCGTTTTGCATAGGCCGAAGGCACACATCACAAAACGTGCAACCATTTTCAAATCAAACACAAGGCACGATTCTACCTCCGAGTAGTTAGTTTTCTGGTCTTGAATGCCCAGTTTCTGAGTGAGCTGAAGGACAAGATCGCTCATTCGTAGTTTGTCCTGTTCCCGCCGCCCACCAAAGCAAGGTTCGATCAAGGCCATCCTCAAAGTCGACCTGCCGCTTTATTAAGGACACTAATTGCTTGAAAATCTCCTCGTGGCCGTTTATGTCCGCAGCAAAAATTGGCGTGGCACCGTAGCGATCTTTCAGGTGTATCGATGAATGAGGTAGAATGACTTCGACCACATCAGCAGAACCTCTTGCAGCAGCATAGAACAGCGGCGTTCGATCAAACTTATCCCGAAGGTCGAGACTAGTCTGCGAGGCTTGGTGACCTGGGGGAACTTGACAGAAGCAGCTTCATAATTTTCAGATTTCCCACCTCAGACACCAAGTGAAATGGTGTAAACCCATCCATATCTGAGACCGCGAGATCTGCTCCGCTTCTCAGAAGAAACTCAGCGATTGCAGGTCATCATCTTTACTCTGACAGGCACGGAAAAGGGTTGTTTGTCCGTCGCTGTCAGGAATTGTAAGATCAGCGCCCTTCTCGACCAGATCCACAATTTTCAGATGACTGTCGGAGGAGGCAGCGGCCAATGGCGTCCATCCACCGAGGCCTCGGGCATCTACAGCTGCGCCCTTGTCGAGATACAGTTTAACCATATCCATATGGCCTTCGCTTGCCGCCCACTTGAGTGGCATGTCGCCATCCTGATCCTTTAAGTTCAAATTGTCACCAACCTCGAAGAGAAACTTAGCTACCTCAAGATGTCCATGCTCAGAGGCATATGCCAGGGCGGCCGAGCCATCCACATTTGCTCGGTTTGGACCAGTTCCAGCTTTAAGAAGAATTCTGGTCGTCTCGTAGCTTGCTTTCTCCACAGCATTTAACAGGGCTGTTCCACTGGTGTTATCTGCATGGTTTACGTCTGCCCCATGTTCGATGCAGAGTTTGACGATATCAACATGCCCTTCCCTCGCTGCTAGGATCAAAGCTGTCTATCCATCCACATCTGCATAGTTTGCATTCGCCTCGGATTCAAGAACGAGCTTCGCAACGTCGTGGTAACCTTCCAACGAGGCAGTTAACAATGGGGTCCATCCGTAATTGGTGGGATAATCAATCTTTGCTCCGTGGTCAAGTAGCATGAGTACAATTTTCTGGTCGTCCTTGAGCGAGGCAGAATGTAGAGCTGTCCACTGGTTGTCACTTGGAATGTTGGCATCAGCGCTTTTTTCCAGGAGCATTTCCACAATTTCCGGGAAACCTTCATCGGAAGCAGCATTCACCGATACCCACGGTATTGCTTGGGAAGTTGACTTCTGCCCCTTTGCTTAGCAATATGCGGACAATTTCCGAGTGGCCCTGGTTTGAGGCACTATAAGGAGGTGTCATTCCGTCGTCGTCAGTAGTCTCAAAGTCGGCATCCATGTCCAAGAGTAACCGAGCCATCTCGAGATTCTCCTCGAAAGTCACAATTCCCACTAGAGTTACCATTCCGCCTTGATCTCTGGCATTGTAATCCCCTCAGCTCAAGAATGAGTTCAGCGACTTTGTTATGACGTGATTTCAGAGCACAATGAAGCGGAGTGCCTGCGGTGATGCTTGCGCTCTTTTCGAGGGGAAACTCGACCACTTCGTAATCTTCCCAACAATGCCGCATGAAGAGGTGTGTGATCGTAATCATTTGCAATTTCCATATTGGCTCCTTTGTCAATCAGCATCTTGACAATATCCTTATGTTCGCGTCGGCAGGCAGCAGCGAAGGAAGTTTATCCACATTTGCCTTGTTCATCGATTGAATACCTGGCTTCCAACAGGAGCTCTGTTGTCTCTACAAGGCCGAGCCAAGAGGTGTAGTATAGAGGGTTCGTGGAAGTGTTTCGCTCGGGTGATTTTTCGGGATCGGTGAATGTGATCGAAGATCTGGCATTTGACGAATCCGATTGAGCATCTGAACCATCACTATCCTCTGATTCATCGGAGCTGACTGGGCTGTCTAATTCGCCTTCGTCGTCGTCTGAATCGTCCGAATCGCTGGGTATTCCATCGTCTTCGTCATTCAAATCAAACCAATCTTTTCATTGAACCTAGTTCTTATTCTCGACATTGACAAGGTGGTTGATCATGCCCACTAGACTCGGATCATGAATATCGCCTGCAGCCGCATGTTCATGCCATGATCCAGCAGCGTCGTCAGGATAGGCACTGAGAATAGCACCCGCTTCCTCCCCCTCCCCTTCCCCCTCCCCTTCCTGCTCTTCTTATTCGTCCTCAGGGACCTCCGGCCACACGTCTTCGCAATCCACATAACAAAGACACATCTTGGCAAGTTGAGTATTTTCCATAGCTTCGCTGGAAGGCTTCAAGCTGGCATTGACTTGGAAGAGTCTGCACTGCCCGGTAAGGGTACACATCAGGTACTGCTTCACAGAAAAATGAGCCAAGTGTACTGTCCTCAACCCAGGCTCACATCCTGCGTGAGAGCTTCGGACCTCAACGAGTGACCCGCAGAGGTCGAGGATTTCGGTGTTGATATCGTCCTCGTCAATACAGCCAGGGAGCTCGTCAAGTTGGATTTCATCACAGTCTCGGCTGCTCGACAAGGCCCTGGTGATCTCGCAGACTGAGAGAGGTCGAAGTGCAAATGCAGCCTATCGGAGAGAGATTGTCCGATCGCGATCGTCCTTGGGGAGGTTCGAGATTCTCGCCCAGTTCCGGTCGTAGGTATGTTCGAGCCCAGGAGGAGTGGAGTACATTGCCTGTTCGAGTTTCTTCTGGCTCTTGCCACTGCGGAGATGGTCTTCTTAGGAGTTTCACCCAGAGAAACTACTCGTTACACCGCTCGGCCAGCGAATGGGCAATATCCTCTCGAGCCGCCGTCGGCCTGGACGATAAGCTTCTTGTCGACGACACTAGGTGAGAAAACTTCCACATTCGACTGGACATCTTCTGGCCTGATCTTGTATTGGTTTACTGAGACGTTTTCGGCGTCAGGTTGGCCTGAAAGAGCACTTCGGATCTCTGGCTCATCGCAACTGACTATCAATATTTGGGAAGAAGTAGCAGAAACAGCTCGTCTCAATTCCTCCAGGAAGCAAGCAACCAGTTTATCACTGGCAACACTTGAGCTAACGCCAGTCCAGCCACACTCGTCGAGGCCATCCAATATGAATGTGTACTGCGGGATAGCTGTGACAACTTCTCGGAAAAGTTTGAGTACGTCGCCCCGAGTCGCCTTTTGCTCAGGGCGGCCTGACCATCTATCACGAAACAGTTCAAACACCACTGGGTATGGGACAAGCTGAGAGAGCCACAATCTGATTGCGAAAAATGGATCTTTCCGGCCTTCGAAATCAGACGAAAAGAAGAAATAGGCAACCGGGTCTTCCTCGAGCTTTAAGGACATGTCCTCAATAACCCCTGCGCAGATGATGGACCTTCCAAAACCGGCGGGTCCATTGATCCAAAGGATTTTAGCACGTCCGTCTGGGAAGTCGGGTCCAGTCCAATGGTGAAACCATGACTGGTTCAAAACCCAATCGCAGGTGCCTTCGATCCGCTTCCCGACGAATATGTCATATAACTCATTCGTGGAGACAGCGCCGAGAGGCCACGCATGAATATCGCGTCGTATCTCATCTACCATTATCAACAATCGGACTGTGAGATTCAGACAAAACGAATGATACGAACCTTCCATCTGCATTTCGATACCCTGCAGAATTTCTCGGATCTCTTCTTTCCAAGCTCTGCTCTCCAAGACCTCATCTGGACGGAAAGGATATTATCATCAGTCTCGCAAGCCTTGTGCGACACTACTGATCCCGAGTTGACTTCCTCCCCCAGCCCTTCTTGGCCTCCTCGATTGAAATCAAAAAGTAGAGGCTTTCCACCTGCGCCGAAAACTGTTCCACCCGGCCGGCCCTTTTGGCTTTCGTCCCGAGCACCCACTTCAGCTTCTGCCGCTTCGAATCCCGGGGTGCATGGCGCTGAAACAATTGGTCCTTGAAATTCTGCTTCTCTTTTCCAATGGCAGCCAACGGAAAGGACTTTTCTTCGTCGCGGCAAACATTATTGATGGCTAACAGTGAGTCTTTGACCGTGGCACTGACTGGTCTTTGGATCATCTAGGAGCTCATGGTGCTCGTATGAGAGCTCGTCATCTTCCAGCCCAACTGACATGCCTCATCTCGCGAGTCGAAGCTTCTGGGCATTGTACTGAGCGGCTAGGGCATTTATAGTCGGCGTCGTAGTCATTCCACAACCCGATCAGTTCGGCGGCATCCGGGCAGGTGCTGGAAAGGCCAGCCAAACCCAAAATTCCAACCGCGAAGTTTGTGTGACAAGGCTCCATCAACCCGACACAATCGCCGCAAGGCAGTTGTATAGACTAGTAGTATAGCCGGGTAGATGCGATAGGGGCACAGGGGAACCGTGGAACAATTGGAGAGTCCTTTCGGTTAGGTGTGGGGCTGAGAGGTAAAGTGAACATTGGCCTTGTCGCTGCGGCGTGGATGTCATTGAGTAATGCGCTGTCAGCAAGGCTGTGCCGTAGTGAGATTGTGGCGCCCGCTATACTAGCGGAAAATTAAACATTGTCGAGGGACCGGTATGGCTGGTGAGATAATTTACCCTGCAGTTTTTCGAAACAGGAACTCGCTAGGAAGTGATTAACGCGAAAGAGATTCACAAAACTCATCAAAATTCTTTTTCGTCGCTTTTTCTGTCGATTTGAAACCCGCTATTCTGATTGTCCGAGGCCTTGTGGCATTAGATCTGATAAAAACCACCCCGCTGGATCGGGCACATGTAATTCCGAGTCGCTACGGAAGGGACTTGGATCGAATACCTTGCTACACTAAACAATATTCAAAAGTATGTATGGGATGAAGTGGCAAGTCCTGTTCAAAGAAAAACCTCGCACCTATCACACTCGCCATCTACTCTATGATGAGCATGTATCACGAACACATCCCCGTGCAGCCACAGGCACCATGGCCCACGTAAACAATGACATCATAGGGAGAGGGTCAATATAAATCATCTCAACACTTTTTTGATCTCTCCCACACCGAAGACAAAAGAATCCACATTCCGCTCCGAGATCCCTCCCCCCGCGAAATTCCATTTGGGCTGAACCAAATATACGATCTCCGGACCTCTCCATCTCAAACCAACCAACAAACCAACCAACAACCACCATAAAAATGGGCTCACAAGACCAAGGCGCAACCGGCGCTGCCAAGTGGGTGACATCCACCCTGGGAAACACAGTCGGAGGTGTTACTCGCACGGTCGGCGGTGTGACAGGCGCCGCGACTCGGGGCCTCGGCGATACTATCAACAGTGCTACGGGTAGCGCTGGGCGACCCGTTGGAGATGCGATCGGAAATGCTGGGACTGGTCTCGAGGACGGGACCAAGTCTGTCGCGAAAGGTGTGGAGAATGCCGGGCAATGGAAAGGACAGTGGAGGTAATTTAATGCGAATCATTACTTAATTGGAGGTTCCCACTGTTCGTGATGTTGCAAGACGGCGAGTTCATTCATTGTGTACGTTATTGTCTTTGCAGTGACCATATGATGCCCCGACCCTGCCTTCTATCAAATCCTCAGTATCTCAATACTGACGGTCAATCAATCCCCCTTATATCTCTATATCTAAATACATGTACAAAATCTAAAAAGCAACGCCAGACCGAATCAAAAATAACAGCCCGATCACTGATCCGGCGAGGGATGCTTCAGCTGCATCTGCAATCCCAAAGTCATAAACGCCCCAAAGCTCCCACAGGTCATAAAAACCGGTCCCCAAAAGGCAGGAACAAATTGTCCTACAAGCAGATACCGACGCATCGACCAGTAACGAAAGAACCCATAACCCAAGCACCAAACACCAAGTAACTGGCAAATCTTAGAAGCAGAGATACCATCCTGGAACACCGTCTTCTTCGGAGCCAGAGCCGTTTCAAGTTCGGAGCCAGCCTCATTGTTGGCCTGTCCCTTCCGCTGGCGGGCAACCGTCAACCCAAGACCAAGTTGCTTGTGAAGAAGACGATCAATTGCGTCGAGACGGTCCAGGGCCAACGCCATAGCCGCGAAGCCGAGGCCTGCTCTGGTCCATGATAGGAATGTGCGCTCGTTGGCGTGGTGGTCGCGTTGCTGGGAGCCGGTGTTGGCGACCCGAGCGGGAACAAGGCGTCGTAGGAAGGCTGCCATGGTATGGAGGATGATGGAGGGATTAAGAAGACCTGGATATAGGAGTATAGATTGAGTTGATTTGAACGCCACGAAATCGCGATTTCCCGGGTTGCGCAACGCGGGTCCCACGTGGAACCTGCGCGAGGTGCCCCGGTTACTGCTCGTACACCAACTCTGCCCTATACACACTCCCCCGGGTGTGGATATTCTCCCTTGATAAATACCTTCTTCAACAAGTGAATTTCGGTCACTTTAACAGGGTTATATGCCACTTTTTCCGTTCGGTCTAGAGCCCCAAACGGGGTCTGCACGGCGGAACTTGATCCGCCATGACGTTTCAGTGTGCCAAAGCACCAGCGGCAGGCCGGTCGCCGATTGGCCGCGGGCGACCCACCGAGCAGCGACTATGCCTTAGGTTACCCCGGACTCTTCGCGCGTGATGGGGGCTGGATATTGCTCATCTGAGCCTAATAAAAGATCCTCCCTTGGTCTCCTGTCTTTCCCTGTCTGTATATCGATCTTTGATACTCGCCGGAAGGCCCTGGTGAACGCAGAGATATCCATTCGGACGAGAGAAAGCTCATTCGGGCGAGAAATGGCCTCTCGGACGAGAAAGGATTGCACCATCGCCGACTATACTGTATCGTTACTGCTGACGATAAGGCAATAATACGCCAGAGGGAGCAAGTATAGACTCAATTGGGATGGATAAAGTCATTCTATTGATACATAAGCTCGTACATTGAGGAGTAAATTCGCGCCGAGAACTGTTCACCATGCCAGGGTCTTGCTCGCGGGAGCAATCTAGCAATCTTGAATTTGGGTGGTACTACCACTCCAGCCCATTCAACTTTAAAGGTAAATGAAGCATGCGTTGTCCAGACTCAGTTGGAGCAGGAAGTCGCCCGCCCCGAACATTGACCTGTAGTGATTGGTGTAGCAGCCTGGGCTCCTTCAAGCTGGCATCGCGCTCAGTCCGCATCTTCACGAATTGTTCTTCGGAGATTGAATCCTTGATGTGGCGATTCAAACGCCGATGCTCTCCAACGGTCAGAAATGGAACAGGCTCTCGGTCAGGTGGTGGGTAGTCATGTCCTGGCCAGATCTTGACATGCTCATCGAGATCCAGGAGCCTGCGGCCAGACTTGAACAGATTCTTTGCGTCACCCCCGGGAAAATCACAGCGCGCGGTGCCAATGTCGGCGTGAAACAGAGAGTCACCACAGATTACATTATCTGATACACATGCGTTAGTGGTTTGAATCTTTGGATTGACCGACGAAAGATACATACCTCCAATCTTGTAACCAAGGTGATCTGGGGTATGTCCCGGGAGATGAAGAGCGGTAGCCGTCAACTCGCCCACGGCAAAGCTTTCATCATCTTCGAATAGATTATCAAAAACCTGCTCGTATTCCTCTTTCCCGATCTGGTACCGTCGACCGAACAAATTTTGGACCTGCGTAATGCGCTTGCCAATGCCGATTGGTGGCTTGAATCCCTGGGTTTGACTCAATCGATGCTGTAGATACGAAGATGAAGTGAGATGATCTGCATGGACATGTGTCTCAAGGATTCTCTCGATTTTGTAGCCCTTTTCTTTCACATAGGCTAGCAAAGCATCGGCGGCGGTTGTAGTAATGACTTGGGTAGCTGGTTCATAATCCAAAACTGGATCGATAATGACCGCAGAGAGGGTAGATGGATCTGCGACGATGAACTGCCATGTTCCCGTGACGGGTTCGAATAAATTGTGAATGGTCGGCATCGTGGATGATGTAGCGCTAGTGCTGTATGCGCCTCGGGCTTGACGCCGGCCCCGGACTGTGCTGGGTGGAGAAGTGTGGGTGCGATTTCTATGGGGCCCTAGAGGTCTGTTTGGAAATGGTCGCTGGGAATATGCCTTAGTAGCGAACAGTGCCTTGGTGTCTCGTAGATTGCTTTGGGGACGACAGTTCGCCACGGAAGGAATAGCTGCTGGTCTGATATATTGCACTCGTCCGATCGATGACCACTCATAGGCCATAGGAGAGCGAAAGGCTTTCATGCTGAGATTATGCTTTCTGTAAATGCGACAGTTCGAAAAAAGTTTCGGGAGTTGGTCGACGGTGATTTTTGGACTGATACTAAGCACGTTGGTGTCTTGGTCGGTTGCGGCTTAAATGGCCTGACACTCGGGGATCCCTTGATCGCCGAATGCTGGGTCGGCGACTGTGAATAATTCCAGTGTATCAAGAAGTCTCCGCTCGGAGACTTCTGACTTGATTTGCAGCTTGGACGGGCAACTGGCAGGAGACCGGATATGCCAGAGGAACAAAGTGGAGCCCGTACAGACAGCGTAATCGGTAAAACGAACTAAAGTTCCGGTCGATCACCGGCCGAGACGAATGCGTCTCGCGTCATTCCATTTTATTTCTTGACTTCCATCCTCCACCCCCCTTTTACTCCAGGTCCGACTTTGGTTCATCAATCTCGACTTAGCCTCGGGAACCTAACAGAAAAAGAAAGCCATAATGTTCATTGCTCGCGCTGCGGCTGGCGCGCCAGTGCCAAGCATCCGCACCTTCGCAACTGCCTCACCCGTCAGTGCCGCCCGCAACCACAAGGTCGTCGTGGTCGGCGGCGGTACAGCCGGCCTGGCCGTCAGTCACCAGCTGCTGCAATCAGGCAAGTTCAAGCAGGATGACATTGCTGTGGTCGACCCGGCTGAGTTCCACCACTACCAGCCCGGCTGGACCCTCGTCGGCGGCGGTCTCAAGACGAAGGAAGAGCTGCGCCGACCCATGAAGAGTCTCATCGACCCCAAGCTCAAGCACTATAATGACAGCGTGGCCACTTTCGCACCGGAGAAGAACATCGTTACTCTCGGCAATGGCGACAGCGTCAACTACGAGCAATTGATCGTTGCGCCCGGCCTTGCCCTCAACTGGGGTGCTATCAAGGGCCTTCCCGAGGCGCTGGCCGATGCCTCTGCACCCGTCTCTTCGATCTACGGCTATGACAGCGTCAGCAAGGTCTTCGGAACCATCCAGAAGCTGGAGAAGGGTAATGCCTTCTTCACCCAACCCGCTGGCGCCATCAAGTGCGCCGGTGCCCCTCAGAAGATCATGTGGTTGGCGCTGGATCACTGGAAGCGCGCGGGTCGGTATGATCCGTCCAGTCCGTCATCGTCGGCTATTCAGATCAACTTTGCTACCGGCATGCCGGTCATGTTCGGTGTGCCGAAGTACAACCAGGTCCTGACGGCCATGCAGCAGGAGCGCGGCGTCAACGCTCTCTTCCAGCACGATCTGGTCGCCATTGACGGTAACACCGCGACATTTGCCCGGCCAGATGGTCAGGAACAGGTCTCGAAGAAATTCGATCTGCTGCACGTTGTGCCCAAGATGGGTGCGCCCGCTTTCATCAAGAACAGCGCTCTCGCGAACGAGGGCGGCTTCGTCGATGTTGACGATGGAACTACCCAACACAAGAAGTTCACCAATGTCTGGTCGGCTGGTGATGCTTCCAGCTTGCCTACTTCCAAAACCGCGGCTGCGGTCACTTCGCAGGCGCCCATCCTCGTGCGGAACCTGCTCCAGACGATGGAGGGCAAGAAGGCCGATGCGATCTACGATGGCTACACTTCGTGCCCACTGCTGACCGAGTACGGCAAGGTTCTGCTGGCCGAGTTCAAGTACGGCGGAGTGCCCAAGGAGACCTTTGGTGACTGGTTCGGTGTTGACCAGGCTGTCCCGCGTCGGTCGTTCTACCACCTGAAAAAGGACTTCTTCCCTTGGGTGTACTACAACTCGATGGTCAAGGGCGACTGGGCTGGACCGAAAGGATGGATCAATTAAAATATATACCGCCCGAGCATGTAGGATAGATCTGAGTCGTTTGCACTTATTTGGAGTTCTGGGCCATAGAACAGCTTATTTTGGAGGAAACCCTCATGGAATCAAAATGGAATACCCAAGCTGCCCGGATCAGGTACAAAAATAATCCACAATACTTCAAGTCCAAACTGATCTGATTTTGACCTCTCCCATGGCATTAATAATGTAGTTTTAGCCAGTGGGTTCCTAGAATGGATCTCTTGGGAAGGACCCTCTGCGGAGAAGGTTACCTTTCCCGTCAGTCGGGTGGACTGCTACGAACAGGGTGGGCCGGGCAAAGGATCTGGATGCTGGTCTGGGAGGGACGATCCTGATATCGGTCTATTAATATATGCGTAGAAACAAAAAGGCCTCTATCTCCCCACGCGAGGGGGTCTTGCCCGCACTGCAGAGTTGGCCCCCACCTTTCCAGCTGGCAGGCGGCAACGCTCGCCGAAAGGAGAAAAGAGTTCCGCGCTGCGCTCGCCGAAGTCTGCCCGGTTCGTCGCCGCCCGCAAAGTCAATGCGGAACACCGAATTGCCCGGGTAGGTTCAAGAATAACAACAGGCTCCCAGTCGAAAAAGCGATATCCATGGAAAAAAAGTGTAAAAAAGATGAACATCAGACATCAGACAATCAGGATGCCAACAAAACATAATTATAAGCGAAACCCCAAAATACCCGAAGAAATGATATCGCTGCTTTGCTCCCCGCAGTCTTGCTCTTTTAGTCTTCCCCTCAGATGATTCCGGCACCAAATGTGTGGGCGCGCCAGCAATTCCTCTTTATGCACCCTTCTCCTCACACCCCCACTTTCTAGCACGTTCCAACAGTGCTTTCCTCATAAGCGTGCCCAATTCACAGCTGCTGCTGGGCCTCGAGGTAGTTGTAGGCACCGTAGGCAATGGCACCACCGATCAGGATGATGGCGTAGAGACCGACGCCGAAGCCAGTAGAGCCAGAGCTAGAAGACGACGAGGTGGCAGTGGAGGCCTGGGGCTTGGGCTCGGGGTCACCGGGCTTGGTAGAGTTAGCGATGGTCATGACTGAAGATCCCATCTCCGCATAGGCAGAGAGTAAAACAAAGGGAAAATGAGAGAACCGGGAGGAGCACATACCATGCGCTTCACGCTACCGACAAGGAGGCCGTCGAGAATCTCACGCGCCTCATCGGAGTGGCCGACATCCTCAAAAGCCTCGGAGCCGTCCTGGCCACCAACATCGAGGAGGACTTCCTCACCACCACTATTCAAACAAAGTCAGCCTTTTTATTCTCATAACTTTCTTGTGCTAAGTGTGCGCAGTCTGTGTGACTCGACTGAGTCAAAGGGAGAAGGGGATGGAGCCATCGGGGATTTGCGACAAGGGCATGGCCCGGGTGACGGGGTTGGCTTGGCCCCGGGATCAAAGGAAGAGGGGTAGGATGAGGTGTATGGGAGGAAAGTGGTCACGTACGGGTGCTCATCGACGAAGCTGGTGCAGTCGTAGACCTTGTCGTGAATGACCATGTAAAGGTCCTTCTTGGTGTTGTGGCCGGCGACCTCCTGGAGGGTGAATTCCTTGGACTCAGACATGGTGAAGTGGGAAAGACTATTGCGGCGAGAACCGAGAAAGTGTTAGTTGGGAGGACAGATTGAGGAGTCAACGAAGCGGAGGGTGGAAGGTGGAGAGAAAGAGGAGGTCGGAATTTCTGCACCGTCCAGATCGGAGAGAGCAAAAAGACCGAGTTGGACTCAGGGGAAGCAGCGGAACGCGGACGAGGGCAGCACTCACGGGGCAGAAACTGGACAAGAAAGCAGGCGATATGTGCAGGGAACGTGAAGAGGAGAGAAAGGCTGAGGAGGAAGAAGAAGGCCGAGTTGACACTGGGGTCGTGCGCCAAGGGCGGTCTCTCCACGCGGGTCTTCTGGACCTGCCGTGGCTGCCACCCGGTGAGTGCGAGGTATGTATTACCAACAGTATTCTGTTTACTGGGTCTACGGCTCTCCAGTTACTACTCTCGAAGAGACTTGACGATATAGTCTCAACTGCTCGTATGCGCTGCGTCCAGTCTCCCGCACGCCCCCGTGCAATTCGAGACGATCGGTCTCTTCACTGACGGACGAATCAGCAGCTGCTTATTCGGGCCTCGGCGCATATGAAGTTGTGTCCCCAGCGGAAGACGGCGAGGTTGTATATCCATCCTCCGCGTAGTAAACATCGGCCCTGAGCCCAATGCACCACACTACCCGACCCTCTACCCCGTAATTGATGTAATTGATGTACCTCTGGGGTAATGGGAATACCCAGGAAGATCGGGTTCAGATTGAATGCGCCTATGAGAGCGGTGGCAATCGTCAGACCCGCATAGCCGGTCCCTCGGGTATTGCCCTGCCCGGGTAGTGCGATCGGCCTGTTGACAGCGCGGAATGCATGGAATTGGGCCCGTCGACCAACCGCAATGATTTGGCCTGCTGTGATCATCCGAGAGACCACCCGTAGGACTAGCAGAGAAGTAACTACTAGGCAGAAGAAAGCCAAAGTCGTCATGGTAATGGTATAATTGGTGTATATACCCGGACCGGTGCTAGATGGGGTCTCGCAGGTCGCAGTTTCTATCCAAATCGTGGCTATCGTGACATGCATAAAAGTAACGAAAGCATCAGGAAAAAGCGAAAAAAAACTCGAAAAGCAGAGAAAATCACGCTCATTTCGCTGGGACTCGCTCATAAAAAACAATGTATGCCTGCTCGTTCTGAAGCCGGTCGCGCGCCCGCAGATCGCGCGGGTTGAAGTCAGTCGCCCGCTCGTCGTCGAATCGTCGCCAACACTGCCGCTCCGCGTCACGCACCAACGAGATGTAATGACCACTGCCCATGGACGACCCAATGTGTCGTAGCACGGCAAATGAATCATAGGTGAACGGAGGGACCGTCGGATCCATAGAGGGAGCCGCCGCGGGGTCTGGCACCTGTGCCGGGTTGCGGATCAGGAACTCATCCATCCGTAAGCCGTGGAGAGGAAACTCGATCGGAGTGTGAATCTTGCGCGCACTCTGTGTCTTGGAGGCTGAAAAGCGTTTGAAGTGGACGACCAGAATCTGCGGGGCCCGTGTGATAAAGATCTGCTTCGTCGCCATGCGCTTGCATTTGCAATGTGGGCATTTCCAAACCTCATCGCCGCTCAGCATTTCTTCCTTGCAATAGCTCCGGAGACACTGATAGATATCTGCACTACCCGTTGGTGGAATCTCAACGCTGATACTGTAGAAGGCCTCGTAGGTGGTTGACGTCTGGTGGCAAGTCGTGCAGCGGAGCCGACTGGCATGCTGCCCAGCAAAGAGGGACGATATGAATGACTCCTCTCGATGGCAGTACCGATCCCATTCAATACGGGATACTTTTTGCACAGGCATGCGCTCGCGCTGCATCTCCTCGGCAATCGTCAGGGGTCGCAGTGGGTTCCGTTGCCAGTTCACATTCAGATCTTCGTGAAGACAGTCTACCACAAAATCAAAGAATTCCTTGGCGTCTTGTTGACGATCGATGGCCCATTCTCGGTTCAACCGTCCACAGAGGTTCCGGAAAGAACTCGGCATGATAACTTCCACATCATTCTTCCATAGAGACCGGATGAGATTGGCATAGAATCCGGGCATCACACCCTGTGACCCTTTCCAATTCTTTTGCACATAGTATCGGAACCGGTTGTCAATGAAGAACTTGCTCATCATTACAGTTGCACTCAGACACTGAAGCGTAGAGTTCATGTAACAGGTAACACCAAAATTTGTCAGCCCCGTTCTCGGAAGTTTAAGACGACTGAGAAGCGAGTTCGATGTATACAAAGCGGTGCGGGTCGCGGAGTTCTGTCGCTCCAGATGGGGCTGAATCTGTCGACCATCCGATACACCACTGTAGCTGGGGCGAGGAACTGCCGGGGGTGGTCGTGACGGAGCTGTGGGCACAGGAGAAGGGAAACTTGGCATTCGCATTGGAAGAGGAGCTGGCTTGGACTCGGGTCGTGTCATTGACTGCTGGACATGGTGTGGTTCAGGGAAACGACGAAGGAAGTCCTCGTAGTTGTGAACAAATGGTGTCAAAGGTTCTGCAACACCCGGCTCCTCTAGGGGCTCTTCCGTCGGCGGCTCCTCTTCGAGATAGTGACTGGTGTCAATCTCTTCGTTTTTGGACCTTTCCATCCATGCCGACAATTCTTCCGAGTTGAGCGGAGTGAACTCGCGAAGTCTTCTCTTGCGAACCTCCAAGCTTGAATTGGCACTAGCCATAGTTGGCACGCGGCCCAAAGGTCTACCAGGCTTGGCAACAGGCCGCTTGCTCTGGAGCGATCCCATTACAGTAGCAGTGGATGATGTGGCCAGCGATTGCTGTCCAATAAGGTCAATCCATGCGTCCAGTCCTCCAATCAGGAGCGCTGGAGGACGCCCACTCCTTAGCGGTTTATACTCATTAAATTCATAAAGGGTGTCGTAAAGAGCTCGCAGATGTGGTGCTGTGGTCCCGGCGGGCGAGCCTACCAGATAACTGACCGACTCCGTATTTTGATCATAATAAACGACCAAATCAAACTCATTCCGTCGCTCGAACAAACCCTGCTCATGTTCTGGCGACACAACGAGCCGTTCTTCGAGCTCTTCCGCGGATACATTCTCTTTCAGAACCACTGGCTCGATACAAATGATGGACTTAGCGTATATGTGGCCATTGTCGTACTGGTCTCGAGACCGGACGTCGACCAGTAATACATTGAATCTTCGAAGATATTCCAAGAGATCTTGGGCCGAGATAGCAGGGGAATGGGGTAAATCGGGCGAGTTGCTTCGCGTTTCGCGCGCTGAGTGGACGCCATTCGGCGTTCGTGATCTATACGGGCTTTGGTCGGACCCGCGACTCGGGCTACCGCGAGGAGAGTTTGTGAATTGCGAGTAGCGTTGGTTGAACGATCTCGTGCCTTCAGTAGAAGTTCGTGGAGGGTTTGGTGGAGGCTGTGACGGAACAGTGTAGAGCGGGCTGTAGGTGGGGTCGGGTGCACGTGGAAGGGATGTCGTCGTGAGAGGAAGCTTGGGTGGAACAGCCGGGACATGAGTTGAGGACCCCATGCTTCGTGGACCAAGAGGGCGACGAGGTGGAGATCCATAGTTAGCCGGAGGAGCGTTGGAGGTAGATGCGGAAACCTGACCTGCAGGCACCGAGGGAGCAGAGGTGGGGTGCACGTTGTCGCCATGCTCATTGTCGCGCGTCTGAGAAGTCTTGAGCCTCGCAAACCGCTGGGCCAGCATATCTTCTGCAGGGCTCGAGAATCTCTTCGGCTGTGCCTGGGAATCGGGGGTTCGCTGAAATTGTGTCGGGCTGGGCATTCTCACAGAGTCCGCGTCAGAATTGCGATTCTCACGGCCCCGTGGAGTGGTCGGTGTCTGTGTGTTGAAGGGGGGTGCTGTATAAGACCCAGTTGGTTGTACATTGCTCCGAAGATTGTCCTCGATAATTTCTTGCTTGATCGCGTCCATCGTGCCCTGTTTGGTGCGCACCGCCTATCCGGAAAGCGCTTCGTCAGCGATTGTGGGCATAAGGATTGGGTAAAGAACGTCGATGGGCGACAGGGATAGTACCCTGGACCTATGCGACGTCAAGGCGATTGGTAGACAATAGAGAACTTACCATCATCAGACCCGCGAATTCCTTATGCCATCCAGGATGTGGGATAGTAGCGGTCCGATAGTTGGGGTGGTGCGGGATGGTATTGACGGTGATTTCCGAGGCACGGAGGTATTGCACGTAAGCCTTGTCGGGCTCACTGTCTGCGAGTTCCTTAGCCCGGACGATTGCTTCGGAGGCGGTTTCAAGGAGGACTTCGAGCTGTGGATCAGGTGAGCGAGTGTCCCCGCCGGCTGCGGAGGTTCCCCATAGGTACTTACTGGCGTGTTCTCGTTCACATTCAACCAAGCAGCCTGGTCTTGCAGGTCTTTGATATTGGGGAATCTCGGTCGGGGGCTTGGAAGAGTGCTATTCTGATAAGAGCTCGGTCTGGTGACCTGGCCGTTGGAATGCATGTTGCCCCCACCGCGTAAGGACGCCTTTCGTCCTTCCACGGTGGTATGTCCGGTGGAGAGGGGAGAGCCGCCGCATCGGTGGGCATGGTCAAGGCGGCAAAGATGTGAAGTCTCAGCGCATGTTTCAAGCGGAACAAGAGACGGCGTCCTAGGCAACAGAGAAAACGAACGACAAACAGGACAGGTAGAAGGATATCCAGGAACCGGCGCGGGTCTGGGGTAAGGCAATGACAATACGCCACTCACCGCCCCCGCCGATGACGCTGCCCGGTGGAGCTTAGTCACGGCGGGCTGCCTGGAGCAACTTGAGCTCCTCATCCTTGTCTCAAAGTTGCTTGACAAGTCCCAGCACGCGTCTTGTCATCGCTTTACTTCTTTATCCAAAGCTGCGCGCATACTCCGCGTGTTCCTGCCTCCAACCATGGCAGGCTGGTTCTCCTCAGCATCGCCCCTCGATGAGCAGATCGAGCGGGCGACGTCGTCCTCTCTGTACGTGGTCATCGAGACTTGCCATTCCTTCTGCCTCAGGGATCGGAGCCCTTGCTATGGATTCGGTTTGTCTTGAAGCTCAGGTGACTGACTAATATGCAGGGAAGATATTGCCCTCAACCTCGAGATCTCCGATATGGTGCGGTCCAAGAGTGTCCAACCCAAGGATGCCATGAGATCGCTCAAACGCCGATTGGAAAACCGTAATCCCAATATTCAGCTGGCAACATTGAAGGTTAGTTGTTTCTATGATAGCTAGGAATGTTCGTTCAAACTCAAATATTGATCAACCTCTTGGCTTTCAGCTCACAGATACGTGTGTCAAAAACGGCGGCACTCACTTTCTGGCCGAGATAGCCTCCCGCGAATTTATGGACAACTTGGTCTCATTGATGAAGGCAGAAGGAGCTCCTCTCAACCCAGATGTTCAGCGAAAAGCTCTGGAGCTCATACAGGACTGGGCTATGGCGGCTCAGGGCCGGATGGACTTGATGTATCTGGGGGAAACATATCGCAAGCTGCAGAATGAGGGGTTCCACTTCCCCCCGAAGACAGAGTTGAGTGGAAGTATGCTGGAAAGCAATGCTGTACGTTTGCTTTGTCCCCAAGCTGCCGACGCAGGTCCGTGTGAGATACTAACGCCCCGGGTCAGCCACCAGAATGGATCGACTCGGATGTCTGCATGCGATGCCGTACGGCCTTCAGCTTTATGAACAGAAAACACCATTGCCGCAATTGTGGAAACGTATTCGATGCCCAATGCTCCAGCAAAGTCATCCCGCTACCCCACCTTGGAATCTTGCAGCCTGTCCGAGTCGACGATGGGTGCTATACCAAGCTTACTTCGAAGGCATTCACACCGGCGGGTCTATCGGATCGATCGGCATTCAAGAATAACTCCATTACTAAGTCCAGCGCCATGGAACCCCGCGGCGCAAAGGCAGACACTAGCTTTGACGATGACCTCCGTCGGGCTTTGCAGATGAGTCTCGATGAGGCGGAAGGGCGAGGTCCATCAGGATACGTAACTCAGACAGGGAATGTCCCAGAGTCAGCCCAGGCAGGCCAGGGGCCTGCGAACGTGGAGGAGGAAGATGCAGATCTCAAGGCCGCGATTGAAGCATCACTGCGAGACATGGAGGAGCACAAGCAAAAACATGCGGCTGCATTGAAAAGCAACACACAGTCCGATTATTCCCTGCGCGATTCTTCGAGCACCCCGACCCCGGCCTCCAAGAACCCCTATGAGCTCAGCGCTGTCGAAGCGGAAAACATCCACCTCTTTTCAACCCTGGTCGATAGACTGCAACACCAGCCACCAGGAACAATCCTGAGAGAGCCTCAAATCCAAGAGCTTTACGAGAGTATTGGGACGCTTCGCCCCAAACTTGCTCGCAGTTATGGAGAAACCATGAGCAAACATGATACCCTGCTTGATCTTCATTCCAAATTGTCTACTGTCGTCCGCTATTATGACCGAATGCTTGAAGAACGACTCTCAAGTGCCTACTCTCAACAAACCCTTGGTTATGGTGCTGTTCCTGGAGCGGCTCAGTATCCCAACATAACCGGCTTTCCCTCTCAAGGCCCCGAGGTGAAGTCTGGGGCAGAGAACTTTTATTATGGAAATCCACCTGATGCATCCCGTCCGCCGCCTACGGCGTATGTGGCGCCACCTGCCAATGTTAGTGGGTATGAAGCCGGCCCTCCAGGTGCGACTAGCCCTTCGTACCCGCCGCAATCGCAACGCGGGCCGCCTGGAGTTGATACTCCAACCAACGCATGGGGTCAGAACCCTTATCCATCATTGGCATCGCCTCCACCCACCACCCATGAAGTCGCTCCTTCGGGTTTCGGTGGCCCTGCACATTACTATGCTCCCCGGCCAGAACAAGAACACCAGTTCTCCGAGCCTCCATATCAACCGTCGCCTGTCATGCGGCGAGATTCACAATATCTCCCCAACGCACCAGCGCCGCAATCTCCTGAAAACGTGCACTCGCCGACATACTCTACAGTGCCACCAAGTGCGCCGGCGGCTGTGCCTTCCCAGCAGCCGAGCGGGCCTCCGTCTCAATCCTACTATTATCAGCCGCAGCAGTCAAGCACTGTGCCATCTGCCTACCCGCAGGTCCCGACTGGCCAACCGGGACAATACCCGGAGGCTGGTCAGGCGCAACAACCCGCCCGACCAGTGGAAGAGAGCTTGATCGAGCTGTAGCGTACATGCATTGTTCTCCCAGGCGTTCTATCACTTGCTTGAGATCTCTAGTTTTTTTCTCACTCGTATGTACTCAATGATACCTGAACGCTTTCCGCCCTTTTATTATTTTGCCAGCAAATTGTACGTAATGTATGGAATCGTAAGGTAGCTCGAACGCGGGTTGTTGATCGCGTCCCCACCTTGAGGATAGGCCGTCCGACTGGACCACCGTTCGGGGGAATATTACCCGTGGGACCCCCCATCCGGCTACGGCGAGATCGCCTTCGAACTCGACTTTCAACCACCACCGACGTCGACCTCCATCGCCATCCCCCTTCGGCTCTCTTTTGCACCGTTGCACAACCCCGATGGATTCGATCGGGGCGGTGTAAGTCCCTGCCTACATTTAAACTATTGAGGCTTCGTTGCTTTTTCACCTGCACCCCCATCTGCGGTGATACCTCCTCGCTGCCTCGGCCAATCCGCTTCGATACCCCCGTGAGCTTTTGCCGCCATGCCTAACAACACCTCTTCCCCCGTCAAGCGCCCCGGTCTTGGCCGTCGAGCGGTCTCCTCGCATGCGGTGGTCACGCGAACCAGTTCCGGCAACGAGCTGTCCGAGTCGCACACCAACAAAGCCCCAGTGCACAATAAACCACATCGCGCCCATGTCGTGGGGGGTCACCGCAATCACCACCACCATCACCACCGCAACCCCTCGTTCGGGAAGAATCTAAGCAAATTCAAGCTATTCCAACTCGCCCCCGAAACCACCGGTCGGAATCACCACCGCAAGAAATCCGCCCCCGCAACTCCCGTGGGCAGCCCCGGCAAAAGTTCTGGGCATGTGCGCTGGGACGGTGCGCTGGAGGATCACCCGAAGAACCACTCGATGAAGAGGAATAACTCCACCCCCGTACTGCGACGGAACGCCTCTGCTGTGGGAAAGAGAGCTCTTATTACGACTGAGCGACCGCATTCGAGCGCCGGAAAGAAGAAGACGGTTGGATTTGAGCTGGGTGATGATGAGAACGACGACGCCGATTGGGAAGATACAACGCAATCCCCTGAAAGTACGAGGCGCAACTCTGTCGCGCCCTCCAACCCCAGTCTTGACAACACCACTCAGGTCCTGGTTGACCCTCTCACCTTTGTGAAGCGCCCATACCCGCAAATACCTCGTGCTACGAGTCTACCAGACTCCATCACCAACAAGTTCGTTCGCGACAACCCCGATCCCGAAGAGTACGAAGACGAGGAAGACCAGGACAATAAGCAGGAGCTTGACCAGTCGACAGACCAGGGCGACATCGCCAACCGGTTGTTGAGTCCCTCCCACTCCGCAAGAGCTCCTCCTGCCATGTCTTCCATTTCTGCGATGGCCAAGCCGTCGGCCGCAGATGTCTCGTCGCGCAGTGCCTCTGTAAACCTAGCTGGTCAGGAGTGTACCCGGCGGACCTTCTCCACATCCAACCTTGGGTTGGCCAATATACCTGGAAGTCAACCCCAGGCCACTTCCTCTTCGATGGAAGGCGGCGTCTCCAGATTCATCGTTAGCAACAAGAACGCCAACCAAGCATCATTCTCCCGCACCGACTCCGATCCCAATACCCCGTCGTCATTTCTACCCCACTACCATCCGCAAACACCTCCGTCTCCGAACCGAGGCGCAGGAAAGGCAGCAGCTTCTCCGGCACGACCTCTGGGTTCTGATCTGCCTTCACGAACCCAGCAGAAGCTTTGGCTTCAGCGTACAGCCACTCTCAACGATTCGCCGCCTGACAATCATGGCGTACCAAAATCTGCAACATCCTCCACCATGGATCCCGCATTCAATGCGGTGTCCCAGGCGCGCCCTGGAACAGTTACATTCGATACCAGCAGAAACATGAATGGCGGTGTCCGAACCGGAGCTTCTGGTCACGACACCGAATCACGACACACTCGCAAGGCGTATGAGAAGGTCTCCTTGGAACTGACCGTGGTGCGGCGGTTCCAATCACCCACGGGAGATAGCTTCAACCGACTCCGTGCCCTCGCCCGTGCATCCAAGGCTCGCGTGATCAGTGAAGAACCGGCCTCTGCAATGGGTAAGCCCGTCAAGTCGGCCCCTTCGCTGCCCCTTCTCCAGCACGGCAAACACCCCAGCCGGCTAGGATCTAGCTCCGAGTCGAAATCGCAGGTGCCTGACCAACATTCCTCCACCTCGGAGGATCTGGCCACCCAAAGCGAATCTACGGACGCCATCCAGGCAGCCAAGTCTTCTCACCCCTCCCACCGCATCCTCTCGACCTCCGATGATGCTACGCATGGGCTGACGGGGGACCAAGATCCAGAGGACTATCCACCGGTGAACCAGACTGATATGATGATCCGCCGCATGTGGGAGAGTCGAGAGGTGGCCACTTCAGGTTGATGAGCAGCCATAAGCATTCTACTTATTATGTTGATGACAATTCGCGAATTGCAATTCCCGGGGCACTGGCATTTTGATATTCATATTCTGGGCGTTCTGCACATCTTTCACGGACATAGCTGTTTACTACGTGTTTAATTGTAATTGCAACCTTCCGCATTCCTACAGTACCCTACTAGTAGGGTATACTAGTAGGGTATACTCCTGCTGTTTCCTGCTTGGCACTCGGCAGGCTCGCCTTCCGGGGGATCTGCCGTGGCGTGACCAACCAACCCGCAGATGAGTAATGCCGATTATCCTCCCACTGATTTGATCCCCACCAACTAAGTATATCTGCCCATTTTATCTACTGCAAGGCCTCTGTTGCTTCGTTGTCTTGTTCTGAAAAAGCGTCATGGAGGTCCTTCGTCCGCTCATCGTCGGCCAGATCGCTTGCATTACTTGCTATGTCCTCCTCATCGGCTTTGTTTCTGTTGTGCTAAACGTCCTTCACCAGCTTCTCTTGTACAATCGCAATGAGCCTCCTGTCGTCTTTCATTGGTTTCCTATACTGGGAAGTACCATAACATACGGCATGGACCCTTACAATTTCTTCTTCGAGTGTCGAGAGAAGGTATATATATCGGATGATTACCCGGGAATCGAACGAAAGACCTGACAGTTGACGACTGAACAGTACGGAGACATTTTCACATTCATCCTGCTGGGCAAGAAGACTACTGTCTATCTGGGCACCGAAGGCAATGAATTCATTCTCAACGGGAAGCTCAAGGATGTCAATGCCGAAGAAGTCTACGGCAAACTCACCACACCTGTCTTTGGGTCTGATGTGGTTTATGATTGTCCCAACTCCAAACTGATGGAACAAAAGAAGGTATGCATCACTACGTGACACTTGTGTTTGTGAATATATTTGACACTAACCCGGTCATGTTTACTAGTTCATCAAGTTCGGCCTCAGCCAGACAGCCCTAGAATCCTACGTCCCCCTTATCACAGAAGAAGTCAACCAATACATCAAGCTCTCTGGCAAATTCAAGGGCAAAACAGGCATCATCGATCTATCTGTCGCCATGGCGGAAATTACCATCTTCACAGCCGGTCGTACATTGCAAGGCGATGAAGTGCGTGGAAAGCTCACCTCGGAGTTCGCCAGCCTCTACCACGACCTGGATCTGGGATTCCGCCCCATCAACTTCATGCTGCCCTGGGCACCTCTCCCACACAATCGCCGACGGGATAATGCCCACGCTCGTATGCGAGAAATTTACCTCGATATTATCCAAACCCGTCGGAAGTCAACAAAATCCGAAGCCGACCAAACACAAGACATGATCTGGAACCTGATGCACTGCGTCTACCGTGATGGAACTCCGATTCCAGACAAGGAAATTGCGCATATGATGATTACCCTCCTCATGGCAGGGCAGCATCAATCGTCTTCGATCAGCTGCTGGATCTTCCTCCGTCTCGCCTCGCAGCCTGAAATGACAGAGAAACTCTACCAAGAGCAGCTGTCTGCTTTCGGCACTGAGCTTCCGCCGTTGACATACAAAGATCTAGACAAACTCCCTCTTCATCAGAACGTTATTAAAGAAACCCTGCGAATCCACAACTCCATCCACACTCTCATGCGCAAGGTCAAGAACCCTCTTCTAGTTCCGGGTACCCGATACGTGATTCCGACCAGCCACACCCTCCTTGCCTCGCCGGGCGTGACAACTCGCGACGACAAACACTTCCGCAGCGCGATGACCTGGGACCCGCATCGATGGGAGACGCGCGTCGAAGTCGAGGATGATGGCGAGACTATTGACTACGGCTATGGCGTCGTCTCGAAGGGAACAAAGAGTCCCTATCTTCCCTTCGGAGCTGGTCGTCATCGGTGCATCGGAGAGAAATTCGCGTATTTGAACCTGACTGTTATTGTTGCGACGCTCGTGCGGAACTTTCGATTTTTCAATCCCGAAGACAGAGAAGGGGTTCCTGAGACGGATTATTCGGTATGTTGTCGTCGACGTCGTTGATTGGGTTTATGTTATGGTCCTTTACTAATTCGTTTATTTAGTCGCTCTTTTCTCGTCCCATGAAGCCTGCGACTGTTCGGTGGGAGCGACGCGGGGAGTGAGGTCCTACTTTTTGAGATAAAACTCTTGAGATGTAGAAGGCAAATTGGATTGTTGGAGTCTATTAAGGTGATCATTTATGGATTGTTCGGGTTCTGGCTTTCTAAAAGTATTTTACTCGTGGCATTTTCATCGTTGGTATCTTATCAACGCCATTAGTGCTCGCTCGTAATATATACAGTAAACGGGATCGATTGGATTCTTTAATGCTGGAGCCTGGAATGCACTTGATTCTCATCAAATATTACTCGAGCAATACAAGCATGAACTGCTTGTCTTGTGCAAAAGCTCCTGGACAAGAGAGGTTATATGGCCTGAGAAAACATCCTGAAAATAGGCGACAAGCAGATCTACACTTTGTAGAAGATCAGATATCAGCAAATCGCGCACTGCATGGGTCAGAAGGTCATGCCATATAATATTGGATTGGATATGCATAGTTTGATTACCCAAATGCCGTAGTTGATTATCCCAGACGTGTCACGTTATCGACCGTAATGATATGAGTTTGGTATCCAAAAAGCATTAAAACGAAAACGTATAGACAGTTACTACAAAAGTCTATCCTCCCACTACCACCCTCTCCCCACCAAAAAAAGAAAAAGAAAAAGAAATGTACTCTACTTCTTCGTCAAGCGGAGTTCCCAATATGAGCTACTACTGATTTCCCCGATCACGTCCTCGGCCGCGCTGATGTCCACCACGACGAGAATTCTTAACCCCGGCATGATTCCCAGCCTGGGTTTCTTGAGCCTGTGAAGACCCATGGCCATTCACGTTCCTTTTCGGGGTAGCTTGCGGTTGAGGCTGCTTTTGGCCCTCGGAATTGGCCTCTGGTGTGGTACTCTTATTACCCCGACGCTTGCGTGAACTGTTATAAGTACCTGACTCCTTTCCGCCACGTCCAGCTCTGCTGCCACCACGCTGCCTTTGCTTTTTTTGAGACTGTTCAGGATCAAGAAGGCCCTGCACACGTTTACTCTCTTGATCCCACCATGCCTGGAACTCCTGCTCGGCTTGGATTTCTTGCAAATTGTGCTTGGCCATGGCTGCTTCTCGGATCTCGTCTTTCTCTATTTGTTGCTGGTGCAAGATACTGGCCAGAGAGAAGGAGTTTCCGGATGGAGAGCGGGATGCTGAGTGTGGATCGGAGCGTGGAATGTGCCGGATTGACTGAATGGGAGGTTGTGGGGAGAGCTTTGGGAGGGAATCCTGTGAGGAGAACGAGTTTTTGGAGAGTGAAGATTGTATGTTCCCAGAAATACTGTGATTTTGTGATTGCACTGGTGTGGCAACTGGCTTTGAGCGAGGGATAGGTGTCCCAGCTACGGTCTGGCGCATGGTCATCGCGGGCTTTTGAACAGATTTTGACCCAGAAGCTGGAGTGGACGGTGCACTTTGACCAGGAAGCGGATCTTTGCCAGGAGTTGACGGTGTAGCTGGTGGTGGCAACTGCCATGGATTTCGCGATGCCTCCTTGGCCTTTTCCTCGGCAGCAAGCTTCTCCTGAATTTGCTGTTGCTGTTGTTGCTTCTTTCGCTCCTTTTGGGAAATCTTCTGCGTAAAGTTGCCAATACTCTCGCGCCGTCCAGCAGCCATGCCCAATGTCAAATTGGACACTCGAGATTGAGAAGTTTCGCCCATGATATCTTTGAGGTCCTTCTTACTGCTCGGAATTACAGGTGAGCCCCATGGTGCTGAAGATTCGGGAGGTGATCCAAGGGAGGGCTTTTGATGAAGTGCAATGGCCCGAGACTCGGTTGGAGACTCAGACAAGATGGCATCGCGTGTGGAGGACATTTGGGCGTCCAGGAAACTCTTCTCCTCAATCGACTGGGGTATGCTTGCCCCCAGCGCGGGAGAGTCGGGGTATGAACTTTCCCCTGGTCTCATACTCCGCATTGCAGCTTTACCCTTGATGAAATCACCAGGTGACAAGGCTGCCTCCTCATCCATTTGGAACATGAGGTCGCCGGTAGACTGCCTTGGCTTCAGCATAGGGCTAGCAGCCGAGCTATGAAGCTCCCGAGGCGTACTGGCCTTTGTCTTTCGAGAAGATACAGGTGTCTTGTCGTTTGCACCTTGTCGTGGCCGCACATCGTATGATTCCACCTGGCCGAGACGGGTTTGAAGTGCCATGGCATCGATGCGTCGTCTCTTGTCCCTATCAAGAGAGCTGACGATCTCCGGATATTTCTCAAAGACAAAGTCGTCGGAGTTACGCCCTCGGGAGATCGGATAGCAGGCCAGTTGATTTTCGTGACAGACCAGGTCAAGCTTCCGAAGCAGATCATCATCAAGGTCCAAATACTTATTTGCAAGCATAGTTTCGAGGTCGAGACAAATGTATTCCAGAGATGCCTCCTTGAGCTCGGACACGTAGATGGGAGCAACCGAATTGAGAAGGTAGGAAATATTGCGAGTGTTGACAAAACGACCAATCATCTTTTGACATATTTGTGACAGTCGATCGATCATCAATTCGTTGGCCACGTACGCGACATCCAGAAGCAAGTCGATGAAATCGTCAATTGTATTTACCCGAACTTGGTCAAACAATTGCTCGTCTGTGTCGGCATAGACATAGCGCAAGACAAAATCGAAAGTCGGGCGCTCGATATGTTGAAGGTCAACGTGTATCATTTCAGACGACCGACGAGAAGCGAGCCACCTGCCACCAGATAGGCCATGGAACAAGGTATCAAAAAATGGGCATCTTTGGCAGATCACCTGACTGTGTACTTTGACAGCATCTCCCTTCAGATCAACAACAACATCTGCATCGTCAAAGAACGTGTCGGATTTGATAGCATGAGCCATATCCGTTTTCAAGCTCCGTTGCGGCTCGACCATTAGTCTGGCTGCACGCTCCAGAGTTGGCAAGCCAAGATGTGTTGCAACCCGCATTACTTCGTTGCGAACCTGTCGGTAACGAGCCGCATTTGCAGGGGAGGTCTTCGCCAGATGCCAAACATCGAGTATGTCATCCGTGTACAGGAAGAACACGAGATTCATCGCAGTCAGGAAATCGGCTCCATGTAGTTTGATCTGAGTCTGTCCGTCCTTGCCGTATTCGATATCGAGAATTTCGGGTACAGTCGAATAATACGACTCTTGGAAATCATGAAGGGCCTTTCGAAGGACGGGGCTGCGACCCGTGAGAAGGAATTTGTGCACAGGAATGCGTGATTCAGAAGTAGACGTTGTGACCCAGACCATTCCAGCAGATTGCAGAGGCAGAAATTGGCTCTCCATATCCGATGAGAGTATAATAGCTCTTTTGATGACCGTTGCGGCGGAGAGCGGGACCGGATCATCTGTTGTATCCTGTGCTAGCATCGAATCGACATCTTCCAGGCCGGGAGTGATGAATGGTGAAAGAGGTAGCAGATCATCCCAAAGAGTACTCCGGCCGATGTGTACTTGTTCGCGAGTCACGTCGTAATCGCGCTGCGCCACAGCGTATGCTCCAAAGGCGTTGCTGCGGACAGCCACGGCCCGTGACAATCCTGGGATACGGGCAAACTTGTAATCCTTCGAGGATCCATCTTTGCGCTTCGTTCGCTTTTCTTTCCTCCATGCCGTTCCAGACGTGGTGCAAATGATGATGGACCCATCTTGGCCGACATCAACATCACTGGCAGCCATATGTGACCTTTTCACAGACCAAGCTCTCACGGGGGAGTCAATGAGTTGCGAATCTTCGCTGGGTTGGTGGTAGATGTTGAGGTAGAAGAGTTCTCTGGCTTGCTGACCTCAACAGTGAAAATCTCACCAGAACTCGACAAGGCACAGATCGTATTGCCTCCACTCGCGATCTTGACGACATGGTTAGTTGAATGATCATATCTTGTCGCCATGAAGCTGTCTCGGATGAAGCTCGAGCTGGCTTCCAACGGAAACGAGATCTTGGAGTATCCGTACTGCGAGAAAACCCAAACTTCATGACTTTGCAGTAGGATAGCGGTCGCACGATCGATAGCGGAAACCGCCTTGATGGGGCACTGGAATAAGGAAGCGCCGACACGACGAGGCGTTGTTTGAACTTCGAGTGACCTCGCGTCCGAGTCGACGAGTCCTAACTGGCCCTCGTTCTTGCCAAACGTATAAAGGCCCGAGTCACTGAAGACCACTGAGTGGATCGCCGAGGCTGCGGCGCCCATTATCTTTTCTCTTTTGAAGGTATTGAAGATCTGCCGAGGGGTAGTTTGGATAGGGACATCATTTCGGTTGCTTGTCCGAGGCAGACTGTAGCCCAGCTGACCGAATGTGTTGCTTCCCCAGCTGAAGATCTCACCCGTATCGGTGATGGCAAGACTGTGGTCTTGGCCGAGAGCGACTGACACAACAGCTTTGCCAGCCAAACCACCTGTCTCGATACAAACGAAGCCAAACCTGGTAGACTCGTCTCCAGTTCCCAGGCGGCCACCGGGCCCGAAACCACACATAAACAGGTTTGCTTCCGGGTCGTTCGTGATGATGGCGGTATGCAGCTTCGACATGACCACGTTTCGGTACTTCATCGGCTTGTTCTTAATGAGGGTCGGCAGTTCATCTGAAGAATCTTGATCGATCAGGTCTTGGAGACCGAAGCGTTCCATGCGTTCTTCATACTCGTGATAGAAGCGGTTCAATAGATGACCGGGTCGCTCGAGAGTGATCCGTTCCGGGAATTGTCGGTCGTCTTGGTCTCCCAGCCCAAGATTCAAGTTCTTGTTGCTGCCGAGTGTAAAGATCTCGTCCGCAGAGAAATCCGCGCCAATGTTCTTCGCGGAGCCGTCCCCAAGTGATCCATCTTCATCCTCATCCTCATTGTTCGATGCCGCGTTGGATGCCGTGTCGTCGACGTCGTCGGGGAGCCTGGAGCCAGGCCAGCGTGCCGAAGACCTGGAGAGGATCTGCTTAATGTCTCGGGAAGTGATGGTCGCACCATAGACGTCGAATGGCGAATATCCCTCGCGGTCTTTGATCTTGATCAGACTTCCGGTCTGACCGTGGCCAGATTTGCTGTTTCCCAGTCGTGTGAAATCCGTCTCGTTGTCGCGGATCATCAACGCTCTCGCGATTGAGGCATTCCCGGCGTATAATGCTCGGTGCAAAGCAGTCCACCCGCTTTCCCAGTCCTGCGCGTAGATGTCGATCAACGGATAGGCGTTGAGGAGTGTGTGTGCGAAGGTTGTGGCGGTAGGTTTCGGCGACGAAGCAACATGGTGTAGCAGCGTCCTACCGTGGTGATCGCGGGCATTCACATCCGGTCGCGGCCCTTTCGGGTCCGGCGTTGCGAGGAGCCGCTGGAAGCTCTCGACATCATCTTGGATGAAATACTCCCAAAGCTTGCTCATGTGTGCCCGGAAGCCGCGCGTGGCGATGACCGGGGACGAAAGGTGTCCCGAGTGGACGGGGGATTCGGGTGGTCGATGGCCGGGGGTGGCGTGCGAGTTATCGAGGCGGTTATGAGGAAGATGAACCGTTGCAAATGCCGTTAGAGAGGACTATGGACGAGAATGATGAACGGACGCGATCGCGGGGGATTTGAGGGTCAGCGCGGCTTTTCTTATCAGCCTCCGTCATGTTCCTGTGGAACCGAAAACCCACCAATCACACCCGGCAGGTCCGTCCATGCGCCGATGAAAGGCGATCGACTGGACTGCCTTTTTTGGTCCTTTTCGCTATGTCGAACAGGTCCCGCGTCTTTCCCCGTCAGATGCTAACGTCACATCCTCGCCCCGGTCAGAGTGCCCGGCAAACTCGGGATCCATGACGATGGACCCTCGAAATACATCAGTGTGGGCAATAATTTCATAATCGAAGATTCCTAGCTCGTATTTCGCCAGCGAGTGAACTCGGAGTGATGATTGCAAACATGTTTGGTATAAACAAAATTCAAAGTTGGCGCGCCACTTCTCGGCGGTCCATGATGCACGTGGTAGAGAGAATGCATTCCTCAGGATGGTCAAAATACGGGAGGTAATTAGCTAATTAACTAACTGAGGGACCCAGTGCAAGGTAAGCTAGCAGAAGTGCGGGGAAGGTGCTACTGCATGCACGTGCATACCAGAAGTATACGGCCAATGATACTGGGCAGAATAGATGAACTATATGTTCCGTTCCTGTACGTTGAGAAGCTATTACTGTTACCAGATTACTCTCCTTCCTTGGGTATAGTTTTCGAAGCGGATTCACCAGCTTTGGAATCTGCTCCATCACCAATAATGATTGTCTCCCCGTCCTCGTCGCTGTGTTCCTGGCTATCACGGGCTGAGCGCTTTCGTTGGTCTCTTTGTCGAGTATTAGCGGTGATCGGCAAGAGTAAGATTGCTATTCTTATAAAGTCGCAACATACCGTCGGTGGATCAGAATGGCCGAGATAAAACCGGCCCAAAGGAGGAAATAGAACACAAAGGTGACAGGCCACCCTTTTCTCCACCGTGGTGCACCGTCTGGTCCGGCAGTTGGGAAAAGCAGGAGTGGAACCCAGATTTGAAAAGAATAGCCAAAGGTCATCATCGAGCCCTGTTTAATGATGAAGTCAGTCTTCCAGTCATCATTGAGTGCACAGCTACTGGTATTCCAGATGTTGTCTCAGGTCAAATCGAATGGGATCAATGCCACGTGGCAGGGCTTAGTCTGAAGTATAAAGCCAGGATGAGAGACATACCATAATGAGGGCCCGCTCCTCAGAATCACCTCGGACAATCGTGTTCACCGTCGAATACAGAATGGGACTTAAGCAGCTTGAAATTCCGAAAAGATACCACGCGAAAAATCTGGAAAATATGATTAGTGTTTGAACATGAGAAAGGCAAAAGGTACATAAGATCACTTTTGATGGGTAACTTACTTCAATGCGGGCGGAATATTCCAAATAATCATGCAAAGCGTCGAGAAAAGAACGCAGATAGACGCCAGAGTGTAGATGAGCCATGCTGGGTATATAGCTGCAATTGTCGACCCAAGCCAAGAAGCAACGATCTGGATGGCATAGATCACAGTTGGAAGTTGGTTAATCTTGGTGACCGAATATCCTTCTGCTTTCAACCACAGGTTCATGTATGACGAAGGGTAGGAGGAAATGATCATGCACCTGTAGAAACAAGATGTCAAATTTTATTTCCTGCAGCAGTCTTGAGTTGGTGTTCACTCACGCATAACATAGAACGAAAACCCAAATATGCCACCGCTTCAAAGATCGCCCGAGCACATCGAGATCAAGCTTGCCTGGTCGCCGAATCTTCGCTCTGGCAGCCCTCTCCTTCGCTAGCGAAATATCACTCTCGGACAAATAAAACGGACGGGGCGACTCTGCGATGCCAGGGAAAATCAAAAATCCAATAAGGGCCACGGGGATTGTGAATATGCCGTCAATGATGAACAGCCATCGCCAACCGGGCATCCCGCCGACACCAGACAGGTTAGTGTATGCCGCTGCCTGGAGATACCCGCTGACCATGCTTCCCAATGGATTGCAAATAAACCAAGCACCGGCTCGCTTGAACAGCTCAGGTCCAGAATACCAGGAACCTTCAGAAAATACCAGTCAGTATGCTTAATGGCGGGTATGAGCGTAAGTCCATCCAGATGTATTTACCCAGGATAAAATGGGTCCCCGCAAAGACAGGAGCTTCGAGCATTCCCACTAAGAATCGGAGAGCGTAGATCTGGTTGACATTTGTGACGCGGCTTTGGGCAAAGGTACAAATACCCCAGAGTATCTCTAGTGTCGGAAGTAGCCAGCGAGCTCTGCGGCCCAGGTCAGTCTCAAGTACTGCCACGAGAGAAAATGGCCCCGTCTATACTCACAGCTTTGGACGCGACATCAACAAAAGTCCGGGTACCTGAAACACCACATATGCCGTGAAATAGCAGACATTGAAGTAGTTGAGTTCGTTTCCGTAAAGACCGAAGTCTTCTTTCAGACCACTAACGTAGGCATTGCTAATATTGGTCTGATCTGTATAGACACAATCAACTGGTGAATTTGAAAGACTCCACTCGCTGAATTCTTACCCAAATATTTAACGAAGACTGCGACGGTCAGTAAATTTCTCTGGTTTCTTGGGGGATTGGAAAGGTACTCACAGCATAAGCAAGCGAAAATCAGAATTGACAAATCAAGCTTGAAAAGTAATCTGCAAATGTCAGCACTGTGCCTTCAATTGTCGATTGTACCGGCATTTCGCTGACTTTCGTTCCTCAGATGGATATTCCGACGGATACCAATTGACGATCTCCTTCAACCCCCGGGGCAGGGACGGTCCACCCGATTTGGGCTTTACCTCAGCCATGCCCCTTCTGATGAGTAAAAATATTCAGAGATTTGTTTTCGGAGAATATCTTAACCGGGGGGTGCAAGGGTTAGTGTCTGCAGCTGCATTTGTTTTAAATGTTCCGCATCCTGAGATCAGAGAAGAATTCAAAGACCCAGGCCCGTCGGTAGCTCTTTGTAAGTCCTCCAAACCCTGTCGCCATCGGAATCTGTCCGAGTAGTAGTAGCATCATTGTCCTTCGTCTCGAGGAGAAAGGCGCTGTGGCGGGAGAGCTAGGGATCTCACTGGCAGACGGATAGAATCATTTCTTCCAAGTTGTTGACTGCGACATGTCAACAGAGTATGGCGTGCCCGGCTCCTGCCTTAAGGCGGATGGTTTTTGCATCCGATGATTAGCCGGTATTGCACCTCTCATTCGATAAGAGATGACGTGCTTCAAGTACGTATGCTTTTGTTTGGTCTAGAAGTGCGGGGTTGGCATCGCTGCTGAATGGTGGTCTGGTCCTTATATGTGGTGCACATGCTGCCAGTGGAGTTGCCTGATTACTGGCGTATTGCTCACCACCACTTTGAAAATTTACTTGGCAATTTTAAGATACAGATACCGAAATCATGCCCGCAAGAATTATGGACAGCTATGATCATGTCCCAGTAACGAAAGAAGATTGTAAGATAGTCCCAAATCGCGACCAGTTCCTTTCATCCCATCGTCCTAACCAAAAAAGTGGACTGGGCCGAGCTCGTCACTCTCGACCTGAGCGAATATGAGCAACCCGGTGGTGAAAAGGCTTTAGTCGAGAAGCTCGAGCATGCTGTACGACATGTCGGTGAGTATTCTACCTCATCTTTTGCTTCGTTCCTTTTGCCCGATCACTATTAATCGCATTGGCGCCAAGGCTTTTTCTATGTCAGATCACTATTAATCGCATTGGCGCCAAGGCTTTTTCTATGTCAAGAACTTCAACATCAGCCAAGAAGAGGTTGACCGTCAATTTGCTCTGGGCCGAGAGTTCTATGCGTTGCCACTTGAGGAGAAGCTCAAGTATCACAACGCAGATGACCTCGTCCGAGGCGAGTATAACGGATACCGGCCGGCTGGGCATCGCATGTAGGTTCTCGAACAACGCGTTATTGGCCAATCAACGGTCAGCTAAAGATGGAACTATAGCCTTGGAAATGGCATCAAAGATAATGTACAGGTGTACAATATTCCCAAGTTTGATGGTCACCATCAGCGACAGCAACCCCCAATTCTCTCCGATCACATTGCCGAAATTGAGGCTTTCAGCCGCGTATGCGCCTAGCTTCTTGAATATTCAATTCTGTGTCAATTCACTAACTGTGTATTCCAGAAATGCCACACTGAAGTAGTGGAAAAGCTTCTCCACCTATTCGCCATTCTTCTTGAGCTCCCGGACCAGGACCAGCTGGTTCGCGATCATCAGTACGATGTTCGCGGAGAGGATCACTTGCGCTACATGCATTACGCCGCGCGCAGCGCCGAAGAGAACAAGAAAGTTGGGAGCCTGTATAGTCCAGGACATACCGACCTCGGCACTGTCACCCTTCTTTTCCGACAGCCCGTGGCCGCTCTGCAAATTCTCAGCTCCGAAGGCAACTGGAAGTGGGTGCGTCCTCAGGACGGGACCATCACCATCAATACCTGCGATGCCCTGACAGCACTGACGGGCGGTCTGATCAAATCGAGCATTCACCGTGTACATGCACCCCCCGTAGACCAAGCCCATGTCGATCGATTGGGCGTTCTATATTTTGCTCGGTGAGTCATAATGAAAACTGCTCCATCTTTGTGGCGCCAAAAAGCCATAGGTCATAGCTGATTTTTGAAATAGACCCAATAACCATGTTGTCCTGGACCCGATCCAGAATAGCCCACTGCTCAGCCGACTTGGATTGACGCAGAATGTTTTTACCGAGCTTGGTCAACACCTGACAACTGAGCAGTGGGTCAAGGTCCGACAGACTCAGCAGCAACGACGGAACCGGGATGTCAAGGTTTCGGATGACGGGAAGTATACTTACGGGGAAAAAGATCTCGAGATTCTCCCTGGCCTACAGGCTAAGATCTACAACTGAGCAGCGAAATATCTCATGGTAGAGACAATCTATGCGCGCTATCGCCCTTCGTCTCAACTGTTGCCATCCAAAATTTAAATAGACTTATGTAGCTGAAATTGGAAACTGTATAAGTTCACAACCGTATGATTTCGGAGCCTAACCCTGCACATTTCGGAGATGAGGATTGTTTGCATAAACTTTGACGTCTACCCATGGTTCCAAATAAATATAGTTCTTCCGACGAACATAATCTAGGCTCTCGGAGGCCATGTCTGCGAAGCGTGGGTTACTGAACAGGATTATTTTAACTTTGAAATGTGCAGCGAGGACCCTGTTGTCAATCAGGGGACCATCGGGACTATCATGCACAATATATTTATGCTGGGACGAACAGGTGATGCGGGGGCTGCCTCATACTGCGTATATTGGGTGAGCTATTAATCGCCATGTCAAATTTGCATAGGGCGACTGGATACCTCGAGTGGGCTTGTTTCTGAAAGAGTGGGGGTTCAACCGTTCTTCAAGGACGACCTCCAAATTAAAGCTTCGACTTCCTGTTCCTGAAACACAGCCCAGCGTGGAAGGTGTGCTCAATCTTGAGTGGTCCCAAAACGGTTAGCCTAAGCCCTAGCCAGCTAATCGATCAGCAAGGGATGGGAACTCACCATGGAATCAGAAAAAGCAAGCCAAGAAATACCGCATTCGCGCATCTGACAATATCACCTGTACCATCACTACAGCCTCATCGCAAATGACTCTGACTCCGACGGCCGTCTTCGGTCGCAGTCATCAAAAGCCCTAATGTCGATCTCTCGAAGGAGTAAACAAGGCGACAGCCTGGGGGTGCGGGGTCAGCGCCGATCGCCCAGGTTTTCGCCCAGGTTTTCCCCCGGCTCTTCCCCAGAACGCACGTAGACGAAGACAACCCAGGCACACAACCACCCGAGTGCTGTGAAACATGCCCCGGAGAAGCATTGTGCGCAGGGGCCTAAGATCATCATGGCCTGCATTGTCGAATCAGGCCCGCGCCCGCCGACGTATAGGGTCGTATAGAACGCCGTCAGGATGCAGGAACATCTCAGGGGGATGATGATCAACACTCGAAATTGGGCTGCCTCGGTAGAGTGTGGGGGATCACATTCACAGGAATCGCAGTGCGGTGGATATTTATCCTGATACCATCCGACTTTTTCTCACGGTGGGAATCATCCGCAGCCCTGACCATCTTCCTATACGCCTCAGCATGGTCTACTCCGCCGGCCCTTCGGTGCGCCGCATCATGTTAGCCCTCGGGGCCTTCATGCTGGCCATTGCTTCTGCCCGGCCTACCGTTGCCCGGACTAGCCCTCGACTTGCAACTCGGGCGCCAAAAGCCCCTAGTGATGATCCGTTCTATCAACCTCCTGTTGGGTTTGAGAACGAGGTCCCTGGGACCATCCTGCGACAGCGCAATGTCAGCGTGGCCTTCTTAGGACTAATCCCGGACCCGGTCGAGGCCTTCCAGCTCCTCTATCGGACGACTGCCATCAATGGATCGGCCATTGCGACAGTGACCACGATCTTCAAGCCGTCGTCGCCCAAGAAGGATCGATTCGTCTCCTTCCACACGGCCTATGACAGCTCCGCGACGATCTGCAACCCCAGTTACAACTACCAGCTCGGAGCGGCACAGACGGATATCATTTCCTCGGCAGAGCAATTGATCATCCAGGCGTACCTCTTGCTAGGCTATATTGTCGCGTCGCCTGACTATGAGGGGCCCGATGCGGCCTTCGGTCCGGGTCATCTGGAAGGCATGGGTGTGTTGGATAATATGCGTGCCGTAAGCAATTTCGGAGACCACCTTGATCTGACGAGCGACAACCCGATGATTGTCGGCACTGGTTACTCCGGCGGTGCCATTGCCACCGGTTGGGCTGCCTCCCTCCAGCCAAGTTATGCCCCTGAGTTGCACATCAAGGGCTGGGTGCAGGGCGGTACCCCCTCAAACCTGACGGGCACCCTGGTCTTCATCGACAACACGCTTTTCAGCGGATTTATTCCGGCGGCCGTCGTGGGTCTGGCGATGCCCAGTGCCTACGGAGCCGAATTGACGCCTGTCATCAACAAGGTGCTGACCTCCCATGGGCGGGAAGTGCTGCAGTCTGCGAAGAAGAACTGCGCCGTGGGCGATATCCTTCAATTCTCAGAACAGTCTCTGTTCTCGAAGGACGTTCAGACAATGGGTTATGGGCTGCTCGAGGAGCCAACCATCAAATCCGTGTTGAGCAAGAATATTCTGGGCGCGAATAAGAAGGAGACCCCGACAGCGCCCGTGTTTGTGTACCACGCCACGCAAGACGAGGTCATCCCCTACTCGAACGCATCGACCATGGTCAACTCGTGGTGCAACAACGGGGCCGACGTCAAGTTCACGACTTACGGCAATGGAGGGCACGCGACCACAGAAGTGATCGCCTTGCCCGAGGCGATTCAGTTCATCGAGGCTGCCTTTGCGGGCACGACGGAGAACGGGTGCTCGCACAACACGGAGCTGGCGAGTATTCTCAACCCGCTGGCGCTGGGAGTCGAGCTCGAGCCGATCCTCACCAAGCTGATTGATGTGCTTGCTGCGCTGGGGCGACGCGACTCGGCTGTCAAGCAGGACCCGAATGTTCTGAAGGACGTGGTGACCTGGTAGACTGTTGCGTTGTGAGTGCGTGGTGGTGGAGTGTGTTGGGATAGTGCATCGGTGCCTGTAGTCCCGGGAAAGGTGGGGGGGTAGTAGTGCTTGGGACGGGACCATAAGACTAAACACTATGCTACCTAGGCAAGGTACCCAGGGTAAGGTACCTTGTGTGTGTCACTTGGCGGAACCAGGCCCGACCAGGTATATATTGTGGATAATACGGAATATACTGATGGATCTAATGTCGATGAAATTCTCATGATAATCTCGATATCCAGTGTATATACTATTCAATAGAACATTCCATGTGTCCAACCCTAGGGTAGGAAGTGTATGTTGATGACTCGCAATTAAACTTCTCTCCCTGGCGTGCTCGTTTGCGTCATTTCTCCGCGGCTCTGCTGCCGGGCGCTGCTGCAGCCCGCTGCAGACTCGAGATATGATCGGTCACGCAGAAACAAGGCAGCCATTCGGAGGGCCGCGAGCACGGGGCACCCAACCCCTATCAGAACACATATGACACTGCGACCTTACTGTATACTGCCAGATGGGGTGGGCCAGACCCAGACAATGCCAGTAGAAGAGTCGAGTGGAGGCCGTCGATCCTCGTCAGCTGCCCACCGGGTTATCTCGAGCGGTGAGCGGAGATCGCAGGATTGCCCTTACCTAGGTGTACCTTGGGAAGGGAGAAGCAGCTTAGAAACAGCGCGCAGAGAGACCCTAAAAAAGCCAAAAAAGCAACGAGAGACCGTAGATTAAAAAAAGAAAACAACAAAAGGAAAAACGCGGAGATGCGTATAAGAAGGCCGTTTGCACCGATCACCTGGGGTGGCGTTCCAGGCTGACTGGGCCTGGCACATTCGCCAGTCACCGGGTGTGCGTCACAGCAGCACTCCCTTCCTACACATCTCCCCGTTTATATAGACCCAGGTCGCCATGGCTCCCTCGTTTTCTGACATCTCATAGGTGCTGCCGCCGACCAACCTTGGAAGACTGCACCAGTGCGAGTAACCACGAGTCGTAGTTCTGCCTCTCCCGTTCTGCCTCTGGTCGATGCGGAGAAGCTCCCCAGGCTCCGAAGGTCCCATCCCAGTCCGCCTTGGTCTAGATCTTCTTCTTTCGACCATGTCCGCTGCTGCCTCCATTGCTGCAGTCCGTTGATTCACTTTCGCTGGAACATCCCGTCGGCACATCTCAAGCAAATCCGCTTTTTTTGTTTCTGTTAGCATGGCCGTCGGCGCCGGCCCCACCGTCTCGTTGCCCTTCTGATAACACAATCGCGCGCCGGAAGCTCCTCTTCTCCTCCGGCACCCGTTTGTCGGGGTAAGCACTGCGGCGTCGTTTCTGATCTTTGTGGTCGTATCACTGACCGTCTCCGCGGATTAGACGTTTCGTCCACCATGCATCAGCACCCCCGATCCCCGGCCGTCCCTTCGCCGGCGCCCAAGCCGCCCGCCAGAGCGCCGGCCGCGGCTCGGGACGACGTCAAAGACAACGACTCCATCCCGCCTTCCCCCACCGTTGACATCAGAACAAATTCGACCAAAGGCTTGGGTATCGATGCCGGAGCAGACGCCTCAGAACCCAAGATGGCGGCTCCGAGTAAGGAAAGCATGGCCAAACTGAACCAGATCGTCTCGGTAAGTCAATCGCCCTCCTTCCGCTCCCATCGCTTATCGCCAGAGCGGCGGTGCGCAAGAACCACAGACTGATCATTCCTTGCGCTGTTTGACAGAATTACCATACTAAATCGGCTTTGATCATCCTTCATTCGCGCGTGGACCTTCCTCCTGCCTACCTCAAAGACTCCGACAAACCTAGGATCAACCGATGGGTAAGTACCGCTTTCGCTCTCAAGACATAAAACAGGGCTTTCCTAACCCCATGACCACTACAGTTTAATGTCGAACTAAACGATAGTGATGCCATCCGTGAGCAGCTCTGGGTCTGGCGAACCTGTGATGCGACGGACAACCGACCTCCCCCTCTTATCATCGAGACATACTTGGATACGAAGAGTCTGACGAACAATCAAAGTTTGGTGATCTTGGACGAGAACGGAAAACGTTGGGATGTGCAAGAGTCGCTCGATGCTTTACGGGACGAGGCCCGTGACCCGTATCAGTCGGATGCGGATGAGATCATCTTGGAGCGATGGACCATCGAGCTGGGTGAGGCCGTGAGCGATCCTCCGGCCGATCTGGGCTCCATCTTGCCAACGGTGTACAAGAAAAGCATTGTTCTTTTCCGATCTTTGTTCACCTATTCAAAGTTCTTGCCGGCATGGAAGTTCTCGAAGCGTAACACAAAGTTACGCCAGAGCCCGACCTTGAAAGTCAAGTATCGCATCATCGATGGCAACAGCTCTCGATTTGTTCTATCTCCAGATACATTGACAACCCCACTGTATGAAGGAAATGGGAAAGTCGTGGATACCTACAACTTCGGGGTCACCGAATCCCCCGCAGGGCCCTTCTCCGTCAAGGTCGCCTACCGCACAAACTGTGACTTCCGTGTGGATGATTCGGAAGCGCTACTGAGCTCTCGGTTCATGGGAGCTGATGACGATATCTTTCGTCCATCTCTACCCTCGGATGACTCCAAGCCGAATCCTGAAATCGGATCAGTGCCGGTCGAGACGCGCACTGTCGAGAACCCGGACTGCTCACGGGCATATGGGAGCTTGTCAACATTTCACCAGGTCGGTCCGCCTCATGGCACAAGTCCTATCTCCGCGTTGCGTGCAGCGAGGGATGCTGCTGGATCCTCTTCCCCGTCCGGTTCGCCATCGAAGAAGCTGTTACCTGCTGCGAAAATTGCGCCGACTGGTCGAGCTGCCAAGCTTGCCAGTGAAGGTGGTGGTTCGAACTTTGGCCGTCGTCCCTCTGTCTCCTTCCAGCCCTTCAAGGCTCCGCCTCTTTCTGCTTCTCCGGCATTGGTAGATACGCCATTGGGCGTGTCACCTCGGACCGTATCCGCTCGCATTCCCACGGGCACATCTGCCGACTCTCGAGTCATGCCGCCCCCGTCTGTAGCGGCCTCTGCACGAAAGCCCGCTGCAATTGCGTCTGAACAAGCCTTTCTATCGCCCACCTCAGCATCTCCTAAACCTGCTCCGATCACCCGATACAGTAGCTCCTTCAGTCATAGACGAGGCCGACCTTCTTCTGGTGGTATGAGCAAGCCAGATGACGACCATTCCAGCGGCAAGGCGAGCGCGGCTTCTTCAAACGTGCAACCCGGCTCTGGTCTGCTTGCAGAAGCCACCGGTACGAGCGCAGAATCAATCCACGCGGACGATGAGAATATTTCTGAATTCTTGAAGATGCTCGATCTGAAGAAAGATTTAATGAATACATCTAGCTCTATTTCCCAAGAAACTGGTCCGCGCAAGCCAACGGCCACCTCGGCTGCCCTCGCTCGTTTTCAACGCATGCGTGATTCAAACGCTGCTTTGTCCGACTCGATGTCGGCCTCCATGCATCTTCGACAATCGTCGAATTCCTCTAGCAAGCAGCTCTCGGGAGTGCCGCAGATGGTTGCTGGCACATCTATTTCCACGGCTTCTTCTCCTGGAAAACCCATCTCCCCCCATACTCCCCACACCCCCGCCATCAGATCTCGACTAAGCTCTAATAGCGTGGTCGACGAGATTGCCACGGAGCACGATCGTCGGGTCCCTCATATCGAACACAACTCGCCTCTTGAGGAGAACCCTGGCATGGAGTCGACGCAACGGGATCCATCGACGGCTGCTGCCATAGACATTCCAATGTCTCCGCGGGTGTATCCTCCAGCCTACCGGCGTTCAAGCTCTGCGGCCCAACGGATCCGGCCCATCGTGGCTGATGATGATGAAATATTTCCGTTCGGCATGCGGAGCGTGAGTCTCGGAAATGAAGAGGCTGCACATCCCGTTCCTAACACCCTCCAGCGGCGAATGAACGAAGATGAGAACCAGGACCCCAATTTAGCAGGCCGGCCCTCCACAGAGGATGCCAACGCCCCTGCAACTAGTGCCACCGGTGCTTCGCGCCGGTCCGCAACATCATCGGTCTCCAACGCCCATCTATACCAACCGCGATTCGCAAGCTCGCGAGGCAGAGGGTACTCAGGTGGCCAGTCACTCAGCTCTGCCTCGAGCAGTCTCGCCCGTGGCTCAGCCATCCCCCCACACCTGGCAGAGCGTGATGCGGACCGCGATGGAAATGCCAGCGGTAGCACTAGCGGCAACTCCACAATGGAGCTTCGCCGCGGTTCGGGTCAACGACCCAGCGCCAGCCGTGCTCCTCCTTCACTGGAGGATGACGAGCCACTGCTTTTTGCGATGAGTGATTTCGGCGCCTCCCGACGTAGCCTCGAAGAAAACCGAGGGAATCACGGGGGCGCCGACTCGAATAGTGGTTCCCGACGTGGTAGTGGGCGGCGGGGAGCTGGTCTCCCCAATTTTCATGTTTGGTAGAGCTAGATGCTCTTACGATCTAATACCGCGATTATCTACCGCACATTGCCATTTTTTGCTTTTCATCTTAGGCCCAGGCTAGAGTATGCCTCAGCCGTATCTCTCCAATACCCAATTTTTCATTAGCTTAACCTCGTTACCTCTCATTTCTCGCCACCTTGAATTCCCTTTTCTCTTGATCTATTCTTTAAAATCTTCCGCATTTGATTAACCTGGTTTTTATAGACTGAATTCTTTCTTCTCTTCGATTGGCCTCATGACTGATACTTGTGCATAGAAATTGGGTTTCAGTTGCCATTAGTTTTACGCGTTTTCATATTCTTTCTCGTTTCAGAGACGTTTCAGTTTTGATTTCAAAGCTTCGTCACCTGATCCTTACATCATAGGTTACCTTGCTCTTCTGTGTTTGGCGCTGTACTTGCTTCCGCGGTTCTTTGTATCATGAAGAGATGAACTACGTCTCGGTATCGTAGGGTATAAAGCCTTGACCGAACCTGAGAAAACTTATGAAATGATAAAACCTTGGCGTGCATGGATGTGGAATGTGTACCTTGATTCTATTATAAGGAACACCTAATGTAAGTTCTCGAATACTCGAAGTCCTCTTGTGGAGACTGGCTGTACAATACAGTGCAGTGTGTAATAGAGCGTGCTGCCGCTACTCAGATACGTTCAAGTTGGGTCCCATGATCAGAATTTGGAAACTTTTATTCTTTCAAATAAGCTCTATAAAACCAGGCTCCAGATGCTGAAAAATAATTCCGTCATGCAACACATATGAATACATTGCCAGTCCAGACGCCGGTGCAGGTAAATATCCAGACTTTTCTCCAATATCAACAAGAGGTAAGAAGGGGTCCACGGAGAGGTGAGACCGTCTTTGGTATTTCACGGGTATCATGAGTAACTTTTGTGAACCAAGCAAACACGTCCAACACATTACATCTTACGGAATGTGTTACCGGAGGCACTGCGGCGTTCCTTCGCCTTGAACTCGGTTTTGTCATAGCGGACCTCGGGTTTGCTGTTCTTAGTCTTGCTGGCGGGCATGAAGCTGACCTCTCGCTCGCCGGTAACACCGGTCTGCCGCGCGGGCCTTTGCTTCGCCTTCATGTTCTGAGCCCGAGAGCCGAATGACCTGTCACGGGCGGAGTTGGTGCGCGTGGAAGAGGAGACCTGCATGCGGGGAGGGGCGCGCTTCGTCCGCTTGTAGTCGGCAGAAGAGATCTTATTGGAGCGCTCAGCCTTCGCGGGACGTTCGGCCTCGCTGTCTGAGTCGGAGTCGGTGTCGGAGCTAGATCCAGGGACGTCGTCCACGGCTTCTTGTTCGACCGCAGTAAGACCACGTTCCTTGCGACCAGCAGGAATAGGAACAGTGCTGGGGTTGATGAGGCGGAATTCATGAGAGTTCTCATCAACGGCGAAGTCTTCATCCTCGAACAGGGCGTTGAAACGGCTGTCGGCCAGGACACCCTTGTTCTTTGACTCCTCATCCTCCTTGGCAGGAGCATCAACCATCTCCTCGTCGCCACCACGCTCGAGAACACGCTTGGCATCCCGACGCTCCTTTTTCTCCTCGGCGTTCATCAACCGCTCGGCCAACCTCTTGTTCACCTTGACGGCCGCCTTCTTCTTGCCACGAATGCGGCTCTCACGCTCCTTGTCGATCTTCTCCTTCACGCGCTTGGCGCGTTCTTCCTCCCAAATATACGGGTTGGTGATCAACCTAGCCTCCTCGTAGAGACGCTGAGCAACGAAGTAGCCGTGCATGTATGGGCGCATGAGGTTGGTGCGTCCAATAAGATGCTCCAGATTGAGGCTGCGAAGCTGGGGAACAGTCAAGAACTTGTAGTTGTCGTACACAGAGCCAGCGGCGGAGCTGGCGAAGGCGTTCGGATCGTTGGGATCCTCAGCCATCTCCTCAACCAGGTTATCAAGGAACGAGCACCACTTCGGTGCAGGTCCAAGCTGGGGAATGAAGAATGAGTGCTGTTGCCGACCTTCGTTCGCCGTCAAGAGCATTCCACTGTCCTTGCACCAAGCGACAGAATTGATATCCACTGCCGGTTCGACAGAGGTCCAAGGGCTGCCATCACGGGGATCCCAGATTTTGATAATACGCTTATCGGCTGACATCATCTTAGGCTCCAGTGTCGCCTCCCGGGTAGCCGTTGATGGTTGAAGGAACTTGAGGGTATGAATGGGGAAACCATATCCTTGGTCCTTCTTCAGCAGGGGAACTGGGGATCGAAGATCGTAGAGGTGAATCAGACCGTTAGAGGAACCGGTTCCCAGAGTTAGACCCGAGCGATGGAATTCAAGCGCAGTGATTTCATTCCGGGGCTCGTCCGGTCCAGGCTGTGAGGGTGGCAGAAGCACACCCGCTCGGCCCTTGGCTCTGGGGTCCCACAGCTCGACGGTGCCGACGGTCGTACCAAAAGCAAGCAGACCGTGACTCTCCTCTGCAATAGCACCAGTATTCACCGCACCAGTATGAATTCCACCTTGAAGTGTACCGCCGCCTGCCGATGTGAAATCATCACCGCCAACGTCAACCTCGAAACTTCTCATGTATCGGCCCATTTCCAGATTGAGGCGGAAGACCTCTCCCATTCCATCCTGGTTGACACCAACCGAGGGAATAAGTGCTTCGGTCGAATTTCGGTCATATAAAAGGTCGCGGCCGTATCGCGGGAGGCGGGTGGTGTAATGGCATCCTTGCGGGGTGTGAAATTCGAGAGATCGGTCGGACTGAAGGTGGAGGGACTTGGAATAGTCGGAGGACAAGAGAAGGAAAGTAGTATTGAGAGCGACCGTGTGCCTGGCCCATGAAAGAGACAGTTGCGGAAGGTAGTGGGTGTGAATTTGAGGCTTGTAGGTTCCTAGGAACAGTTTCAGTTGATTTGCACTTTGCAATTAACACTCGAAGAATAATCGCATACCTGTGCTCATAACCCATTCGCCATCTTCACTGACACGAATACATTGACTGGCCTCCTCGAACTCAAAGTCCTGCAGCAACTCCACGCGATTCGCATATTCGGGGTCGTCCTTCAAGCTGCGCTTGCGGCGTCTGGCGAGCCACTCGGGGAGTGGACGGGCTGTGTTGGAACCCGAGATGGTGTACACGGGCACCTCAGACTGGTTGGACAGCTTCATGGCGTCAGTCGATCAAATCGCCACAAAAACCGACGTCGTAAAAGCACCCTGCTGCGCGGTGAAGCCGAGAGAGAAAAAGATTGTTGCGATAAAAAACCCGCAGATAAGATAGCACGTGATCCATGCGCATCCCAGGCTGGTCCGAGCGTCGGCGAACTTCCCCGGAATTGCGCTCGACTGTTGATGCCGCCGCGTTCTCCGCGTTGCCTCGCCTCTGCGATGTCTTTACCCACCTGATGGGCTTCAGCACTGAGCTCAGTCGTGTGCGCATTTTCTTTACAGCGGAATCCCTCCACCGCTGGAAATGAATCCTCGAATAGATCCCATCATCCCTCTATCTGCGAATGCTCCCGGGGCTGTCCGCGACCGTTGAATCATGGACTTTCCTGGAAGCGCAACCACCAATATACATGTTATAGTAAGTAAACCGAATTTCCTGTCAGTCGCGCAACTGACCAAGATCCTCCAGGATGGCTTCTCCACGATATACTGGAGAATATACACGGGAGAGCAACTCGTTGCCAATCATCCCCAGGACGGTCCGGCCAGTGGCTACACCATCCTCAAACATTTGGCTCATCTGAAGGACCTGGAGGCTCGATTAAGAATCTTAAATTGTTTAGCTTCCTGTCCCAGGCGCCTCGGACTATGGGTGTTCTCACCAACCCCCGGGTTCGAGAGCCTAAACTCGTTGTATGTCAAAGAAGGCGAAACAGAAACCTCAAAAATTCTTGTGGATGCGACGACTCTCAAAGGTATGCCACAGTTCAACGAAATATTCGTCCTCTGTGACACCCCAAGTGCTAATCCACAGCATAGTCTCGGCATCGGGCAGTGTTACCTCCCAGGAATTGATCAAAAGTCTTTCTGCTGAGTCTCAAAATCCCACTGGGGCTCAGTCATTTACGCAGCAGCGGTCACAGCCAGCTCAAAATCCGACCCGACGACCAGAAGGCTATAGCAGCTCTGCCGCCATCTACGCTTCTTTTGTGTCGGCCGTTACCGGCGCCATTAGCCTTCACTTGATCCGAGTCCATGGTGCATTACCGCTCGGTTCACGTACGCTGTTCACTGCGGTGAACAGGCCGGGATACGAAAGCCCTCGAATCGACAATGAAAGCGTGCTTTCCCAATCATGCCTTACCTCGCTGAATGTCCAGTTGAATGCCTCTGGAACATTGACGATATCACCACTAACCATCTCCCAGCCTGGGATCACAAGGCTGTGTAGCCCCCTGGATGACATTTCCAATATTTTTCGGGTACAACCAGGATCTGATCTTTGGCTTTCTCCGAACGGTGCTATTGCAAGGCTTGTGACCGCGAATATTGAATCCCCTTCTATTCCGTCACCAGGTACTTCAGCTTCTGGAAACAACGTTGCAAGGCGACGGCAGTGGAAACTTGACGTGGTACAGTGGTTGGCCAACTTCGGTCTTCTTATCGACTCAATTGACGAGGAACCCTGGGTGGAGGTAGAGGTCTGGGAGCCCTTTTTTGCGAAATTAGCAGGAGAGGCATGGCGCCAAACTGATGAGGCTCAGTCGGGGATTCCTCTGAAACGTATGCTGTGGCCCGCGCGGTTCTGCTTCAAGAGGACCGGTCGATCAATACGATCATCCTGGCCGTCTAAGACGTCCGATGATCCATTGGAGTTTGCAGAGCGGTGGTTTGCGGATGCTAGTTCCCTCAAACTCAGTCAAGATCTTGAGAATATCCCCACCTTGGAAACGCCACAAGCCAAAGACCACGACATGACATCTCCCACAATCGACCATATGGAGAACACGGAGAGCCTTGCCCGGATAGCGCAATACCCGGATTTGCAGGCTACCAATCTGGTTTATCCAACTCCACCCGACGGCGCTGTCAATGTGGGTATAAATATTGCGAATGCGTCTGAGGCTTCTCCCGGGGATACCGGCTTCAATCTATCACCAACTGCGGCACAAGAAGCGAAAAACTCGTCTAATGTTGAATTTTCGCCAAATGTCGAGGTTGGTACCGGCCGGTACGACGCAAGTGACGATGAAGATCTCTTTGGTGACATGAACGACAAGGATTTCGAAACCAAAGGAATTACCGATGCCGATTTCAGCTTCTTTGATGACCCAGCCTTCGATGATATGGACGAGGGTGCTCCGAATGACGAAATGGCTGCAGAGATGCCATCAGACATGAAAGACTCGGAGGGAAACGAGAGGAATGGAGATGTTCACCAACAACCACCTGTCGATGATGACCTCGATGCTCCTCAACCCGCCAAAACCACCGAAAATGATGTGGAACCACCCAAAATTGAACAAATAGGCCCGGTTGATGAGGCAACGGGCTCAGACCAACCCATGTCATCTCCTCAAGAGCCCAAGTCTCAAACAATCAGCCCTCCTTTGAGTCCTGTGGAAATCAAGAAAATCTTGTTTTCTGGGTCACAAGAAGAAGAATCTAAGCAATCCAACGATACCCGCTCCCAGCAAGGCCACTATCAACCTGTTGCCTTCGAAAAAAAAATTGGGGACTGGGATCAGAAGTATGGAGCAGCAGGAAAGTTTTGGTTCTCTACCGGAATCTCCCTGAATACGATAGATCGCGGCTCGAACACTATCCCCACTGTCGGTATTCCTCACCGTGGAAGAGGCGGAGGGCTTCAAACCAAGCCAGCAGCTCAAAGCACGCTCTCATCTTTGGAGAACCACTCTCGATCGTCCTCCGTCTCTAGCAGCACAAGCAGTGACTTCAGCGATGAGGCACCAATAACAAACGCTCCGACGCCAGTCGCAACGGTCATTCCATCCCTTAAAAGGAAACGTATTCCCTCAGAGTCTGATGTTCAATCCGTTGCATCGCCAGCCAAATCTTCTGGTGCGCCTGAGGGTACAATAGGTTCGAAAGCTGAGAACACTACCTTTCTCGGTAATTTTCTGGCCAATTTCTCTGATTGGGTTTTCATTGGCTATTTTTCTGCGATACAAATCCAACAATCGCCAGTTCTCCTGCGACGTGAAGATCAGATTCCGATCGCTCAACTACTTGTTGACCAAATTACACAGTCGTCGTTAGACTATGTACTAGGAGACAGGGTTGGTTTATGTGATCTTGAAAGTGAGAATCTTACATTGCGAGCATGCCTCGAAGATGCCAACTTCTTGGGCGACATCGCAAAGCTCGATCTCAAAGGATATACTTCATTGCAAGAGAATTTATCTGCTGCAACTGGGCTGCAATCTTCCAAGGACTCTGGTAAGAGCTCAATCTCAAAGTCGGTCGCCCCTCACGTCCGTATTCGTCGGGGCAAAGACTATCTTGAGGCGCTTCCAACATCGATTGCCTTCTGGGAGACATTCGACCTTCAGCCGGCCTGTGGTTCAAAGGATATCTCGGCATACTGCATCCATCCGACTGCTGCAGCAAAGGCAGCAGATGAGTTCATGAATCGCTTTGGTCTTCTTTACCAAAGTTGCAACTTTGGGAGTCATGTTCGAGGCAATCAATCCACAGCATTCGTGGATGGCCTGAGAACTTGGGACTCGGAAAACTCGAACTACAACTATATGATGCAATCCCTTAAGGTTCTATGTCAAGACTTAGGTACGTGTCCTCCCATTTTTCATGGATTATTCTGACATACGATAGGAACTGAGCTTGCACAAGCACCGCCGAGCGGCGATAATTGTGTGGTCTATATTGTCAATCCTTTCCCGCATGCAGCAGCCCTTGTTGATATCTGCACGGCATTCTGGTACCTCTTCCAACAATTGGCTGCAGACGCCGACCGAGGACAAGCCCAGCCAATCAATGATGTTGTTTTGCAGATCATTCCTTTGGAGTTCATTCTGTCAGAGGACTCCATAGTTGTGCCAAAGCAGACTGATTACTTGAGTCTGGCATTTGAGGTATACAGTCGCTGTCGTCCCAAAGATGCCGATTCCGCTTTTCAGTGTGCTCCTCCTGTTATCCTTGCACACTCTCTCCCAAAGAGCATTAGCTTTCGACTTGTGCCTGAGAGAGCATCACCATTGCAAGATGGCAGAAGACTGCATCTAGCCCTCTCCAAAAGTTTAGACCAGAGATGGGTGTCAGCTGCGTGGTCTGATGGAACTGGTACCTTACAGATGGTCGTGTCATATTGCCTCAAATATCGCGGCAAGTGTGTGCCCAGGTCATCTGCCGAGGTCCGCAATGAAATCTGGAATACGACAAAGAGCATCATGGAGAAGGCTCAAGCCCGTTGGAAGCTCATCCTGGCCAATACGGAACCAATGGAACCAGATGATGTAGAAGGTATGATTTTCATTATCGCGCAAAGATGTCTCTCAGCCTGCTAACAACTTCCAACAGGATGGACCAGCCTAGCCGAGCAACAGAACAAGGCCCGTTCTGGTTCTTTAGAGCTCACTATTGTGACGGTTAGCACCATGTCAGATTTGGCACTTGAACCTACCGTCTCGCCCATGACGACCAGCGTCCTCAACCACCATTTTACATCGACTCCCGTCTCCACCCCCAATCCGAGCGTTAGCATCGCATCTCCTGAACAATCAGGCAACGCACCTACTCCGGGTGCAACCTACAATGCCCCAACCCCAACCGAGCCTTCCCTGGAACCGGATTCCGACGTCGTTCTCTCAGACATGTCCGATGAGTCCTGGACCGTCATCTTATCTCACCGTCTCAACAACTCACCCCACGTCACCGACTTCCGCCCCGCACTGGTCAGCGGGTATCTTTTGCGCCGCAAGGGCACCATCGATGGGGACGGCGTTTACGCAATGACAGTCAACCTAGTCTACACGCCACGGGCACCGCCCTCCCACGAATCCATCCTACGAGACATTCTCGGAATGTACCGGGATCTATCTACGCTTGCCCGAGTAAGAGGTCTGCGCAGTGTACAAAGCAACACCCTCCCATGGCATGTTGCCACCGCTCTGCGAGCACAGGAGCTGCTGAGCTATGTTTTGTAAGAACGGGTCATGTGTCATTAGCTTCATATCTGGCAACGGCGTTTTGGTTTTGGATTAGATGTACGAGAACGATCGGGTGCATTGCATGTTGATTATCAAGGTTAGGCAGAGATACCATTGGCGGCATGGATTTGATTATCATGAAAGCGATTCGTATCAATTTTCTGCACTCCTACTTCCACACTTTACTATCACTACTGTCAAATACACCTTTCACACTGCAGGTTACAGAAAATACACTGAGGGTCGAAATTCCCTTTATCCATGTGGATGCATAACGAATCCACCTGGGCTGAGCTTGTCGAGATCAACACACTTTCTACGTCACATCACGTGGTTGAGCTTGCACTATGTGTACATGATAATTTAGTGTCCTTGCTTTGGGAATGCATGTGAGGGAGCTACACGTGGGTACATGAGTGTAGGATTCCATTTGGATGCTCACTTCCATGTGGTCCGGATCAAATGGGTGCATGAGCGAGGGAAAAAAACAATAGTTGTTCAAGTGTTCACAATCGCATTATCTTAATGGCTAGTCGAAAGTGGCACCGGTCTGTGCTGTTATATATCTGTGCTGCAATCGGTAGTGTCACGCATGATTAGCCCACTCGTTGGTTGACAGCGTGCTGCCCCTTTTAGAAGCGCGATTTGATACTACCAATAGCTCAACAATGAGCTGAAGTACTGAAATTATAATGTGGAGAAAACATTTGCGGATCTGAATCCGTATCCATAATAATATTCATGTATCATATACTTCAATAAACAGACCATGTTTATCGGAAAATCATAGTCAAAAAAGTACAACCAAGAAAGGAAAGTAAAGCGCACGCATATCCCGATCAACTCCAGGAAAGCAAAATCAGCATCAAATAAGATGTGTGCAAAATTTAGGCCGCTAGGGTCAAGGTTATACAAAAAATGAGGGCGCCGCAGCAGCGTCGCCAAGTTCATATCGAGGTCAGATTCGTTATCGTGGTGGCTGGGCATCAGGAGGGAAGAAGGGTATCATGTCTCTTTTGTGCGAGTTTGTCGAGAAGAATATATCGTAGTCGTAGATGGGGAAATTCGAAGATAGGGGGCTGGTAACTAGGTGTGAACAGGGGGTGGATGTCCCGACCTAATCCTCACTTTTCATCACCCTCCATCTGCACTCTCTTCATCCGGCTGCTGCTTCTTGGAGAAGAAAGACACGTGGTTTTGTACGGCCCAGATAGCGAAGCCCGCGATAGCGAGAAGGAGGAAGAGGACGATGATGATAATCGCGATGGCGATGTTGCGCTTAACCATGATGGCTGGCAGCGATCCAACTGGATCGTTGTGAAGGAGACGGAGAGAAGTCGATTAAAACAAGGATCAAGAATGCGGTGATATCGGCGTCAGATCAATTTCATGAGATCGTTAAGGCGTAGAATTGAAAATTGCAAGCGGGGCGTCAGAAGATAGCCGCAGCGATGCGGGGAAGCTGTATACTTCCGAGTGTAGAGTATACACCGTGAAGTTCGGCGCGTCGTTCGAAATCGCGCGGTCGGAGCCCCCTATTGAGAATGAGTGAAAGGCAATGAAGAGCCTTTCGGGGACATGAGATGATAGAAGGAGAAAATATTGCGTCGGTCGGAATGTGAATGGGAGGTTTTAAAGGAGGGATTTCCCAGCCACCGAAAAAGCACATGGCTGGGGCCGCGTGGGGCGCATGGCGGAACACAAGGCCTGGAGCTCGACACCACGACACTTCAGAGATCGAAACAAATTGAACCGAAAAAAAGATAACACAAATGGATCAATGAGTTGTAGTTTACGAGCTGTGTTTATCGAATAAAGCGAAATATTCATAGGAGCTGGATAGCAGTGGTGTGCTATTAATCATCGCTGGGATCGCCCAAGCTGCCCGACCGGAACGTCTGTCAGATTTGCCGCCTCAGCCTTTCCTGCCACTCGTTTCATCTACTTGGCGATGCCCATTGATCCTCTGGTGCCTGATTTTCTCTGAGCTTCTCATTTGCTCAGGGGAATTTGTTGGACCTGTCCCTATACCCCGTCCTACTCGTATCTTCCACACCCCATAATCTGGAGGAGTTTTAGTTCTGCGGCTCAAAGGCCCGGTCCTGTTTGCCAAGCTTGGTGCGTTCTGTAGCTCAAGTCGATGGTATAGTAGTAGATTCGCCTGATGAGCCAACGTCGTCCATGGAGTTTGCGAATGCAAGCTCAACGGCTTTAATAGGGAATTACTGGGGATTAAAGTGATTGGTTTATAGCTCAAACAAACTGGCAATTATTGGAGACGCATTCCTCGACTTTCTACAGTAGATTAAGGATCAGACGTGGATCACGTGATTTATGGTGCTGTGGTGCTGTTAGATGCCATTTCACTAAGGCAGGCAGCGAATGCAACTGCCTCCCCGATAGCATCGATTTACAAACACTCAATGCGTATCCTTTCGACCAATATCCATCCTGCATATTTCAGATCTGTGCCCCTATCCCGAGTGGGTCGACTCGGTCGCGCGCATCTCCCCTGAGGTACTCTCGGCTTCATTCACAACATGCGATGCCTCGAAGGATCCATGCCCCTTGACTCGAAATCGCAACAAGCGGGATCACCGATTTATCTCCGCAAGAAGCAAATATCGAGAACAAGGGTATGCACCTCATACCTGATCGTCCTTCGAGCGATCCATCGCCGATCCATCGGAGCATGATTTTGAGAATGATCCGGGTCGAGACTCAAGATTCGCCCTCGTACATACTTCGTACTCGTGAATCAAGGAACTTGAGGGCTTAATTGTTGTTGTGAGCTGTGAATCTCTCCATTGCGGCCTATCCCAGCAAACCAGGAAAGCGGCCAGCTCCCAGATTTGAGCTCTGCAAGCCCATCCTTTGCAACTGGAAAATCTCACCCGACTCCTCCTTTTCACTGTCTTGTATCCTTGGCCTATCGCGACTAGCAGTGAGAATGACCATCTGGTGACGAGATCGCCTTTTCCTTGGCGTCGATTCAGACGAGGCACGGCGTGCGAGACGCTGAAAAGACATCCGACAGAATCTCACTGTAAGCGCAAACCACCAACGAGGTGGAGTTCGGAGGGTTCGTTCTTCCGCACCCAAATTATGGAGCGATCCTGATCTCAAAGCCTACTCATCTGATGTCCTTTTGAGAAACTGCACCAGCAATTGTGTAGAACGGGATTGTGTTGACCGGTCATATGGGAAGCGCGACACAGAGGATGGCTATCGTCGTATTTCGGATTGATCGCTGCAGGCAGAACGATTGACCTCTTGCTCATCCGGAACCAGTCGATCGAATCGGAGAATTTATGAGACATCGACGTAAGCCATCGCGACCTCTCCCAACAAGGGCTTGCCCGTGGTGGCCGCCGACATCATCGTTCGATCGATTCTCGCGCCGTGCGTATTTCTCCTGGCGGGATGCGAGTAGATCACTTTTCTTAATTTCCCTCAGCGACGACTATCCCTATCGCGAAGGGTAGTTCGACCGAGGCGGAGCCGGCAGTGGAGCCCGAGATCCATGAAGATCGTCATTCGTGTTGACACGACTCCTCTGGATCGGCCCTTGATTGAGGAACCGCCAGTCGAGATGCCCTGATGATCCCACGCTAATCCAAATACCTTCGGTTCGACATGCCCCGTGCACAATGGCAGCACCGGGCTGCGCGGAATCCTATGTCGCCTGCGTGGATCTCGGCTTGGGCGCCTGCGACCGAATGTGAGGATGCAAGAAGCCGGGGAGGAGCGTAGTGCATCCGCGATGCAGTGCACAGTGCAGTATTAGCGCAGGTGGACTAAATTTTGCATCATGCTTGGTTTCAGGAGAGCGTTGCGATGTCGCCGGGTGAGATTGACACGCACGAACATGGCGGACCTGACATCCCTGACAGTCGCGCGGCGTGCGTGTCTGATGTCTGATTTCCTTTGGGCCGGACGCCGCCACCGAGACGGCAGTCAAGGGACTATTGGACTCTATCTTCAGCCACGTTCGGGGTTTGGCCTTTGTTCGCTGGGAGTTGACAGGCGAGGCCTCCCGGCAGACTGGCACGCAGTAGGCGCAATCAGCCAGACCCGCCGCTAGCTCGACTCGACTTTAGCCGGGGGAGTCCGCTCGAGGATTGCTCGCGAACCCAATTCGCATTGCTAGTGCACTGGGGAAATCCACCGTCAGCTGCTAATCGATCCTGGTTTTCATAGACCGGGTGATGTGGAAGAAATAATACCTGAGGGTACTATGCTGGATGCTGAGTATACCTTACCTACTGCAAGATGCAAGCAGCTCGTCAGGAGATTTTGCGGAAATGACAGCCCGTGCCTCATGGGCCCCTTGCGCCAATCGCAGGCTTCTGGAAACATTGTGGTTTGTTTAGGGCTACGGCGTTCCATGGTTCGTTGGTATCAAAGTGTCACTCCTCTCGCAGTACCTTACAAGTGTAGGGTCACGGTGCCTGCTGCTGACTCACCAAGGGGAAAACCTGTTGACCCAAACACTTCTCCACCACACTAACCTCACTCCGCTAGCCCATGTCTGCGCAATCCTGACTGGACACCATGCACCGCGACTCTCCAAGGGGCCCGCGTGGGACAGTTGCTGGTGGAGCAAAACGCGGATGAGTATGCGTGCCCTCGTGGTTCATACTTGCATGGATGTGGTCCACCCCCTGGTGCGCTCCTCAAAGAAGAGCAAGCCCTGATACACTCCTGTCCCAATCTTGGCCTGATCGTCATGGCCGTCCTTCTCCGCAAGCTTCCACGCCACCGTGTCTGTCAAACTCTGTCGGACCTGTTGCCTTCGTCAACGCGGGAAAAAAACTGGAGTCGGACACTGGCCGGACTCCCTGGACCAATATGGCGTGTTTAATAATTCCATGGGTACCCGAAGAGACCTCCTGGATTCTGGGTTTTCCAATTTCCAATAGTTCAATCCTTGTCTCCGACCTTGTATCATCTAGGGCACGTCTTGGCTGCTCGCATTCCCAACCCAGACATGCAGACTAACTAAATCGACCGGTGGCGGTTTCTATTCCCACTATCTTGCATTGAGACTCTAGCGATCTCCGCCTCTTTCCCATTTCAGACTGAACAAGAGGGGCTGAGAAAATAATCAAACCCCCCTTCCCACGATTCCGGTCCCTGTCTGCCCACGACCGTGGAATGGTATTTGTTCAAAAAAGGAGGTGGCCCTGGCTTGATCGTATTCGTCCACCGGGATTTTCATTTCTGCTGCTCAGACCATCCTCGAGGATCTCCCGCGAGGTTCGTTGAGGGACTGTTTGACAGTTGCACGCTCATTAAACTCCCCTTCATTCGTTATATGCCACGATGACGACTCTGTCAACGGCTCGGGGTCGCGGGGCCCTTGCGGTCAGCACCGTCTTTACATGTCTGGCCACCCTGTTAGTGATTGTTCGCATATACACTCGCGCGGTGATGGTGAAACGAATGGGTGCCGATGACTATGTCATTCTAGTTTCTTTGGTAAGACTGAACCGACTATACAACACTCGCCGAAGCTTAGCGGCATCAACTGACTCGGCTGTCTGTCCAGGCTTTCTCCTGGGTTTTTTTTGGTTTGTTTGTCGGCGGTAAGTCAATACAATCCTAGCAATTGCACATCCAGGACTAATTCCGGATAAAGAGGTTTATCACGGAATGGGCGAGCATTTCAAATTGATCCCAGGTGCCATCTTCAAAGTACAAATGATTGTATGTCCACGCCAGTGCAATGACTTCGACAAAGTATGCCAACTAATTCACTGATCCGTTCAGTGTTTCTGGGCATCTGTACCCATCTACCAGACCAGCCTATTCGCCACCAAGATGTCAATCCTTCTTCAATACCGCCGAGTCTTCTCAACTCCCCGTATGCGCCTCGCCTGTACCATGCTCATTGGCTTCCTCGTGGTCTACGGAACATGGACCATCGTCAGCGCCTGGGCAAACTGTGTGCCCTTGGCCAAGTTCTGGGATCCATCAGTCCCGGGATTCTGCTTTGATAAGAAGGCGCTCTGGTTCTCCAACTCGGCTGTCCACATTACCACCGATCTACTCATTCTGATCTACCCAATGCCTGTCCTCAAATCGCTCCAGCTTCCGAAGAGACAGAAACTTGCGCTTATGGGCGTTTTTGCGCTCGGTGGATTTGTGATGATTACCAGTATCCTCCGTCTTCACAGTCTCTTGATTATTTCCAACTCCAGTGACCCAACTTGTTCGTCATACCTCAACCTACCTGATATGAAAGAATCCTACACTAACAACTCCCAGATGACAACGTCGGAGCCGCCGAATGGTCCGCGATTGAATGCAACGTTGCCATCATCTGCGCCTGTCTCCCCAGCACAAAACCCATGCTCTCCAAGCTGCTCCCCCACGTTTTCTCTACCCGCAGCAACGGCTACCGTAGCAAGACGACCCGGCCCTCCCGAACCGGCCGTAGCGCCCTTGGAACTGGCACACACACCCAAATCCAAGCGTCCGTCATCGGAAGTCGCGAGCCGAAACAAGACGAATACGATCTGGATGAACTGACGCCCCCTGGCTCTGTCCGCAGCTACAACAAAGAGCAACAGGAGTCCAAAGAGGCCTTTTCAGGAATTAAAGTGACGACGCTCGTCGAACAGGAGTCGACGTCGCATCCGGCTCGGTTTGCTAATGATGATACGGGGAGCACAAAGGGACTTGTGCATAAGCAGAGCTTTTGACGATTCCTCTCTACGTTAATGACTTTCCCTCTTTGCATGGATTTTCTGTTTTCCTTAATACGGCCTTGTTGATGCCGCCCTACCCTCATTCTTGTGTATAATTATTTCTATTTCTTTTCACATGTGTTATATGATATCTTGGGAGGGGTTCTGCTTGTCGGCGTTGAGCTTTGGATTTTCACATCTCATTGGATACCCAGTCACTGATGGACAGAAAACAAGCATCAAGTCATACCATCAAAGTCTGAGAAAGTTTGGTCATGTTCCAAGGCCTGCGGCCAGTGTCTATACAATCATAAATATAAAGACATGAAAATCCCATGCACCGAAATATGCTCGAAAACACCATAAGAAACAAATAGGGTATCGCTGACACAAGTGATAAATCAAAACATCGAACTCCGCTTTTTATCCAAACGCGCTCCACTGCTTTCTTCCTTGTTGCGCCGGAATCCAAAGAAACTGCTTTTCTTGGGCTGCACCTGTTTCCCCGGCTGCGCCCCAGGCTGCAATGCTCCACTGCTAGTTGGAGCCTGGTAGAAACCCACTGTGGACTGTGGTCGAGGCTGGGGCCGGGCCGCCGTGAGATGAGCCGACGACTGCACCCGTGGGTCTCGGCCAGGCGCATTAAGGTACGGGCCATTGGCGAAGGTGGGAACAGGTGCACCCTGGGAATATTGAGGACGCAAGTTACGGGGAGGTTGAGGAGGTCCTTGTTGAGGGAGGTAAGAGTAGGATTGGGAGTATTGGTGAGAGTAAGGGCGAGAAGGCCCGCTGTGACGTGGGGGAAGGTTTGGTCGAGATGAAGGTGATGACTGGAGCTTCTGTGTCCGGACTTGCTGCTCCTCTCTCCCATATAGCTTTTGCAACCGTTTCGTTTCGCCATCGATCTCTGCCTGGCGTTTCTGGCGTGCCTTTTCCTGCGCCCGTTTTTCCGCGGCCAGAAGCTCCTGGGTTCGGCGCGCTTCCTCCTGCGCGAGAACATCTTGTTTTCGTCTGGCCTGCGGAGCAGGTGACTGGGATGATGGGATGCTGAGCTTCTGAAGGGGTGGTTTTCCATTGGGCGCTGCACCGGCAGCTTGGACCTTGGGGCTCTTTCGACCGGCAGGAACAGGAGCAGCAGCAGGAGCAGCAGTAGCAGCCACTTGGGGCTTCCCATTCACCATGGTCGGTCCACCAGGAGTAATATGAAATGCCTCCTTAGCGGGACCAAAGAAAATGTCGCGAATAGCAACTGCGGCAAGCAGCAGGACAACCTCCAATCCCTTAAAGTCCTCCATTTCCACTCGGTAAAGATTCGGCTCGTACAGGGTCAACTCGCGCAGGCCTTGAAAGAGCGCAACCGTGATGTCAGGCTCCCGGCTTTTCTTCTGGGTATCTGGGATCGTCGACGATTTGCCGTGTAACAGACAGGAAAGATCCTTTGACAATTTGCCATCCTTGCGCCAACTAAAACGTAACTTCGGTGTCACGTCCGCGGCGGCCGGGTCGCTCTGTGTTCGGTCCAGTGTTGAGGCAGAGGGGAACCGGAAAGTGCGCTGGGGCATCTCAAACTCCCACCGGGCAGGCTTGTTCCATGTCTTGGGCTGATGTTTCACGGTGATCTTCTGGTCGGGGTTGTACAGTTGGATGGTAAACTCGGTCGGGAGGATAGGCTCGGGAGGAGGAGGAGCGCCTCCGTTGGCTCGGATGGTATCTGCTGACAACGATGGCTGTGTCCATTCGGGAATCACGGCGACCTCGCCGTAGACGACGTCCGGGACGTAGGGATCGGAGAGGGCAACGCCGTACCGGTTCTGCGCCGCGGGGGTAGCGGGGTCCAAGTAACGGAGAGAGTATGCGGGCTCAGGGTCGTTTCCATGCTGGCGGTGGTATATAGTGCTCTGCTGGGGAGTCTGCGAGTTGTTCTTGAGAAAGAACGCTGGTGGGTGGTCAGCAGACGATTGCAGGAGGCCCGTATGACGTAGGGGGAAGCCAAGAAAAAAAAGGGACAGAGGCAAAGGAGTTGCGATCTGAACTTACTGGGCAGGTTCTCATCGATCATCTTTGGGCCAGTCGAGAAGGAAGGCCAGGATGGCGAGGTTATATGGAGGACGAAGGGAGCTGCCGTCGTCGCCTGCGAACTGCGGCGATGCGGTTGATCGGCGCCTAAAAATAGTTAAGCCGCGCATTCGCACCTTCGTATCCGCCAAACCGCATCGGGCCTGGGGAGGCACCAGCGTTTACTTGCTCGCCCCTAAATAGCACGCACTTTAAGCCCGCAGCGTCGCATGTTTAATCTAGTGTTGCCCAGTCTGCGAGGCTCGCGCCCGCTTGCCTGCTCGACACTCGCAGGTACCTGGAATCTGGCTGCCTGCCTATGTACCGGGGTCCGCGAATCCACCGGCTGGCTTCGAGAAAGAGATTCCTACAAGATGCAATTCGCGAGGCTAGTCTAACAAGCAAGGAAGCTCCACCGATCGACACTCTGCACGCGGAGTCAGCATCTCGGGTTCGATCAAGGCAGCGCAGCCCGGCTGTTGGGGGCCGCCGAGCCACCATCTGCCACGAAGATCGTCCTGTCAGTGTAGACAGAGGCCTGTTACTGCCTAGCCACCGCAAGGCAGGTATCCAAGGCACAGGATCATTCAAGTTTTCTTGAATCTGATAAAAGGGGGAGATACTGTCACTTGCTTACGAAAGCTGAGGAAGTCAAAAAGCATATATACTAATTACTAGTACTACGCGTTTATTAACATGACGCACGGAAAGTCTTCATCATCTTTCATTCGTTTGATTTAATGAGTGAACTTTCTTGATATTATGCCTGTTTCGAGGTTATTTGGCAGGATTTACTTGCACTACCTTTTCCATGTTTGATCGCTGTCAAAGAGAGAGCCATGGGGCACAATCGTATAGAAACCTAAACATTGAACTTGACCAGCCAGCATGATCCCGGAGGGAATGACGCACGTTCATATATCAATCATCTGATCATGCTTGTGTATGTTTCTATTTCCTGACGCTCTTTAGTCTATATTTTGTCAGCACCACTCGGTCGCACAGGACTTACCTGGTGCGGCATCCAATCGGAGCTACTGTTTCATACAAAGAGACTCGTTAAACTTGAAACTAAGCCAATTCCAAGGGTAGTAAAAAGCATCGAATAGTTAACATGGAAGGAAAAAGGCGAGATGAAACTTATCTTTTAACATGGTGAAACATTGGCCGCAAGATCATTCTTTAGCAGGTCAAAAATAGAGCAATATATATAGAGGTGAATCGTATTATCGGGAGTCTGAAAGAATGTAGTAACATTATGATTCCTCCAGCAGGAAAGGGCCTACGCTCAAAGTCTAGTAAGAATATCAATAAGAAGCACATCGATTACTTCAGTAAAGCATGTAAAGTGTCAATTGTTTAATAGTTGCCTCTAATGTTCAACGTTACACTAGTGTAGCGCTCCGATCATGGACTTGGAAGAGGTATATCCAGTCCATATGTCATCATGCATAGGTCTATTCGGCATGTCCAGCGAATTCGCGACTTGATTGTTTTTCTTGATAGGTATATTCTGCTGTCGGAATTGAGTTGGTTTGGAGGGCCGTTGGAGCGATTAAATAAACTGAAGTAGGGCGTGACAATGGAACAATTCCTTCGAGGATTGTTTGACTTGACATAAAGACATAGGATGTCCTCGAAAGCGAACAATGAACCGTCAATAGGAGCCATGTCAGAGTTACACAGTGTTGAGATTGGCTACGACGAAGCACTGAATATTGAATAAGGGCCTGCTAGGCAAATCGAACTTGATGGAATTGACAGAACTTGAACTTGACTGTGTCAAACTGTCTACATGCGATTCTGGGGGTATTTATCCCTGAACGCGCGCCAAGCCCCCTGACAGTAGTAAACCCCTATTATCGGTCTCGATCGGTGTTCTTCCATGAAGATCTCCTGAATGTAGAATATAATGTCGGCAAGAGCGCTTGGAGCGCATATCAAGCTCAGTACCTCCGGTTTCCCTGGACAGGCATGCCGACAGAGGTTGGGAATGAGGCATCAATTCGGTGCCTTATCCTGGAATCTCAACACACAGTATGCTTGGTCATATTTATTTCCACAATAGTACACTAATATACAGCAGATAGATGCCTTTGAGATAAACAATGGCACTCAGACGTCACCAAACTAAGCGCTTTCTCCAAAACCAAAGATAATGCGGACCGTCCCGTCGAAAATCCCGAACTTTTGTTCTATTCCCATGATATCAAATCTAAAGAATCTATCTTGAACATGTCTTTTATATACCTGAGGCACGGCAGTCTCCATAAACAGCGTGATCAATGATCGGTGCAATATACTCCGTAATGCTCAACTCACTTTTCGCGTCTTTACACACGAACACCATTGACCTCTATGCCCTCGGGCACCTTTGCCGCGTCGCGCTCCGCAGTGCTCATCTGCAAGCCTTGGTCATCCCAGCCCTGGGTACCCTTCTGGTACAGCGACTTTTGCTCCTCGCGGTCGGGAGTAGGACCCTCCTTGCCGCGGCGGTTCCGGGATTCGATGGTTTCGACCAGGGAGGCGTTGTCGCCATCCAAAGCGTTGCCCTCCAGATCGTTTTCGTGGGTCTCATCCGAGAAAGCGTAGGTGCGGTATTCGGTGTTGACCCAGCCGGTACCTTGTCAGGTAGAACGTAGGTTAGTTATAGCTCCCCACCAGATCGCAATTGTGAGATTGTGTGACATACCCTGGTATTGGCTGCTGTCCTCCCAATCCTCAGTGAAGTAGTGCAGGTATCCGCCGTGGGTGACGACGACAATCTCCTTCTCCGGACGGGCCTTCAGCCAGCGACGAGCAGCACGGGCCCGCTCCTTGAGGGCCTTGTTATTTGGTGCAAAGCGACCGGCTTTGTTGTTCCAGCCCTCATAGACCATCTCTAGGTCAACCGGTTTCCCCGCAAATTCGTCGCGCAGAACCTGGGGATCGCTGCCGGTGTCGCACGGTACGTCGGAGGTCTCTTGCACATCGGGCAGAGCAATCAGCTTCATATCGGGATGTGCGTCGAAGATGGGACCAAAGCTCTCGAGTGCCGTGTAGATGGTTCGGCGAAGAGGGGACGCAGTCACCAAATCGACCTCAGCGTGCCTGGGAAAGCTCTCGCGCAACTTGGCGCATTGCTCGTGGCCGAGCTCTGTGAGAAGGGGGTCGTGGATGACATGGTTGGCGGTGGAGAGGTTGTGAACGCCCTATTGAATTCGTGTATGGTCAGCCTGTTTGAAGTAAAAGAAAGATTGAGGGGCTGGTGGGGGGTTTGGGCAGGAATGGAGAACTGAAGACCTCTCGCAGAATCCTGCAGGAGGGTTGTCATGGAATGCACCAACGTACCTGAGCGTGGCGAACGCAGTGGATGATCGGAGCCATGGCGAGATGAACAATGTCAAGATCTCAATCCTGTACACAAATTCGGTGTCAGCTCAGCTTTGGGACGGTTCAGCTGCCGGAGGACCCTGGCGGTGACTTATTGCAAACGCGGGGTGGCGGGGACATCGGAGATTGCAGGCTAGAGGATTAACAGAATGACGCGATGACATACAATGAGAGGGAATCAGTCAGGCCCAGCGGATTGGACCTCGAGCGGAGGAAGTTTTGAGGAGTGCGAGGAAAGCAAACGCAGTGCTGGAGAGCGAAGAGTCATCAAATGGTCGGACCTCAGCACTCCGCTTTGGGGGGATTTTGGGTATCGCCACACCTCCTCGATCGCCTCGCAGCGAACCACGCCTGCGCAACTGGGCCCTTGAATCCACCAGCCCGGGAGGTTGACCGAAGGCTAGCTCTACAATCATGAATACTGGGGGTTTGAGGACCTCTCGAAATCGACTGGTACGATGTGAAAATGCTATGCTTTCACTAGACTACAAACAGGAACAATGGGTATATATAGATCACTAGCTACACTTGGAAACCCGAGTAAATAATAAACCGCCAAACGCTGAATTTATCTCACGCCGTACCGAAACCCTGCGCATTCTCTAGGGCCTTGTCCAACTTCTGGGCAAGGGCCGCTCGAGACGAGTACTCCGGGAGCAGCAGACGACCGAAACAGGTCAGGCTGGTTGGAAGACGCTGGAAAATCAGTTAGCATCGATGTTTTCTGCACCATGAGAGATATAAATGATCACATACCAAATCGCCCACGCCATTCTTTTGGATCATAAACATGATACTCGAAATCCCGTTGACAGGAACTCGGTCACTCGCAGTCACAAACTCCAGTAAATGCGCCTTCTTTTCGGGCGAGTACTCTTTGACGACACTCCAGAAGTCCTGGATGACACGATGGTCCGGCCCAAAGCCACCCTCATAGCGCGCATGATCCTCAAGCTCTTGGATATCAATCTCCTGAAGGCCCTCAACCACACTCTTCAGCGACTCGGGGGTAAAAATCGACAGAGCGGATCGATCAAGGCACGTGTAGAACCCACGAAGGAATGCCTCAAATTGGGGCCGGATTGACTTGTCAGTGAGCCAAAAGATGTAGTCCTTGACGAACTGATGCCGATTCTCATTGGTGACAAGAGAGGCCTCATCAGCTGGGGGTGTCGGAGACTGGAATTCCAAAGAAGTGGGTTTGGAGGTGATAGTGCCACCCGAGATGGAGGGCACAGAAACGGATTCAGCCACCGAGGATGACGGCGGGCTTGCGATTGCTGGGTCAAAGAGGTGCGGCAGGGTAGACCATGCTTTAGCATCGGTAGCAGAGCTCGGAGCAGAGGTTCTTGCAGGAACTGGCCATGCGGCGTCGCGGTCCACTCTCTGCATATCGACGGTTTCAATTCGGCCAACGGATTCAAAGCTGAATTCATAGGTGCGCATAAAAATATCACCCACGTCACCATCTTCCCAAGAAAGCAACGTTTCCAGACCTTGGGTAAGCTCGGGCCAGCCGTCACGAAGGTGGTCCAAATGCTTGACTTTTAGACCCAGGAGTTTGCGGTAAAATGCAACCGGGAAGTTGACCGGGAGGGTGAGTCCGTTATAGATAGCAATAGACATCAAGAGCCCAAGAAGCTCAAACTTGTACAATGGCTCAAGGGAACACGGCTGGAACCATGAGAGACGATGTCGACTATCCATCGTAAACATGCCGAAGGCGGGATCCAAGGCTTCGGCCATGAGAACTCGGAAAAACTCCTGTTGAACACCGCCATGATCCAAACCTTCTTCGCCCTCGTCCATTCCCATCTGAACTTTGAGTGGGCGCATCAGCTCTCGTTTTTCCCGACGCCAGAGCTGGTCCAATGCATCGGTAAGAATGTTGTCTCGCCTGACGACAAGTACAAAATAGGTCGACATGGAGACCTTCATGCGCGAAAGCAGTGTGCCGTCGTCAGGAAGCCTGATACTACCGAAAGCAGTTTGGGTGACATGACGAGTCGTGGTCAATGCGGCCTCAAAGTATTTGGACATGGCCGAGTAGTTCAGAGATCGGAAATAAATGACGAGGAAGGAAGGCGGGAAGAGGAACGAGTATGAAAGCAGATGCATCGTACGGTTATTCGAGAGGCTCCCAAGCCACGCGACGGGCATCTCAACGGGATCCAGTCGGTCTGCGAGAAAAGGTGTTCGGAAATCTTCTGGACAAAGACCCAACCGATTTCGCTCTTTGTACATGAGAGCCAGTATTTGAATAGCACCGCCAGCAGCGCTGCTGCGAGACATCTCGGGGTTACCGTCCCACTCTCGCAGGAACAATGTTCGTAGCCACTCAACGATGAGAAGAGCAGGACCGGCGTAGTCTGAAGACGAAGCTTGTACGCCAGAGTTGCCCAGACTATGGTGCTCGCTGAGATGATCCACAATGCGATCAAGCACGCTAATCCTCCTCTGCTTGGGTAGGTCAAGACTATAAGCTTGACGTGCCTTGGATATTTCGTGGTATGCCAGCCGTGCGGTGAGTGCCCGGACAAGACGGTTCACCAAACGAAGACCCAATTCATGCTCCAATTTATCGGTCGCTTCCACTGCTTGCTGAGCGTGTTCGACGGGGAGCTTTTGCATGTCAGCAGACGAGGCGATGGTTCCCGCAGCACGCATGCGAAGGATCCCGCGCCATGTTGACATGCTCAAGTCGGGAATCGCGCTAACAAGCACGAAAAAGGCAACCGTGGCAATATGAGCAGCATCCGCATCCGAGAGATGCTGATCAGCGGCAGATTCTGACATTCTGCGGACTACCGGGGGAGCAGGGCCAGTCATAGTGGAGCTGCGCGATGACCGGCGCGATGTTCGGGCAGACGAAGGGAACTCGGTTGGCGGCACGAAGAGTTTGTCCAAGGCACTCCATACACTATGCAAGGCAATATCCCATGGGCAGATAGTAAACAGATGCTGGAGTGACCCTCGGAGGCTGGCGATATCGAGGCAGCTGTTTGTTAAACCTTGATCTGATGATTTCGAAATCAGCACATCCCTTCGGAATGAATGCAGGATATGCTTGGCACTGCTCAGGATAAAAAAGGTACTCTGCGCAACAAATGGGAACACCTGGCGTTGGCGAAGTGTTGCGAACCTCCAATCAGGATTATCGAATCCACCCATAGACTGGAGACGATCAAGCTCTTCCCGCCACATCTCAGCCTCCTCTTCAGTTTCGATCATGATCTGGCCCAAGGCGTTGATGATCTCCGGAGTGAAATGTGTCAAAGTTTGAGCTAACGGGAAAAACTCTTGCTTGCGAGGAGGGGTTTCATGTTTGGCTTTGCGATAGCTTGGAGAGTCGATATCGACCGCAGACTGAGTGGGACGAGACCGGGGATTACCAGGACTCGCCAGAGAGGCTTGGTTGATCACCTTTTCACTGTCCCAGGAGACTCGTCTTTGAGGCTTTGATCGCTCTACAGGGCGCAGGTTATCTGCACCCTCAATCCTGCCGCGGTGCTTTTGCGGTCGATGCTTGAGAGCGGGTGGTGATGTCAAGCTGGAAAGTTCATTGGGAGCGAGGTGCGAGTTGATGGTTAGCTTCGTATTTTTGTAATCGGGGCGCCGCTTCTCCTCCAAACTGGATCGCGGTGACTGGCGCCAATGGTCTACTTCTGTGATTGAAAGTCGTTTCACATGCTGGTTCGGGATTTTAAGCTCAACTGCGGAGGACTGAGTGCCGGTAGTTCGTGACGATGGCGTGCGTGGAGGGTGAGCGCTTGGTTGGGATGTATCTGCATGTCCCTGTGCTGTTTTTGGCTTGTCGACGCCAGTCTTTTGTGAACGAGGCTTCTCGGTAGCTTGCGGCTGGTTTTCGAGATTGCCAGTTGGCCGCATTGGTTTCGACTGCGCGGACTCTGACTCACGGCGAAGGGGAAGCCACTCAACCATGCGTAAGGACAAGGTGTCGAAAAGATTCTGCGTGAAGGATTTGGGGTCCTTGAGAGGCTGCTCAGCAGCGTGATCAATATCTGGGAAACCGCACTCCGTTGGATCACCATCCGTGGATGACACGGGATCCGCAGCTTGAGCTCTATGTCCTGAGCCACTCTTTCTGGGCCCTTCACCATTGTGTTTGGATCTGTGATCATGGTTGTCGGACTGGGTGGCTGTCGAGTTGGTTTGTTCCGATGCGACCACTGCAGCAGCCTGGAAAGCACGAGATCGTTGCAACGAGATAGTATGATAGTCACGGATTGTCAACTCAGACGAGGGTTTCGGCGTATTAGGGCAGAGTCCGCTTTCGGCATCGTCCAAACTGGATAGGTAGCAGGCCAGGGTGCGCGCGCTCAGTTCGGTGAATCGACGGTACGGCCCTTCACTCATACGCCGGCGGCGGCTGGCACACGTAGGAGTTCGGCATCCTGGATCATCACACCCGTGAACCAGCTGATTTTTGTATCTATTGACCAAAGGATGTTAGCCACGTCCCAATTCGAGGACCATCGTCGTTACCGTTCCCCGGCGCTAAGACTCACTTTCGAACCAACACGTTGAAACGACGTCGGCGCTCATCTCTATACCATGGCAGAACCCGTGAAGGGTTTGCAACTTCGATGGTGTTCTGCTTAATCACCTCTGGCGCATTCGTTGGGACCTTTGATCGACAAGCCTGGTGTTTCTCGCCGCCATGTTGCGCGGAGTCCGGGGAATCGAGTGAAGCTCCGCGGAGCCTGGTCATCGTCGAAAATTCGGTCGCATGCCCTGAAAATTCGGTACCAGGGACTGTCGAGATGTTTCTTGGGGACCCTATGAGAACGACGGCCCGGATATATCGAAGAGTTGTTGCGGAGGCTCGAGGCTCAGCTCACCTGATATCATCGGGGCGACCGGGTCTTTCGCCTCAGGCAGCCTCCGGCGGCGGCGGCATAGTTGATGCGAGGGCACGTGACCATTAGATGCGTCATGCCTCATCAGGACTAGCGCGGGTCATGTTTGAGGCAAGGCGGGCAAGCCGGGAAGTGTGCGTCGATAAGGCAGATGCTTACCTTTTGGCCTTACCAGCGCGGGTCTTTCTCGACTGTTCTTGAGAATCCCCGACAGCTGAGACGACAATATACCCTACTCCGGCTGTCCCCACGACCCATCTTTCGGAGGAGCTTCGACATCCGTCCAGGCCAAAACGTGACTCACGACAGAACTTTCATCATACCCCGCTTGCGATAAAAAAAACCGTCCCACACACTTTTTCACGCCTAAGAATACCCGACTTTTTGTTCAACGCACGAGACATTTCACGATCCCACGAACGCCATGTCGTCGAACACGCAGCAGACCGCTGCATACACTTGTAACACATGTCTGGTTGCTTTCCACCGCAGCGATGCCCAGAGGGATCATATGCGCAAGGACTGGCAGTAAGTTATATGGTTGAACTGGTAGATGCCCAAGTTATCTTACTGACCCTTTTGGGGTAGCTTGTACAACATGAAGCGCCGCATTGCCTCTCTCCCTCCCGTATCCCTTGAAACATTCAACGAGAAGGTTCTTGCCGCCAAAGCCACCTCCACAGAAGCTGCCGCCAAGGCTTCTTTCGAGAAAACCTGCCACGCCTGTCAGAAAACCTTCTACAGTGAAAACTCCTACCAAAACCATGTCAAGAGCTCGAAGCATAAACAGCGCGAGGCGCGTCTGCTCAAAGAAGGCGACGATGCGTCTGTTATGAGTTCCACATTCTCCCTCGGAGAGCCCGTCAACAAGACCGAAGACTCCGAAGTGCACAAGGTCACCAATGACCTGAAGTCCGCGACTATTCAAGAGAAAGAGGATGAGGAAGATGAAGAGATGACGACTGATAAAACCTCGTTTTCCCCTTCGCAGTGTCTATTCTGCCGTACCGAGTCGACCGACATACAAGCCAATATCGAACACATGTACAAGAACCACGGCATGTTTATTCCGGAGCGTGAATATCTGGTCAACCTCGAGGGTCTGGTACACTACCTCTACCGCAAGATCAGCGAAAACTTTGAATGCATCTATTGCCACGCTATTCGAAACAACGCTGACGGTGCCAGAACCCACATGCGTGACAAGGGACACTGCATGATTGCTTTCGAATCAGAGGCGGAGCAGATCGAGATCGGCCAGTACTATGACTTCCGGAGCACCTACTCTGACGGCGCAGACGATGATGATGAAGATGAGATTATGGTCGAGGAAGGCGGCGTCAAGATCCAAGGCTCAGAGGGAGATGACGAAGGCTGGGAGACTGAGACCTCGGCTTCTTCCGTCGATGACGATGAAACCCCTCACCGTAAAGCTCCTGTCGCCTGGTCAGATGAGTACGAGCTTCACCTCCCATCTGGAAAGAGTGTTGGCCATCGTTCGCTTGCCAAATATTACCGTCAGAACCTGCACAATTACCCCACAGCTGAAGAGCGTTTCGAGCGCCAGTTAGCGATCGAGAATGGCGAGATTGAAGAGGAGGAGAATTCCCGTGGCCGTAACCAGAATCGTGCTGTCGTCTCTCGTGCCAATGGCGGTATGGGTATGATCGGCGCTACTGAGGCACAGAAACAAACGGCTCTTACTTCTGAGCGCCGCGAAAGAACCCGCAACCTCCGCCAAGAGAACAGGTATCTCGCTCGTGTCCAACGGGCCAACAACCACCAGAAGCATTACCGGGATCCTCTCCTGCAGTGATTTTGTCTATCGCCTTTGTTCTCTGTCAATACGCCGGATGCGCAAATATCCAGTGCGTTTTCAATTTGAATCCTTTTCAGGATTTCCGATATCATTGTTGAAATGATAAACCTTGCGAGAGGCTACCAACTATTTCAGGTCTCTGGGTAGCCAGCTTCTTTGCTATGGTCGGTTTCAATACAGTCAAAGGCGAGGCGTGGCAGCTCCTCCAGTCCCAGAACCATGCCCTCGAGAGGGGAATTCCCATCTGAAGAGCATTGCCTTTTAAAGGGCTTGACATAGTTAGCTCTGGCGAGGTCCCTGAACATCAATTACCAATTGAAGCATTGAGCGGCAGGAATTTCCTCATTGTGCCTGTTAAGGTGGGCCATCTATGACGAGACGCTAGCATCTGCGAGAGTACCTGTGCATTTGGCGGAGTTTTATTTTTTTGATCATTTCTAAGTTGGTCCACAAAATTTGAATTCTAACTGTGTTTCATTCCTGAATTCTCAACCCGACTCGTAGATTTACGACTAGATTCCAAGGGGCATATTTACAGTACTACAATGAAAGAAAGGCTCACAGGTGCTCCACTTCGTATCTGCGAGGACATGGAGAGCACGATGCATGTTCGGACCACCTCACATTATCATGTCGAGTACATTAAGTATATGTGAGGCAAAAGAACCTTGATTCACTAATTGATTCTTCATAAGCAGACCTCAGGTGAGCCCTCGTTGACGAGCAGAGATATTGAGAAGACTTGGGGTTGCTAATGCGGTGCTATGACTGATTATCGGAGACCTATCTTCCAGATTTCTTGAAAGCAATCAGATTTGAAGCGGTGTCTTTGAAAATAATTATATAAAAGAAAGAGGTCTAGGTTGACATTATATTCTTGATGTCTTAGCATCACGAGAACATATTATAAGAACATTGAAAAGCTATCTATGGCTTGGAAAGTTGCTCTTTGCGGAAGAATAACAAGAAACCGGCGCTATATGAGAGGACACGTTAGCATTCTATCCCTGGACGCGTTTCATGGGGATTTAGAGAAAGGCACTGACCATATCAGAAGTTGACAGCTTAGGGAAACCCAGAACCAAGCGTTTGCCAGTTCACCGGCACCCTTTGTCATATCCGGACTGATCGGGCCCGGCCCGACATTATTAGGTCCAAATGCGCGAGCGCAGATTGTTGCAATAGAGCCAAGAACTTGTGAGGCAATGAGTGCAAAACACATGTGGACTCGTGTCAGAGTTTGAAGAAGAATGACACCGAACCCAACTCCTTGGATGGAATCCAATACTCCTAGCCACAGCCAAAGACTGCGGGATGCGAGAGCACCTCCGGTGTATCCGCCGGCTACCCAAGGGAGGTAATAGCCGATGCCTGAGATACCCCACCAGATTTGGATGAAGCGAGGTGCGCCCAAACCACACGCGAAGACGGGAAGGAACCAACTGTGCTTCTTGGAGAATCTGCTGACGACGTAGAGGAAGACACACCAGACGACGCCGAAGAAGATAATACACAAAATGACAATTTGCCAGGCGTGGGCATGAGAAGAGCCCCACAAGACTAAACAGAATTGTTAGTTGCTGATTTGAATAAAACAATTCAGGGCGGTACTTACAGCTCCAATTACGGCCATATGGCGCACTGAGGAAGAAGTTCTGAAGAATGACAGCGACGAAGTTCCAAAGGACGATTTTTCGACGGAAAAGAGACTTGTAGAATGACGGGACCTTGCCGGGCTTTTGACGGTAGTAGTTTGGCAGACCGAACACCAGAAGGAGACCAATGCCCCAAAGGAAAACGGCGATAGGATAGCAAATGGCACTAGCAGGTAGTTAGCACGCGGTCGAGCCCAAAGAAGTGAGGAATACTTACGACATCTTCCAGGTGTTGGATATCATGGTGTCGGAGTTCAACAGGCCGTCGCTGGAAGCCTTGGTGAGGGTCGAGCCCCAGTACCAAAGACCAATAACGTAGGCTTGTTGGATACCTTGAATGAGGCAGGCACGGAAGATCCAGGTCTCAACCGGGGCACCGCCCTCGTCACCAAAATTTGATGCGAAGAAGATGGATCCACTGGAAGAAGCAGCAGCGTAGCATCCACTCCCGATGTTCTGAATCCAGCCACGACTGAACGAGCTGACCTCCCAATGAGCAGATCCAATCAGGAGGAAAGCAAGGCCGTAGAAAAACCAGGGAGTTGAAAGACAAACAACAGACTTGAAATAGCGGTACACAAGCCACCAGCAAACAGAGGTGATGGCATATGTGGTGGCAATACCATAGAGCTTCTCGGCACTTTCACCAACTTCGCCGGTAAGCAAAGTGATTTGGTAAGAGTTGGCGGCGATGATTTGACCCAAGGCAAGGAAGATCGAGTAAACCGGCCAGTCGCCGATCTTGATCTGCATCCACTTCCTGAGACCAGTCGGGGGAACATAATCTTTACCGAGGAGGAACTCGTCATCCTCACTGTCACTTTCGCTGAGGGCGATATGTGAGAGGGCCTCATCGTTGTAAGACTCTGCAGCCGGTGAAGCGTTATGTCTTCCACGGAACACAGACGGGGTCGGTGACTTGGGGTTACGGCGACCCAGTTTTGCATTGCGGAATCGATCGAACCATTCTTGTTCACTCTTGATCAAGAATTCTTCAATGCAGAGATCAGCTTCGGAATTAGACCCATTGAGATCTTTGAGTCTGGCCTCGAAATCATGATAGTATTCACCAGTGCCATCAGTGAAGAACGGATCGACCTTCTGGAGCTTAAAGTCTTTCTTATCACCCACGACGGAGTCCAGCGAAAGAACAGACGCGCTGCTGTAACGGTTGGACTCGGAAAATGGCTTGGAAGGGGGCAGCAGAAGCTGATCGGGTGTGGCTTTGGGTGTTCCAGGGCTGGTAGGGGGAATGAGGAATCTGGCATGCGTGGACTCCTCGCTGAGGCGACGCGTGGGCGAAGGCAACGCCGATCCAATTTGCTGCTGTTGACGACCCTGCTCCACCTCCGCAGGTGTGATAGTGTACTCATCATCGCCATAGATGCTGTGGGCTCTGTCCTCATCACTGCTTTCCTCATCGTGACTATTGGACTCGCTAGAGCTCTCGTTCTCCTGCTCATCAACGGCCGCTTCTGTTGGGTTGTGACGACCACGACGACTGCGATGTCCAGGACCCGAGCGAACACCAAGAGAGAGCGAGCGGCTGAGGCCGGACTTCGGCTTCTCAGTCTCGTATGGACTCGTATCTCTGCTGTAGGACACTGGCTTCGGTGATTCGAGGCCCTTGATTTGATTAAGAGTGGAGTAGCTGCTCTCTCGAGAATGCAGCATTCCAGGCGAAGGCAATGGGCTCATTGACATTGACATCGGAGATGGGCGGTGGGAAACAGAGGCACCATTTGGTGTGCTAGTTCCAGAAGAGGTCAGAGGACGTCCGTGGCCCTTAGCAACCTCTCTCTCGTGGACTGCAATGGCAGTAGACTGCAGAATTTCAAGGTCTTCCACCCACTGTGCAACGGGAAAACGCTGCTTGGCAGATCTAGCACGCATCATAGCACGGGTGTCTTGCTTGGAATTCAGAGCAGCCTCGATAGCCAGCTTAAATTGAACCAGCAAATGAGAGGTCGAGGTTGATTCCACGTTGTACCACCAGCCTGGCATCTGACCCAGGCCACCGACACGGGCTCCAATACCCAAGGCTCCCTTACGACCAAACTCGACTGCAACAAGGCCGAAAGGCTCATCTCTGGACGGGATGAGAGCGAACTCTGCACCAGAGAAGATAAACGGCGGGAGAGCAGTGAATTCAGGCTTCGAAAAGACACGGCCAGGGTAAACCTCCATCATGCGACCAAGTTTGAGGGCGGCGAATTTTCCATAAAGATCAATCACAGGACCAATACAGATCACTTGCACATTAGGTCGTGCCTCCAGAACAGCAGGCATGGCATCGGCGATCAGATCAACACCCTTCTGCATCGACCAGCGACCAACGAACACAAGTAGGTCGGCGTCGGGGTTTTGCTCAAGACCAGCCCATTCCTGGGCTTGACGCTTCAGCTCACCACGACTAGCCTCATACTCAGCATCGACTAGGATATCTTCATCCTTGTTCTTAGCGGGTTGACGAGTCCATTCACCAACATCAGAAGGATCAGGATTCGGGAGATTGCCAACTTTGCGAAGACCCCAGAAGATAGGGTAACGAGCATAAGACCGTTTTCCATATTTTTTAGAGACACCGACTGCACCGAAACCCTGTTGTTGAACACGGAGATAGCTGGCACCTGCGTGGAGCAGGTTGAAGACCTCACCAAACTGGACATAGCGGCGGGCAATATCCTCATCAAGATTGAAAACGGAGCAGACCTCGCGTCTCTCCTTCTGGGTGCGCATTGGCCAGAGACCCTGGAATTCAGCGTTGTGCAATGACAAACAAGCAGGAATGGTCTCTGGGAGAAGGTAGAGAGGAGCGACCGATCCATGGTAGTCATTGATGTGGTAGAGGTCGATAGGGAAACGCTTGATCGCTTGAGCGATACACTGGTTCCAAGCAGAGTAGTAAACCGCGCTGTCGAGGTCGTCCATGCGTGCTGGGTACGGTTCAGACTTCGATTGTTGACGGAAGACAGGGGCGTCGAGTAGGACGTAAGTGATATTCTTCAAGACGTGATACTGAACCTTGACTTGATATTCCTTGTCAAGGATCTTCACCGTCATGGGCTCTGCCTCCTGGTCAACTGGATAATCGACACCACCGACGCAGGGTACAACCCAAATCAAGTCCTGGTGGCCAAGAGTCTTTCCCATAAGCTGAGCCATAACACCAAGCCCGCCGATTTTGATCTTAATAGCCCAGTCCTCAATATCGTACTCCATTGTTGCGATGAGGACCATGCGTCGCTTGGCTGCTGAGGCAGCTGCACCTAGAGCCGTAGTGCTCTGCATGAAACCAGACTTGTTCGCGAGACGCATAAGAGGATTGACGTAGTCTTTCTCGGTAGAGCCTGAGGGCTTCAGCTTCTTCAGAAAAACCATAGGGCCCAGTCGCGACTTCTCAGTGACTCCATTCTCATTGAATTTGACCTTGTAGAAGGACTTCATGAAGATATAGACACAGGCAGCTCCAGTGAGCACCGGAATGATCCAGAATAGAACAAACATGATGATCTGGGGGGTCTGAGAGCCGACTGGAATGAAGGTGTAGCTTTGAGTCGCGTCGTTAATATAAAGCTTCCAGGAGACGTAAGGAGATGGTGGTGGCTTGGTGATGTTGAGGACTGTGTCGGAGAGAGAAGACGGAGGCATGCGATCCAAGATTTTATCGCCATCAGCATCACCCAGAACCCAGCTCTGGTCAGGCTTTCCATCTGGGTTGATGCCCCAGATGTTAAGCTGTCCAACCGCAGGCCATTCGGAGGTGAAATGATACTTCCAGTATCCATCTTTGGTGTCGAGCTCGATCACGTTGTCAAGACCAGCGTCATAGCCGTACTGATTGTATGGACCGTTGAAAAACGCGTGGGGGTAGCGTCGAGGGACGTCGGAATACCAGTTTGTATCGCCCTCCTGCATGTAATCGCTGCTTCCAGTCAAACTGCTCCAGTACTCCACACGCAGGTGCTCGCCCTTCCAGTTTTGCTTCTTGGTACCCGACCACGGAAGAGTCTCAATAGTGTCATTTCCACCATTGTAGGTCATCCAGTCCGAGAAAGTCGTACCCCAGTTGGTGGAATAACGATACTTGTCAGCTCCAGCAGCGTGATGCTGGATGAAGAGAGTGCCGTTGTGCTCATGTTGATGAAGAAGACTGGTTGAGTAGTTCGCAGTTGTAAAGACCATGGGATTATCAATCTGGCCGATTCTGAACAGGAAATGATCGACTGCATCCGTTGAGGAATTTCCGTGGACATTGCTTGCGTTTTTTAGAGTCAATCGGTGCACTCCGTTATAGACACCAGTCAATTTGGCAGTCCACGCAAAAACGCTGGGAATCTGAGCCGTCCATGAGGTTTCTGTTGCGTCGATGGTCTTGCAGTTAACGGTCGAATTGTTGATCTTTGCAATCTTGCCATTTTCAGTGGACGACTTCAAGGAAAGACTGTTGGTAATGGAATCACAGTCCATTTCTTCCGAGAAGAACAACTCAACATCCAGGTCCTCGGACTCATTGGGAGCTACCGTGGAGATGATTGGCATATCATGGCCGGGGGTGAACTTCGTCACCATGGATCGAGGCTTTTTGAACTGATCTTGAGGAACGTAGGCTCGGAATTCATAAGCATCCATGGTCAACTTGGGAACGCAGCCGTTATACTCAGATGATCCGTTCAAGCCAAGCTTTTTCGCACTGGCCTCGAGCTTAATTTCATCGTGAGGATAGAAGAGGTTTTTGACTGTAGTGCCGGCATCAAATGGAGCAATAAGGGCGGTATCGTTATCAGAACAATCAAATTTCCAGTCCATTGTGCGGTTGACGTTTTGATAAACAAGCCACACGGGCTTATTGGCAGAGTCGGAGCCCAGATCTTGGATATCGACATTGACGTCTCGGACAACAGACCAAATTCCAGTCTCGGTTGCTGTGCCATTGGAACCGGGGTAGTAGACATTCTCGGTATTGTTTGCCAATTGCGTAATAGTATAACCGTCGTTCAGAACAGGGAACTGTTCGCGGAGTTGAAACATATGTTTCATGATGTTGCGGACGGGGTGCGTCGGGTCGCGGTGGTCGTAGGCGACAGACTCGTTATGACATCCGAGGCGACCAGCCTCGATAGGCCACTTGTAGTACTGGGACGAGTCCAACTCGAAGCAGCCGTGGGTTCTCCAAGCTGTAGCAGGTGACATTGATTGACGTCCGTAGATATAGTTCGAGGCAGTTGCATCGAGGACATAGAAAGCCTGCTCCTCACCCCAGAGCATCAGCGGAATGCCGGGCAGAAGCAAAGTAGTGATAAAGGAGCCCAGAAGCTGTCTTTCGATACCATGGTGAATTGCAGGCCAACGGAAGACATCCTGGTTGGTTGCACCAAACATGTGCCGCGGGTCAAACTTTCCGGTATTCGGGTTGATGAGGTCGTTCGATTGCATCATATGATTCCAAGCCTGGACCCAGTCAACAGGCAAATCGAAGCCGGCGGACAGCTGGCCGTCCATTCCCAAGAAGCGTGTGAGGATACGGTAAATCGAGTAGTGGAAGGCGGCTCCGTCAATCGCTTCATGACCAATCTCACGAAGGAAGTATTGCGAATCGGACTCGTTCGTCAATTTCATCGACTCGATGTAGCTATCCGGTAGCTGGTTTGGCTGTCTGCCACGTCCAAGGTAGATAGATCCAAAGGCATCTCCACCAGTGATTTCACCAGCGATGAAGAAATTCTCCTTGCCCACAGCACGAGCGCATTCGCGGTAGGCTGCTGACATCTCCCCAAGGGCTTCGACCGTTGCTTGTGTAGCTTTATCGTATCGGAAACCGTCGATATCCAGAGAGGCAATCACCATACAGGAGTGGCGAATTAATCTGTCGCGGACAGACGGGTTCCATTCACGAAGACGGTCCTGTACGGATGCGAACTTGGCAAGCTGGCGTTTCCAGTCGGGGTACACGCCGAAAGCCTCGATATCACCGTATTGATCGAAATCACTATCATAGCAGCCGACCAAAGCCGAGGTTTGGGTCTCGTTGACAGGGTATCCGTTCTCAAACCAGAATCGAGGGTAGTTGCAAGAGTCGTTATATGAGTTTCCAATGTCGAAATCGACGTAACGGCGGTCGCTTTTCCACTGGGTCTTGTATTCTTTCTCGGAAAAAGGCGTCGTAGTATTGAGATGGCCGTCGAATCCAATCAAGTCGCCCATGCTAGACGTTCGGTTAGCGCTTGTGTTCTGTTGCGACTGTTGATGGGTTCCAAAGGGCCTTACGTTGCGATCGTGTTGTCGAACACGACGTACATGCCACGCTTGTGGATTTCGGTAATCGCATCGCGCCAAACCTGGAGAGTACCATAGTGCTGATCCAGCAAGGTGGTGTCCAGAGCAGAGTAGCCGTCGAAACCCCAAGGCTGATTCATTAAGGCGGTACCGGCGAGATAAAGACCCTAAGTAAATGTTAAACCCACGCTAACAATGCCCAACATTGACACGCACCTTGATTCCCATTCCCTGAAGGTAGTCCAGGGTATCGACAAGACCGGCAACATCGCCTCCATGGCGCATTTGATTTGAATTGAGGTCATGTTCAAACTGTGTGCCGTTGATGTTGTCGTTGGTGGGGTCTCCGTTGACGAAGCGATCCAGGAAGAGAGTGTAGAAAGGGAATCGCCAGTTATCTGGGGATTTGTGGTATTTCCCAACATGATTTGGCCATTCTCCCCAGTAGTCGGTGGGATTCGTCGCCGTCTTGTTTTGATTAAGGTTGTACTGCAACAGAGACTCATCATACGGCCAACATGTTGCGGTCAAGGCGAAGAGCGCGGACAGTCCGCCTGATAATAACCACCGCATGGCTTCTGACAGGCGATATGCAGAATGAGTGACTACTAAACCCCTCTAGCGGCCATGGAAGTGAGATGGGGTAAGAGGTCGCGAATGTGAATTGAGGTATCTAATGTGCGCGCAATTCTCGTCGACTCTGAGAGAGCTCACAGGAAGTGGGTGGAACCGATCGATTAAGAGTGTGAAACCGTCAGAGTTCGATTGCAACAATCGACTGGGCGGTAGAAGAAACGAGAGTGAAGGATAACGCCAGTCTTCACGCAAAGGATGCACGCTGAAGAGAGAACGAAGAGTATGAGAAAACAAGTCCAACGCAAAATGAGGCAGGACCTGACGGTTTTGTCAGATAAGCAGCCTCGTCTTTAACTTTGCATGGCTGCACAAAAATAAACCCGGGACAATCTATTCTCACTACGCGAATTGAGACAGTTTGGGGAGGCTGGTTCTCAGAATAGATCTTGGCATTGATACCCATAAGCCGTCGAAAGAGGCATAGGCCCGTTATTCCATGCTAAATTACGATGATTTTGTTTAGTTTGGGGATGAATTAGATCTGATTTGACCACGGCTAGCCCCGAAGCCCACTCTTCTCGCACGTTGGGCTCCCTGAACCAGGAACCCACAGTCGCGTGGAAGGCGAATTCCCGGGTATACGCCGAGAGTAGTAAATCTCGCTGTCTCATGTCGGTCGAAGCCGCAGAAAGGCCCTGCTCTGATCCTGCTCTGTCTAAAAAAGGCACGTAGGGCTCTCATACCAGTCCAAATTAGTCTGGTAATACCGGTCCACTGCGTCAAGGATCTACTGGTAGTTACCGATGACTAGTAGGTAAATGCACGGAACTAGAATGGATAACAGCGCTGCCATGCGGGAATCTTACAAGATGAACATAATAATCGTCGACTTCATCGTCCACTACCTAGTGCTGACAAGCGTGGCAGCTGTGATAGCAGTGAGCTCAGGCGATCTGAGCGAATTGGCTGATCTAGTCGCTCGTATTCCTGGAGACTTTTGGATACAGAGTGATGGTTCGGGTCGCAATTATCCACTTGCGGATTGTATTTACCGATAGCAAGTGAAACTCGAGCCCTACAGGATTCGGGATTCGGATGGCACGGTCACTCATGGATCTGACGGGTCCACCGATTGGCTGATCTTGGTTTGGGCTAAGATTTCGATCCTTCCAGTTGGCAATGTTGAGCGAATCTGGTGGAGAAGGAAAGATAGAATAGAATGCTCCACTAGGGTCTCAGTTTCTAGCCGTGAAACCGTGGGTCGGTTGTTATGTCCAGGGACCAAAATTACACTGAAAATTGCTACGATACTCGCCTTGCAGTACTCGTGGTAAAATGAATGAAATGCTAAATGCCTACGGTAAAGAAGGAAAAAGAAAATTATGCAAATTGTTCGTGAACCACATTGAGTCTTCCAACACTGCCATAATTAAGTAGTTAACCCGCGAAGCCGCTGCACTATAATACCTGGACTTTATTTACACACATGAATATGTTATTGCCCGAGAGGAAGCAGACCACCAAAGAGTAGTGTCGACCTCGACCGTTGTCTTCTCACAAATCCCATGTATGGCGGTTGCGTTATGACGGTGCTCCGTATTAAAAACGAAACACTAGCTTCAAAATTGCTGATCTGTATGACTAGGGGCTAGATAAGCATAATAGCCACCTGGTGTGGCGCACGGTTGTTTGTAATTTTGCGACCCTGTACATGTATTTGTACAGCCTCGAAAGTTCGCCGAAAGTGGACCTTCATCCGATTCTGGTAACATATCTCCGCCAGCCGCAGAACGTCCCTTATGGAACCTTCTGTTCCGTAACTTCGCGTCGTCGTTAAATTACCTCAAGGCACTGCTTTTTTGCTTATTACTTGCCCCTGGAATTACACCCATGGCTATCATGGACTTTACTTTTTTTAAATTATATCATCGGTACCTTTCGTCCGACTGGTGAGTTGTGCGCTGTTCTGTGAGTGAGCTGTACATGTACCCACACTGCTTTTGAGGTGTCTCAGATTTCATAACATGAATCAAGCATTGGTTATGTAACAAAACCACTCATTACTAACGTTTGTTTGCGCCGGCTAAATTTAGGTTTAGTATCTGGGTGGGTGGAAATGAGAACAAGACACTTTTTCACCACACAATGGAAGGTTGTCTCGGGCTCCGGACCTTTATGGATTAGATGGTGGATGGATACCGCCAAAATTCAGGGAAGTCGAGGATTTCTCCCGGAGTCGCCGTTCTACTAGCCACTAACGATGCACAGAAATCACAATTCGCATCATATCCGATGGACCAGGATCTGCTTGGCCTTTTTTCAACTTGTTCGCAGAATCTCCATCGGCATAGTGGATGGCAGTGGGCCTGACAAGCGAACTTAACACGTTAATTTTGCTTATCCTACCATACCTCAAACTCTTTGAAATGAGAGCTCTGAGTTGCCATATCCCTTGGCTTGGGGGTTCGGTCTCTTTAGGAGGTCGAATTCTCATTACCAACCAAACCATCAACCCTGGATCCAAATTGAGCTAGGTTCCAAGTCAAAACTCGCGCCACGAGACTATGGAATTTTGTCCGCATGAAGTACTAGTTCTACACTAGCGAGCGATGGATCGGCACAAAGACGCGGGGCCGGAGTCTGCCGTGCCTTGCACCGGATCCCCCATTTCTTCACCTCCACTCAACTTTGACACTCTATTGACTCGTCTGGGGTCGGCCACTTTCGTTTCCTTCAATGACAATCACACTCATTTTTTGACTTCGGCCGATAGCGCTCATTATTTGTCCAACACCTCATTCGGATCCGTGTCCGATGTCCCCCTTCGGAAATTTCCTCCCCCCCTGGTTCCATCTTCTTGCGGCTTCTCGTCCTATTCATGACTCCTTAATGAAAGAAAATGCGAACATCACAGAATCCCTGCCGATTGGCAGCGTTCTTTCTTCTCCTCTGTCTCTTTCGGCTCTCAGTAGCTGCTGGGGTCTCCGAATGGAAAACAAGATCGATTTACCAGACCATGACGGATCGTTTCGCTCGCACAGACGGCTCGACAACTTCACCATGCAACACAACGGCTGGGCTCTATTGCGGAGGAACATGGAGAGGAACTATTGATCGCCTCGACTATATACAAGGAATGGGCTTCGATGCTGTGATGATATCCCCCATTATCGAAAATGTCGAGGGTCGGGTTTACTATGGTGAAGCCTATCACGGATACTGGCCGTTGAATCTCTATTCGCTGAACGCCCATTTTGGGACAAAGCAAGACCTCCTTGACCTCAGCGATGCTGTACACTCACGGGGAATGTATTTGATGATGGACACGGTCATCAACAACATGGCGTACATCACCAACGGGAGCAATCCGGCTACGAACATCGACTACTCGGCCTTTACACCGTTCAACAAGGCTGATTACTTCCATCCCTACTGCAAAATCACAGACTGGAACAACTATACGAATGCCCAACTTTGTCAAACAGGCGATAAATATGTGCCTCTCCCTGATCTCTTTACGGAGCACCAAGATGTCCAAACCCTGCTTGAGGATTGGGCACAGGAAACGATGCACACTTATTCTATCGATGGGCTTCGAATTGACGCCGCCAAGCATGTTAGCCCCGGGTTTTTGAAGAACTTTGATAGCTCCACCGACGTGTTCATGACCGGAGAAGTTCTTCAGAGGGAAGTCAGTACTGTCTGTGACTATCAAAAGAAATACATTGGCAGTGTTCCGAACTACCCAATCTACTTTTCAATGTTGGAGGCGTTCACAAAGGGAAATATATCCGATCTCGCATACAAAGTCATTGAGATGAAGACATCTTGTCCGGACGTCACAGCCCTCGTTTCCTTTTCAGAAAATCACGACGTTGAACGCATTGCTAGTTTCAATGACGACATTACAGTACGTGTGAATCCTTTGTCATATTCAAAATGCAATCAATACTAACTCATCCATTTTTTCACGATACAGCTTGCCAAGAATATCCTGGTTTTTACGATCCTTTTCGATGGCATACCGATGATTTATCAAGGCCAGGAACAACATTTGAAGGGCTCAGCAACTCCGCTGAACCGCCAGGCTCTCTGGCTTTCCAAATACAACACAGATTCCGTTCTTTACAAGCTGATCGCGAAGCTCAATGCCATCAGAAAACAGGCTCAAAAGCTGGACAGCGACTATGTGAAAATCCATTCCCGGGCCGTCTTCCAAGGTGGAAGTGAGCTTGCTTTTGTCAAGGGCACCGAAGGGCTTCAGGTTCTTCTTCTTCTTTCAAACCAGGGAGCATCGGGTAAACCATACTCCATGACTTTGCCATTTAGCTTCAATGCTGGCACGCATGTTACGGAGGTGCTTAATTGCAAAAATTACACCGTTGACAGCCAAGGCGAATTGCAGGTAGACATGGATGCTGGAGAACCTCGTGTTTTCTACCCCACAAAATATCTCGAGGGCAGTGGCCTCTGTGGTTATTCATCTGCCAACATCTCACTCGTCGAGCTCAAGACAGGCTACCATGCTGCAAGCTCTCATGGATTCACTCTTCATGGAAGCCTGAAGTCCACGACATGGGCTCTGCTCGGTCTATCAAGTATGATAGTCATTGCACTAGCAGCAATTTGAACTCGAAAGATGGAGCTTAGCTGTAACTGCGGTGCTGGGTTAAGCGTTGTTGCGCGTGGCTGTCTTCACATTTTTTAATTTTTTGTTTTTCGATGTTGCAGTGTGCTCTTTAATTACCAGATACCTATTTCCTTCTTCTATATATATATATACATATATTTATTCAATCTGATGCCATCTAACGAAGCCATGCCCTTCCCAAGGTCGTTCCACGCGAATTCCAAAAACTCAACCAGTAAATCTTACTAGTGTGCTTACCCGCTATGCACAAGAGGAAAAAATTTTAATATCAAAAGGGATGCCCATGATGTCCTCTGTACCTAAGGCTATACCTGTGGACGGCATGGGGACTTAGATCTGGCTCCGTGGTGGCTAATACATACTGTGTAAACCACAGTACGTTGCTGTTATGTGGGACTAATCCACAAATCGAATTTTCGCAGCCCCACAGAACTTACCTGCTCAGCTCTGGACCCTGGAAAGAAGACCCGTATTGAAGACCCACACCTGTTTCACCAAGTAATATCGAATCAGCGGTGCAGCAGTCTCGACTAATGCTTTCTGGCAGCCAGTCTCATCAACCCCAGAGACACGGCAAATCGTGAATCTACCTCTTCCTCTAAATCGAAGAATTTATGCTATGAGTTGGGGTCACACCATCATGTTTCCTTTCCTCTCGTGCTTCAGCGGGTCTCGTCGCCGCGAGCGAAAATGTCTACTGGAGAAAGAAGGTCAGTGCGGAATTATCATGGATGACGGAGGTTTTCTAACTCTCGCTATTACGAAATAAAGAGAATGCAAAGTATCTTGATCGATACCCTTCATGGGATGGCCCAGAAAATTCGCTCATTCTGCAAGCATTTGAATGGCACATGCCCTCTGACAAGCGTCATTGGAACCGGTTGAAACGGGTCCTGTCTGAATGGCAAGCCATCGGTGTTGATCATATATGGATTCCACCGGGATGTAAGGGAATGGATCCAAATGGGAATGGCTATGATGTATACGATCTTTTCGATCTCGGAGAGTTCGAACAAAAAGGTTCAGTCTCAACCAAATGGGGCAATCGAATAGAGCTGGAAGAAATGATACGCCAAGCAAAATCTCTCGGTGTCAATGTAATTTGGGATGCTGTTCTAAATCACAAAGCCGGCGCGGATTATCCAGAAGAGTTTCCAGCTGTTGCCGTGGACCCCCGAGGTATTTGTCCCTGTTATTTCTCAACCTCGCCTTGACTTACAAAGATGCATCCAGAGAGAACAAAAGAGATATCCAAACCATTTGAGATACAGGGATGGACAGGATTCGATTTTTCCAACCGCAGAGACCAATATAGTTGCATGAAATACCACTGGCAACACTTCAGTGGTGTCGATTGGGACCAGAAGCGCGAGAAAAACGCAATCTACAAGATAGCTGGACCCAATAAGAACTGGGCGCCGGATGTTTCCAATGAGAATGGAAATTACGATTTCCTTATGTTCGCTGATTTGGATCATTCAAACCCCGAAGTTCGCAACGACTTACTTCATTGGGGATCTTGGATCGCTGAATCATTATCCCTCAGCGGAATGAGACTGGATGCTGCGAAGCATATTTCGACAAGGTTTCAGAAAGCCTTTGTCGAGCATGTGAGAGATCAGGTCAACCCTAAATTCTTCGTGATAGGGGAATATTGGACTGGAAACCTTTACGACATTCACGAATATTTGGAAAAGCTCGACTACCAGGCCCTGGCATACGATGTACCTCTTTTGCGGAAATTTTCCAGTATTTCTCATTCTGCAAAATCAGACCTCCGCGGTATTTTTGAGGGAACATTGGTACAGTCGAGACCGGACCATGCCGTGGTAAGTTATCTCTACAGCCTTCATTCTTACGAAGCTGACATGTCTGAAGACATTCGTTGCGAACCATGATACGGTACGTGCTCTCACGGAACAATTCGAGTAATTTGGATCTTACGGCTAACTCTGAAAAGCAACCCGGCCAGATGCTCGAAGTGAGTAGAATACCAGATTCGTCCCAAGATAATAGCTCGGATGAAAGCAGGAAGCTGATGAATTTTTAGACCCCAGTTGCCTGTTCTTTCAAACTACTGGCTTATTCCCTTATTCTGCTCCGAAAAGGCGGCAACCCTTGTGTTTTCTTTGGGGATTTATACGGGATACGAGCTAACGTTGAGGAGCCAATGAAGCCGGCTTGCGACGGCAAGCTCCCTATCTTGATGCAAGCACGCAAGAACTATGCGTATGGTGAGCAGGAAAACTACTTTGACCAACCGAATTGCATCGGTATGTCACATTAATTCCCATATCCCCCTTGCCTAACGAGTCTTGCTAAAGTATAGCCCAGGGTTCGTCCGCCATGGTAACGCCAAGCACGCCGGCCTCGTATGCCTTATCAGCAACGGGGACCCAAACAACAAGCGTATGTTTATCGGGCGACAGCACGCAGGAACTCAGTGGAAAGATATCTTAGGGTACCATCGTACTTCTGTTGTTATCGACAAGCGAGGCTATGGCAATTTCCCTGTCAATGCTACTTGCGTTGGGGTTTGGGTTGATTCGGCCGCCGTTGGAAAAGATGGCTTGCCAGGAACCTTGTGAGTCAAAGGGCCTTCTACGTGGTTCTATTGCTTTGCCCGATTATTCCACTGATGCTAATTTTAAATTAACAGAGATTTGAACATTTACGGTTACTGACTCAGTTTGAGCTGGAATCAAATACCCGAAGCGATCCAAAACCGTCATGTACAGTACAACCACAAACCTCTGGGCTCATGGTCACTAAGCGCAGCCAGACAACTGCTGTGGATAATTGACCCCGTTAGCAAGACATTTTCCCTTTCCTGTTTAGTCCGCACAAGCTCGGAGAAAAGCCGTCTCGTGGGTGGCGTATCCGCTAGCGTTCCAAAAATGTAGCGCGAAACACCCGATTATGCATGTCTCATCCCATTTAGAGAAAACTCGACTGGTCGCATCCGTATCCGTCTACTAGCTTGATTCTGCTCGCTGCAAGTCTTCGGGTGGATACCGGCTGGCGGCCTGTTTCTCGGAACGGCATCCCGAAGCACGTTGGCTGCTGCGTCTTGGCTCGCTGCCAACCCTAGTTCCAAACTTGCACCAAATGCTCGGTTAATTAACGAAGGCGTTTGAACCGGCGGTATTATTCAAAGAGAATCGAATTTCTTCCGAAGGGGACTCGCGACAGATCAAATTTCTGCAGGACCCTCCCGTAGTCTTGGCGGAAATAATCCAAATTCAGGAAATATACGAGTACCATATCTGTCAGACGAGGTCCTCGGCGAAAGATAGTCCGCATCGGTGGATTGTGGCTCAGATACGGCTAGCGCGTATTAGGCAAAAGCGGCGATCGTGGCGTACGGTAATATTACCCGGTAACGCATACCGGTCTTGGCATTACTAGAAGCAGATCAGGAAGCCAAAAAAAGCTTTCAGGGTCCGAGATCTTTCACCGGCGCGGATTTTGTCTGACAGAAACAGCCCCACAACACATTACCTGGTTCGCGCCACTCACGTCAAAACCGCCCGAGGTATCCGAGGTGGCTTGTCTTGGGCAGGGACTCGATCGAACCAATCGCAATGGCCGGCCTAAGCCTCATGGCGGTGTGCTCTCCAACTGGTGGACATGCAATTTCACAGCAGATCACAACATCAATACGAGCCGCGGAGACAATGGATTCCTCTGCCACCATACTTTGTTACAGTTACAATAGGTAAGTGGTAAGTATGGATACAAAATGCGTATCAGTTCGTTCAGGTGACGGCCTTCCTGTCCAGGGTTCAGCTTGACACAGAGACATCTCAGAGACATTATTTCCTAAATAAGATGCATAGGAAGATTCTTCGGCGCAATGTGTTGGTTTAGATTTATGGGACCGTTCATGAAAACTTGCTAGCTTGTAGAAATTAGTTTGAGACGATCTGCTTACCTTTTGTGCGCCTCTTGCTCTATATATTGGATGACTACTGCTTATAACAGAGACATCCCCAGCATTGAGGTTGTTCGGAATATCGCCTACAAATTACACTACCTCTTCATACATTGTACCAACCTTTCCAACTCAAATAGATACCTATCAATATGCGCGTCTCGGTTATTCTTGCTCTGGCTCCCCTTGCCATCTCTGTTGGAGGTAAGCCACGCTAACATGAACCTTGTGTTGGAAATTCTGGAATTATTAACACTCAGGTAGCTCTTCAGGTGACTGAACCCAAGAAGGATGCTGAAATAGATGCCTCTGGCTCTTTCGTTGTCAAGTGGTCCTCCGTTGAGTGCGTTCACTCCATGTTCCCAATAATTGTTAGACCATCCGTTAATCTGAACTAGCTCCGATCCCTCGACATTCGACCTCTATCTCGTGAACAACGCCGTTTACCCCAACGTCAACAAAAAGATTGCGTCCGGAATCGACACTTCTGATGGCTCCTACACTGCCAAGGGCATCGACGCTGCTGCTGGGTAAATCTTCCCATCACACTCCCGACGCCGTTCTCATGGCTCACTTACGCTGACAATGATCACAGCGATGGCTACCAGGTCAATCTCCTCTCCGATTCGACCGAGAACACCGGAATCCTGGCCCAATCCCAGCAGTTTAACGTGACTGGAAGTTCGGACAGCTCCTCTACCACAACCGGCGCTTCCTCCCTCACTTCTGCCACCACTGCCACTTCATCTGAGGAGACCACCACCAACGCTCTCATCACCACCACCTCTGCCGGAACTGTTATCACTTCAAAGCCTACCGCTGCCTCTGGTTCTGCTTCCGGCTCTGTCTCTGGAACCTCGTCTGCTGCCCCCACTACCTCCCTGAACGCCGGTGGATCCATTGCTGCTCATCCGGCTGCTGCCGCCGGAATCTTTGCCGGTGTTTTGGTTTTCGCTCTCTGAATGGGGTGTCTGAAAGACCGCTATTTGGATTTGGAGGGAGCTGGCGAGACATACCCTCGAAGTTGATAATTGATGTGGAAAGAAATGAAGCATATCAAGGGATCGGTGTGTGTTTCATAATATTGAATGCTGAGTTGGAGATGTGAGCTTTTGCTACGTTGTGTCATAAAATTGGATTTCTTCCAATTATAATCAATATTTGCGTTCGATTCATGTCGTTATCTGATATACCACGCAGAAGGAATTTGGAAATGTCACATTCACCTAGTCTAGACTAAGCAATCCACGACGGGTAAATCAATCGTTTCTTTGATCTCTTTGAAGGCTTGAATGAGCTACTCATCTTCAAATTAAGATTAGGCCGCGAAGGACCGCAGTGGCGTGGTTTAACCGTACGTCGGTAGCTTGGCAGAAGGAGATGGTAGTGGTGTCAGGAGCGGACTTCGTCAACTCATCAATGATTCCACACAAGAGCATCGTTTTACCTTTCCTAAGGTCTCCTTTAATCCAGAACAGTTGACCCTGTTCCTCACAGCGCCATCGTTTGAAATCAGCATGGTTGAGGATCCAGCTGTATGCGTCTTTGAGTAGATGGAAACAACCTCGGAAAGCGGGCTGGGCAAGCGGTGGTTTGGTAAATTCGTGGATTGGTTGAAAAAAATAAATACCGTCGAAGCTGGAAATGACGGATTCCTCAACACGGCATTCCAGAAGGGCTTCCTTCTGTATCGAGCTGTCAAAGGGTGAGCTAATTTCGGCCACCAGCCACCACGTTGAGATTCACATTACTGACCAAACCATACAGATGTGCTCGTCGAACCTTCTATGCAGAGATGATGTACCTAGATGCTGATATTCAGATGGATGCGACATACGCATACTATCTCTCCGGAACCATCGTACCATTGGAGTGGACGATACTTACGGGTACTTGGGTGTGGAGCCAAGCACATACCTTGGCCTGCGCCTTGGAGGAAACGTCATCATGACCTATAACCTCGGAGTGGAAGAAGCTGATTGACACACTTTCTTACCCTGGATTGAGTATTAAGGGTATTGCAACTGTTGGACCTAGCTTGGATATATACGGGCGGGTAAGTGCTGTGAGAGAAGGAATTCTAAGAGCTATACTGACCCTTCAAACTCTTTTCAGATTCGCGGTAGTGTTACTCTGAGTGGTCATGCCAAGGCTGGAGCCCGAGTCCACTTTGGCCGTGCAGAGCTCTACTTCCCACAAGACGAAGAGGGCACTAAATGTGATAAGGACTACGATAAGATCTCAGACATCAAATCTCAACAACAGCGACCGAAGACTGGCCTAGAGCCGCAATTCTTCGCATCCGCACAAGCATCCGCAAATCTTGCCATTGATGTTTCCCCCAACGCAAAGATTGGTATCGAGGTAGGACCGTCCGTTCTGGGCAAAGGAAATTTGGTGAATGCGCAGATTATTGCTTTCCTCAACAGCACTCTTGATTTCTCCGCTACTGTGACTGGATCAGTTAGGACCGGCACAAGTCCTACGTACTGCTACAAATACGGTGCCTATCTCTACTACAATTTAGGTTATGGAGGATTCGCAACGTGGAACTGGCATTTCACACCAATCTACCTCTACAGCATCCCAGGTCAGAAATACACGATCTATGAGAACAGTAACGTCGAATCCGACGCGACGCTCAACTCAAACAGAGATGTCAAGATAATGCCAGCCAATGATGAAAAGGGAATTTTCCATGACGATGATGATGAGGACGCAGTTTGGGATGATGGCGGCCTCGAGCCATACGTTCCACCGGCGAGCCATGTTCACCACCGCAGAAGTCATATGCACCTTCATCACAAATTACACGACTCTCATCATGAGAAAGCCAATGCTACAACACCCATTCCCGATATGGGTTCTGTGATATTCAAAAGAGCAGACGATGATGGTGGTAAAAAGAATGATACGGCGAGTAGTTCCAAGTTCAGCGGCTCCCAGAAGTTCTCATGCCCTAAGTCTGGCAACAAGGAGCCAACCCTTCCAGAATTGCGCTGTATGTATTGATACTCACATCGGGTGTGGACTTTTGTTAACCCTCACAGATAATTGTCGAACCTTCTCCGCGAATCAAGTCGTTAATACCAATGGCCAGTCTCAGGTAATCAGAGGTATCTGCGACGGTATCCTCAGATGGTTCACGTCAGATGGCGCCAGCAGCGATGGGTCACACTTACTTGGGACTCGAGCCGTTGCAATTCAAGAGACGCATACACATGTAACTCATGGACAGACTGGGAACCCACGGATCCAGAGAGGAACAGGTACTGCACCAAAGAAAACAAGAAACTTAATCAGGATGCCGGGGCAACTCCCGAGAAAAGATTGATCAGCTGCGATGAGTTTCCGTTCGGTGGAGCTGGAGAAGGCGGGGAATGGGGGCCAAATACAGACCACAGAGAAGGCCTCCAACTGCAAATTGCGTGCCTGACTGGCAGCAGTCGCTGCAGGGAAATTGCAACGGTACGTATTCATACTCGCCTATCTTCTTTTTGGATGATTTTAGTGACAATTTCAGGACTTCTGAGTACTTTGTACACCAACGTGGCATACTTCGACCGGGATGCCGATTCAGATGACGAAGATTGGAAACTATGGTCCAAGCCAACCCCCAAGGGAAGAACAGATGAAAGATGGACCCCAGGAGGAAGCGAGGATGATTCATATCCACCTGTCTTGGACGTTTGACACGATATCCCGAGGTCATCCCGCTCGCTCATAGCATTGACAGAACTGTGAGTACCAAAAGTTCTTTCAAGATGACTGTGAAGTGGTTTTCTTTTCTGACCGGGTCTTTCAGGAATAGGAAAACTCAGACCGAACCCTTGGCTATAACTTCACGCGCAATTTTACTATGGCCCTCGCCTACGCAACGAGTCTTTCAGATACGCCTGATCAATGGGGCAAGATGGCGCTCCAGGATTTCCAGATAAAGACCTACCCTTCTGAGAGCAAAGCTTTGCGCGTTCTATGTGCGGTAAATTTGTTCAATCATCCGGACGTCTATCGGTACGCAAAGAGTGGTAACGGGTATTGCTACGATACACGCAAGGGCATGAGAAATCAAGCGGGTGAGACAACAACTTTTGATTTGACCGAAACTTGCACTTTTTTTTTTTCAAGGCTTTGGAAAGAGCCCAAGATACAATATGTGCAAGGTCAACTAAGTCGGCAGTAACTTCGCTGACCAAACAGCTCCCACTCAGTGGAGTAAGCGAAGCCAGGATGAGCCGATGGAAGCGAATGATGCATAGGAGATTGAGAGTATGTTCCCACGAGTTTTCACCTTAGATCAGGCTAATCCTTTTTCTTCTTTTCAGGTATTGAGCTGCATCCAGATCCGGATGTCTGATGGCCTCTGCCAGACGATGTGGACTGGGAGAGTATGTTTATCTCCGAGTCCGGAAACACGAAGCTTGGGCACGAAGCAGACTCGAACTTGAATTAAATATCTGGCAGTTAGAGCGTGTTCAGTCTTGTTTGAATAAGGTCGAATATAGATTTGTCAATCCAAATTTCTTTTACACTTTCTGTGACATTTAAATCATTTTCTCTCCATAGCGCTGGAAATATTTTGGAGTAAATCCCCTTCAACACCTAGGGAGATGGTAGTGAATTGTATCTTCTATCTACACGTACTCCCCAACAGCTCCGGGACTTCCAATAGTGTATGGGGGACCTCGGCTTCCACCCTCATGATAAGCAGGGCCAATTTCTCCAACGGGGGATAGAAAGTCGTCTTTCCAAACACGCTCAAACCAGGTGCCATCATAATTATCTTCCGATCCATCATTGTGCACCCGCCACTGCCTCACCACATTTCCACAATCATCTAAAAACACATTCAATAAACCTCCACCGTTGGTTGCCACCTCATCCTCCACGTAGATATGAGTAACAACACACTCGCCATACCTTAAAAGAGGGTTCTCTTCTCGTTCTGTCTTTCCTCGTGCTAATTCCTCCTTCAGCTCATCAGAGTAGTTTTCTACACTAGGATCTGGACTTTCTCGCTGGGTAGCTACTATTTCTCTGAGTTCGTTGTCTCTAAGCTCAATATCGACAGACTCATTCGTGACACGCTCAGGAAAGATTTCCAGAGCAGCTGCCAAATCCAGACCACCAAAGATACTTTCGTCGTCGAGAACTACTCCATCGTAGGAAACCCATTCTGCCTCTTCATTGTCGGCCCATAAAGAGTTGTGAGCCTCTTCATTAGTGTAGCAAAGACGAAGCCAAAGGCCCTTTTCCGCCACGGTATTACAAGCGTAGGTGCGTAGTGCCTCGGGGCGTATCGGCCGAAGAATCTCGTCTATTTGGGCTTCAGTGGGTACAGCTGGTGAATCCCCTGGCCAGTAGGGCTAATAAGTTAATATTGGGTTAGTTGAGGGTCGCGATTCTCAGATTGAGTATAATAGGAGGTTTACCTCTCTGCCTTCGGATCCCAATGCGAGGAATTGGCGTAAAAGTCGTTTGCGACGGTCTGCGGGGGACTCGTTGGATTGTGAGGGGTCCGGATGGGGTTTTTCCCACTCAGAGAGGAAGTAGACTTCTAATGGAAGTTCTCCCCAAGCAGCTGTTTCGGGATCATCGTTCTCAATGATATGGAGAGGCATTTTGTGTAGTTTCGCCCCGTGGCTTGGGAGATGGAGAAAGATGGAGGGACGAGGAACACTGGCAGTTGCATACACTAAATACTGTACTGTATGGTCCAAACTTAGGTCATTCTATACTTGGAAGTGATCGCTGCTGCGCCCCGTCAAAATTACTGGTTCAGATTGCCCTAAGAAGTAGTTTCATACACAGTAGTACCTCGTACGGGTTAGAAGTAAGGTGGCGAGCAAGATAATCGGAGAGGAAGCTGTGACTATTTGATTCGTTCCACATGGTTTTTGAGCGAAGTGCGATGGCTTTTCCGAATTCTTCTTCCGTCTGAAAAGGGCCGGTAACAGCTGGGTCTTTTTCACGAGAAAAGAATGGGGAATAGGTCCTCGGTTGAAACTGCCATAATATATAGGCGTTGGCAGCGCTCTCATTTGATCGAAGATGCATCGTAATTGTCCAACAATCGAATGTTTATTTGCCCCAGTGAGCGAAGGCCACGCCATCCCTAGAGAAATTCCTGAGATGTACTCCATTACGATATACAGGGTATCCCGATCGCGGTACATGGCGTAGAGTCGTGGCGCCGCGATGTTGAGCCATTTTCCAACAAAAAGAAGAGCATGTCCCTCATTTTCAGTCACAAGTGGGTCCCACAGTTTCGATAGATAGTTTGCCCGACCTCAGCCAGAAGCACAGGAGGGCCACCCTGAGGATCCTTTTGTATAGAGAACTGTAGATGCTTCAATTGCAACGAAAGCAAGGCACTCAGTCGATTCACAGTGAATATGCCAAGCATGCTGAAGAGACACATCTGGATATGCTCGTATCCGAAATTGAACCGCTTTTCCTGTGTTCGGAAAATGGTCTCATTCAATTCGGTCAAGTCCTGGACGTAGACTGGTCCTTTACCTCGCTCTTGTTCATCTAGCTCGAACTTGTCGATCAATTTCCGAATCCCCTAAAATTTCTATTAGCGCTCCCTGCGATTTGACGGGGATAGGCAACTGACAGCATTGATCTCTTCTCTGTCTTCAGGGCTGAGCTTGGTGCGGGTGATTCTCCAATTGTAACCTTGAAACCCCTTCTAATCTGCTTTGAGGGCGCTCGCTTTAGTTGTGCCTTTCAGGTGCCTGCCACCTACACCGTACTTGAGTTTCATGGAGTAGTTGAGGAATCGATGGGTCATTGTGCCAAGGCTCGAAGCCCAATACTGTCTTCATAAAAAGCTCTATCCCACCCAGTGTTGGTGACAATGACCCAATAGCTGGCATGATAGTTCCACAACCAATTACATGGACATTGAGCCTCCATCAGTGGGATCCTGCCGCTTGTCGGCTTCAGTCCATAGAGTCCGCAACTGGCAGCCGGCTGACGAATACTGTTGCCTGTTGCCTGTCAGATCAATTTGGTTTGCTGTTGCAGGATTGGCAAATGTAATGCGGGCGGGAGTATCTATATCTGACCCAATTCCTAAAGGGCTGCCATACAGGCAGGGCCTGTAGAGCTGACTCGCCCCCAGACGAGCCACCGGATGTCAGAGCGGTGTGGTGCGGATTCACTGTGACTCCAGTGATATTATTGGAAGTTACGAGCCCCAGCTGCAATAGAATATCTATGAGTTGGCATGCAGTCGAAGATCGCCGTTGCCCAAGGACTATCGAACTTGCCGATCCTTGTGGTTCCATGGTTCGCGCGTAGATCACCGCACCGGCATCCAAGACAATAATGACGACGCCTGCATTTGCTGAGCTCTTCCTTCCAATCCAACGCAAACGAATCTTGTCCTTCAATACCGATGTGTGCTTTGGTACTTATTGACAAGCCATGCAGAAGCCCTATAGTTTTTCCGTGTGCCGCAAAATATTCGTCCAACACTTTTTCGGGGAGCAATTCATAGATGCAATTAGTCTGCGTGCAACACATTGAATGAGTCAGTTGCGAGGTCCTGAGGTTTTAATTGCTTGTGGTTGCTGGTCGTCATACTAGCTTCTGCGCGATCGCAGAGTCCTTAGCGTTCTCGCTCCCGCCCGTCTTCATCATTTGGTCCCGCGACCCCCAGCATTGCCAACCTGGTCCCCGGACTCAGCAGGTTTTCTGGCAAAGAACTTCCTCCACTGTCAATAGAACTGAGTCACTCAATACCCTTATGTAGTCTCAACAAGATTACACCAAATCGCTCTGCGTTTGCACGTATCCGTGGAAAAAGCGAAGCGAATCTGAAATAGTCCGTCTTGCAGCATCATCTTCCATCATCGAGATATAATGTATGCACTAACCCAGTGCGCTACCTCAATGGCATGTGGACATACTCCTCAGAGGATATCTTGTCGATCCTCTCAGAGTTAGGCGATTCACAGTGAGCTATAAAACTCCCGGTGACTTTTTTCAGGGGAACTTAGGGCCACCCTTTCAGGATTGCGCATTTGTTCGGAGATCCAAGAGGGTGACAAATATTGTAGGGCTCAGCAAGGTATAGAAAGGAACTTCAACGCTGGAGATATTTCTCCGCGACATTCGTTGTGATTGATACGTAATCTCTTATTTTACATTGCGTTGGCCTGATTACTTCGGGATGCTAAAGCATTTAGAACTTGGTGTATCGGAGGTAGGGCTTGACCTCGCGAACCTCGCCGAACTTTTTCTTCGCGTCGGGGGTGGAAACGGACGGGGGCACGATGACATCGTCACCCACCTGCCAGTCGATCGGGGTGGTCACACCCTTCTTGTCACCGGTCTGCAAAGAGTCGATAACGCGCAGAACCTCGGCGGAATTGCGGCCGGTCGAGGCAGGGTACATCATGGTCAGACGGATCTTCTTGCTCGGGTCGATGATGAAAACAGAGCGGATAGTGAACGCAATACCCTTCTCACTGATGTTGTCGAGGTCCTGTTGGTCGATCATGTCGTAAAGGAAGGCAACCTTACGATCAGCATCGGCGATGATGGGGAACTGGACGTCAGTGGAGGAAACCTCGTTGATATCCTTGATCCACTCGCCGTGGGAGCCGATGTCATTGGCGCTCTAAAGCCGGGCGTGTTAGCCAAGCACCTTTACAAAGAAAGGAGTTTTAGAAACCCACCAGGCCAATCATCTTCACACCGCGCTTCTCAAACTCGTTCTTCATCTTCGCAAAAGCGCCGAGCTCAGTCGTGCAAACAGGGGTGAAGTCGGCGGGGTGGGAGAAGAGGATTGCCCAGCTGTCGCCGATGAACTGGTGGAAGTCAATTTCACCCTTGGTGGTGAGAGCCTTGAAGTTGGGTGCTAGGCCTTAGTGTCAGCATACCCATTGGCCCTGTGAGCGTCCTTTTTGAGGCTTACCGGTCGATCCCAGGCGCAGACGCGGCTGCTCCTGGGCGGGTGCCGCGAAGAAGCGGCGGAAGGCGGGCTGGGCGCGAGGCAGCTGGGCCGACAGGCGGGCCCAGGGAGCAGCCTTGGGGGCAGCTCTGAAAGCGCGGAAAGCCATTTGCGGTGTGAGTGTGGCAGCCATTGTGATGATGGAGTATTGTAGATGTTTCCCCGGCTTCTCCCACTGCATACTTGACGACCGCTTGGCGTCATAGCGGAGATTACCTCAGCAATCACGCCATCCCCAGATGCCGCTAGCCGATTAAGGTAAACAGCCGGGTGTTCCGGGTTTCTTCACGATTGACGACTTCAATCTAATTCAACAATGCAATTGTACTCGGTTGAGATTGTCAGAATTCGAGTTCTGTATATTCAGAAGTCAAAATTACCATCGTTCGGAATTGTGTCAAGCGCCGTATAATGTATACGGCACCGTGCGTACTCTTTCTGCCGCTGTAAGGCTTAGGGAGTCTGACTGGCATCCTAAAATGTGATATACATTCGATGCAATTCTCCCTGGTCCAAATGTACCGCACTATATCCGCACTTAAAATGCAGGAACAAGCGTTGACTTTAGTGTTGTGTGCATAAATTATGCCGTGAAGCAAAAGCATATTCCACCGTTTCGGTATAAATGCTTAGACTGCAACCAACAACACCAGTGGAATTCCACCCAATATCATTCACAGGTATCGTGATGTGAGACTTTCCAAGGTTCACAACCATCATTTCAGGCTTGAGCATACCAGCAACATCGCCCGGTGACAGAGACTGTATATTTGAGCACTCAACCTCGAAGCCGGTACAACGTAATAGACCATTAAAGTAGGCGCTCAACCTTATCTCCCACGGAATCAATACGAGGCGCATCTGCCCGTGCTGACGAGTGGAACCGCCGGGCAAACAAGAGGCTCTCCTGCGCTGCACATGCGGTGACAGCCCTACTCAGCCACCAGCCAAAGTCCAATTTGGGATGTTTTTCTTAGCGCTCACCAGCTCGAGACGTCAGATTGGGGCCCCTTAATACAGGCCTAGCCCGAGCCTCCGCGGTCGCTCGTATCGCATCTCGAGAGCCTGGATCGCCAACATGACGACCACGGGTGCCCTGCCCCTGACCACCACCTTCGTGCCACCAACCGGCTGTACTACCGACATCTACCGTATTCTGTGGTTAACCAGCTCGGACTATCCGTGGTGGTGGTTGAGTCTCGGGCTTTTCGGCTGGTCCACCTGCTTCCCCCAGGGTACCAGCCTACAAGCTACTTCTCGCCTGGTTTGCAGTCCAGAGAGCTATACCGCTGCAGCCCCATCGACTTCACAGGAGGCGAGACTCAGGCAACATGCTATCCCAGGTGAGCGGCGATCGGTCACTGACTGTCAAGGATGAAGGAGCCAGGGGTTTTAATATTTGTTTGTTCCTACCAGCTATTACAATGTTCAAACCGGTGATGACTCGCTCTGGTACACCACGAATCCATGCACTTCGTCCAATACCGACGCAGCGTCAGTCCATAGCTACACCTACAGCAGCTCGGTGCTGTCAGAAACAGGAACCTACGGTGTAAATGCCAAGAGCATCTCTATCCGCTGGAAATCAGAAGACTTCGCATCCAAAGTGGCGACAAGCACGACAGCAACAAGCACCACAACTAGCCCGACTCCCCACGACCACTGATGATAATCAAACATCCGACGACTCTGGGCTTTCCACAGGCGCAAAGACTGGAATTGGCGTTGAGTTGCAGTGGGCGCCATTGCGCTTATCGCCATCGCCTTTTTTATCTGGCGAAGTCTGCGAAAGACCCCGGAGCCTGCCTATGCGCCGACAGCTCAGTCAGAGCTTCCACGAGAGGCGGAAACGAGTCAAGTATACGAGACAGACTCCCAGAGGGGCTCTTACCTGGAGATGGGTGAAACGCGACCCGAGATTATCAATAAACCGCCTGCGGAGCTGGGCACGTATCGATGATGAAAGGGTGATGTTTGGCGGGCACCGTTTTGAATGATCGGATGATGATGGAGGAGTACTATCTTTTCTTGTTTTAATCCAAGGCAACCAGCGACGGGTCCATTGGCATGGCCCTCGAGCATTGAACACTGATATCACTCAACGAATAAAATCATATATCCAACTCAGTTACAGCACAAATAACGCAGCAGCAATAGCAGCACAACACCCTGAGCAGTCGCAGCAGTCCATATAAGTACTCCGTTAAATGAGAAGGCACAGAAACCCGAAAATAATTGAATCTGTATTTCCAATATACTAAGCATACAGCTTGGTCAGAGACGGTCTTGAGGTGCGTGCTGAAGTAAAACTGCAATGACCTTTCCGGTCCTCTGCCTCATCAAACTGATCCGAATCATACATCCACTCTGGCTCACGAGTTTCACCCCAAGTAACCGGACCCATGGCTATAGTATCCAAGTTCTCATCCTTGGGTGGATGACAAGCAGCGCTTATCGCGGCACTGCAAGTTTCGGCCAAGGGAATATCCGACTTCAGCTTTCGGAATGCGATTACGAACAAAAAGCACAATAGAAGACCCAGAACAATAACTGCTAGGAAAATGGGAAGTAGTGTCACTGATAACGTGCTCTGTCTTCGATCTTTGAGCAGATTACCGTAGTTGTCATAAGGGAGCAACCAGGTGAAATAAAATCCCTGGGACATCAGCCAGTGAAGTGCCGCGTAAACGACCAAGATCGGAATCCCGTACTGGTATGGCACGCTGAGCCAGTAGGTAGATCGCTGGTCGCTATTCTTCGTCCGCCATGTTACCCTCAGAGGCTTGCGGCGAGTTCCATACGAACTGTACTCGGCGGCAGCCAGCATGCTGGTAAGCACGCTGTTGTAACTTGTATAGCTGATCGTGACGAAAAATTGCGGGATGTTGGCTAGAACGAGGGCGTATAATGGCTGCATATTGGTGGGCAGATCAAGACCAGTTGATGCGGTGTCCCTGAAGTTGATTGCACTGAAACCTTTTCCGAAGTCTTCCATTCCTGAACTCCACAGTCGTTTTATCTGTTCCAAGCCGAAGGGGCTCATTTCCCGGTGATAGAAAAGCTGGAATAAACCCAATGCAATGCAGGCCCAGCAGCTTTTTTGGATAGTTAGTATGTATTTTTAGGCAGGAGGCAACTCGTCGAATCAGAACTAACAAAAATATTGCAAGGAACCACTGCCATAGGTTTGGTACTTGTATCCAGAATTTAGATCGAGAAAGAGGCGAGAAGATCACATCGCTGCTTGATTCTGATACCTCTGTGGGCTTGGACGTTTTCAAGGGATATTTCCAGTATCCGCGTTGAACGTCGGATTTGGACAACCAGCAAAGGCCTGTGGTCATTGGATCGGGTCTTTCAAGAAATGATGCCACGGCATCACCGACTGTGAGAAGAGGTGGCGACCGCGATCGGTTCACCTTGGCCGCCAGAAACATTGAAATCACTTTAGCCAACATTGATAAAGTGACGATGATGCCTATGGTCGGACTATACCGCAGCTGGCAGATGGATTCGACTTTGATCCCAAGACATTCTGAAAATTCGTAACTTCGAGCTTCGAGCGATGGCTGGGAAGGTGATCCTATGTGTGCATGGTTACAGATAGTGCGATCGCTTTGGTTCCCACCCGAATAGTTTGAGAATGGTGCTGCCGATACTGCTCCTAGCTGAGACGTATCATCGGCCCAAGTGATATTTTTCATGGGCAATAGCATTGACTGGTCGCCACCGTCCTTGACGGTCAGATTATGTGCAAGGAGAACCAGGGCTGCAATTCCCGACTCGGGACAATTCAGAAGCATACTGCATTCGTGGAGATTGAGTCGTTCGAATTTCACCTGGGCTATGTCGGAAGAAAATTTCTCCCATGTAAATTTCGAGCCGAACGGGGGAGTAGATGTGTTGAAGCATTGCTTCAGGCCGAGGGAAGTGAGTTCCTGGATATTCGTGGAGTCGAGATCTTCCGGTCCGACAATAAGGGCCAATTCGTTTGTGCCAAAGGCCTGGAAAAACATGGAGTTGTATCTGGTGATAGTCGGTATGAGTAATGGCCGTATAGCATTTGCAGGCATGCTCTGCTGAACTCACAGTAGATGAAAGGGCGTTGCTGTTGTCAACAAGATTATCCAAAGAATGAGTCGATACCGGCCGCTTCGAACAATATTTCGAAGACTCGAAGAGCCAACATCTAGCCATTGATGTTGAGCATGTTGAGCATCAACCTCCTCCCTGGTAGGAGCCACGAGCGTTTGCATGCAATAGTTGCTAGCGGCCAGAATTCCAGTACTCAAGATGTTGACAATCAAGTGGAGGGCGACATCCCAATGCTTGGATACTGTGCAATTGCCATGATAGACAACTGACGAGCTCAAAAAAGTGGCCTTTGCACTGTACTCGGTAGACCGGGCAGACGCGATCGCGACAATGGCAATGTTGAGAAGGAGGACAATTGTAGATGCTTGGGCGCAGATGTAAACGCCACTAATCCAGCTGGGTGGCTCATCTTTCAAATTCTCTGCTGCTGCTTTGCGTTTTGGCAAGAGATCTTTCAGAAAGAATATGGCGTTGTTGAATCGACCCATCACGAGGGTCGAGAAGTGTGACGAAGGGACGCAGAAAGCAAGAAGTGGCAGCCGGTCTTCGCGTGCGGCGAAGCTTACCTTGAGATGCCAAAACAGATAGACGTCCGAGTTAAGATACAGCCACAAACAATCGAATGCAGGTACATTTTGGGCTTGGTCTACTAAATGAGGCTGACCCAGCGTCGATTAAGGCTCATAGATTTTGAAGTAAGGGCCAAGGCTCATTCCATTCCCGATCGTCGTGCCTTGCTAGAGAAGAGCACCAAGAGATCGCACTCCATTCCCCTTTCCGGATAAGCAAAGACTGGTGAGTCAAGAGGGTTAAGTGCAGACAAAAAGGGTTTCGCTTAGAATTAATGAATCGCGAGAGACAATGGTATCTGGAGTAATGGATATCCCCGGATTTGTGCTTGGGACCATGCTCGGGATGTCCTCATTTGGAGCACATTCCCGCCCTTCTTCCACCCAGGCGAGCGCCCTAGTTGCCTTCAATGTCTGCCGTATATTGAACAGAAGAATAAAATCAATCACGAGATGCTGTCTGTTGAGACAAAATATTCGATAGACGAGATCGACAGGAGACAGCTCATTTAATCGAGCCGCTGCGCAACGACAATGCTGAAATTGATCAACGGCAGCGCATTCTCGCAATGCATTTCGAATTCATCGACCAATGCCTCGACTTTATCTTCTGCTTCATCTTTATTTTTTGCCTCGCCAGTGATCATCAGAGCTGGTGTCAGCAGTGCCTGCATGACATTAACCACCCATTTTGTCGCCACTTGGCGCAGATCCTCCCTCCCTGCAACAGTATATGTTTCGCAACGGATATTCTCAAATCCTCCTTTTGAGATCTCTTCATGAACACGCTTAGGCGCAAATGGTGATAAGCCCATTGCGAGCATCGCTTTGATGACGCTCTGTCGTATCTGGGTAATTGCAGGCAGCTCGGGTACCTTGTCGGTACAAAATGCCGTTTCGTCGACCTCTTCCCATTGAATGTAGCCATGGGGCTCTGTCGGGGTTTATATCAGAGTCCGTTGAATTGAATTGAAGGGGCTGGGTGTCGAGTACTCAGCAAGTCTCGCGCATTCTTGAGTACAGTGGCATAGTCATCTCGTTTCAAGCCAGCTGTGAGAAGTCGAATGTGCACCAGGTCATATCTGCCTTGATGCTCAGATGGATATGGTTTCAGAGAATCGTGTACTGCCAGCGGTATTCTTTCATTTCTTGGACCGTGGAGTTCATGGCTAGGAGGGAATTGGCTGGGCGAGATGTCGAAGCCCTGTAAATCGAGTGGCGATACGGCAGGGAGGTTTTTGGCGAGCTCTTCAAGCCAGATTCTGTGGAACCTCTTAGAGAGTTGTTCTCTCACCTTTTTTTAGAATCACAATCGGGGAAGATAATACCACGTACCCCGTTCCCGTGCCCAGATCCGCAACAGCCAAGATCGAGTTCTTAGGGATAGACGGATGGATCAGGTTACTCCCGAGGAGAGCGGTAAGAAAATGATGCTGTTTGTTCAAGCTGGAAGAGCGGGTGAATTAGTGATGCTAAGGAGAGAAAATGCCCGACGTTCAAATAATCTGGTGCGAGCCCCGGGATCGGGCCATATGCAAGATCCAAACCAAGGAACGGGCGTTGGATCCGGGGTACAGCGTCGCGCAGGAACCAGTGGGTCTGCCCGGCTTGAAGGGTGAGACAGCGTGGCGCATGTTGGCGCGTACCTCAACCAGGGAAATGAACATAAGGAAAAGGAGCGGCATGTCGGCAGAAGAGAGAAAAAGCACCTACCGCTCTGTTTCGGCGGCGTCTCGACTCAGAAGGTAGATGCTATCTTCCGATAGGCTGTGGTTCTCCATAGCGGGTCCGGACATTTTGCAGTCAAATATCAAATATCAGGCAGACTGGACAATTCAGATAATTTTGATACGAAAATGGCTCTACAGAACAGCATCCAAATGGGAGATTTATCATTTCATCTATTCAGGCTCGCACAAGCTCGAGTGCGTACAACGACGGCGGGTTACCAGCGGACCTTTGCCTCGGACTTGTGCGTTCCCGCGTAGAACAAAACACGTTTAGTGTCGACAAGGATTGCTTCGACGGCGCAGACGGGGCGTCCAAAGGTATTCCCAACGATTTCCGGGCGCACGTCCGGGCGCACTGATTCGTTGATCTCGAGGTCTGATATTTGAGATGCTGTTCATCTACCTGTATGAAACCGGATTCGACTTCCGAGTCCACGACGCTCCTACTGGTATTTGAGGTTGAGGGCCAATGATAAATCAAATTCGTTTCATGTAATATCCTAGCCAAGATGATGCGATACAGAAACCCCCCGAGACCATGCATGGATGCAAGATAAATGTATATGATACACGTAGCCGAGAAATGAACAAAACAAGCCAAAGGCGATAGAGCACCCAAGGAATGCGCTCAGATTTTGTCCAACAAATGCGCAAATACGTAACGAAAGATCTCCCGACTCTTGTACAGATTTTCAACCCTCATTCGCTCATTATCCAGGTGGGCGTTGTCACTAGCCTGGCCGCAAGGCAGATTGGCGGCGGGCGCAGAAAACACTTTTTCGAGGAATCGGATAGTCGGGATAGACCCTCCCTCGCGAATGAAAATGGGCTTGACATAAGCGGACTGGCGCTTTGGGGGCTGAGTTTCCTGATCTGGATCTCCGCTGTAGGCCTCCGATTTCGTTCGGACTGGGAGAGCAAGCGAATCATCGGGTGACCCGGCCGCGGCTTGAGTTAGCGTGGACGAGGTCGGCACGGTAGCGGTCTGCTGTGCGGAGCGCTTGCGTGCTGCGGCTTTCCCCGCGGAAGAAGTGGTGGTCGAGGTGATTACGCGTTCAACGTGGGAGGCGAGACTGTCGGAGGAGTCTTTGCGAAGGAGGGTTGAACCAGCCGAGGGCTTGTTGATCAGGGTCGCGTGGCCGTTAGTATTGGTGACCTGGGGGATGGGCGGGTACCGGTGCTTCGAAATTTGCTGGTCCGGTGTCCAGGCAGCGGTAATGGCTTCGGAGAGCGTCGCGAAGATCTCGTTGTCTGGGTCTCCGAGCCAGGCATCTGATTTGCCAGTGATCTCAACGGTGAGATCGTTCTGCGATTCGAGAAGATCAAACTGCTCCTGCGCAAAGGCAGTCAAGTTTGCAGCAACTTCATCGGCTTGCTGGTCAGGGACAATGCGGATCGACAGGCTGGCCTTGGCTCGTCGAGCGATTGTGGTTGTCCCGCTCTTGCTTCCTGGAACTTCCATCGAATGAATAGTCAATGAAGGTTCGCGCCAACGATACGTGAGCGATTCGATCAGTGCCTGGCTGCTCGGGATTTCAGGGTGATGAGGCAAAAGGACGTCTGCAATAGCCTCGAATCGCTTCTCCTCGGCGTCCGAGAGGGGACGAACGGGTTCATGGAAGCCAGGTAGATTGATTTTACCCTTTCGCCCAACCAATGTTGACACCAGGATCGAAAGGTCCTTGACAGGCTCGTCCAGCAAGGCGCTACCGTCGATACCACTGTGCAGATCAGGGTGATCACTCGTGACGACCAGATTAGCATGAACCACTCCTCGAAGTCCGTATGTCAAGCAAGGGTTATAGTCGTCCAACCAATAACTGTTGGCAAGAAGAATCCAGTCGACGGACCCGATTTGCTCCTTATGTTCCCGCACCGTCTGGTGGAAACCTTGAGAGCCTGATTCTTCTTCACCTTCGATGAGGAATACCACATTGCAGCGGAGAGACTTCGTCCGGGCGAGATCAGCGGCGGCATAAAGAGAGGCCAGGATGGGACCCTTGTTATCCGATACGCCACGACCGTAGAGGAATCCATTGATCGACGTGAGCTGATATGGGTCTGTTTTCCACTTGGGTCTGCTCACATCCGCACCAACCACATCGTAGTGGCCATAGAATAGGATGGTCTTATCAACTTTGTCGGTCGAGGTTGCATCGAATCGGGCATATACGATGGGATTGGTATCTTCGCCAGTGGTCAGGAGTTTAGTCTTCGCCCCGAGATAGTTGCAGTGCCGACGAAGAAATGCAGCGCCCTGGTTGCACTCGCCAGCAAACTTGGGGCTTGCAGAGACGGTCTTGAATGATACGAACTTGGCCAGGCTGTTAACCATTTCGTCGTTACTGATGGGTGGCAGTTCCTCTTGAGTCAAGAAGAACTCTGTGAGATCCCAAATTCCGACCGTGTTGTCGTTGCCTCCGGTAGCATAGATATGGCGATCCTTGAATCGGCCAGCAGCCGATGCCAGCATCGTGCCTTCATGGGCAGTCCAGCTACCAACTTCCTCGAAACGCGAGTTGAATTTCTACTTTGGTCAGCAAAGCTTTTGGTCAACACAAATCATAGGGTGGAATGCCCATACCTTGACCACTCCGGTGGAGTCACCGCAAATCGCCACACCCTGAATAACATGGACTGCCCACAGGTCACCGGTATGTCGGGCAATTCGCTTGACAAGTTGTTGGGAGTCGAGATTCCAGATATTCAAAGCACCACCGGCAAGACCACAGTAGAGGAGCGAACCTTCCACTGCAATGGAGAGAACAGGATCGCCATTCTGGAGCTTCGCCATTTGTGTCGGGGCTGCTCCGGGGGTGTGACCAAGACGCCACAGTTTCACTGCGCCATCGCCAGAGCCAGTCAACAGAGCCTCTTCAGACGGCGCCGACTCAATCAAGCCCTTTACTAGCAGCATAGAATACACGTAGCCATGGTGAGCGAACAGCTTGTGATGATCTCGCTTGAAAGTCAGGATACGACCGCCCTCTGATACCGAATGGGCGCCATCAGGTGGTCGTGGGGCTCGAGTGCCATCAGGGCCCCGAGAGTCAAAGAAGCGATGTGCACGCTTTGATGGATGCGCAGTCGACGCATGATTGAGAGTTGCGCCCTCTTCAGACAGATCACACCACTGGGGAAGTCAGATGGGACTCTTGAGGTCGTATGAGCGGGATGAATTTGCTTACTTGGATGCTGGTATTCTGGGCACCGCAGTACAACGTTTGGTTGTTGGCCGAGTAGACCACGGTAAAGATATCTCCCACGTCATGGTGCGGGTATATCGAATATAGACGCTCAAATGTCCTTGTTGACCAGACCTGCGCAGGAGGTTAGCGTGGCGAGTCATGGCGCTAGTGGCGTGATGTGTACTTACATTGATTATAGAGTCACCTCCGCTGGAGAAAAGCAGGTTGCCATCATCGGACAGATACAAGCCCAATACACTCTCTTTGTGTGCATGGACTGACAAGACGAGGTCGTACGTCTCGAGCGACCAGGCCTGGGCGGAGTTAGATGGATGGCAAACCAGGAATCCTCAGGATGGATCTGCGGCGAATGGGAAACATTCGAACACAGGCCACGCCGGCCACTTACCACGATGTCACCTCCCTGCAAACCTGCAAAGACGCACTCTTCGTCGATGACAAGGGCGAGGACCGAGCGGCTGGCCAGGACACGATGGCCGATGCCGCAGTCGCTCTGCGGCTGCAGGACGCTGCCTGCGTCGTCGGCGGTTGGGGTTAGCGAGCGCGCATCGGAGCCCAAGGTCTTGGAGTGGTCCTCCACCTCGGAGGTGTTTCCTGAGTCCACTGCGTCCATCGCGGTTAGCCCAATACTCAATCGAGTCGAGAATGAGTCAGCGAGAGGAAGTCTGGTCGGGACGAGAAAGACCACGACCAAACAATAGAGACCGGACGCGAACCCAAGTCAACTGGACCTCGCGGGAGAGAATCTGGGGAGAGTGCGGGACAAGAAATGAATCATCGGCGGTGGCGGTGCGGGAACATCAAAAGCTCTCCTTTTTTGCATTGCACCATCGCCAAAGTATTCGACTCACCACCCCTAGCATGTCGAGGTCGCCGGTGATTCCAGCAGCAGGCGGGTCTACACGACGGGCTGGTCAGTGATGGTCGCCAAGGTTGGGGGTGATCTGCTCCGTTGACGCTCTTTCACGGCGCTGCATACTCAGCCGGTCGCAGGCCTCCCGATCGGCCGCCAACTGCGACTCACCTGGGCTCCCAAATTAACCGGGCTATGGGGAATTGCGATTGTGGGCTGCGAAGGACCGCCATGATTTGGATGGCGGTACAAGTCGAAGAGTTGGGTCAAATTAAACTAGACCGTAGGACATGATCATCTACGGAGGAGACAGGATAAAGATAGCTAGAGAGATAATACTGTCGAATGGCAAAGCTATCATACAGCAGGCCTTCGAACTGCAGGACAAGATCTGGGCAGCAATTGGATGTACACCGACGGTGATCGACCGGAACAGATAGGACAGATGACCTCCCCCTGAGGAGTCGCGAGTGTTTCATCACTTCCATTGACCGTCTTTCACCTCGCGCTGCAGCCAGTACCAGCCGAGACGTCCCAGCGACGGAGAGTCGTACGGGCGATGGCACCATTTGTCGCCATCGTCGGTTTTGGAATGTCCTGGTGATGGTGTTGGCGAAGGATGAGCTCCGGGCCTCACCGTCTGTTGGGCTGTCTAAATATAAATGAGCCTCTCAATGTGAATCTCGTGACTGCGAGGCTTGTTGCGATCGCGCAACCGCTGCCAGTATGCACCGCCACTGTGGCTGGTGACTCATTGTGGTGCACCAGCCACAGTGGCGGTGACACACGGGCCAATCACAAACCGTGGGTCACCGCTTTTTCACGAAGTATACCGGCTTGGCACGTCCCAGGTGGACACAGCGGCTGGCAAGTAGTACACTAAGTAGGCTCCATACGGTTCTTGCGGTCGAGAACATTAGTACCAAGCCAAATGTAATATCCTCATTTCACGGCCACTTCGTTGCAGAGATTTTCTCGTGTCCGGAGCAGCTCCCCCGTCTGGCAGGCTCAATGTGATATCCCCTGCCCGTCTCCAACGCCAAAGCAGATTCTGCGCAAATCACACCCCGCCAGCAGTGACGCTTCCCCCACCCGCGGTCTGCGCGCTCGATCATCCATCCCAGGGAAGCTGCGCCCAGTCGTGATTCGTGCCTGCCTTCGCTTCACTCACATCACTGGCACCCAACGGATCCCCTGCGGATCCAATCGCCTGGCCCTACGGCCCTGCAGCTCCGCTGTTCGCTGCTCTGCCCAACTGCTCCTGCAACCCGCCCTGCATCCTGCACGCTGATGCCATTTTCCCCCAGCCTCCTGCTCGACCGCATCACTCTTCCCCGGCTTTAATAAGAAGCGCCCACGAGTACCTGGCTGGCTCCGATCGGACTTGCCGATCCTTTTCGTTTTCGTGGTCTACAGACCCGCCATTAATCATCTTGGGCATTCAATTCTGTTTCCCGGTTATTCCTTTATTCCTGTCGCCTGCAGGTCTGCGATTTTCCATACAAGGCTGCAGCAGTGCCTTGTCCAACCTTTCTATCTCTGGTACTGTCCCAGATCAGCCATTTATATCCAGACCGACACCCCTGGACAAACTCTGGAGCCCTCGATTACACCGCTCCTCTCTCGGAATCCTGACTTGGGACCTGTCGATCTGTCACCTCTGATGAGTGATCTGCCCTGGTCGGCAGTCGTCCACGACTATCATTTGCGATGGCGCCGCTAGGCCAGACGATCGCCGTGATTGATAAGTCCGGCAAGGTCGTCAGCACAGTAAGTCTCACGCAAACCTCCCTTCCTCCTGACAACAGTCAATCTAATGTGATTTCTGCAGAGTAAACAACTTTTCGGAGTATTCAATCAAGCAAAACAGGCTTATCGTGAGCGAAAATCTCATTTCGATTCTGAGCGCAATGCCAAGATCGCGGAGCAGCAGGCCCTCCAGGCGCTGGCCACCTACCAGATCGACGATGCGCCTAAGTCGGTAAGATCAGGGCACAGTCGTGCATCGAGGTCGCGACATCACTCAACTCGTCATCGTGGCCGACCGTCGTCGCGGTACGAGCAGGATTTGGCCTCGGAGGCGCCGAGTCGGAGTCGTGCGGGGTCCCAATATGGGGTCTCACAGGGCATCATTCGCCGGCATACCCACCACGATATCACCGTCCGAGAGCCTCCTCGTCCAGAAACAGCGCGGTCAAAATCAGACGCTCTGATCGATATGGACCTTGCATATGGCGATGCTCATCCTGAGGCCCTGTCTCAATACAACCCACCTCCTGAACCCACCGGCAATGATAAACAGCAGTTAGACGGACTGGTCAACCGCGCCCAGTGGCTCTTGGAGGAAGCACACTGCGTCCAGCACAGTGCCACCGCAACCATCTCCCACCTGCAAAAGAACCCCGATGCCATGGCGGCCGTCGCCCTCACCCTCGCTGAGATCAGCAACCTCGCCAGCAAGATGGCCCCCGCAGCACTATCTGCTCTCAAAACCGCCGCACCCACCGTCTTCGCACTGCTCTCCAGCCCTCAGTTCCTAATTGCCGCTGGTGTCGGACTTGGCGTGACCGTCGTCATGTTCGGAGGATACAAGATCATCAAGCAAATCAAGTCCGGCAACACAACCCCCGACAACCAGGCTCCCGAATCTACCGGAATGGACGACATGATAGAATTCAACGTGGAGTCGCTGAGCAGTGTGGAGAAGTGGCGCCGCGGTGTTGCCGATGTCGAAGCCGTTAGTGTCGGCACATCGGTCGATGGCGAATTCATTACACCCACCGCAGCCGCCATGTCCGGCATCGATGTCACGACTGCCCGCGCAGAACGAGATCCGCGATTCAAGTTTGATGATGATGGATCTGTCGCATCATCGCGCCGCTCCCACCGCTCTCACCACTCTCACCGCTCTCATCGTTCCAGAGCCTCGCGATCGCACTCTCACGCCCCGTCGAGTCGCTCAAAGAGGGAGCCTGAGGCACCCTCAAAAGCACCCTCTTTCTTCTCCAGGTCAACCAAGGCGCCACCAAAACCCTCCAGTAAGGCGCCGAGCCGGGCCCCTAGCCGAGCTCCCTCCAAAGCTCCGACCTACGTCTCGGAGAAGGAAAAGCGCCCGAAGGAAACCAAAAAGAAGAAGGGACCAAGCCGACTACGTCTCATGTTCACCCCTTGACATTTGAGCTCTAGACTTTCCTATTCGAAAGACTTCTAGGACCGCAAGGTTATCGTCCTTCATCCGTGTGGACTGCATGCTACTTTTCTCGCTCAATACTGTACATTTTCAACACGACAAATCTCTCAATACATACCACCAGTTCTCACGATAACGACCTCGCCCTCACGTCTTTATGCAGCCTCAAGTTACTTTCACGATCTCAAGACAGTTTGTTGCTATTTTTAACTGGGATTCCTTTTTGCCAACTCAATTTTGTTTGTCGTTCTAAGCATATTATGGCGTCATGAAATATCTTTTTGTTTTTCCTGTTTTCAGACATGGAGTTGAAGGGTGGGATTTAATTTCTATAGATCAAAAAGAATTCACTGTCTCTTTGTTTTCAGAATATAATCAGTTGATCTGCATTGCATCATCTGCAAATAACAAAAATGACTTAACTTAAAAATAAACAGGGACGAAGCCATCTTCCAACCTCATTTTCCACCGATTCTTCTACACTATATGTTCTGGTGCATTCGGGATTTACAGCATGCTTGTTGACCCATATCGAGCAGAAAATCTACTCTCTCTCATTACGTTGGGGATCTCCAATACTATTTAGATACCATGATCTCAAAGGCCAGAAGTCGGACTGCAATAACTTCTTCTGCATATTGTTCCATCTCAATCTGTTTCTCCTTTCTGACCTCGTTTGGCATTGACAGCCTCAACGCGAGCTGCCTCCCGAATCAAACACTGGTACGAGGAGAAATTGCGGGCCGGTACTCGAGCAGTAAAGATCTCGTCCAACTCTTCAAGTGAGCGGCCTTTCATCTCAGGCATAAAGAAGTAGAAGAAGGCCACGCAAAACAGGTTGGACGTCGTCCAAATATACCCATATTGCGCTCCCTATGCCCTGAAATTAGTCGTGTATCACATGTGATCGGTGAGAACATAACGACTTACCCAGTTCAGATGCTCTGGATTGATAAAGTACGGCGTACAGAAATTTACCAACCAAGCAAGTAAATATCCCAACGAAGTCGCTGTACCAACCGTCCACGCCCGCAATCTCGAACTCACCAGCTCCGTTGCAACGGGATAGCTCGCGGCCCCCACACAGCCATTATAAAAAAACATGAACAGCGCCGTGAACGCAACAAGCATCTGACCAGTATGTAATGAGCTTGGGCTGACCGATGCAGCTATTGCACTGGCAAGCTGACAAATTCCACACGCCACTGCACCAAGGATGAGAATTGCGCGGCGACCGAGCCATTCCCTGATGGCGTACATTCCCACATTGACGCCGAGGAATCCGAAACAAGTGTTCATTATGGAGAACTCGAAGGCCTTTTTGATGCCGCACACTGTGAAAAAATACGTTTGGTAGCCAATGAGAAACCAAACACCTGAAGCAGTCTGGCAACCTATCATGCCATAGCAGAGTATTGTTCGACGGAGGTCAACACCTATATGTCCTGTCAGAAAGGCGTGGGAAAGATTTGAGATGCGACAAGCTCACCCCGAAACATATCTAGCGCAGCCACGTTTCCTTGCTCGCGCTTTTCCTCTTGTACGCCCTTGACCATCTCAGCCCATTCGACCTCGAGTAGCGTCGGGATCACAGTTGTACTGGCTTCACTGTCGTTTTCTTCCTCCCCGGAATTGGGGTTGACTGAAGAAAGAAGCTTTGCATAGCTTGATCCACGAAGCTGCTCTAGTGCCTTCCTCGCAGCTTCTTCCTTTCCCCGGTGCAACAGCCAGCGCGGGCTCTCGGGCACAAAGAACAAGGCGATAAATAGAAGAGTAGGGACAATATAAAGACAAGCGAGTGGGATGCGATATGAGAGCTTATCGAAGCGATCCTTCGTCTTATTGTCGACGGCTGCGCCCATGATGCTTCCGATATTCACCCAATAGGCGAACAGTGCAACCATGACACCACGCATGTGTGCCGGCGCCACCTCCGCGGTGTAAATGTTGGAAAATGTGACGAGGAACCCATTTGCGAACCCCAGCAGAAGCCGGCCTAGGTACAAGAGGCCCGCCGAGGAGGTTCCGATCTGGATACCACAGGCGATGGCGTTGAAGATGCAGGCGAGCCAGAGTGCGTGGCGTCGACCGAGATATGAGCTGAAGAATCCGGCCACAAGGGATGAGACGAATGAGCCCAAGGTTAGAAGGGATGTTATCAGTTGCTGAACGGTGCTCTTGATCACTTGTCATTTGAATTATTGAAGATATCGGAGGGTCGTAACATGATATTACTCACATCGATCGCATATCCGGACTCACTACGTGGTGATGGGTACCCGAATACCTTCAGGAATCCAGGCATAGCCTGCAAAGACCCCACCGCCGCAAGGTCAAATCCATATTGCATATTCGCCATGGACACAAGACAGCAGAGGAAGAGGCATTTTCGATTCTGCCATAGAGTCGTTGACGATAGCGAGTTATCCACCATGATGATAGTTTTAAAGCCGTTAGATCTGTCTCCCTTCTGAGGATGGACGGGGTCACACTTTTACCAGGAGAGACCCTCACATATATCCTAGGCACTTCCATTCTTCAACTGCAGGAAGTCTTTGTTACGACCAATATCTGAGGAGGGGAAAGCTACATTCCAAAACATTGACTGGTCCTCGGCTGAAGCTTGAGTGTGTAGAAAGTAGGATTCCCCCACAAACCCCGCAATTTGTCCCGAGACTAGGAGGATCTGGGGCAGGTAGCCCCACGGGCATGGGAGATTTTGAACCTATATGTGCCGAAATCATCCTTTATATCCATTCATCGAATCATCGTCTAGACCGAAACCATTGGATGGGGTTTTTTAATTTTGATATACCAAGAGAGGCTAGCGAGGATGTGATGGGCTCATCGATGACAAGGTACCTTCGTATAGGAAAACGACATTATGTTACCTTACACCTTACGAGATCTACCCACTTCGGATATTTGCGTCGACTTCCCATCGTTTCACATATCTGTTCATATCCATACGAAATCTCTACAACGGGTTATGCTTCAAATGTGGTGGAAGTGTAGTCACAAATACGGTCAAGATATTGAGTAAGAATATTGAAATTTCTCACGAATGATCACTCTCTGGTTGCCTTTCCAGTCCTCACCGCAGTAAGGGCTGGTCTTCTGCAGGTCCATCGTTATTCCGGCGAGGCTGCTTGGCGTGCTTCTTTCGGCGACGGCGCTTTTTAGCATGCGAGTGCGAATCACGAGAGTCGGCATGGGTATCTGATGATTCCGCCGTGTGATGCTTATTGGGCGAAGAGTCGCGAGTTTTGTTGGGAGATGTTTTGCCTTCCGCCTCAGAAGAACTTGACCCATTCGTGTGTAATACAACTTTGCGAATACCGTTCACATCAACAATTTGTTCAGTGATGCTGCCACTGCGGGTTGGTCCGCGGTGGTGATAGATGAATTCTGTAGGTGATCCAATGGATCGAATGCTGCCAGATCCGCTGCTGTTTTGTCGGATCAGGCCGTTGGCGGTTGAACCAGAGCGGGGCTGGTCCTCTCGCTCTTCATGAACTGCTTCAGGAATCGAAACTTGAGGGAGATCTTTGTACTGCTGCGCATTGGTGCCTTTAGTGAGATTCTCCTGCGTGGTTGTAGTTGTAGTCATTGTTCCGTATCCAAGTTTCAATGCATGCGCGCCATCTTTGGCTTCGGCACCAGAGCCGACCAAGCCTGCGCCGATTCCGCCCTGGTAGGCCGCTGAAGTGATTAGATTCTGAGAATCACTTGTGCTCTGGTTAGATTCCATGTCGGTCTGCGCAGAACGAGATGGCGAGTCGCCGCTTCGCTTGATTTTGACGTTATGGTATCTGGTCTGTCGCGGGCGACTGGCCAAGTTTGAAGGCCCAAGGTGTTTCAGGTGCTCTCGAATCTCATCCGTGGCACCCCTTTGTGTGAACCACAAGTCCGATGTGCTCGAATTATTGTCTGGATTTGGGCGGCGAATTTGAAATCGCGGGGGAGGTGCTTCGACGGAGTTACGGCGACTGACGATATCGGGTTTAGCAGCGGATGGTGACGAAGCATCGACCTCGATGAGGTCCCCGTCGTTGGCAAAAGCCATCGGGGGTTCTTCAACAATTTTGCCTTTGGGAACACGCGATTTGGGTGCAGGGGCCATCCGGCGAATGGCTTTATGGACGTCAACGAAGACGTCTGATTCGTCAATGATTTCCCTGGGGTCATGTTAATGGGTGTCCATCTACAGATGACGCGCAGGAAGTCGAGTTACGTACTCTCCAATAAGTTCTTCAATTACATCCTCGAGAGTGACCACGCCGAGCGCGCCTCGATCTTCGCTGGGATACTCGGAAACAAGAACCATGTGTGACTTCCCCTCCTGGAAGAAGTTCACTATGTCCAGACAACTAGTCTCAGGCCGTGTCTCGGGGAGGGTTGCTAGGGAGAAATCCCGGACTCGCTTTCCATCTTCCGGGTCGTACGTGATAAGCATCTTGACCAATAGCATGCCCACGAAGTTCATCGGGTTTTCTGGGGCATGGATCGGGATCCGGGAATACCCTTGTGAGAGAATGAGGTCCATCGTTCGTTCGTCGAGAACCGTGTCGGCCGACATAGTAAAGACATCTTCCATGGGGGTCATGATCGCTCCCACGGATTTCTCTTTCAAGTCCAGGACGGCGCTGATAATGGTCACCTCGTCCGAGTTCAATTGTTCACCAGCCTCACCCAAGGTCCGATGAAGAGTGACCAAAGTCTTGAGACCAGCTTTTTTGTAGATGGTCCCGTGGTCCTCACCAAGCAATCGGTCGAGCAGCTTTGCGACCGGCCACGCAACGGGAGACATGATGTACATCAGGACCAGCACACATGGGGCCATCCAGGCTCCGATCGGCAGACCGTATCGAACGCAGATCGACTGTGGTACAATTTCCCCAAAGATGACGATGAGCGCCGTACTACCGAGGACCGCTGGCCATCCGCCCCCAAGTGATCTGTCCAGCACAATGGGCAACGTCTCGTTCGTAATGACGTTGCTGAGCAACAATGTCACCAGTACCCAGTGTTTCCCCCGCTTGAGAAGGTTCAAGACGCTGGCTGCATTCTTCTTTTCCGATCCCTCGCCCGATGTCTTGATAACCTGTAGGTACACTTCATCTTGACCCATCAGAGCAATTGTCAGGCCAGCAAAAGCTCCGCCACTGAGGACTAGGGCCGCTGATATGCCGAGGTACAGCCATAAGCTCGGGTCGTTAGGCTCTTTGCCATCTGCCGTGGAATTGATCGCTGTAGAGAGGAGCGGCGCGCCCGCAGAGAAGGGGAGTTGCGAGCACGTGAGGACTATCAATCTGGCCAGCCCCAGCACCATCGGCCGGGCGGCAAGGGTGCGCGTTGAACTTGAAATCATGCTCTAGAGGGTAAAGAGGGCATTTCTCGTCAGGGCTGTGGTTGGTTCTAAGGTCGGTCCGCGGTCGGTTTCGGGGTCGATCGGGAGATGGTCGATCTGCCGGAGATGGCAATTGGGGCGCGATGAGAGGAGCAAGCAGAGTCGGACCACCAGGAAACCCGCACAAACTTCAAAATAAAGCTCCTCGCAGTGAAATGGAGAGGAGGAGCCCTGGTGGGGGCGAAGCGTAGCGAAAAAGACGGACTCGCTGGCGCGGAAGGTGGATGGGTTTACGGCAGCGGGTCGGCAGTCCGTGATGTCTGAAGCTCAAGCCAAACTCAATCGGGCTTGGCGGTCGCCCGTCGACACCTCAGGCTGCAATATGAATCGCCACCCGAGCAGCCACCATGCATCAATACTCCATCTCATGCTGCGTTTCGTGATCTTGAGAGTCAAAAGATGTTGCTTTCATTTATTGCGCTTTACATTTGCATATCGGCTCTGATGCTGCCCTCTTATCTGCTCTTTCTCGATTTTCAAGGCGTTGTGGTAAAACGTGATCGACGACGGGGAGTTTTCCAACATGATGGCAGTATCTCAAGTCGCTGCGAGTCCCGTCTCCCTTCTGAGAGAAAGTTATAGTTCGAAATTGAATTGGGGACCACCTTGGGTATGCCCTCAGGCATTTTGATTTCTGACTGCCAGGGGAATACATTCATCAATGTGCCAAGAAATGTGAACCTGTGAGGGGAAGATACATTCAATATATATTCGATTACGTTCAATACAAGCACAGAATTGGTAGGCTGCTTTCTGACGGAGTGAGAGTTATTCAGCTTTCTTTGCCTAACTCAATCGGCTGGATGTTTGGGTCTGCTCAGAATACCCTTCGACTCCCCACCAACCCCGCAAGTTGGTTCCGACATAAGGAGAATCTGGGGCTGGTGGCCCCACTGGACATGGAAACGTGGGGTGTTTGGCATTGATATGTGCCGAGCATAGCTCCCCATCATAAAGCACTGTATGATGGACCAAAACGATGGGTGGGATGCAAAATCTCTGTTCGGTGCTAGATAAGCCATTCGCTAAGGGCTTCAACATCGAAGACTATCAGCAAGCTCATCATGGCTGCTAGGCAATATCTGAAGCTACTTTCGATGACTCTGAACTTTCTCTCTCGTTCTACCTCATAGTGGTGGGGTCTGACATATCTGTGTCTCTTAATTGAATGACCTGAAGGTGGGGCTCTACCCTTGTCGAGTCTAGCTGGGATCTGACGGCGGTTTTGTCGTACCCCGCAGTGCCACCGGGACGTCTTGAAATATCCAACATGGTGTATCCGGAGAGCGGGGTCAGTTCCAAAGATCTGAGCAGATATGGTGGGCTAGGTTGAAACTTCCAACATTGGGAGAGCTCATGCCATATTAACCACTCAACAACCTCCTGACAATTGGGCTTCTTGGTCCAATCTACAGAGACTTCAAAGATGATTGTCGAGAAAATTCGAGAGCTTCTTGCCCTCATTCACGTCAGGGGATCTTTTCCATATACTTCATTCGAGTGCATCAGCCTAGGTGCATCTGTGCTTCTCCTACTGACAGTTCTGGCTTTGCTGCTTGTGGTCGACTATGGCCGCATGTTGTATTTTCATCTCAAGATGGTACGAATCTTCCACTAGCTCACATCGCTCAGGTTTGAGTCCCGGCCATACTTCTGACAATTGATAACGCTGGTAGCCACCAGGACCACTCCCGTTACCTATCATTGGAAATACACATCTCTTGCCCAGTGAGAAGCCATGGATATACTTCGAAAGTCTCGCGAAAGAATATGGTACACCGATCATAACATTCTGGACTGGCCGAAGACCAACAATTTGGATATGTGACGCATGGACAGCCAGCGAAATTCTAGACAAACGTGCCGCGACCTACGCCTCTCGACCACGCATGGTCGTTTTCAGCGAACTAGGTGCCGGTCAGTCTAATATGGTCAATATGTACTATGGTGACAGATGGCGATTGCATCGGAAGTTGACCCATATGGGGGTTGGTCTTCAGCAAGTCCGCAATTACCGTGGCTTCCAGAACGACGAGAGTAAGGTCATTGCGTTCGATCTCCTCCGAGAACCGACGGAGTTCGTTAAGCATTTCGAAAGGTATGCAACGAGTGTTGTGTCCATAATTGGGTTTGGCCGACGTGTCGCTACCTGCACCGATCCTATCATCACAGAGGTCATTGCAGTCATGCAACGAGCTGCTGAGCTGAATGTTCCTGGGAAAAGCTTTCCGATGCTGATGGAGTCGTTCCCTTGTAAGTATTTAGTCTCTCCATGGATCTAAACGTGTCTGAAAACATGAGTATCTAGTTCTTGCAAGGTTCCCAAATTGGATGGCACCTTGGAAGCAGGGATTAGGAAACGGAAAAGGGAGGGGCAGGCCATTCTTTTACGCCCTGGCCGAAGAAGCCGCGACAAACCTAGAGACCAGACAGTGTTATGCAAAGAAACTCTTCGAAGAAGGACCAAAACACAATCTGTCGAGAATGGAGATCTCTTCCCTTTCGGGGAATTTATTCGGAGCTGGCAGTGACACGTCAAGCTCCACCCTAGTGACTTTCGTGCTTGCCTGCTGCGCCTTCCCTGAAACCCTTCCCAGCGCGTGGGAGGAGCTCGACCGGGTGGTGGGACCACACCGGAGTCCGACATTCCACGATGAGGCGGAGCTGCCGTACATCAAAGCGTTTGTGAAGGAAGTGCTACGGTGGAGATCGGTCGCGATCATAGGAGGCCAGCCACATGCGCCGATCAAGGACGATCATTATAAGGTAGAGAGCCAAGCACCCGTCCCTGCCGCTCCAAGCGGGTTAGCCTGCGGATCGCGATGCTTGATCTTGATGCTGATAAGATGTAGGGTTGGCTGATCCCTCGTAATACATGGGTCCAGGGAAATGTCTGGGCTATTCACCACCACGAGCGGGAATTTCCCGATCCGGACCGGTTTAATCCGCATCGGTATATCAAGGGCAGTCCTGACGCCCGTCCGTTTCCTGGTGAGAAAGGTTATATGACCTTCGGATGGGGCAGACGGGTGTGCAGTGGTCAGGGGTTGGCGGAACAGGGTACCTTCATTACCATTGCGAGACTGCTTTGGGGGTTTAGAATCGAGAAGGCTTTGGACCAAGAGGGAAACGAGATTCCCGTGGATATCTTTGACTATACGTGAGTTCTTTAAACATATTTCATATTCCTTTGACGGTTCGGTTAGCTGATCGTCGTGTCTTGTCCCGTGTCGGGATACAGTAACGGCCTTAATATGCGACCCAATCCTTTCAAGTGCCGAATCACTCCTCGCAGCCCGGGGATCCGTGCTACTATTGACAGGGAAGGTCGACAGGCACTGCAGGACCTCTCCGAGTATGACGGGGATACCAAATATCGTATGAGCACATATTACGCTACAGAGAAATTGTGATGAGCTGGCTTGGTTTGCGGGAAATGTCGCTGGGGCCATGGAAAAGAGTGGATTTGACACTGGCTGTTTGCTGCCATTCGAGGGTCTCTGTATACTCCGGCAGGCGAAACAGTCAAGGGCAGCCGAACTCGGCGCTCGCGGGAGGACTCTTTCCTCCTTGATGTGGAGACCAGAAACATAATGTGGAGTCTCCAATGCGGAACGATATTGGCAGCACCGAATCAAAATATGTAATGTCGAAACTGCACCCTCGACAAGACTTGCATCGGAGATTGCAAATCAATTTGACACTTGCCATGTGCATGGAGAGTTTCGCAGCTCTGCATAGCGAGGGACAGGTCTAATCCAAGTCAAAGTTGACATCTTCTTCATGAGAGTAAAAATGGGGTCACCGGAGCTACGTCTGAAGTATGTTATCCAGTCGCGCTCTGAGAGTCGTCGAACAACGATGTGGGATACTGGGAACTCCAACGAGCCAGTAGTCTGCCTTATTGAAAGTACATTAGTCGACTCAAACCGGCTGTGTATGCCGCGAGTAGAACGGAATGTGAAGTTCGCGATTGGCATGATAGCCTTGGTCGGCATTGAATTGGGGTCAGATCTGCCGTGATGACCGTTACAGGCCAAGCACTCCGCGTGTGTATCACAAATCGATCCTCATAAATGTCGGAGAAGAGAAGGACAGGTCGTGGGTCTGCGCAGCTCAGAATCATGGCGTGACTCCCCAACTGAGCGCGCGTTCGGCAGATGAAGCATGGTAAAACAGCCGGACTGGCTGGGTCGGTTCTCCAGAATAGAAGGCCGCCGGGCCAATCGTCGCGGACCGTCTGCCCCGATCGCCCTCCTTGCCGAGCGCCGCGTCGTCGGCCTTCCGAATGCACGCCACAAATCCAAGAGAAAAACCTGGTGTGCAAGGATCCCCCATTTCGCGCGCAGGGAAAATGGACACAAACCGAGTCGAAAGCGCACTGATACTCATGCGGATGCGTCCCATCTGCTCGGCCTGCAATTGTCCAGAACATACCCGTTGACCCGCAGGAGCCAAGTGCCGTCTTCTTTATTCTCCGGCCGACCCAGACATGAAGCGACGGGGTAGAAAAATAAGGCATGGTGTATGTATTCTGTAGCGGGTATCTGCGTCTCCAAGATGTGGAGAAAAGAGAGGGTCATTTTCGAAAGGCCGATCATGGAGTTCTACCCCTCAAGGGCTAGGATTATCGGCGGCCAAATATAAGTAAAGATAATAAAACCTCTTGCCTTTCCGGAGTGTAGCGTATCTGTGGCACGGGTGGGACGGCAAACTTTCGGATAAATAAGGGCGGGAACAGTCTGAAATACCAAGTGTAGCCAACGCGGTGCTTGCAAGTCCAGCATCAACTTGAAACTTGTTCCACCATAGCCCAGGCTTTCATTTCCTGTTGTATACTGGGCGTGGCACAAATTCTCGGATAGGCTTCATAAGTGAATTGTTCACAATGGCCATTCCACAAGCAAATTTGCCACTGGATGTGATCATCGTCGGGTAAGTACTGGCCCTTTGCAAACATATGCCTTGATACTGATGTTGCCTAGGGCCGGTATGTGTTCCTGCAAATTTATCCAAGTCCGCATGTTGCCTGGCTATCCCATGAAGTTGATTGACTCCCTGTTGTAGGAATTGGCGGCATTGCCGCGGCCCTGACGTTGGGGTTGAGAGGCCATCGAGTCACAGTCCTCGAAGCGGCACCAAAGGTATGTCGCCTAGGTACTTTGGAAAACATAGACGAAGCAATTGCTAACAATGGGCTCAGTTGATGGAGGTTGGAGCCGGGATCCAGGTCTCTCCTAACATGCTACGCCTATTTGACCGTTAGTTATTTGCCACCCGTCATTGAGATTCAGGGGATTGACCAGTTTGCAGGATGGGGTGTGTCGGACTTGATCCACGTCCAGGACGTCGCCCTCGAGCATATCCACGTTCGGAGGTGGCAGGATGGCAAGCTACTCGGCACAATGCCTGTGAACAAGACTTTTGGCCAGCAAGTTGTGATCCACCGTGCCGACCTGCACAATGCTCTCATCAAGAGAACCCTGACCTTGGGCAACGTCCACCTGCGAGAGAATTGCCCGGTTTCCAGTGTTGAGTTCAGCCCAGCGTCTGTCACGCTGGAAAATGGCACTGTCGTTCGAGGGGACATTGTCATCGGGGCCGACGGCATTAAATCCACAGTACGCGGTCACTTGCTGGAAGACTCGAATCACAAGGCCGTTGCCACTGGAGATGCGGCGTACCGAATTATGCTGCCGCGCAGCGTCATGGAGAAGGATGCGGAGTTGAAGCAACTCATCGACGAGCCGCAGGCCACTCGCTGGTTGGGGCCCGCGCGCCACATTATCGCCTATCCCGTCCGCAGCCACGACCTGTACAACGTTGTGCTGCTCCACCCAGATCGCCAGGAAGCCGAGGAGTCGTGGACGACTAAGGGATCTAAGCAGGGCATGATGGATCACTATGCCGGATGGGATCCGATTGTGACGAAGCTTATCGATCTCGTTGATGAAGATGAAGTTCTCGAGTGGAAGCTGTGTTTGCATCGGCCCCTACGCACTTGGATTCGAGGCCATGTCGCCCTTATTGGCGACGCCTGCCACCCCATGCTGTGAGAGTTTGAACACCGGCGTCCGATCGTGAGTACCTCGCTGACTGATCTCTAGTCCGTACGTCGCGCAAGGAGCAGCCCAAGCCGTCGAAGACGCGGCTGCGCTAGGTGTCTTAATGTCCGAGATCGCATCACGACACGAGATTCCACATGCCTTGAAGATATATGAAAAAACCCGAAAACAGCGAGCAGAGACAGTGCAACAATCCGGCACGGAGAACCGCGTCGCCTTGCATCTACCAGACGGCCCCGAGCAAATCGCGCGTGATGAGCAGTTCCGAGCATCAACAAGCGGGTCGAACCCAGACAAGTGGAATGATCGCGAGACACAAAATTTCCTGTGGGGATGGGATGCGGAGCAGGTGGCCTTGGATGCTTGGGATGGTAAGTATCACTCATTCTGTTCCCCGAGAGTCAATTTCCAAAGATTCTAATCCCCCATGTTTATCGCAGAGTGGGCAAAGGATGTCAAGGTGAATGCAAGCCTCTGAAAGGCACAATAAAGTCCGTGGTATGCCCATATTCAACATAGAATGCCATTGCGTTAGCACCTATAGACGGAGAGTCAATTGGCTTGGTACATCACATAGCAGTGCCTTTTGACAGAGTGTAAATATTCATCGAAACACGAAATGTACATATCTCATTCCATTCCATGGGTTCCCAATCTTTCGATTTGATGCGTCACAACGCACATAATTAAGTTCCCAGTAGAGTGATCAATCGGGGCTGTTTCGATTTAAACTGCCAAGGAACTCACATTACTACACTAGTGTATGATGATCATAAGCGGTGTAGAGTCTACAATGAGCATCTGGTGATGACTTCGACAACAACACCCCAAGGCCGGCCCACGAAAAGGGACCTCTCGCTTCGTGAACTACTGTAAATCTGAGAATGTAGCTGTTGATGTTTCATATTACAATCATTCATTGTGCAACCATTCCAAAATACATCGGTCGTGGTAAACAAAAAAAGTTCCAAACTCGGCAAATTGCCTTGTAAAAAGCCAGTGACGCTCAACACATGGCTATCAAATCATCCACTTTTCGGGGTTCTCCAACGATTTGGAGGGAATTTAAAGCTTCTCGCCGGCGGCAGCCTTCATCTGTCCGTACTTCTTCAGGCGGATGGCAGAGACATTGATGAAGCCAGTGGTTTCAGCAGGAGAGAAGTCACCAATCTCGTCCATGCTGGATTCGGTCATGTCGTACAGCTTCTCGGTCTCGGAGGAGCGGCCAAGGACAGAGACGCTGCCCTTGTAGGCACGGCAGCGGACCTGGCCATTGACGGACTTCTGGGAAGCGGTGATGGAAGACTCCAGGAACTCACGCTCGGGAGAGAAGTACATGCCGTTATACAGGAGCTGCGAAATAATCAGTATTTGTGGACACGCTTCAATTCACGATAGGAAAAATGACTAACCTTGGAGTAGTTGAAGGTGACGAACGAATCACGCAGGGCTCGGACTTCACGGTCCATAACAAGACCCTCGAGGTCGCTACCAGATGTCAGCGAGAGAACGAATGATCAAATGACTGAAACTCACATGTGAGCAGCGCGCAGGCAGGTGAGGCCGGGGGTCTCGTAGCAGCCACGGGACTTGATGCCAATGAAACGGTTCTCGACGATGTCAATGCGGCCGACACCGTTGCGGCGGGCAATAGCGTTGGCGGTCAGGAAAACATCAACAGAGTCGGTGACGGACTTCTTCTGGCCGTTCTCGGTGAACTCAAGCTTGACGGGAATACCCTTCTCGAAGTAGATGGTGAAGTCTTCGGGTTGGTCGGGGGCGGACAGGGGATCCTGGGTCAGCTTCCACATATCAGTGGGGGAGTGGTATCCGGGTCCTCCAGGATGCCGGCCTCGTATGAGCAGTGGGCCAGGTTCTCATCCATGCTCCAGGGCTTGGACTTGGTGGAGGTGACCGGGATGCCCTTCTCGGCGGCGTAGGCCAGGAGATCGTTACGACCGGCAAAACGCTCGTAGAAAACGGGGTCGCGCCAGGGGGCGATGACCTTGATGTTGGGCTGAAGGGCGTAGAAAGCAAGCTCAAAGCGGACCTGGTCGTTGCCCTTGCCGGTGCAGCCGTGGGAGACGGCGAAGCAGCCCTCGCGCTGAGCGACGGCAATCTGAGCGCGAGCAATCACGGGGCGAGCAAGAGAGGTTCCGAGCAGGTAAACATTCTCGTAGACGGCGTTGCAGGCAATGGCGGGGAAGCAAAGCTCCTCAATGAATTCACGGCGGATGTCGACGATCTCGCACTTGAGAGCGCCACACTTCAGGGCCTTCTCGCGGGCAGCCTCAAAGTCCTCTGTGCGTGTTGTTTAGTCATGCATCGTACAATGGTCGAGATTTGATTCGAGCCGTACCTTCCTGACCAACATCGGCCACTGCGAAATGAATTAGCACCTTGAAGATGAGCTTCCCCTGGCATTGTGCGGGCCGGCTTACTGAAACAGACGACCTCATAACCCTCCTCAATCAGGTACTTGACTGGAACCGGGTATCAGCAACCATTGTGAAACGACGAAGGTGATCGAGAGTCCGTACGGATGCAGCTGGTGTCGAGACCACCGGAGTAGGCGAGGCAAACCTATTCGCGCAATGAATCAGTGAGGTTCGGGAAACGATGGCGGGCAAGTGGAGGGTGGCGTGGGCGGGATGGAGTGGCGGTCTGGGGAAGAAATGCGAATTGCAAGCATAGGAGGGGGCAATTGGAAAGACATACTTTTCCCTTGGCCATTTTGAATGATGTGAAGCTGTAATTCGGGCCGTGCTTTGAGAATTCGAAGAGGGAGGTGGAGGAGAGAGAGGGTTGAGTCACCGGGAAAGAGGTCGGTTTTTTTGGGTGGTGGGACGTGGGCGGTTTCTTGGCGCCGACACCGGGCGATAAGTGATAACAGTTTGACTCAACCCTCTTCTCCACACGCCCCCCTCGACGGTAAGTAGAAGATCTGCGGGAGATTGTTGATGGCAACGGGCACGCGACGAGTAAGTGGAGCATTGGCGAAACTCCAGAAAGTCTGTAGTACTCGAAGCCCATCCCCCGCAGTCTGTAGCTGTGGGAGGAGGAACCCCGGCGGGGGGTAGGAGCAACAGGAAGGTGTCGACCACTGACGCCGGCGGATGAGAGGGGGTTTATGATAGCCAGTTGGCATTTCCCCTAGGGCTTAGCGGAATAAGGGATGGGTGTGACGCCAGTCATAACAGACCCAGTGGATGGCTCACTCGCAAGTCTGCTCCGTCTGAGCTCTTGATATACTCTTCCCACGGCTGATCTCTCTCGCTCCGCGAACGGTGCCCATCTCCTTGCTCCCTGGCAACCCCCGAGCAGAAGCCGACTACCAATAGCCTCCCTGGATGATTCAGACCAGGTTGATTAGACCACCGTTCGAGCCCGAATCTTACAGTGCAGGAGAGGCACTGGCAGTAGCTGACTCCTGCTGGTTCGGTACAGGGAGTGTGATCCTCTTTGAGGGACCGGTGATCACCTGGAGACCAGCTCCGCCGCGGATGCCCACCTCTTGATGTACCTCACCACCCTTCATGGGCACACCTTCGGCAATACGGGCTACGAGAGGGCCTTCTTCCTCCCGTTGAAGGGCAGGAACCCCGTGGGAACCCTGCCATTGGGCTGCATTGGCCCCGAAAGTCCCAGACCGCAACAGGTGGTTCTCCTTCAGGAGCTCCTCACCCTCCAGCTGCAGCTGAGCGATATTGACCTTGAGGCCAGCATATTCACGCGCAAACTGGCGGTTTTGTTCGCGCAGTCCGGTGATCTCCTCCATCTCTGTTGTCGAGATGAAGATATGCTGACCCGACACCGCATCACCCATGCGAGTGTCACCATCGGCATCAATAGTCGATAAGGCCGTTGGGCAGGCGGAAGTCCCCAGAGATTGGGTCGTCTTCTCAGCCTGCTTGGCGAGGGAACGATAGTAATTTCGCTCCCCCACGACCTCGGCGTACTTGACTTCGGCAAAGCCAATCATCGCCCGGTGCTCCTCCTCGAGGTGGCGGAGGCGCTCTTCACAAGCACGCTCAGATGCTTGTTTGTCGGCGACGATTCGCTGACGGTCTGAGGCAAGGCGCGCCTCCAGACTGCGAATTGCCCCATGGAGCTTGGCCTCGTAGCCTGCGCAGACTTTCTGGAGCTCGCACTCCGCTTGCTCGTCATAACGGGCCCGGATGACCTTCGCCGCATCTTCGCGTCTCGAACGCTCATCCGCCAACTGAAGGAGGCTTACCTGGTAAGCGTCACGGAGTCCATCCCGATCAGCTTCCAGGCGGTTGATGTAGGCACACAGCCCCTCGACTTTTGCGAGGAGCTGGGCCATGCTATTAAAGCATCTGCGTCAGCATGATTCTGTTCATTTGAAGTGTTCCGGGTCATTGTAACCTGGGGGTATTATGTACTTACTCGTCGTTTTTCGGCGACGACAGAGTCTGGGAGGCTCGACGGGGGTGTTGCGAGGCGAGCGCGGCCTGATCCAGCACTTGGGGCAACTTGCGGCCCCCCAGAAAGCGGAGGAGGAAAAGGAGGAAGGGGAGGAAGCAGATGACGGCAATGCCGTCGGCAAGAGAAAGAAAAGCCATTTCGAAATTATTGTTGAAGGAAAAAAAAAAAAAAAAAAAAAAAAAAAAGGACAGGAAGGGTGGGTTCGAAATGGTTGAGGAGGGGAACAAGGGAATAAAAGAGGTGCTGGGGGACGCGAAAAATAGAGGTCGACTGGCCCAGGCTACAGCGAGTGAATGGAGGGTCGCACCTTCCCTCTCCCTCCCTCTCCAGGCGCACCTTCCCAATCAATTCACTGGTACCAGTACCAGGGCATCACGCCAGTACGATTATCTACACCCAGGCACCACCTATCCAGTCCTCTATCCAGGCACGCACTCAGTCATCTAACCAGTAATTTATTCTGTAAATCACCCATTCACCTACGAAATCACGTCTACCTCTTTGACTCCTTATATCTCTAGCAAAGAAGTGAAACGAGCCAGATAACTGATGCACAAAGCGGCAATATACGATTTTCACTGATAGGATTCTGAATTGAAAGTACAAATCTCAAAAGCTGGAAGGGTGCGTGGTTGAATCAATTCTCATATATAAACTGCTCACATAAAGGTCTCTCCCAAAGCAATGCGAAATCAAATGTCAACATTGAATGAATATGGCTGGTCAAAATCTAGTGCTCCGGAGTACTTGTTCACCGGTTGCATTCTTCTCGCTCCATTCACTCCAAGACATGCATTAGCATAAACCGAGTCCCATACTATGATATCAAATCATAACCTTTAGATGCCAGCCCAGCTAAGCTTTCAAGGCCCGTGTGTTGGACCGGCCCGAGCGTGTCGGCGTCAAATTCAACCCTGGTCGCGTCGACCTTGGGTCATATCAGGAACAACACGACCGGCAACACTTTGGTGTCATTTCTTGAATTTACGTCTTTGTCACAATTGATGTACAATGGATTCGTGGATCACAACTAATCCATTCGCTGGAGATTCAGCATTTGGCCTAACCGCAGTCTTTCGTGCTTTCGCTTCTCTTATGGTAGCAAATGAGAGCCTTCCGTGCACAATAGAGTTATACTTTTAACGATCAAATGCCGGGTCCATTCCAAAGCTATCAGAAGTGATAGCATCGTACTATGATCAACCACGACTTCACATTGCTGGAAACCACAACCCAGTGGATGAAGTTGCGGAAAGGAAGACATGCTCGAAATAGATTTTGCTATCAAGGCTTCGATGATGGTGTACTCAATTCTAATTCGGTCGAGTTTCTATCTCTTAGGATAAGGGCTCATCATAAGATTGGAACAAGTCTTGGACTGTCAATGCAACGAGGTCTGATTCGCTCTCGCTAAACTGTCGGGGGCCATGTGCGCTTATTGCATAATGGTGGTGGAATGAATATTGTGCTGTTCTCGAGCAGGTCTGAGAGTTTGCGGTATTAGGTCCGGAAATAGTGCTCTCAGTACCCAGAGTACAACCTGCATCGTCACCGCGTGCTGCTGTCAAGTTGAGGAACACTGCTCAGTACTCGAGGGTTTGATTGATGGCGTCATAGATTCCTGCGGAGTCTTGATTAGAAAATGCGCAAACAAGAAAGAACACGATTGGCAATTCACGTACGTGCGACATCAGGCAAAATAAATTGCTCGTATGAAAGCCCAGTATGTGTACTCCACCCAGCTACCCGTTTGACGGGGGCTTCAAGGCGGAGAAAAGCCCCATCTTGAATGGTCGCAGCCACCTCAGCGCCAACACCATAGTTGATCATACTCTCGTGGACCACGACGGCTCGGCCCGTTTTGCGCACGCTCTCGAGGACAGTTTGTCGATCCCAAGGGTAGATAGTGCGCAGGTCGATCAGCTCAATGTTGACTCCCTTCATGGTCTTTTCGATGGCGGAGATGGCGGCAGAGCATAGATACAGGGGTTGACCGTAAGATATAATTGTCAAGTCCTTTCCGGGCTTCACTATCTCCGCTTGGCTCAAAGGGATTGTATAGTATTCGTTGGGGACATGCTCAACGGCTGCTCGGTAAAGGATTTTGGGTTCCATAAAGATAACGGGGTCATTATGCTCGAAGATAGATGAAAGAAGGAGGCCTTTCGCCTGAGACGGAGATCGTGGCATCACCACTCGTACGCCGGGGATGTGTGCAAAAAGAGACTCGGGGGATTGCGAATGATACCTAATGTAAACGATAGGTTAGACAAGAGTGGGTCTCCCGGGGACGTGGAGGCATACAAAGCACCATGCCCAACTGCACCACAGGGCATTCGAATCACCAGCCCTCCGACATTTATCCCAGTTCCTCCCTCTCGATATCGAAACTTGGCCGCCTCGTTGACGATCTGGTCGAAGGCCGGGAAAACATAGTCGGCGAACTGAATCTCTGCGACGGGCTTCATGCCCTCGGCTGCGGCACCAATGGCAAAGCCTGCGATACCTTGCTCGGTCAAGGGAGTATTGAAGACTCTGTCGGATCCGAATTCTGTCTGAAGGTCCATGGAACATCGAAAGACACCGCCGAAGGCAACGTCTTCTCCAAACAACATAACCTTGTCCGAGGTTGTCAAGGCGGTTCGTAGAGCGGAGTTGATGGCTTGAAACAGATTCATACGTTTGCTCGTGGCGCCGGCTGGGAATTCGGGGATAGCGGACAGAGAGGAAGGCGTGTGGTGCAGTATCGGAGTCGATTTGTAGTCAATGGGTAAGTTCAGCTTTGCGGCGGGTGAGGGTGCTGCTGAATAGCACCGGCGAGCGACGCGCGGAATCAAGGTCCGCGTTGCACCGGGGAGTACCATGTCTGGGGGGGATCCGATTAATGCAGTGATAGGTAGAGTAGAGTCACAGAGAGAGAATCCCACCTCAACATTAGCAACTCTTATAAATGGAATCTCGGTTTTATGGGGTTTGCGGGGGAATTGGATGGACCGCGAATAGCCGCGGTGCAAACAGATCAAACATATGCGGAGGGCCGATGACGGCAACCTGCCTCGAGTTTCAAGTTGGCTTGGCGGTCTGAAGAGTCCATGGCTTACTGTACCGGTCACCTGACAGCTCAATGCCAAAAGGAGAAGAATATCCTAACCTTAAGTGGACAGTCAATGAAAGGAGCACAACATTGAGTGAAGTCGCGATTCAATCCGCATTGTAAATTAGTCCACTCCAAGGAAGCTGCGACCACACTGCACATTGCTTTTCTAGGTCACGATACCTATGTGTGTTGAGGTTCCAGGATAAGGCACCGAATTGATGCCTCATTCCCAACCTCTGTCGGCATGCCTGTCCAGGGAAACCGGAGGCACTGAGCTTGATATGCGCTTCAAGCGCTCTTGCCACCATTATATTCTAAATTCGGGAGATCTTCATGGAAGAACACCGATTGAGACCGATTATGAGGGATTTACTACTGTCAGGGGCTTGCCGCCCGTTCAGGGATAAATACCCCCAGAATATCAACTCACTCATATGCAAGATCAGGCTCATCAGAAGTCCAATTCCAGCTCTTGGGTATTTTATTGAAGTCCGTGATGGGTGGATCTTGACGAGGCCATCTTCTATACCTCTTTGGCTTCTCTGGCTCAGAAAGCGAAGAGGTCACTCGGCGTTGGAGTGTCAACGATGCTTCCTTCTGGCGCCGAGGCAGAGGGGCACTTTGTGCTGAGATGCTGGCCCGCGGGAGAGGTTTCGCTTCGTCCGATTTGGTCTTCTTCGCTGGCGGCTGGGAGCTCACAGTTTCTTCGGGACTACGCAAGCGCTTCCGACTTGTTGAATTAAAGGTATTACTGCGCTGGAGAGGCATCTTCAAATTAATGTTAACGCAACGTAGTGTCCATAAAGCTTCCAATTAAAGATGAGAGGTAGGATAGTTGAAAGGGTCGCAGGTTCGGTTCGAGAACTGTATGTTATACTCATCATTATGGATCAAAGAGATGATCTCCTGTCCCGTCAAAATGCGTTCTTTTATATCGTTCTTTCACAGATTTCTATATACAACTTGAATGATAATTCTCCATTTCTTTGTAAGGGCTCTGGTTTGTATTTGTTTTGCTTTGGCGCTGATAGTTCTTTCTATATCTCCCGAAGATGGAGATTCGGCGACGGTATTCATTTACACACTGTAACTGTACCCATAATAGAATGCCACTTTGAATTGTTTTTTGAAATATTGCACAGTTTTTGCAGCTCTGTTGCAAATCAGCTTCTTTTAAGGCAGTCAGAGAGGAAAGAAGTTGTAGTATAGGATAGACAGGCGTTTCTCCCTTAATCCTGTGACCTCCCAAATTAAGAAATCAAATGAAAGACAAGGGCTCTACATGAAACCCTGTCTTTTGATAGCGATGGGACATATTTTCCACTATGTCAATAACAGCTATCCACCAGGAATAGGCCAGAGTTTCTAATAATCATCACCCGTCGACCCATAAAGGTGCGTTCCTCGCTCAAGCACCTCAATCTCATCACCAACCTCAACAAATAACCCTCCTCCCAGATCCTCTGCCTCATTCAAACTTGTATCCTCGGGAACGCAATGCATGCCTAGATACCCCAATGCCGCTTTGTTGCCAGTCTCGACCGTGCGGTACTGAACCAAGGTTGTGCTGGGCTGTGGCTTTCCTTTCTTCTTCTCAGGGAGAGGGTTATCCGTGTCGAAGATTCCTGTTTTCGGATTGACGTTTGGCATCGTGCACCGAGACGTACGACAGACGACGGAGAATCTCGGTGCTACTATCGCACGGGGCTGGGTGCTATTGCTTCTTGGTAGAATTCGGTAGCGTTTCCAGGTCTCTTCTTCGTATGCCGGGCTATTTTCTATCCAGATATTTGCTCGGAAGCGGAGGGCATTCAGAGGTTGATTTTCGGACGGGAGGAGTGCAGAGACGGCTTGGACTGAGGAAAGACTGTTAAGATGAATGGGTTGTTGATCTGTGTATCCATGCAAGGCGGGCGAACCAATGTATTCGAGAGGGGCGAGGTTTCTATCTGTGCGGACCACTGTCTCTGAGGTACATCTAAAGAGCGAGATCCCTTGGTCCTTCGGGATTTTGAGAAACTTCTTTAGTTTAGGCAACGACGCTGCGACGGAGGGAATCCCTCCCATGTCGATGCCCTTTGCGTCGCGATGGTGAATGCCAAATGTTTTCGGCTTTGTTTGAAACCCCTCGAGCTCAATGGTGCTCACGTCGAGAGGGACAATGAAAGAAAGCTGTGGTGCTGCGGATCGACTCCATGTTTGAAAGAATGTTTCAATGCGATCGGTCCAACTTGGCACGTCTGGATTGTCGAAAGTCATGACCACGCACCCTCCACACCGAACTAGAGCATCGTGCGGATCGCTAGTTTGGTGTGGCAGCCAGATCTCTGTCTTGATCTGGGACATCATCGGCTTTGTGCGTTGGCTGATGAAACGCCATTTTGCGGTTACGTCGTAGTCCTCTCCGTTCAGATCGCCGGCAGCGAAGGCGAAGCATCGATCGTACATGAATCCGGTCTTCAGTAGTAAGGCCCGGTCCACCTCTATATACCCACAGGACTTGATCGGATGTAGGTACAATGCCTTGATGCGTGGCGGTCCGTCGGCTTTTGACTCAGATGATAGGTTGAATTTCGGATCATACTGATCGCCCATATTGCTGACACTGACGCTGAGCTTGCGCAGGTGCTTCAGCTTTCTGCGTGTTGTATGAAGCGGTCCATTTTGAGTGACAATGGCTAAGACAATGTAGGTCAGGAGTATACTGGCTGCGGCGCCGTAAATAAAGAACCGGCTGTGGAGAGAGCCCCAAAGTGACTGCAAAAGCCAAAGGAGCATCCTGAATGTATTCTCGAGAGCTCCAAGAATGTCTTTCTAGTTCAGCACAGCGAAACAAGAGGCCGTTAGCTCATGTGTAGATGTTGATCTCGACAGGACTCTCCCCGCGTCGTGTAGGCTGAAGGTGTCACTTCGCATGTAAAAATCGGTGTTCGGCTTGCGGCGGGCCAGAGCGCAACCTTCCCGCTTCAGGAAGTTAACAGGAGCGGATCCACGTGGCTTGTGGTTTGAAAGTGAGCAACATGGCGATTTGATTTGGAAAAACGCGAAGTTCTCGTCGAGGTAGCCTAGGGTATGCTGGTCGATCAGGGGGACACGTGACGAGGGGAGGGGATGATAAATCGTGGTGCAGCTAACCGTAAGTTCACTATACACGAGGCAGCACCTAGATTTCAACTGCTTTGCAATCTCACTGACAGGGCTTACCCCAGGGCACTAGTGACTATCATGACTATCATGACAGATAAATTCTATCGTTCGCTCAATCGAGGCTATTTCGCCGACCGCCGAAATGTATCTTAACAAATCGTAGCAAGTCACAATGGAAAAAATAGCCGACGCAAGGATCGAGCCATGCTTAATCGATCGGAAACCGTATCCAATCAGACTTGATCGCACAAAATAATATAAGACATAGCATGCTCACTGCTACCATTTCTCCGATAAAGTAATTTCCAGAAATCCAAAAAATAGTAATATCACGCCACTTCCTTCAATTCTACACCGGATAGCAACCTTGGTGCCTGAGGCAGAACGTATTTCGGGGCCCTCCGCACCAACAAGCGCAACAGCTATAAACCACATTGGAGCGTCCCGAGACATTCGTATCAGTCAGCTTACATACGCTAACCAGGAAACAAAGCATGTAAGTCTTCAAATTTTCGAGCCTGGATCAGTACCTTCGATCACGAAACCGCGCATTCTAAACCCATATCCTGGCACAATGTGTCGCGTGGACTAAGCCCAGCGCATTGGAGAGAAGGCCGCGGCCACCGTTGCAAGGCCGCTCATTTCTATTTCGTGGTTCGGGACCCATTATCTCATTGCAAGGTGACAATGGGAGCTGCGATGGTTCACTGTGGGGCTGCTTTGTGAGGCCGCATTCGTAAGGGTTGTTGGGGGAGGGTGATTTGAGTCGTATCGGGACTGGAGCCGATAGTGACGATCAGGTTATCGTTTTGTGCTGACGAAGGGGGTCGAGAACATAGGGATGCTAGCAGTGAATTGATATCATCATTGTGTTTTATATTTTTAAAATCTGGAAAATGCTCTAGGTATGGGAAGTCCCTGCTGGGAGTGTGTTACAGAGTTGAGGGCAGAGAGAGGGAAGGCAGAAAAGGGCGGCGGCTACGACAATGGAGTTGTCAAAGTGTACGAATTCAAAGGGGCTATTTCAAACTGGATCCAGTTCTTTTGTTGGGAAGGTAATCCGATCGACCTCATGGCGAAGCGACGATCTTCTAGGTGTTCGATATGATATCCGGATGCAGGAATGCAACATTCCGCTTGTGAGATCATCACAATAGAATGACCCACTAAACATGTCTAACTTAGCCTATGCGGGTGATCATCAACACCCGTAGAGCTGACACCGAGTAGAGTTGTGTTAAAATAACAAGGACGTGGAGGTAAAACGCTACCCCCTAGACCCACCAGCCCTCGAGAGAGGGACACTGATCGTCACTATGATAGGAGAAAAATGGGTCTGATGAATGGTAAAATCGTTTCAGTCATTAAAGTGATAAAAAAGGAATCGCTAGATATGTACATGTTGCTATGGTATCATGTCTTGATGTTGACTTCGAGGTCGGTCACACCGAACGTGATCTCTTTATCGGAGGAGAAAGCTTCCGTACCGAAACCGAAGTATCCCAGGTAATCGGAACTGGCAGGATAGAGGCCACCATCCAATTTGTACAGGTCAGTAATGAGCGGGTAAATGTCGCCTCTGAATTCCTCGGTGATGTCGGCGGCGGCCCAGGTCAGGATCGTTTGCGAGTCTCGTGTGCCGGAGTACAGGTTACTATGGCTGGGTCAGTAGGAGCTCCAGATTCAAACCACAATCCCCATCTCAAGGCTGGACTAGGCAGCGAAGAGGGAATGGAAACACTTACAACTCTGTCCCGTTCAGAGTTCTCGTCGTCGAGGTTTTTGTACCGTATGGGTCGGTGCCCACGCCGAACGTAGCAAACCACACCATGACCTCGAACTGAGCCGCGGTGCTGTTCTGGGCGGTCTCCTTGTCGCTGTCGAAGAACATATCGATAGCAACGTTGGTTCGGACTTCATTGGAAGTCATGTCACTTTCGGAGGTGGACTCGGCGATTTCGTTGCCGAGGCCGTAGGACCAGTGCAGGTTGAGGAAGAGTTCCTGTATCTTGTCGAGCTCGACGGGCAGGACCTCCTCCACCATGATGTTGGGGAAAGCGCGGACGGGTTGGGTATCCGGGCCCCGGTTAAATTTCCAGGTGACGGAGAAGTCGGGCGCGGTGTATTCGGTTGGATAGGTCATGTTGTTGTATGTGGTCACCTAGCAGAGTCAGTATCTCTCTCTCGACTTGCGCTCTCCATTGTCTCGTCTCCCGCCGCAGCACACTCACATTCATGCACAGTCCACCCGTTGTACCGTCCGTGAGACCCCATTGATTGGGATTGACTATCACGCGAGTCAGCTTCGGCAGCGATCGGGGGGTACAGCATTCGTGTACTGTATAGTACTTACGCGTAAAAGTCTCTCCGTCGCCTTTGCGCGGCGGCGAGATACCGTAGGAGTGCTGGCAATACTGCGTGTTGGTGATGCCATTGTTGGTGGTGCTGCCATTTCCTCCCGAGCCACCACCGGTGCTATCTTGTCCTCCGCCGCCGGCATCGGTGCCTTTGTTCTCATTAGGATCCGGGGCGAAGAGTGGCCGTTGACCGTTGGCAGCGCGATGGGCGTCGATGCCAAACAGGGTGCCGAGGCATCCGCCGATGGGAATGGCGGCGAGGCCGGCGTTGACGATCAACGACAGGGCCATGTGTGTGATGTGCGTGGTATGCTGGAGAATGAGAGAAAGAACGATCGGAATGGCGGAGAAGGAATGCTAGAGTTCGCGGTCAACACACGATCGGAGCGTACCCGAAGCGGACCTACTATAGCAGCGCGAGCCGATCAGTGCCAAGTACTACCCAGTTTTCTTTCCTTTGCCTCGGAAATTCGGGGCAGGACGAGGTTGCAGCTGGCGATCGACGGGTGCGGACGAGTCTAGTACAAAGCGGTGGGGGCTTGTGATGAGTCGACGCCACTGGGTGGCCCCTGGCGGCGAGTGGAGCACGCAACAAAGTGGGGCAATGGCTTCGATCGCCGATTCGACCAGTCGCAGAGCGAATTGGCCAACGGCTGGGTGAGCCCTCGCTGGGCGACGCAGGAACCGTGGTGTGTGTTGGGCGGCGGGTGGGTGGCCAGGCACGGACAACTTGCGAGACAGCGAAAACTCTTCCCCGTTCTGCCCGCGGCCTTCGCTATTTTTACCCTCTTCTACACTTCCACTAAGTAGTCTAGGGCTGCTCCACTCCGCCTTTCTGCACTTCCACGCTCGGCTGAGCGAGCAATGGTGACGCAAGCGGACGACGCAGACACGGCAATATAGAAATATCGAAGAGGCAGGGGTCGGGGATTCACTCAGGGAATACTCTGGATCACAAGCATGAACGGCGGCGGAGTCGAACGCGTGTAGATCTATTAATACTCGGACCCTGTCTAGACGTGCTAAGCAGTGCTAAGCTGGGATGCGCTGCGCGGAGGCCACTAGTGGGCCGATTGGCGAGACAACGCCAATAATCGCCGCCAGATTGCAGGTCAGTCGAGCAATCAGAAATCAGATCCAACCGGTCGTAGTCAGCAGGAAATAATAAAAAAAAAAGGTGCCTGGACCAAGTAAATCGAGGCAATCGCACGGCCGCGCCACCGCAAGATAAGCCCGCGCATCCGATCCATCCAAACCTTCCCAAGAGTGCTTCTTTCTTCCCTTGCAGCCTCCTCACACTCGCTGTCCATCTTGCTGCACTCGCTCGCTTGCCTCGTCCGATTGGACTCTCTGACGGGCCCTTCACTTTGTTGTTGCTGGCCTTCCCACTTTTTTCCTTTCTTTTCATCGCGTTATCGCTCCGATCTGCTACCCTCCCCGCCATCCACATTCCGCAAGCGTCCAACACCCAGCATGAACGGCTATGGCCACCACCCGACCAGCCCCTACGGCCCAACCAGCCCGTACCACGAAGAGGAAGAGACATTTGAATTGACGGCCCCGCAAATCTATCGCAATCCGAACTCTTTCGATTTCCAATTCCAGGACAGCGTGCCCTCGGCTCGACCCATAATGCCAATCCGACCAGGCCACAACCAGAACTACAGTCCCCCCGAGTACTCCTTGCCATGGCTGCAACCGACACCGCGCATGTCCGGCGGTCCGGATTCGTTTCCCAACACTCCTTATGAATCCCGCTCGGCGTCGCCCACTCTGGTACGTATTCGTCCTGTCTCCGCGGCATGCCATCGACCTTCGCATTCTCGAGGTCGAAAGCCATACGCGACGATCCCAATGAAGCCCACCAAGCTAACACAGGTCTCCGTCGCCATCAAACAGTATCAAAATTCCCAGCTTCAGAGTGCTCAGTCCCTCACCAATCTCGTTGATACCCCGATCACCCCGAGCTTCGCGAAGGAATGGGTGCAGACCGGCTCCGGGTCTATCGCCCGCCTCGATGATCGTGACGATGTGGACATCTGGAAGGGTTGGAAGCGTTGGGTCTTCAAGTTCACCCCATTCTTGACCTTCACCAACACCGGTCTCTACCTCTTCTATCTGGGTCTCCGCGTCTACTGTATCATTATGGCCCAGAATGCCGCCGGCTTCAGCTATGCCGGTGCCTGGGTCTTCGTCGCCATTGAAATCGCCGTTGCCATCCCCTCGCTCATGCACAACTGCTGGACCATGATGGCATTGAAGAAGCGAGGACGCGCCAAACTCCGATTGATCGGCAACGAGTGTCCCACCGTCGATGTCTTTATTACCTGCTGTGGTGAAGAGGACGAGGTCATCCTCGATACCGTCCGAGGCGCTCTCGACCAGGACTACCCCAACGACCGATACCGTGTGATCGTGCTGGACGATGGCCGCTCGGCCTCCCTGGAAGATTCGTGCAGTCAATTGGCCATGACCCATTCCAATCTGTTCTACATGGCCCGCGAGAAAATTCCCGGCAAACCCCACCACTTCAAGGCCGGCAACCTCAACTACGGACTCGAGCAGTCGCTCATGCTGCCCGGCGGCGCGAGCCAGTTCATGGCCGCGCTTGACGCTGATATGGTAAGCGCTCTAATTGATATTTTTTTTTTTTTTTTTTTTTTAACAAAACGTTTTTGATCCTTCCCGATCGCGCGAGTTCGCATTTGGCTAACCTGGCACGCCTGAATCGTATAGATCCCCGAACAGGAATGGCTGCGCGCCGTCCTTCCCCACTTGCTGGTGGACCCCAAAATGGCCCTTGCATGCCCTCCCCAGCTTTTCTACAACACCCCTGCGTCCGACCCTCTGGCGCAGAGTCTGGACTTCTTCGTGCATGTGATTGAACCGATCAAGGACGCGATGGGCGTCGCGTGGTGTACCGGCTCGGGATATGTGGTTCGCCGCGAGGCGCTCGAGGATATTGGCAATTTCCCCCTGGGTTCGTTGGCGGAGGATGTTGCGACATCGACTCTGATGCTCGGCAAGGGCTGGAAGACGGCCTACATTCACGAGCCGCTTCAGTTTGGTACGGTCCCCGAGGACTATGGCAGTCATCTCAAGCAGCGTACCCGTTGGGCTATCGGTACCGTAGACACGGCCTTCAAGTTGAAGTTCTGCGCCTGGGGTGACGCGGTCAAGCAGATGACCATCGCCCAGCGCTTTTCCGGATTCTTGTACGCGACTCTGAGTTTGTACACTCTCCTGCTCACGGCCTCGCTGTTCGCCATCCCCATCATTCTTCTCTGGGGTAAGCAGCTCGTGGCCTACGCCAACCAGGATCAGCTGCACTGGCTCATTTGGGCTTGTTTCGCCTCGACCATCGCCAACCGCCTCTGCGAATTTGCACTCTTTATCCCGGCCGGCTACCACACGGGCCAGCGCGGTTCCCGCTATCAGCTCTGGATGTCGCCTTACATTGCGCTGTGCATTGTCCGATCGTTCCTTCTGCCCAAATGGCTCGGTGGCCAAACCCAGGCATTCAAGCCAACTGGCTCTCTGGGCTCGACGCTGAACGAGCGTGACACCAACCTGCGCAAAAACATGTTTGTTCGTCTGCGCGTGATTTTGTTCAACTTTATGGCTCTGTTCCACTTCGCCTTCGTTTACGTGACCCTGGTTGCCGTCGCTATCTCGTCATACCGGTGCTTCTACACGGAGAGCGGGTTCAAGGGCATCGTGATTTGTCTGATCACTCACGCCTTTTGGCCCCCGCTGACCTTCCTGTTCATCTGCTCGTCTCTGTGGACACCCGTGTCGTATGCGATCGACCCTCCGACGATGCCGCAGCGTGAGGACCTGTTGATCCGCGACCCCAAGACTGGCGTGGCCCACCCGACCAAGAAGAGCAAGAAGATTGCCTTTGGTGGCCAGGCTGCGTGGTTTGAATTCCAGTACGAGATTGCGACCATTGTGACTGTTCTGATCTTCGTCTACTCCTTCTTTTTCTAGTTGTACATAATGCATTATGAGGTACTTATTTTACAGGGCATCTGGAGTATATAATATGGATTTTACTGTCTGGACTTTTGTTTGATTATGATGCGTTGCTTCAAATCACGAGGAACACGATACGGATGGATTGGGCGCTCTTGTACAACATTAGCACTATTACCTTTTTACCTTCCAAGGTCTCAAAAAGAGTCACCTATCAATTACATCTACCATTGATATCTACTTCTCCGTCTTCTGCTTCTTCCGAGGTCGTTTATCGGCCTCCAACCCAAAGGATTTCTTCCACGACCCGTCCTTCACCTGTCGGTCATTCCCATGCAGCCCGACGTGATAGGCATTCTTCATGCTATCCAGACAGATAGTCCGCCGCTCATCAAAATCAAACATGGGTTTCGGGTAAATTGTACCATCCTCATTCGTCGAACTACTGCCATCCCCGGTCACTCTGCATCCCCACTTGCGCTGATCCGCGATGGGCGCTCGCCACGGCTCATAGATGTACTTCTTATCAAACTTCGCTAGCTCCGGACAGTATCGCCGGATGAAGGCACCCTCCGGATCCCACTTTTTCCCGAACGAGATGGGTGAGTAGCATCGATAGAACTGCGCGAAGAATGCCGTGCAAGAGAGCCACATCCAGTTGCCGATGTTGCAGGCCGTTTCATCTGGTCGGGCTTGTCAGTACAGGCGCGGTCAAAATTGTCAGCAAGAGTGTGGAAGGGAAAACATACGGTCAATCAACATCTCCTCAAAGACCTCAGCGCCTCGCTCCCAGCTCACATAGCATCCTCCTCGCGTCAAGAAGCAGGCGACACTATGTCGACCAAGGTGGTGAATCCAGCCTTCCTGTTTGAGTTGTCGCATCAATGCATCAATCCAGGGAAATCCGGTCCGCCCTTCTTTCCATCGTAGAAACCATTCTTCTGCTTCAGAGGAATCTACCTCGTAGAATTTAATCTCCGGTTTCCCATGTGCCAATTCTTCCGGAGTCTTAGATTGCAGATGCCAATCAATGAATCTGACGACTGGGTTCCCGTACGTCCGCGAGAAAGCCTCGCCAACAGCCGCTTGTGCGCCAAAGTACATATCACGGAAGAGCAATTGACCCGGTAGATTGGTCGGGATGGTCGCATTGTGCTTTTTGGACTTTTTGCGCTCATCCATGACCGCCTGAACATCCCACCAGAACTTCCGGACAGATAAAGACCCGAAATGAAGATGCGGAGAGAGCAGCGTTGTGGACTGGGGCTCGAAATCGGCGGGTGACGTTTTCGGCTTCTCGAATCGACCAATATACTCCTCGTCCTTGATATACCCAGCCAGTATTTTCAGAGCAACAGACTCCCCTCCATGGTGCGGTGTCGACACATTCTTCGACCTAATTCCAATCTCATCCAAAGTTGGCACTCCAAAGTCCCCCTTCGGCCCCATGATCTGCGTATACTGCTGATCCTTGCTGGTCCGATGATCCGCATTCAAATCCGGGTCCGACTTCACCTCATCCTGCTGTATCTTCCCAAGATCCATCCCATCCTTATCCCACGGATCAGGAATACTCTCCGGTGCCTCAACTGGCTTCGCCGGCTGCCCATCACCAATCTTCCCGGCAGCCTTCTCAACCTGCGCCATACTCATCGTCGCCTTCCCACCATTCTTACTGACCAACTCATCCGGATCAAAAAGCGTCCTTCCCATCTTCATCATAACCTCCACGCCAGCCTGCTCCGCCAGCCTGCTCCGCCAGCCTTACGACCTCTTCATCGCGCTGCCGGGCATACGAATCCGTATCCTTCTCAAAGACAATATGTGTTATGCCCCACGCCTTCCACAACTTCGGCAGCGCGGTCTGCGGCGCTTCGCGCACGACCCAGAGCTTTTGCTTCGCGTTGAGCTGAGTGTAGGATTTCGAGAGGTCATTTTGGCATTCTAGCAGGAAGCGCCATCTGTTGGGCCCCACGCGGGATCGGTAGACGTAGTGTGGGTCCCAGGTCCAGACCGGAATGAAGATCTGGGGTTTGAGTTCGAGGGCGGCGTGCAGGGCTGGTGAATCGTGGAGGCGAAGGTCGGTGCGATGCCAGTATAGAACTACCTTCTCTGGGGTAGCCGATTTCATGTTGGCTTTTTGCGAGTGTTCTCAAGATTGTGTTCAGTGTCAGTGTTGGTGCTAGTGTAGTTGAGCGCCGATGGACAACTCTTCCGAGTTGTCGGTGTGTGTGGATAAAAGGGTCTCGTATCGGGGTATACGACGGATTAAATCTGGTCAAAGAATGAATTGAAGCTGCAGACGCAGCAAAGGTGATGAATTTCAAGGTCGTCTCGTTTCCACAGCACTTGACGTCACCTGACGTACTACATTCTCGATCTCGATCTCGATCAACCAGAAACACAAGGTCCCAAACATTACAAAATTGCTTGTTTTGTCAATAATATCATGAAAATTAGGTACATGCTTGGTTCGCGTGTGTCCTTTTTGTTGGTACATTACGAATAGTGTATATTTGACATGACCCACTCGTTGGTGGGCATCCCGCACGTTAGTATACTATTGTATAACCAAAAATATATCGCCTCACCACGCTGACCACGACTTTCATATTTGCGCTTACTTCATTTTTCATAATGGAATAGGTGAGTAGGTGTGAAATATAGATATTATACAGGAATCTATGTGACAATAAGATTATTGAGACTGTGGGGGGATGTAAAAAAAAGCCACATTCACGGTGCAGTGTCAAGTATGTATCATCATCTACACCCTGAGTCTCGTACTCCTTATTTATTTGTAGCTAAAGTTCATGTCCCTAACGTACGAACTTACAGAATATCTTCATTGACAGCAAGACCGTGTCAAGCTTAAAGTTCTACCAATTTAGTCTGGTCAGACTACCCGCACCCACAAAAATGCACCGTTACCGGTATTCTGAGTATCTACACACTTATCCACGCCTTTTCAGATCTTCTTTCTGCATACTGTCAACTACAGAAATACACTCGAAGAAGAGCCTCTTGGCATGACTCACGTCCAAGCACCGCTCGTATCAATCTTTCCCTCGGAAGAAGGCGGACCCACACCCAACGGCAGCGGGGTCGGGAGTCAATCTTCCATCAAAAAAGATTTTCGGCACTGCCTCTCCTTGCAAATAACCCTCGTATCGCCTTTCAGGTCGTGAGATCCGCCAAAGGAGGGCAAAATGGTCTCTGATATGCAAATTGAGGAAGTCTCGTCCACGGGGCGGGGCAAACTTCGCATTGTAGCGATCATGCTAGCCCTCTCAGTAAGATGATCACCATCGGCTTAGCGGGTTTATCTTGGCTCGATTCTTGATACTAATCGGGATTACAGTTGTCTATGTTTGTTGCGGCGCTTGATCAAACTATCGTCGCAACGGCGATTCCCACGATTACTGCAAAATTGCATTCTGCGGCAGGTTACACTTGGATCGGCGGTGCCTATTTGCTGGCTAATGCCGCGGGCGCATGTATCTGGGCTAAGCTGTCCGATATCTGGGGTCGAAAGCTCATTCTGTTGATTGCGGTCGCTTGGTTCTTCGTCAGCTCGATCATCTGTGCGGTGGCTGTCAATATGCAGATGTTGATCGCTGGCCGGGCCTTGCAGGGTGTTGCTGGTGGCGGTCTGCTGCAGCTCGTGACGATTGTCATCTCGGATCTGTTTAGTGTTCGGTAAGAGCGTTGCTTACAAGTACCCCTGATCCATGGCCTCCTGATACTCATATATAAACAGACACCGCAGTCTTTATCTCGGATTGATGGAGGTGGTGTGGGCTCTAGCCGGTGGTATCGGTCCGTTGATGGGTGGTGCTTTCTCGGAGTATGTCACTTGGAGATGGAATTTCTGGATCAACCTGCCAGTTTCCGGTCTCGCGTTTGTCCTGCTGTTCTTCTTCTTGGATGTGCACAACCCGAAGACGCAGATTATGGATGGTATCAAAGCCATTGACTGGTTCGGAAGCCTGTCGGTCCTCGGCCTGACGCTTATGCTGTTGCTTGGTCTGGACTTCGGAGGAGAGACCTTTGCTTGGAGCTCGCCCCAGGTCATTTGTCTGATTGTATTTGGTACCCTCTGCTCGTTGCTCTTCATCTATAGCGAGAAACGTCTTGCAAAATATCCGCTTATGCCGTTGGGGATCTTTGCCCGGGTATCAAACATCGCCGCTTTAGCGGTGGCTTTTGCCCATGGATTTGTGAGTTGCGCGACTGAATCAAATGTTGGATATATGCTGACCATCAGCAGGTATTTATTGCCGGAGAGTACTACATTCCGCTCTACCTTCAATCTGCAAAGGAGGCTTCGCCCATGCGATCGGGTGTTCTTGTTCTCCCCCTCGTCCTGGCCGAAGCCTTCTCTGGTATGATCACGGGCGCCATCATCCACCGCACCGGTCGATACCTGGAGCTGATCTGGATTGGATTGGCCTTGATGACTATCGGAACAGGTCTCTACATCCAACTCGACATCGACTCGTCCTTGGGACAAATCGTCGGCTACCAGTTCCTCAGCGGCTTTGGCGCTGGCTTCCTCTTCCAAACGCCCATCATTGCCATCCAGGCCATGGTTAGTCAGGATGACACGGCATCTGCAACTGCCACGCTGGGCTTCATTCGCAACATGGCCACTGCAACCTCTATTGTCATTGGTGGCGTGGTCTTCCAGAACAGCATGGGCCAAATGAAGCCCAATCTCTTGGCTACCGGCATGTCAGAGAGCTTGACCGAGCAGATGACAGGTGGCTCTGCTGCTGCCAGTATTGAAATAATCAAGGATATTCATAATTCGGTGCAGTTGCGTGCTGTTAAGGAGGCTTTTGCGTGGAGCATGCGGAATATGTGGATTCTATACACTTGCATGTCTGCTATTGGTGTTTTCTGCTCCGCTTTCATCTTGAAGACGCGCTTGAACAAGGAGCATGTTGAAACAGTGACTGGGTTGGATCGTGAGAAGCGGCCTGTACTTGATGTGCAGACTGCTAGTGTCTAAAGACGCAGTCTTAATTTAGAAAAAGAAATGTGATCATTGGTAACATACACAATGGGAATATGTACAAACTCAAAAGGACGTGCTTCGATGAGCCGAGTAGACATATGAACGGTTGAAGCACCATAGAGCTAGAGAAACATCTCAAGGGAATTAAGTATGGCAAAAAAAAGTCATAAAGAAGTGACCAATCGGAATGTGAAAAAGAATGAATAATTAAATCATGCAAAAGAGCACTGTCCACCGACAACGCAAACAATGGGAAGGTCGGCCACGCTTTGACCAATCCACAGTTTGACGCCTTCGCCATTGACCGGAGCCTTCCAGTCCTGTGCCACGACATCCCAGACACTTACGTCCTTACGAGTGATCTCGAGAGTAACAGTCTCGGACTGGCCAGGGGCCAGTTCCTTGGTCTTTTCGAACTGCCGCAGCTGGAGCGAAGGTGTATCGAGACCGAGGCTAGATGGCAGCTCAACATAGAGTTGGAGTACGGCCTTGCCCTTTCGAGCACCGTTGTTGGTGACTTGGACCTGGACGGTGAACGCGGTCTTGAAAATGGCCGGGTTGCCACCCTGCCCGCCCCCAGCGCGAGGCTCCGGTTGCGTTGTGTTGTAGCCCTCTGGGTAGGGGTAGTCATTTGATGCGGTGATGGATTGTGGGTTGTCAAGGTAGGGGTAGAGATAGCGCCAAATGCGAGTGAATGTTGTTGAGGACCATGAGACTTCGGAAGCCGACGGGATGGAGTCGTTGTATACCGGGGTTGATCCCTTTGAGGGCCTCGCGGGCGGATACGCACTGTCTAGTGCGGTTGCCTCTGAGATTGTGGGGTTGGAGAATTTAAAAGTGGTATATGACAGACCATGGCCGAATGGGTATCGCGGGGTGATGTTGGCATTGATGAAGTGTCGGTAGTCCACATAGAGACCCTCGGTATAGGTGTCCTGGATCTGACCAAATGGTTGGTTGATGATACTCACGCTGTCGGGGTAATCAGACTCGCTGCGCGGGATCGAATAGGGCAGATGACCGCTAGGGCTGTAATCGCCGAACAGAACATCCGTGAGCGAATTTCCGGCTTCCTGACCGGGCAGATGTGCTACAACCACAGCCTTGACAGACTTAAGATCAACCCATTCTTCCATAAGGATAGGGCCCACCGTGTGAACGATGACCACAACATTGGAAAACTTCTGCGCTGCAGCTTTGACGAGGTCATCCCCATTGTGCCAAGCATTCAGTCCAGCGGCGGTACGATCTCCAGGATTGCCCTCAACGGTAATGTAGTTCTCCCCGGAATCGGCGTTGATGAAAACAAGGGCGATGTCCTTCGATGTAGCAGTCACGTCAGATGGGAAAGAGTCGGTAATGTGGAATTCGGCATTCTTTGAGATGTTTGCTATCGCCTCTTGGGGGGTGATAAGGTAGGGTAGTCTCGCAGTTCCGCTGCCCCAGCCCATGGTGAGAACGCCTTTATCGCACCCTTGATCACTGCAGGAATTCAAGCCGTCAGAATTCCCTCCTGCATCCGATCCGAAAATTTTGAGGCTGTCGTTTCGTCGCAATGGGAGGATTCCTTGGTCATTTTTCAACAGCGTGATTGCTTCGCGCGCAACTGCTCGAGCAGTGACGTTGTGGTCGGCTTGCACGTTGACAAACTGATTGACGACGCCGCTGGGCGAGAAGAGGGCCCCTGGATATAGAGGACCGGTCTCATCTTGGGTGTTGGTAGAGAAGTTGGGCAGAGGGTAGTCCTTATCCTGGCCAAATTTATACCATGTAGCCACAATTCGAGTAACCTATGTGACCATTAGCGCCGTCGCAAATCTACTGGAGCGAATAGTTCATACCATGTCGTTCAGTCTGTTAACTGGAACCGAGCCATTCAAGATCGACCTAGACAGCTCTGAGCCCCAGTAACTGTCACCAAACAAAGGAACCGCTCCGTCACCCGGCATACACATGTCTAGACCAGCAAGGGCAGATGCCACGCCAGAATAATGGCCCAACCAGTCAGTCAGGATGAATCCCTGGAAACCAAGCTCATCTTTGGCAATGCCATTGAGGAGTTTACTGTTTTGGCTGCAGGCGGAGCTATTTACCTAATTGATGTCAGATAGTAAACGCAGGGACGAGGCGCTCTGAAACTCACATCGTTATATGCAGTCATGAGAGAGCCGACTCCTGCGCGGATACCTTCCGCGAAGGGCCAGAGATACAGCTCATGCAGGGTTCGATCGTCGATGTTGGAAGAGTATCCCTTGGTAATAATACTGCTCATGCGATACATCTCTTGCTCGTTGCCAATGAAATGCTTCATCGACGCAATCGTTCCCGTGCTTTGCATGCCTTTGATCGTCTGCGCGCCTCCAACCGCCTGCAAAACCGGGTCTGCGCCAAAACCCTCCCAGATCCGGCCACCTCGAGGCTTTCGTCCCAGGGGGCCAACAGCGGGGCCCAGCTGTACGTTGACGCCTTTGCCTCGAGACTCTTCGCCAAGCGCAACGCCCCGCTCGTACATAAGCTCCTTGTTAAACGTCGCACCTGTCGTGATCCCAGGCGGGAATGCCGTGTTATGGTCGGAGTTTCGGATACCCAACGGCGAGTCCTGGAGGCAGATGTTCGGGACGCCGAATCGTGGCGCGCTCCCCGTCTGTCCCACACAGGGCCCCATGAAGAAGCCGGTTCCTGTTGTCAAGTTGACTTTCTCTGCGAGTGTCATGTTGCTGACCACTTGATATGCTTTCTCGTAGGCCTCGGCCCAGTCAGAAACCCACCCGCCATGCGGAGTGGGATAGTATGGCGGTGATTGATAATCCACGGATTCATCGTCGCGTTGTTCGACTTTCACCGAGTCGGGGGCAGCATCTGGCACGGGCGATGCAACCAGAAGCTGAGGCAGCAGAAAGCCCACGACCAGACGCGTCCAAGCCGTCATGGCGTCCACGCGAGGATGAGAGACGGATCACAGCAGATGAGGCACAAGCAAGCACCCGCAATGTGTAACCAACGGATTGGATACCCCAGGTTGGGGGTTAGGTGATACAAGAGGAGATAGTTGGTCGAGATTCCACTCCCATTCCTCTAAATAAAAGCAGGGAGAGGGGCATTGGCAAAGTCCACGTGCCGCTCTGAAGTATTCGCAGGCCATCCTTGCCGGCGGAATGGATCGACTTCGCCCGTCCAAAGGAGGGCCAGCTCCTGGGGTTCGCTTGCATAACCGAAGGCTGCTGATCGTAATGCTCGGCGGGGATAGGTGGGAATGCTCCTCGGACTCGCGGCGACGAACGCCAATGCTGGAGTGGGCGACCGAAAATAGCAAGACTCGACAGACTATGGGCGACGATCCTGCCGGCCCCGGACTATCCTTTCCCAGAAGGGCAACCTTCGGAAGCTTTTAGGGGTTATAACGGCGCACGACATGCGATCAGGCAGCGCGAAGGCACTGCAGGCCGTGATCACCATGGTTCCTGGCAGTTCCAGGGTTTCCAACCGAGATTTACCCGAGTTCTACTCCATCCAGCACGAAAGCCGCGATGGTACGGAAGAATCGCGATCGCTGCCCCACACTCGGTGGTCCCGTGACCAACCCGTTCGAGCTGGTGCCCTCCTGGTGTCTTGAGGCAGCAAGATGGTCTTGGCAGCGGTCCATACTTCACCTCTGGCTCGGAGCACTATATACAATGCAAAAGCACTTGGTTTATTTCCATATATGGTAATCTTTGAAGCTTCAAACTGAAGCTGCAAATATGGCCAATATCTCCGCTGGGAATCGATATGAATCGACACGCCTTGATGAGCGCGAGTATTCACGCTGGTGCCTCCATACTCGTTGCTCCCCGGTGCTTGCCATTTCTACCTAAAACTTTCCGCCACACACATGGTGTCGCAGACCCCTTAGTAAATGCTGTATGGCACATCTAGAGAAAAGTATAGGATTCCTCCTGATTAACGGATTATCTGAGAGGGATACTTTCGGTTTTACAGCTGTGAGGCAAACATGCCACTTTAGCGTCATTTTTGAAATTTAGGTCATGCAAATATGGTGATCCGTCGCGGTGCTGTTTCTGCCGTCATGTGACACCACTGCTCCTCTATCCCTCACTTTGGAGGGAAGGCTGCTGCGTTCCTCTCTTCTCTCCTCCGTCTCCTCCATAGCCAGATCGACAACTTCTTTCTCTCCAGTCGTTAGTGCTATCTGAACGGACCATTTTCACGACTCTATCGAAATCTACAGAGCTCCGGCTTCGGGAAGCAACGGGCAACGAAAGGTCACTGGGTCCACGAACCAACGGCCACAATGATCGCCCGAACTTCCCCCAAAGACGGGGCAACCAACAGATCTACCGCCGCGCGCCTCAGCCAAATGCGGATGTCGAGCAGCCCACGGGCCAATATCTTCAACCAACCCGACTATGTTATCGATTTGACGGGATCAGAGACCGAAGACGCCAGTTATGGCAGCGACAGACCCTCCAGTCCACCTAGAATCGAGTGCGTGGCATGTGGAGATTTGCGCTTTGCCTCCGAGGGAGTAAAGGCCCCATGCCCGCACTTCTATTGCAAAGATTGTTTGACAGCATTCTTTGAGAGCACATTGAATGACACCTCAAACTTCCCTCCCAGTTGCTGCGGTATTATGATTCCTCCTACTTCGGCAACTTCGGTTCTTTCCGCGGATCTCATCAGGCGAACAGAACATAAATTGATCGAGCACGAAGATACGTCCCCAGCATACTGTGCAGACCCGGCTTGCGCCCAATACATCTTCCCGAACAATCGTGTTTTCAACACTGGAATATGCCGAGTCTGTCGGAAGGGTACTTGTCTTCTTTGCAAGAAGAATTCTCATCCGAATGATTGCCTCCCCGAGAGCACGGATAACCAAGTCTTGGAGTTGGCCGGAAAGAAGGGATGGAAACAGTGCCCTAACTGTGGCAATGTCGTGGAGTTGGTGTCGGGGTGCAACCACATTACGTGAGTGAACAGAATCCTTCTTCTCATTGATTGTTCCATGGAAATACTAACAATATACTTTTTAGTTGCATCTGCAAGTTTCATTTTTGCTACATCTGCGGCGCGCCTTGGAGGTCTTGCGAGTGCGACAGGTGGGATCCAGAAATGCATTTTCAGGCCATGCTTCACCAGGTAGGTTGTCTAGACCCAGAAGAAATGTTGGAGATACTCCATGAGTGGGAGGTGGAACTGTAACGTCTGGCAATGGAATATCGGCGGCGGTATAATATAGAGGGAGGGAGCTCTCTGGTCCACCGCTGATTCCACCAGAATTACCACCGCCGCCTCCAGTTCATCCCAGCGCACCACTGACAACGATGGCACTTTAGCCAGGACTGATGTTCATGCCAATGGGACCTGGACATCCCGCAAATGAGCCACAGCTAGGAGGCTTCGAAGAAATGCGGGAAGAGGCACAAATACGGGTAGAGGAACGATATCGCGCAATATTACGAGGGCCCCAAAACCCCCTGGACCACCAAAACGCCGAGAACGAACATCGGCAAGAGATGGAACGAATTTTTGAAACAGCACGAATTCGTGCAATGAGACGCATGCGCGAACTGGACGCGAATAGACTGCAACAAATCGCACAAATGCATGCAATGGAAAGACTGCCTGTCATGGGACAACGACTAGGAATGGGAATGCCACCACTGCCTCCATTTCTACGGCAGCCAACAAATGCACGACAGTCCCCGAAAGCGCCCTCCCCGAAATCGTCCTCCCCAAAGTCTCCCTCCCCGGAACCGTCTTCCCCAATGGCCCCTACGGTACTGCGACGAAGCAGTCGATTGAGAAGCCTTTCGCCCAAGTAAGACATCAAGAATGACCGGATCTTCAAAGGCAGGACGTGTGAAGGCTGCGCAGAACTCATTTATTTGAGGATCTGGAGTGAGATGGAGTTCACTTGCTTGTGCCTTGGCAGCTTTTAGAAGCTATCTATTGAACTGGAAATGAACTCAATGATCAGGCTTCTTGCCAAAATGTATTAACGAATGTATGGGGTAAGTATACCTCATAGTCATGAGTGGCAATCGTAGAGCGTTGAGGCCTGCACATTACTTTCTCATTCGATATTCGTCGATGTTTCTTCATTTGTGATGTTTCTGAGTAGTCCTAGTTTGTCTCAGGTACCTCAATGCTTCGATTACCAAAGTAGCGGACTAAGATAGCGGCTTAAGCCCACATCAGCTCTTTACGGGTCCGGCAATGTAGGGCCAGCCATAAATACTTCTAATGCCAGTACCATAGGCGTAAGATAATCCTTCGAAAATATTATGATGGCTGTTGTATTCTCCAGAATCGGCCCACGGGGTAAATATCTGGCCGTATGGAATTCGGTGGCTCGTTGCACCGGCGGAGTTAATGTTGGAACCGGGGTTATCTCCGGGCTGGGCAAGGTCCGTCCACCAGATAAATAGCCAGTCTCGAAAATAAGTTCTCTTGATACAAGTTCTTTTCACACACTATACAATAGGCCACCATCTACTTACCATGGCCACGTCCCTTAAGTATACCTCCAAACTTGCCAACCAGCGTGTCCTCGTCCTGGGAGGCACTTCCGGCATAGGGTTCTGCGTGGCTGAAGCTGCTCTCGAGCACGGGGCCCATCTAGTCATCTCCAGCTCCAACCAAGAGAAGCTCGACAGAACAGTCAAACGGCTTAAGGAGTCATATCCCTCGCAAACCGAAAAGCAGACCATCACCACACACGTCTGCGATCTGTCCGATGCCGTCTCCCTGGACGCCAATATTCAGTCTCTTTTCCAGGCAGCAACCAACGGCGGCACTGTCAAGCTCAATCATGTTGTCACGACCGCAGGTGACATGCTGAAGCGACCCTCTCTGGAGGAGGTCACTCCGGAGATTATCTACAGCGGAATGAATGTCCGCTTTGTTGCGCCGGCCATTATGGCCAAGTATATCCAGAAATATGTGGAACCTTCTACGTCCAGCTCATTCACCGTTACTGGGGGAGTGCGTAGTCATAAGCCTGCCCCTGGGTGGTCTGTAGTTTCTGCTGTGGGCTCTGCAGTGGAGGGCCTTGCGCGAGGCCTTGCTGTGGACCTGAAACCCATTCGAGTCAATGTCGTTTCCCCAGGTGCGGTTCACACGGAGCTTTTCTCGCTCTTCCCAAAGGAGCAGCTTGATGCTATGTTGGAGTTTTTCCGGAATAGCTCTGTCACTGGCACCGTTGGCAAGCCAGAAGATCTGGCAGAAAGTTATATCTATTTGATGAAAGATCAATTCATTACGGGGAGCATTATTGAGTCGAACGGCGGTGCTTTGCTTGTTTGACTGGCCTCAACTCTTTATGTCCTATGAACCTTTTCATTTCTGCTTAAATTAGCATGCATTTTCAAATGAATCGATAATTTTAAGCAGAAGTCAATCAGCCATGAATATATACTACGTGGGGATGCCTAATTTTGTGGTCCAGCGATCGATGAGTCAGCACCATCAAACCGGTAGTTAACTATCTCCGACCGCCGCCGTGATCACAATACCGCCCAGCGCGACCTTAGGTCTTGAGCTTCCGCACACCTCTGCAGCCGCACAATCGTAGTACGGGTCGATGTGGATGCGCTTCTAACGGCTCCCAAGAGCCCCAGACCTCACCGCTCATTCTCCTCACAATACCCCCTCGTATCTGCGCAACCCTTATCGATTGAATCGGAAAGGCCACTCGATTCAACATGCAGGGCTTTAGTGAGTATCGGCCCCACCGTGTTCTGAGAAGCAAGAGCTGACATTTTCGACAGATATGGGACGGTTAGTTAATGGCGAAGAAAGCTCTCGCGATAAACCCCTAACTCACATAATTTCAGCTATGTCCCTCCCGATCAAGAAGGCGTCACGTCGGCGAACAAATTAGCCGGAAAGCATCCTCTAGGCGCCCGCGCACGTCACCTTAACACCACTGGCGCATTGATAGTTCGTTTCGAGATGCCATTCACCATATGGTGTACGACCTGCAAGCCGAACGAAACCCCGATCGGACAAGGTGTCCGCTTCAACGCCGAGAAAAAGAAAGTGGGGAACTACCATTCGACACCAATCTGGAGCTTTCGCATGAAACATACTGCATGTGACGGCTGGATTGAGATTCGGACCGATCCGAAAAACACAGCCTATGTCGTCACGGAAGGAGCTAGGAAGCGGGATACCGGTGAGAACAAGGAACTACAGCCTGGAGAAATCCTCATTGGATCTGGAATTAGAGAACAGGATCCGGCAGAGAAAGATCCCTTCGCAAAGATCGAAAGTAAGGTCGAGGACAAGCAGCGTGCGAGCACAGAGGCGAGCCGCATCCTGGAACTACAAAAGCTTCGGGATCGAGATTGGGAGGACCCCTACGAAATGTCGAAGCGGTTGCGACGCACGTTTCGAACTGAACGGCACGGACTTGAGAAGGCAGCGGCCAATCGAGAAGCGCTTCAGGATAAAATGAGCCTGGGGTTTGATCTTGTTGATGAAACGGAGGAAGATCGCCAACATGCTGAAATGATTGACTTCGGTGATGATCATTCTGTTATGGATACAGAGGCTAAGCGCGCTGCCAGGATTAAGCCCATGTTTGAGAAGCGTGCCTCCGCTACACCATCTGACAAGCCAGCGCAGAGAGTCTTTACGACCAGAAGGGAACGAGAGATCGCGCGACGCAAAGAAGCCTGGTGTCAGGGAGTGGCTGCGAATACCCGCGCTGCAATGGATCCTTTCTTGGCTTATGCTGACGACCCAGACTTCTGGAAACTGAACGGGGAAAAGGGTACAAAAAGAAAGAGACCCCCGGGAACTACCCTGATCCCCAAGCGTAGCCCAAGAGAAACCCCAGTCGATGATCCCAGTCATTCCTCGGTCCCAGATGTCGGTTCTATTTCACCAGAGGTCAAGCCGGAGGATGCCTCGAACAAGAAGTCAACCAAAGCAACACCCGAAAAGCTTGTGGACTATTCTTCCGACTCGGAGTAGTCGTTCATGAATTTTGCTCGTTTCAAGTGTACGATACTAGTGCGATACCCTGGGAGGCGTTCGGTCTTACTTTACGAGAAAATAAAGATACGATTTCACGACAGATATTGATCAGTAACTGATTTTGAATTTCGTTTTACGTAGATAATCGGTACAAGTAACATCCGAAGATTTTTTGGTGGGGGGGGGTATCACAGTTAGTTTCATTTGGCCCAGGGGGCCTTCGTAAGACCGTCACCTCCTGGCGGCGCTGGAGGTTGAGCAGCTGCCCACGGAGCTCTGGTTGGTGCCATCGGGCCGGAGGGTGGCCGAGACGTATCTGGTAGGGCGGGCCCCGTGGCAGTGGAAGGAATTGACGACGAGGTTGTAGAAACATCTCTTCTTGCCGCTGCCCAGGGTGCCGCTGTGGGCCCCATGGGAGGCGCTCGTGTTCCCGCGCCTGAGCTTGCCCGTGGCGCTTTCATTCCACTGTCCACGTTTGGTCGAGCTGATGTAGAAGATGGGAGACCGGCATCGGGCACAACAGGTCGTCCCTGAGGACCAGAGGTAGCATGTACAGTGGTTGAAGGAGCCGCGGTATAAGGATCACGATCCCAACTGAAAAGCGACCCGAATGGGAAATGTTGCACGACAGGAAACTTGGACAGGACCTCCCCATTGTACATTTTAATCATACCCTGTTGGTCATTGTCAGTTCCGAACTTTTTTTCTCAGATAGACGTAAATGGAATGAGAGAAAGCTCACCTTATTGATCTTTCCCCAGCCAGCTCGCACACCTGAGATGTCATAAAGCATAGGACTATGTTCCCAGAATGGACCTTTCTTCATGTCATAAATAAAACCAATTGCGGAGAAGTAGAGATTTGTCTTTCTTTCCCTTTCCACGGTTGCTGCTCTCACGACTTCGCTTGGATCAGGGGTGTCCGGCAATGAGCCTTCCTCTGGGGTGAGATCTGTGGCATCGATGGCCGGTGAAAACTGGGCTGATCCAAATATATAAGGAAGGAAGGAGTGATCGTCAAGTCCCCATACTCCATGGGAGCCGGCAGGTTCAAGGTTATATGTTTTGATGAGCAGCCTCACGAGCTCCAAGTACCTTGAATCAGAGTTAGCAGACACGTAGAAATTTCGAAAACGCGATGCATATACGTACGGCTCAATCACACCCAGCACGATTGCTCTTTCTTCAACACCCGGATCGGACTGTGGAAACCCCTTAAGTTTCCAGATTGCCCCCAGGAAGGCTAAGAAGCTCAACTCATGGCCTGTTCCATAGTCCAGTCTTTGGCCACTTCCCCAACTCCCGAGAAAATAAGCCTTCAACTCCGACTCCGCAGGAGGACCGCTTTCATCTGACGAAGGTCTCTGCAGAAGTTCCGCAGGCAGGCACTCTTCCAACAATTTTTCTGCGCGTTCCTCTAGAACATCATGCCACCTCCTAAAGCTAGTATTGCCGAATCTGCGCGGTCCATCGTGGGGTGGAACCTCCTGGACGAGGTCCTCGAGTTTCGAAAGCAAGTGTTGTAATTGTCGAACAGGCGCAGAGAACTGTACCGCTTCGGTATTCATCGGCCAAGCCTGTGGAGTCCCATCGGCTTGCTTCTCCGGGAACATTGATCGATTCAGTTGTAGGAGGAAGGTCATGATGTCCGTATAGGCTTTGGTGGTCAAGAACGTCGATGCATCTTGCTCGTCGTGGATCTTTTTGCTCGGCTTTGCAAAAACATGAGAAACGGATGGATCCAACGTCGGAAGGACGCGCACTGCTCGGCCGTCCGGATTCGAGTTCATCTTGGTTGGTTCGCGCGATGTTCTGCGGATGCAAGTCGGGCAAAACTGCAGGAGGGGAGGATGGAATGAGATGGCGGGGAGCTTGGCGGTTGCTTGCGTCGAGCTCCACCCGAGCTCGGCTCCTCCCCAGCCCGATCAACTTCGCGCAATCACGCGACATCCCTTACAGCAACATTGTCATGAGCCTGCAACATGGCACCTGCGAAAAGGAAGAGACCGCGGTTCTCAGCAGATAAATCCGTCCACCTGCTCGGTAGTCTGTCTGGGTCTCCAACGACGAACAGAAGACACACGACGCGACTTGATCCTATCCACGATATTCTACCGTCGCCTGAGTCGCGAAAGCGCTCCCGTCGAAGCGAACCAATTCCACGGCGCAGGCGACCTCGTACTCGTCAAAACAATCGCCAGCTAACATCCGAGCCTGATGAGCCCGAGCCCGAGCCTAGATCCGATAGCATAGCAGAAATCTTCGAGGAAGCGGAATCGCATAAGAGATCACGGATTGCCAGCGACTACGAACATGCCGAAGAAGCAACGAGATTTCAAAATGGAGGGGAAGCACAAGAAGAAGAAGAAGAAGAAGAAGAAGAAGAAGAAGACGACGACGACTACGACGAACCCCCGCTGTTCGGTGATCAAAATGAGGCTGATGAGGACGCGGCTGGACACCAACTAGGAATGGAACTGAGCGCCGAAGATGCCGAGGAAACGAATACTTATTCAATTGACATTCTCGGTGAATACAACGACGATGAAGATGAAGTAGTTGGATACCATCTGGAGACGGAGATGGACGACGAAAATTCCGACAATGAAGACATTAAATCAGCGACACCTCAGAATGGGGAAGAGAACGAATCGATTGGCCTGTCTGATCATCAAAATGATGAAGAAAATCTAGCCCGCCACCAGCTAGACATAGAAATGGACACCGGAGACGAACACGACGAAGAAGGGGACGATGGAGGTGATGGAGGTGAACATGACGAAGACGGAGATGATATGAACGAGAACGGCAGTAGCGGCCCTGTCCAAGGACAAGGAGAAGCAAACACAACCGAAGACTGTAGACTCCCCGGGAGCTTCCAACTGCCAACTATCCACGCACAACTCAGCGTGCACGGAAATACGGTCAACCGGAACCTACACCATGCAGTGTTGGTGTTCATGTCGACGAAGTCATCGACTCAACTCAGAGTTCCATGTCTCACGGCTACGCAGAGACCATTGCTAGCGCTGATGAAGAGGGTCGACAACAATCCGTTCAGCCAGATGAAAGGTCAGGCCCACAACATAGCAACACCAGTGGCCAACTTTTCCGGGACTTAGATCACTGGTTCAATCGGGAAGTCAAGAAAACTGGCGCTGAAAGCGATTGGAGGAATTTGAATGAAAAGGGCCAGGGATTGCAGTGCTATGCCTCTAGACCCCGACCAGACTATCTGAGAGAGAGCTTCCAGTTACTCAAGGAGTACGTCAGGCTCTACACAGAAGAAGCAAATCTCGAAATTCTCTCTCAAGAAATGGAAGACCAGATGAAGAATGTCAAAGACATGATCGTGACGGAAGCCGGGCAGCTCTTTGAACATGCATCTGAACAGCTACAAGACTCGACTGTGCTGGACCAATTCGAAGCGCACTTCATCCCCAGGTTCATCAGTCTCACGCAGCTCGCCTTCAGGGTATACCAAGCTACGAACAGTCTGGCCCATCAGCAACTCCGTCACACATTCGACCTCATCTTTGTCTGTGTCGAGACCCTCATTGGAGGATATTTTAATTCAGGGTTACTTGAGCCCAAGTTCCGATCTCGTGGTCTCGTGGCGCCACTCCGGCGTGTGATGAAGGCCTTAGACTCAGGTCAATTGATAGCACACGGGACCACCCAGCGCAAGCGCGGCCCTGAGGTATTCGCTGATATTCCACCAGTTGTCAAAGGCTGGTCCCAGGGGGAGATCCAAGTACTGAGAGATGCATATATACAGTACTTTGACGATGGTAAGTGTCATCCTTTTGCTTTTACTTCGGTCAAGCTGTTGTTCTTGAGTAATCTAACCGCTTGTGCAGCTGACCCTGTGCTTATGATTGCCAAACGCCAAGGGCACAAGTTGCCGAGAAGGAGTATGAGGGATATCAAGGGTATGCTGAAAGAGATTGGTCTACTTGTAGACTGAGGCTCGTCAAGGTGGCCCTTCTCAGGCCAAGTGCTGGTGTTATTTGGGTACCGAGGATGAATTGGCTGCTGTGGCTTTCTTCTTGTTCATGACATTTACCTTCTAGCGATATACCCGGGGACTCTTGGCCCAGAAACAGTTCAATAATTAAACTAGTTTTTACTATATACTCTTTTCTTATGTCCTAGTATCTACACTCACACTTTCGAGCGGTCAATCGCGTTCCAATTTGGAGCGGTACTCGGTTCCGGCGGATCGGACTGGGTGAACCATGGATAGAGTTGTTTTGGTCACAACGCGCTTTAGGAGCGACTCCGCCCACGCGTAAGTACACATTCTCACAATAACAGCAAACTGGTCTATGAAGGTCTGACAACGGCCAACCTATCCTATACCTCCTTTGCATCTGCAGACAAGGTTTAAATGTAATAATGATCGGCATCAAGCCTCAGGCCGTTAATACATCGGCTATTCTTCAAAGGTGTCTGTAGCAAAGAGCAAGTGGAAAAAGACCTCAACGCCCAAGTCTCACCTGATCTGTCGTCAGTATCCTAGGATCATGAGATTTAGCTAAGGGGCGACTCATAGCTACTACGACTAGTGTATAGTAGAGAGCACGTCCTCCAGCGGAAGGCACGCAGAATACGCTACCCGATTTGGGTTAGGCCTCGGTGCATGGAGTAGCGACGATCCCCCCCTCCCCCATCGACACCGCTTTCACTTTCCGCTTCTCCTTTTCCTCTCCAACCGTTCGCGCCGTTACGCAACTTGCCTTGCTACACCCTAGTTTTGTTGTCGTCCTCCTAACCTGATTGCCTGTGCGCCCAAGGTTCGATCTTGCACCTTGGTCGAAGCCCCTGAAGTTTCGGAACCAACCCTGTCGCGGCGCGGTGAGTACGGCCCTCCTCGCACACAGACCATCGGCTGTGCAATGCCTCAAGATTTGGTTCGCAAGGGCCTGTCTTGTCGTCGTTCTCACCCGACGACCTCCCATGCAAGGCGACAATAGCTGCGGCTACCCGCAGCTCTCAGTTTGCTCGTCGGCCGGAGCTTCGGAGAGCTTGAGCTCCAGACAGAATGATGCAAAGCAACCATGTACCCCCCTTTGGCCCTCAACAGAGCGGTCTCTGTGGTGTACATTGCAGCTCTTCTCAACCTAGAGCATCTATTACATTGACTTTTCATCACGCTAATCTGTCTGGTGTCTGAAGGTTCCCTTCCAGGCCTCATCACGTCCCGCTTTTCTTCCATTGAACGCCGAAAGTTATACGTTTTTGCATTCATCGAAGCAATTGGACAACATGGCATCCACCGAAGAGCCTGTTCCGACTTCTTCTGATGTTGACGTCGAAAATGCGCCTCCGGCTACCCCAGTAGACACCACCGCTTTGTCCGGAGGTGAAGAAGTTACTAAGTCTAGCCCCGAGGCATCCAAGGAAAACACCCCGGCCTCCCCCGCCAAAAGTACTGCCGGAGCTACCACTACGTCGAAACGTCCAGTCTCAAGCTCTACGACCGCTAAGCGGCCTACCTCGTCCTCCACTGCGACGAAAACCACAACTTCGACTACACGTGGCACGACCTCGAGCAGCACACTGAACAAGCCTCCTACTCGACCCACTACCACTACCTCCGCCTCTAGAAAACCTTTGACTACAACCAGACCCTCTTCTCACCGGTCCCAGGCCTCGGTGAGTAGTTCCGCGGACGAGAAACGTTCTGTCGCCAGCTCTGGAGATGAGAAACGGGGTATCTCGAGCACCGCCAAGCGTATGTCGATGGCGGGCACCGCGTCCACACGCACCCCTTTGAAGACTTCTTCTACTCTCGACCGCCGATCAAGCGTGACCGGCTCTGCTGTGGACCGGAAGACCGCCACCTCTACCACTGCCCGGAATACAACCTCCACTACCAGGCCCGTGGGGAAGCTTACCTCTGCGACAACGCCAGCCAGCCGAGCCACTCCCTCTTCCACATCTACCACCCGGACTGCCACTCGCCCTACTTCGACCACCGCCACCGGGCGGTCTGTCGCTTCTTCGGCAACAGATCCCAAAAAGCGTCTGAGCACTATGTCCAGTTCCGCCACTAGAACTAGCGGGGCCGACGAAAAACTGCAGGCTCTTCAGTCGAAGCTATCGGAAAGCGAGGAGACTGTCGCTAATCTCAAGGCCGAGCTTGAAACCGTGAATGAAAAACTGGGTCAAATTTCTATTTCTGGCGAAAAGACTGTTGATGACAGCGCCGTTGCTGAATCAGTCCGCGTAGAACATGCCGCAGAGTTAGAGAAGTTGACTTCTTCTCATGCGGAAGAGCTTCAGTCTCTCCAGACCCGACTCGACGAGGCAGAGAAGGAGCGCAAGGAGTTGGAAGAGAAAGCCCAGAAGGAGCTGGAAGAAGCCAAGCAATCTGCCACTGCTACTGGCGATGACCAGACTGCTGCTGCGCTCGATTATCTGAAGCAAACCCACAAAGCTCAACTGGAGAGCCTTGAAAAGGAATTGGCCGACCATAAGGTTGCTGCTACCACCTTTGAAGAGCAGATCAAGACTCTTCAGGCAGAGATTGATTCGGAAAAGGCTACCCGGGAGGAAGAGAAAGGACAGTTTGAAAATCTCAACCGAGAATTCAAGGGGGCCAGCCAGGTTATTGAGAACCTGGAGGTTGAGCTGCAAAAGCTGGACGCTACCAAACAAGAAGCAGTAGCTGCAAAGGAGGCTGCTGATGATTCTGTGTCGGGTATGAAGGACCAGATTGCTTCCCTCGAAGCCAAGCTTGCGGTTGCCGAATCGTCCACTCAACAGAGCTCAGAGCAAACAACCAGCTCGCTTGCTGAGAAGGACCAGCAAATTGCCGACCTCGAGCAAGCCATCGAAAAGATGCAGGTTGAAATTGAGGAAGCACGCAAGGATGCTGCCAATGCCAAAGAGCTTGAGTCTTCCCACAAAGCTGCGATTGCCGCCCTGAAGGCTGAGCATGAGAATGCTTTGAGTTCTCTCTCGGAGAGGCATGCAGCGGATCTCACTGTTGCGAAGGCCGCGGCCGAATCGACTAGTACTGAGCACTCCCAGCAGCTTCAGGAACTCCGTGATGCCCTGGACGCTGCCAAGACAGCCAGCCAAGGAGACCATGACCGTGCCATCTCTGACCTTAAGGCCGCAAATGAAATCAAACTCAAGTCTCTCCAGGACAAGCTCGATTCCTCGGAGAAGGCTCTCGAGGACTCCCGTCGGGCTTTAGATGAGGGCAGCGCTTCCGCTCAGGAAGATGCTGTCCACACAATTGAGTCTTTGCGCCAAAAGGTCGAATCACTTGAAACTCAACTCTCAACTGGAACTGGCGAGATCAAGACCCTGCAACAGGAAGTTCAGGCCAAGCAGGCCGAAGCGGAAGAGTTGTATCGCAGCCTAAAGAATGTCGAGGGCGAGTATAAATCCAAGGATGTCCTGCAGAATACCAAGATTAAGGAGCAGGATGACAAGCTCAAGGCTCTAGAGGAGAAGGCTGCAGAGGCGACAGCTCTCTTGGCTGCGGCTACCGAAAAACACGATCAAGACCTGCAGGCCGTGAAGAGCGAGCATGCGACTGAACTTGAACGAGTCCAGCGAGAAGCCTCAGGCTCCTACGAGGGCGCTCTCAGTGAACTTCAGCAGAAACATGATGAGCTCTTCGCCAAGAACCGCGATCTGGAGGCCAGCCATGCCACCCGCGTTCAGTCTCTCGAAGCCGAGTTGAAGTCTACCCTGGAGCGTCATGCGGCAGAGCTTGCAGCTCACACTGAATCTCGTGACAAGGACGTTGAGTTGCAGAAACAAACTCAAGAAACCAACGCCAAGCTTCAAGCTGAGTTCGAGGCCTTGCAAGTAGCCAACAAGGCCGATAAGGAGGACCATGCCAAGCAGATCGCTGAGCTCCAGAAGGGCTTTGACGAAACCCAGGCCAAGTTCCAGGCCGAGCTTGAAGCGACTCAAGCCTCAAAGACTGCTGATGCCGACGCTGAGCACGGAAAGGCCATTGAGGAACTTCTTACTCTGCAAGAGACGAAAATTGCCGGCCTCAAGGAGCAGCTCGAAGCCACAAATAAGGCCAACATTGAGGAGCTTCAGAAATCCCACGAGGCTGCTTTGGCCCAGGCCAACGAGCAGCTTTCCCACGCTAAGTTGGCTGCGCAGGATACCTCTGCTCTGGACGGCTTGAAGGCAACTGTCACGGAACTTGAACAGAAGCTGGCGGAGTCGGAGAAGGCCCACCTTGCAGTCCAGGAATCAGCGACTACTGCTTCCCGCGAACTTCAAGACAAGCATGCTTCTGAGCTTTCCAAGATCCAGACTGAGCACGCGGCACTGACTGAAAAGCACTCGGCGGCCACCACTCAAATCGAAGAGCTTCAGAAGTCCATCGCTACGTCTAGCAACAACCAGTCTGATCTTGAATCAATCATGGCACAGCTTACTCAATCTCAAGCTGAGATTGAGACTCTGAAGATAAAGTACAATTCTGCGAGCCACGAACTCGAGGAAATCCGTGTCCTGAACAAGACTTTGGAGGAGAAGCTTGCTGCTGGTGAGCGGGACTTGAACGACCAGATTGACAAGAACATGTCTCTCCTCAACCAACTCGGCGACGTTGATAGCGCCATCTCCGGTAGTCGCCGCCGTGTTCGAGAGCTCGAGGCTGAGCTGGCTGCTTTCAAGACGGATGCTGAGAAGAACGGCGCCTCGTCTGGTCTCGATTCCAGCCGCTGGGCATCGGCAGAGGAGGGTGAAGAGAAAGCTGAGGAGGGAGGTCCAGCCACAACGGAAGGTGAGGACCTTGGCCCATCCATCGAGGGAACGGTGGGACATCCCCGCTTAAAAACGACCTTCTCCTCAATTTTGCCCGTTTTCCATCCATTTTCATGAGGTTGAACCAATTTGATTTATAAATGAAACTAATCAAGCTTTGTAGATGGCCAGCATTCAGGAGCAGCTTAAGCACATCCGATCCGCGAATGATGAGTGGTACGGCGAGCATCGCAAGTTAGTATCCACATTCCTGACAAAGTCCATGTGGAGCTCTACTCACCAACCCCCTTACAGACTCCTCGGAGAATTGGCCCAGCTCTCCCGCCGAGTTACCCCCGACCCTCGAAGTGACTCCTCGGACCCCCATCCTGAAACCGCAGCTGCAGCACAAGAATCGGAAAGCAATCGCAGTCGATCTGATGAAGCCTCTGACTCCCGTTAATTTCTTGGAATCGACGTGACTAAGGGTCTACGAGTCGGGGCCCTCAAAATCCCCCTGCGTTGCGGTATGATTTTCTTTTGTTTGATTGTTTTCTTACGCACTGTCACTTCTGGGCTTTGCTTCATTGTATGTAATAGGAACCAGGATACCCTATTTTCGTGGACTTATCCGGTTTTGTCAAATAGTTTATTGATTAATGTAATGGCCTTGCCTACTACTTCAGGCCGGCTACGCTGCACGGATGTGTATTTGACAGTATAAATCAATTTCTATCCGCTGAGGATACACTGGGCCACTTGCCCAATGGGTGCTAGTTTACTATATCACATGCCGCGACGATATATTGGAATATGTTACGGTACACCGCCTGTTCTTACACTTATAATAGGAGCAGCTCTGCAATAATGACAGTCGATGCTACCTGCATGTCGTGGAACTAAGTCTTTCCGTCTCCTCTTCCATCATAGTCATGGATCTTCAGGGTTGTTATGTCAACGTCTGCAAGAGTTCGGACCTATGTTCGCGTTAGATTAGGTATTTGATTATTGGATCTAATGTTTTTCCAAGGTTGCAGTATAATAATCAAGCTGTTTGCGGGAAGGGTATGGGATTGAGACGTACATTGACGGCCAATATATTTCCATGCTCCTCCGGGTTCTCTGCACGAGCATACATGCTAGTCCCGCAGGTGGAACAGAAATAGTGAGGAAAGCCCTTGGAAGCGAAGCGATATTCCTGGATGGGATCAGATGACTATCCGGTCGGCTCATAGACAGCCATGGATACACTCACTTTGAGACCGTTATCACCGTGGTGGAATTTTACGTCGGGGGCTTTGGGGTAAATCATGAGATAGCCATTCGCGTGGCAGATAGAGCCTAAATACTGAAAATATTAGATTGGACTGATGGATCTTTCCTTGAAGCTCCACAATGCAAAACATCAGACGAGACGCACAATTGCAACGGATTACAGTCTGTTCGGAGATGGGCGGAGATATCTGCATAGTGAATTTAACTTGTCCACAATGGCAGCTACCATCGTATGTCTTTGTATTCTCGCTTGTTTCGGCCATTTCTGATGCAATTTTCCTGACTGGACTTGATGAAATCTGGGTGTGTATACTGTTGAAATTTTGTTGGGATGTTCCAGCTTATATAACCAAGGACTTCTCGTAGGGAATTGATACATCCACAGCAAAAAAATTGATAGATCCACAGCAAAAGGTTATGTACGCACCCGCATTATCTAAGCACCCAGCACCACCAATAATAGCCAGCCAATTCCACTATCTGACATCCACCCGTTTTGGAGAACCGACGAATCGGCCAATGATATAGCTTATATACCATTATTGGACCCTCGAATGCCCGAACCACGCACTCCCAGGGCGGCTCCAGCGGCCAGTGGTAGTGCGGCTAGTGGTGGTGGAGGAAAGAAGCAAAAGGCACCTCCAAAATGCTCGAATTGCGGTGAGATAGGGCATACAATTCGGAAGTGCCCTATGCCTTGATTATATAGTAGTCCTGCATATATTTGTGGTGTTTTATAGTAGCCAGCTGACTGGAATTGGTGGTGCTGGGTGCTTAGATAATGCGGGTGCGTACATAACCTTTTGCTGTGGATCTATCAATTCCCCTTCTCGTATTCCCGAAGCCACACCGAATCAACCGCTGTTTTTCCGATGATACCTCCAACAAAAGGAAACCATAGGACTGGATTGATCTGAAGGCAGAAGGTCATTATATGCGGGGAAGGGAGTTTTGGCCAATCAAAAATCCACTTCAACTCTTTTTTGAAATGCAAGTTCCGAAAATCGCAGGTGTACAAAAGGCAGTCAGCTTATTGCTACGTGGAGGCCGTGCTACTTTTTTTGACGAATCGGGTCCTTTGATTACCCAAAAGAATCTGTCAATAACGCAGCACCTGGGCAGGGAATGATTTTAAGCAGCGGATATTGTCGAAATAACGGTCGCGGTGTCTCACACTATCAGCAAATCTAAGGAGAACTTGAGGCTTCGAAGGCCTAAATAAACCTATCGGCTGATGCTCCCCCGGGAAGAAAGGCCTGTACAGCACGATTGCCCTTATTATATCGTCGCAAATACAAGCAGATCGAGGGATATTCCACTCTAGCCCTAAGTTCAACCCACCATGTACTGTGACTCGCCTTGCGGTACCACAGATATAGCAACAATAATGCGACTGGATCCTTATCCCAGGGCAAGTCTTCAAAGGTGCCATGAATACTCTGCAAAAATATTTGAGTCCGACATGTCGTGACTTGTCTATATGGGCGGTCCAGGATCTTAGCGTGTGGGCAGCATGGAAGTATGATTTTTTGATTTTTTTTTTTCCGCCGTAGACGATTTTTTCAAGATCACATATGGCTGTCAACTCACGGGGGATATTGTCCATGCCTCTCTCTGGCAATGGTGAGTTCATGTCTGCAAATGTTGCTGCCATAACGACGAAGAGGCTATCCTGTGGCATAGGGTTGACCATGTGCCAGAGTGACATTTTCCCTTTGCTCATATGCAACCAGTTAAAATCAGAGTCAGAGGTCATTAAAGGCCATGCTTATTCCGGCTCGCAGGCATCGAGATACGAAAAGGTTGAAATAACTAGTCAGCTACAGTGCCCCAAATTGGATCATTAGTTAACTAACTAGCTGTTCGTAGGAAGCAGCGAGCGCTGATTGGCTGCGACATACTACTGTAAATCAACACTGCACCAAGAAAACATCAACGTGGCATGACAGCGAAAGGTATAAAGAGGAGGCATTTTCCCCTGTCAATCTCCGAAGCAACAAACTTGAATTAGATCTGAACTCCAGGCTCAGTCCATCTTCATACAGACAGTCCAGAAATGGTCACCCACCTCGCCGCCGTCTCCTTAGCAAAAGGCGAGCCCTTCGAGCTCCAGACCCGCCCAACGCCGAAGCCAGGTCCAGGCGAGCTTCTTATAGAGGTTAAATCTATCTCCCTGAACCCGGCAGATGGCATCATGCGTGACCAAGGCCTCTTCATCCCAGCCTACCCCACGGTCATCGGGTTTGACATCGCTGGACTCGTTCTCGAAGCCGGTGACAACGTCCCCATCCATCCCACCAATGGAGGTGGAGGGCAGGGCCCTTGCTTCCAGCCAAGTGTCACCCGTGTAGCCGCCTATGCCGCCGCCGTTTGGAAATCCTGTGACCTGGACTATGGCGCCTTCCCAGGAGCGGTGTCTTGTCTCTTAGCAGCATTGCTTGCCTCTTCCAGAAGGTATCTCTTAGTGCGTGAGATATTCTGGGAATCCCCCGAGTGGGAGAAGTTACTCTCCTAGTCGGCGCCGCTAGTGGAGAAATCCACGACGATAAAAGACAAAAGAAGAGGCTCCCTTGATTTGGGGCGCCTCCTCAAGCGTTGGCACAATGGGCGTGCAAAGCGCTCGACTGCTGCGGGATGATCAAGGCTCTTCTTTCGTCGCCGTATATGCCACGACCCGCGCGGCAAATCAGAAGTACATAGCCTCCCTCGGTGCCGACCGTGTCTTCGACTATAAGGACCCACAGGTGATAGATGCAATTGTTTCAGCAGCTAGAGAGAATGGCCTCGTGATTCGGCACTGCTTCCTTACGACGGGGCAACTGGCATCGTGTCAGGCGGTGCTGAAGGCTTTTGTCGGGGATGGCCACGGAGGAGAGGAGCTGGAGGCGAAGATCGGACTGGCACCGGTTATCCCTTTGGAGTGGAGGAGGTGGATGGAGTGGAGACTTTCCTTTAACAGCCGTCAATGGAGGAAGAGGAGTGGTTGGGTCAATTCCAATATTGGCTGGGGTCGTGGCCGCTGGAGAAGCTGGCTAACGGGATTATCAGGCCCAATCCGGAGCCTAAGGCCGTGGGGAAAGGCCCAGGGGCTATCAATGATGGGTTGGATGAGCTAACCCGGGGCGTAAGCTGTTCGAAGTTGGTGGTTGAGGTTGCGGAGTGAGAGCGAGCGATCTGCTAAACACCGTCATTCGACTCTATTCCCATACTTCAGGCAATGTAGGCCCGATTCGTTGCGAGACCTTTTTGAAGAGCTTGAGAAAAGATGCCTTATAGGATATGATATTATTATGTAGAGCTCCGTCAAGATATTCATGTACATTATTACCAAATCAACCATTTTAACGTTAAGAACAATGTTTTGGCGACGGCTCAGTAGAAAACAGCGACCGGAGCGGCTGCCAGAGGCTCTTCTGCCTTGCTAATTTGCGTTCTCTTGCTGTACGCTGCATCTCCATATAAACAGTCGGTGTCACAACTTGAGACGGCGGTCGTGGGTAAGAAATAGAAGGTATTCGTACATTGGCATCTTGTGCAGTGGTATCCAATCCGCCATAAGCACTGACAATTGATGATGATTCAGGGTACCTGTAATTAGACTGTCTCATCATGTCTAGTGGCCTCTGTTTTGATAGCGGCGTTTCTGTGTTTGCGTGGGTTTCATTCAAACCATGTACTGGTCGAGATTCTTCAGCCAAGTGCGAGTCGAGGAAAAGGTGCGAGGTTGAGGCAACAATTTTCTCTTCCCTTCCTTCCATTCCCATGGACATATCAAATACTCTCTTCGCATGCGGTGCACCGGACAGAGTGAACTGGTGACAAAAAGCATCATACTCTTGGAGGAGGTTTTGATCTCTCTCGTCCTGCGGGCCATGGTTTGGCAGTGTTGGTGTGCTCTCTTGAACTGGCCCGATCCTCTCCGGGTACTTGCCTCTTTGATCCATCTTTTCAAAGCTAAGTTGATCACTGGTCGAGGTGTCATCATTTGCTGTTCTCATTCTCGTTGTCAAGTCCAGAGACATGAGATTCTTTTCGCTGAGATCGTGGCCACCAGTGCCGTCCAAAGATGGGCGTAACATTCTCTTCGAGACCCATCGCCTGAGGGTTGTCACTGTGTTCCGTCGACGAAGTGGCTGTATAGGTGGCAGTACTGAATGGCAGGCAGTTGAGAAGGAGGCACCGCTCCGAATGGAGGCGTTGTCGTGGACGATGAGGATGTCTTGCATCGTGAAAGCCGTAGGCACAGATGGCCTTCGTCGTATGGAGGAGCATGCAATCGAGGGCGTTTGCAGAAGATAAGCTAAATCCCAAATTGTAACTTGCTCCTGGTCTTGCTGGTCGTCTTTTTCAACGCGATAAGGAGTCAGATGTTTTTATTGTCGGGTCACGGTGCTGATAAGATTGGCAGGGCGACTGGCCTCGGAAAGAGCGGGGAGATGCATCAAATGAAAGGACAAGTACTGCGATTTCATGCGTGGTTCCGTTATTGTACTCCTCGGCTTGTTCAAGTATGAGATCAAAGGGAGAGAAATCGAGCCCGCGTGTCCAGGGAGGTGTCTCACTACAAGTACTCCCTCTGATGGCACGGCCGGGGCTGGCAAGAAATGCGCTGCCTGGGCTAGAGACAATCACACGCCCGAAGAACCCCCCCCCCCCTCGTTGCATGAACCAGCGTGCCCTTCCAACACCGGGGCGTGGCCTTGGGTGCCACTACAGCAAGCCACATGCACGGGTCTGCTAGGCCCATGCCGTGCACGCGATCTTCGGCCGTCTTCACCACGTTGAAATAGAGCTGGCCCTGCCTGGGGAGCCGCGACGAGTTTAATTTGATTGCTTTCGAACCACTTGGTCATCCTCTTGCTTGAAGTTGGGGTTGTTGATCCAGTCCTGCTCGACGGGTGAGTTGCCAGTAGATTAGCCTGATCGCTTGCTGAGACAGGCTCGAAAGCAGTGAGACACGGTCAGCCACCGACGACGAGGTAGCAGCCCATCACATTCTCCTTTCCAATCAGCATCTGGACGGCTTAGGCTACTGCATCCTTTGCCTAAAATCCACAGTTCCTTTGACAGATCGACAACGGTGTCAGCTTGGCTGAGAACCCAGTTCACATGGCACAATAGTCTCCGGAGGCTATTGTGCTCCGATGCGATCTACGACTGCATCATTGTGGTGAGAGAGCATGCGCTTGACGGAAAATTCAACAACATGGTACAAGATACCTCAGGGGTTCAATAGATGTTATGTACAAGTGGTTATAGGATATCATCATAGTATACAGTGGCGGAAAGATTAGCCAGACACCCCATCTCGACCCAACCCCCATCGGCCGACCTCGCGCATGGCTTCATCTCCACCTTCAACAAGATGACCGTTGGCGTTCGAAGGATTCTGTTCGCCCAGGACTCCAGCGACACATTGCCAGCCATTTCTACCGCCGCCCCAGCGAAGCACTTCGTTTTTGTAGCGCTCGCCAGCAGCCCGGTCCACAGATGCTTGACCAGATTGGAACACGTCTTGCCAAATCTTGTTGGCAATAGCGCGATCGAAAATATAACTGTAGTATGTCGCTCCGTAGCCATAAAGATGACCAAAGAACCCTTGCCATGAAGTCCGGGGCCGAACGTCATCGGGGTCTGGCAGACTAGAGTACCGAGATAAAACATTGTGGTAGATTTCGGTGGTGTCAATACCCTTCATGGCATCGCCGGAGGGGATGGAATGGTAGGCTTGATCGACAAGAGCCATGAGGATCTGTGCCTCGTTCTCGACAGCACCATAGATAGATCCGTGCGCAGTTCGGTCCAACTCCATACTGCGCATCATGTTTTCGGATAGAGGCTCGCCGGTCTTCCAATGACGGGCGTACAATGAAAGTACTTCAGGAGCAGTAGCAAAGCTCTCCATAAGCACCGAGGGAAGCTCTGCAAAATCGGTCGCGCATCGAGTTCCGGAGATTGACTGGAGTGGCGTCTGGCCGAGAATCGAATGAACCGCATGGCCCATCTCATGGAACAAGGTGCGCACGCTCTGTTCGCTCAGAAGTGTCGGGCGACCTGATCCGTTTGCAACAGGCTCTTGGAAATCACATACAAGAGCAATTGTCGGCAGTTGACGAAGAGTCTTGGTTTGGGGGTCGATTGCCGTCGCCATTCCGTCATTGGGATGAGCAGACTCGTGCAGAGAAGCACATTCCGCAACTTCGTCGGCAGAAATTTCGCGCGAGCAACGCAGTGTGAAGTGGGCAGGATTAGGGAGTTTGCTGGAGCGAGTAAACAGGTCACAGTAAATCACGGCGATGTGGTTCTCTGCCTCGTCCACAACGTCCAAGCGGCGGACATCGGGATGCCAGGTCTCTCCAGGTGCCGTCTCCTGGGGAACGAGACGAACTCCATAGAGACGATCAAACAGGCGAGAAAGGCCTTGCATAACCGTTCCCAGTGAAAAGAACTCAGGGACAGCACTCAATTCGCGTGATCGACGAGACTGAGAATATTCCATCACACGCTTGTGAACATAAAAAGCGTGATCCCATGGCTTCAGCGTGCTGCCCTTCATTTGCTGGAGATGAGACAGCTCCTCGCTGACAAGACCCTGGTTGCTCGAGATGAGCGACGTAAGAAAGTTCGAAACTGCTTCGGGGCTTTTGGCCATTTTGTCACTCAAGGTCATGTCAGCGAAGCTGTTGAAGCCAGAGAGCTGAGCAAGCTCAGCTCGCTTCATCAACAGCTTCTCTAACCGGTGAATCTGACGGGAACTTGACGTTCGGGTAGCAAGATACACCTCCTTCCGCACTTCTTCGTCCCGTACAGATCGCAAGACCAGTCGGGGAACGATTCCCATAGTGGGAACTGGTGCCTTATTATTCCATTTTTTGATTTGCTGAATCACTATAGGATCCAGTCCTTGAAGGCTGTTTGCGCCGAACGTCACTTGAGCCCTCGCTGGCTCAGCACCTCCAAAGAAGTCCGAGCCAACCTGGCTGACATCATTTGAAAGGTTGACAAAGCGCTGCCTTTCATCTGGAGGCATATGGATCGCCGAGTTCGTGAAGTCCTTCATTAGAATCTGTGCCACGATCTTCTCGGGGTCTGTCCAGTGTGATGTCACTTCCGGGTTTCCCAGAGCCCTACCGAGTTGCTCATGAAGACCCGTGGTTGTATTCAGTACATTCATATATTCAAACATTAGAGCGTACGCCTGCGTCGCTGCTTCTTGGATCTTTCGATCGGGGTGGATGGTTCGAATAAAGTCGGAAAGGTCAATCACGCGGCAAAGGAGGTCGCTGAGTCTGTCCAGATTCCGTGCTATTCCTCGATATTCGTCCAAAGTCGAGGCCTGTAACACATTCGCCACAATGCCCTGGCATTTGTGGAGCGACACATGGGCAAAAGCCCTGAAGCCATCTGGGCTCGTCAAGTATTGATTCTGAACCAATCCGGCGCGTTTGGGGGACACGGCGCTTCGTTTGAGCGAGAACTCTTTCCAAAATGGCTGGGAGTCGAAAACGCGGCGCAAAGTATCATCGTCGATATGCTTTCTCGGTGCAGTATTTTCGGCAGGGACGTAGTCGGGCTGCGATCGAGAAGCAGGAGACGCAGCGCTTGCGAAGGCTTGGGAGTGGTTACGCAGGAGACATTTGCGGCATGCCCACGCCCGGCGCCCAACGGGGCGAAGCATGATATGGACGGGTCGAATTGCAAGAACGAAATTGCTTAGCAAAAAAAAAGAAAAACGCAAGAGGCCGCCCGAAGAAACGTAGAATCAAAGACGTGAATGCGGAGTAGGAGAAGGAGAGCGCGGGCAATGACGGAGTTTTCTGGGTTCCGCCGAGCCGAAGAATTCCCGCCTTGGCTCCAACCCGACTTTGCTCCCATCCTTCCCCATCACACCTCAGTTCCCTCCACAACCCCAGGATGTCGTTCCGGCCGATGTTGCAGCAGGTAAGTATTTTATCGCCTAGCTGCACTTGATGCTTTCGCGTGCCATTGACCCGTAAATGCCGTGCTAATACGTTCTCAGCGGGCTGTGGCTCCGATCGCAGCCACCCTCCTCGCAGGAGGCATGGCTCTTTACCCCAAGCAGATGGCATTCGCCGAAGATGCTCGCGAGGTTCGATAAGCCCTCGAGCCCTTTCATTTCAGGGTATCTATGTGACATCCGAAGGAACTATCAGCTAACACGGCGGCTTGCCGAATTTAGAGGAAACCCATCTACGACGATATCCCGTCTGATATCCCGGAACCCTCCAAACCCACCACGCCTGCACCCCAGGCCCCGGCCCCGACGAAGGAGATCACCCTGCCTCTTTCGGCCGCGCCCTCCTCTTCTTCTTCGCCAACCCCGACAGACATCCTGACCGCTCAAATCCGGCAAGCCCGCCTCTTTCTATACAACCACTCCCTTGCCGCGGAGAACGGCTTCAACGACTTCCTTTCCCGGGCCCTGCATATCGAAAACGCCTTTACCAATACTATTGCTTCGCTCGCGCCTTCCCCCGAGTCCGGCGAGAGTCTGACCCCCGGCGGTGTCTACGTTGTTGTGGCCGCTATGGCCGGCTCCATCGTGTCACGCAACCGCGGTATCATCCTTCGCACCATGTCCCCTCTGGCCTTCGGTACCGTTGCCGCTTGGTCTCTTCTGCCCGTGACCATGCGGAACATTTCCGACCTGGCCTGGGAGTACGAGAAAAAGTTCCCTGCCGTTGCCGAACAGCACTTGGCTGCACGCGAGCGGGCGGAGCGTGTTTGGTACACTGGCATTGCGCACAGCCAGATGACCCGCCAGATGATGGAGGAGAAGATCGGTGAGGGCCGGAAGAAGCTCGAGGAGTTGGTGAGCAAGGGTCACTAGATAGTCGCTTTGGTTTGATACCGCCTGTCCGCTTGTGGCACAAGGGGATTCCACTTTTTTGCATATGTACGTTTAGAACTCGTAGATCCGATGATATAATCCGGACCAGTTCCCTTTGTCAACACAAGCTTGTTTCGAAATTTATTTTGTCATTAGTTGTTTGAGACACTGCACAATATTGACAGTGCGAAATGTGCTACTCCAGTTGGTATAATTGTTTTAAACTCATGACGATTCTTTCTGACAGATATCATGGCCGTTATTCTTCTTGCGTGGGTCCTGGTTCTCCTTCCACTTCCTCGGTCGATGACGGCCCTGGAGCTCCAGAATCTGGAGAAACACCGGCTTTCGGCGGCGGTGGGAGAGGTGTTCCCTTGCGAGACGGTGCATAGTCTTGCTCGCGACTCTTCTGCTCACCCTCGGCGAAATAATCATCAAATGCTCTGGATGGTGAAACAGCAGGCCGGGGTTTGCTGCGGCGACTCGAGGATGATCGTGCTTGCGGTGGCGAAGTCACTCGTGTCTGGGAAGCAAGAGGGGGAGGTGATGCCATGTTTGCTGGTGTCAAGAAGTTCCCAGAAGCTCCAGCCTCTAGTCCGATGCCGGCAGCCTCTGGAACGGCTGCAGCAGTGCCATCTTCTCGTGTCTCAAATACGACCTCTCCAGGCCCTTCCACCTCTTCACCCAGCCCAACCGGTAGTCGGTGCAAAGCCCCAAATCCCAATTCAGCGCCAACAGCACCCTCCCCACCCCAGCCGCGTGTTGGGACCAGCTCCACTTCCCGAATTACATCGAATTCGCTGTTGTATACCCATAAAACCAGTGTGCGGTTGAGATGGTCTTCCACCAGCTCTCCCAGGGCCGACTCCCCTCGTAATGTCCCACTCGGAGTTCCGATAATGTAGTCTGAATGAGGAAGAAGTCCTGCCCGGTAGGCAGGGCTGAGTGGTGAAGGGATTCCGAGGACATGCCAGATATTCTGCGTGGAGTTGAGAGGAGCGAGCTGCAGCGCAACACCGAGGGAGGGGTTCGTTGCTGGTACTGGAACAGTTACCGTGTGTGTCCGTTGACCCTATGCAATCAAGCAGGTTAGCTCTATTAGACGCATAAATATTATCCCATAGCTTAATTGTACCTTAGCGCTCCAGACTTCCAGGGTTAGGCTCGAACCGGCGCAATTGCGAACCTCTGTCGCAAAGAGGTTTGGATCTGGGTCCTCCTGTCAATGAAGAATTAGCACCATCCCCAGGTCGGTTCAATATGGCATACACTTACAATTGCATGTCCATTGATTCCCACAATAAAATCGAACCACGGCTCCAAGGGTACCTCTTTGTCTTTGTTGCGGAGTACCTGAAACCCAAATGCGTTGTCGCTGGGGCCGTTTCGAGACTGCTGAGCTGGCTCGCCATCCAGGCGGCCTATGAAACGGTTAAGTGCACCGAACATTCTGTCGATTGGCCACTGGGTGATTCCAAATCAAAATGCGGGGGACCTGAATGTAGGCTAGGACTTGCTAGACCGAAGCTCGGGGCATGCGAGCTGGCCAGATACGACTGCAAACATGACAAACATTTTGATCCACTGCGCTTTATCAAATCCGTTATCGAAGGTCAGTCAACCTTACAATAAATCAAATTGTACTGGCAAGTCGAGGCGGACAATCCGTCCACATTCTTCCTTCCCCACAGTTGAAATCATCTGCGCCTCTTTTTATTAACACTCAACTCGACAATATGGCCGACGAAGAGGAGGCACCTCCAGACGTGCATCACTACAACAGTCTCGAGGAAGTTCCGTGGGATATTCAAAAGTGAGATCGATGTCCTTTTCCCCACTCCCACCAAAGCGGCTCTAACTTGCTGTTTAGTTATTGGTCTCAGCGCGAGCGTATCTTCTCCAAGTACGATGAGGGTATCTGGCTTACCGATGATGCTTGGTTCGGCGTAACACCAGAGCCTGTTGCCAAGTGAGCCAACCCTGTTCTATTCACTTGGCCGTATAACACACTCACGTATTTGATAGTAAAATCGCGGAGCACATTGCAGAGGGTGCCCCCACAGGACGCAGCATCTTGATCGATGCCTTTGCCGGTGCCGGGGGAAACGCGATTGCTTTTGCGAAAAGTGGGAAATGGAAACGGGTTTATGCGATCGAAAAGAATCCCGCTGTCCTGCAATGCGCAAGGCATAATGCAAAGATCTATGGCGTTGACAAACAAATCACTTTCTTCGAAGGAGACTGCTTCGGAATTCTCAAGAATCAACTCAAGGAATTGGCACCCTACAGCATCATCTTTGGAAGCCCTCCGTGGGGCGGTAAGTGGTCCTTGGTATTAATGTGATGGCTATTGCTTATCCATATGGTTTTAGGCCCAGGCTATCGCTCTGATGAGGTATTTAACCTGCATACTATGGAGCCATACTCCCTCGAAACTCTTTACAAGGAATTTTCGGCCTTCAGTGAGCATATTGCGCTGTATCTACCCAGAACATCGGATGTGAAACAACTGGCAAAGTTTGTTGAAGCGGATCGCAAGGCGACGGTGATGCACTACTGCATGGAAGGTCACAGCAAAGCGCTGTGTATCTACTATGGTGGGTTTAATGTGCACTGATGTGGTTTATTCTTTTTTACTCTACTGTCCAAAAGATCGAACTTCTGAGCCCTGTAATGATGTCGATCAGTGAGCACCTGGTATATTTTTCCACTGGAAATAAATACCGTATTTTGTAAAATAGAGATAATGATACTAATGAAAGTCATCCGAAACTATGAAGCCGTAACATAAGAACCTGCATGAATTTATCGCCCTGTTAATCTACGAAGTTATGGGTGGGCTGCCATTGAATACCACTCAAGCAGCTGGTTGCCCGATCGGGTTAGCGCCCCGCGACTTGACTGAGACTCTGGCCACCGCAATTCCGCGACCGAACCCGATCATCATATTCACTTCGCTCTCTGCTTCTTCTCTTCTCGCCCATTTCCCATTTCTCATCCACTTCCTCTTTCTCCTCTACCCGTGCCTCTTGTTCTCACGCCGATTCTGTACATCTCTCATCTTCGTCGACACAGAATATCTCGCGCCAGATGGGCGCGGTCTAACTTCGCGACTGCCCATCCGGCTTCGAACACATCAACACCAGCATCTCAGCTAGAAGATCCCAGTTCCTCTGAACAACTCTACCAAGATCTCCTATTCCTAAACGTTCAAAATGCCTCACGCCACGAAAGACAAGCGCTCCGGCTCCCCCGAGGATGATGATTTTGACAATGTGATGCAATCGCTGAACAACTACGAGGGTGGCCCAGAGTTCGACTTCTTGAACCGAGAATTGGAAGTCGGTGATAAAGCAGATGATGCGATCGACTTTGAAGATTTTGACGACGACGAACTTCCCGACGAAGAGACCGACGCAGCGCCTCGACCACCCCAAGCAAAAGATGCGGACGAGATCCCTTTCGCGAACCTCGAAGCCGATGACGCTGGTCTTTTTGGCCCTGAAGATGACTTATTCGGTGGTCAGCCTGACACTGATATGCAGGAACAAGATGACAACCTTGATGATCTCTTCGGCGAAGGGACTGCGTCACCTCCCCCGGCTGGCCAGGCAGATCACATACATGCACTCTTCGAGGAGGATGAACCTCCACTGACCGGCCAGCCAGTCGAGCTGCCCCCGATACCTCCGGCGCCAGAAGCCGAACCTGAGCCCATTGCAGATGAAGATGAGGATGAGCTTGATACCGAAGATATGGACCCTGCGACCCTGCGCGCTTGGAAGCTCCAACAGGAACTCTTCAAGATGTCATCGATACTAGGGCCCGATACCCTACCTGCGCCACCAGAGAACACTGAAGAGCTTCTCGGATCTCTATTCCCAAGTTTTGATCGAAATGCTCTCCCGCGCTGGCTCGAGTTGATCCCTCCTAAGAAAGCATTTTTCCTGGGAAAGCAGCCTTTAAAAGTTCCGAAGGCAGTCCTTCCAACGAAAGTAAATATCGAATTGGCTCCAGACCACGAGCGAGTCTTCAAGACTGGTCAACCTTCTAAGAGAGGGGTTGATCATGAGTCCTTGGGATTCGTGATGATCGCCGAAGCCGCGCAAGAAGAGGAGCCCAAGGAGGATGCTGAAATGGCCGATGCAGATGTGGATGAGATGCTCCCTGGTGGCTTTACAATGCAGGACCTTCGAACCATCTGTGCGGATTGGGATATCAAGGAGGAAGACCTTCATGCGACAGAAAAGGAGAGCTTTCAGACCACGCAGGCCGAGCTTGAAGCCTTTGAAGACGATGAGCTGGACTGGCTAGTTGAGGCAGACCATCCTTCAAAGAAACGCAAGACTGGACCAACTCCCATGGATGTCATCGCCTTGTCGCACCTCGACATTCCGCTTTTGGATGATCCTGAGCAAGTACTTTCCCCAATCGCGAAAAAAGTCATCATCGACATGAACGATCCCAATATTCTCGTCGAAGAACTGGGACCCGACTCCGTTGCTCAGAAACCAAAGCACGTCGTTCCTCGCAATGGGGAAGAAGTGGATGCCAATACTACTCGCCGCTTGACTCAGAGATACAATATCTCGAATGATCAGGCATACGACATGCTAAAACAAAACCACCAAAATAAGATTCGGAGCACGCTTGGGAATGTCACCTTGGAGCACGCTCTGCCGGCTTTGCGTTTACAGTGGCCCTATTACAAGACGGAGCTGGCAAAGGCCGAGTCCAGATCGTTCCACCGGCCATCCATGGTCTTCCGACAGGGTCAGACTTCATGGTTCAAGAACCCAATACATGTCAAGCGAAAACACTACAAAGGCAGAGATGCCAAATCCCTTTTCGCAGACACAAAGGCTTTATCTATGGCAGATAATTCCAGCATGCTGCTTGTGGAGTACTCCGAGGAAGCTCCAATGGCCCTCTCTAATTTCGGCATGTGCAATCGATTCATCAACTACTACCGGCGGAAGAACCCAGATGATCCCACTCGCCCCAGGGCTGAGATTGGAGAGACAGCCGTTTTGTTGCCCCAGGACAAGAGTCCGTTCTCCATTTTTGGGCACGTGGATCCAGGCGAAATCACCCCTGCAATCTCAAATTCAATGTACAGGGCGCCACTTTTTCCGCACCAGTCTAAGTCAAACGACTTCCTGGTAATCCGCAGCTCTACTGGATCTGGAGGTAGCAACTATTACATGCGCAACATCGAGAACTTCTTTGTCGCGGGTCAGCAATTCCCTTCCGTAGACATTCCTGGTCCGCACTCCCGCAAGGTCACTACTGTCGCCAAGAATCGCATGAAAATGCTTGTTTATCGACTCCTCAAGAAAAGCGCCGATGAGAGACTGTCGATAAGTGACGTGACAGCCCACATTCCTGGTACTACCGACATGCAAAATCGACAAAAGGTCAAAGACTTCTTGCAGCACGACAAAGATACGAAGTACTGGAAGCCTTTGGACCCCAACCTCCCAGATCAAGATACCATTCGGTCTTGGGTTCAACCTGAAGATGTTTGTCTTCTGGAGTCCATGCAAGTTGGCCAACAGCATCTTCATGATACTGGCTTTGGGAACGATGCCGATAATGCAGGCGACAATGATGATGATGAAGAAGGCGAGAGTTTTGAGCAACAAATGGCTCCCTGGAGAGCAAGTCGTAATTTCTTGCTAGCATCTCAGGGCAAGGCCATGTTGAAACTCCACGGTGAGGGTGATCCTACCGCACGTGGTGAAGGTTTTAGTTTCATCAAGACATCCATGAAGGGTGGCTTCAAAGCCATTGGAGAGAGTGTTGAGGACAAACTGGATGCACAACGACTGAAGGAACTCGGCGGCCACAGCTACAATGTTGCACGCCAGCAAAAGTCTTACGAGACTTCTATCCGGAGTATCTGGGAAGCCCAAAAGGCGAGCCTCTCGTCCACTGTCGAGCATTCGGATGAAGAAAGCGATATCGATCAAGAAGGAGGTGAAGAAGACTTCAGCAAGCCAACGCCACGATCCGAAGCGCCCACCCCAGCGCCCTATTACAACAACGATGACACGATGAGTCAATTCAGTAGAATGAGCTTCGCCACTCAAAAAGGCAAAGTTCTGCGGATCACTCGTCAAGTCCAGGGCTCCAACGGTGAACTTATCGAGAAGGAGCAGATTGTTCGTGATCCGCGTGTGATCAAACAATACATTCAACGCCGCTACGACACTGAAGCTTCTACTATCAACCTTCAGTCTATCGAGCCAACTGGAGATCCTGAAGTCGACGCTCGCAACCAGAAACTGCTCCAAGTCGAATTAAACCGCCTTCACCGCAATAAGGAGCGTCGCTTTGCCCGTGAGAAACAGAAGGGCATCACGCGTGCTGGCGATTCTCCTGCCGATGGCAAACCTACTGGCACCCAGCGCAAGTGTGCCAACTGTGGCCAAGTCGGACATATCAAAACCAACAAGAAACTTTGCCCGCTGCTTAACGGTACGATGAAGCCGGAGGACCGCGTCACTGACTCGGCCTTCTCAATGAGTGCCCCTGTTTTGTAAATTCTGCGTTTTCAATACCCAAGAACAATTTTCAGTAATGTTTTTTTTAACTGCAATCTACTTGCATTCCAAAGGTCTTCATAACAAAAGACCCTCTACAATAGATTGGATTATAATTACCTCTTTCACTGCTTAGTAGCATCATGTCATTTACTTGAAACGAAATGATATAGAGAAGTACGAGAAAGTTCTGTGAACACCGTCAGGGTCTTGAATTGCTTGTTAATGATACACAGAAGAAGGGACAGCAGTGAGAGAAAAGGAAGGAGAACTGTCGTCAGCCCTGTATAGGCGGCAAGTGCCTTATAGATAGAGGTTAATTGGGTATGGATATGAGCTTTCGGTATGAGCCAGCCTCGGAGCTCAATGTTGAACGATGAGACAAAGCGCATTATCTGGAAGTAAAGGGAAGACCCAGAACTCCACTTCAAGCTCGAATCACGACGCGTAGAGGTCCATCAGCAAGCTCCTATCAAATCTGCGGCGGCCACGATCCGGAATGAGGGCTAGTGCAGGACCCTTTGGCCGTCGGTAAGTGTATCCGAGAAATGCGCAGTCCTTGCGAATCTCCAGAGCTGCTTTTCCCACTTTCTTGTCTCGTAAAACTTTGTCGCGTGGTCGTTTCCTCTCCCGCCTTCTGCGAGCAGTGGGTGCCTTTTGACCCTCGGGTTCCGCAGCAGGTTCCACGGCGTCGGCAGCGTCTACACCGTATACCAGTCGATCAGGCAGGCTTTGAGCCATGAAGAGATCACAGGGTTTTTCAGGGGCTTCAGAAGGCTTCTCGTCGGATTTCTCATCGGTCTCTTCGTAGTCACTGTCCTCCATGTGTTCCTTCCCATTGCCGCTGGGCTTCCAGTCTTCAAAGTACCGAGTGTCTTCCCAGTTTTTGACCCGTGGAATCATTGGTGGCTGGGTCAGATGAAGTTCATTCCACCGTATTCCTCTGAAAAATGGATGGGCTTTGATATCAGCGGCGTCATTAGGAAACACAAAGTAGCTTGCGATGTTCCGGTACTGTGAATCCATAGAGTAGAGGAAATTCGGTGTGACAGGTCGGCCGACTAGAATATTATTTGCCTGGTATCTCGGAGAACAAAGCCGATATTCTCGCTCCTGGAGAATTCGACTGATAAGGTCTATCGCTTCCTGCGATACCAGCTTGTCGGATGGCTTCTCCCTTGGGAACTGCAATGTCCTCGTGTGTTGCTTGGAATGTCAGTACCAAGGAATGGTGAATTGTTGTTTTCTGCGAAGGGTCTCAACTTACAAGGATCTTAAGCTTTGTATCATGACGATTGTCGCATGCGAAGGGCGTAAATCCATAAAAGCACTGGTTCATTCATCAGTCAAAAATCATTCGAGGTATGTAATCCTTTTTGCGGGCCTACCTCGTATAGGATGACACCCAGACTCCACCAGTCACATCGGCCATCGTACATCTCGCCTCGGATGACCTCTGGGGCCATGTATTGACTGGTCCCAACCACGCTCTTTGCAAATCTTCTTCTCTCTTTGCTATCCCGCCAGTTCAGCAGGTCTTGTGGAGGCGGATTATAATCTGAAAAGTCATCCAATCCCTGCAACAGTGGCTCTGAAGCACCATCCTTTTGCGCCGCCGCTTGCATCTGGTCCTGTCTATCCCCTTTGATGGATATGCCGAGACTTTCCAGCAGAGAGTAACGCTGGTTGTGGTAGTAGCGCTGATCGTGAGACCAGTGTCCATTAAAGGCCAGCCCAAAATCGGAAATTTTCAAGTGGCCAGAGGCGGATATGAGAAAATTGTCCGGTTTTATATCACGATGGATCCAGCAGAGGCGATGGGCTTCCTCAATGCACAGGATCATCTCGGCGACATAAAACCGGGTCCACTCCTCGCGAAGGATGTCCTTGCGGATTAGCAATCCAAGAAAGTCTCCACCAACCATGTAGTCCATGACGAGGTAAAGATTGGTGTTGTCTTGGAAGCTGGCTATCAACGGAACCACCCATCGAGACTTTTCCGATGCAACAAGAAAATCTCGTTCGGCTCGAATATGACCTTCCTGGGAGTTGCGAACCATCTCAGCCTTCCGAATCACTTTCATTGCGTATACCTCTTTTTTCTCTCCAGTCATGAACTTTCGTCGGCCGTTTTTGTTCCCATCAGCAGCGGACCTGATCATTGCAAAAGACCTCATTCGGGAATTGGCCAAGTTTCGATCCGAGGACGACTCACTACTGTTTCGGGGAGTGTTCTTTGGAACATCACGATCTTTTTCGCGTACCAGACGCACCACGCCAAAGCTACCTCTGCCAAGAATCTTGATAGTTTCGTAGCCAGCAGTTGATACCAAGTCTCGAGGTTGATTCGTCTTCATTCTGGTCTTCACAATACGGCATTGGCGAAGATACTCGTTCTCCTGCATAAGCCAGTTTTTCCTGGTCGCATTCTGTGCCTCGGGGGAAAGCTGGAAAGAACACATATGCTGCTCCAACTCTTGCTGGCGATGCACTCTTGGATCAACATTCTGAAAAATCGAGTTAAAATACACCTCCAGGTATACCTTAGCCGCTGAGACAGATTCCACTGTGAGAATGGATGGTGCGAGTATAGGTGATCTGATGTCGGAAGATGGACTTTGGCCTGAGGTGTGACCTAAGAAAGAACTATCCGTCGTCGTGATCTTGCTTCCCGACGACGTTGATGTCTCTCCAGATGTGACTGGGGTCAATAGGGTCGAAGCTCCAATGGCAGGGGACTCATTGCTACTGGGACTTGTGGAAGGATCCGAACTACCGTCTGCACCATCACCCTGTTTACTCGGAACGCTCTGAATTGGGGATTCCGGGAAAGGAATACTTGGCCTGGAGCGCAGGTGGACTCGACGAATAACTGTTGGATGTCCAAAGGTCTGAGAGATGCGATGAGAGACCCTGTCAACCAAGTTCGAGTTTGAGGTGGCGGGTGGTTCGCAGTCAACATTGCAGCAGCCCCAACTCTCCCCGTTGCTGTCCCCTTGCGCGTCGCTCTGTCCACCAATTGTGTCAGTCTTGCCCGGTGCATGTGTCTGCGACCGTGAGTCTGTCGGGTCCACAGGAGGAATATCGGGCGTCGTCGGATCAACATCTATTGAACGGGCGGCATCCGGCGATTCGCTTTCTGGGGAAGCATCTCCCACCGTGGAGACGGGGCTGCCCCTCTCTGCGACATCCGAAGCTGGAGTATGGTTTCCCTCAGGGCTTTGAGCATCTTCACCTGACCCAGATTCGGCGCTCGTTTTTTGACCTATCGCCGTACATCAGTTTCGCAGCCCCGTTTAAAGACAGAGAATAGCCACCTACCACTTGAAGAGCCCCCGAGACCAAATAAAAATAAAAGCTTGGAACCACTTCGAGTCAAGTGTACCTTCAGACTGCGTCTACCCCCGCGTGGTGAGGAGGCAGGATCCGATGCCGGAGAATCTGAAACCGCAGAATCGGTAGGGGACGGCTCGAATCTGCTGCTGAAATGAACGACTTTGCTTGGGATCCAGAGGTTGAATACGCTTCGTCGGCTTCGTAACTTCCTCTCTCGGAGGACTGTCATGTTGTATGGATTTCCGCAAGCAGTATTCAAGGAGAGTTTGTATAGAGAGGCGGTATTCACAACATAAACATCTGGATAAAACGATGGGGCGTGACAAGGCTGGTTTGACAAAGGAGAGTGTGCGTGGTGGATTGATGAAGTTGACCCTGAGGTCGGTCCGTATGGAAGCGAGGAAGCTTTAAACACTCGGTGGTCATCAACGCCGGCCGTTCGGACGGCAAGTCCAACTGGACGTCGCCGGGCCGACTTGGGGCTCGCAGTTGCCGTTGTAGTACTACGACACCCACAGAAGCTGAATAGTCTTGAGCTGTAGATGAGGATGTGTGCAGGGTACCTTCGGGCTCGCCATGGACACGGTCACTCGCTTAACGTACTGACGTTTGTGACCTGACAGTTGCTGGGATTAGAGTAGGAGCAAAGGAATGTAAAGTTGAAGGCCAGAGAGCCATGATCAATTCAAATACATATGAATGGGTACAAATTACAGAACAAAACAGTCACTTTTTCCATGCAGGGGAAAACAACTCCCTCGTGATGGCCTCGTCCCCTTCTCGAGGAGCAAAAATATTTAAGAAACAAGCCGGATATCACGGGAAATCATGCAATCAAACCAGAGCCACAAATTACACCCTTGAAAGCAACGGCAGAAGACTCAGGACACACCCCCGCTGTCAATCTATTTGATCTCCAGCAGCTTGACATCGAAGATCAGCTTGGAGTTGGCGGGGATACCAGGGAGCGCCTTCTTGCCGTAAGCTAGATGGGCAGGAATGGTGATGCGACGCTCACCACCGGGAGCCATGCCGGCAACACCGATGTCCCAGCCCTTGATGACCTCGCCCTTTCCCAGCTTGAAGGAAAAAGGCTTGCCCTTCTTGTTGGAGTCAAAGACCTTACCGTCCTCGAGCTTACCAATATAGCGCATGGCGACGACGTTGCCACTCTTGGCGGCGACACCCTTGCCGAGCTTCTTGTCGTCAATCTTCACGCCACGGACCTCCTTGACGCCAAGGGTACCAGTGGGCTTGTCGCCAGAGGGAGTAGGGCCCTGCTCGAGGTTCTTGGCGAACTGGACTTTTTTGTCGGTCTTGGCCTCCTTCTTGGGCTCAACGGCAGCGGCGGCACCGTCATTCTTCTTGAGCTTCTTCTGCTGGGCCTTCTCCTTGTTGTCGGCCTTGGACTTGGCGCTCTTCGCCATCATCTCGTCAAGGTTCTCCTCTTCAGGCTCAGCAGCACGCTTGTTCTTGCCCTTACCCTTGGCCTCAACTAGCTTGGGGGCCTCCTCGTCACTGTCGACCTCGGTGATACGGGGATCCTCCATCTCATCCAGGTCGTCGCTCTCGTCGCCGTCCATGGCCATGAGCTCATCCATGTCAAGCTCCTCCTCGTCGGGAGACAGATCATATTCATCGTCATACTCATCCTCCTCATCTTCTTCGTGATCAGGGTGGCCTTCGTCGAGGCCAATGACGTAGTTACCGGTGATGTAGATGGTGTGGTTACCGGTAGCCTTGAAGAAAACGCGCTCACCCTCGCAGACAGTGAAGTCCAGGGCCTGCTGGCAGTTCTGTTTCATTGTTAGATCCGAAATCATCAATTAGACAAAAACAATTCTTACCTTCTCGGGGCTCAGAGTACAGATGACGTTCTCGTCGAGGTCCAGACCCTCGTCGGACTCGTCATCGGATTCGTCGTCATCGTCGGTAGCCGGGCCCTTGCCCTTGATAAGCTTGGAGATGGCGGCCTTCAGGTCAAAGCCACTGTCATCCTCATCGTCCTCGTCGTCATCCTCCATGGCGTCCTCAAGCTCCTTCTGGGCGGCGGCTTGCTTCAGCTTGCGAGCCTTCTCCTTGTCGCTGGGGCCGCCGTTGACCTCCTCATCATCAGAGTCCTCCTCCTCCTCCTCATCGTCCTCGTCACTGTAGTCCTCATCATCAGAGTCCTCATCTTCTTCAAGGTCAAGGCCGGCGGGAACACGGACGATCTTCAGAGTCGCGCGCGAGGGCTTGCTGGAGTCGCCATCCTCGTACTCTGGGGTCTCATCCGGGTCAATAGCGGCCATACTAACACGGAACTGAGCCGAAAATGTCAATAGGAGGTTTTTGGCGACAATCTCAAGATCTTTAATCTCACCGAGGCGGCTGCGTTGGGCACAGCAGGAACCATAGCACCGGGAGGAACCCGGAGGGCGTAGACGGCGACAGGCTGCACGGCAGACATTGTGGCGTGTGTCAATAGGACGGAATGCGGACAGTAAAAGAAGAAAATGAAAAGGTAAAGAGAGAATGAACCACTGGTAAAACGGACGTGGATGGAGAAGAGAAAAGATGGACGATGCGACCCAAAGCAACGGCAGATCCGCCGAAGCTCTTTTTTTTTTCGTCGGCCCGCCTTCCCAAACGTCCAATCATATCCGCTGACAGGACCTCACCGCCACATGCTTTGCGTCTCCTCACCGATCGAACGACCGCCTGCACGTGAGCTACTTTTTCTGCCGGCGACGCGTGATGACGCCGCGCGCGCACTCAACGGGACCTCTGACGACACTCGACTATTTCTTTGAACTTGTCAATGGTCATGATGGCACTGGCCCAGCATGGGCTCTCGTATTAACGATTCATCAAGTGCGGTGCGGAAGAGGATTGAGAACCGTATGCGTAATCCCTCATCGCTTTGTTTGATTTACGTTTCTAATGCGACATTTTATAGATGAATTCCGCGACGAAACGGGCGAGGAGTACGAAGCTTCCAGCTTCGGCGGCTTTGGAGATTATATGCGCCGCAAGAAAATCAAGTTACAAAACCTAGATGCGGAAATTCGAGCCTCGTCGGGCGACTGCCCGCCCATATTTCGCGGGGTCGTCGCGCACGTCAATGGCTACACGCAGCCCTCCCTCCAAGATCTTCATCGTCTGATCGTTAGTCATGGCGGTGGATTCCTCCAGTATCTAGATAGCAAGACGATTGCGACGCATATAATCGCCAGCTCGTTGACTCTCAAAAAACGCGAGGAGTTCCGGCGGTATCGCATTGTGAAGCCTGCCTGGGTGACGGAAAGCATTGCGGCCGGACGCTTGTTGCCTTGGGATGAATATCGCGTGGTCGATGAGGGTCAAGCACAAAAGGTACTGAAGTTTAATCAGGGCCGCTTCACGAGTCAGGTCAATTCTCCCCAGTCGACCTACCGAGACCAATCCAGATCAAGCTGGTACAATTCGCAGATTCAAGGATTAAGCCCTGAAATATCCAATACACCAACTAAATTAGCGTCTCACCCTCCGCAACCAAATCTCGAGCAATGCAACCATCCTTCTCAATCCGACTACGGCGATTTTCCGAGCTTCACTGCCACCAATGAAGACAATCCCCAGTCACCCGCAAATATTGACCAAGACTCAACTACCACGCCTCAGAAGCAAAGCTTGATGGATAAAGATTTCCTTGAAGTTATCCCGGGTCCTTCGCCTGAAACAACACGAGGCGACTTGAAGACCTCTTCGTCAACAAAACAACCCAGTTCTCTCGACCCACAAATGACCTCTGAGGAGTACAACGCACAGTTGCTCTCTGACCCTCGGATGCGCAAATCAAGCGTTAGTAACCCTGAGTTTCTCCAACAATACTACCGAGAGTCTCGGCTTCATCACCTATCAACCTGGAAAGCTGAGTTGAAGGCCCAGCTTCAAGCAGCTACCCGGGAGAAGACTCAGTCGCGGGTTCATCCAAAGAGGCCTGTGCCTGGAGCCAGAAAATATATTCTTCACGTTGACTTCGATTCGTTCTTTGCGGCAGTTTCACTTCTCAAACATCCAGAGCTCAAGGAGAAGCCAGTGGCTATCGCCCATGGACCCGGTTCTGGCTCTGAAATCGCCAGTTGCAATTATGCAGCCCGTAGTCGTGGTGTCAAAAACGGGATGTGGATGAAAGGCGCTCTACAGACGTGTCCCGAGCTCCAGGTTCTACCTTACGATTTTCCCGCGTACGAGGACGCCAGTCGCAAATTCTACAGCTCAATTCTAGCGATCGATGGCATCGTTCAAAGTGTCAGCATTGATGAGGCGCTTATTGATGTCACTAGCCAATGTTTGGAAGCTGGAGGGTCGGACGGCCGAGGCATATCCGAGGGGGTCTATATATCGCGAGCAGGCATTCGCAGATGAGATAGCCCAAGGCCTTCGCGATTCGATCAAAGAAAAGACCGGATGTGCAGTGTCTGTCGGAATTGGCGGTAACATTCTCTCAGCCAAGGTGGCTCTGAGGAAGGCAAAGCCAGCAGGGCAGTTCCAACTCAAGCCAGACGCCGTTCTGGATTTCATTGGAGATCTCCTCGTTAAGGATCTCCCGGGTGTTGGTTATAGTCTCGGGGGCAAGATGGAAGAGCTTGGGATCAAATTCGTCAAGGATGTTCGAGATCTGCCGAGGGACAGGCTGATATCCAGTCTAGGGCCAAAGACCGGGATGAAGATCTGGGAATATGCTCGAGGTATCGACAAGACAGAGGTGGGCAATGAAGTTCTCCGGAAGTCTGTATCAGCGGAAGTCAACTGGGGCATTCGGTTCATCAATCAAGAGCAGGCAGATGAATTCGTCAAGTCTCTGTGCGAAGAACTGAACCGCAGGCTCGTTGAAAACCTTGTCAAGGGCAAGCAACTTACGCTCAAGGTCATGCGAAGGTCAACAGATGCTCCCCTGGAACCAGTCAAGCATCTCGGCCACGGCAAGTGTGACATATTCAACAAGAGTGTTGTTATCGGCGTAGCCACCAATGCGCCCGATGTCTTGGGAAAAGAGGCTGTCTCGATGTTGCGAAGTTTCAACTTCTCCCCGGGTGATCTGAGAGGTCTCGGGGTTCAGATGACAAAACTCGAGCCGCTCAAGACTGGGCCTTCTGCAAATCTCGAAAGCAGTCAGCGGCAGCTCAACTTCCAGACATCACCCGCACGCAAAAAGCCAGTCGTCAAAACTGATCCAGATGAATTGGAGAGCCCTCAGAAGGGTGAAGTCGAGAGGATCCAAGTCGATCCGGTTCTCAGCAACAGTGCGCACAAGCCGTTGAACATGTCCGGGTCTCAATTCATCATGCCGACCCAGGCAGATCCTCAAGTTGTCTCCGAGCTTCCCGGGGATATCAGATCAAGACTTGTCGCTCAGGCAAAACCTCGACAGGCGTCACGCTCCGGGTCTCCGTGTCCGCCTCCGCGCCTACGAGAATCGGCCGCGGCTAATCTGCCTCCTCAGTCTCAGCTTGACCCAGACACTTTGGCCGCGCTACCTGATGATGTTCGGAGCGAAGTTCTCGGCTACTATAACCAGCAGCCAGCCACAAATGCCTCCATGGCACCACCACCACCCGAGCTTCCAGCACATATATCTCGTCCAACATCTTCCGGTGGACTCAGATTAAAAAGACCAGCTTCACCGAGGAAGAGACGCGGGCGGCCTCCGAAATCCGCCTCCGGTGCCAATAGCCATTTAAAGCAGTCCAGCTTTGCATTCCCGCGGGCTTCTGCTGCTACCAACACTGGTACTGCCGCCGTGGCAGCGAGATCGACCAGCCGGGAAACATCCCGAGGACCATCTCCGGCCGCTGAAGAGCCACCCGAGATCTCCGAGGTCTCAGCCGATTTCTTGGATGCACTGCCTGAGGACATTCGACAGGAGGTCCTAGAGGAGCAAAAGCGAACACGCATGCTGCAGCGCCCTCGCAGCTCCGCCTCGGAACCAGCCAGGCCACCCTCTCACCCACAAGATCCAACGACAGCTTCTGTTTCTGCTCCCACTCATCCTGCTCCGGAGGAGAAACGACTGCCTCTTCCTCCCCAGCCCGAGCGCCCTGTTTTCACTTCCCAGCGTCTATCAGCCTTGCCAGATCTACGGGACGCAATCACTGCGTGGCATTCCGCATTTGCGGCAGACGGCCCTTACGGCGAGGACGTCCAGGTAATCTGTACATATATACGACGCGTCACTGCAGAAGAGAGGGATATCGACAAAGCCGTCTCCATGGTGCGATGGTTGATGTGGCTTGTCAGCGAGGATACCTCTCAAGGGGAGCTGACGGAGGCTCAACCTCCGAAGTCTGGACAGGGTGATGCTGTAACTTGGGCCGATGCGATTCGAACGATGCAGCTTAGTGTACAGGATGCTTTGGCGGGGAGGGGACTACCACCTGTGGATTTTGAATAACTTTCTTGTATATATGCGTTATCTATGATGTGATGAATGAGGAACGCATCTGCTTCCAAGACAAACCCCTCAAAAGACCGGTTTAATCTTGGACTACAATGTGTAGTGTGGGTACATATGACACTCATAGTTGAAGAATTTTATATCTCATAATTTTGCCGCGGCATCACACATGGTATTTGATGAAGCACCTCCAACCGGTACCACGCATTGGTGCAGTACGCTACATTGGTGAACCATTGCGTACTTCATCATTTCAGTTTTGGTTTTGAACCAAATCTGTCATGTAGGATGTACAATCATGTTTGACATTGTTTGATCAAGTTTAACCTGATCTATTATCATATCGCATTTATCAACACTGAGATATGTGATCAAATTCTTGATTTGACCTCGTGGTAATCACTGGTTAAGGTGTGGATTCCCACTATATATTTTGTAGTCTCATATGCCATCATATGGGACCTAGCCTATTAACACCAACGAACATCCTTAGGTCTTCGCTAGAAGGCGTACCAGCTATGCATACTGAGAGATGTTTTAGAACTTAGAGGTACCAACCGAATTAACGCAAACTTTTGCGGAGGTTGACTAATTCATGCTATGTGCTGAGATCAACATTCTTCCTGCCAAGGAACCGTACACGCTAATAGCGTGACCGTATATTCTCACCATCATGATGTCAAAATATGGACCTGGACTTCATCGACTGGGCTTGTGGTTTAGTGGTATAATACCCCCTTAGCATGGGGGTGGTCCGGGGTTCGATTCCCCGCGAGTCCATGTTTTTTTTCCATCTTTATTTTCGTGTCGTCCATTCTATTCCGAGGTTGAGCTTATTTTATTTTATTTTGAAGTCGTCTCGGTTCCCAACCAAAAAATCTGAATACTGTCGTCAAAAATCTAAGGGTATCAAATTATTGGTATGTTAGTTAATTAGCATTATCTAACTAGTCTGGAGACCGAACATAAATTATGCATTCTCCCTATGGTCCGACTAAAAGTTGAATGTAGTTGGATCATTAGGGAAGCTCGACAGGGCCTGAAATAAGCAGTGTTAGAATGCGAGAGGAAAGTCAACAGCAACGCGTACGTACCCATGAATCAAGCTGAGCCCACCAAATTGAGCCTCCCAGGTTGTCAAGAAGCCCGATATCCTCAACGGAGGCACCCAGTTCGGGAGTCTGCAACATCCCAGATAAGCGCGCGAAGTTCAGGTCCGGCGCACTGAACGAGAAATCTCGGTCCGCTCCAACGGGAGAAACTACATCCTGTCTCGGCGATTGCTTCCGGTGTCTCAGAATATTCCTTCGTTGGCTCGACTGATCGTTCGAGCCAAGTTGCCTGTGAACTTCCCGCCGAAGCTCCTCAAGGATAATGCTATACCGCCGACTCGGGCAATTCTTTCTCGTAGCCTCCGCAAGATGCTGTTGGCATGTTTCCGCGAGCAGAAATAGCGATTGCAATTTATCAACATCCGCGGGGCTTCCGGCCGAAGGGCTCGGGGCTAGAGATTGGCGATGCTGCTGGATGATATGAATATACACCACCAAAATGGCGCAGAAGCATACATAATGAGTGAACCAGAATGACTGGATGAAGAGAGTTTGTTGCGCCAAACCGTCGACGAGGGTCATGACGTGTTCTGCAGCCTCGATGCACTTGTGGACGTGGGCGCTGACGAGCGGATGCGGGTCTCGTGGTCGACGGCTGAGATCGGTGAAGTCATCGAGGAGGAATGAGCGGGTGACGTGAATCATTGCGTGGGAATAGGCCAATTGGAGGACTTGGCTCTGACGGCATAGGGGCGGGATCAGGCTGGAGGGCCGGACGCTGTTGAAAAGAGGTGGCACACTTTCTTTCCACTTTTCTAATTCAGAGGTGAGACGGACAGCTGTTTCCAGTGGTGAGTCACGCGAGAGAGGGTTGATGCTATAGAGCTGTCGAGAGATTTCTCCTAGAATGCGGCCCAGTCTAGATTGGAAAGTTAGTACTATGCAGAATAGTTCGTGCTTCAAGTGTCATGACAAACCGGTAATGGAGAACAGATGCGATCATCATACTATCCGTAGAACCTGTGCGTTGAGATGGATCTTCCTCAAGTAGATCTTCATCATTCATCTCATCAGGAAGCTCCTGATCGATGTCTTCATCATGGAGTAGTCGAGGTCGACCAAACATTATGCTGAGATATTTGTCGAGGACATAGACACTCCAGAATATGCGTTTTCGCAGTTCCAATTCCAAGTAGGAACATCCCTTCTTGGAAGGCCTTACGGGACACTTTCGATGTAGGCCGAGGGCTGTGACAACCTGTAAGGCCGTCCCGAATGAATACCAGCACTCATTAGCTCGGGATGATGAAAGCAGGTAAAGGCATTGTATTAGCCTCGCTTGTATGGTCTCTAGACGAGGCGCACCGGACTCTAGAGAAGATATGTACTTTGAAGCAGCAAACCAGCATTCACTGTGCGTTTTATTAGTTTTAATCTTGGTGAGGCTCTATACAGTGTAATTAGCGCAGCTTACCTTGTATTCTGCCCATCCCCTTGGCTCCCAGGTGCATTATGCACTGTACTCACAGCAAAGATCATGAGGACTATAGCTGTCCTTGCCATCATATTGCCAACTGGAAGATTGCTTATCGAAACCTGGTTCTCATATATCTGCTTAACCCAATTTTCGACGCTTCCCCGATGCAAGAAACGGTAGGTCACCATGGAGAAGTCAAAATAAATTGCAATCAGTTCCATCGCCTGCTCAAAAGGAGGCAAGGTAAAGTCCACATCCTGATGTTGGGAGTAGGGCTTGTCGCCAAACATGAACACCGCGGTGTTCTTCGAAGACTCATTTTCCAGCTCATTCGGGATCTGAGTTTCGTCCTGATGCAGGCGACTCCAGACACGGTTGATGAACGACACGCCGGACGCCGGCCCTAAGTAATTGCCATCAAAGTCTGTCGACCCGGGCTCTGGAGAGTTGTGCACCGACACTGGGTGGCGTTGACCGGGGAGTACAGGTTGGCTGCTGACGGTGTCGCCAGCCGTCGCGTGTCCCAAAATGTCTCGCGGAAGCGAGTCGCTTGACAGACGAGCGGTTTCTACTTCAGGGACATGACGCCTGACAGGGTGATCCGGCGATAGAGTTGCAGGCCGCGGAACGGGAGGAAGGCCTCTCGAGTAGGCGGCGTTGTATCTGCACGAAAGTGAGAGCCGCGTGCATCTGGTGCAGGGCAAGGTGCCAGTGCAACGAGTCTTTTTGACTTTGCACGAGTCGCAGGCCCGGGTGATCTTTTGGCGGGCCGCACCCGTCTTATTCGACGGCGGATTGGAGGCTTTCCTCTTGCGAACGGGGGCGTGTGTTTCCACCGCGTCAAGGGCATCGAGCATTCCAGGCCCGGACTTTTGCGTTGCTATTTGGGCCACGCTAGTTGCTGCCATGTCACGATCGGCGGGCCAGAATTGCCAAGCAACACATGAAGCCTTTCATCTGGAAATGCAGGGTCGAAGTCGAGGAGAAGAATCCGGGGAGGTTGGAAAAAGGCGAAAGTGGAGGCCTTCGGCTGTTGCCCGCGCGGGGTTTGCTCTCCACCCCCGGATTTATGCTCGATATGTACTACCAGGGGAACCGGGGAGCCATGAACGATGGTCCATGTCCCGGACGGAGTGACAGGAGGATCCGACTGTGAATAGATTGCACGCTGCACGACTGCGCTGCACATCGAGAACAAGTCACTAGTGATCAACGCTGCAGAGCCGAGGTGTGATTGCGGCTAGGTGCTGAGCGGAGGTACCATTGCATTCAACTCACGCTTGGCTCAGCCCGGCAATCATTGCCATAGATGAAACAAGCTTCGTCTGGACGCGGCGAAGCGGAGACCAGAAGGAGGTGGGAGGTCGAAAGTACGGAGGTTGAAATAAGTGGTGATTTATCAATTGGGACGCGGCAAGTCAAATGCTGTCCACGCGAATAATGCTCTTCTTCCAAATCTAGAATCCATTGCCAGTCCCCACAGTCATCTCCAAAAGATTTATGTTGAAAAAATAACCCGCACCCGTGCCTACCGAGTCATGGCTCTTTCGAACTCTGTAGTAGCCAGCCGCAGCAAAGGAGCATGTCTACAACTAGACGAAGCACCGAGAGTATACCAGAACGACATATCGCAAGGTTTACACACGCTGAACCACATCGGGTCTCATTCAAACACCCCCAGAATGCATTTTGAATCTAAAATCAAATTCTATTTCATGTGGAGTAGGTAGAGGCCTGAACGCAGTGAAAGACTACCGAGAGGCGACATATTGTATGCTATTGATCATTTGGTACTTGATTACTTGTATTCATAAACCATGTCGTGAGCGTGGCCAATCCAATTCCAAAATCAATTTGAAACGGCACGTCCGACCCTTGACTAGTCGCGAGGCAGATAGCCAGGGATCCGAGGAGGGAGGCAACTGGCATTGTTCGGCCGCGGAATGACCTAGGTGACATCAAGGAGCAGCAATGCCACAGGCGAGATTGTTCTGATATTAGTTGATTGTCGTCGAGCGGTGGGTCGTCTGTCGATGGGGAAGATACCAGCATATATAGGGGGGTTGAGCCCCATGTGCATGGGTTGCTGATAAACTTGGCGCGGTCCAGATCTATTCGACGACCCAAAGGATACAGGTACCAGCAACTTCAAATCATTCTTTCCTGGTCGCATCATGATGAGCAGCCAGACAGCCCTTTAGACAAGCATGAGAGAGCCATGGGTCAAGTTACAAGGGCCAGAGCCCGAAAGAGGCCAATGAAAACATAACAGAACGAAAATGTTAATGGTAAGCCTAAAACATCTTGGCTTGCAAGATGATTTCAGTGTCGAGGCAGAAACGAGTGAAGGAAAAAAAAAAAAAAAAAAAGAAATTCCAGGGGCCGTCGCGCGCGGCATGATCATCGTCGTGGCGATGTCTGTGCCGGCTCTTTCTTCCTGCAGAAGGGAGAAAGCGACGGCTCCCAGACAAGTCTATCAAACGGCCATCCAATGTGGTTTATTCTCCGATCGAATGGATGCGGCGCAGGATCAATGCGTGCATGAGATCGCTGTGCAATAAACGCAAACCCAAAAGTCACTCCGGGAGCATGCGACAAACGCCTGTGAACGACGCAAAAAGACGGCACGAGGCTAATGTTGCGGGTGCGGGCTATAGTAGTTGCCCATGTTCGGATTCATCATATTGGGGTCCATATCGGTAACTGGATTCGGCGGACCTTGGTGCGGATGGGGAAGGATGGGAGCCTGAGGCTGAGGAGGTTGTGATTGCTGTGGATGTTGTTGCTGTTGTGGTTGCTGTGACTGTCGTTGACCTCGGAGTTGTTCCACTGTGGCGCGGATCTGCTCTGTGGAGGCACCAGCGCGGACCGTGTTGATGAAATGTTGCAGATGAGTCTCGTCATTGCTACGGAATATATCGAGCACTTGTTCCACAAATCCTCGTAGGTCCGCAAGTTCCTCTTGTGTCTTCTTGGCGGCGGCCTTGCGGCGTCTGTCGGAGAGCTCATCGGTGACGCACTCACGCCCGTGGGCGACACATTCCGTACACGGCATGCCAGAACACTAGATCGAAAGACAGAATCCAATGTCAGACACTGGCACGAATCATAGAGTAGTCGATTGGAAAAGGAGCCTCCCACAAGAGGAGGGGGTGGGGGAAGGAGGGGAGTTATTATTGTACCCTAGTCCGGCGTTTTTGGCACTCTTTACAGGCCGTTGACGCCCGTTTCATCTTGCCCTCCTCCGGGGGAACTCCGTTCCCACCACCAGGTGGCTTGTCACCCCCAGGACCGCCGCCTGGAGGCATGGTCCGAGGGGCAATGGGTCTGAAGGGCCGGCCTAGGTCGCCCATTGCGCGTGAAGACCCGTGGGGGAAGAGGAGGAGAACGGGATGATGAAGAGAGAAAAGGACGGAAAAGGGAAGAAGAGAAGAAAATAGTAAAAGAATTAGAAGAGGCTCTCGACTTTAGAAAGGTTGAAGCAAGCCACGATCGCGAGCATAGTCGATCCTAACACGAATCATATCAACGACCCGCGAAATTTGGCACTCGGGGGGACGTTCGGGGCGGGCTGATTTGCTTCCCACTAACCAGCCCCTCTTTTTTTTTTTCGAGAATCCCCGTGCAGTAATTTCTGCAAACGAGACGCCGTGACGCACTGCCCCTTCGGCCGGCCAAAAGGGTAGGTGGAGGGATGGGGATGGGGAAAAGAGAGAGAGAGATCGAGTTGTGTGGCGGAAAGGTGGACCTGCAGTCTGACATTCCTAGCAGCGCATGGCCGAGTTGGGGGGAGGGGGTGGAAAAAGCATGAGGGGATGTGGGCCAGCCAGAGATCGAGAAAATGGAAATTCGATAAAAGGATGAACATTGCCAGGTCTGTCAAGCGGTGCTGTAATTGGCCTGAGCCGAACGCCAGGAACCGATCTGCCCAGCGGCCGCCTTCTCGAGCCAACATCCACCTGTGTGTAATAATCCCTTCGTCTCGAGCGCCACACCGTCTGATCCTTACCCGAAAGCAGTCCCCAGAGGAAGCGCTCGACGGGACAGCCACGGACACTCGTGCGGGTTCGAGGCCCATCTGCAGTCACACGGGGTGTCGCAGTGACCACAGACCCTATCCGGCGTGTTCTGTACTGCTTTGGGTCTATCCCTCCCCCAAAGGAGCCTCTCCTCGTCGACGACTCCTCTCTTGTACAGCTCCAGTACTACGACTGTACGGGAGCTGTCGGTCCTGATCGGGGCGGATTCCTGCGCGACGGCGCTACGTTCTGCGACTCGTTTCATCGGACTTGATCCTGCTCCCATCCTCCCTGATATTGGCCATTTTTTGGTCATGGCGATGTTATCAACCACGGAGAGGTGCTGAACAGCGTCGGTCGACGTGACGGCGAGTGGGTTGGAACCGCCAGAGTGCCATTAGCACTGGCAGTTCGGGAAGGAGTGGATATCATCCAATGCGGAGGGAGGAATGGTCCGGATCAAATTTCCGAACCATCGATAGGTCGACAGGCCGTCAATCCCGCTTTGCACTACGCAGTCGGTTCCTTTCGATCGCCTCGATCAGGAGCTTCATTTGGCTGATTATTGGTGCATCGCTCGACGGTCCTCCAGTGCGGTTCCAGGGTCAACAGCTCCTAAGTGGACTTGGGTCGTCCTGAGATCTAGGGCTTCGCCGGAAGCCCTTGCCACCCTGGGCTGCCCTGCGATACCATCTCGATACTGAGATACATACCTCGGTGTATTGGGATCCTCTTTGGGGGAAGGAAATCGTGTAATTCGGCCGGTCTCCACGCCGAACTATACCGCTGCGCTGCACGTCTGCTTCATGCAGCAGGATCTACATTCCGGAATCCCTGCAAGGCTGCAAAACCGCGCAGACGAGCCCATGGCGCGCCCAGATACGGTTAGCCAGCAGCCAGCAGCGATTCCTGAAGAATATCATCTACGTTGATGCGGAGGCCCCGAGTATTCGGTGGGAATCGTTCGGGTGCCCCCTCCTTTGGGTCCTTGGGATATTTGCCACCGCGACCTGCAACGCCAGCCCGCAGACCAGCAAATCCCCACTTCCATGGAGAGTGCGTACCCACTGTGGCTTTCCTGTTTTGTACACGGGTCGAATGGAATGTTGCGGTGGAATCGGTGCACGACAATGCGATTCTTCTCCTGCTCAGACGACAAAGAAGCACCAAACCGGCTCTTAGCTTGTTCGACTCGAGTTGCTAGCAGATAAGCACATACTGAAGGCCTAGGCTCCCGCGGAAAAGACGTCCGCGGCTGGCTGGAAGTTTTTTCCCGCTCCTTGGGGCAATAGATGAACGAATCACAGGTGTTAGCGATGCGAGATTTGCCACCGTTGGCGCAATACAAACCCGGACCTTGACCGCGCCAATCTGATCCGGCTCAACCACCACCGCGAAGAATGCTTCTGGATTGCCGAAAAGCATTTCGCTGCGCATGTCGAGCTATCGCGCAAAGTGTAGATGGCGGATGTCATCTACAGTATGGGGCAGAAGCGACCTACAATAATAATGTACCGGCATATTTCCCAGCGAGCGAATTCTCCATCTCGGTCGAATTATCAGTCAATGCAACATCATCCACTCTCCACTAATCGCGGCGAGTCCCCGTGGTTAAGCTGAAAGTGGCTTAAATTCAACAAGAAAAAGGGTATACAATGAATTGCCGGATCTCACGCACAGCCACACGGTCGCCATCGGACATTCTTCGAAAGCAAAACAACTGGGAATTCAAAATGCCAACGGTCTGAACAAACAGAGTGGGCCGTGGCGCTCGGCGCTCAGAGTCTTCGGCGAAAGACTCCGTCGGTTTCTCTCGCAATCCGGGACATGCGTCACCAAGTCTCCTGATGAAGGCATGCTGGCTTAATTCACCACGCCCGGCCTGAATGGATCCTTGTCTCGCACAAGCTGCTGGTCCCAGCGGAGAGGAAACAAGGACTTCTCCCCCCTGGCGTCCTCGCGGTGGGTTTGCGGCGTCCTTACCATGACACCCGTTGAGCGGGATATTACTTCCAGCAGCGGTGATTTGCCCACGCCAGCCGGGCTCATTTCTTTCGTTTTCCTCCACCACGGCCTTGCGAGCGTTTGCTATTCTGGGTTAAATTCAACCCGGCCCAAATACCGGGTTGCCAAATAAATACACTAGATTCGGATCGGCCCTGCTGCAACACCGAAGAGAAACCGCCCCAACGCGTGGACGATGATCAGCGCCGACACGACCAAAAGGGTGACAAACCCGGGTCTAGGGGGCTCGGGTTGTGTGGAATCTTTTAATTCCTTCAGAGGTAGGAGAACGGCGTTCTATGGCGGTTCCATCGGTGTTCCTCGATCCCGGTCGTTGAGTAGTATACTTACCAAGCATCATGGCCACGAGGAAGTATAATATATAAGATTTCCACCGGCGTACGTCTGGCATCCAGTCTTGAACCGAAGGTCTCGAGGATCATGACACACTCCACTAGTGTATAGGCAGCCCATGTGGCACCTGCATCGTCGTCTCTGCCTAACTACGTGTTCACGCTGATCTCGTCTCAACTCCATGCAACTAAGCAGTCGCCAATCCGCCCAAGCGAGAAAGAAGGTTTCTAGGCTCCTGACGAGCGCCAGGAGCGAGAGTGAGAGAGTACGCAGAGCGAAAGAGCGGGGCTTGTCTCGTCCATCAGCCTGCCCCTCTGTATCCACTCCGTCGTGTTAGGGCTAGGTCATGATAGGATGTGCAATGCCACAGATCTGTCCAGTGGAAGGAGGAGGAACCCATGAGGGGAAGATAGGGAAAAGGGGCGGTGAAACTGAAATGCGGTCTGTCACAATCACGATCATCGATCACGGATTATTGTTCCTGGAGTACAATTCCCGTGATGCTCAACAGCCACAACCCATACCAAAGTTTGCCAAAGCGCAAGGTCGATTTGCTCCATGGACAGACGGCAATCGGTATGCAGCGATGTCCCGTCTTTTCTCGTCTAGTTGAGGGTATGATTGGCCCGAGTACCCATCACGTCGTCGCATACAACTCTGAAGAGTATCGCGCGTCTGCAAGACGCTGTGCCTACCCTACTGCACCAGTGGTGTAAGTATAGCATAAGCGAGTGACCCTAAGGTACCCAGGACTGAAAAGGACTGAAAATCAAATTCCGAACAGAAGGCAGGGAATTCCCAGCTGAAAAATAAGGCCATTTTGGCATATACTTTTCGTACTGATTGATCTACGGCCCCATGTAACAATCTCGACAACGTTGGCGTTACTGAAACAGAAAATCTGAACACACCCAAGCCAGGGCTATTTCACGAAGAGAAAAAAGAAATTGCTAGTATATTAACGTTTATACTAGGAAAAACTGCCGTCGGTCTGTGCTGGACTCGTGCCTCTGCCACCCCCACAGCGTGGAATCCACTCCTCATCGCCCCTCTTGCTCAAATATGTCCATGTTGTTTCCCGGGCGTTTCGTATACACCTTGGATAGACTGATGCACGATGCATACTACTTGGGCTCTGTTCAGGCATCTATACATGTCTCTGGCAGATACCCCCTTATTGGACTTCTCAATGCCATGAACCTCCTAACGCGTGTACTACAGTATGGCAGGGGTGGTATGCAGCAGTATGAATTCACTTGAGCAGATTACTAGACGATCTTCGGAGAGCAAGCAGAGGCAAGAAAGAAAGATCAATTTGAATATATCGTATTGATGCAGATCAACGTATCAGCCCATTCGGCAGCAACTGGAGCCTACACTAGGCTCGGGGCCTGAAAAAATTTTCCCGCCACACTCATCGACATTGATGATCTGTGTGCCTCGTGCATGGCGACACGGGCTGTCAAGATAGTTATTTGGCCCTTTTAGCCTGGTTGTTACGCAGCGAGGAAAGCCATGGAGCACGTTGACGAAGGATGAAAAGACAGTAGACTGATTCTCAGGGGTATTGAACATCTGAAATGAAAACTAGGATAGACAGAGAAAAAAATAAATATGTTCACAAGTGGTGAAAGGGGCAAGGGCAGAAAGAAAGAGGAAGGGAAGGCCATAAATCATACATGAAGCAAGAGGATATCGAAACACAATGCTGCAACTGAAGGCAGGTATGCAAGGATGCCCAATCCAGCACGCTGGAGCCGGCTAGCAGGATCATCAGTAGATCGGACGTCCCTCGTCCCAACGGCGGGCCTGTGGGGGACTAATTGCAGGATCGTCGATTTCAGTGGCCATATGATGACCCGGATCAAGGTTACCACTGGAGGGAGAGGGCAAGGAGAATCGTGCGCTGCCACGGCGGGCAATGCCTTCATATTCGCCATTGCCGCCAACGCCTCCAATACCACCAATCCACTCCCAAGATCGTGCGACATCACCGCTGCGGCTTTCACGAACGGCAGCTCGAACATTAGCGTTGCCCTCCACAACACGTTGAACACGACGCCACAATTCCTCGCGCCGCTTACCGTGCAGCTCGGAGCGCAGAACGTCATCGCGCATTTGACCGATGGGAATGTAAGGTTCCATAGCACCGCCGCGTGCGTAAAGTGCGGCCTGCGTTGCAAGCCGGTCAAGAGACGTAGCTACTAGGTCGGGCACACGAGCAATGTCCTTGCGGCGAGCCCGGACGCGAGCACGAGCATAAGCAAGTCCCACAATAGTCAGAGCTAAAAGTGAAAGAGGGAGTCGATACGCGAGGAGAGCGAGTCGGACGTAGCGGCGGGTGGCACATGTGAATGGGAGTCGGGCAACGGATGTTGATGTGAGGATGATGATGGCGGAAGGTCTGTAATTGCGAAGGCGTCTCTGTTAGTTCCGGTGCACCATGTCAGAACCAATATCTCCATAAGAAATAGCCGGCGGAGGGTATGAAGGCCGGAACAATGAGTGTAACAGGGCAGACGTCGAGATGCCCGCATGATAGTAGGTGGGGGAGTAGACACTTACTGTTCTGTCTTGCTCACAACTTCATCTTTATCAATGATCTCGCCAATGGCTCCCTTCCAGAGGTCATCAAATTCAGCGTCGGTGAGGCCCTTGCGGCGCTTTTTTGCGACTTCTTCTTTCAGGTTAGGCTCAGGGATATCAGGAGAAGCGTCTGTTCCATCTTCCTTCAGCTCGCCACATTCGTACTTAGCACGTCGGTCACGAAGCTCTTCCACGGCTTTATCAGCAACAGCTTTGACGCGGCGCGCCTTTTCGCTATCTGGTTCGCAGGTGGGAGGAAGCGGAACGAGGCCGCCCAAGGAGAGAGGGTGTGGCTTGAGGATGAAATCATGCTCGCAACGAGCCTCAAAGTCCGGATAGCAGAAGGCATGAGGCGGGCACGGCTCACAACGAGGCTCAAGGACATTGGCCCATTCAGGCACCCTGGTTTCGGCAAGAGACCATGTGGGCTTTCCAAGACCGCAAAATCCTATTTCGATCTTCTCCTTGCGCCACCAAGCACCAAAGCTACCGAGAACCCCCAGAATCACGAGCCAAGAAGCAATGAGGCTCGTAAAGCCTTGTTTCTGCTTGCGTTTGCGAACTTGCGTAATTGGCGCATATTGCTCAGTTTCCAAAGCAAGCTGCTCTTCCGGAGTGAACTCTTCTCCAGCGTCCACTTCACTGTCGTCGTCATATTGCTCTTCCTCGTCTTCACCCTCTTCTGCCTCGTCTTCCTCCTCGGTCTCCTCCTGAGGAGGCTGCAGTCGTGAATAAAAGTCAAACGACTCTCTCGTGGGCGCCTTAATCCCACCATCCTGTTTGAAGTTCGTCGGAGTAGCCGATTTCCGAGCTCGCAAACCACTCTTTCGAGGAGCAGGACTCTCAGTGGACAACCGCCCACCACTCTTTCGCTTTCCGTCGTGGCTAGATGTCCTGCTCCGTCCCATATCGGAGGGGCTTCCACTCTGGAAAGGATTATCATCTGTGAATACAGTGTCCTCTCGGGGCTCGGTCTTGACGGATGTGACAGATGGGGTGTATGCGTCGACCTCCGTGGAAGGAAGTACCTCGCTGCGCCGGAGCTTCCTCGTCGTAGATTTGCGCGGCGAACCACTCACAGCCACAACGGGAGTCGCCATTTTGTCGTCGCCAGTTTCGGTATCCGAAGCTCGTGGGTGTTTGCCAACTGATCGCGCAACGGCGCTCTTTCGCTTCGTAGCAGTAGCAGGTGTAGCTGGGACATGGACGTCGTCATTCTCCATAGTCGATGCGCGAGCGCTTCGTCGCGAGCCCCCGCGTCGGGTTCCAGTCGTGGAGGGGGTCGGTGGTGGGTGCAGAGAATCGCGGTCTTCCTGATCGCGATCACTGGCAACGGAGGTAGATCGACTGGTACTCATATCGGTAATCCCTGCGCTTGTCCTTCTCACACGTTCGCGATCTCGCAGGAGCTTCTTTGCTTGCGGAAGGACCTCATCCTCCAGAATGCGGATCAGCTGTGCTTTTTCGCGGAGGCAGGGTAGGAGATATCATGGCTGACGAGGATGGAGCGGAGACGGGGAACAGTGAGAGAGTTGAGATCAAAATCTGACTGGAGGTAATCCAGTTCGTCTGCCATGGTGTGTGGCGTAGTAGCGTGCGCGATGGGTTCGGTGGTGAGTTTCAGCAGCCGACACAAGCACGTCGATCAAGTTTCACCAGAGGTCGACAAGGATGGGATTGGTCGTATGCAAGATGGCGCTCAGCCCAGGTTCGAAGACTTGCAGAGAAATCCACCGATCGCTGCTTGATCTGGAACGTGGCCTGAAGGAGTCAAGGGAAAAATGATGTGGGTGTTTGTCCACTTGTCAATTCAACCCGAGTCGGTTGGTTTGACTCGGTAGCCAGGGCAACAGGCGGGGCCGAGGGAAAAAGGAGCGGTCCTGGAGCCCTTGTTCAAGGTGCCGACTGATGAAAATGCGATGGTAACTGGAGAAGATCTGAAGAAAGTATGCGTGGGCTATGGATGCAGAAGAGGGGATTGACGAAAACAAGAGTTGCGCGATGACGCAGAAGAAAACAAAGCTGGTATCACGTGACCCATTCGCCACGAGGCGTGGCGTGTACTCTTAAGTGCATTAACTGCTGTATGAGCACCGATAAGGTATTACGGTGGATATTGTACCTTAAGGGTAGTAAGGATACGGTGCAGAATCATTAGTCCCGCGCTGGTTGTTTTTGGTGCGTATTTGATCACTCGTAACACTTACATTGAACAGATAACGACATTGTTTGCTGAAATACCTTTTCCCAAAGCAAGTTTATATCTGGTGTCGCATCGATTCTACTGCAGATAATACAATGTACCTTAAGAGAGCTACAAATAACCAGGGTCATTAATAATAGCCAGAAATTTATATGTTCACATTTGACAACAAAGTACACGCTTGAAAAAGTCGGAGCATACAAAAATACATGAGGCAAATGGAAATCGAACCAAAAAAATTCCACCGTCACTCCATGCCTTGATGCTTTCATAAATCGATATTAAAGACTCCCCACCGGTGAGGCGCCGCCCACAGAACATTAGTAAGAGAGGCCGAAGGTCGCAGAGACCCAAGAAAAAGAAAAATACTCGATATCGAAAGTTCGATAGCACATAAAAAATGAGCAGGTTTGATCAACGGTTGCTGCGTTGAAGGTCGAAAGAGCGGGTGTCTGGTGTACCAGAACGGTTCATGACGGATGAGGAAGTAGAATTGGGGATACTAACTGCGCTCGCAGAGGGGTGCATGTTCATGCCTCCATATTGAGGGGGCGTTTCGTCAGGGATGCCAGTTGCCCCTGTGGCCATTTGCTCTTTGAGAGCGCGGTATTCAGCAAGCTGGGTCTGTAATTGTTGCATGACTTCGCCGATGGGCACAGCGTGGTCTTCGAGTCGGTCACCCGGTTGGAAAGGACGCAGCATATGGCGCACAGACAAAGTGTTGATGGCGGCCTCAATACGCGTCACTTGTTGGTCGACCAAGCTGATCACGGTCGAATCATTCAGCTCGCCACCGTGGTTCTTGACCATATTGAATAGTGCCACATTTGGCTCGCGGAGTCGAGGTTCGCTTGAGTTCTCCAAAGCTCCACAAAGGCGTTCCAGGCGGAGGGTGACCTCCCACAAGCGCCAAATCAAATCAGTTTTTAGGTCGAGCTCAGAGCCAGCTGGAATGATGGCTGGATTGGCACTTGAGTCTTGCGCCGCCTCTTCAGACGCGGTCATTCGGCCTGCAAGGGAGTGCGGGTAAACAAGGTAAAGGGGCTCAGGATTCTCCAGTCCCTTGAGCTTCCGCTCGCCTTGATCCTTGATCACAAAGCCTTGACTGTTCAGTTGCTGCAGCTCGCGACGGATGGTGTGTCCAAGACTGTCCATACGCGGATGGCTATCGTTTGAACTTGTCGATGCAGAGCGCTCGGCATCAGCAAAGACCTCAAGGTTGCGCTGAATGTCGCTCATGAAGTCAGAAGAGACGAAAATTTGACCTCCATCAGCGACAGCCGATATACGGGATGCTCGATTGACCATAGGACCGAAGTAGTCCATGCGATTGGTGACTGGATCGTTTTCGCAGACAGGTTCGCCCCAGTGACCACCCATGCGGACAGACAGGCCGCGGAAGATGATGTTGTTCTCCATGTCATACACGATCCGGCACTGAGGTTGCTCAAGAATTTCCGTCGGCCACTCAGCTTCAAGCAGCTGGTTTTGACAGTTGAAGCACCACAGCAACGCCGCAGTTGTAGAATTAAAAGCAACCATGAAAGCGTCACCTTCTGTCTTGACCTCATACCCACCAATGATTCCAAGCTGACGCCGGAGAATATCATTGTGAATCTGAATAGCTGAACGCATTGCGTCAGGACACGTCTCCCACAGACCGGTTGATTTCTTGATATCAGTAAAGATGATAGCAAGTTCACCGATCGGAGCGTCCACGCGGTCGAAGCGAGCCAGGCGAGTATCTCCAACTGCATCACGAGGTCGCTTACGAAGCTTGGTCTTCGGAACAATCTGGTCCTCAGGGAATGCAGAGCGTTCCAGATTCATGCTAGGGCGAGAGAACTTCTTTTGCCGCTTCTGCAGTTCGCTTACACCGAGAACCATGACCATTAGCTTGTTGGTAGCTCCAAAAGAGATGGCCAGGTCACGTAGTTTTTGAGCAGCAAACATCAAATCTGGATGAGCTGCTCTTGTGGCATCAACCACGAGGTCAGGCGCCACATAGTCCCATAGCTCCTTTGAAGCGATAATGATCATCTCGTCCTGCTCCGTCAAAGTTGTGTGCATAGTATATGGTGCTGCAATGACGGCTGGCATCATGGGGAAATGACCGAAGCAGCGCGATACGGGAAGAACGTCATTGAGTTTTCCATTGCGAGCCACAAAGCCACCAGCAGCTCGGATGCGAGCTCGTTCACTGGCCTCTGCAGGGTCATGGTACTGCGTCAGATTGCGTAATGAGCCGTCGGACTTCACGAGGATTGCCTGAGCATCTCCGACATTGGCAGCATACAAGTCCATATTGTTCAGGTACAAGACTGTTGCAACACCACCCGATTGAATGTCATCCTGATTGAGCTGCTTTGTGTTGGATGATCTGCGGTTGTATTGTCGAAGCTCCCGGTCGTCAATTGACCTGTAGGCTGAACCTGCCATGTTCTTGTTTAATGCCAAGAAGGCTCGCCTCAAGGCATCAAGTGGTGTCTCATCCTGGTCCGGTTGGAGCCTCTTAAGCTCGTGGGAGAAGGTAGGTGTAAAGTGTTCATGGAGGTATTTTGCAACGCGGGACCCGCCACTTGACATAGTTGAACCGTCGAACATACCCACTAAAGTTTCCACATTATCTGGCTTCAGACGGGGAACAATCATGTCTATGATGGACAGATGCTCTGTTCGACCGAGTGTATCTGCCATGCCATATGCGAGTGAGCCAGCTAGCGATGCGGAAGTTCGCACACGACGGTCTTCGGTCTCCTCAGGAATAGTGGGGATTGTGAGAGTCACATCCATTAGACCCAGAACTCGAAGATGGGTCAGAGAAGTGAAATCAGTCAAATCAGCACCATTGGTGACTGGCGGGCCCAAGGACGTGATGTTGGGTTTGATTTCCAGACGTTTGTTACCTGAAAAATTCAGATACTTCAAACTCCGGTTCCAGTTCCAGTTCCAGTCGTAGGGCCAGTTGGACACGTTGTATTTCAATCCATTACTGCCCACATCGAGAATAGCAAGCTTGCTGACTTTGCACAGCTCCGCCGGAAGGACCTGAAAGCGATTCGCATTGATATGCAAAACCTTGAGATTGCTGCCCTCTTCCAGGTCATCTGATGGAAGAGAAGTCAATTCGTTTCCGGACAAGTAGAGCTCGGATATCCATGGCCATCGTCGAAGGACTCCTTGCGGTAGTTCTGTCAACTCGTTGTAGGAAAGATTGACCACGCGTAGCTCGGGGAGACGAGCCAGCTCGCGGAAGACTTCATCATCTAACCGGTTGTCGGCAAGGTAGAGGTTGCGAAGGGAGCCCGCAAACGTCATGGTGGTGGTATGCTGTGAGAAGTTCGAGTCCTTTCGAGACGATGAGCTTCCCTCTGTATTGATGGAACGGGATGCAGTGGAAACCTTCCGTCCGCCCTGTGACTGTCCAATAGAAGGCGCGATCGACGCATTGCGATTTGATCCGCTTGGAGAAGAACTGGATCCCAAAGCTCCGTTGGAAGTTTGACTGGGACGACGGACATCTTGTTCGTCAAGCGGGCCGAGATCTTCGTAGCTAGGGTTTCCGGTAATAGCAGGTGTTGTGACCGGGGTCGTCGTTGGCTCACCAGGAACCAGGGGCTGGGGAGCGCCGTGCTTAGGGAAGGTCGTGAGGAGATTTGTGGAGACATTCAAAGTTTCCAGCTTCGCACAGTGCCATATCTCCTCTGGCAGAGACTTCAAGTTACACTCGCGCAAGTTGAATTCCTTGAGCTCGACCAAGCATCCGATTTGTGGAGGTACAAACGCAAGAGGGTTCTTGATGATGCTGAAGTGCTCCAGTCGACGCAGCTTGCCAATCTGAGCCGGGATCGACGACAAATGGTTCTTGTCGAGTATCAATTTTGAGACATTGGGCATGTTCTCAAAGATTGCATCTCGGAAAGCAGAGAGATTGGCCGATGCAAGATTGAGCGATGACAGCGTTGGCATGTGAGAATCAATATCAAACTGTGTCAGGGGGTTGTGGTCCAGATGCAAACTGCGTAGCTTCGGGGCCGAGCCTTTGAATCGGGAAACCAAGTTGTGGCCAAAGAAGACCTGCTCGAGACGTGGCAGCCCGCAAAGGTTGTCGATGCTGGAGATTGCATTGAAACGGCCATCAATCTCCCTGAGATTGACAAGCTGCTGGAAAGAGTCATCCAGCGGGCCACTGATATTATTATTTGTCATCCAGAGACGCTCAAGGGTGGTCAGTTCTCCAATGCAAGGGATGCCTTCGATGTTATTGAAACTGATATCGAGGTCGACAAGTGCTCGCAAATTGCAGAGGAACTCAGGAAAGATCTTGAAACTGTTGGAGGACATGTTCAAGCTCCGCAAGTACTGGAAATTCTCGAAATAGCTTGGAAGGCTGGTCAGCTGGTTATTTGCCATCTTAATGCTGACCAGACCAGTGAGTTGATCCAAGCTGGCATGATCCAGTTCTTCCAAGAAGTTATTGGAAATGTCCAAGTAAGTCAATCGACTTGCCAAACTGAAGCTCAATGGAAGCTGTAGGGCTTCGTTTCCAATGAACTTAATCTCGCGCAGATTGATGCAGCTTTGAATGAAGTCCTTTGGCACATCCAAAGACAGATTCCTGGACAAGTTCAAAGAGATGATCTCCGAAGCCTTTTTATAGAGAGTAATCGGAATTGTAACGAGGCTTCGACCTTGAAGATCCACGTGGCTAAACTTCTGCATCTTGTTAAACCCCGGATCTGCCTCCAGGCTCGTATATCCACTCAGTTTGGTGGGCAGGAACACGAAGCGGCATAGGTAGCTGTGGTCCTCGCGACCAATATCTTCAATGCGATCCTTCTCCGTATATCCAACTTGCTCGAGAAGCTTCTTCTGCATGAGAATTGGTCGCTCTTTGTGATCAAGCTGCCGAGACAGATCATTCTTTCGCAGTACGATCTCGTAGTTGTTGAGATGGTCTTGCAGGAAGGATTTCTTGCCAAGCATATAAAGTACATCGGCGACGGACGTGTTCAAACCAGCTGAGAGCGTGGCAAATGTCGAATCAATACGGAATATCCGAATGAAATAAGAAGCTCCATCACGTTCTCGCACTCCAGCAGATGGCTTAGGGGCATTTTCAGTGGCTTCTGCAACAACATCGGCCTGCTTCTTGACATGCCAGCTGTCCGGTGCAGCCCAGCTGTCGGATCCAATGCCGCCAGCCTGCAGAACGTCTGGCCGTGTCAAGTCCTCCCGAGGGGTTGTTGTACCATCATTCCCGCGAGGCTTCCGGCCAGGAGAAGCTGTGCGTACGCCACGCATGTCTTCAAGATCGGTATCCAGAGAGAAATAATGCTTGCCTTCCTCGCCCTGGGGTCCATCCCGCGGCGGATGACCATCTCCGGTCAGAGTAAAGCCTCGTCGGGGGAATTTCCGACCTCCGATGCCGAGACCTTTTCCGGACTCCTTCTTGGTTGAGTCGGCGGTGTCAAGGCGGGGGTCGAGCCTCCTTCGATGCTTCCCTGTCGACGGTTCGGGGAATGTTCGCGCTCACGCTTAGACTTGTCATGCGGCTTGTGCCCCGGCAAAAATCGGCCAATCTTGCTCAGAATGTTCTGCTTGTTCGGGGGTCCCCCGGGTGAATTGTGGCCATGCTCGCGATAGATGGCACTTTGCACACTGGGCGTCGGGCTCGTTGACCGACCACCGAGATTAGTGGAGGAGCTCATAGCAGTCGAGGAGTGGAGGCGACTGTCCTGATAGGGCTTCAATCCAACAGCGAAATCATCACGTCCAACAGAGGGGCGACCCTGGTATCCAGCGAATTGATAGTCAGCCAGATCGCCAGCAAGCGTCGGTCTCTCCTCTTTGCTTCGCGAATGTCGATGACCATTACCAGCTCGTCGACTGGAATCTCTGGTTGCAGAACGGGGTTTCCCGGCGGACCCTTGGGACCCCAGTCGTTGACCATCGGGGCCGATAGGCACTGGTCGCACAGGCGCTTCTCCGTACTGCGGAATATCATTGAAGCTCTGGTAAACCCACGGAGTAATATCACTGGAGGGCAAAGGAGTCTCTGCTCGAGACCGTGACTGCCGTTGCGATGCGTCGGAGCCGTCGGAGTTTGCTCTCTCTCGAGCTCGCAGCTGATCGACCGGCCCTCCGCGCCTGATGGGTTGATTTGGCCCATCTCCTGGCTCATCGACAGAATAATCTTCGCTGACCGAGCCCTTTGTTTTCTTTTTCCAGCGTTGACTCAGACTCGACTTTGACCCTGTGCTGCTGGTTATGCTGGTTGTGGACGGTCTGCGGTGGTCTCCATTGTATTCCATGTCGGCCGGTTCACTAGAAAACGTACGTCCAGTCGTCGGACGGAACGTAGCGGATGCAGGTGATGCTTCATGCTCAGAAAAATCATTGAAAAAGGTGCGTTGGCCATCGGCCCCCGAAGATGTTGCCCAAGGAGCTATCGACTCGAACTCGTTCTCTCCGGGGCGGGGTTGGCGGATAGGTGGGGGGCGTGGACTAGACGACGATCGAGAGGTTTCATCCCTAGCAGCTCCAAGGACTGCCATAGCTTTCCGGTGGTTGCTGAAGCCTGAACCTTTGCGTTCTTCGGTGGGCGAGATATCGGGAGAGCTCCATGACCACATGGAGGCACCCCAGTCGATCTTGGGAGCTTGAGACGAACCGGACCTGGTACACAAAAGGATTTGGGTTAGCATCCATTCAATAATCCACGAGTCGCTACCCGTACGGTAGCGATCCAGAGCTTGTACACTGTGCGTTGCACAAGACCGGTCGGTTTTGTCGTATCCAATAGATGAGGGGTGAGCTTACTTGTCCGTCAAGGTGCCTGGGAAGGCGTCAACATCGCGCCCGTGAGAAGTGGGGTGTATTTGGTCCTTGTTCATGTCTTCATTGTTCCGAATCGTTGCCTGTGATCTCCAGCTATTTCCCGAGCTCGCTGAACCCTGCCGGTCGGGTTGCTCGTGCTCTCGCACGGGCATGGCTGGTCCCAGACTCGACCGAAACCCTCGACAGGGAGCTTGATCAAGTCACAACCAGCGGGGCTTCGGGATAGCGTGGGCGGTTGGAGCAGTCCACCATCAATATTTGCAATCAGATTTATCGGATGCGCCGGGGGTGTCGGGAGCTTTGGGTGTGCGGTATCGTTTAAGCTGTCGCGGATGCTTGCGCCACCGTGGTAAGCTCGGACCAGGGAGGCAACGGACCAGGGAGGCAACGAGGTTTCGCGGAAACAAGAAAGCGGTGCACCAGAGATAAATCCGGTCGGAGAGTCAAAGAGGCCGGGTTACAGGAGGAAGTCGGTCTCATCGATGGGCGGGGCGTTTGAGATGCGGATCCCTGAAGCAGGGCGCGTCGTCCGGGCTGTGCGAGGCGGGCGGCGGGCGGCGGGCGTCTGTCGGGCGCAGAATCGAGGACCAGGGGCTGGCCGCTATTTCCTGTCCAGATCACAGAGAAGTGAGATCAGGCGCAGGCGTGGGGCATGCTGGTGAAGGGATTTGGATGTTGTGAGGTCGCGGGTACCGAGTCAAGGTCGAATTCGGCGGAGTGGGGAGGGATGATCGGGGGGATGGCGCCTGGGCGGATCGACAGGAAGTTCGCAGAGAGGCACCACGGCGGATGAGGCCTGCGCGCTTGGGATGAAGAGGGGGAAAGGTTGAGGATGAGGGATGAAGAAGAAAGACGAGGCAGTTGGAGGCTATGAGGCTCTTGCGCTAGGAGCTTCAGTGCCGAAGTGATTGGCCCACGAGGAAGGGTTGGTCACACGGCGGCCACGGTTCATTGATTCATTGACGCAGCTCGGCGAGAATTCTGGCGACTGTGCAAACCACTGCTGAACGTGGCGGGTTTGCTGGTTTGGCTGTCTGGGGGATGTGGTCCGTGAGGCTGTCCGTGCTGCGTTCGGTGGAGTCGCAGATTCTCGACTTCTGAGGCGTGCGAGGGGAATATATACCCGTCATCCTGATCCACTCCCGTCGTCAACTACATGCATACTGCGCAGTCCTTCTAGGGACAGCTCATTATATTACCAGTAGTGGCCACTACTAGTATCATACTACCCTAAGGTACCCGGGGGTAGGCGCTACTATCGCCAAGAACCCGAGATAGAGCGTTCGAGTGTTCACTTTCATCGCTCATCAAAGAGGATCAACGAACCAGATGGCTGGGATCAGTCAATCGATATGCATATCGCATCCATGTAAGGGAGTGGTGTCTAGATCTCGACAGCGGCCAATCGTTGATGGTCACTGATCGAATCAGAAGCATCAAGGGTTGAAACAACCCGAAACAGTCTCGCAGCATTACAATCCACCATCCCAGACCTTCTCTTTCATCAAGTCCGCTGATTGTCAACTGTCTCGGGGCAATCTGGCAGACAGACATCCCCCAAGAGCTCTTTCGCTATTGCAATTGTAGTGGCTTGGTATGAGCACAGCTGCATGGATCAATAATCATCCCAAATGCTAATTCATCCCTGAGGTATTTAATCAGATGATAGGGGTCATACTGTCAGGGCACCCTGATACGGTAGCTTGCAAAATCGCCTTGTGATTTTACACACTTTCTTTCTTTCTCAACCCTAGTTGCCAAGGCCACGTTAGCCTGAATCAGTTCTACTCAAAACGACACCTGGCTAGAACCTTTTGAATGGTATGGTAAGAGACAAGACGATGACAACACGGGTGCGACCTGGGCGCCCCTCGATTTGCATTGCTTCTGCTGTTTAACGTCTTTCCACTCCTCATCTCCCACCTTTTATAGTGCAAAAATGGCTCCGAACTTATCCCCGTCAAAGCGGAAGCTTATTTGCGATATGATCGAGAGTAACCTAAAAACCACTGATATCGCTAATGTTAGCAGAATACAGTAAACAGTCTGTTAGATATATTCGTTCTAAACTACGGATGTTCGGCAGTCCCAAGGCACCTCTAATCCCCTCCGGCCGACTGAAGAGTATCACACCACTTATGCTTGAGGCTCTCTGCTATCATCTTTCTAAAAGCCCTGGACTATACCTCGATGAGATGGCAATTTTCCTTTGGGGGGTGGGGAATTGTGGCCAACTCTACCATCAGTCAGGCTCCGGCAGCAAAAGGCTGGTCTAAGAAAACATTCTAGAATCAAGCGAAGGAGCGCAACGCGGATTTACGAGACTACTACCTCTATAATCTATCAGAATTTGAGTCGTATCACCTTGTCTATGTGGACGAATCTGGATGTGACAAGCGGATAGGGTATCAGCGAACAGGTTAGGCCCCGCTAGGGGTCACCCTGGTCTAAGTGGCTAAGTTCTACCGTGGTCAGCGATACCAGATCTTGCCGGCACATTACTAAGATGGTGTACTTCTTTCCCGCGTCGTTCGAGGCTCGACTGATGCTCCTATATTTGAGGACTTTATTGAGCAGTTTCTTTATTATTGTGGCAGATGACCGGAGCCCAAATGGGTATTAGTGATGGATAATGTATCCCTCCATTACTCTGAGCGGATAAAATGTATGTGTCTAGAAGTAGGCGTTAAGCTGGTGTATCTTCCGCTGTATTCTCCTGATCTGAAACCTATCGAGGAGTTTTTTGCGGAGCTGAAAGCTTACATTAAACGCAACGGGCAGTTGTTTGAAGATGACACGCATAGAGATCTTTAGAAATTTCTGGAGTAGTGTGCCGATGTGGTTGGCGCAAGAGAAGACAGTGCTGAAGGCCATTTTCGTCATGCAGGTCTGACAATTGAACACTATTGATTGACCTGTATAGACATATATAGCTCATATATATTCAGGCATTGTTGCAGCACTTAATTCACTACGTTAGTAGGATTTTATTCTTCTAGGTCGATAAAAAGCCCTTAAGATGGGTGGAATTTACGTCTATAAGCGTAATGATGAGGCTGTTTAGATAGACGTGGACTATTGGCTGCCTTACCGCGTCATCGGAGACGGCAAGTTTGATAATCCGGTTTGTTGGGCCCCACCTCGAGGGCTGCTGGTTGGTCCTGCTGCTGCGTAATCACAACTCAGTCGCCAATAGCACGAAGTACCTTATGTATTTAGACCCGCACGTATGCACATGACTCGTCGAGTTGCCAACGCTCGCTGAGGCGGGCGGGCGCTTAGACAGTGCACCCCTGCACCCCTTCACCCCTGATGCCTTAGGCTGACAGCAAGGCGTCTCTGCGGTCGCAATTATTCCTCGTTACCTCCCCCACTCCCGATTCTGTTGAATGACTGAGTTTACAGCCTAGAGATACTTCCGAAGCTAAGCGATATATCGATAATTCTGCCCATTCACCCTTGTCTTCGCGGCGGCGGCAGGAGCAGCAGCAGCTTTTGCCAGACAGTTGTTTTCCACATGCCCGTTGAAGAAATGAAACCGATCCCCGTGGCGAGTATGGCGTCCGCAATATCGTTTGGGTGTTCAAATTCGGTGATCCAGATGGGCGTGAACAACGGCTCGGTCATTAACCACTTCCACATGCCTATTGAAGAAATAAAAGAGATAAACACTAGGCCTTGTAAGTTAACTGAAAACCCTAATTCAGATATCCGACTCACTAATTCTTTCTAAGGTGATCAATCTCAAGCCCACTATATTATTCCATCCTTAGAAAATCGCCATTTCACTGGCCGTGAATCTACGCTAGATGAGCTTAAACAGAAGCTATTTCTGCAACCGAATACTGAAAAAATAGCCCTATTCGGACTAGGTGGCATCGGCAAAACCCAAGTTGCTCTTCAGCTTGCCCGCTGGGCGAAAACGCATATACAAGACTGCTCTGTTTTCTGGGCTCCTGCCCTTAGCCTCGAGAGTTTTGAGCAGGCTTGTTCGCAAATTGCGAGGAGCTTTAAAGAGCTTCAAATTCATCAGAATCCAGACGATGAAAGTGCGATGGAATTAGTACACCGACAGCTAAGCTCTGATAAAGCCGGAAAGTGGCTTTTAATTGTCGATAATGCTGATGACGTGGACTTGCTTTTCGATGAGCTTGATCAGTATTTCCCTGCTAGCAAGAAAGGTGTAACTTTGCTCACTACTCGTTCCCATGAGGTGGCGGTATCTTTCGCAGGAAGGGATACAGTTGAGCTCCAAAAGATGACAACGGAGGAAGGGATTGCTTTTCTTACTAAGATTGTAGGAGAAGACTCGCTTTGTGGCCAAAAATCCACGATGCAATTACTAGAGGAGCTGAACTTCCTACCTCTAGCTATTGCACAGGCGGCTTTCTATATTTGTCGAAATAATGGAACGACCACACGGTACCTCGAGCTTATGTATAAAACCGAAAAAGACCGGATGCGTCTAGCGAGCAGAGAGTTCCACGATAGCACTCGCTACCGCAAAATGCCAAACGCGGTGACTACCACATGGCTTATCTCATTTAATCAGATCAAGGGTGCTGATCCCTCTGCTGCTGATTTGTTGGGATTTATTTCTTACCTTGAGCCAAAGGCAATCCCGCGATCTGTTCTTCCCACCCTCGGTTCGGAAGAAGAGATAGAGTCTGCAATTGGTACGCTGTGTGGCTATGGATTTCTGTCCAGGAGGGATAACGAGGATATGTTTGATATGCATAGCCTCGTACAGCTATCAACACGAGTGTGGATATCAGAGGCACAGAAGACACAACAGATTATCGCGACCGTGACGCAACATATAGACAAGTGTTTTCCATCTGATGAATACACAAATCGTGAGACATGGAGGATTTTGCTACCACACGCCCTTAAAATTCTCAGGAGAGAGGAAAATAAAGATGTTAGTGAGAGGTATAGCTTACTTTCCAAGGTTGGAAATTGCGTTCTAGCAGATGGCCGAGCAAAAGAAGCTGTCACTCTTTTTGGGGATGTGTGTGCATGGAATGAAAGCCACTATGATGAAGAACATCCCTCTCGACTGGCGTCTCAGCACGAACTCGCACGGGCATATCAATCCAACGGGCAGATCAAGCAAGCTATGGAGATACTCGAGCATGTGGTCACGGTAAAAGAGAGAATGCTTGATGAAGAACATCCTGATCGACTGGCGTCTCTGCACGAACTCGCAATAGCATATCAATCCAGCGGGCAGATCAAGCAGGCCGTGGAGCTACTCGAGCATGTGGTTGCGGTAGAAGGGAGAACGCTTGATGAAGAACATCCTGATCGACTGGCGTCTCGGCACGAACTCGCAATAGCATATCAATCCAATGGGCAGGCCAAGGAAGCCATGGAGCTACTCGAGCACGTGGTCGCGGTAAAAGAGAGAATGCTCGATGAAGAACATCCTGATCGACTGGCGTCTCGGCACGAACTCGCACGTGTATATCAATCTAACGGACAGATCAAGCAAGCTGTGGAGCTACTTGAGGACGTGGTCGCGGTAAAAGAGAGAATGCTTGATGAAGAACATCCTGATCGACTGGCGTCTCGGCACGAACTCGCACGTGTATATCAATCTAACGGACAGATCAAGCAAGCTGTGGAGCTACTTGAGGACGTGGTCGCGGTAAAAGAGAGAATGCTTGATGAAGAACATCCTGATCGACTGGCGTCTCAGCACGAACTCGCAATTGCATATCAATCCAACGGGCAGGCCAAGGAAGCCATAGAGCTACTTGAGCACGTGGTTGCAGTAAAAGAGAGAATGCTTGATGAAGAACATCCCTCTCGACTGGCGTCTCAGCACACTCTCGCATGGGCATATCAATCCAACGGACTGATCAAGCAGGCCATAGAGCTACTCGAGCACGTGGTTGCGGTACAAGGGAGAACGCTTGATGAAGAACATCCTGATCGACTGGCGTCTCAGCACGAACTCGCACGGGCATATCGATCCAACGGGCAGATCAAGCAAACCATAGAGCTACTCGAGCATGTGGTCGCGGTAAAAGAGAGAATGCTTGATGAAGAACATCCTGATCGACTGGCGGCTCAGCGCGCTCTCCAAGACATAAACCAGTCGATCAAAGTTGAGATCATGGAGAACACGTTCTCATCATCTCCCACTGATATTGGGACTGGAACTTAATCGAACTGCTCTTCCTCCAATCAATCTGCTGTATATACTCTCACTGAGAACTACTATTTTTCTTTGTTATTTATGCCTCACGGCGGCACCCACAGGAAACAAAATCGAGGTGGTCAGTGGAGTAAGCCTGAAACGAACAACGTTACGGTTTGCGACAATACCATGTAATATACAGAGCCAAGGACAGGTAAAGGGCTAACAACTGTATGAGGTTAGAGCTATCTTGGCATTGGAGGTTGAAAAAGAAAGAGTGAATACAAAAACGCAGGGCGATTTTGCAAGCTACTGTGCACTTGGATAGCGGCCGGCACTGTAAATCTCGACACGCTCACCCCACGACGCTCAAAACCTCGGACCGGTGGCAAGAGATAGGCGATTTCGAGAATCACTGCGATATAAAGCTGCTGTGTTGTTGCCGAACGGGAACTAACCCCTGACCGATGGCGGACCCACCCGCGGGAGGGCCCGAGACACCACCCGCAAACACGCAAGAAACCATCACCAGCTTCACGGAGGACGACATCGAAGCCAGAACTACCGTCGAAAACCGGAAGCGAACCCGAAGTGGAGATATATTCGCCCCGTCGGATCCAGCCGGCCGAATCACCACCAAGGAGGTGTGGAAATTGATCAGCACGCTGAAGGACGTCATCCGCCACCAGACCACGACCATTGCAGCTACCCAAAACGAACTCCAGGAGATTAAACACAACCAGAACGTCCTCCAGGAACAGAACGATAGACTGCATGAGGAAGTGAAAGCACTACGGGTGCAGCTCGAAAGCGCTCCAGCAGTGACCGCGACTAAGACCTGGGCAGCAGTTGCAGCCAATAGCGGCAATGCCACGCCATCGCTGAACCACCAACAACCCGAGAAAGAGCAAAACTGCGTCCGAATCAGCACCCAGAGAACCTTTGTCGACCCAAGAGACAACGATGATGGAAACGCATTTGGACGATATCTCCCCACCGACGCCGTCAACGCCCACATTCGCACTGCATTGCAGAGCGACGATGCAACGCAAGACGCCCAAGTAGCGGGTGTTGGCACCACCAAGACCGGTTATCTTATTCGATTCAGAAATACGGAGTCGGCTGAAGCAGCGCGCAATAACACTGGATGGCTACACAAATTAGGCAACAACACGAAACTGGTCAAACCACGATTCGGAGTTGTAGTCCACCGTACCCCTACTGAGGAATATGACCTGGAAACAGGGGCCACCCAGGCAGCGGAAAAGATCATCAACGATAACGACCTGGCGGAACTCGGTTTCCACATCGATGAACTGGCCTGGATGAAAGCGAAAGATAAGGCCTTGGGGAAGTTCGCATCGTTGGGAATCTGGTTTGACTCCGCAGAGGGAGCAGAACATATGTTACGGAACGGCTTCCTTGCCGGCAAGCACTTTATTCCACACGTTGAGCGACGTGAGATCAAGAAAAAGAGATGTTTTCGGTGCCAACGGTTCGGACACCTGGCATGGACATGCAAGGAAACGCCTCGATGCGGACACTGCGCAGGACAGCACGAGCGTGAACGATGCCCTCCGGGAGTGAGAGCGCGGTGCTTGGATTGTAATGGCGAACACCCGACTGGCGATCGACAGTGTCCAGGACCAGCGACCTCCAACCCAGTCAGATGCTAGAGAGAAACCTCCGCATCCTACAGTTGAACATGATGAAATCTGGACCAAGAATGGAGGCACTGATCAATGACCCTCAAAGTCAAGATCTGGATCTTCTGCTGATCCAGGAGCCCTCCATCACCACGTACCGCACACACGTCAATCACAGCGCCTGGAGACTATATCGGCCTACCGCACAGCTCGATGCTGGTCGGTTTCGCAGCCTGATCTACGTCAACAGACGAATCTCTACCTCCTCACACCGTCAAATACCCTGTGACCACCCAGATATCGCAGCCATCAAGATCTGGACAGCTAACTCTCAAATACTTCTCTTTTCTATCTACATACCGCCAGTACCACTTTTCAGCGGCGATGATGCATCGGCGTTGCCAGCCCTCACTGCGATTCAAAGCTCCATCGCAGCTGCTACACAAAACGAGCAGCGATCGACCAGTATCATTGCTTCCGGCGACTTCAATCGACACCATCCGATGTGGGGCGGCAATCACATCGCGCCGAGGTTTATCGAAGACGCCAATGACTTAATCGACTTTTTCCAGACTCACAACCTCCACAGCTGCCTCCCCCGAGGCACTGCAACTTACTGGGCCTTGAACAACCCAGGACAAAACTCAACTATCGACCAGACAGTGACAGACAGCCCGGACCTACTCATCAAATGCCATCTATACCACGAAAACTACGGATCTGACCACCGCGCTACCTACTCGGAATGGAATCTGCAGCCTCGGAACAAGCCAAGAACCAAAGCGAGGAAGGCGTACGAGCGGGCAGACTGGTCCAAAATCGGCGAGGAAGTAGCTCGCCAGATGTCTCCATGGAGGGACATTAAGACCCGGCCAACACTCGACCGAGTAGTGGAGAAGCTCATATCAGCGACAACCCAGGCGGTCGACCGATTCACGCCTGACATGCGCCCAACGCCATACTCTAAGAGATGGTTTACCCCGGATCTCAAGGCGCAACAAGTGGAAGTCAATCAACTACGCAGGAAGTGGCAGGCGAACTGCGCGGAGTTCGGACGAGACCATGCTAGCACCACGGCTGCTTTTCAGGCCATGCAACAAAGGCGGCGAGCGTGGACCCGAACTATCGAGAAGACCAAAGCGTCACACTGGAGACAGTTCTTAGACGAGGCGGGCGAAGGGAAACTCTGGAAAACTGCGACTTACATGAAGCCTCGGGAAACATGGGGCTGTATTCCAGCACTGCGAGTTGGCCCAGAAGAGCTCGTCCAGAACGAAGACAAAGCGAAAGCGTTCCTCGACGCGTTCTTCCCCGCAATGAACACACCCGAACCCAGCCCACCAGCGTCACCACGCCCGGAGCTTTCATGGCACCCAATCACGGAAATTGAGATTGAGCGATCACTAAAGACAGCGAACGGGACGACAGCGCCGGGTGAGGACAACCTACCAATGTTGGTCTGGAAAAATCTATGGGTCCATCTGAAGACCATTATTGTCAGCATTTTCACGGCATGTGTGGAGTTAGGACACCATCCAAAACAATGGCGTAGAGCGAAGATCATCGTGTTACGGAAGCCAGGCAAGCCAGACTACTCAATCCCCGGAGCCTACCGCCCAATCTCCCTGCTGAATACGCTCGGCAAGCTCCTCGAGGCAGTAATAGCACGACGGCTGTCCTATCTGGCAGAAAAGCATGGCCTACTGCCGAATAGCCAGTTCGGCGGACGCCCGGGCAGGACCACTGAGCAAGCCTTATTGGTGCTGTCCAATGCGATTGACCAAGCGTGGTATAAACACAAGGTGGTGACTTTGATTGCATTCGATCTCAAGGGTGCCTTCAACGGAGTGAACTGGGTGAGCCTAGACGCCTCATTGCAGGCGAGAGGGATTCCGACGGTAGCGAGGAAGTGGATTGCAAGCTTTATGAGTGACCGCCACGCCAACATCGGATTCGACGATTTCCGTACCGAGACAGAGCCGCTTGCGTATGCAGGGCTAGCGCAGGGGTCTCCGCTCTCTCCTATCTTGTTTGCATTCTTCAACGCCGATCTGGTTGACCAACCTGTCGACTCCCACGGAGGCGCGTCGGCCTTTATCGACGACTACTTCCGATGGCGAGTAGGCCGCTCAGCCGAGGAGAACCTAGCCACGATACAGACCGAAGACATCCCTCGTATCGAGAAATGGGCACGGCGAACCGGATCTAGCTTCGCAGCGGAGAAAACTGAGCTTATCCACCTCACCAGGAAGAGGGGAGAACACCTAGAAGGACAGGTTACCTTCAATGGAACCGACATCACGCCATCACCTACAGCCAAACTACTGGGGGTAACGTTTGACCAGGAACTCCGCTGGAAGGAACACGTTCAACAGACCGTCAAACGCGCTACCAAAACGACTATCGCCTTGAGTGGGCTACGACATTTGCGTCCAGAACAAATGCGACAGCTCTACGAAGCATGTGTCACGCCCATCGTAGACTATGCGTCGACAGTCTGGTATGACCCGCTTCGGGACAAGACTCACCTGCGACAGTTGAACACAATACAGAGGACCTCACTGATCCGAATCCTATCGGCATTCAGGACGGTAGCGACGACAACGCTAGAGGTGGAAGCTTACGTACTTCCCACACACCTCCGTCTCCGCCACCGAGCGCAGCGCACCATCGCAAGACTGCACACTTTACCTAGGGACCACCCTATTTGGAGTGCACTATCACGAGCCCAGAGACGCAGGGACAATATGAGATCACGCTACCGGTTTCCCCTCGCGGAAACTCTCAAGACCATGGACCTATCCAGACTGGTAGCACTAGAGACCATCGACCCGAGACCTCTACCACCATGGCGCACCGAGGTGTTCGCGGGGATTGAAGTCAAGTCGGACCGGGAGACAGCAAGAGAATGGGCCGAGGCCGTACGGGCCACATCCGACCTCGTCGTTTATTCAGACGCTTCAGGGCGTGAGGGCCACCTCGGGGCTGCCATAGTCACGCTTAACGAAAACGACGAAGTGATTGAATCTAAACAGGTCCAAGTGGGGCCGATGGACCGTTGGTCGGTTCACGCAGCGGAACTTATTGGCATCTTTTATGCGGTCAATATGGTGTTCAAATTGGTCCATCAACGCTCAAACACAGTAAACGGAGTTCCAGTAACAGCAACAATCTTATGCGACAGCAGATCGGCTCTGCAGGCGATCCAGAACGTGACGAATAAACCGGGACAACGCATAATCCATGCAATCCTCCAGGCTGCGGCCGAGGTTCAGGGGGAGAAAGTCGAACTCCGCCTCCAATGGATGCCAGGGCACTGTGAAAACCTAGGGAACGACACTGCAGATCGACTCGCCAAAGAGGCCGCACAACCGGGTAAAACCCACCCCTTTCGACCGCTACTATCGAGGGAAAACGCGTTTGTCCGCAGCAAAATTTATGCCCAATGGGAGCAAGAATGGAAGACAAGTACCAAAGGTGCTCACCTACGAAAGATAGACGGCGGCCTACCAGCGCGGTATACGAGAACGCTCTACGGGAATCTACCTAGGAATCGCGCCTATCTGCTGACGCAGCTACGCACGGGTCACAACTGGTTATCCACCTACGCGAAAAAATTCGGCTTTCGCGAGGATGATTTGTGTGAATGTGGTGTGCAGGAGACAGTCGCCCACGTGCTGATGGAATGCCCGAGGCTTCGAGAGCTGAGGGTAGAATTGAGGCGGAAAACTGGGGATACGCTGAACAGCGTAGCGAGCCTGCTGGGAGGCTCAAACGAAGGTGAGCAAGGTAAACCAGACATCGTCTCGAGGTCCAAGATGGTTCAGGCCGTCCTGGACTTCGCCGAGGCGTCACAGCGGTTTCGCAGTCGTGCGCCATAAGGGCAGCCTAACAATGGGAGCGGCAATGGGCCACGGGAGGCCGTGACGAGGCTCTAAGTTTATGTCAGGAAGTGGATCATTCTAAATATACACACTCAGATATATAGTTGTTGTATACTGCATATCGCTTTGGCGAGGGGTCAGTGTAAATGAATACTACTACTACTACTACTACTGTGCACTTGTACACTCTACCTGGAAGAGCACTGGCAATCGGTGTGGAGACTGAAAAGATCAGAATCGCATTTCGATCCGAATTGCGTCTTAATCCGACCTAGTATCCTTCCAGGAGCACAACAGAGCCATTTTAGACGAAGTCTCAGTAATTCTGGAGTTTTCCAAGCCTATATCTCACATACCAGAACGACACCTCACCCTGGACTTACATATCTTTTTAGAGATAAAAGGGCGTGGTGTCACCTCGAAACAACCTTTAAATAATTTTTGAATGTTTGTATCCCCCAAGGTAGTGGCAAAACGTCAATGTACCCCGGTAGATTGTACCCTAAAATACAAGTAGTGTCGACTTCTCGTGGAAGCAGTATGTTTGAGCGGAAGCCACTGAGACCGTCCCCTGCCGTCCCCTTTGTCGGCAACTTGATAAACGGATATGAAACATCGCTGCTCTTTATGCATAAAAGAGATCTTACCCGCAGTTACTATAGTGTAACATAATATTTTATTGCGAGCTGCACCGACCCAGACCACGACGCCCTTTGTTCGACACCTTGTCGGAGACCCCAATGCAGAGGCCGATGTCAGCCTTGCCCCGCCGGCATCAGCCACAGAGCCCCGCAGTGACTCACGTACAAACAGGCGATCAATGTGATATGATTTCACAGTTTAAGGTCTCGAACTATGATTATGCAAGGCTAGTAGGGCTCTTCGATGACCACCAAGAAAAAGCTTGGATATCATGGCTGGAGTCACAGGACTGTTGTTCGGAATTCGTGACATGGGGATGCCTCTTTTACATGCTTTAAAACGTGCGATTAACACAAGAGTTGTATCTGCGACCAGAAATTCATTTCTCATAAAATGATCTCAATCATCGAAGACCACGAGCAGATATCTCATAAAATCTCAGAAACAAAGGAAATACACCTCGGATCGGGAATAACCCCTCCAAACAAAAGCAGGATTCTCTCTAAGGAGAGTGAGTCACAAAGGGTAGAATGGCCAGTAATAACGTGCATCATGGAGAACAGACATGCGAGAAGAAACATTCCAGTCCTGCAATTGGCTGGTGCCCGCCTTCTGCAACCAACGAAGGTGGGAATTCGAGCCAATCATGATCTAGCCAATATGCACCAGAAACTATAGAGCAGAAGCCAAAGGGAATCTCCGAGTCCCATCCTCCACAAGCCAGATCGTTTCCAATCCGGTGTCCGACTGAATAGGTGGTCTCATTCCGGGGCGCATCCAGGCAGGCCCTGAGCCAAAAATTCCAATTCTAAGTCAAGGACGAGGCAGCCGGGATGGGGTAGCCCACCCTGGCAAGGACCGTCTTGCGGTCTCGGTCGGGGGCATACAATGCCCCGGAGCATGGGTTGAAGTGAAGCTTTCAGAAGCAACGGGAGGGGGGAGGACTCATAATCGTAATGGGTCAACGACAAAGACAGCAATAAAATCATTAAACAGTTGGCATATGGGTTTAACGACGGTAGTCAGATCGACGCTTAATGTAGGTGGATTCGTAACGTCGCTCGACTCGGTCCAGCTGGTCAGAGCCATACAACGAGCCACGGCTGGCAGGGCTGCGGCTTGGGGAGCTGCGGGGAGACTGGTGAACCACGACGCGGTAGCCGCTGTTGTTGGTGCTGTTGTTGGTGCTGTTGCTGGAGCTGCGAGGCTTGCGGGTGATGATCGTGGGAGAGGCAGGCTCAGCTTCGGGAGAAAACGAACGAGGCCGAACTTGCTCGACAGTGGCCTCGCGGTTGGACCGACGAGGGCGAATTTCATAGCTGCTATCGTAGCTTTCGCGGGGGGCATCGAGGCTGCCAGAGGAAGGAGGACGAACGGCGCCACGGGTGCGGCCCCGGCGAGAGGACTTCAGAAGCAGACCCGACTCGACACCTTCGAGGAGGTGAGGAACCGATCTGACTTCACGGGGAAGCTTGACCCTTCGCAGCTTGCCATTCTCCCGGTCGACCGCAGCAAAGTATTTACCACCCTGACTGTACAAGTAATTGGTGACGTCGACGGCATAGGCGTGACCACGTTCGCAGAGGGTATCATGAAGGGCCTCGATGGCAGACGAGCACTGGGTGCAGTGATTGGCGTGCTGCTCGAACTGGTCGAGAACAAACTGTTCGTCCCCCTCCAGGTTGCGCACCACGGCGGGGGCCGAGACGATCTCAACGGGAGCAGGCATTTCGGACGAACGACGAATCCCAGGGAGATGCCGTGAGGGACTTCGACGAGGCGAGGTATGTTCTATGGTGGCGGTATCCGGGTCGATAAAGTACGTGGTAGAGCGTCGGGGCGACAGCTTGACTGATGTTTCGGGGGGTGTCACGCGAGAGAGTGGATGACGAGTGGAAGTATAGACGGGTGGGATGATCCGATGGATGATCAGTCAAGTGGATCAATAGATTGGAAGCAAGAATGTAAAGAAGGCTTCAATTGTTGTATGAGTGTTTGATAAATGCTTGGGGTTGTGGAGGGGTGGAGGAGGGAATAGAATGGGTTATATACTTCGAGGCCCCGAGCGGGATGGTTGGTGCCTGCCAACCTGAGCAAAGCGGCTCTGGGTACTTCGGGCCCCACCCACCTTGAGTATAGCAACACAAGTACCCTCCACCACCCTTTCATCGACCGTCGTGGGAGCCGCTAGCGTGTGGCTCAGTCGACACCTCCGCCCCCGGGCGCTAGGAGATTGATTGGCCATCGAATCCTCCTTCGTACCTCCGGTCGGGGACTCTCTTTGTCCATTTGATTCCTGGCGCTATGTGATGTATGCTTTGTTCGGGATTGCTTACATACAGAGCCTTAACCTGCACATCGTCTATGCTTCACCGTCACCCTGTGCCCCTGTCTCTTCCCCGATCCGATCCAGGCCTCTCCCGGACTTGCTGCCTGGGCTCGATGTCATCAACGGGGCATCCCTGAACCTGTGGCTTGAGCTTCTCGTGTTCCTGCGCCCGCAATCGGGGTCTCGTGTCCCCTTCCCCCAAGACATGCACGAGTCACTTGCACGCCGACGAGAAACCCCCGGCACCCGCGCGGTGCAACCAGAAATAGCTTATCGTGTGAACTTGCAACGGGAGCCACCCATTTTAATGGGTTGGACGGTATCGGTTTGATTTGGCGCTGTGCCTGGGAGTCCGCGCCTGTTCCCTAAGGAATCCCCCGCAATCGCACCCCAGGCGTCTCCCGAGACAACTCCCAGAATACTCGAAACACTCGCCTAGGGCAACTTGAGACGAACCTGGAGAGCCGCAAGGACGATCGTGATGCCATGGTTCCATTTTTGGCGATCAAAACATCCCGTGTTTCTGTTTTTTTAGGAACTCCTAAGAATAGTCGACGATCCCCAACCTAGAGGGTTTGGACCCCAAACTCGTAGACGGACTCGGACTATCGCGAGCCTCGACTGCTCAGCCGCAAGCCACACCCTCACCACCGTCATCCAGTCTGACAGGAGTTCTGTTTCTTGTTTCCTCAACGATACTCAGCCCCAGCCACAAATCCTGCTTACTATCGTCATGGTTCGCGACACCAGCCACCGCTCCTCTTCCTCTCTCCTTCTCCCGGGCTCTTGCTGCCGCTGCTTACTTCCCCCGGGCGTCATGCACCTTGCCCTCGGAACGCCGACTCTCGATCCTTCTGCCAGGGGCAACCAGGGGTCGATTGATGACGAGGACGGCCCTTGGTTTGCGCGACGACAGGCGCGCTCGACTCTCTCACATTCTCTCACAGTCGATTGTCTGCCTGGGAGGCTTCTACCAATTGCTGTCCTCACTCTGCAGGTAATCTGGCTCTCTATGCCTGGCCCGTGCGCAAGGCATACAGTATCCCCCCCCTCTGGGGGAATCTGAGACCTCCAGAGACCATCTCGCGATCTCGCGATATCGCGCAACGGTTATTATTTGATCACCAGGTTGCAATACGCGAATAAACGCAACACTCGGGCGACAATGGCACCGTGCCAGACATTTGGTAACTGTCTTGCTGACGGAAGGCACTACCGACTTCCACCCGTGTCAGTCTATATCTCAGACCGTCATTCAACAGCCCAGCCGGGCTAGCTCAATCGGTAGAGCGTGAGACTCTTAATCTCAAGGCTGCGGGTTCGACCCCCGCGTTCGGCTATTCCTATAAAAAAACCTCGAGATTTCTTTTTTGCCTGCCAAATTTTTTGTGTTTGTGGTTCCCGTTTGCTACGAGGACCATGAGTGGCTGTGTCGTATCTAAAAGACCCACCACCAGTGGATCGGGCCGGGATGCGACGAACTGATAATCCGCGAACAAACAGGGACGTGGTCGCCTACCAGACAAACGCCAATTACGTGGTCAGATCCCACGAGTACGTCAGGGGCAGATTTTCTCAAAGCCAGAAGTGTGGGTAAAAAAGCCGAAATCGTTGGAAGCAGGATTGATGCCTGCGCGTGTGGCTAGTGACCCGGTCCAAGCGCAAGGCAGAACGTGCCATCCCTGATCAGGCATGAAAGTTCGGACTTTCAGCTGAGCAGGGTCGTGTGCATTTGCCAGGACAGGCATCGGTCCATGATGACTGCAAATCCGGTCTCGTCTTGATTCATGGAGTCTCGACTACTCGATAAGTAATTAGAGTATTCGGGGCGAAGAAGCGTGGAGCGGGCCGCGTGCATGAAGATTCACTCCTCCGTCCTGGCTACTAATGTATGCCTCGAGAGTGGGGGCCGCATCGCTCATTCTGCATGATCCAACTACATAATAAAATATCATAGAGTAACTGACTCGCGTCGCACATCGAATTATGAGGTATAACAAAATCGATCGAGCATGGCTCGCCCACGTTCATTCCACTTATACAATCTTACCCGTCTCCACTTCATATATATATCCCGTAATGGGAACATCTAGCACAAGAGGACTTTCCTTCAATAGCTGAATGTCGTCAAGTACACTCTGCTTGAGGTCACTTAAAGGCAAAAAAGCAATGTGATCAGTATGCTGATGCAAATCAGCTCGGATCTTGCCACGAATCACCTCGTCGGTGAAGGTGAGCATCCCGCAATCCGTCTATCACCACATGACCCGTGTTAGTATTGTGAGGAAGACAGCAGAGAGCACCACGCCAGGTGCACCAGGGTAATGAGTCATCCATCCGAGCTCAAAACATACGTGATGGACAATTACGATTTCTCGGGTCCCCAGGAGCTGCTGAGAAATCACGAGACTACGTAGCGCATCCGTCACCCGACCACCCGCATTGCGAATAACTTGAGCGTCGCCTTCTTCGAGGCCCAAGGCACGGGCAGTGAGACTTCTAGCAAGAAGGCCATGTCGTCATATCGTCATGGGCGTAGAACGTACCAAGACGTGCATCCATGCATGTTACGATCGCAACTTTCCTAATATGGATCCGAATAGATAGAGTTGAATTTCTCTGAAAAGATATCCGTTTTCTAAATCCGTTCAAGAAGAAAGGCTGTTATACCGTTGCGGGGGCAGTGCCAGATCCCCTTTCGTAAAAGAGGCCGCACATTGTGCGTTGGCGGCTTCGACTTCTTTCGCGACGGACATCGTGGATATGATACTCAACCTGACGGATATGGAATATATGAAATGTACCTTGCGGACAGAGCCACAATATAAGTGAGACGAACTCCCCCGCCTCCCCCTCTCTTTAGACGTGGTCAATCCTGATGAGGTGGTCTTTGGTTACCTTGACTTGCGATGGCGTGATGGAGCTCGTACAGGTCGCCAGACAATGACAATCGGAAAAGGAGTCTTGGGCTTCTTTTTGAGATTTAAGTGTCTTGATTTGTCCCCAAATTGTCTATACCCAGGTAGTGTTACTCTTGACATGTCCTAATCTAAACGACAGTACTGGATTTCTAGTCAGTGTTGACGGAGGCGACGGTTCAATACAAGCTCCAAAGCACGACACGCTCCTCCTCATTCTCAATTGATGCAGGGGCACCCCGATAACCAAATCCAGAAGCCACTCTATAAATTGTCTAGAACTCCTTCCGAGCAACCTGCTCGCACAGCTCACGCAAAAGACCACCCAGCCATTCAAAATCGCTCTTCTCCAAGAATATTTGTCCACTTAACCGCGTCCACAGCCACGAGCCATGCCGGAATGCAGGCACAAACGTGTCATGTTTCTCTATCAAGGTCCGCTGAATAAAGGCAACAGCAAGCGGGGCTTCGTCGGACGGCAATGTCACCAAGGCCCCCTCGACCGCCTTATCAGCCACAGCGATAGGCAAGCGCACTGTCGTCAACGCACACTGGCGCATCCGACTTTGCTCCCCAGGCTTCAGGTCCGGTTCCTGGAGGACATCGGTCCCAAGGATACCAGCGACCGCGTCGGCACCCTCATTAGAAACCTTTTGGCAGTACGACATGATGGCTTCCTCGCCGCCGCAAACTTCCCGACGAAACTTCAACGCGGCCTCCACGCACAGGTATGCGGAGTCGTCGCTGGTGGCGACGAATTCGAATAGTTCCTCGAAGGGCGTTTTCGTTTTCACTTCTGACGGATCTTGGAGGACCGATGCGATGGTCTCCGCCGATCCTGCTGCTGGAATAAAACCCCAAGACGTGGGAAGAGTGCTGCGCATGAAATGCTGATTGCGCTTGGGCACGTAGAGAATCGCGGCACTGCGGGGAGTATACAGCCATCTGGATAGAAACATTAGTATGGATATGACAGCATAATAAAGGCAGAGCTGTATTCATACTTGTGGCAATTAGAAACGAAAAAGTCCGGCTGAAGCACATCCATATCTAGAGGAATCTGTCCAACACCGTGGGCACCATCGATCACGCTGAGAAGACCTTCTTCCCGACAAACAGCGACGAATCTCTCAAACGGGAAACGTACGCCCGGATTGCTGACAATAGTATCGAAGACCGCAGCACGCACGTTAAGGCCATCATCACGAGCACGACGGACCGTCTCGCGGAACCGGCGCTCTAGCTCATCTTCGGCGATGGGATACTGGAAGCTCACTTTCCGGGCCTCAAACGGACTGTGTTCCTGCATGGAAACCACGCCCTTTTCAACGGCTCCATATACAGGTTCGAAATAGATGAGAGCTTCGCCTACCTGGAAGTTCAGGTTCCATAGGACCGTCGCGACGCCTGTTGTGGCATTCTTGACGAAGGCACACTCGTTTCTGGGTGCATTGATGATCTTCGCAACGTCTCCGCGAGCTTTGTCGAGGAGCACTGAGTGTTGCTTCCGGATATAAGGGTCCGGTCGCAAATCTGCCAGATCCAGGAATGCACGTTGCGCATCCCGGACGGCGGCTGGATGTGCGCCAAAGGAACCTAATCGTCGAGTGTCAGCTTATACATTCATATACTACCTTTTTCTCTCTCTTTCTCTCTCTCTCTCAAGTAAGAGCTGTGTACAGACCGTGGTTGAGACTCTTGTATGAGGGATCAAACAGCCAATGCTTCAGCATCGGTTTGCCGAACGGAGTAGGCTGGATGAACATGGCGGAGGAGGTGGAATATCGCTGAAAATGCAGATGGATGATATTGCAGAAGCTCGCTGGAAATTCAGTGAAGAAAACAGGGGGTAGCAGCGGAGCTGGATCTAAGCGGCGTTCACGTGAGTCAGATTTGATCACGAAGCTTGGGAGGGGTATGTTACCCTCCGCCAAAATTGACTCATATGGTTCTTTCCGGGCCAATGGCTGTGGGGCCTCTGCATGGGATCTCCACAAGTACCACGCCCTTCGGGTCTGGGTCTCGATGTCACACGGTGGATTCTCCCCGCTCACAAGCCGTCAATCGAAAACCCGACCACTTGGTTAAGCACCCGACAATAATGTCGCTGTCAAAGGCACAATTGTAGATGCCATGCCCCACTTGACTGGAGTCGGGTGGGACGCCCTAAGGGTCCATTGATCGAAACACATGATTCTCTTTGGAGAATCGGCAATGGTCAGTTAACAAGTATGAAGTCATGGAGCACGGCCGAGGCCTGAGTTAAGAGTGCAAGACATTATTGGTTATCTTATTATTAATATCATCAATGGAGGATATTCATATCAACATCGGGATTCAAACTGCCACTGGTTACGCGGGAGCGCCATGTATAAGGCTTTCTCGACATCTTTTCGTTTGAAGGCCGGACCAAAACCAACACAAATGCATCGCATTGAAAGATCTGGAAATGTGTCAGCAAATCGAACAAGATCTTACAGCTGAAATGACCCACAGTTTATAAAAGTAGACAGGTTGACCCCAGCCGTAAAGTCCCTGGATGGACTCGAGTGCGCGGAGTCATCCTCCATGATATTGATTCCCCTCTGTTGCAGATACCTTTGCACCCCGCTAGCATCCATATATTCCCCAGGTTCGGATTCAGTGACAATCTGCCACGACCGAGAGGTGCGTGCAAGCGCCTCCGGGGAAAAGCTAGCCCTCCTGTTATACAGAGTATTGAGCACTTTGGCCTTTTGATCGACCAATTCTCCCACCTCATCGTAAATAGTATTATAAAATGACGAAATCATGCGATTGCGCTCGTTTAACGATAGCGGCGCCCCGAAGATTTCCGTGATCTTTGAAGTATTATTGGGGGTATTGACTAGCAGCCAATATCCGTTCTGGCAGCATTGTCGTACAAGTCGGTGCGAGACGGTTCGCTGTTCTTGATTCATGAGACTGTTTGGGGATACAATTGGTGGGGGACTCGGTAATGGCGAATCTATAGTCGAGAATGGAGTCGGAGAGGAGTAGACGATCCCGAATGGGAGAATCGGCTGATCTTGGATCGGCGGCGTTGGCGGTAGTTGTGAGCATTGGGTCAGTGGATTTAATGGGGATGGGAACAGGTCTTCAGCAAACGAAAGATTCCCCGACTGTACTATCTGTGTATCAGGATTCAAGTTGGTCGCGGGAGTCTCGCATTTGCTGCGGTCGATCTCCACGAGAGCATTGGCCAGCGTTTGCTGTTCGGGCTCGTCGCATCCTTGTTTCGCCAGCGCCACGCATTGTTGAGTGATCTTCTGTAGAGCGGCCGTAACTCTCGGATGTTTCTCTAGCAATTCCGCTTCGAGGAGGATATTGCTAAACGAGAGGAATGACTGGCTGAGCTCTTCGATCCCCGCCTCGAGCTCTTGAACGCGGCTCTGTAGATTGGTGATCGTAGTCTCCTTGCGTTTGCGATATGCTTGCTGTGCGACACGGAGCTGTTTGCGACGCCTCTGAAAAGGACCTCATGAGTAAATTGGCATGTGTTCCATTGAGCACCAATCGCCTACCTCCGGGACTTGCAGGTCGTCAGTGACGGTTCGGGGCCGACCTCGTTTGCGAGGGGCGGGCGATGCAGCTCTTGCTTCGGCCATCGGTGGGTCTTTTTCCAATAGTACAAATGAGGGAGGGGAATCTGGTGCTTCTCTAGCGGATCAGGACCGATGTAATGGAGATGAAGTTGAGATCGCAAACGGGCGTGACAGGGGACAGCGGGTTTATTCATCAGGCCAGCCCGCGGTCGGAGTGATGAATAATTGAAAAATCCCCCATTGCCGCCCAGCGCCACCCGACCACATTATTAATTGAAGGGACGCTGACCAATGTATCTGCATACACTGCATTATTCTCGTGAGTGATTTGAATCTATAACAGATCTGAACTTATTCTAAGCATAGAGATTTAGGCCGCTGGGTAGAATACCAGCCAGTGACTAAACACAAGCTTTCAATCTCAATAGTACTATGCACTTCACATCTAGCGAAAACATGGTATTTTCTCGAAGAAATCAACAGCTACCAGTTTCTACTACCTATTTAGGGGCTTCAAATGTATAAAGAATTTGGTCTTTACCGGGCCAGTGATCCTGCCTTTGAATATCTTCCAAGATGGCTTCCTTGCCCAACCTAGTACCATGGCCATGGTCAGGAGTCGGATCGATAGCCCAAAATGAATTGTACCCAACGACGAGGAGCCAGAGGTACTAAACCAAGTGGTTGTGGGTCGGAGCTTATGCTTGTCATTCCTACAAACAGTTACTACAATTCATAGACAGGAGAGTCCCCGGAGCTCTAATTGTAACGTCAAGCGACATGCTCATGCTACTAGTAATGCACCTTGGTGTTGGCGGAGACAGAAAACGCGCCAAGCAGGCAGCCTTGATTTTAATTTTCAAAGAATAACTGAGCTCGCTCGGTGAAGTGACATCTCGCTGATTACCTTTAGCTAATCGTCGATCGCCGCACCCGTCGGATTGAACCATCAGCACGCTGTGCTGCTCCCCAAACCGACTTTGGACCCCTTGAAGGTCAGTGGCTGTGACGAATGGGACTGTAAGACTATCCAACGCAGCATCTCCCATGGAAGAATTGGGGTAAACCGAGTTCCATGCTTCCTACTAGTTTCTTTGTGTTACGGACCCTGCAAATAACTAGTTATGAGGGGCGACGGCTTACTGATAGGCAACTCCTAACCAATCATCCAAAGGAGGCGCGCACAAACCGCTGACGTCACGTGCCAGACAGAAACACTACGGGACCCTCAGACACGCAACACGCTAAAATGTCACGTGATATATCATCGTAGCGGTAGGATAGGAGTCCCAACGATAGGATAGGAAGGACTGGATATATAAGGACACTCATTCACGCACATGTATTTAGTTCTTCGCGATTAATTGCATATTGTTACTTGTATCTACTGTTGATTCATCTCACCGTTTGATATAAAGCCAAAAATCCTACAAGTAGGGGAGCTCTTCGCGTTGACCTACTTGGCGCACTCGACTGGCGCACCTCTGCAAGCATTCTAAAGACCCGAGTCCGTGTAAGGCTCAGCACAGCAACGGTACGGTTGCGGACAGGCTTGGAGTTACGCATACTTAAGGCAAGTATCACCCAGGAGCACTCAGGTTCACCGCGCCCAGTCAGTAGCACGTAACACACAAGTGCCTTGAAGTTCGCAGATCTGGTACTGATTAGAAGTGACTACGCAGGCGGCATTGACGAAAGAGAAATCAAGACGCGAATACGATGGGAGGATTTCTATATGAAAAGGGGTCAAAATCCAGTATGTAGACACCGAGTCAGCTCGAAAGGAATCGAAAGCCTCGAAGATTCTAGTAGAACGCGATTTCTGCCCTCCCTCTTGCTGGTATGGTTGCTAGCTTGCAGTGTTGCTGCTACTGACAACCAATGCAAATGCGCAAGCAATGCCTCACGAGCAAACCCAAACAGAACACTCTCACTAATTAGTAGGGATCCCTCGGAGTCCCCAGTCTACAATGCAAAACACCCACAAGTGTGGATTTTCCAGGACCTAGTAGTTGTTTCTTTTAGCTAAATAGTGTTGGGTAGAGTACTGGTCACATCTCTTGCCAGCCCCGGCCACATTGGAGGCCCAAGTAGCTACGTTGAGCACGAGGAAATAATGGGGGACATGTGCAAAAATACACTTATTCTGCTAAACATATGGTGGTAGTAGAGTACACGTAACGAGGTAGGCTACAGGACAAAGAACGCTAGTGAAAACACAGGCTCATGTCTTCGCAGAAACAAAATAGCTGATGCTCGAATGATCAGAGAACAAATGAGTAACTTAGTATCTCCTCGCTATGGAACACGAAATGTGCACACCATTACCGCTTACCCTTCTTGCGGGGAGCGACGACCTTGAAAGCTGCATTGCTCTCCTCCTCGCGGGCCTGGGTCTGCGAAGTAGCGGAAGAGGCAGAGCCCTTCTTGGCCACCTCACTCCAGCCACCGCCGTTCTTCGATTCGGCAAAGGCGCTGGGCGAAACTGGGTCGACAACACCCTTGTCGGCAAGCTTGCGACGACGAATGAATTCATCCGCGAAGCGACGGCCATCCAGGGTTTGGGAGTTCGCATAGACAGAGTCGGAGATAATCTCAGCCTCGGCAGGCAGGAAAAGCAGCTGCTGAACAAAGTCATCGACATTGATGTTGCTGTTCAGACCCTTGCCCAAAGCCAGCTTGGCCCACTTGGTGAACTCTTCAACGGCGCGGTTAGGGTTGGACTGAGGGATGCTGCCCACGGTCACGTTACGGGTGGTGACGGTAGGACGAGGCTTGGAGACGGCAGCCGGGGCAACCGGAACAGTTCCGCTGGTCGAACGAGGGCCTAGAGGAGCGGCAGGGGGAGCCTTAGGCTTGCCACCAGCACCTACAGTAGTCCAGGCGCCAGTGGTAGCAGGGACCGCACTGGCAGCAGTGACGGGGGCAGGTGCCTTGCTAGCAAGGTCGGCATAGCGCTTAGTAGCAGAGGCGGGAGGGCTGGGGGTCGCCATCTGAGCAGCAGCCGCTTCGGCGGCAGCTTGTCGCTTCTTGCGAGCCTCCTCTTCTTTCTGGATTTGAGCCAGGGTCTTCTTGGCAGTGCTAGGAGCGGGGGCGGGCTGAGCCTTGGTGTTCCAAGGCGAGCCGGAGGTAGGTGTGGCCGGGGATCCAGCACTAGCCCAGTTGGCCGATGAGGGCAAGCCAGGGACAACCTGAGCTTGGGCCTGGCTAAGACGCTCTTGCTCAGCGAGCAGCTGAGCACGGCGAGTGGCGGCAGCAACCTCCTCGCGCTGAGCAGCAGTGCGAGCTTCGGCCTCCTGGATCTCCTTCAGAGAGGGGCCCTTAGGCAGCTCGTGGGCATCCTTAGCCCAGGGAGCAACGGAGGTAGCAGGTGCATCAACTGGGGTCTGAGTCTGAGAGCGGGAGCCGGCAGCCAAAGATTCAGCAACATTCTGGCGGTTGCGCTGGGCGGCTGGCGCGGGCAAAGGCGATGCGGACGGTGGCGGAGGGAAAGGTTGCGGCATAGCGCTATCCTTGACCCCCCAGGCATTTTCAGGTGCAGCCTGGGCCTGCTCATTTTGCTCCTGCTGTTGACGTTGAGCGGAGGCGGCCTTTTGAACTTGCTGGGAGAGGGTGAGAGTAGGCTCGTCAACTGGCTCTTCAGACAGAGCCTCGGTGGCCAGTTCGGCGCTGGTAGCAGCAGCTTCGGCTTCCTGGGCAGACGCGGCAGCAGGGTGGGTGGGCAGGCCATCAGCGGTGCGCATACCAAAGTCACCCTCCTGGGCTCTCAGAGCGTGGAACTGGCGCAATCGCTCCTCGCGAGCTTGCTGATCGAAGGGGTCATTCGCATTGGCCTGGTCAAATTGCTCTTGCTCTTGCTGAAGGGCAGCACGGTCCTGGAGCATGGACGAGACTTGCTGGGTGTGCAAGAAGTTGTCAGGCTGGCGACCGGCGAATGAGCTAGATCCACCAAAAGCGAAAGGATCCTGGCGGCCAACATTCAAACGTTCCAGAAGAGCCGGGAGTTGATCTTGGCTACCGAGGTCGGTTCCGAGCATTCCAGGTCCGACATTTGGAAGACCACCCTGGCGGATTGGCGCAGCAGCGTCAAAGAAGCCGGAAACACCACCTTGCTGCTGTTGTTGACCCTGCATTGGAGCTTGGATCGGCGAAGGCTGGTAGCCCGACGGAGAAGCAATACTTCCGAAGCTAGGCTGGCTGTGAAGACTGTGGGCACTGGTCTGGTGCTGCAATTGGGGTTGCATACTCGACGGTCCGATTTGCTTCATGATGGCTTGCTGCTGGGCGAGGTGTTCCTTTTGACGGGCCATGAGGTACTGCTCCTCCTGCTTGCGTCGCTCGAGTGCATTCTGCTGTTCGGCAGTCAAAGTAGTTCCGAAGCTCGGGAAACTTCCTGGGAATGGAGGCTGGGCAGTGCCAGCAGTGTTGGGGCCAGTCCATTGTCCCGGAGCAGGTTCGGGGCCGTGGGGAATGCCAATCTGAGGCACAAGGAAAGGCTCTCGCGAGTTGCCAATACGTCGGACAAGCTGAGCCAAAGGCTCGAATTCAATGTCCTCGAGCTTCTTTATTTGGAGATCGGGACTGAAAAATCCAGCCTTGAACCAATCATGCATCTCAAGGCCAGTCCACGGTCCTTGAACATTGCCCTGTGGGTCGCGGTAGATCCAGCGCATACGATCAGGCATCACCATGCACCGCTGCTGGGCGGAAGGCACGTTTCCTCCAGAGCCTTGAACTGACGCTGCTCCATCAAGATTAATGCCTGGTGGCAGGGAACCAACAGCCGAGACAGGAGTCTGTGAAGGATTCGATCCAGGCTTGCTCGCCTGGCCGGGCTTTTCTGTCTGGAAGTCCGTCTGACGAGCAAAATCTTCCAAGCCAGTAGACTCCGGACGACCTTGCTCATCCTGCATGGTGGAAGAAAAAAGAGCCCCGAGTTTGCTAGATCGACCGATGCTGGTGGTGCCAGAGATACCCGCGTGAGGGCTAAAGAGACCTCCACCTCCAAGTGTAGACAGGCTTGGAGACTGAAGATCACCCATAGAACCGAAGATAGGGTCGCCGAAACCGCTAGCAAAAGCCGAGCGTTCGCGAGTGGGTGTGCCGATAGCACCGCCAGAAGACCAGGCAGAGCTGCCGCCAATGGAGGGAAGACCGCCCAAGCCACCAAGACCTGAGAAGTTGCGGTTCGCGTTGGCGCTAGAATTTTGACTGCGGTCAACGGAAGGAAGGTCCATGCCCGAGCCGACGCGTCTCATTGAACCAAAAGGATTCGAAGAATCTCGCAATCCGCTCAGACCAGGTTGCTGAGACTGCTGGATGTCGCCCGATTCTTCAGTGTCCACGTCCTCTGCGTCTGCGGTACGATCGTTGTGAGGACTTTGGTAAGGGTTCGTGTTGGTTGGGCTCGTGGGTTCGTGTCCCTGGAGCAAGCTGGGGGTAGGGTTCCGAGAATTCTCCTGACTCTGCATCAATTCTCGGAAACCCGGAATGCTTGAGGTCATGCCGAATGCGCCAAAGCCAAGGTCCGCCTGGGATGGGGCCTCAACATCCTGAGATCCGCCCAGGGCGGCGCTACCACTGCGAGGCTCATCGAAGGGATTGGTTTCGCTGCGGCTGGCACGGGTCTTGACCGCCTCTCCCCACGGCGACTGCGAGCGCTGGCCACCATCGTCTTCGGTCAGACGTTCCAGGCTAGACAAGTTCTTTTCCTTGGCGGAACCTGCGATATCCTCCGAACTATCCTTGGAGAGCAGACCCTTAAAGCGACTTTCTCCACGCAGGCTTCCGTACCCGGGCTTCTTCTCTGTAGGTGCCTGGGCGGTGTTCGATCCAAGCGAAAAGGCACCGAATGCGCCCATGGGAGAGAAGTTGGCATTGTGCGAAGCAGAGCCCCATGGGGAACCAGGACCCCCGCCTCCACCAACAGCGGTATTCAGAGGGTTCGTAGAGCTTCGTTTCAGAGAATTGAACGGAGAGGCCGTTTCGGGTGCCTCCTTGGCCTTTTCATCCATCTTCTGATCTCGGAAATCGGTCTTTCGACGCAGGAGGGCCGGGGGAGGAGTGGACGTATTCGCCTCGTCGCGGAAAAAACGCGGGTTGGATCCGGTAGGAGACATTGGATTACCGATGGAATCACCAGTCTCGCGACGTCTTGCGCCTGGGCGGTTGGCGGTTGGGGACGAAGTATTGTAGTTATTAATGTGACCCTGAGTGTAGGAGACGGAGGACTTGCGTCCACCAGTTCCGGGTCCCGCGTTTTCTTTCTGGGCGTTCGTGGGTGGCGGCTTGAGGGGTGAGTTGACGGAAGCAGAGAACATCTGCAGAGTTTTAGCATTCGATCGCGCAGAACCCACCACACACACTAGGAATGAGATGACCAACCTCTTTCTCGCCTTCCGACATATCAGAGAGACCCAACGGTTCGGCCTGTCCACCGTGATCCCAGCACACCTCAGGCCCCGCGGAAGACTTGTGGTCATCCCGCTTTCCCCACGCTCCGTTCACTGGAGCTGACACCATGTGAGGGTCCCAGTCGGCCACGAAATAATCCTCCACGTTCTTGCCCAAGGATCCATTCTCCCGCTGTGCTTTGTACAGCTCTAGAAGCTGCTCCTTGGAGTATCGGGCCTCTCCGTTTCGCATGGCGTTAGAGGTATTTGAGCTCAAGTGGGGTGGGATGTATGTCCCGGAGGTCGTAGATGTCGGAACAGATGCAGTTTGGCCACTCTCTCGGATGTGAGAAGGGTTGGTAGCGACGGACGGGCGGCGGAAGGTCTGGGTGGCTCCGTTCATACGGGATCGAGACCTGGATGGACATTCAAGGTTAGCATCGGATATCTCGCTTTCGCATAATTGACGGCCGGTCTCGCGATGCAGAGAACTGGAGGGGCCAGATCGAGCAGGAGATGCCGGGACACGGGGAGGGAAGCAGGGCACGATTGCATACCATTCTCCACCAGCTCCTCCATCCCCTCTCCGACTGGGGTCCTGGATGTTGCCAGCGGCGGCCGAAGCAAAACTCGATGGAAGTGGCGTAGGCATTATGGATGGTAGGCAGTTTCTGGACAGATGGGGATCCTCCACAAAACAGCTGATTCGGAAAGTGGTTGTCGCGAGACTTGTGTGGCGGATGGAGCGAGAGTGTGTGATGCGAACGGGGTTGGGAGAACGCAAGACACGAAAAGTGTAATCGAAGAAAGGCGGGCTGAGTGAAGAGACAGCAAGATGCTAGTCAATCGACGAACCGATCAAGGTTGAGTGAGAGAATGCAGAATGCGAGAGCGCCAGAGGAACGAGGTCGAGAAAGAGAGATCGAGGTTCGATTTCGCTTGGGTTTCCTGGAGCAAAAATGATTTAGCGGGGGCGTGGCAGTAGGCGCGCAGAGGCGTAATTACCGCGTATTTATCGCGTGGACACGACGGTCAGAGCAACAATACAGGTATCAGTGTTATTTAAATTACCCACCACCAGTGCCAGCCACTTGGCGGCGGTACAGGCTACACACAACACACACAGCTCGGCCCCGGCCACTCAAGTACTCAGTACCTCAGGCGACGGTGGTCTACAGGCTCGTCACTTTATCTCACACGAACGAAAAAATGGATTACTGTTGGGAAGGGGGTCATCTGACAGCTATGATATTATGCGGAAGTTTCTATTCATCGTGAGACATCTTTTTTTGGGGCGCGTCTGCCTCTCTGGATGGTGTGGTGGTGAGTCCCAAAGAGAGTGGGCACGCTGGCATCTATGCATGCGGTGGCTTGAGGCGGTGGCAGTACGCGGGTCGACGTGTAGGGCGGACTCGCACCACGCAGCGTGGCTGATTGGACGATCAGCTGCTTCCAAACGGTTAAGGTTGGAATGGTGATGAAGGTCGGCTTTTCGACGTGTCTTCTCCACTGGCAGTTTGCTGCTCGATCGCTTGGGTTCTTGTGTGCTCTAGGTCTTTGGCTCCCACGACTATCTGCATTGGCAGAACACACATCTGCATAACCAAAAGGAAGGAGGTGGTTACTTGCATCTGCATTCATCCATCCCTCCCTTCCCCAGCCACAACGCTCCATGATACTGAATAATGCTAGGCTGGGGCTTTTTGTTTAACCCTTGCCCTGCAGAGCTCCTTATCTGAATTTGGACCAGAGTCCATGTAGTTAGATTGGAAACCCTGCTCTTTCACCCACCTTCCGCGATGGGGCTCTCATTCGTGATCGTCACCGGTCCCAAGTTTGCTTGATTGCGTGGCCCGTTGGTTATGTATGCATCTGCCTGGGTTTCCAGAATCATCATGTCGACTGTCGAAGTTGGTCTGCACGTGTAGACTAGAAGGATTTATTTCATTTCATTTCATTTTATTTTTATCTTTTCTTCCGCGATTTTTATAGGCCCCTTAGCTCTTCAAATACCACCGTCAGTCCTCTTTGCCGCTTCCCTTGTTTTATAAAAGCCAAGCAAGCCAGTTGAAAAATAAAGGGTCTTCGTCTGCTCATCCCATCCTTTATCCTATCAATACTTCGGGCTCTGGTCCAGATAATACATCTCCATTGCTGTTGACAGGCAAGATCTAGGGCCATCCTCAAGACGCCATGAAACTCAATGGCCGTCGATGTATGAACATCCCCGACTATTTCTTGGGCAAGTCCTATCACAAAGTTGTGTCTCGGGGCGAACAAGTCAAACCGAACCTTTATTTCGTCCGTGAGGGTGACGCCTGTGCCTTTGCCCGGCATCTTCCACGTTCTCCTCCCGCCAAGAAAGCAGCTCGTGGTCATTGCGAGATTCACGGCAGTCACTCAACCCCTGCACCACCTGCTGCATCCAGTATCAGCGATCGTTCTAATAACGACATGCCAGAAAAGCACTGCTGCGGCGCATGCTTCGTTGAGCCGGAGACGGAGACACCTCAGCGAGCCCAGAAGCCCAAAGGCAACTCTAAGGGTGACCAAAAATCTCCTGGTGCAACAAACCCGCCATCTCCCTGCGCCTGTCCGCTGCACTCGAACAATGGAAAGACACCACCTCCGCTGACTCACTCGCATTATAATCCTCTGAGTTTAAATCTCGCCAGTCCGCTAGCCTGCCATCAGGCTCATTGTCACCACTGTAACTCCCCAGTTCCCACCCTGGCCGCTACTTGCTCCCATATACGGGTTGAGGTTCCTAAAGAGGACGTCCCTCTGGCAAAGTGTACTTGCAACCAGACAACGCCTTCTCCTGTGCCAGATAACCAGCTTAATTCTTGTCGCTATGCGGATGACAGCAACTATGATAATTGCTGTTCTTCTAATTGCCAGTTTTCCGATGACTCGGTATCTGAATCTTCAGTTGGCGCGGTTATCGGGGACACGGGAGACACAGGTGAACCCCAGTGTGTGTCATGTCATCACTACCAGATGGTGTGCTGTTGTCGACATGGCATGCTCTTTCAGACCGGATGAGGTGATATTAAATGTAATGTTCACATTTAAGATGTACTTCGAGGGTCGTTCTGTGGGTCTTGCATTGGTGAAGATGGAAAAAGTACCCGGTGGAGAACAAGCTTTCTGTAGCTCTTGAGAATAGTATGCGTGGAATCAACATTAAAATGGTTGGCGAATTTGGAAATCAACCCCTTCTATGAATGTGATGTTACAGAAATTATCGTGGTATGACCACCATGTGATTTAATATATATCTGGGCGTGTCGTTCTTCGGGTATAATTTACCACGTAATATGTGATCACATCGTTTTCTACGCCGGGAGAACGGAATAACCTAGTGGCCCGAAATCAAAAGACCAATATGAATCATTCTCTGAACTATCACATTGAAGTTGCATTGAACTTTGATCTTCCACAAGGTTGATAAGTTCAAATCATGTGATACATCATACCGAGTATTGATGCGGTGTGGCTCACAGGTGCTACCATGGCGCTGGACAGGTCTGACAGACAGCATCACTATCAGTTCTTTCAAGCGCAGATAACTACCTAAAAAACACATCAAATCGAGCGACAGTAGTCGAGTGGTATATGCCAGGAACGCTTGGTTTCCCCAATTGGAGACGGGCATTCTAATGGCGATCCCGTCAATTACTAATGCAGGCTGGTCACCCCTGGACCGAGGTCCCCCAGGCAAGAGAAGTGTGAACAGCAGTTCGCACCCCGAGGCCGCGACCATTGGAACATAAGCTTCACTCCCCATAAATCTATGACATAAAACCCATCTGTCATCATCTAGCCATCACTGCTTTCCATATAATTTGTGATCCGGGACCAGCTTCGTCACTGCAACATCCCAGATCAACCCGACTTGATTCCTCGGCTATCGATAAGCCAGCTATCCCCGCACGATTTGACAGCAACTACTATTCAACGTTGCGCAATTGTCCCTCCAGGTCAACGCACTCACTCCAACCGCGACACAATGTCCAAGGCCGTGTACATCTCGACCATTGATGGCAAACCCGGCAAACCGGGCCAGGTCTATTACCCGCTCACCGTGCGCACCCTCCCCCAGCCTTCTCCGCAGGGGCGCGAGCTACTTGTGAAGCTATCAGCTGCTTCACTGAACCACCGCGACCTCTTTCTCCGACAGCACCTCTACCCCGGCGTGACATTTGATGTTCCTCTCTTGGCAGATGGCGTCGGAACCGTTGTCAGCGCTGGACCTGGCGTGTCCGACCCGAAGAAGTGGAATGGAAAACGCGTCATCCTGAACCCAGGTGTTGGCTGGAAAGATTCACCTGATGGACCCGAGGAAGCCACCGGATACCGCATTATGGGAGGCACCAAAGTATATGACAAGGGTACTCTTCAGGAGTACATTACCATCGACGAGTCAGAGGTCGAAGAAGCACCGGCCCACCTCTCTGATGCGGAGGCGGCTGCCCTTCCTCTAACCGGCCTGACTGGATGGCGAGCCCTGGTCTCCAAGGCCGGAGAGATAAACTCGAGTAACGGTGCTGCTGTGCTGATCACCGGCATCGGTGGTGGTGTTGCGCTGATGGCCTTGCGTTTTGCGGTCGCCCGGGGCGCTCATGTCTATGTGACGAGCTCTAGCCAGGAGAAGATCCAGAAGGCAATTGAGCTCGGCGCGGCTGGCGGCGTGAGCTATAAAGAGGACGGTTGGGATAAGAAGCTGCTGGGTATGCTGCCTGGTGGAAAGAAGAACTTCGATGCTATCATTGACGGAGCTGGCGGCGATGCCATCGAGAAGGGTGTTAAGTTACTAAAGGTAAGAACATCACGAAATAGGAGCCCTCTTAATTCATTACAAGTTAGTACATCAGTAGATATACTGACATCGCGAACTAGGCTGGAGGTGTCTTGTCCATCTATGGCATGACAGTATCCCCCAAGATGCCCTTTGTGATGCAAGCTGTTCTTAAGAACATCGATGTCCGTGGCTCTACGATGGGCTCTCGCAAGGAATTCAAGGAGATGGTGGAGTTTGTCAACGCCAAAAAGATCCATCCAGTTGTTTCACGAGTCCTGCAAACCGAAATTGATGACCTCCCGGCCATTGATGGATTATTTGAGGATATGAAGCACGGCAAGCAATTCGGAAAGCTGGTAATTGAATTTGGGAAGTCTTCTTCCGGCAGCAAGCTGTAAATATATTTACGACTACGCAACGAGACCACCACAACAGTACCTTCCACACTGCTTTGCTAGTACCAACTCCCTGGTAGTGTAGTAAAGTAGTACCCCACGCTCGGTGGGCGTGGACGCTGAAGTGAAAGGAAGGAACGCGGCGACAACCGGCTAACTGCCCATCGCTTCTTCTCCCGCGCCGTTGACCTTGACCTTGACCTTGCAACTCGGCGCACTTTCTCCTACTTCTCTCTTCTCTTCTCCCGTACACTCTTCCTTTCTCTTGCACACCTTCGTTAAACCACAGAGGGTACCTCAGGGTACCGCTCTGTATTTCGCTTTCTCAACGCAACGCGTGCCTCGTCAATTTCCATCAACTTACCTTTCTGCACAGCAAGATGCCTTTCGCCTCCCAGATGGCTCGCTACCATCTGTGCCCCCCTATCGTCCTCGTGAGCCTTTCATTGCAAAATCGAAGGAGGAATACGAGGACCTTGAAGTGCCGACACTTCGTCGTCCACGCCTGCACTCTCGCCCTGGTCCACGTTCTCGCTCCTGTGACCCTATCCTCATATCGTCTTCTGATGATGAATTCAAGACCGTATCGAAGTCTCGTCGTCTTACCCGTGCCCGTGCCCGCTCCCGCTCCCATGTCGCTCTGAAGACGGTGGGAGGATCTTCTGAGGAAGTACCGACGCCTCGCCGTCGTCCGCGCTCTCTCTCCCGTGGACGTGCCGTGGGAACAATTGAGAAAGAGATGCTTCACACTCGTGTGTGTTCGCGGCTCCGTGAGCCTACCATGGAGACCATGGAAGAATGCTATGAGGGAGTCGCATCAGCTAAGGCCCACCTCAAGGCAAGTTCCCACGCAGAGACTTGGATGGCCATTACTTTCACTGAAGGACGACGATCTCTGACCGATGTAAACAGTCTTTTGAAGTCGCGCGTGCCACCATGAAGGCCACCAACGAGGATCTCGAGGCAAAAATGTTGCAGGTTCGTCAAAAACTGGCTGGCCTCCAGCAAGATATTGCGGGGTTGTCGCATGCCGTCAGAGGAGAAATCGAGCATCCGCAAATGGATACGTGGGAAGCAAATACCCTCACCCGACTCATCGACGTTATCCACCACTGCAACTATCGTACTCTTCCTCCTCTCAGATGGCCCGAAGGCCACGAACTCGATGATTCCGATTTCGCTTATTGCACCGTCGCTCGTCGGATTGAAAGGAGAATGCTGTACCAGCTCGGACTAGGTAACGCTTACTATGACAGGTTGCGCCATTACGCCGAGGTAAGCAGGAAGCCCCAACCACAGATGACTTTGACTTTCCTTTTCTAAGCTGTTTTTATCTGCAAAGGTCGTTGCGTTTCGAAGCTCGAGCCCGTTCATGACAGAGACTGCTTTCGCCCATTGGCTGGTTGAAGAGAAGTGCAACCGACCGGGAAAGTATGGGTTCTGGGGCTTCCTTTATCCCATCTGTTATGGCCGTACCGTGGAGCAAAGTGCAGCTATGCGGGCTTGAGTGCCTCTCCTTTCACCCCTTGTTCATTATTTCCTCTCTCTTTCTTTTCTGATCTGCCAGGTTTATGTGGAGTTATCGGGGATGGGACTGGGAAAACAGCATTTCGTGTGTAAAGGGTCAAGGATTGGGGGGCTGAGGCGTAATCGCAAGCGTGCCTGGGTCGGTTTTTTTCCTGCTTGATCAATCGGTCAGCTGTCTATTCCTTGTCTCTGGGCAGCTTGATATTCAGAAAGTTCCCCTGGCTGCACAACCTATCTGCGCGGCTGCCCATCGGAGGCTTTGATGGGGGCCACGAGGCATTATACCGTAGCAGCATCAACGTGTCAAGCCATACCACAAGTATGGATGCATGCTCCTGTCCAGCGATTCAGATAGTGTCTAGCAGACCAATGAATTCTTCCTTCTCCAGAACTGAACGACCAGGATCAGCTGTTACCGTAGCATCGGCCCTAGGAAAATGAAAAGGTCTTGACCGATACGAAGGAAGTGATGATCATGTCTCTCCTCCGCTCCGCCACAGACCACGCTTCAGCCTGTATTCCCAGCGTATACTACAGTATCTACATTTTACAAGTTTAATCCGTGTAGGACTACGATGATCAGGCCATCTTACGAACACTAGCTTCCACATGGCGCGGGATCAAGTCTCAACGTCTTTTTGTGGGAGGTGAGTCCTCAGCTGAAGGACCCAGTCAGCCACTCAATAGCACGAGACAACACGACTCAACCAGGATAATGATTGTCACCGTCATAGGATCATCCAAAACATTATGATGAACACCCAAATTAAGGTCCTTGTTAGCTAAACAGAAATTGATTTTGCTCACCATCCCTAAGAATAGCTGTCCTCATAGGGCGTGCCGGATCCCTTCACCTGTCTATACTTAGGGCCGAGTGAGACAGGTCTGAACTGGAGGTCTGCACAGCCCTGCAGCGACTGGTGAGTTGGGCGTAGAGCTCGTCCAATGGCAGCGCATAGAGCCGTAGGTATCGCTGAGCCAATAATGTGACCTCACGTCGGGCGGCGTCGTGGGTCCGATTGCAGCAGCGATTCAGGGTCCCCGAGTCGTCCCGGCTCGGTTGGGTTCCGAAGCTTCGTTCGGTATGATGTCGTAGGCGTGTGCGGTATGTTGATGCATGAGGTTCCATATTGTCCAGCTGAACAGAATGGCTACTGAAGTATACTCAGGTACCGATGGAAGTAGCGTCGGTCGCTCCGTAAACGAGACACCACAGGGGATCCAATCGCTTATACTTCTTGGTCCAGTTTTAGATTTTATTTTTATTTTCTCGCTTTGCGCTTTTGCATGGCATGAACGGGGTATCGCTATGTTTTTTTGTCGTCTTAGCTTGCCTAGCGAGTAAACGCGAGCCTATGAGATGGCTGTCCGATCGAACGGTTGACAATTTGAACCAGTCTTTCCTTTTTGGTCGACTGCAGAGTGGGTATTCCAAGGCAATTGAGTTATGCTATGGGTATTGGCGAGCTGTCAATGCCGAGGTCCAAGCACCGACAAACCCTGCTGCCTGTGCCCTGGCAGCATGGTTCACGGAAAGAATTGATTAGTATCTGGGAGACTTTGGGACTGGACGCACGGTACAAGGAAAAAGAGGGTCAATGGCGTTGGTCCACTGTTTATGAGGGGGTCGTGAGGGGAGCGAGGAGAAAGAACAAGTTGGTTCCGTAGACACAATTCAAGAAAAGATGGGAGAGAAAATTTTTTGTTTAAAAAAAAAAGTGGACCATGGCACATTCAGCTCCGAAAAGGATGGAGAGCAGAGGACGGACGGGCAAGGTTGATTGGATAAGCTGGATAGCGCATCATGACGGCCCTCTCGGCGAGCCCAATCCGGTTTCGAGCAGGTATTTCCAGAGAATAGGACACTAAGTCGGAGTTAGACTGGGTCCCGAACTCCCGACCAAGCTGCAATGCCTTTACACCCATTTGCTGTTCTCTCCACTCGGTTCGGCGGAGGATCGCTTAGCGCGTGCAGGAGAGGGCTCCACCGCGAGGAATGCACCGCCATTTCCCGTTCCGCGAGCCCCCCCTATCGATCTGAGGATCCGACATTTACCACGGTACTGGGAGGCGGGAGGCCGACGACGGAGGGCCGCAAATCTGAGAAAGTGTCATTGCAGTGAGTAGGAGATGGCGTCCGCATCCTTCGGGACAGGGGTTGCTGATGCTGTCGGTACTTACGTTGTCACGATCACGCCGCGGCTTCAAACGATGGATCGCTTCAAGTGCGTTTCGACGGGTTATGCGAGTTTGGGAATGGCGGGGTGGTTTGAGAAAAGAGCCCCTCTTAGGATCAATTTGAAACGATCATACATCGGCGGCGGTTTCACGCCAGGCAGATCACAGCCGATCGGTGCGAACTGATTCGGGGTGCGAAAGGTTATCAATCGGGGCATGCCATGGGGTCGGAGTCTGCTGGAATTCGGTAAAAATGGTCGGATAATTGATTCCAGCGCGCTGTGTGGTTGGTTGAGGGGGTGCAGCTGGTGTGTCGTTGATGGGGTATTCGTTTGGGCGGCAGCCTCTCCGCAAGTCGACTATACCCAGGCTGGTCAGGTGCCCTCAGGCACTTGAAGTATATATCGTGCTGGTGCCGTCGATCGGCCTCGTGCTGATGCTACCTTAACTCAGTAGCACACTCATGGCGTTCCCCCCTCCCCAAACTATATTCCTGTCCAACCTTCCTCTTACAAAAACCCATGCAACATAACAGAAAAAAAAAAAAAAAAATAACATTCAATGAAAGTCTACTCTAATACCAATTTTTGAGATTCCCGTCGTCGACTTACTGCCGCAGTGCTTCTGATCCCGACACTCCGCTTCCGAATCGATCGACATCCACAACATGGTAGCTCACGTCCAGCGAAGATCTGTCTCACTGCCCCTGAGCTCCGTACGGAGACACGCCGTAACCAGAGCTCTCCCTACAAGGAAGGTCGTTATGTCTCCTCAGGCTGCCAGATTTTAGCTTCTCGGTAACCGCCCCATGAGATCTCATCCTGGCTGCTGGGTGGCAGGCTTAGTATTGACAGGAGCTAAGATCGACAAGCAGCCCCAGGAGAATGTGTGGCAGAGTTGAGGACGAAACCTTTTTGTCACCTTGGCCGTTCTAAAAAAACGCACTGAGCATGATTTGTCGTAGGCCATTCCCGCTCGGGCTGCGATCTTCATCACCAGAAAGCAAAGGAAGGATAGTGGCGTCCATCTTCATGCGCTGAGGACCTCTTCCAAGCTCCCAAGGCTTGGGAATCGATGGTGAAACCCTTCCTATGATGTTCTAGTCGGTGAAACACCTGCGCCCACGGGGCGTCGCTAATAAGCTAGGAACGGGATGGGGCAGAGGGCCATGAGGGTCTGGCTTGCACCATTGAGGTGTGGTAGACCGACCACAAAGAAGAGGATGGATGAGGGAGAGTCAGAGCTTCTTCTATACATTCCAAATTGATGGTTCTGGACATCGAATATTTCACGTGGTTGACAATTTGCACAGACCTTGGAGTGTACAGAGTATGCCGTGGCTATAGTGATCTCAATAGGGTGTGCAGTATGGCTCCGGGTAAGACGACAAGTTCCTGCTACACTAGTACACATTGCGGATACACTAGTCATCCTAAAGGAATAAAGTAGAGCTCCATATATCAAATTAAACGTCTACGGGTCAGCTGAGCTTCCCACAACTATCAAGCTTAATACCTTAAGTCCACCGGGACCCAACAGGAGTGGCGCATGGCGACCGAGCGATGCCCGAGTGACAACGGAGACAAACCGGCAATTGGAGCGTTTTTACCCGGGGCTCTGGGAACCGCTGACCTCCTTTTCTTGGTATTTCTGGGAGTCATTATTATTCGACGTGCAAGTTCAGTTGCAGTGCACGCTAAGTCCGTCAAGAGACGTGGCGCCGTCCACAGTCCGCGCATTCATCATTCTTGGAATAGCAGACGAGACGACACGGAAGGTTGCGACTAGCGTCGAGTGTACCACGCGCAAGCAAGCGGGGACTGGCAGATCGTGAGTAGCCAGTGGGCGGTTTTTGGCCCCGAGGTTGCGGTGTATGCGGGCCGACATGTAAGTATCACGTCAAAAAAACGAATGAGATCGTCCCGCGTCCAGAGAAGGAACAGCGAGAGAATCATCTCTGTTCCTCGTGCCGCTCCCCACCATTAGATCTCGAAGTGAGCGACGGGGATTCGTGAACCAAACATCGGGTGTATCGTCAAGCTCAGCAGACGAACCCATAGATCCAATGTTCATCAATAGGCATTTGACGGCTCTTTAGGCCACACTGCGTAGCTGAGCAGAACAAAACCACTCATCCCGCAGAGAAACTGGGGAGTTCCACTGCGCAGACCGGATTCTGTGCATTTGCCAGATGGTCCCGTTCCATGTGGGCGTGCAGCAGAATGTATTTCACACTGGCACGGCAGAGACGCAGGATCATCACGGACGTGCTTCTCAGTTGCCATGCTGCGTCGAGTAAAATACAGCAAGGCCTGAAGCCTAAAACTGTAAGGGTGGCTATCCCCCAGGTCGATCACGGTTTCACTCTAATCACGGCGCCACCGTGACTTTTTGGTTTGCAATGCAAGGCTCTCCAGGGCCCTGGCATGTCATCATTTTGTCCAGCTATTCTCCTTCCTGATCACCACCCCCTGTTGACGGATATCGATGAACTAGTACACTTCGGAGATTGAATGTTGTCATGGTCATGCAAATGAGTATTGCGTAGGTGGATTGCGAGGAGAGTCGGGAACGCAAAAGCCTAATTGAATGAGCGCGCAATAGTGTGCCCTTAGCACCTGGGACTCCGTACTTCGTGCTCCGCGGACAGTCTACAGAAATTGATTGCCCGGGTGGAGACCGTGCGAGGACTGTAATAGGTAGAAACCAACACCAGCCGACAATTGGAGGCCTCCTCTGGTGCAGCAGGCATTATTAGCGCGGAAGCAACTCCAAGAAGGTTGGTGCTCCGAAACCCTGAGA